TGGCTGAGTTACACAAATTACCACGGAATACTGCACCTCTATTGCGGGATGCAACCGAAAATATGTAATGCCGGACTACTACTAAGCCGGAATGAGTAGATTCCTCCCTAATAATTCGTCCGTAAGATATCTAACAGGGATGTATCGGTCCGAGTAGTGTCTTGAAACCAGCGGTCTGCAAAGGTATCGAATCCTGTCATGATTTGGTGGGCGACAGCACATGCAAATCATCGTCCAGACTTACTGTGTTGATGGCTTTGAAATGAACCCTGGCGAGCTGGATCATCTTGAACGTATTTACATGTGGGACCTTGTCATTCATTGATATTGTTCAAACCACTGATGAACTGTATTCTAGTAGGCTCTCCTAGGACTCAAGAGGCCATCCACTCGTGGGTCAGTACGAAGTAACACGGGGATCATAGCCTCATTTACGAGTACGAGTCGCCCCTACACTTGTATTCTCCCCTAACCGTCCCAATGATAGTGGCGAAAGCGGCAAGGCTGGCCTCCTCAAGTGAAGAATCGGCTGCACATGTGATCGCTCCTTCAACGTGCACAGGCTTGTTGAGAACAGCAGTCTAGAATTGTGTATTTACAGTTTTCAATTACTCCTGCTCCTGATTTCATGCACGGAGCAGTTGCCACGGGACACTGTGAAATTGGACCTCGTATCGATAATACTCCGCGTACTGTTCATTATTCTTCAGTGTTCGAGAGCGCCGCCCAGTCCAGTCCCTCAGACGCAGGGCGAGGGCACACTAATTCCATTCTTCTGGATTATTCTCCACCCACAAATAGTGCGCCTCCACCAGCTCCAGCTCTTCAGCCCTTCTGTTTCACCACCGACACCCAAGACTCCCCAAAGGGAGGACTGTGCACATGAGAGCAAAATCATCTGACCTCATTTTGATACCTCGGAACCGAGTCCCCGCAGACCCCCTTCTACTTTCGTCGGTGAAGAAAAAGATTGCTTGATTTAGCAGAAACTACATGGTTTTTACATGGTTGTCCCTGTGTTGGGGATTACCATGCACCCACTAGGATCCTGACCTGACGGGTTCCGAAGGTAGGGTACCAGTAGGTAGTGCTGATTAGTGCTTTGTCGAAAAAGCTGCATTTTGCTTGCCGCACAGAACAAACATGCAATCGCATCGTTACAACAGACAGTGAACTAATGCTTCAGTGCCCAACCCGTTACGTTTGGCTTCTTTGTAACTTGTCACAGGAACTCCGTGCCTGCATGAAGGGCGAAGCATTGCTGGCGTGCGTCTTCCCTTCCTTAGCCCCGACCTGACCCGAATGACCCGTTCTTCGACTCGTTTCCGGCTGTCGCTAAAATAACGAACTAAAATTCTCTGAAGCATCAGAAGACTCCAGGTCCGGTATAAATCATCATCCCGTCTGGAGTCACACAGTTGGCTCAAGCTGGACCCATCCGTACTATCTCGGAAGACGTGATCGACGATGCAGTGAGTGTCTGTGTGCTTGCTTTCGATGGGCCAGGAGGCAGACACGATTGAACACAATTCGAACCGTTTCTGCTTGAAAGCGAATGTCGCGCACACTGCGAGTATGTCTGTGAATAGACGAAGCTCGGCCCGACAACGCGCGGGTGGTGCTTCGAGCACTCTTCCGCCCACGCCCCAGGAAGGCAGATCACATACTGATTCCATCACGGTCTTCACGTGCCGCAGAGAAGATCATGACTTCTTTCTCCTGAGCGTTGCTCCACTTGAACAGGACCTAGAGCAGGATCAAGTATTCCTGTCGTCCTGGTCTACTGCCAGGAACCTGCAATCGATGGATATTGCAATCGCGATCCCCGGATTCCCATGCCAACAACTCTGTGCCATCGTATTCCCGTTGCCAGTCTAGAACGTCGGTGGAGCATTTTGGCCAAGGCTGGATATATCCATATCCATATCCATACCTCCCGTTGAAACCAAGCACCACGGTGGGTAATTTGGGGCGATGAAATACCCGTTCCTCTCGTGACTCCAGACTCCAGACTCCAGAATCTACTCCGTAATCCAATGAATTCGAATCAGTAGTCTGTTTGATTTGGACCCCATTGGCAGAAAGATGTGTTGTGGGCGGCCCCCGGATGTTCAAGTCCCTTGAAACGTCCAAGTACGCGTACACTTATTCAATATGAACCGAAGTCCACATGGTTGGTTGCTGAAAATCTGGAGAGCTGGAATTGAAACGAGGTTAATTTAACCGCCTATATCAGCCTAGGAGATTGAGCGGTGGCTATGTAAGTGTCTTGGAATGAGGCGATCTGCAGCCCGCCCATTATTCGCTCGCCCGAGGAGGAACCCTGCATACCACCGCCGCGTCGATACTGAAGTGGCATGTTCGATCTAGGTCGATGGATGGCGTGTCTCCCCAAAATAAAGGACAGCATTGGGCCAGTCCGTCCATAGGATTGAACTGCAAGTCATCGAAGGAGTTTCCGCGTCGTCAGAGATGCGTTTGCATTGCAGACCGCTCAACTCCCAAGTCAAGTTCGCTGCAAGTCAGCACGCAATTCAGGATCCTCCCCGTCCAGTCCTTCATCCTGAGTCAAGGATCGCCACAGGATAATCTCTATAATCGTGCATCTTTCTGTACTACTGAGAGACTGTGTTTCCTCGTAGTGGTCAGCAAGCCTAGATCGGCAAACCCGCGGCGGCGAATACTCGTACGCGGGCCAGCGTGTTAGGCGAGCCGTAGTGCGAGGTCTATCGTCAGCCAAACTGGTTAGTGGTTAGCTGGTTAGTTGGCCCTACCCCGTACTTACTTTCCTTACCTCTCGCTCTTACAGCCAACCAACCACTTGGCACCAGTACGAGTAAGCATGCAGGGACTCAGGGAGTCGGGTCAGGGTGCAAAGTCGACATCAATCAAATGTATCAAACGGGAGAGGAAGCGGAAACACAGCAAAAGACGTTTCCGCGAGCCCCGCGAGGCTAGGTAAGCAGGGCCCAGGCCAAGTCCAACCTCCAACCAGTGTCTCCGCAAGAAGAAGAAGAAAGCCTGGAGTTTCCGTGGACGGGATAAGAGGACTTTGCTCCGTATACGCTGGGTGGAAGATTGGCATGGCAAGGCATGGGCTCCGGTGGATGAAGATGAACGTTTTCCCCCCCGGTGGTTACGAGTCAACCACTTACCTTGGCGAGCACCTCACCTCAACTGGCGAGGAGTAGTAGTAGTAGTAGTAGTAGTATGACAGCCTAACTACTCGTACAGGGCTCTGTGAGGGAAGGTACCTGTGTCAGTTTCCATCTAGCCTCGAGGAGGAATTGGATTTGGCCGGGCTCTAACTAGCAAACGAGCAGAACTTTCTGTGGTTAGGAAGGGTTACAACGGCGACTCTTTTGTTCCCGCCGTTGTCATGTCCACGTACATCATCATAATTATTGTTACAGTCAGAGCCTGGGGCGACTTGGGCGAGGTAAGGTGCCATGATTCAAGTTTCTTTAACGACGGGGCGGGTGCCAACAACGTTGTGAAGGTCACCTGGACGTGAAATACACTTTCAGACTATTTGGGCCGGCAATTGCTGGATTTGTCTCGGGAACGGGGTTGCCTTGGGTAAGTATGGGTTTGACTTGCAAAGATCGAGTGCCCAGGGGTTGGCTTGAAACTTTGGCCACCCTGCTGGATCTCGAGTCACAAGACAACGGTCCCAGCGACCTAGCTTAGGTAACTGTTTTGCTTTTGATGAATGTGAATGGTGATGACGACGACGGCACCGCCGCTGCCAAACACGTGCAACATCAAATAATCTTGCTACTACTTACTATGTACTACCTAGTTAGTTTGGTGCTCAAAGAAGTTCGCCGCCAACAACTGCAAATGTGATGATCGTGGTTCATGAGCTCTCGAGAAAAGGTACCAGTGGTCTCTCTTTTTGCCTTGATCGGTTGCTCTTGATTCGATTCTCGTGATGATCCACGTTCAGGCAAACTGATCGGCAAGCGGCGGCCACTTCTTATTTCACCACAGACCAGTTTTCTTCGAGATCATGTGAACATCTTGGACTACTGACTGACTCGATGTGGTTGTGTGAGTAGATCTATTGTAGCTGTGAGGTGGGCAGGTAAAGCATCAATCAAAACCTTCGAGGATTGTTCGTGCCGGGGGCCAATATACTTTCATTGCTCTTGTTCGTGGTTCCTTGATTTCCTCTTGACTCTGTAAGGCCAACAATGTGAGGATCGAAGTGGTCCGAGTCTGCAAACGGTGCTCCGCTTTCTAAAAGACCGGATAGCCGGTATTCGCCCGCTTTTGGAGTCATCAGTCTCCGTTTTCGTTTTCGAGGTAGACGTCCGCTTCACACACTGGCTGCAAAACGTGTACGGAAGCTATCCGCCATCCATCCGTAGAGGTTGTTTTCCGAACAATACTTACGTCAACCCATGCACTGAGGCTCAACAGTCATTCTGCAAAGTCAATTCGAAAAACACAATTCAGTCAATAACAATGATAATGTAGTATTGGTACATTTTTTGCCACTTCGGCTAAAGACTCAAGTAACTATTCACCTGGAATCTTTTCACACTAGCTAGAGTAAGCTCTGCCGAGTCACTGTTGTACATTCGTGTCATGTGGTAGACAATTAAAAAATCCCCCCACGGCTCCGTATCACCTGAAGACATCTCGAGACACAGCATGAAGACCATACCACGCCAAGAGATAGACAGGAAGACAGTAGAACAGTTCTTCCCATTGCATAATGGGTATGACACTATGCTTCCATAGGCAACAATATCACTTTTGTGCACTCTCCTGATGCCACGCATCTATCGGAGGAAAATCAAAATCAGATTCGCCCAAGGTGACTCCAGATCGGACGGGGCAAAAGGCCACACCATCCAGATCTCCTTATCCATTCATACTAGATGGTAGATATTGGTCATAATATGCATAAACCACATATACCCGCTCAGAACGCAGACAAGAACGCAATGTATAGAAAATGTAAAAAGAAAATATGGCCAAGGTGGGTGTCATCACCAACCTTTCGCATTGTACTCCCATCGGTCGTCGAAATAGTGATTCCACGAGTTGTTTTTCGACGTTTCGGTTGCTGGGAGAGGGGGTTGAGCAGGACCTAGAGGGGGTGCTGTATGTGCTTGGAGATTTGCCATGCTTTGTGCATTCCGGCTTCGCTTCAGAAAGGCATTGGCAGCCTGTGACTTCTGTTGTCTCTCCCAAAGTAGGTTCTTGCGGAGAGATTCAGTCAATTCTGTAGATAGCATATTCCGACGCGTGGTGCGTGGAGAATGTGCCACCGATGTTCCGGACGCCTTGGGTGGGGGAATGGCAATGGGTGCTCGAGGTCTTGTTTGCATCACCATACCATCATCGTCATCCTCGGGAGAAGCTGCCAAAGAACTTCCTTGGGGAGACGAGGGTCTCGATTGCCGCATTGCGGGTTGTGAGAAGGCGTGGTTCAATCTTCCTTGTCCCTTGTTCAGCGCCAATGTTAACATCGACCTTCGTGACACCAAATCAGGCCGGCTTTCCACTCTTCGAAACATGTGGTTCTCATGTACTGGCTTGCCATCGTCCGAGTTGGAATCCTCCCAATCCGGATCATCCTCGTCTTCCTCGTCAATGGCAGACTCAACCACATCATCCGTGTCATCCTCTTCATCGCTACTTTCAATGGCCCCCTCATCATTCTCGGCATCTTCTTGGATCCTCCGTTGAGCAACTACATCTCTGAAAGACGTCCGCTTGGGCTGTAGAGCAGTGTTGGAGCTTCCATTGACATTCAAGTTGTTCTTGCTCAAGCTTTGGGACAATGAACTCTTTTGTGGTGGAGGTCTGACTGACAAGACTCGCTGCTCAAAAGAGGAGTCGTCATCCTCGGAAGAGCCCCCAAGAGTAAACATTGCCGGCTTGAGAGTCCTGCCTTTACTTGGGATGAGCTTGGAAGATACGTCAAGTTGAATTCCAGAATTGCTCGGCTTTCGAAAGGATGATGCAACCGGCGAAAATCCATGAACGACCGAACCACTTCGGATCAGGCCGTCCGTAGAAGAGACCGAGGTATCTGAGTTTCGGTGCTCGCTTTGCCGGGCAGTGTCGAGGGTGCCATCTGTGGTGGTGGAAAAACAAGAGTCGGTTGAGTTTTGGAGATTTTCCAAAGGAATGGAAGGTTCCGGTTTTGGTTGGGAGGGTGAGGCATGATGGGAAGTTGGAAGGGCTGTGAGGCTGGCTTCGAGAGATGGAGAAAGGGGACCTAATGAGGCCTTTTCCTGTATGCCCACCACGATCTTCTCTAGGGTGCGAGGTGTCATATGTCGTGATCTTGATAATGAGCTAGCACAGTCCTCGTGACCAAATGACCGTGATCTGGCACTGGAGTCCACTGGAGATGCAGCTCGCTCATCCAAGCTGTCGTCTGAGGAGTAAGAATTGGATAGTGAAGGTACTCCACTCGATCTAGCTGGGGGAGAGTCTGATGGTGTCACACATAACGACTCGCGAGACCACACCCGCCAACTCATGTTTTCTAACCGAGGGCCATCCTTGAGTGTCTCTGAGCATTTTGAGAAGATGGACCACATGGCCATCAAACTGCAGGCGTTGGCCGGGTCTATTTGGTGCATTTTGGCTGCGTCTAACGACAACACCGGCGCAGGCGCATTCAAGCGCGACGGCATCTTGGAAACTGGTGACCTGGATATAGTCGTGATGGTCGAGGCAGGGGATTAAGAATTGGTTGAGGTGGGTGAGCCAACTGACCGTGGTGGGAAAGTGAGGATTTGGTGATGGGATCGAATTGTGACGCAATCTGGGATTCGGTCCGATTGGATACGAAATGGGCTGTGCTGGCCAGGATGGAGTGTGGGATGCAGTGGTTGTTAGAGCATCGACACTGAAGCGACAACGAGGTGTCTTTGGTTGTGAGAGAGGTGAAATCGAGCAGAGGAAAACGGGGTATATCACGGTGGGTATATGGAGTACGGCGTGTGTAAAAAGATACAGAGGGAAGGATGAGATGCGATGGGGAGAGTCGGTATAACAAAGAGCAGGTGCAGGCCAGAGCCGGGACCAGGGTGAAGACCAGGGTGACGACCAGGGTCAGGGTCAGGGTCAAGGTCTTTACGAGGAGAAGGATTTGCTTGTGCTGGATGCTTGGGGTGGAAGCAAGTCACCGCGCTAAGTGACAAGTCGGCACAAAACAGGGCGCAAGCCAAAGAGTGGGAGAGGGAGAGTTGGGAACAGAACAGAGCAGGGGCATTGGGAATGGCACGCATCACGCATCGGGAAAGAGACGGGGGTTGGTGTTGGTGGAGGAGGAGGGGGGCACAGTGGGCACGGTGGGCACTGGGCAGTGGGCACGATAGAGGCTGAGGACGAGGACGGACGACGGGACTGATGAGTGAAGGGCCCCAAGCCAGAGCCAGTGCCAGTGCCAATGCCAGTGCCAGTGATCGGTAACAGTGACCACCCTTCCAACAAGCAACGCACGATTCGAGACACGAGGGAAGGCCCTTTTAGCCTCTAGTGTCATTCTACGCTCTAGCCCTGCTTGCTTTGCTCCGGATGTTCGCAGCGACCATTGGGGTGGGAAAGAACCCACTAGTGCGGAGGTGTCAACCGCCGTCCAGGTTCAACTTGGAGGAGGTCATTCCATTGCGAGATTTAGCCTGTTCAAGTCCACCGTTGTACCGAGTACCCATACCGCCTGTAAGCTGAAATTGCCCTTGAAATGACACCGCGACTGACTGCTGGCGCTGCAACCGTCCTTTGCCCTTGATTTGGGCTCCTTTGGGCACCAACTTGACCTGGACGGCCGACTGACTCTGTTACGCCCCACCAGAGAAACCCGCCCGGCATTACAGCCTCCAGGTCGCGCCCACAACTTTTGGTCCAGGCACCCGAGCATGCCAGATTTGAAGTGTCCAGGCATCGATAATCCCCATGGTAGTATTCAATAATGGCCCATTCTCGGGTTGGATCATTGGCCACTCCTCGTCTCCTGTCCCAGATTGGTAGCATCCGTACTATTGTTTTCGATATGGGCAGCTGATCGATCTTGTTGATTTCTACTGGCAAGATCTGAACATCCAAGTACCTGGCTACGAGTAACTACCTGGGATAGATCCAAGGCGGTGGGAGGGGACCCTCCGCGAGATGTGGGACAATCCGATATTGGTGGCACTGTACTCAGTACTTGGTCCTTTAAAAAGTCACATGCAATTTCGAAATGCAAGCCTACTCGATACATCGAGAAGCCCGTCCCCCATGCTCTTTGCCGGTTCAACCCTCGCAGTTAATTGCTGTTGTGAGATGGTGTTGCTGTGTACAGAGTAACCTTGGTAAGAGCACTAATTAAAGGCTTGATATTGTCAGCCAGGCAAAAGATACTACCCCATGGTCCCAACCAAAGTCTCATCAGACCAGCTGACTCGACTCGAATTTATTATTGTGTCCCGATTAGGAGATTCAAACTCTTGGCCCCGCCAGACGGCGATGAGAGGTCGGATCCAGGGCTCAAAGTCTAGTCATCCGGGGCTCATTCCAATTGAAGGCCAGTCTAGGAGCCGGAAGATTTGTTAGAAGCTTACACAGGCTCTAGTCCAAGTCATGGCGGGCATCCGTCTTCCCCGACCTCACTAAAACATCACCACTGCCACGTGCGACTCTATCAGGCTCAACTTCAAGTTCTAGCCCTGTGTGTGCCTGAACCGCCTGAGGAATCATCACCTTTCTTGTCCAGCTGACACTTTTTCAATCCATCTGTCTTGCAGTGACATGTGAGCCGCAAAAAGGGAATATTGACATGCGGCAAGGATCTTGCAAACCAACAACACAACTCGGTCACTCTACTCGTGTGCTTTGAAGAATGCAATCATTGACTTTGCTCGGCCTCTTCCAAGGATATACACTTCCTGATCTTCTTTGCAATTCTCGTACGTACGAGATATGGCACTAACCCCTGCCAGAAGTTGAAACTTGTAAAATCAACTCCACGCTCCCCACGAACCTACACTGTCTCTCGTATGTAACCCAGCGCCTCGCTCTCCTGGTGTCAAGCCACACTGTAATCATACCTTGACTTCACCCCTCACCAGTGTGCCATCACCCTCCAACCAACTGGTGAACGCGTTTATCCATGCTTCCGTGGCTGATAAGGCGTCCTGAAACCCAACAAAATCGCATGTGAAAGGACTTGACTCTCTCATGAAACCACAACAAATGCCACCACGGTAATTCGCAACGAGCATCTCGAGACGTGGAAGGCATGTGAGCCATGTCTTCGCCTCTTCCCCAGGTTAACATTACCGATCTTCTATTTCCTTGAGCGACAAAGCGATGGTTTCATTGTTGCTGAAGATGTAGACAGAGATGGATAAGATCTGCCCTCGAATTCAACGGTCGAATCTCGAAACGTTGAACATGAAGCACTTCCTACCGACGAGGGTGTGTGCGAATTATCGAGATGGAAGTAAACCCCGGTGGGCAGCGACCACCAAAGTTCCGAACAGAGAGCATCCTTTGTAGATCGGGGGGCTACCCTATCGCCCGAGGCGCCCGGATATCACTGCCCGTACCCCGTCTCTGGGCCCTACCTCCCTTGACACGAGCAACTCGGAGCCGCTCCATGTCTGAGAAATTGTTCCATCGCTTGTCAAGGCTCATCTTCCATCCCCCTCGTGACCAGATCGTGACCGCTTATTTTGCCCTAAAGTTGGTGGCCACGACACTAAAGACCTGCCTAAAGGTTAGGCGCGACGGGCGGGTGTTGTCCCCTAGGTGCCGGACTACGTCCTTCGTCCTCAACCAAGCCCCACCCATGCTCTTTATCAATGTCGCTTGAACTGTCTGATTCTCAATGACGATGCCTTTCGTATACTCTTTTCAGTGTGCCACAACACGACGTGTGAGGTAATGATCGCCAGTACATCTCGGAAATGCAGCCCTCCACCAGGCCCATGTAGCCTTGTATCCAAGGGATGGCTTTCAGTGCCGGTTATGACCCATCTCAAGATTCGAGAAAGCACCAACTTCATTGTTTGGAATACATGACCATCTGGTGAGTTTCCTGTAACCTCACGGTTGGATACTCGCAACATTCGACTCGACTCGACTCGACTCGACTCGACAATCCTCCCTCCTGGACTACGACACCTGTCACTTTCCACTCCACGACAATCTCGATAGTCTTTTCCGAAGTTTTGCTCTGAGACTTCGGGAATCCACCCCCCTAGAACAGGTGCGGCCAGCCTTTCGCTCGACATCGCCTTTGATCAGATACGTCAAGTTTCCATCAGGCATTTCAGTTGAGACGCTGGAGATTTCCAAACACCCGTTGGCATCACATCCGCCTCCCGTTGCTTCCGCTGTCAACAGCCGAAGCGCACTTCAACTCAAGCCCAGTACGAACTATGCGGCTAACTCCAACGCTCGGATAACGCCTCCAGCATCATTTTATTGACATCTACCCCAGGTGATATACGGATCACGAGGATGATCTATCCGATAGTCTGGGGATAAACGGTGGTATCCAAGCTCTTGTCGCACAGACATGTCAATTTTCGGTCGATTCACCGACGTTTTGTGTGGATGGTTCAGCCTGGTTTATCGAATGTCCAGATCCTGACTTGACAGCCTTGACCTGCATTTGGCCTGGGTGCCCATCTGACGAGTGACCACTGACCAGATTCAAATACCCCGGCGGCCACTTTCTAAGCAAGACAATAAAATGTGACATGTCAATGTCAGTTCATGTTCCCCCGCATCCCCGTGGATGGTCTGCCCGGGAGGCGCAGTGACAGCATCTGTGGATTCACAATGCTTGCAAGTGCTTCAAACGAGATCAATATTCGCTCATGTTATTAGCACTTTGTGTACTTGCTCCCTTCGAATTAATGGTGGCTCTAATCTCAGCAATTCTCAAACAATGACGTACAATCGCGCGGGAAGCCCCTCAATTTCAGGATAATCCCCCATGGAATGTCGAAGGTTCAACGGTCAAACGGTAAGGCTTGATCTCATCACCGAACACAAGGCCCACCAGCCGCAATTCTGGATAAATTCTATTTATTTCAAGCATCACCAACATTCCATTCCTACTACTGCACCCGCCCGCTCGCACCGCTTCCTTTCTCCGGATACCTACCCTAGAGGTAAGGACAATGCAGTTCTTAGTGTATCCCTGAAGCCAAGGGTGCGGAGCGCGTTATCCCCTGCCTTCATCGTTTGTTTAAAGTTGCAGGTGGTGTGGAGAGCGCGTGGCAAGATAGATAGCGACAGGGTTTGATTCCACACAAAAGGAATTATGTTCCTCCATTCACGACCAAACGCCGACGATATAAACTTTCTCGTTAATCCAGGGGGATGCGGATTACCCTCGGAGTATGCAAGTATATTTGCACGGTGAGCTCATGTTTCGCTAGACAGCTCAGCCAATTTGCCCCCATTCCCTCTGGCATGTTTACATTCCCAAAGGATGTAGCATCAAAAGACAATGTTTACGGGACCCTTGCTCGACGGCAATGCCATGAATTCCGCCTACCACCGTTGTGGCTGCATACATGCTGCACACAGGCAGGAGCGATCGACATCGTAAAAGGCCTTTTACAAAACTTGTAGCTGTCATGGGCATGCTGTAGGTTTTACGAAAACATCAAAAGGAGATGTTCACCACTGTCGCTCGAATTCGGCATATCACCACAACTGAGATATTATCCGGCCATGGAAAATCTCCATCAAATACTGTACGTGTCATGGTGACGAGCCTGGTGGGTGACTTGGGGCTCGTATGCTGGACCCTGGCTTCGTGCCCCTTCCCCCTTTTGCCTGTCCGCTTATCCCGCCCCTTCCTCCCTTCCTCCCTCGCCCCTTGGGCGGGATTTCTGTAAATGATCGAAGCAGGTGAGCTGCAAGGGAGAACGACTGACTCACAGATCCCATCGGCTACTCGTAAACACGTGGTGGTTAGTGCGGCCCCCCTTTTCGAACTCCAAAGAGTTCCTTCTCCGGCTTGAGGACGACATTCCAGCCTCGCTATTTACTTACCTACTGGTCACGCTCGGCCCTATTTAGATCATTCATGAATAATATATCTATTTCATCTGCCTCGGGTTCTATTCTGCCTCTACCGATTTCCACTGCACCCGTCTTGGGGCTCTCATTACATCGTGCTAGGAGATGCCTTGGCTCAAGAACAGTCCTCCTTGGACGGGGTTGGATATCGACGTGCAAAGGCGGCGACTGTAGTGTATCCGCCCCCAGAGTAAGAGATGTATCTTGAGCCTCGATTCCTACTCCTGATACCTTAGTGCCTGACGGTCGTCAGACATGGGCCGCAGGAGAGACAGATGCTTCCTTCATGTATTTGCTCCGCTGGTCCATCAAGAAGGAACACGTCGCAAGGTCTTCGATATGGACACGTCCAACAATTAATTAGCTGGGCAACCCTGCCACCAAAATCCGAGGTACCGACTCAGTCCGAATCAGTGTCTTTTGATATGCTGGACCGGGCCATGTGATCATGCAATCAAATACAGGTGGCTCGTCCTATCTGGACACTGCAACGAGGGCACAGGAGTCCTTGTAGACCGATCAAGTTGTCTCTTCGCCCTGAATCTGATTCGTTCTAGTCGTGTCTATGCCATCTTTTTTACCTTTTTGGGGGTATCATTTTGTACAGACTTTGCTTTCATCGATCGTTTCCATGGTTCTCATGCATGCATGCGCGCTAAACTTAAGGCAGTGCCAGACAGACCAGGCTCAGGGAGGCCAACGAACGCCAATAGCTGTGCGATGGAATATTCTCGACTTTCCGCGCTCGATGAGTTCAAGCTCGATGGACGGCAGCTTGAGGCTTCTAAAACTCGTTCTCGTCGCCTCCCGCAACAATCACGTTGTTGATCTTGAGAACCTATGAAGTATTGTTAGTCATGCACATCGGGAATTACACTTGAGACGGGGGTCTACCAACCATTCGACATAACTGGGTGGCCAGGAGAAGTTGTTGTCGTTTTCCAATCAGAGGATCAATGACGAAGTTGTCACGCATATCTGTGACATGTCAGTAAGAGTGTCTAGCTTGTGTGTTGTGAACGAGCACATACCATTGTTGCCTGTTCCCATGCAATCGACGCCGAGTCGAGAATTCTGCTCCTTCAATTGCCGCGACTTGACGTCTGCTAATGTTTCAATGGGACTTAACCCTGAATTTTCTGCTAGAGCCATAGGTATAGCATCAAGTGCATCTGCGAATGCTCGCATGGCATATTGCTCAAGGCCGGGAGTTTTGGAAGCGGCATCCTCCACAGCCAAAGAACATGCAATCTCTGCAGCACCACCACCGTACACGACTCGGTTGTCCCTCACAAGATTTCGCACGACACAGAGGGCATCGTGGAGTGATCGCTTGGCTTCATCAATGATCATTTTATTGCTACCGCGGACGAACACGGTGACCGCTCTTGTGTTGGCGCATTCCTCAATGACTAGCATCTTTTCGCGTGTCGTGCCGAATGTCATTTCTCTCACAATACCAGCTTTACCGAGCTTCTCCTTGCTTAGGTCTTCAAAACGAGGTACGATTCTACCATTGGTCGCGATTGCAATCAATTCAATCTCGGGACCACCTACCCATCGTACAGCAGGAAGTTTATTCTGTAGCAGCAGATGGTTTGCTTCGTCATCAAATCCCCATTGACAGATGACAAGGTTGGCGCCGGTCGCCTTGATCAAATCAATCATCTCGATGAACTTTGTCTTTTCGTATTGTTGAAGCTTCTTAAATTCTTCAACCGAAGAGATATCGAGCTTATGTTTCGTTTTAGGCTTGGGAGGTTCAAAGGCACATGTCAGAATGGCGAGTTTAGCATCCTTGACTTCGCTAGGCATCTGTGGGTGGGAAAAGTCTTTGTCGACAATGACGCCCTTTACAAGAAGCGAGTCTTCGATGGAGCCACCCGCCTTTCCATCGACTTTGATCAATTCAAAGTCAACATCTTTGCGCTCGAGATCGGCGACAGACATGACGGCTTCAACGGCAATTTTCGCAAATTGATCATGGGCTTTGCTGACGATTTTGCTTCCCAGGCTGGTTTTGGCGACCTTTAGTAGATTTTCTTGCTTCTCCTTGGTGAAAGTGATCTCATCACTGATCTTGTCTAGGTGTGCAACTGAGATTTCGCAAGCCTGATCGTAGCCATCTGCAATACGAATGGGATGGATTCCCTTGTCAATCAGATCGGCCGCTTGGTCAAGCAGGGCGGCAGCCAGAACGACAACACCTGTTGTACCATCACCAATCTCATCATCTTGGGATTTCGACAGCTCAACCATCAGTTTTGCAATCGGATTGGAGAGTTCCATTTCGGACATGATGGTTCGCCCGTCGTTGGATATTTGAATGTCTCCATCAGGAGAGATGAGGATTTTGTCGAGACCTCGTGGGCCTAGGGATGATCTGACGATACTTGCAACTGTCCTCGCAGCGATGATGTGTTGTTTTACGGCTTCGGTGCCATGTGTGCGCTTCTTGCTGCCTTGATCTCGGACCACGATAAAAGGTCGACCGGACTCATCCTTCAGGAACTGAGCCTGCGATAGATCTAACTGCATCGCCATGTTGAGAGCGTGTGCCTTAGACGTAGGGCCAGTCCTAGAGTACTTTTCAATCCGGCGCAGGCGTAGGGGTTGGTATTCGAGCGCTTCTCACCGGGGATCCGATGGAGGGGTCGATTTTCGGGAGTGATGAGTTCGACTTGAGTTGCTCCAGACAAGACGATTCTTATGGATTCAATTCGAATGTCTATTTTCCTTGGAGGGCAGAGGAGCGTCTGTAATAGCTGCCTGGGTTGGTCACAGTCGATTGATTTCCAATGGACGTGCCTGAATTTTTTTGAGATCTCCAAAAAGTGCCCGCGCGGGATATGGCTGCAGTCGCTGTGCCTGGGTTCGTCCGCAGCCAAGACGTGGAGGAGTACCTCAAAAGCGGCAAGTCACTAAATGAGGGCTAGCTCATCCGCTAACATCAAGTCCCCTACTAGTAACTGTCTGAAAGGCGGATTATAGTAGTTCCCTCACCGAAGACCTAGCTCCCTGTCGACCACCAACTTCTCCGAATCCCAGCCCGCACCTGGTTCTCCGCGTTCTCAAGACGCTCTTATTATTTACTAGCACGTCTGGAATCCTTTTCATCTTGCGCGCATTACTGTTGAGCTTTCGCATCACAGAAGCCTCCTTCGATTCACTGCAAGTATTCTTCCGTCCTTTCACACCTCGCACGACTCTCTTGCGCCACCTCTTGTTCGCCACAATGCCCAATTTGGCTTACGGTCAGTCTGTCAACCTCTCCTTGCCTTCCCAACTCCAGTCTAGAGTTGCACCGTGTCGCGTCGCGTTTGAATTACTAACACGGCATCAGGCAGCGATGACTCAATGGACGATGACGTGCTAAAGCCAAATTCCAGTTCTGAGGCAAAAGACCAGTCCAATGGAGGGTCGAACGATAAGACTGAGTCCCGATCTGGTCGCGGAGAAATCGATGACAAGGATCACTCTGATTCGGATGGATCTGAAGGGGCGGAAGCGGATGAATATATCGTTGAGGCAATCCGCAGCCACAAATTCATCAAGGGCATTGCGCACTATGAGGTGAAGTGGCAAGGTTGGCATGATAAAGACAACACCTACGAGCCGGAAGAAAATCTTCAGTAAGTCTATCAATTCGGACAACACTAAAACTCCTGCTTGATCATCTAATTCGACCGATCAGAGGTGCTCTCGCCATTCTTGCCAAGTACTATGATAGCATTGGAGGTGTACCGAGCCTCAAGAGGAGTAAATCTAAGCAGTCTCTTCGCGAAACCCAACCCCCCACCGAGTCTCCTGCTCCGAAAAAGCGCCGCAAGAGAAATGATACGTCCGTGGCTGCTAACGAGGAGGATGAAGGGACGTGGACACCTAGCTCCCAGAATTGGGAACCTCAAGTTGACCGAATCGACACCGTCGAGAAAGATGATTCTGGCCAGCTACTCGCATACATTTTATTCAAAAATGGGAGAAAGACGAAAATCGGGATGGACAAGGTGTATGTGCACTGTCCTGTGCCCATGCTGAAGTTCTACGAGAATCACCTGAAATTTAAGTGAGAACTCAAGTGATTACCATAGGGACAACTTGTTTTCTGGATTAGTATGGAGGGCGCCCTTGCGATATTCATTCACTTGGCACATCCACTTCTGGCAATGTACGAGGAAAAGTATTCTGCGGTCGGTCGGTCCTCTGCTTGCGATACCTGCTGCCTCAAGAGAGCACGGAATGAGAACGGAAACAGATTTCATCTTACACAACTCGAGCCACTACTTCTCCCGGAGTCAGCAAAAGGAGGTAATCACTCCATACAAGGAGGTTCGAAAGAACTCCAGACAGATGTGGTGACCAGATATGTCACTTCAAAAGAGTGGCACGACCGTTTTTAATGTTGAGCTACGCTGATTTGCTTCAAACGCCCTCTATGTAACAACATACCAGTCACTCTTGCGCCGTCAATTTTCGGGCGCTTGGGAAAGTGACATTGTCTTGCAAGAACAGCTTCTATCTTTGGGTTTCCAACCTTTTCCCTCACCACCATTGATCACTTGACAGAGAGGCATCACTTCCGAAGAACACGACAAAGTCGCCTGAGTTGCGAGAAGCCCGTATGTGCGACGGAAACAGTGTCTAATGACCTAGATGAGCACTCTCCCTTAACAAAAAGTGATCTTCATTTAGCACCTGAGCCATATGCCCACGATACTTCAATACCATTGAAAGAAAACGTTTTGTTCGACCACTCGAGAGAGGTCAATACTGGCGCACTGTCCAGCCTCGAGCGTCGCTATGACGAACCTAGTGCTTTACCATACGGGAACCGATCGCTCGGTGCTTGTGGTCCTCAGTACGCCCCGGACTTGAACATACCCAGCCGCCAAGGATCTATTCAGACTCTTTCGGCACAGTGCAGTAACATCAGCGATGAAGAGCACATCGAAGAAGCATTCGTGGCTCCATCCAAACTTCAGTCTCTAGAATGCCACAACTCAATCACGATCCTTGATACGTTGTGGAAAGGCGCGGCTGGCTCTAGGCGTATCGGATTCGGATCTGCTGTCCGGTATACCTATAAAGGGACCATGAGCTGATATCATGATAATGTGTTCTTGAGCGACCGACCACGTCAGGCTCATTATGGATTTCTCCTGTGTTCGGCCACGATGATACGATTTGAGTGTTCTGCCCTGAACACTGAGTTAAGGTGCTTATTGGGATTCAGATCAGGGTAGACTGGGCACCATCATCGTGCAATTAAATTCTCCAAGGCTCCGCGCATTGCGGATTACGACCTCCAAAAGCCATTCCTATCTACCTGGGCGAGTAGACGTCGTCCCTAAGAAGGACCCAAAAATGACAGGCATGGAACAGGCATCATTTGGATGCCGAGATTGTATGTCCACGAGCCTGCGACCAATACTCATTCGTCGCGAATTCAAATGTTGGCCCAGACGCGTCTCGGAGGCAGTTTGACAACTACAGGGCCAACACGGGTATAGCATATGAATTGAGCATATCTGCACCAGCTGCCTAGATGTCTGGGTTTCCGATTGATGGAACTCTAAGATGACGATCATCCTCGCTTGCGACTACAAGTATAGTGTTCAACGACCTACGCGAGGTATCTGGAGCTGTAAATAGTGGAAGTTACAAGCGAGCTCTCCCACAAACCGCTGTATCGTGATGACTGATCATCCGGGCAAGCTCTCCCAAGTATCCCATATCTCAGTTGGGAGGCATTCGCTTGTGGCCTTTGACTCTGACGTTGCTCAGATATGTCGAGCTGTTAAAGAGTGTAGATCAGTGTTTAACTGGAATCTCTCCTGCAAAAGGAGCATTCACTTGATGATCCAAGACCACCCACCCTACAGTCAGTCATATCTGGAAAAGAGAACAAGCACCATCAGTTAGGGAATCAAAGACTTTGAAGTCACCGATCGAGCCTAAGTTATGAGCTGACTTGTCAGCGACCAACAACAACTAACGGAAGTTCGTAACATTGGCCTTCCGCTACCTCTATCTGGTCGAAAGCCACTGGCAGCGAGGCATAACCCAGAATTTCAGTTGATATTTACCTAGGTATAAAATAGGCTTTGTGGAGCGGGCATTGCGAACTTTAAACCCGGGGGGTAGTTCCCCTGCAAATATTCACAGCCACGTCTTCAACGTTGTTGCAAGCCTGCCTTCGTATTTAGCGGGAAGCTTTTCTTTCTCGTACTCCAGAAAACCACTCTCACCACGTTCAATTTCTTTTTCAGTTTGACCAAAGATTATCGAGCAGTTAACTACTCATCGTCGTAGCTAAATGAAATCAAGCACCTCGGCGAGGTGAGAGAACAGTGGAAATCAGATTGAGCAACAATGATCGATCAATGCTGGTAGGAAGCCATGAACGAAAGATTGGACGAACTCGTCAAGAAAAGGCGACCTGGCTCAGCCACTCCCACCACAGGAGAGCCACAGGGTAGGCTGTTCACGAAACAGCCACTTGTTCTCCAAACTTTTCGCCAGAATCAGACTGATCGGAAGTGCCGGGCCTGGAAGCGCCATCGCGATCTGAGTGGTTGATATATATCCTGGACCTTGTCACCGCTGGTCGCCTGCTCGGCAACGCCATCAGTGCAGGCATCCTCTATTCTGCATGCTATATTGTACAAAGTAGGCATCCTACAAATTGACCTTATGGTGGTACGCACCCCCTGTATCTCTTTCGAGATTCATATATGTTGTTCATGCTCGTGGAAAATGCATCAAGCTGCGAGCGACTTTGGTGCTGCACTATCTGCTGGAACACGAACACTCAGAGATCTACCCTATCATAATCAAGGTGGTCATGGATCAGAACCGGCAAAGCCCAACACGTTTACCTCTACGAAGTGCGCCCGCCTTTCGTGACCTTCGCAACAACATCCGCCTGAATGAGCTGAACCATCGGCAGCGTACGCAGCCAGTCGAAGCCGATAGAGATGCGGGCAGCCAGACACCGTACTCGAGGGCCGCAGGCAGTCGATCTACTTTCACCACCTCACAGCAATCAAATATCAACTCACGAAACGAATCAGAGACGAATGTTCTTATTCAGGAAAATAACGATATAGCTGCTCCTCTGAATGGCGTCCAACCCGCTAGCATCATACATGAGCACCGTAGTTCAGGTGGCGGTGGACCAATGCAGCACTATTCCCGCAGACCAATCTGGGATGACATCTGGCTGCCATTGGCTTGCATCCATGGGTCCATGCTTCTTGAGCTCTGTTGTCTTGCTGTATTGATCTCAGTATACAAAGTTCATGGTGAGAAGGGGCTATTCTCGGAGCCGCAAGGCTGGCGCGACCAAGCGCAGCCATCGTATATTTTGCTTAATGTGCCAGCCAGTATGGGAAACCCAATGCAAGGTCTTCACTAGGCTAACTACAGACAGCTTGGCTGACTTTCGTGACATCAAGAGCTCCGCAATTTGCTGGAATGCTTGCCGGACCGCTGATGGATTTATGGGCGTGGAAGATTGCACAGTCAATGGTGGAAGCAAGTGCAGACGTTGAGGAGAACGGCTTACCAACTGTATACCAGTTCAGCCTCTTGATAGGTATTGCCCTAGCATCCTTCGACAGATTACGTCGATGGACGTCCTATCGCAGCTGTCGTCGGCAGCGAAAGCGAGCTCAGCGATCTCCAAAACTGCTAAACCGGGCCGGACTACTCCTTTACTTGTGGCTGTTTTTGATGGGCCTTACATTTGCAGCGGACACATTGATCCACTATACAACCGCGACAATAGAATTCCATAAAGTCTCACAATCAGGCAACATTCAATCTCAAGGGCGCGGATTATCACAAAGGTGTCTCACCATGGACCGTATCGAAAACTACGGATGGCCTTGCTCTCTCAACAACTTGGAGTCCGAAGATGACTATCTTCAAGAACATAACGAAATGCTTTTCCTATCACACAATAGTTCTGAGACGTCGGAGATCCATTTTTTCCAAAGCAATGTATCAAACTTTGCCATGTTGCTACCGAAAACATCAACCCTTTCTCCTTACGTCGACTTCCGGGCATCCACGATTGGGGTAGAGACCAGATGCAAACCTATCACTTATCGTTGCAACCTAACAAGTTGGGGACCAAGCGACTTGTATTCCAACTTCTCTTGCAGCCCAAATTTCTGGGGTATCCTTGGGAAAACAATAAACCAAACTGATTCTGATCTATCGCCTCTTGCTCTTAAAGTAGGCACAAATCTATTGTAAGTTCTTTTGACAACAGCAATGTGAACTGTGCTAACCGCGTCTAGTGTCGCATTTTTTGCGGACGAGGAATTCAAAACGCCTTACAACACTGTGGGATACAACACTACAACAGGAGAGCCAGATTCGAGTGCTCCGATTTGGACGGATGACAAGCTACAGAATGAGGTTCGAGTTACATTTGCCGCAAGATTTGCCTCAACGGCCATCCGTGCCGGAACCGATCTTTCTCTTGACGCAGGGTTCTACAAAGGTCCAAACAGTGTCTATGATATCATTCTGAGTTGCTCCTATCAGTCTCTTCAAGTCAATTACACTTGGTTCAATGGTACAATTCAGGATATAGCCTTCGAGCCCGTTCAGAACGGCACGATATCTGAGATTTGGCACGGCCGCCACGTTCCACATTCGGTCACGGGGGAAAGTTCCTCTCTGCAGGCCATCCTTGCACAGGCTGCTGTGCAGCCCTCGAGCACAGCCTTCGCACAAGCCTGGGCCGACTTATACTCGCCCGTCATTATGGCCACTGTCGGTGGGGTGATGGCTGGGAGAGCAAATGAGCTCCAGCAAGAGCGCTCACCTATGCTGGTTGTAAAGCTTTGGATTCCTGCATTGACGAGCCTCGTTTTCTGCTGTCTCTGCTATATTGTTGCTGGATCCATTCTAGTCTATCTTGCTCTACGAACCGCTTCACTAGGAGACTTCTCAGATGCGAGGACACGGCTCGGCATTTATGGAATTGCGGATTGGGCTGCTTCGGCAAACATGACGAGACAAACAGGCATGCTTTGTAAAGAGCAAAAGATAGAAAATGAAGCTTTGTTGGTGGGATTTGCCGGCGACGCAACCCAAGGCTACCATTACGTTGTTCAAGCGAACTAAGGGGGGAAATCGAGGTAGAGAACAGAGAACTCGTGACAAAACTTTTGTGTTCGTGCTAAATAACTCATAAACTAGCTATGTTATTGACATTTCCTAATGCTTTTGAATGGGCGGTTTTAAGTCGGATCCTCATTAAATAGATTTCTGCGATGGCCGAACTCATCCCCAGCTATGCCTTTCGGAAGGCATGGTGCCTTGAACTCGATACTCGTGAGAAGGTTAAGGATGGTTTACTGGAGACAACTTAAACTAGGGCAGCTGGTAGCGTAGAATTCGTTCAACTCCTCAAGATTCCCCACAACGTCGGCAACAGTGTCTGGGCAGCAGGCTCGTGGGCACGGAGGTGTACACCACCTTTTTGGATCGGAACAACAACCATCAACCCCAGAATTTATGACACCTGGTCGGGACTGTGGCTGATTACAATCGCCTTTGACGTGCCAGGCAAGTTGCTCCAAGTTGAATAGAAGGTCGCGCTTGAGTTGACATATGGCTGTTTGGTTTTCTTGCATAGCTGCCTGGGTCAATGGCTGCTGAGCAGGGAGGGTGGTTTCCCAGTTATTGCCGGGAGTGTCTGCTGCGTAAGCCTTGATATTTTGTTTGCTGAGGGCGACAATCAACACTAGAAAAGGAAGGATTAGGTGATTGTGGTGTTTGAACATTTTTGGAATCTGGAGGTCTTGAAGCAGAATTCGATGTTTCGTGGGGAGATAAAGCTTAGGTTGAAGCACCGTTAGGATGAATATCACAATGAAAGGTCTCTGGTCTTTAATTTCAAGGGATACTCCGTGTTCTATGCTTGTTGCACCAAGCCTGACTCCAATATTTGGCGGTCTCAGTCACTCTCGCACTCGCATTTCACGAAGTGTACATGAGTAGGATGCGCGGATGCGGAGCTGTCCAATTCTGATGAATGTTAAAACATTACAACGCATGATTGCTGTTGCCTCTAATGGCCTCACCGGTCATCCCAAAGCTAATCCTTCTGGCGCGCCATTGTACCACATGGTAGAGACCCAGGTCATGGTGTCGCGGGAGAGACCTGTTTAGGGATAGCAAAATTCGTGTCCAATTCTTGGTTAGCCGCAGTTTGATCGTATCCAGGGTTGTGAGAGCGATCGATCCAGGCAAACAACGCCACCTCGATACGGCACTGTCCCAGGCTTGTGGTGCCGAGCAGGCGGTTCGCTTCTCGCGAAATATGTTCGCAAACACAGAAGTTCCATTTCGTTCTGACTGGGTGTTTGTGACCAGTCGTCTCGTGTGCGACCAGTTCAAACAGCAGCATGGATCATGAAGTAAGTGAGGAATGGGAGTAATTAATGAATCTAAATGCAACCCGATTCATGGATTTATCTGCCGCCTCACCCGATTCCGCGCTCAGGCAAAAGTCGTCACTGGTCACCAAGGAACAAAGACGAGAGCAGCGCAAATGGACGTTCTTCATGACACTCTGTCGCCATTCTGCATGAAAAGAGGGGTAAGCACAAACGCTTTTGTTTTCTACCTAGGGAGTGTCTACGCCAATGTTCTCAGCGACTCCTCCTGCTGGCGAATACGAGTGAGGTATGCAAGCCAAAGTTCGGATACGACCTCACAGCAACCAAGGTCGCTGCCGTGCTTTTTGACGCTTTCTCGGACAAAATTCTCTCGAAAGCGCAGAGCTCCATGACCGTGACCATGTGGAGTCAAAGGGTAATCAAAACTCAGCAGACTGCGAACCAGATTCTCCAACGTCTTCAAAAGAAACGTTTAGTTGCTTCTCCGTAACCTCGAAGTGTAGATTTTCTATTGACGCTATTCATGATCGTTGAAAGACACTCTATGTCCAGGGGTGCTCACTTGACATGATATCACTTTATTCTAGATCCGAACCCGCAAGCAGTGCCCCAAAATACATTTTTGGATCAATTGAATCTCCTATCACTCCTCATTCCGATAAGATCTCAGCTTTAGAAAGGAAGTTGCTCCCTGCACTCATCGACCACCTTTTGGCCCGAATTGTTCTACGAGTGGTAAACGGCAATTGGCAAGGATTGGCTGCATATATAGCCAAGCACCATACGTCGACCACATCATCATACTCTTCGTCCCTGTCCTCATCCGTTACCATCAGTTGTTGTTACGCGAACAGCTCCACCAATGACTAGGTCTGCTACTAAAGGTATAAGATGATTATCTCTTCTCTTGGACCACCTCATTGATGCTATCAGTATCCTCCTCAACAACCAAATTGTCCGAACGAAAGGGATCAGCAGCGACCTTGCGAAACTTGCGGGCGCTGACCTTGTTCTCAAAGAGAACATCGAGCTCTGCATAAGTGAGGCCCTTTGGCTCGGGAAGGCGATAGTAAGTCTGGAACTTCGTTAGACTACGGCTTTGGTTCGGAAAGTACGAACTTACCCAGACTAGTCCGAGGAGATTTGCTCCTGCCCAAAAGAAGGCTGTTTTCCCCTGCCAATTCCAAGATTCAGGGTTCATAAAATGCGGCTGAAGGGTACCGATGATGATCCCGCAAACTGCAAGATCCGAGTTAGCTAAAGTTACAACAAAATACACCCCGAGAGCTAGGAAACCGGCGATTCGATAGCAGCAGTTGGGAAGCCAGCATCCCTGGTACAACAAACACACTACTAGAGAGCGCTTACCGTTGTAGACATTGCGCGAGAGGACCACGGTTTTGATACGTAGGCGTGTCGAGGGCAGTTCGGCAACTAGGGAGTAGCAAACGGGACCAACAGTAATATCGTATATGAATGTGAGGATGAGTAAGAGTGCGCCAGTTGCCCAGCCAGTCGAGGTACTGATCGCGGGGACTCCAATGCCGCCGATGATGATCAAAACGACAAACATACCCATCTGGCCCCACAAGTAGAGTGTTCGACGACCAATGTGAGGCATTAGGAACTGTGAACAATAGTATATATCAGCGTTCTCATTTCCTTACTCAAGACAGAGCCATAGAATTATTCAAGGACCGCAAGCAAACAAGCACCTCCAGGCAAGGGCAAACTTTGTGCACTAGACTTAGGAGTAACGTCCATAAAGGAGGAGGGGATTGAGAATTCGGTTGACTTACCCACGAAGCTACAGTCCCGATAAATCCCATAGCACTCTGCCCAATTCCGATCGAATAAGCAGCATCTCCACTCAAGCCGACCTGCAGAAGGAAATAGGTTCCCCATCCCATCATGGGACTTCCACTAGTCTGTTGAATCACCCAAGTCATAACAGTGAGCTCTGTGCGGCGAAGATCTGCGTTTTTGAAACAGTCGATATACGAAGTTCCCGAGGTTTGCTGGATCTCTAGCTCGTTTGTGTGGATCATCATCGCCAACGTGTCCTCGGCATTGAACTCCGTATTTTTCTTTGATGTTAACCTTAGAATCGAGGATCGAGCTTCATCGATTTTGCCGTGTCGGACTAGCCACCAAGGTCTGAACCATATTAGCCATAGAATGAAGAGGGGTGTATTGAAGAGCTCACGACTCGGGTGCAAACCAGCACACTATGAAGATTGGAACAGGCCAGATCCATTGAAGGGCATAGGGGATGCGATATGCCCATTCTGAAGAGTTATTGACAAAAGCCTTGAGAATGCCGGCAGCAATAAGTTGGCCAATAACCCAACACAAATTGACGTAGGTTGTTAGATAGGGCCGTAGGACGACTGGAGTTACTTCCGCTGCATATGTAGTGGTCAATGTTTGGAACACTCCCCTATCATCCAAATTAGTTATCGGAACGTATGGTACGCTATACAAAGCTTACCAAGGAAGACCTGAAAGAATATAACCTGCAAGGAGCATTTCCACGTTGACCGCAAAGAAGGTAATGAATATAGTGCAAGTGACAAGGACAAGGGAGCCCATCATCATTTTCCTATACCCAATTCTCTCCGAAAGGATACCATTGATGAAAAGACCGATGATCTGTGCGACTGCAGTACCATTACCGAGAGCTGATTGCCAGGCAACAGGGACTTGGTACGTCTGAACTCCGTTCTTGATAGCAGCAGGATGGCCATACTTCTTCGCAAATGCAGGTATGCCATAGAAGTTCCCCAGTAAAGCCGTGTCGTATCCCTCCATGATCACTGCCAGGGACAAAGCGAAAGAGAAGAACATGGCCTTCGGGTAAAGTCGGCAGCCTTCCATGAAACTCATGTGCTTTTCTCTTGTTGCAGCTTCTTTTGCATCTGAGCTCAGCTCAGCCAGGTTTGGCACTGCCACGGACAGCTTGCGGAAAGTTTCGTCCTTCTGATTCAAGACTCCATCGTTTTGAAGTGCACCTGTTGAGGCGTGAGCAGGGGCGATCGAAGACCGACGACGACCAGCTCCGTGGTTTACGCCGGCGGCGTTAGCTGCATAAACTGACACACTCCCGTGGCGCTGCGGAGGGCGACCAGATTCTTCGTCGTGAGAGCTACTCATGTTTGGCAGACTTGACCTAGGTCAGCTGGAAATGGCAACTGCAGAACAATGTTGTCGACTAGTCTGCCGAGATAGTGAAAGGATTGTGGACAGATGATGAAAATCTAGATGGCAGATGAGCCTGAAAGCGACATGAGGTAGTCAAGTCGATGACTATGCCCGATATATATAGCTGAAGAGCAGTCTGTCTAGGGGTATCCCCCACACAAGCACAAACAACGACAAGATGATAGTCAGAGAAGTGAAAGGCACAATCTAGTGAATAGAGCTTCCGTGTACTGGTGTTAGTCGGGCCTTTTTACCAGCGGTGTATTACCACTGCCCATTAGAAAGGAGCGTAAGATACGAATCTTCGCGGAGTATTTCATTTAGTTGCAGCCTCGACGGTCCAGACTGCACCTATATGGCTTGAATGTGAGGATATCGGGACTGTAGCTCGTATCAGAGAGTTAAGTGGTTCCATAACCTGCATAGTCGGTCCGAGGTCCCCCGCCATTTCGCTTTAATTTCGTAGAGGATGGATATACTCATCAGCACGCGATCAGCTGGGTCAGACGACATTGAGACGAATCAGGATAGAGTTAAGCTTCTGTCAGGCCAAATTTATGTTCCTCTTAGATTTGCCGGAGGTAGATAGCCATTGGACAGAACTCGGTCCGAGTTCTGCATACAACGTCTCGTGCAATTGAAGTTGTCTCTCGAGGTTGCCTATCTACCCCTGATTATGGATCAGATGGGTTGTTGCTTTCGCCTTTCGCCCTGTAAAACACTTGCTGAAGTGTACTGTCTCGTTTGAAGGACTTCTGGGGTAAGGGGTTTGTCGGATGGCATCTTGCCACCTTCATATTCACGATGTGGACCGACCTCGAATTGGCCGAGATACTGAACAGTTCAAAGGTTGCCAATATGTTTTACCGTCAAGGGCTTTGTTTTCTCCCGATAATTAATCTCGACTGAACCCTTGGATCATGCGCAACCATCCGTAGTGGCTGGTAATGCCTGCAAGCGTCATACAATGAAATGCAGAGGTGTCCAGAATTCCCACTCATCACGAAGAAAAGGTCAAGAATTCTGATGATTGGCCAGAACTCGGCCCGAGGTCTATTCCCACGTTTCCACTGCAATGGTTGTATGCAGTTGGGGTTGCGGGGTAAACCCATTCGTTCCTTATTGAGGTCGAGCTGGAGGTGCTACAATCTATCTAGCAGCAACAATATGAGCGCATACCCGGATCCAATCTCTGGGACAGGTCCGTCATCTATCTGGCGGAGTCATCAACTGCAACCTCTTTTCAGGGTCAATCCACATACCTGCGACTGCTCCGCTGGGTAGTGCACCGCTCAGGCGGCAATGGAAGCCCAACCAAGATCGAGCTTCGCTTGTGATGCCTGTAAGCAACGCAAAGTCAAATGCAATCGCTTACTTCCCTGCAGTCAATGCACACATGTGGCGTTGAAATGCCGCTATACAGTGAGCATGTCGTCCCGATCAAGGCGGAACATTGTTCGGGGGACCGTGATTCGAGCCTGCCGAGAAGGATCTGCGAGACCTCGATCTGGCTCGACAGGTCCTGAACTCGTCTCATCGAGTTCAGCTTCGAACGGCCATGTCGTCTACAAGGACTCTACTCGGCTCTCCGCCGAATTCTTCAGTAATCTCCTCCAGGACTACACAACAATCGTATTGCCATTTCTCCCAATTGTCAGTGAAAACGAATTCGCCTCAGCAATAGCAGAGAAGAAACCAGACCAGACGGGAAGCGCCTTTGTGAAAATCCTAGGAGCCATCACATTGAATATGAGATGCTCCTGGCTCGGGGAGGAGGAGACTGATCGGAATCAGATCAATCTACTCTATACCCAAGCTCTCCAGCAGCGTGGCGCCCTCATGCCCGACCACCAGATTACGGTTAGAACTCTCGTTATTCCTCTGTTTGCTGCAACGTGTATTCTCGACATCAACCCCAACTCAGACATGGGTGTCTACTATCTCCGCGAAGCAATCACGGGCATACAGATTCTCGGTGTGGATGATCCTTCCAGGGCCGTTAGGCTTGATGCGAGTGACAGAGCACAACAGGAAAGACTCTATTGGGTGCTCTTTATTCATGAACGTCTCCTCTCGATCACAAGTCGTCGACGTCCCACCTTGTCTGCCCTGCCAAACCTCCTCCAACCTGACCCTACGATTCCAGAAGGAGTGCTCAAGGGCTTCAATCAGATCATTCTTCTGTTCAAGACGATAGACGACACTTTCATGACACACTGGATAGACAGGCAAGCTCCCACGTTGACAATGGCCTGGATCGAGGAAAAGCAGTCCCAGCTCAGCGGCATAAATGACGACTGGGAGGACCAGATAAAAGAGCTTAGCCAGATGCAGCAGATCGACCTGCTAGTCACCCGAGACTGGCTGCGGACGTTGGTATGGCAGGTGGCACTATCACGCTTCTTCTTGACTTCAGACGGACGTCCCAGCCGACATTTCATGGACATTACGTTTCCGGCGCTCATTTCTCGTCGCCTCAGGATGATGCTCACGGCAACCCCGCGGCAGGCCGTTGAAATCCACGGCACAGGTATTCTCCATAAGGTCTTTGAAATTGTATCGATGCTGGGTGATTTACTCGAGCTCGTCCTACATGCAACTTGTGATGATCGTACGATTATAGATCATCTGGATGACTATTCATTCTTGTATACATTTTTGAACAGCATGTCCAAGTTTGATCCTGTCGAACAAACGATCTTGAATACACGGTTCATGACTGTTCAAGCACAGTATCCTGCTTTGTCTACACTTACGGGAACGGGCTGAGGACGGGCAGACTCGTGTAGGAAGAGAAGCATCTATCATTGCTTTTAAGGCAGTGAATACCTGTGGCCAGCGCCACATACGTAAATGGCACGAAATCAATCCACCGAAACCCCAAAGACCGGCCTATCTTATTCTAGATGAACACCCTCGCCTCGAACGGCCTCAATCTCAACCTGTCCCCTTCAAGCAGAACAAGATCCTCATAAGTCCCGAGAATCTGTCTTTTGCTAGCAACAGCCTGCAACAGCATATCGGGGGCCTTCCATGCCACCTCATCATCGGTGAAATTCAGCACAACCCAAGAATCAGCACAATCTCCGCCACCACGCTTGAAACACACAACGGCCTCATCACCATCCTGCACCATTTCGAAATTACCATAAACGAGGGTGGCAACATGCTCCTTCCGTATCTTCAGTAGCTGCCTCCAGAAATTGAGTACACTCGAGGCCTCAGCATCCTGCTGCTCCGCATTGATTTGCGGATAATTGTCGTTGACCCGCATCCATGGCTTCGCCGAGCTGAAACCTGCGTTCGGCTCCGCGTTCCACTGCATAGGCGAGCGGGCATTGTCGCGGGCTTTCTTCCTAATCTCACGCAGGAACCCTTGCATGCCATCTTCGTCGCCTTTGAAAAACTCCAATGCTTCAGTGTGGTGGTTGAGAGACTCACAGTCTTTGAACTCGTCTAGCGACCAGTCCTCGGGTAGGCTGGTCATACCGAGCTCTTGGCCCTGATATACATACAGCGTCCCTGATTGTAGGCCAATGAACGTCGCCAGCATTTTGGCAGCCAGTGTACGGTGCTCAGGCCGATGTTTGGTGAAGCGGGACACAGAGCGAGCTTGATCGTGGTTTTCGAGGAACAGTGCATTCCATCCGCCAACATTCTGCATCAGTGTCTGCCATCGATTGGAAATATTCTTCAATGTGGTAAGACTCCACTTGCGGGGGGAGAACCGGCCGTTGTCACCAATGTCCATATCTACAATGTCGAATTGGAAGATCATGTTGAGCTCTTTGCGTTCCGAAGAGACTACCGCGGCCACTTGGTTGTCATCCTTGACGTCGGGCATCTCGCCAACCGCAAAAGCGCCATATCGGTCCAGGACCTTGCGTAGGCCGCGCAGGTGCTCGTTCAAGCGTGGACCGTACGCGTAGTGCATGTACCCGGGCTGGAACTCGCGGCCTGGCTGTGTGATAGGCGCGTCCGGGAGGCTGGGGTCTTTGCTGATTAGGTTGATGACATCCATGCGGAAACCATCGATGCCCTTCTCCAGCCAAAACGTCATGATCTCGTGTACCTCACTCACCACCTCTGGATTATCCCAATTCAGATCGGGTTGTTCGGGGGAAAAGAGCGCAAGGTAGTATTGATCTCTGGCCTCGTTGTAGGTCCAAGCACTGCCACCGAACGCGGACCCCCAGTTATTTGGTGGTACTCGCTTGCCGTTTTCAAGTCGGGGTTCCTTCCAGATGTAAAAATCGTGCTTGGAATTATCGCGGGACGACTGTGACTCGTTGAACCAGGGATGTTGATTGGAGGTGTGATTGACCACCAGATCCATCACCAACTTCATGCCACGGCCGTGTAGCGCCGTGGTCAGCTCTTCCACGTCGTTCAAGGTGCCATATGGCTCATGGATATTTCTGTAATCGGAGATGTCGTATCCCATATCTTTTTGAGGTGACTTGAAGATGGGACACAGCCATACTGCGTCCACGCCGAGGGAGTGTAGATAGTCAACTTTCTGTAGGATACCGCGAACGTCACCCAGACCATCGTCGTTACTGTCGTTGAATGAGGCTGGATAAATCTGATAGATTGCTGCCTCCTTCCACCAAGATCGGTCTGGGGCCTTGCATACCATGGTCTTGCATTCTGTTTTTATCACGGTAGCCATAGCTCTAGGTGTCAGGGTAAGTTTTCTGAAAAGCTATGGGGGTATCAGGATCATCCCCTGTGGGATTGCGCTTTTGTACCATTTCCATTCTTCGGCACTGCGCGCTTCGAGTGCCATCTCTGGAAAGCGTGCCTGAAGGAGCGCCCTGTTCGGAAATGCCTGTGCGAGTCTCATCTGCTGAACAATTGGTGTTGTCCCGAAGGTAACAGCGCAACTCGGTCCGAGTTGAAGCACGATGATTGGCTGAGTCCTTAAATATGGCCCACGCACAAAGATACCCACCTAGCCTAAGTAACTTAGCTGGAAACTCCCACAAGAGATGGTCAGCGTTGACAACTGACGTTTTGGAGACAAATTTGTTCGGTTGATATGGGTATATATCGGCGTTTCTGGGTCCGAGCATCGGGTCGTAGTATTTTGGTGTTATCAGCATGACTATGCTCGACTATCAAAGTGGCAAGGTTCTGATATCTTTGGGCTTGTCAGAGTAGCATCAGAATTGCTCAAATTTTGACACTGTTCATCTAGTGTTTCTGTCATCTTGCCAATAAGACATTGAGACATCTTAGACGGTTATCAGACACAATTTCGCCATGCTTTTGCCTCACGACGTTGACATCTGCCGAATGCTCACTCAGCAGCAAATTGTCGTCCTCACTCGTCCACACTCCGGGGATGTTATTAGGGATGGTAATTTCTGGATGAGAGCGATGGATGTTCCCTTGCTTATACTTTGAAGGTATCTGGTCGAGGACGATGCTTAGGAGCCTTGTGGCGGCGTCAACGTCGAAACTCGTCGCTTCCAAAACTTTGAAAAGGACAGGTCTCAATGTAGTGGGATGAATATCTTTGTGGATCGCTGTTTGTGCCGTGACCCAACTTGAGGTGGCAGGGCCACTTGTAGTTGAAGTCGTCTTCGGCACTGGATTGGGTGCCCGCTGCTTCGAGTGAGATGGAAGAGGAAGCCCTTCTGAGACTGAATCGTGTCTGGAATTGTCGTTCATCCGTGCTTTACCTTTACCCTTTGTGCGAGAGCCGGCTTCGTCGCCATTCCCTTCAGTATCTAATTCATGATTGCTTGCCCCATCAGGCATATATCCAAGCGCCTCTTCCCAGCCACCTTCAGGGTCTGGAAGGTCAAGGTAGGAAACGTCCAATGGATCTTCCAAATGCTCAAACAGGGCCTGTGTCGATAGACGACGTCCTTTCCCTTTCATTGACCTTGCACCACGATCGACCGGGATTTCTTCTAGTGCGCTATCGAAATCATCGATTGTCTCTGGAGCAGTGTCAAACTGTTCAAGCTCCAGGTGAGATCGAGGTCCCCGATTCTTGGATGCAATTATATGATTTATAGACTCTAGAGACGATGAAGGGGGACTCAAATTCGCCGCAAGGTTGTCGTTTCTCGTGACTTGCGGAAGTTCTTGCTCCTCCAGAAAGTTGTCCACAATTTCAAGCATTGATGATGGCTCCCGAGCACCGTGTTGAGACTCTTGTGAGGTTGATTGAGACTGACTAACCCTGGCAGAACTTCTTTTTCTGGCCTCATTTGGTTCGGGGTTACGAGCCTGTGAAGGTGAGTCAGGGGGGTCAACAAAGTTACCAAGCTTGGACCCTTTTGTAGGCGTAAGCAGAGATTTCATGCTGGGCTGAGGAGTTCGATTATCTGTTGAGATTCTCGAATCAATTCTACTTCCCAGATCGTGATCGACCTTGGCCGAAGCAATGGGCGGTCCAGGAACCCCTTCAACTCTCAGGAAGATGGCACACTCGGTACAAACAAGTTCATATTGCTTGTGAACATGCCAAGTGGCTGAGGTCCCTTCATGACAAAAGCCACAAGTGATTTTTCGGGCATTGCTTCCTGCTGCCTTTCGTGGGATGGTGGAGTCAGCAAGGGCTGGTTGCTGACTTAAGTATGGAGCAATCTGTGCAATTGATAGCTTGTTACGTCGACAGTAATCAGGTACAATGATCTTCTCAAAATAAATCTGCCATTGTTTAGGGGAGAGTTCGTTCCAGTCTTGATGAATAACCAGGTCGGCCCATGCTTCTTGAAAAAGCTCAGCAGTCATATCGGAGAGAGCTGGGACAAGGTCGTACAATTGTTCCCGTTTTTCTATAGATAGAGCCTGTCGAATGTGGAGGACATCAGAATTATGGTCCATCCCTCCTTCGGTCGTGATCTGCGGATCTTCATCTCGTTCGAATTCAGAGGCTTCAACACTGGGGTTTTTGCCTACGAGAGATCTTGAATGCTCCGTCCTCGGGATCGCTTTAACCTTGGAATGAGTTGGCTGTTGTCGAGTGGCCGGATCATTGGGCCTCTGGGCTGAGTCCCTCACATACTGACGGTCCCTAGTGCCGGGTTCTGTGGTGTTACAGTAGACTCGAGTTTCATGTTGTCCAATCTCGTCTACATCCGATCTTGTTCTTTTCCGTTGCTGTACTGAGCGCGATGGTTGAGGTTCAGAAGCCTCAGATGGTGATTGGGCTTCATCTTCGTCCTCGACCTCCTCAGTACGTGGCGTGGTGGTTCTCCTTTGGAACTGGACTTTTTTTATCCATCTATCACGCCAACTTTGATAGGTATGGCGCGGATTGACAGCCTCCAGTTGTTTGTAAATCTCGTTGCCCTTCCATGTCCCTCCGCTCTCCTGGTAGGGTTTGACCCAGTCCCAAAGTTGCTGGTCTTCTTCCGAGGTAAATGGAATTCTTCCTTGTCTCGGCGTGGTAGTGGTACTGCCAACCGGTCTGGAAACGCGGGTGGCGATGCCGACGGCATGGTCAGCCAGGTTTTCTCTTCTGCCATTTCGAATAGAAACCTCGACGTATTTGTATGAGTGAGTACCAGGAGCGTTGTTCTTTCTGGCATGATCAACCAGCTTCACATCTGCGTCCTTGTCAAAGTCAACAATGATAGCACCATTGTTTCGGGCGTTTTCCAAGATGTATTTCCGTTGAGGGACTGTATGTGCAAACCATAGCTTTTGGCCACCAAAGAGGGTGTTCTCGATATCCGCCACTTCTCCATGCTGCTGAACGCCTTCATATACGATGTGTGATGTCATTTTTAGAGCTGTGGCTAGGAACAACACGTGTGGATGCCTGGCAAGATTGAACTACTCGGCATGTGCCAGTGCACGACATCCGGAAAGCGCGCTGCAAAGCTTAGAGGAGCAGCGTCAATGACGCGAAAACACGTGACTGAGCAAGTTAAACCCGATTCAGTAAGTGGGACGAGAATTCCAAGTTGAAGGAAAGAGCTCGGTTCCCAGTAGTGGGGTGGTTCACTAGCTGCAAGGAGGACTGAAATCTCTGGCAATGAGGATGGAAGGAAGGGTGGAATGCGGAAGAAAGAAGCGGAATAATTCAGCACATCGAAGATGTCAACTAATGCCGGGGAGAAATGGCGATTTGGGGCATTGATTCCCGTGGACAATCGCCTTTGAATTAAAGCTGCTCCGATTCGTGCTGCCGAATGAGACCACCATTGCCTTGGCTTGGCCGTTACCTGCGCCCTACCGAGTGCCTGGACGGGGTGCGGATAACCCCTACCACAGCCTGTGATTAGGCGACGAGTCGTAGGTATGAGGTCTAGGTACCTCACACCAACTGCACCCACCACCCACCACCACCCCATTCACCATCCGGACTGCACTCGGCATCCTTGTTGCCCGACCCTGAACGAACATTTTATTCCACCACCACCACTACGAGCCACAATTTCACTTCACGACTGCGTCCGACTTCACCCTCGTGCCAGCAGTTCATTCTTCTATCTTATTCTAATCTCACCCACACCTTCCCTTCGATAGTCTTGTTCAAAAGCTATCTCTCTCAATCTCAACTTCATCTCACCTCAACACACCTCCACCAACAACACCGCCTCAACCCAATTACCCCAACTCTTCTCACATATTTTCATCAATTCCATCATGTCTGAAGAGCTGACCTATGCCGAGGTGCAGAAGCACTCAACCAAGAAAGATCTATACCTCGTTATTCACGACAAGGTCTACAACACCTCATCTTTCGTCGATGAGCATCCGTACGTCTATCTCTAAAATCCCCCCTCATTTCATCCAACTCACACCACCACCACCACTATAAAACCATACTGTCCCAAATCCCCACACAGCAATTGCCCCACATTGAATTCCTGAACGCCTGTGCCCACACTAGGTCCTACCAAACTAACTCTCTTGTAACAGTGGTGGCGAAGAAGTCCTCCTCGACGTAGGCGGTCAAGATGCTACCGAAGCCTTCGAAGATGTCGGCCATTCGGACGAAGCCCGCGAGATCCTCGACGGCCTGTTGGTCGGAAAACTGAAGCGTGTCGCTGGTGATCCTGCTCCCAAGACTGGTGGCACCGACAAGATCTCTGCTGGTCCAGGCAAAAGTGGCGGCGACACCGGGTCTGGCATCGCGCTATACGCAATCCTCGTCGTTGGTGCCGTCGTTGCATATGTTGCCTACGGATACGTGCAGAGTCAAGACACAAAATAGATGCGAAGAGACACTTCAAGCAAGAGCTTTTCATGATTGGGGTATTTATTTTGGAGTTTATTAATCGTCCTCTACCATTTACCAAGGACGTGGAGGACCTTCCGTGTCTCGGTGGTTTTAATCGCACTCCTCGAGACTAACAGAGTCAATTCATCATCTTGCGCAGAGCTACGCAATTCAACCCTTTCATCTTTGGAAGCAGATCGTCTGATTTGCAATACACACAGCACATCCAGCACAATAGAACGTCTGAATACTACAAAGTTCGAACACCCAACCCTCCCAACGAAGCAATCATACACTTGTTTTATTGAGCTTGGCACCATATTTCCCTGGGAAAACGACGGGTTCTTCCTTATCTACAGACGGCTCAACCCATGATTCAAGGGCAATTCATGTTGTGGGTGAAGTAGGGTGGCGTTTTACTGCCTTCTTCCACGGAGAATGGGTCAAGTCATGCACATTAGATCTAGAACAAAAATGAAAAAGACGTTGAGCTTGCCCACTGGAGTAAACTGATTTTTATGCATTTCACACCTCTTCCGTATCGTGATCAGGAAGCCAGATGCAGTCGGGATCCGTGATCATGTGCTCAGCGTATTCGGAATCCGACTATGCATCGTCATGGAAGTTCGGTGTTCCCCGTATCTGCTGTGACTACAGGGGCACCTGCCTAGGGAGTATGGCATGACTGCTGCTGACACCGTCGATTCGTGTCAAGTATTCGTATTTCGTATCAGCGTCACGTACCTCGCGTGAGACCGACGCGTAACATTCTCATCAATCTTGTGAGTGTGCTATACGGTCCTCATCTGCGTGCCTAGCTACTGTTGTGGCTCTCGCCTGTATTTGATCGAATCTACACGGGGACAGGCTACTGTATCTCCTTTGGTACACAGGCAGTTTATGGACACTGGTTGACGAATTCTGAGGGAGGTACGCACAAAGAAAGCGAAAGGGAATTATCGCCATGCATACACCAGTCTCCTGCTCCCTACGGCAAGGGCAAGCAAATTCTTACCCCAGCATCGTTGCCGCTATAAAACGTGGCATACTCGTAATCGTCCAAATCCCACTCGAATCTACCGTTTTCTTCTCCATCGTGGGCGCTTTTCAGACAGTAGAGGACGAGCAATTGGGCAGCAAATAACTGGCGATAAAGCTTCAAGTTTGTTTCATCGGCACCTCCACCAAACCATGTGGCAAAGACTTCTTGATTCTTTATATGACCATCGGTTATGTGTTCTCTTTCAGCTGCGACGAACAAAGACAGTACTTCGAGAGAACTGGCGAAAATGATATGCAGGATGAGCTTTCGCAGGACTCTCGAACCATCAAGAAGGTGCTCCTTTGGTGGTGACGAAGATTCCCAAAATGTCCAGAACTGGCCGATGAAGGGCACACCAGAATACTGGAGAAACTCGAAAATGTCATGCCACAGACATAAAACTTCCGAGTGCTGGGCTGCAATGGACACTGAGCCACCGAAGGGAAGCTTGATCATATTGTGATAGTTGGTTGTGAGTTGAATATGATCTTTTCCCACTGCGAAGATGATCATTCCCCTGAGTATCTCGTCAATGAATGAGCCGGCACTATACCCACAGCACTCGAGGAACCGGCCACGAATAATGCTCGTAAATAAACGTACAAACTCGGTGGTGTTTCTAGTTGCCAAGCTTCGCTGAACGTCGAAACGCGTTGGGACGGTTGGATGATCCCATGAATCGTCCCAGTCAAATACGCAATCCAGTTCGGCAGGTCGGTACAGAACTTGAACTAGCTTCTCGTTGGAATAACGGACAGGGACGGCCGGTGCAGACCGAGTAGCACTAAATACCACTGCACCCAGCAATTCCTGGATAGGATCATCATGCCTATCGCTGAAGCAACGTGCGTACAAGAAGGATATGCGACTCCTTAAAGCTTGCATGAAGTGTGATCCTAGAGTACCCGACACATTGTGCTCGAAAGCCTGTGTTTTGACCTCCTTGTGCAGGAGAGCTAGATTCAGGACAGCTCTCAGGCCATGTCCTTTGCTCAATTGGCTCGATGACACGATCCAGTCGAGCATGGTCAAAAGAAATTGGCTGCTGGCAGCGCTAATTCTTCCGATGTTGGCGCGCAAGCGTGGGTAAAGTCTTCTCCAGACTCTGGCATCTGTTTTGATTTGGTAGGATTTGTAGAAGACGAAAAACCAGGGCTCAATATCAATAAGGCGATCTACCAATCGTCCGGGCCAGTGCCTCCGCGCAAATTCATAAGCGATGTCAAATTCACTCAGATCCAGACAAGCCGTATTCTTGTTACCGGCCACTGAGTTGTATGTCGCACGGTAACCAGGCAGTATTTCTTCACATTGACGGTCAAGATCTGTCCGAGGCGATCTGAAAGTCCATTTGATGTGACCTGTTCAGCAATCTCGGTTAGTCACTATTTCGCAAGAATGAGAATGAATGTAGTATACCTGGTGAGAATATGTTGCAATCTGCCAGTTTCGAATAAACATCACAATTCCACATGAAACTTGTCGAACGACCACAAATACGATCGCGCAGTAGAAGGCATCTCTCACAGGAATTTTCAGATGGATGTTTGTTGCACTGTTTAGTTGCTTAGAGCTTGACTGGCACAAAGAGCTGTTGCAACTTACTTTTTTGTTGCTCATCGCGCATACAAAGCAAGCATGGGGATTGTACGGCCCTCTCTTCCTCCCTTCCGCACGAGAACTGGGTTCATTCTGTTGATGGCCACGTCCTTCTAGTTGGTATTTCATGCAGCCTGGAATTGCAAGACTGGGAGATCGTCGCCTCTTCCGACTTCTGGGGGCTTTGGAAGATCTATTCGTGTTGGAGAGTCGCGGCTTGGCATAGGGTATCGGACCACGCTGCTGGTCAAGATTCCAACTGTTTTTCTACACTTGAGGATCAAGCTCTCCAGGAGGTTCCACGCTGTGTTGGGGATCAGAAAACCAAACAATCTGGTTTGTCCTCAGATCAGGTATTTGGCCTGATTCGTCTCGATGGAGAGGCATCACCATCTGGGTGGACTAATACTGTTATTCTAAGTAGCTTTCGAGGGGGAATTGTATATACCGGGGTGACCGTTTCAGCTTGCTGAGCCTGATAACCGCCATAGCCAGCTTTGTATCTGGTAAGTTCCGGCAAGCTACTGGTGCTAATGACCGGAGACAGAGCTTGTTTCTCAGCGTTCGAGCTTTCATTGGCGCTTAGGATGTCTTCTCGCCTACGCTGCAGAGCAATCTTGCGTTGCTGTAATTCAATGAACTCAAGCTCTCGATCAATGACTGTGATCTCAGCAACACTTGAGCTTTCAGCCGATACCCCTGTCTTGGACATGGTGCGATTCGCAACAAGACCAACATGACTAAAATTGTAGTTCATGGGGGCGGGAACTTCATGGATAGCAGGGATCTGTAATTGGAGAGACGTCGTAGCATGCGGGGTGAAGCAGTCGTAGGGACCGCTAAGATCGAAATCGTCAACGTCAGGCACGTCCACAAGGTCTGGAAGCTCTTCACCAGGTCGCTGAGTGACAGGTATGACTGGAAGCCAACCAGACATGACAGAATAGCTATTCTTCGTGCCACCAAGTGGGTTCACTGGCAATGGGGCTGCAGCCTCGTTCGATTCAAGCAAAGGGTTGGTAGGAAGGTCACAACCATTTCCAGGGCCACAAGCGTCGACCGTGTCATCATAGGGAAACATGGACTCATCAAGGAAGCTGTATGGGTCGTCTGGCATCGAAAACTCGTAATCCTGCGCTGTATCATCGTTACAGGACATGACTATGGAGTTGGCGAACAAGGCTGAAGTATCGAAGAGTGAAAGTTGTGGTATGTGTCGCCTTGATCGTGGCGAGATTTAGATTTTGATCAACAAGAGAATTGCTGGTTGCAATTGTGCAAAGTGAACCGTATTCCCCTCTGAGAATATGGCTTGTAATTATAGGACGATCATGTGAAAGAGTCCTTCATGCTTCAAGTCGTCCTCCTGCCTGACGCCTTCCCATTTTTGGGTGTCGGAACTTCACGTGATCTTCTGACGATTGAATTCGGTATAGTGGAAATTCCGACAGTTGAATAGGGCATAGCGCCCTGCACTTTTCAGCCTCGTTCAACCAGCACCATGCCCATTTTGAGGTTTCGGAATATCGACTGAACCTGCCCAAGCAGGCTATAAAACTTGTCAAGATGCTCCCATGGAGAAGCTATCAAAGGAAGAAGGCTTTACCTTTTCATCCAGTTCAACCTCGTCACAAAAACCGAAAATGACGTCGTTTCTCAATGCGACTGCCATCAATGCAACCGCATTTGAGTGTCCTGGGGCATCAGATACGACAGCCTGGTCACGTGGAGACAAGCTGGCTCTTCTTCAGGTGATCGCCATGCCACTGATCCCCATAGTCTGCGGCTTGGTTCAGAATATGATGGCCGACTCGAAAGGCCGATTATTCATGCGGAACAAAGGGACGCCTGACGCAGGAGGTGCCACCGTCATAGTGTACGCTTCGCGTGCTTCAGCACTCATGAAAGGTACCCTGCTCTGGCATTCCACGAACAAGGGTACACCAGCGGTCCCGCGATTCCCAGTGATTAGGAAGGACGGGAAGAAAGCAACATGGCTTAACGTCGTAAAATTTAAGCTACGGCTCGCGCTACGACTCTCGCTTCCGCTACCCGGAAAAAGTGGAGACAGGATCAATATACTTCCCATCCACGAGAAGGACATCAAGCCGACATTTCCATCATGAAGAGGACGTTTTGCTTACTCACGACTGCTCAACTGCGTTTGGAAAGGGGTCCGAGCCCACAGAATGCCATGTGGGAAGAGTGAGGAAAGGGTGTCGTGCAACTCGGAAGGCATGAAGCCAAGCCATAAACCTTGATTGAGTAGCATCTCAGTCTTTTCAAGCTCGCTCATTGTTATGGTCAAGGATCGTGGGACAAGCAGGGAAATGGGGCAGATGCAGAGTAGGCGGTAAATTGGGGAATGGGAATGCGAATTCAACATGCAAGACCACGACCAGCCATCGACGCCGCCAATACCACAACGACAACCCACGCAACTCCACGCTACCAACCCCAACACACTCAACCTATTCAAGTCCCGCAAGTCTTTCAAGCCCCAACTCCGCCAAGTGACCCCAGAACCCCACGACAGTATCATGGTCCCAGTCTGGTGCACGATTCAAGCCTCCAACGCCTCTACTGTACGCTGCAAAAGCGACCGTCTCGCCATCGACAAACAAGCCTTGAAGTTCGCCTTTGATCTCGCAGCCCAGCTCATCATTCCAAGACACGCCTTTCAACGAACCAAGACGGTCTGGCCCGATCTTCAATTCGTCGGCCTCATGATCAATGGATCGCCATTGGAAGTACACGCGGTCGCCGGAGTCCACACCACTTGTGATGGTGGCGCGGAAGGCGCCCTCTTTGCCGGTGCGTTGATCGGTGTCAACACTTGAGTTGGAACCAGAGCTGTCGGTATCGTCGGCGATGGCGTTGTTATTCAGATGAATGCCGTTGGTGTTGGCATACGGGTCGACATTGCCGTTGTTTATGTCGTTCTGATTGCTGACATCGCCGCTTGAGCTTGAGCTTGAGCTGTTGCGGGGCATGTTGAAGCGGACGCGTCTGCTGTTGCCATCGACAAGGACGTTCTGGTCTGCGTTCACAACACTGCTCTCCTTGATGGTGAAGCGACCATAAAGGACATGGATGGATGGGTCTGTACGTGCGTAAGGTCGGCGATTTTCAGGATGACGGCGCAGATACAATGTGCATTCGAGTCCGTGGTATTGACTGGGAGGGGCAGAAACAGCAGGAGAGCCATTGATAAAGATGAGATTGTAGTCGCCATCGATGGGGAGCGGGGTGGTAGCTGGGCCAAGAGGATCATGATCGTCCCACATTGTAGGTGGGCGTACCGGTGGAGCGGTGATTGGAACGATAGTATCAGGCGGCCGTGCAGGAGGACCAGTGCCGATACCGTTGGCGTTGGCGACGATGCCATTCACAGTAGTGTCGCCTGGATTTGCAGAAGCACCAGCAGCATCGTGGGTTGTGAAAGAGCCGTGAAAATTAGTGGATGTTGGAATACCCGGCATTTTGGCATCGGTGCAAGGTTTGACAGAAGTAGACGAATAGAAAAAACGAGAGAAGAAGAACACCGAAGAGACTTTCAGGGGTCAGCTATAGAGCAGTCAATATTCCCGAGCTGCCCTAGGTCGAGACACTTGATACATACCAGTGTTTGTCGAACAAACGCTCACAAACACCCAAACACCGTAAAGACCGCTGTCCTGTTTGGGGTCCAGTCGGGCGGATGCGATTTTTTGACTGTGTTTGTCGCCAATCCAAACAACAAACGACAGAGGAAGGCGAGGAGGCAGCTCGTTTTGAGACAGGTTCAAAGAGCATCAGGAGTAACGGGGACAAGAATGACCCTGGGCCGATGGACAACTACAACTTGAGCGCCTTGCTCATCGTGCCGTAGAATAGTCAGGGGATTGTAAAACGCGGAAAGAAGTAATTGAGTAAGTTCTTGATCCTTCAGGTCCCTCCAGAGGCCACTGTGAATGAGTCGGTTGCTCCATCGGTCACAAGAAGTCGGTTTTTTTACGGCGTGGACAACATGTTGTCTGAACGGCGGTACGCGGTCAATTGATTTCGCTGTGGCTCGCCTAGCGGAAGGAACTGGATAGGACTGGACTGCTCGTGAGTCAGTGGGTTAGGATCCGTAAATATCACTGCGCTGGTGACAAGCAAGGAGCTGGATCGGTGAATGAATGAGCGGGCCGTGCGACATGGCGCGTTCTATATGATTAGGAATGTGGTTTATATCCAGACACCTTGGATTTCAAGAAAGACAAGGACAAGGACGAGCGGGGGAAAGGAAGCAAGTAACATGTGAACAGAAGGACAAACAAACATGGAACTTTCAGGGTGAAGCATTATTGTATTTGGGACATTGGACACGCCGCGTCTAGTTGCTAGTTGCTGACTCCTCCAAACTCACCGAGGTTCCAACGGTTGGAGGGATTTCGAGGTGTTCTGAAGTGACCGTACCACAAATAGCTGCTGGTAGATGTTGGCAATCCTAAAGTCAGGAACCAGGTGGAGAACGCGATGGCAGATGATCTCTTGTGACTTGACCCTAGGTATGTGGGACGTGACCAAATGCTTATCCGTTCACTACCAGAGATTTAGAACATAGCTTGTGGAAACTAACACCTTTCCAACTGGAAGCTATCGTCCCAGCCAGCTATACACGAAGGCCTAATATCAGCGCCTCGCCACAATTCGATGAGGGCGATGGCGTGCAGAGGGATTGTTGTTACGCGTTGCTCTGATTTGCAAATCCAAACACGGATTTCATTACCTGTAATAACCTGCACCAGGACCACCGGTAACACTGGCAGGTCTTGGGTTATAAGCCTGATACTGTTGCGGACTGGTCGACGAACCGGAAAAGACTGGATAGGCGGAACTCTGAGGCAGGGGTGTAATGGGTCGGTCTCCTTGGTTGGGACCCGGACCAGCGGTGGGTACCGGTGGAGGTCCGTGTTGTGGAGGTGGCTGATAGTCATAGGGTGCTGCTCCAGGTGCGCTGGGCGCGGATGGTGGTGGATATACTGGTACATTCTGTTGCTGTTGTTGCGAAGGAAGATTCGCGAATGCTGAAGCGGTCGCTGGTGGTGCTGGTGGGGGTAGTTGCTGTTGTTGTAGGTGAGGTGCGTGGAGATCCTCGGTCGAGTAATTGGAGGGTGAGTAATCTTTGCCGTCGTCTTGTTGTATTTGTTGGATATTCGGTGGTTGCACAGTTGGATATGGTTGATGTTGCGAAGGAGGCGGGCCGTATGAGTTGTTCACATCTGGTGCATATTGTGCATATGATTCAGGTTGTGATTGTCGACGAGCAGGGTGTAAGTTAGGGGGTGGATACTGGTTGGAAGGTGTATGGCTTTGAGGTGGTGGTGAAGCTATTGGATATGGGGGTTGAAATCCAGGTTGATGTTGGCCATAAGGCACAGCATTATTGGGCGGTTGGCCATCTGCAACTAGTTGGTCAGAAGGAGCTCAAAGGATTCGAAATTCAAGTTCAGAAACTTACCAGGGGTATAGTATCTCTGAGGATATTGTCCAGGAGCGCCAGCGCCAGCGCCATAGCCATATGCTGCGGGACTAGGACGGGCATATGCGTGTGCAGATTGAGCCATGGAAGTTTCCAAAAGTGCCTCATAGTCCCTCCGTGCTTTAATGAATTTCTCATTGAGTTGTTGGAAGTCATCTGGATCACGTGTAAGAATGGATGAATCACTTCAGAGCGAGCGAGAACCCAATCTCCCTACCTTTTTTCTGTGTATACTTTCCGATGAGCTCGATCAGCTTAGGCCGGATCGCCAATGTGCTGTGATAGAGCTCCGTGATCTCTTCGTTATCCCGAACATTCGTATCACCAGTATTGGTGGACAACAGCGCGAGTAACTTCTCGACATTCTTGATCTGACCAAAGACTTCGGCTTCTGTTTGCGCCTCTCTTTGTAACTCATCAGGGGTTGGATCTTGTAACTTCTCGACATAGTTGAGTGGGAAAATGCCTGTCTGGCCACGAAGGGAACCCTTCCACCAATCCTTATATACCGATTCCAGAACCGCGATGACATCGCCTTTTCGGAATTGTAGCTCGCCGGGCTCCGAGGGTTGGAAATCAAAGAGTGCTCTCACCCTCGACACTGTAGCAGCGGTTGTACCGGAGGATATGGGGTGTGAACCGCCAGAAATACTGTTCGAGGTTGAGAGAGCTGATAGTTCGGCCGCTCCAGCACCGCCAGTAGCACTAGATCCAGGCTGCGATTGATTTGATGACGAAGGGGCGGCTTTATCTTGAATGGACAATCGTAGGGCCATCTGTAGTTCTTCTTCCTCTTTCTGTCTATCGTAGTCTGTGATCTGTTTCTTGACAGGAGCCTGAGGAGGTTGTAGGTTGGGATCTGAGGCATATCAGTAACTTGTCCATCAGTATTATGAATTCAGCCTGTGTAAACGTACTTTGTGCCTTCAATTTCATATACGCCTGTTCCATAATTCCAAGTTCTGTGTTGGAAGAGAACATCTTAGTCCACTCCTCCATACGTTCGAGGATCTTCGACTTGACCTGTTGATGAGTATTCTGCCACACGTCAGTCTTCATCATCCACCCAAAACATTCATGTTCTTATTTCCTACCCTGTCGTTCGCCAGTCTTAGCAGCGCATCGGTGAAACTCCTGGAAGCCAATTCCCGATGCATAGCAACTCCACAATTCTGCGACAGGGCGTTGCCTAGCTCGAGGGTATATAGCTGTACATTCGCATTGCGATGGGCGAGTCGCTTGATCATGGCGGCGACAACATCCTTGCTGCCAGTGTCGCTCGAACTGACTTTATCACAGACATCGAGGATAAGCTCCCAATTCTCGGAGGTGAGGTTTTCGTCGGTCGCTTTGGCTACGAGGACAGTCAACACCAGGTACCATCAGGCAGTCATGAATCTGCTTACCGACGGCCTCGTCAAAGATGTTCTGCTGGGCCCGGAACATGGCCGATATGATGATGGATTCGATGGATTGAGAACAGTAGAAGGCAGTCAGTGTGTAGCGATGGGGTTTAGAGCATGAGTAGAGGGACTTGTGAAGTGTGTGGATTCGAGTTGTGCAAGAGTATCAATCTTGGAAACTGGGGATAGGAAGGGTTCGTTGTGAACCGCAGCCTAACGATGATGAATGTTGTTGGATCCAGGCTGCTCAGGCTGGTGTGAGGCTGGTGCTCGGTCATCGTAATGAACGAACCGGTGACGAAATGAAAGTGGCGCAACTCACGTGGCATTTCAAGAAGAGTTAGATACTCCGCTCAGCCACATCATGGTTAAAGTGGCAATAGACACAGAATAAGCTAGTCCATATTAGGATACACGATATAAGCGTTAAAGGACCATCCTACGAGTAGCACCCTATTATCTAAGAACAAGTCCATTGCTAACCTCTTTCTTGCCTTAATTCTCAGTTAAAGCTCAGATAGGACCTCAATATAAGGGTACGGAGGCTATATACCTCCAGATTTATCTCATTACTACGTTGGAAATGGAGGCAACGAGGTAATCACAGGCGCCACGCCATTTGGGCATACACACCCTCCATTAGCACCTCCACTGACGCTCGTCACCGGCGGGACGGTACAGTGGGGACTAGGTGTCCAAGAGGCAGCGGAAATCGTGCTGGTAGCGGCTGCAGGGTCAATGGTTTCTGCTTTGATCAGGACCGGGATGACGGCCCCTGTGCTGAGTGAGAACGCGCGGTGGCCTAGGACGCGCAAAAGGGACGCGATCTCTCCGGAATGGGCCGTGAAGCTCAGATACGTCGAGCAATCGTGGGAGAAGATGTCGTCGAGCAATTCCTTCGAACGGAGGTCCTGGGCAGATGAAGTCTCGGCGGTGACACCGGTCCAGAGCTCGTCGTATTCGGTGAAGCCACGTTCGATCCGGTACGTTGGGAAGGAGTTTTGAATATAAGTCTTGTTGCTTCGGCGATCACAAGTGTGCTCCGAGATACCCTCTCTGAGCTTGTTCTTCACTGTCGGAATGAATGGGTGTTTTGCGGGTAGTGGAAGGCCCGAAAAGGTGAGGTTGGCTGTTGCGAGACACCGATACAAGGGTGAAGTATAGTAGCTCTCGGGCGTCGGGATCTTCTCGCTCTGGATGCGAGATTTCCAGAAGGCATTTGCCTTGAGAGCTTGGTCGATTCCCTTCTGGGTAAGGTGAGCATCGGACCAGATGGCGGTTTTGTTGCCATCCAGGAGCGACCAATCGCAATTCCAGGCCGGGGTGCCGTAGTATGATTCGGCGGCATTGTGCCACCCTTCACCGTGGCGGCCGGCAAACAGGACTTTATAGTCGACGTTTTTGGGCGCGTTGGCATTCAGTGAAGAAACTACTAGGGCAAATCTTTGCCATTGAGTCAATGGCGCCGCCTTTTTGGGGTCAGTTGGATAGCTCTGATTGATGAGGCCGAAATTGGTGGCAGTCTGTGTGAGGGCCCGGTTAGATGCTAACTTCCCTTCCCTATCAGGCAGAGGATCCCCTTACATAGTCAAAAAATGTGGCGTTGGTTGAATTGTCATCCTGCAAGAAATATCCTGTAACAGTGGAATACTGAATATATGCCAGACTGCGAGTGGCACAGACGAGAGCCAGGGAGAGTTCTAGACGGACCATCTTTGAGGTCTGTAGTGAGTGACAAACGACAAGATGAGGATTTGGACAAGACTGGAACTTTCATCCGCGGACACTCTACCTTCCTATATATTTTCACCAATGCTACCTCGTCACTCAACACTATCTATCCTACAATACTGGATGCGATGACATACTAATGTTGCTGACCAGTCTGGTTGACCAATCAGCTTCCGGCTTTAAGACGCGTGCCTTTACAACTAAACCTGACCCCAGCAACATGGGCACCCTCACCAAGTCGGCAGTTTCGCCGGACTCTCAACGAGAGCGTGGCATCCAGGCACCGTGCTGTATCACCTTGATGATCTGGTAGTCGTAAACGTACCGAGATACCCGGCCCGTTATTCGCAAAATTCTCATATACATCGGCCATCAGCCCCACGACAAGTTTCCAGAGCTTTTAACGCCTAGTTACGATGGATGAGTGTCTCCTGCACTGACTTTTGGTCTCTGGACTGTCCTGTCACGTTGCATGTTCTACGTTGAACACAATGAACATAAAAACGAGCCAAGGACGGTTCAAGAGTGCCACTGACAAAACACCTCAACTTGAGCAAAGAGCCAAAGACGAGAAATTGCATTTCCAAAGGTTTGGTGCCGGAACCTTCACTCGGGTTGGAGCCGCTTCCAAACATTCTCGAAGGCTTCGGGGCCGACTTATCCATGAACAGTACAACGACTTGAAAAAGTTTCGAGATGCTGTGAAATGACTTTATAGACGCCATCCCAATTCTGCAATACATTGATTTAGGTCGAGTTGGAAAGAAAAGACTGCAAGATTAGTGATACAGACAGAACCTGCTCGGAAACGCTTCATAACGCCAAAAGTCCAGGCTTCCAAAGCCCAACGACAGCCAAAAAAAGGGGGGCCATTCAGGCTCGTGCCGGCTTGATTCCACTCGTCCCTGCCTCGAACCCTCCCGGGCCCAAGGTCCTCTCCCTCTACTTTGTATCCAGCATCCGATACGCCCCTTTATCACCCCGTGACCACCTCCCGGACCACCAAGCCCAAACCACTGTCCCCAACGCAACCAACTCCAACAATCCCACCGCGATGGTCACCCACCACGCGTAGCGCATCTGGAGGCACAGACTGCCCAGGTTGCCGATCGCGGCGTCCAGCGCGGCGTCGTGCCTCCGGCCGCACGTGAAAGAGAGCATGTCCCAGTGCTCGGCCGGGTTCAGGTCGTCGGCTTTATACAGGATCGCCACGGCGATCCACAGGGCGAGCGCGACGGCGGAGACCGCCATGGTGAGGATGTTGGAGGTCGGGGTGAGGCGGCGGACCTGGATGAATGGGACTAATTAGAAGGGGACTTTGTGATAGTAAAGGGTTGGTAGTCTGGGCTTGGAACCAAAGGGGGATGGGAAGGGAAAGGATGCTGGCTGCTTACGACTTTGGAGAAGCTGCCGACGCAGAGGGTGCCGCTGAGGAGAGTCGCGGCACTGGCGGCTCCAAGGAGCAGCAGTGTCGGCCGGGTCTTCATGTTGTTTGGCCAGACGCGGATGTCGATCTGCAGCCGCGCGTCGTACATGGTCTTGTCTCGGCTGGAGAAGTAGATCGAGAGTGCGTGGGCGAGCACGATCACGATGGCTCCCGTCAGGAGAAATGACAGGATACGGACTATTAGGCGGATTCGTGAAGTGGTCGTAGAGGCTGTCATTAGGGGAGTAGATGAAGCGGCTTTTTGTGACTTTGATTGAGCAGGCATGCTGGCACCTGTACTGCTCAATGCGGTTGGTAGGAGAAGCGTCCTGGATTGTTCAGCATCCTGTTGTGCGGCAGTGGCCTGGTCCATGTTCTGAAATATCGATCTGAGTGAGTTGGTATCGAGAGGCAATGGGTATATGATGGTTCAAAACTCCATCAGCAGCAGGAGTATACATATAACAATCTCTTCGGGATCCGCGCCGATATAGAATCTGTGGTACCTTGGAAAGTGGACTTCAGCCCTGTCCTCGCTCCGAGCTTAAGTTCTCCCCATCGGGAAATGCACTTCAGCCTCAAATATACAAGCCAGGGGCTGGCGCTCTATAAGTCCTGACTCAGCCATGGCGATGTAATGTACCTAACTTAGTGAAGTACGGAGCACTCTGCAACGCCAACTCGAAGAGCACGATTTTTTGCGCGCTGAGAGGCGCAAACTTACCCAAGTAGGTAGGATGTAAGAATTAATCCCGAAGTAGATTATCCCTCCCTTGGCAGCTCCACTGCGCCAAGAGGTTTGTCGAAATGCCTCCTAGCCAGTAAAGTGTGACTAGCTACTGGAGTGCTTCGAAAGGAGAATACCACTACCTGGGTACGCTTCGAGGACTCGTCTTGGCTGTCCAAAATCCCATGTTCAATTACCGAAGCCACTCTATCATCTGCGGGATGCCCGTAGTAAGCTCATGGTGGAATTGGGTCGTTTCAGTCACGATTGTAGCTAATTCTGGCTCAAGTTACCACGCAAAATAACCTCTTGACTCATCTCATGGTAGTAGTTGATGGTAGTCGTTGTAGCCGCAGGTTACACCGCCGGTACCTTCGAGATACTTGGTGAAGATGGAGGATCCGATGGGTATATAAGAGCCAGGTAAACCAAAATATCCAACGGTGTCATCCTTCGATAACTCAAAACCAATACCCAAAACAGAGAACGCCATAATGCGAAGCCTTGCGTACTTTGGACTCTTCCTCTTCTTCAACACGGCGATATGCCAGGACAGCAACAACGTTGCTATCTTGCAAGGAAGGCCGTTGACAGACGGTGAAGAGGCATTCCGGCGCGAAATGTGCCAGCAACTTTCGGATACCGGTGGAATAGGTCAACAAGGGACCCGTATCTTCTCCGAGTTTCTAATAAACTCCATTCTGGAAGATTACCTCGATGCCAACCCGCCAAGTACGTCTCAACATTGGTCGATCTGCTCATATACTGACGATTAGGGCAGTCGACGACTGGACCGGGCGCCTGTACCGCGACGAGTTGATCTTCCAAGCCGCCGACAATTTCAGATGTCTTGAAGAGAACGACAACTGTGCTGTGGCCAGAACATGCGAGGAATACTTTCTTTCCAACGGACCTTGGATTTCCATGTCGATCCATAATGCGTGGAGGATCATGCGGGCCCAAATCAAGGGCTATGACCGAGCGATTGAAAAGTTTGACGCAAAGTAAGACCACCTTGTTGAGCTCTTGACGCTGTCTGACGAAGACCATTACAGTAACCAGGAACTCGCAAAGTTGCTGTTTTCCTCATCGGGTCTGGGACGTAACCGACTCGAGTTCGACTTCGGGGTGTTTCTCGACGGAGTACTCCTGGGGGCATCCCTAGTTTTCCCAGCCTTTGGTTCGGCATCGGTCGGTGCAACCTTCACAAACCTCTTCAAATCTCAGCTGGAGGTATGTATCTAACACATGAATCGAATCTCATCTTCTGACCGTGCCATTCAGGGTCTTGCCCTAGACGCAGTTCTTGGGATTGCAGATTTTTTCGGACCAAACCCAACGGAGGACGGCAGTCCATTTGTCAACAACCTGAGAATAATGTTTAGACCGCTTCAAACTGCACTGCGTGCAACCATGCGTGGCTACATGGATACCGGGATCACCAACCTTCAGCTTCAGAACACCAATCGCGACATTGTCGATTTCTTGCAAAGTGGTGAATTGTTAAATGACCTCGGCATGACCGACGAACAGATGGTCGATTTCGTCGCCGATGAGATCATCAGACAAGTGGTAGGTGGACCTGAGCTGTCTTCATGTGCGGGCAACGTTCTCACTAGATTAATAGTCCGCGCCGATTGTCGCGAAGATCTGGTTCGACCAGGGTGTCAAAACCACCAGGCACAACGCTGAATTCTGTGCAAACCCGCTCTGCTTCCTCGGCAACAATTGTGGAGCGTTCAAGGATAGCGGGTTCCCGTTTGTGGCAGACCAGTTTCCCGTAAGGCCCATCTGCTCTGGATGGCGTGAGGAGACACGACTGATGTGATTTAGCCCGCGAATTGTCTCGACATCGCTATAGGTTTCGACCTGCCAGCTGACCTCCCGGTCGTTTTGGGTCGTCTCAACCTACCTGTCAAAGCCATCACTATGAACGCAGTGAGTCACGCCCTTGCCATCTCTTGTGAGAGCTGGTTGAGTCGTAGCTGTTCTGACCACACATAGGAATTGTGCAACCGCATCGGCAAATCCGGCATATTTCCACCTGAGAAGGAAGATTTCATGGACTTCGGATTTCCTCGTTGCACATGGGCTCTGGAGTCGTTGGCACCCTAAGTTGAGTTTGCTGTGGAGCACAAATGGTTCGGGTCAACAATAATGCAGGTCAGAGAGGTTGAAACAAGGCGTTCCGGTACATGTCTGGCATCATATTTTTCACTTTTATATTTTTTGGCTCATCGGATACTTTGTTTTGAGTGGACGAGGTCGAAGAGAGCTAAGTCCCATAATGAAAAGACTTTTTGAAATGTTTAGGCCTTACCAGTAAAAGACTCAATAAGCAAGAAATCCTGGTCTCCAACTTTAGGATCTTTAGCAGGTCATCGTGTGGTCTTCATGATTAGCAGCGTCGAAGATAACGAACACAGGCTTTCATCTTGCGAAAACAGGTTGATACCTTCTGGAACAATTGTGATTCAGAGGCTCAGCCTCGCGCCGGTCTTCTCTTCGATCCCGGGCCCCAGCATCAAAGAGCACAATGTTTGAACGTCCGCCGGACCGAAGTTAGGATCCGCGGCCCCTCCAGGGGTGAGCAGGCGTGCGCTCAGGGCCAGGGCGGCGTCACCCATGTCCCAATCGAGGTTGAGATTGGAGAAACAGGATTGTCGGTTCTGTTAGTGGGATCATCAGGCATTAAACAGCATGAGCACTATATCATGCCCCGTTATAATGTATGCATTTTAGTAACACTGTGATGGGTCAGATAGAGAGTACGAGTAGCAGGAAGGGATGAAGTGGGCGTGCCAAGGCCTGATGGTGCTCGTACATTGGATTCGCTACGGGGAATACTCAAAAGGTTAAGCTCAGCCTCATCGATCTCGCGTGTCGACAGTGACCAAGGCTAAGGGGGACTTTACTTGCAAGTCGTGAGCAGTATCAAGTTCTGTTCTTTGATTTTATCTAGGCAACTCTTTGGTATCACATGGTTGACCCCGAGAACAAGACTTATTTTCATGTTCGAAAAGCCTGGTGGCATGTTTGTTTGCTGCTTTTCTCTCTCTCTTTTCCATCTTGTGGTCCATGAATCCTGACCTGAAGATAGACATGTGGAAGAAATCCCCATGTCGAAACGCCTGTGCGTTCTAGCACTAGATCTAGCTTCGAAAGCTCTCATTGCTCATCATGAGCCCCATTCCCCTCTTACGCCAGTTCATGTCATCATCATTGTGTTCGCAGAAGGTCGTGAAAATGTATTGTGTCAAGCCCATATCTCACATCTCCCCGGCGGGTGTGAAATGAGAAAAAGATCGGTCGTTGGGATGATCTGTCATCGTATTCATATGGTCATATCGACAGCATTTGGACTGTCATCTCTCCCTCATAATGAAACCACAGAAATCTCGTGGCATGTGACCACCTTCTCCAGTACGGCTTCTTCTTGCCGGCCATACACCATCGAATTGAAGCAAGATTAGTGTTACAAATTAATGTTTGAAAGCAATGCCACTGTTAATTGCCTCGGTTGGCCTTCTCTGCAGCTCTGCTCTCTCTTGCCGATTGTACAAGAGGTGCGAGACTGGGAAGTGGGGCACAACAACTCATAAATGGATGCTGCCAATATTGTCAGCAAATCTCACCTCAGGAACTCAAACACAACTTACATGAAGAAGATCATGAGCACTTGCTCGTTTCTCTGGTTCGACTTTCAAAGCAAAATGCAAGAAATCCCGGAAAACAGGTGTCAGAGCTGCTTCATCCTTGATACGTGGTGTCCCATATTTGGCGATCAAGTACAGAGCTCGGAGTGGGGATTCTGTAAGGTATGGTGGTTCTCCTTCAATCATTTCGATTGCCATGATACCCAAACTCCAGATGTCCACCTTGCGACCGTATTCCTTACGAGTCACGACTTCAGGGGCCATCCAATACGGTGTACCGACCATGGTAGTACGCTTGTTTTGCGAATCATTGATTTGCGCACAGAAACCGAAATCAGTCAATTTGATGTCGCCTCTCTCCGAAAGCAAAATGTTGTCGGACTTGATATCTCGATGAATGACGTTTTTGGAATGAAGATGTTGCAAGCCAAACAATGTCTAGTCAAGTCAGTCTGTTTCCTGGCTTTTCGCGCCTGCCAAACTCACCTCTCTGCAAACAGCAGCAATCTGTCCTTCACTCATCACGTTGAACGTGACCACATCCGTAAGACTGCCTCCTTGCATGTATTCCATCACCACCCAGAGCTCCCCATCATGTAAATAGCTGTCGATAAAGTTGACGACATTCTTGTGCTTCGAGTCCTTCATCACAATGATTTCGTTGATGATCAGATCCTTCTTTGGCTGTTGTTCCAAATTCATTTGTTTGATCGCAACACATCTCCTGCCAGGGTTTTCAAATGCCATGAAAACCCCACCAGATGCACCTTGACCGATCTTGCTCAGATTCGAGTACTTGGAGGTGGGATCACCAGGACTGCAGATCGCCTTGAGTCGCGCCGTGACATCAATAATATTGCTTTGCTGGCGCTTGGCGCGAGGCCGTGGTCCCGGAGCAGGTCCAACCTTGTTCAACTGTTGCTGAGCCTGGATAATGGCAGGGTCTGTTGCACCTCCATATTGAACTTGTGGTACATGAGGCGTAATTTGCACCATCTCAGGTAGAAGCTTGGGAGGAACTTCGGGTGCACCTTGTGCGATTTGACGTTGACTTCGACTACGATCCAGTTGCTTGCTCTGAATGGCCTGTTGTGCCAATGCCATGGCATGCTCCTGTTGCTGTTGATATTGAACGGGTGACTGAATGGAAGGCTGGGTGCGGGGTGGTGCAGTCGCGATTGCTGGGCTTTTTGAATTGGATCGGCTGCGCATCTCTTCATGATGGGGTAATGGTGATGGAACTGGCGGAGATGTGATAGGTGGTGGCATTGATTGCTCAGTGCTGGGGCGCAACGGCAAGTCTCTCGATAACGGAGGTGGTGGTGCAGGTCGGTTCGGTGCGATATCGCGAAGGTTCTGAACGGGAGGTTTGGGAGCAGGTCGTTGTGGCATCATCAAGACTGGTTGTTTATTCACGACATGGGCGGGAGGTTTGTTAGGGATTGGAGGAGCTGCTCTCGGATTCTCAAAGCTGCCTTCATGATTCTGGGGAAATCGTGGACTGGCGGGAGGAGATATAACGCCGGTGATGGGAGAATATGCGTTAGGACTGCTGCCGATAATGGGGGTTGCGGGACTTTGTTGACTGCCATTGCTGCTCTTGGGTGAATCCGAAAGCTTTGCGTGGTCAAACTTTTGCCAGATGCCATCATCTTGTCCACCAAAATTACTCTTGTACGTCTCCACAATGTTGACCATCATTTGGGGATTTTGTTCCTGCTCATTCTTGGAAATGCCGCTGTCGGCTAGAATTCTCTGCCAGTCCGCAGGAAGTCCCTAGTCAAGATTATGTTAGCGATCGAAGATTCTAAATCCGAAGACAGGGGAATAGAACTTGCCGTAAACTGCCCGGTCTGATTATCGTACCCAACATGAATCATATGCATGGGGTTCTCGGGCGCGGAGATTTTGATTGTTCTGGGAGAACCCAGCATGTTGTTGACAAAGGTTGAGAAGCCACTCTTCTTCCGTAGAGGACCAGGAGGTTTTGAATTCTGACCATCACCAGAGAAACGTTTGGGACTGAGAATGCCATTCTCGGATTTGGGAGGGGTGACTTCCATCATGGTGATACCACCAGGACCAATGGTCTGGGAGTTGCGCAATGGATGATGTCGTAGATCGGAGGTGACGGTGCTCTGATTTAGTTGTGATGATTGTTGTCGCTGCTCATCCTGTGCCACGGTGGTTTGGAAGGACAGGAGAAGACCTGAAGCGTCGAATGGCGCACCGATCAAGTCCTTGTGACGGTCATCTGACGTTTGGGGAGAGAGTGGTAGTGACGTTGGGCTGCGGTGGGTGTGGAAGGTTGTTGGAAAGTAGTCTGCGGTTGGGATGACGGGAGAGTGAGAAGCACTGATATGCTCGAGAGAAGACGTGGAGGAAGCGCAGGCGCTGGAGTGAGTTCTCTGGTGGAAGTCACGGGCAGATTTGGAGGTGAAGTCGTTGGATCGTGGATCACGGTATGGTGAAGGAGCTGATGGGGCTCGCTGGAGGGTGGCTTGAGACTGGGGTTTGCGAAGGACGCTGTGAGAGGATGCAGGATAGGCAGATGGAGGGGGATTCTTGGTCAAGGTGGCTCGACGACGTTTGGAACCAGCAGCATGGATATCAGAGTCCATAATCAAGCTGGCAGGTGTCGGAGGATAGACGACGTGGTGGTTAGATCGGTTGTGATTCTGGAGTTGGCAGACCAGGCAGGCGGGCACTGGTGATGGTGTGGTGCACGGGCACTGACACTGGCAGGGGAGATATTAGGCAAGGCGCTGGCAGGCGCGGGCGGGTGCCAATTAGTGGTAAGTGGTGGACCAACTAACTAGTGTGAATACACTGGCAGGCAGGCCTGGGTGTTGGGTGTAAGGAGCAGAGAGTCAAGGTGCACTGACACCTGGCAGGCTGGTACAGGCACAGGCACAGGCACAGGCCACCCAGGGTACGAGGTACTCCGTACCGAGGACGGAGAACAGTCCTTGGATCTCGTAGCGGGCGGGCGCTGGGCGAGGAAAAAACAAGCTTGCACCGTGGCGCTTAATTAAAGTCTTCCAGGGTAAGCGCAATTCTGTGACAGCCGCACCGAGAGCCTGAGAGGGAGAAAGTGAAGACGATGCCAGTATTAAGTGATAACAACCATCTGTTACGGTTTGTGAGAGTATCGGTGGTCAAGGAGTGACAAGAGACAAGACTACGGACAACGGTTGGTCTAAGTAAGAAAAGTCAAGCCTGAGGTCAAGTAGTAGTCAACCGGCCAGCCTGAGATCGACAAGCTATACGGATAGGGAGCCCACTGCATTTGCAAATTGCCGGGTCTTGTCCTTGGAGCCTCGAATAACACGAGCAGGGGGCATGTCCATTGAGGTCTCTTTAAGTATCTCCACAGTCCACCAGTTTTCCACCAGGAGCTATCCGGTACTCACGTCAGATTATTGTATATGATGATGTTGAACATGTAAGCTATAGAATATCAACTGGACAAACCAACAATCGCCTCCTAGTCGTGTTGTCCATCCGATAGTACTCCGTACTTGGTGCAGTGGATCTTTGACTGGGTCAAAACGGTTGACCCGCAGGAGCCTCGGGTGACTTTGGTTTACACAAGACCACCTGCAACTTCGAACCAGTACGAGTGAGTATCACTCTGCCGCCGTGGTCTCTATCACCTGCCGAGTCTCGTCACTGCAGGTTGAGACAATTGTCAATGGTCTGGCAACCGATGATACTTGAAATAACAATCTACTATCTCGAAGCGCAATCGATAACGCGTCACCTAACCGAGCTATCGATTCCCGGATAGTAGAACAAGTAGGTACTAGACGGCAATGATCATCGTTATCCAGACTCGTAGGCTTCCAGTACCACATTCTCCAGAACTGCCACTGCCACGCTGATGCCAGCGCCGATCCAAGGCAGACTTCTTAGAATGCAGTGCACTGCCACCTCCACGTGTGTTGATCAATGCCTGTGCGTGCATGCTCCTGTACCATGTTCTTTATTTGTCCCAGTGAGTTACTAAAAACTAAAAGCACACTGCACATGAACCATCATCATCATCATGCTGCACGGTCGACTTTTCAATCAACCCACCTCGTACTTTTACACAACACAAACAATATTTCCGAAATCATAACTTGAACACCAAATCTCAAGGCTCCACCAGAATCAATGGATACGGATAACCCTCCAAGCATGGATCACGCCAGAACTCCTGGCAAACCTGAAACACCCAGAAGCCAGTGTACAAGGATAAGGTTTTTCTCAAATTCCCACCCCCCATCTTGACAAAAGGTTATCCTACCATCTATCTGATCATGGCCATTGGCAGGGGACAAACGATGGTACATCTCTGCAAGGCGTGTCAATGGTTTGAACCCCCTCCCACTCCCAGGCATCACCTGGGCAGGGTGGGGATCCGAGATAGATTGATTCGTGTGTCAGATGGAAGCGTAAATCCATTCCCCAGGCGGCCCATTGGCCTTTCTTTTCCCTTAATCTGGTTTTTTTATTGTTTGCGGCCCGCCCCAGAAGCCGCTTTTCCCTGGTGCAGTGGGCGTTCTAGTTACGACAGGTTGGACCATGCAGACATTTCAATGATTTGACAATCACAATCAAACCTCAGGCTGCTTCCCCCCTCGGACTACTCGACGTTACAGCCTGGAAGCTGCTGTCCAACCGTTCGCCCGTGATGCACAGAATCTGAAATGCCTTTCATGCATCAATGGGGTTTGACAACGCGTTTCTGCTGTTTTCCTCCTTCTCAGAACCTTCTCAGATCCCTACAATTACATACTCCGGGGCTTACTAGCGGTACTGATTCGCAGCGATATCACGTCTTTCATTTGTACGCCTTGGCAACTGTCGAATTTGAAACACAGCTCCTGTTCAGTCTTCGCTTCCGTACAGTGGAAGACATATCCGGCATCTCGCTGTTCCATCGCCTAGCCTCAAGCGAGATTTCCTGCTTGCACTACCAGATTCGCTTTGCTACCATTTCATAACGCTTGACCTTGTCGAAACTCTCAACTCCGATCACTTTCTCCTTTTGCTGCTTTTGTTTGTCTTTCTCCTCCCTTTCACGCAGCCCTCGCATTCCTGCTGGGTCGTCTTCATAGATCCACCGTCGTTTGTCTTCATCCACCTCAACGACACCCCACCCACCAACACGACGGCCCCCCTCCACGTGGTGCACCGAGCTCTTCTCTCGCTGCTTCATCGATCGATATCGAGATCTTGCAAAAGCCAAAAGGAGCATCCCAAGCACCAGTTTGCAAGCCAGGAGCACCAAAAATATCAGGAGAAACGTGAGAACCGTGGTCAGGTGGGTCACAATGCTCGAGCTCGTAATCACCGCGGGAATGGCACGTATAATGTCGTCCACCGTTTTGGAAATCGCCGCTCCCGTAGTCATTGGCATGGTTGACCGTGATGTCGCGAATTGTGCATGAATACTCGCCAAGCTGGTTGATGACGTAGGAGGTGTCGATGGTACCCAGGCGGCCATGAACATCTGGTATGTCTGGAAACTCGCTCGGATCAGGAGACAGCTCAGCGGGATCACAGGCAACCCAAGTCTCTTGGTAAGGTTCTGATCTCCAAACGCATTCGTATAGTAGTCTTTCGCAAGAACGTCCAAGAAACGATCGTAGATCGCCGGCCGAGTATTGTTGAATTTGTTGATATACGCATGCTTGATCCAGTCAACCATCATTTCAGATCCAAGTACGATCAAAAACGGGCCTAGAACCTGACTGACTGCAGGGACATACGATGTTATCGATTCCACTATCGTCGGCACCAGTGTAAAAGACCTCGGCAGAAATGAGCTTGCTGAATTGGGAGGAGTTCCTTGGGCAAATGAAGCACTGCCGTTCAGCACTGATGTTGCTGATGGACTGACGGTAAAAGACGGTGTGGATGACCCGAGTCCAAACGGCGAGCGCAACTCTCCTGTCTCTACAATGTTGCGCGACGCAATGATGATCAGCATATGCCAGAGCTGGAATCGCTCAACCACATCGGCGCAGGTCAATTGGAAGAGGTTCTCCTTCTCAAACTTTTTGAACACTGTCGATTTGATCTCCACGAATTGATTGGACATGAGTAAAGTAATGAGAGCATTCGAATACGAGTTGACAGCCACATTCAGCGTGATCACTTGGAAGAACAGCGCCGTGGAATGTATGACCGTATAGGTCAGAGCAAGGAGGAACAACCATAAAGGGCGCAAGATCTTGCTATGCCCATCGGGTTTCCTTTCCAACGCCTCTCGCGAGAACAGGCACTCTAGTACGTCTTGGCCAATGGCCGAAAACAGTCGATCGCAAACTTCCAGAAGGTTATAGATGACATATAGCTTGATCGCCGCCTGTCCACGGATCCAATGGTACATTCGGCTGGCATCAAGCCTGAGGAGGATGACGCATGTACATATGATAAGAAGCCCCTTGAGCATGTCTGCCTTGTCGTCGGGCAGCAGCGTTGAGGGCACTGATTTTGTTCGGTGGTGGTGTGCGCTGTGTTTGCGATGCAACGAAGGTCCGTACGGAAGACCTGGTTGCTCAGTTGACCCTGGTCCTGATGATTTTCGATTTGCGACTGGCACTACACTGCTTCGGCGCCGCCTCCACATTCTCCCAGATCCAATGAAGACAAAATTCGACACAAAGTTGATCTCCTTCATCAAATTCGTGATACACGATTGCCCAAGGATATAGAAGGACTTGAGTAGCCGGAGAGGTAGGATGGTAAACGTGTAAAGCCAGGCATCAAGGCAGGCAAGAGTACCAAACCACAAGACTCCCTCAAGATGTGGAGGTAGCATCAAGAAATTGACCAGTCTCTCAATCTTGACTCGGGAGGATTCATATGGAAAGTCGTTGTTCGCCGTTCGATGGATATAAAGATGGGAGGGACGCTGTGAAGAGAGTTCTAGTTCCAGATACGTAGCAATAGAAAGTGGAGGAAGAGGAATCGATGCAGGCATTGGAGAAGGAAGCGGTCGTCCCGACGAGGAGTATCTCCGGCCGTCTGACGCTTCCTGACGGGATGAAGACTCAGGAGGAGGTTTCAAACTTGGCCGTGGTCGATCATGCTTTGAAGGTGACTGTGGGCTCTTAACCGAGTTTGGGGTTGACAAGGCTCTTTGAGGGGCCCATGGTCTTAGGCCTGGACTTGTTGATGGCTGACTAGGGCGGTTGCTGGTCTCTACTGTAAGATGGCGAGACTTCTTGCCATCAATATGTTCTGGTGCGCTTGGGTTGCCGTCCAGAAATGTGCTTTCGTCAATGGTTCCTACGACCTTGGCCGATGCAGCATGAGGACCATTCAACCCGAGAAGAGTCTGGGAGACAACTTGCGACTGAGGGCGTCTCGCAATCGGCCTCACGGGTAGTGACTCCGGGCTTGATGTCAGTTTCTGTAATTGATCAGGAGACAACTTAAGCACGCGCTCATCTTTTGTCTCTGTAGATAGGCTGATGGTATCTTGGGCGTTGGCATCCACAAGTATTTGAGGTGTTGGGGTAGGCATGCCATTGAAAATATTACTGCCATGGTTGGACTCATGATCGCTCACAGCGATGGAAGATTTATCATCCATTGGTACACCATTGATGATTGGCAGCATGGGTTTCCTGCTGACAACATCCTCCCCTGATTCTACACCAGCCGAGGAGATGTGGCTCTGTTTGGACACGGATAGCGGCATGGACTGGTCACCAGAATCTGCCTCTTTCAAACCACTCGCATTCTGCGTTTGATGTAAACCATTGCTTGCTTGACGATGGCGGTCTTCGTAAGACAGTAGCCGGCGTATTTGTAGGTTGGAACGTGACTGCTTTGTGGGATCGGGGCTATCGACTGCTGCTAAAGGTTCACGACTCGAGGGAGGGCTGTCGATATGAGACACATCGTTATTTGCAGTCACAGAGCCATTCATTTTGACCCTGGGATGATGCTGTGCAACAAGTCTCCATTGTTCACCGCCACATGTGAAGGCCGTGAGAGGATATGGCCAATACGAAGTTCAGGCTTTGGAGAACACGGGGCAATGATTGCTAGGAATGCTTCATGTGTCGGATGGTCTCTCAGGAATCTTGGACTCGACGTTGAACTGGGAGCGGAAACAAAGACCTAACTCCGACAGACTGCGGCTTGCCTTAATACGTTGGAGCAATAAACTATAAGCGTCAGTCCCCAGATTATGCTTTACATGCCTGAAACGATGCCCTCCCCGCACCACCTGGGCACCTATCCGTACTGTCGCTCTTTGCCTCTTTCCATCGTACATCTTGTGACCCTGTATGATCATCTGGCACCGCCACTACACCTGTTACCAACAATTATCCCGTACAAGCCAACTTCTGCCTTTGAAGAACTCGAGCTTGAAATGGTGGCTGTACCACTGTGAGAGTGTTCTCTGTGGTCAATCGCCTTCTCTTCACAGATTGCAACCGAGACCTTACATCTCCCTCGGTCCACAACTGGCCAGCTGCCCCATTTGAAGCGGATGACCAAAGTCAGGCTACAAGGCTCTCTATGGGCATCTATCAAGTGCCATCTGCTCCATACATAATAGCCAAACCGTTGCAAGTAGCTTTGGTTCGGTGAAGCTCGGTTGTTATGAGTGCAAGTCTCATCACGGGACAAGGCTAATCAGTGTTTTGAATCATCTTGGTATGGATCAGGAACAGTTCTCTGGATGGAGTCCACGGAGGGATGATCTGGAAGGTTTGCTTTCTGGGCTAGAATCATCTCCCTCTACCTCAGCAAGAAATGGAAGTGCGTGGAGTGATACAGGTGCTATCAATCCTTCGGGATCATCTTCGCCATACTTTGGCCAGGCGGGAGCTTCTAGCATGACCAGACCGCCTTCACTGCCTTCAAGGCCTTCGCAAAGGCGAGCAATCTCCGCAAACCACACTCCTTCACTGGGTTATAATGAAATAGCGCCTACTTCTCCGATTTCTTTCGACCCTCCTTTGCGATCGATCTTCGTCTCAGGGCCACCTACAGCTTCGATTTCCGCAAACACCGCTCAAGCATCTCTGAGCACTGCTATGGCATCAAGCAGTTCGAATCCTGTAGCAGCATTAACAAGTGCCGGTGGTAATCGGCGAATGAATATTCGCTTGGGAGATGTAACTCCCTCTGCAATTCCTACCGGCATGACCCCAAGGTATCCTCTACTGCACCTGGAGAAAGACGTCGATGATCCAACAACAAGTACCATTGGCCCATCATACGATGGCGCTGCTACCAACACATCAGCACACCTGGCGCGTTTATTCGTTGCCAGTGATGTGACGAGTCCTGGGGCATTTCCTCCCAGTCGACCCTCCCATTTCCGCGCAGTCTCTGGGGTTGGTCGGAGTAATGACATAGCGACGTTAAGTGGACATTTGCTACATCATGGATTCGAAGAAGGCAGACATTCAGACATTACGATCCGTGCATTTGGACGGAGCTACAAATTGCACAAGCTACTTCTTGATCGCGTACCATACTTTTCTTCCGCATTCGGTGGTTCGTGGGTGGAAAGCCGAGCTCAGGAGATGACCATCCTTCCGGAAGAACTGGATGCCAATATTACGCAAAGCGCATTTGAACTTGCCATGAAAAGGCTTTATGGTACTCATTTTCCCGAACAGGAGGAGGATGAGGCCATAGGATTGTTCGCCACAGCTTGCTGGCTTGATATGCCCGAGCTAGTCGACTCTTGTGTAGATTCAATTCTACGTCAAATGCAGCCGGCCACACTTCACAGCCTCATCAAACTTGTCACCCACAACTTCTATGGCAAAGCTGGAGATCGTATATTGGCATCGGCAAAGGCAATGCTGTGCAGAGATGGATGGGAAATGCCATACGAGTACTGGGATGAGATCCCCGCCGAGATTGTTCGGGAGATCGTGGGTGGTGACCCTTTCTTTGTACCTGGCGAATGGGATCGTTGGTACTTGGTGTTGAAACTTCTGAATCGCCGCTTGCGGGCGAAAGCTGTCGAGAATGGCCTCGTCTCTCCTGGAGGACGCTATCTTGTTCCGAAGCCTAACAGCCTTCGGTTCTTCGCGGTAAGGTTTGACACAACATATCGTCATTCTGGACACAATCGTTATGTTTCCGAGAAGGATGAAGCTTGGATTGCCCTCTACACCTCACCAGAAATCGCCCCCTTACTGGTACTGCTCGACGAGGGAATCCATTATGTTCATCTAAGATTTGAGCAACTTCAACAGATCAAGGGCCAGAGAGATATTCTTGGAGTCCCTGTACTGCCCGAAAAAGTGATTTCGGACGCGCTTTGGATGTCGATGGAACTTCGACAAAAAGTGCTCAATGCAAGGGATGGCGACGTTGAGCTAGGGCTGAGTGATGTGGCGGAGGAGGTTGAAAATGCCGAGTACCAATTGAAGCAGGAAACCAGAAAGAGAAAAGGCAAATCGCGTGAGTCCACAATCGAGGCTTCTAATGATAGCTCCAATGAGATGGAGTCAGGCTCATGGGATGGTAACGGCAAACCTCGGAAGTTCTGGATACCTACACATGATGTATCATGTATCATGGGTGGTACTAGGGAGGCAACTCTAGCTGCCAACTCGACGAGTATTGCGGAATGGACTACTAACGCCGCTAGACTGTCAGCCAGTCTTGAGCCCACGGATGTTGCGTGGGCTCTTGATTTCAACATGGGAAATGCAGCTGACAATGGTAGACCGCCATCGCGTGGGTACTCGCCGACGTTGTCACCAAGATACAGCCATTATCCGCCATTCCGCTTCTCGGCGGAGTTCCCGCATCCACGGACACTCAAAGAAAAGAAGCGAGTGTACTCTCACACAGTATGGTATGCAGGGAGTATGTGGAATCTCTATATTCAGCGCGTCAACACGTCCAAAGCGCCACAACTTGGTATATATCTACACCGGGCTAAGGACAAAGAACCATGTGATGACCCACTCGCCCAGTTCGTTCCAGCCTCGGTGGATGACCGGATTGGACAGCTGGAGCGAGAGATGTTATTGCGGAGAAATGAGCGTCGAAGTCGAGGATTTCGATCCGAGGACATTGGGTTGGCGATGGGTGCTGACCACGATGAAGACGCTGGGCAAGACTTTGGGCTGGTGGGCGATACCGAAGGTGAGGTATTGTCGTCTGACAGGAGGGCGGGAGGACCAGGGAGAGCACGGAAGACATCGCAGACACCCAATTCAAAGGCGGGAGAGCAGTGGATATCATCATCCTTGATGCTTGACTCTGACGATGAGGATGAAGAACTACTGCGAGTGAACAGGAAGTTCAACATTTCGGCAATCCCTCCATACATGGATGGTCGGCCAACCATCAAGACGTACTTCAAAATCTATTCCCCCAGCAAAGCGGGACGACTACTGAGCATCTATGAGAGTGCACCGGACAAGTTTGACGTTAGCAAGAGCTGGGGATGGAAGAGCAGCCAGATGGTTCTCGATGATGGACTTGGGGCTTGTGATACGACCAAGACGACCAAGGATGGGAAGTTGAGGTATATGGTGGTGATTGGCAACATCTAATCAATGAGAATGAGAATGAGAGATGTCTTCTCTTGGTGGCGACGGCAAAAGGACCGCAGGTACACAGCGTCGGGTTCTACGCTCCCTACAAAGTACCTAGTATCAGCACACACAGCCGGAGTATATCAGTACATGAGATGTTAGCAAGCGAATGACAGTTATTGTTACACGATGATTAATCCCCTAGAAGGCCTACTAGTAGGTACTTAGTACTGCCTACAAAAGAACGTTCATTGCATGATGCCTACAATATGTGCCGCAAGAAGACGTGTTATGTAACTGGTGTTTTCCCAAAAAGAATAAACCTGGGTTGAGTTCGGTTTAGGCTTCCGGCGCTTTGTCTCCAGATAGATATATGAAGCGCGCTGTACGAGACCCTTGACCCATCTATCTCCTGATGTGGGAGAACGTTTACAGCTAGACTGTACGAAATGATCTATCATTTTTGTGAGCTCTCAATGTCCCCAATTGATTGTTGGGAATTGTGCAAGCACTCTGATAAAGTCGAACGGTGGCTGTCTCACCAAGTCTCATTGAAGGCTACTCCAAAACGGCAATGCAACCGCCATTTGACGTAAGCAGAGCACAAATACTGTCAGACAGAAAAGTCAATCCGCAAAAGTTGGAGATGGACCGTGATGGAAGGTGAAATTGTGAAGGTGAATGACAACGTCTTTTCGTCCCAAAAAGACCTCTCACAATTCGGTTGAGGCTCGGATTTGTCAAGAAGCTTGGAAGGCGGGATTGGAGGGCACCGACCGATAGTGACGCTTATTGATGAGTGTGCAGGACCCTTCCGAATAGAATAATGAAAACTGTTGGTTGTGGTTCTTCCAAATCCTCCGAATCGACCATTCGGAGCCGGCTTTTCTCTCCTGATGGCTGCCTTCTTACATCATTTCTGCATCGATTTCTTCTATTTGACTCTCCGGTGGATCTCCCCTTCGAGAAAAGTCCAAGTTCGCCGAAGGGTGCTTAGTAAATAGTGATGCCCTTTCTTGTACGATCCTCAGCTTGGAGTTCAAGTTGTACCGCTGGCAGTGGCTGTTGGTTTATGCCCTCATGCAGCCACGGATGAACTACCCAGGTGGTCTGTAAGGTTTGGCTGATGATGCCGGGTCGGCACTGAGGATGGCGAATTCTGTATCGACCCTATCATCATAGAGACGTAGACTTGGACTTGAAGAAGTCCGAATGAATAAATAACACCGCTGGCACGGCCTTCATTTGACCTCATTCTGCATTTTCTTCTTCTTCAATCAACCTCAGACATAGAACTTCCGAGAACAAGACCCTCTCCAAATCACCACACTCACCAACAACACCTTCTACTCCGTACTCACTACATTCATCATCATGGGTTCTATCACAGAGCATCCCCTCATCATCAACAAGCCTGCTGAGGGCATCTCATACTTCACACCAGCACAGGTTCCACCATCGGGGACAGCCAAAAACCCTCAATCCTCTGGTCATGCCGTCCCCAAATTATTTCAACCTCTCACCATCCGAGGCGTCACCTTTCAGAATCGTGTCTTCGTCTCTCCCATGTGTCAATACTCTGCTCAGGATGGTCATATGACGGAATGGCACGTCACACACATAGGGGGCATCGTGCAGCGCGGTCCTGGTCTCACCATTCTCGAAGCAACCTCGGTCACCCCAGAGGGAAGAATCACCCCTGAAGACAGTGGTCTCTGGAAAGACAGCCAGAAGGAGCCTCTGCGGAGAATCGTCGAGTTTGCCCACAGCCAGGGTCAGAAGATTGGTATCCAGATCGGTCATGCTGGACGAAAGGCTAGCACTGTCGCTCCCTGGCTGAGTATGGGAAATGTTGCCTTGGAAGAAGCCAACGGATGGCCAGACGAGACTGTTGCCCCAAGTGCCATTGCCTTCCAACCAACATACACCAACCCCAAAGAATTGACCATCGAGGGCATTCAACAAATCAAAGATGCGTTTGTCGCCACGGCAAAGAGAGCCATTGACGTCGGATTTGATGTCATTGAACTCCATGGTGCCCACGGGTACCTGATGCACGAATTCTTGAGCCCAGTCAGCAACAAACGAACCGATCAATACGGTGGCTCATTTGAAAACAGAACTCGCTTCATCCGGGAAACCACAGAAGCAGTTCGAGCAGCCATCCCCAAAGACACGCCACTATTCTTCCGCATCAGCGCCGACGACTGGCTATCAGGACAAGAAGACTTCCCCGAAAGCTGGACCGTCGACGACACCGTCAAGCTGGCACCGATCCTACAAGAGCTAGGCGTTGATCTATTGGATGTTAGCTCAGGTGGAATCCATCCGGCGCAGAAAATCAAGGGCGGACCAGGCTACCAAGTCCCCTTTGCCAAAGCCGTCAAGGACAAAGTCGGTGACTCTCTCGCCGTCACGGCAGTCGGCTCCATCAGCGAAGGCAAACAAGCATCCGAGATCGTCGACCTTGCAGGTCTGGATGCGGTGTTCGTTGGGCGTTATTTCCAGAAGAACCCGGGCCTGATCTGGACGTTTGCTGAAGACCTCAATGTCGAGATTCACGTGGCACATCAGATCTCGTGGGGTTTCGGTGGGCGTGCCGGTGGGAAGAATAAGGCACCTCAGAAGTCTGCAAGATAGATGCTGTTTGTGCTATGAATACCTACGACATACGGATAGAGATGTAGTGTAATGGAGGACGGAGTACGGAGTTGGGAAAGAAAGGCAAGCGATGAGTGCCCAGGTGGCTGTGTATTGTATTGATTAGATGGAGGAAGGTACCCCCGGCATGAGTGGTACTGAACATAGCATGTTTGTGAAGTAATCAATAAAGAAGCCTGACTGCAGCTATGTATGCAGGCACAGATGATGTATCTCACAATCCTATTAATATCTCAGATGCCTACGAGTACGAAAACATATCATCTCCGTCCATGGAATTGTCTCACGTGTACACTGCATAAAGACTCGCAGCCCATACGAGGTACGGACACCACAGGAGGATTTTATGCACCAGTTTGTGTTTGGATGGCCTGGACAAAGGATCGAATCGACAGGCTTCCAACGGGTTCCTGCATGAGCCGATCTCTGATTACAGGGGGTTGGCGCCAATAAGACCACCGCAAAGCGACCCATCGTGTGTTTGAGGATAAGCCTTCTGGGGCTCTCTAGGGCGCCTCAGGCCTAGCGTTGTTTGGGATTCGTGTCCCTGACGGGGCCTGCAGGGTTTCGTCAATGGCTTCCAATGCTTGTGTCACTTTCTTCGACTTCTTCTCTTGACTGGGGTGCCTAGGCCCCCTTCGGCCCTACAACTGACTCCCTAAAACAGGCCGAGGGGCCCCCTCCGGCGTTCCTTAGGCGGCTTTGGCCCTTCTACCGTTCAAGGCTCATCTGACCCGATCTTGATCTCGTGTCTGACCCTTTCCGCTTCACCTTCTTCACTCCAATCCTATTCATCGCCGACCTTCACACATTCTTTGACGACTCCTGTATCAGTTTCTTCTCATTCACTAAGACCACTTTCGAGTCATTATTGTTCGCTCCCATCGCAGTACCTGCACTTGCATCTGCATCGACGCTTGATCCGCCCGTGATCCATTCTCTCTTTTTGTGGCTTGTTCACATCCAACCTTCCTTGTCTCCCCTACGCTTTGTCCTCTCCACCACGAACGACACCTTGACGGCTGTCCGACGCCTGCGTCTGGGCCCTCAACAACATCATCGCCATTTTCGACTGTTGTGGATAGCTTGACCAAGGAAAAGGAGGTCACATTTTCACCTCCCTTGACAGCGACACTCGACGACCTCACTTTTCATTCCTCAACATCTTTCATCAACATCCAGAAGCGATGCAATAAGGCTATTTCAGACAAAGATCGCGTACATGAAGAGCAATTGAGCAGGCCTCTTGTCATACCTTTTGCACTTTGAGCAGCGGTTGAACCGTGCTCGTGCCACCACCGCCACCTTTCAACATAAACACCGGCCATCTTGTGCCTCGCCTCTCATTAAACCACACATTTCAAAGGGCTTGCCTGGTTGCAGCCTATCCTATCTACACTTAACAATTTCTCCTCTCTAGTACCACCAACATGCCCTGTTGCGGTGGTCAACGAGAGAAATATGGCAATCTTGCGGTCGAGCAGAAATGGGATTATATTGTGTGTCACCATCAAGGGAATTAATTTCTTATTGGCTGTTACTGACCTGATTGCAGAATCTTGACGAGTTCAAGTCCAACTCATGCTGGACCTTCTTCGCTTATGGCTATTTGATTGTCATGTTCATAGTCTCCATTTCCGTCTACGCCGTTGATTCCTTTACCGCTGTCAACCTCCTTGTATTCGACAAATGGGCCGGCCAGATTAAACCCGAGATTCCTTTGAACATATCCCGATGGATCTTTGCCGGATGTATTATTCTATCATTCATCTTACTTGCATATCGATGGATTCGCGCCATTAGGGTAATGAAACAAGGAGGTGTCGCCAAAAGTTATCTGGACCCATTGGCCGTCCGAGTTCAATGTATTCGATGGGGGAAAGCAAGAGGCTGGAAACGATTTCTGGTCTTCGCCGAACTGACAAAAAGTCGAAAAGGTGCAGACTACGTCGCATTGTTCACCTACTTCTCCTTTGAAGCCTGGCTTCGAATCGTTTTCGCCGAAGGTCCCAGACAGGTCGTCAATGCCATCACCCTGTACTCGGTCATGAGATTGAACCTCATTCCTGAAGGTGAACATGCTGCACCAAAGGGTCAGTCTCCAGTCGCACAGTTCTTCGTCAATATTGGAGTACTTGCCAGCAAAAACAATCTCCAAGCCGTCATTTTGTTCGGTATGCTATGGACACTCCTCATCTGGGTTCTGTCTGTGCTCAGTCTGATCATCTCCATCATTCTATACCTGGTCTTTCTCTGGCATCATATTCCTTCAGATGCGGGCGGTTTAGGCGGATACTGTCGACAGAAGATTAATCGAAGAATGGATCGAGTGGTCAAAGTCAAAGTGGACAAGGCTTTGAAGAAAGAAAATGAATTACGTGCTCGAGAAGAAGCAAAGGCTGCAAGGGCAGGCTTGGATATCAAGAAACAACCCACTCTTCCCAACCTGGGAGATGATGGATACGACACTGATTCCTTCTCTGGTCTATCTCGACAAACTACTATGACAACCTTGCCCGAATATTCGTCTCGATTGGGCACGAACTCGACCAACAGCTCTACACCAACATTGCCAACTTTACCGAATATCTCAGAACGGCCTCCAATGCCAACCAGGACGACCACGCATGGCTCCGCGGCATCTTGGTCAAGCTACCATTCGAATGCACCATTGATGAGCGGAGCTGCAGATATGGGATATTCGCCAGACCGAGCGCAGACTCCTAATGGTGATGGCAATGGTCAATGGGCTGGACGACCATTGGCAAACCGAAGTTTCACCGGTCTCTCACAGCCTCCCCAACGATCATTCAGTCCAGCGTTACCCAGACCAGGCACAGCTCAATCAGATCGAAATGGGCCAGCTTATCCCATGGACCCACTTCCACGACCAGGCACAAGTATGTCGAATAGTTCACGCAGCCGACAGCCGTCTGACTCGATTGGTACACTACCATACCCAGACGATCGAGGGTCGATGGGTTCTGGCACGAGCTTTGATAACCCTTATGAAAGCAATGGTCGTCGAACACCAGCAGCAGCGATGGGCCCATCCTTCGCTGGTATTCCTGAAGAGACAGGCCGAATGTCTCCCTTACCAGGACCTCAATATCAGGGACCCCCTCCAATGCGAGGTTATCCTGATCGATCTTTCACACCTAATGGCAGCGGTCCACCGAGGAGTATGACGCCTAATGGTAATGGACCCTTTGCGAGAAGTATGACTCCCAGTGGTAATGGTGGTCCACCTCGGAGCATGACGCCTGTAGGAAATCCCACACTTCCTCGATTGCAAACCTCACAAACAGCCGGGGGATATATGCCATATTCGGCGGAGCCCCGGTCTGGAACACCAGCATCATCAATTCCTCCAAGCTCTACTGTGCGGATGGTGGCACCTAGTCGAACTTACAGCCCTTTTGAACAAGGCGGAGCTCCTCGTGGTGTTGCACCCTACCCACAAGACAATCGAGCACCTCCACAGCGACAGGACAGTGGAGTAGATGATATATTAAATCACTATTGAAGGAGGAATAAAACTTGTGAACTCCTTTTCTGAGCACAATGATGAACCATAATGATGATTGTCAGGAGCGACTAGCTTGCCCATGGGTAGGAATCTAGCTAGTGGCCAGACCTTGTAATATGAATACAATGTCTCCTTTGAACGCAGCCCGATATGCCCGCACGAAGTGACTTGAAGTAGTGATTTGATACTCGTAGCCATGAGGCAAAAGCAGTAACTACTCGTAGCTGAGTGTGAGTGAGGCTCTGTGAAAGTATTATTAGCGGTCCAATTCGAGCAATTCCGATTGGGTCGGGTTGGGTCTGGCAAAGCATGCATGCATGCCTGAACAACGCAGCGACTGTGACTTCCAGGATCCCAAGCACCGTTCGAAAGGCGGATGAATCGTGTTGGCTTTGCAAATGAATGTCCACTATTATGAATCTCAAGTACCTAAGCTACCTACCTTAAGGTGGTCTTTTTGACGTACTACAATTAAGTTATTGTATCCACACCTCATGTTGCCTTCAAGGTTCTATAGAGCCTGAGGGCGGCTCCATGCCTCCCATCGTATTGCGATTGCTTGTCCTGCCCGTGTACCAACAGTGACTTCTAACTAGGTACCTAGAGATTAGACTCACGACCTGAAACACCCGATTTCAGGACCTCTGTGGTATTGAAATAGTACCACAGATTGCCGTCCAGATTGCCGGGGTCCCATTTCTTGCCGGTCGAGGCGCGAACGGGATAGACTTCCCACGTCTTGCTGTCCGGGCTTCCGGTCGCGAGTTGGATCGTGGCCCAGCCGACGAGCGAGTCGGGCTTTGGCGGGCTGCCTCTCTGCCACGACACCCGCGGGTCGATGATCCAGGATACGGTCCTGTTACCCCCTTGTTTCTCGCCTTCTAAACTATTGGCTGCACGCCCAGGAAGGGTTGGGTCAGCAAGCATAACTCGACAGCGTTTTTTTTCTTCATTGTTGCGAAAGGGACTTGAAGGGGACGACTTGGAATTGGAAAAAAAAACTGGGTCGCTTACTGAACAATGCGCCTTCCACGGCGCCAGAGAGAAGCGCTTTGGGGGTATTGGGTTGCTCGACTCGGCCTTTGGCGAGGATTGACTTGCTATTTGTGGGCCATGCATATGCCCAGGTCTCTGATTTCTTCCCTATGTTCCCAATAATATATACCTCTGTCATGGTGGTGGAAGCAGTAGCTGATGGGGAGTAGAGATATGGGGTTTTTTTTTCTCTGAGTCAAACTCTCTCAAGCTGAGACGATGGGAGAGTTCAAGCAGCCTGGCTCTCGTTCAGCGAGGCCGGGGCACATATCTATATATCCTGGCCCTCGGTCTGTTGGTCTGTTGCTCCGCGCTCTGGACTTTCCTGGACGCATTGCGTGACTGTCGTGGCTGGCTGAAAAAGGCCGAGTTGGCAAAGGAAGGAATCCTCATTCACTCAAGATCTGGGATGTTGGCCGGGTCCTGTACGAGATGTAGCTGCTCCCAAAATGTAGCTTTCGGACTAAAGGTGTTCTGGCCTGGTCTATATCTGCTCTCAGAATGCTCAATCCGGGAAAGGCTAAGCACAAACAAGCACGAACAAGCTTCAGGCATATCCTTTAGGCATGAGAATACCTCGCCTGCCTGAAGCGGAATGCCGATCTGGCATCGTGGAGCTAAGCAATTGGTTGATGAAGCTAAGCAGCTGAACCCGAACGGAAAAGCTATCTGCAGTCTGCAGTACCGAGGGCACCAGAGGCTGAGGAACATGGATGGTCGCATAATGCAACTGGGTTTCAGCTGAGACTTGCAAGTACCTCGTATCCAAAGCTGAATAGCATACCTAGGTCCAGAACGATTGGAGGTCGTCGATGCGGGGTATCTGTGCATCACAACGCCACCTGAGGAATTGCAGTCGGTGGCCTCGCACGACTTTAGGGATGTTGATGATCAAATCGGTCATGCTCCTGAGTGGTGAGAGCAATTGGATAAATGAAAAATGGTGGCTGGGAATGTCATTGGCAGATGTTCCCGACACCACAGTGCTTTCCCTGAGATCCAACCGATTTGGGCTCAATTTTCAACAAGATCAACCGTGCTAGGCTTGATTTCCCATGGGAGCTCTGGCAGCTGTGGTACTGTCAAGTGCTGAAGCTTGCGCTGGTTCTAGGACGTTCGCAGCCACTGTGACGCTAGTACTCGGTAGTCCGCAATACGCAGCGAGCAACCTCTGATACCCATGGTGAATTTTGCTTTACCCATGTATTGTCCATCGGATTCAAAGATTTCTCATCCGCCCACTCTGGAGACCTCAAGCGAGGTATGCTCTCATTGCTTGGAGGAAATGTCAAGGCGCGGCGCTTTGAGTAATGGATGTGCTCGTGCCTGATGATGGGATCCCAAGCGAATTTGATCTTTGGAATGTCTCTGTATGTGATTCGCTGAGCGAGTGTGCCTGGACAAGCGGCCTCTGCCCTTTGGAGCCATTTATTACGGTGCAGAGAAATGGCAAGGATTGCTATCCTCACCTCAAATTGCACCGCCTTAGAGCTTTCGGATGTGGTAATCGACACAGAGGGAAGGTTGGGCCGTACTCTGTAGATCAGACGTGGATCCTGCCTGATCCTTGTCATTGATTCATTTGTATTGCGCCCACCATTTGTGTGCGTCCCGCAATACGAAAAGTAGCGGTGCGGACATTGATATTGTGTTGATGCAGCCCATGTAGCAGCACTGGATTTGCGAAGGCCGTCTAATCCTGGTAAAGCACCCTTGAAGCTTGGGATTGGCCGGAGCTTTCGTCAGTAGTCGGGACGGTAATGCAGCAGCTGATCCATATACGAGGTACATGTCTACACTGAAAGACATCGAAGTCTGACCAGGTGGAGATGGCGTTGTCCAGACGCTGTGAGTCATTTTCCGGGTGTTGGAAAACCTGACAGAGAGAGCGACAAATATTCTGAGCTCGAGTGTCTCGCTCCGCCTCCCCGACCGACGCCCCCAGATATCTGATCAGACCGACTACTCGAGGCACTTGAATCGAGACCGAAGACGCCAAGTTCGAAGAGATCAGGCTGGGCATTTGGTGAGGCTGTTATTTCATTTCCATGGAGTAATTGAAGCAGCGTGTCTGCCAGACAGCCTGCTGGAATCGAAATGTTCATGGGCCATGAAGTGCGAAAGTATGAGATGTTGGCAAGGGAAAACCGTCAGACAAGCAACCAACTCGAACACTACGACAAGGTGATGACTCTCCTACGCAGTAGTGGACGATTCGGTCAGTCTTCATGCTAACCTCTCACCTTGTGGGAACTACCTAGGTAGGTATGGAGTACGGAGGTCTACATAGACTTCAAAGCGGCACTGGTGTAGACGACCTCGGGTATATCTGTAGCCCGCAGTGTTACGAAAAAATAAGTTGAAAAGGTCGAGAGTAAAATGTACCTTGTAAATGAGGTCCAAGCTTACCTATGAAGTCGTAGCTCAATGGTCTTAGATAGGAAAATTGATCGAGGCTTTAGTTAAAATTACCCATGTAGTTAGTTAAGAACGAGATCCCCCTTAACCCCTCTTGTTAGAACGAAGCCTTTGTGAGATTATTAAAAAAAAAGGAGTACTAATAGGTTTAGTGCGTTTATTTATTATGATTCAAAGGAGCAGAATCATGAGCTATTTACCTACGAAGTAGGTACTTGGGTGGTTAATATACTCAGGTAGGTAATTAACTAGGTACTCTTAGAAGACCAGTATCAGTCCAGTGCCAGTGGTGTGATGATCCGTCGAAAATAACAGGGGTTCAAATATATAAACTCCGATTGGCTGAGTCTAGCAAAGCGTCCCAGCTCTCAATATTAATGCAGTGACTTTCTCGATACAGTACAGGATCCCATCTCAACCAACGGCCACAGCTTCAAGACTGGTGAACCTACACCCGGAGGCACCACCATGCTTCCTGTTTCCGGATTCAATCGAGCTCTCAACGAGGCCGCTCCGGCACTCTCACGTCGCTTCTTCTCCTGCAGCGGCCGACTCCAATGCGGGCTGCGCTCGGACGGGCAGGCGCAGGTGCGGGCCACCCGTAAGGCTCAGCTGGGTATAAGACAGTTCGGCACGACTCTCTCAACGATGTCTAGATCTTCTTGCGCGGGAAAACCTACGCCGTACCCTGCCACTCTCCTGAAATCGAAGCGAACTACCACTCCGCAGTCGGGGTGGACTAGGGCTTTTTCTACGTCTTTAAGATCAAGATCTACCGCTTCGGCAGCGACGGTCGAGACTATTGCCGATGCAGCAAAGAGTGAGAGAGGCAAAGGTTCGTCTTTTCCGAAGACGTCGACCAAAACCGTGGCGTATTGGCTCTTGGGAAGTGCGGCTAGTGTGTTTGGAATCGTCGTCTTTGGTGGACTGACGCGGTTGACTGAGTCTGGGTGAGTCTGCTTTCGAATGCCTCAATAATACATGGAACTAATCTTTTCATGAACAGCCTCAGTATCACCGAATGGAAACCTGTCACCGGCTCTCTCCCTCCACGCTCCCAGGAAGACTGGGAATCCGAATTTGCCAAATACCGATCCTCCCCCGAATTCAAGATCCTCAATTCTCGCATGACATTGGAAGAGTTCAAGAGTATATACTGGATGGAATGGATACATCGTCTGTGGGGACGCTTCGTGGGTCTCAGTTTCGTGCTCCCCGCTGTCTACTTCGTCGCCAGGCGCAAGGTCTCCAAACCCATGGCGTGGAGACTCTTCGGCATTGCTGGTTTGATCGGCTTTCAAGGCTTTATTGGCTGGTGGATGGTCAAATCTGGGCTGAAGGATGACCTGTTTGCGTCTGGTCAACATCCTCGAGTTAGCCAGTACCGGCTTACGGCTCACCTTGGGGCGGCTTTCGTCTGTTATGTGGCCATGCTCTGGAACGGTCTAAGTATCTTGCGCACTAATAAGCTCCTCTCACAACCGGCCGAAACGTCCTCATCCATCTTGGCTCAGCTCCGCAACCCAACCCTCAACGCGTTCAAGCGCTCTGTTGGTGGTCTCGCAGCATTGGTTTTCATCACCGCCATGTCAGGTGGGCTGGTCGCCGGCCTCGACGCCGGATTGATCTACAACGAATTTCCCTACATGGGTTTAGGATTGACACCTCCCAAGTCCGAGCTCTTCGACAAATTCTACTCCCACACCGAAGACAACAGTGATCTGATCTGGCGCAATTTCCTTGAAAATCCCAGTTTGGTGCAACTTGACCACCGCATTCTCGCAACCACGACGTTCTCAACTGTCATGGCCATGTTCGCGTGGACCAAGTACTCTCCGCAGTTGAAGGCCGCGCTACCTCGTGCAGCGGCCAAGGGCATGCATGGCGTGGTCGGGTTCGTCTGGCTGCAGGTGATCTTGGGCATTACGACACTACTATACCTGGTCCCGACCCATTTGGCCAGCACACATCAGGCAGGATCTCTTGCTCTGTTGACCTGGACGATTGTGCTCGGTTCGCGAGTCTGGCTTCCGTCCGCGGCGGTCCAGAAGATCGTGGCAGAGCGGATGAGAGCTGCCGTGGCCGCGGGCAGCCAGGCACAAATCGCTAGGGCGGGCGCTCAGTCTGCGCTTCTGAAGGAGACAACCACCGGGACGGCGAATGCGCATGTGGCCGGTACACTTGCAGCTGGTGGTGCTGGTCTATTGCCTCTAGGATTGTGGGTTGTGAGTAATAGTGAGACGGTCAAGCAGCAGGAACTCGATACTGTGGGAAAGGCACAGGTTGAGTTCTTGCAGAGGCAGTCGGGGAAGAGTGAGAGATCTGTATGAGTACTACCTAACTAGACAATTGTATATATTATGGGAAGAACAGGAATCACTTTCCACTCTCAAGTTTATAAGATCTCGCAAGGCTGGTGCTTGAATCCTACTGTAGCAGTGCCCCTCATCAACCTCGCAAGGGCATGAGTCATTGAAAATTCAGGACACAAAAGTCATGAGTCAAAATTCATGGCCATATTCACATCCCACTTTAAAGAACCACCAGCACCAGGACAAGCCCTTTTTCTCACCATACACCTTCTCAGGACTCACAGAAGTCCCTCAATCTTGTCTGGTCGACAATTTGCTCACAATATCCACAAATATGGCGGATGCAGGCGCATCTCTGGCGCAGGACACTGCCAACTTGCATTTGGACGAGGTCACGGGCGAGAAGGTCTCCAAGTCCGAATTGAAGAAGAGACAGAAGCAGAGACAGACTGAGGCCAAGAAGAAGGAAAAGGCGGCTGCTGCACCACCCAAGCCGGAAAAGAAGGCCGCAAATGCAGAGCTTGACGAGAGCAATCTCAACCCCAATGTGAGTTCCAACCTACGAGACATTGGATCTTTAGGTCGCTAACGTGAGTCATTCCACGACAGCAATATTTCGAAATCCGCAGTGGACGTGTCAACCGCCTGCGCGAGACCAAGCAACCCAACCCGTATCCTCACAAGTTCCAAGTGAACACGGACCTGCGATCGTTCACGGAAGAATATGGCAGCTTGAAGCCCGGCGAGCACAAGAAAGATGTCGAGATCCGCGTGGCCGGCCGTGTCTATACCAAGCGAGCGTCTGGAGCGAAGCTCGTCTTCTACGACATCCGTGGTGCAGGGACCAAGATCCAGATCATGTGCCAGTCACAGGAGGCCGCCGGCGAGGTCAGCTTCGAGGCCCAACATGAGCATCTACGCCGTGGAGACATCATTGGCATCATTGGCTATCCTGGTCGCACTGCACCCAAGAACCGTCCCAACGAGGGTGAACTATCCGTCTTTGCTCGTGAGGTTATTCTCCTCACGCCCTGCTTGCATCAGATCCCCTCAGAGCATTTCGGTCTGCAGGATGTGGAGACACGATTCCGCCAGCGTTATCTCGATCTCATCATGAACGACAAGTCGAGACAGATTTTGATCACTCGTGCCAAGATCATCACCTACATCCGGAATTACTTCGACTCGAATGGCTTCGTGGAGGTCGAGACCCCGATGATGAATTCTATTGCTGGAGGCGCTACAGCCAAGCCCTTCGTCACGCACATCAACGAGTACAAGCAAGACATGTTCATGCGAATTGCACCCGAGTTGTATCTCAAGATGCTTGTCGTTGGGGGTATCGACCGTGTGTACGAGCTAGGCAAGCAGTTCCGCAACGAAGGTGCCGATCTGACCCACAACCCGGAATTCACCACGTGCGAGTTCTACGAAGCCTACGCGGACGTCTACGATGTGATGAAGCGAACGGAAGATCTGGTGTCAGGTCTCGTCAAGCACGTCACGGGCTCCACCAAGACGACATTCCACACGCAAACCAATGAGGTCTACGAAGTTGACTGGTCGGCACCCTGGAAGCGCATCGAGATGATTCCGGCGCTGGAGGAAGCCACGGGGGAGAAATTCCCTCCGGGCGACCAGCTACACACGCAGGAGACGAACGAGTTCTTCAAGCGGGTGCTCAAGAAGGTCAACGTGACGTGCTCGCCACCGGAGACCAACGCGCGCATGCTCGACAAGCTGGTCGGCGAGTTCATCGAGGAGAAGTGCGTCAACCCGACCTTCATCACGGGCCATCCGCAGATGATGTCCCCGTTGGCCAAGTACCACCGCGAGCAGCCCGGCATCTGCGAGCGGTTCGAGGCGTTCGTGTGCAAGAAGGAGATTGTCAACGCTTACACGGAGTTGAACGACCCGTTCGACCAGCGCCTGCGGTTCGAAGAGCAGGCGCGCCAGAAGGCGCAGGGCGACGACGAGGCGCAGATGGTGGATGAGAATTTCTGCACGAGTCTGGAATTCGGCCTGCCTCCGACTGGCGGCTGGGGTATGGGTATCGATCGCGTCACCATGTTCTTGACCGACAATTACACCATTCGTGAGGTGTTGGCGTTCCCGTTCATGAAGGAGCAGACGACTACGAGCGGTGGCAAGGAGAAGGAGCTGGCGGCTGAGGTGGTGGGTGTTGAACCTTTGCCTGTCGAGGGAATCGGTGAGTTGATCTGACTTTGAGTGTTGTTGTTGTCCTATGATGCTGTACAGATACTGGCAGTGCGGTTTTGATTTGATGCCGTTCCCCGTTCCTTCTTCTCCGCGGCCCGCAAAGCAGGCTTGATTATGACTAATGATTGCGGTACAGAACATAAGTAACGGATCCTCTGACCAATGGACTATGACTAAGGCGGGTTCATGATGATATGGCTATCAAGAATGATACGACAGTTGACTGCAAGAGACGTGGAAAAGGCATTTACTTTTTCCTTTTGCTCTCCGGCAAGGCGAAATAAGACGTTGTAGTCTGAGTAAAATGTCTAGATTAACGACATCCGCGATCCAGTAACCACTCCTCGGTGGTTAAACACTTCCTCGTTCGGTACTAGTAATTGAAATTGCATTTGATCATCAGGATGAAAAGTACTCGCACTTAAGTGCTTGACGACTACCTGTGCTCGGGTCTTGAACGCAATCCTGTCGTCAGCTTTCTCGGCCCTCAAGATACAGTTACGAGTTCTACCAAAGCCCGTCCGGGAGCGGTCGGGTAAAAAGGCCCCCTGGAGGATGGGGGATCATCGATAACTTTGGATGATGCACATTAGCTCAGCTTTTTCCTTTTATTCATTGAACCTGGGTTGAGGGTGGTTGACCAGTTGGACGGTGCTGAGTCACCTCGTGGATGGTTATTCAGGAAAGCCCTGGTCGTGCCACATGGTGGTTTGGCTGGTTGATCTGGTTTCTGTCTGATTGGGATAGCCCCAGTGTCTCGTTGAGTGGTTCCGTCGAGTGCAATGATGACACAGCCTGGGAGGGAGGTAACTCGTAGCCTCTTCCTTCAGGTACGAGTATTAATCACGACTCGGTACTACGGGCTTGGACAGCCTAATGGGCCCGAACGGTGGACAGCGGACAGGCCCCGAATGATGCTGAAAGTGCAGCCGACTGGTGGGTTCCTCTTTCCCTCTGGGTTTTGTGCCCCTCCATGGTGTCGTTCTGGTGCCACTTTGGTGGGGTTGTTTTTTGGCACTGGGATACAACTCTCAACTCTTCACCTGAAAGCTGCTGCGCAAATCGTGGGATCCCAAGGCCGGCTGCAGAACCAGAAACTCAAGTTCGATCCCAATCATCCCCATCTGGCTTGCCAAAGGCTCCAAGGTGGTTTTTCGTAACGAACTAAGTAATCAACATATTTCCCTCAATTTCTTCTTCCTCTCCTTCTTTCCTTCCTTCTCTCTCTCTCTCCATCTCTTCAACCATTCGTGCCTCTCGTCTTTTTCGGTGCATTAGACAGAGACATCAATCTTCCATCTTCCCCCGCCGGACTTCTATACAACCACCCTTTACATCCCACCTTTCCACCTTCCAGAATTTATCCACCCCCAACACCGTCAACATGTCTCAAGCAGTGTAAGTTTTTCTTCTACTTCCAACCCATCCATCCTCAAAAGGGAGCAAACAACAGCAAATACAATCCAATCAGTCCCCAAGTGCTCTATGGCTGCTCTGTTCTTTCCTTAAAAAGTGACCCTCCATTGACCACCACAATGCTAACTCTAGTGCGCGACTGGCCAACCTCAAGGTTGGCTCTGCGCAGTCCGAACCCAGTGGTGATTTCGGTCTCATCGGCCTTGCCGTCATGGGCCAGAATTTGATTCTCAACGCTGCCGATCATGGCTTCACCGTGGTCGCCTTCAACCGAACCGTTTCCAAGGTCGACCGCTTCCTCGAGAACGAGGCAAAGGGTGAGTGGGACAATCCAGACCTACAGTTTTGTTGGCGGAAGAAAAAGGCAATAAACAAGAAATAGCATACTAAAGTATTTTTCCTTTCACAGGCAAATCCATCGTTGGCTCCCACTCCATCGAAGAGTTTGTCTCCAAGCTCAAGAAGCCCCGCCGTATCATGCTCTTGGTCATGGCCGGCCCAGCCGTCGATGATTTCATTGAGAAGCTGCTCCCATTCGTCGAGAAGGGAGATATCATCATCGACGGTGGAAACTCCCACTACCCAGACAGCAACCGCCGAACCAAGTATCTTGCTGAGAAGGGTCTCCGATTCGTCGGAACCGGTGTTTCCGGTGGTGAGGAAGGTGCTCGTTATGGTCCTTCTCTCATGCCTGGTGGTAACGAGGAAGCTTGGCCTTTCATCAAGGACGTCTTCCAGAGCATTGCTGCCAAGTCTGATGGTGAACCCTGCTGCGATTGGGTCGGTGACGAGGGTGCTGGTCACTACGTCAAGATGGTCCACAACGGTATTGAATATGGTGACATGCAGTTGATCTGCGAGGTAAGACATGACATAATTCCCACTTGTGATCCAGATCTGACTTTCAACCCTTCAGGCCTATGATGTTATGAAGCGTGGTCTTGGTATGAGCTACAAGGAGATGGGTGACGTCTTTGCCGAATGGAACAAGGGCGTCCTCGACTCCTTCTTGATCGAGATCACTCGTGATGTCCTACGCTACAACGATGATGATGGAACCCCACTTGTCGAGAAGATTCTCGACTCTGCTGGTCAAAAGGGTACCGGTAAATGGACTGCCATCAACGCTCTCGACCTTGGTATGCCTGTCACCTTGATTGGTGAGGCTGTCTTCGCTCGTTGCTTGTCCTCTATCAAGGAAGAGCGTGGTCGCGCTGCCAAGGTCCTTAAAGGACCCGAACCTAAATTCACTGGAGACCGAGCTCAATTCCTCAAGAACCTTGAGCAGGCTCTGTATGCCTCCAAGATCATTTCATATGCTCAAGGTTTCATGTTGATGCAAACTGCCGCCAAGCAGTATGGCTGGAAACTCAACAAGCCATCCATTGCTCTCATGTGGCGTGGTGGTTGTATCATCCGATCCGTCTTCTTGAAGGACATCACTGCTGCTTACCGCGCTGAGCCCGAGTTGGAGAATCTTCTGTTCAATGACTTCTTCAACAAGGCCATCCACAATGCTCAAGACGGATGGAGAGATGTCGTAGCCTTCTCTGTCAAGGCCGGTATCCCCACCCCTGCTTTCAGCACTGCCCTCGCCTTCTTCGACGGTTACCGCACCAAGGATCTCCCTGCCAATCTTCTCCAAGCTCAACGTGATTACTTCGGTGCCCACACCTTCCAGGTCAAGCCCGAGTATGTCAACGATAAATACAAGGCTGGTTCCTACACCCACGTCAACTGGACCGGTCGTGGAGGAAACATCTCTGCTTCCCAGTATAACGCATAATTGTGAGGTATTGCTCCGGACAGTTTCGAGATTATTCTCGACAAAAGTGGCTACATGTAACAGGCATGGGCTACAAAAGGTTATAATCAAAACCCAAATCAAAAGAAAGATCCACATGTGGATTTGTTGTTTGCGGCAAACTCAATAGAATCATTTCTTCGTTGGAAGGGACTTCAGGTTGAGCAAGTTGCATGCACAATCCGACTCGGATCGGAACATACTTTAGACTCAAGTAGTGCAGGTATCAAAAAAGTTATTTCGCTGCCATTTGATGTTGAAAGAAAGATACTGTCCTTTCTGTCGTTTTGCTGTTATTCCGGCTGACCCTGGGAGGGCTGTGCATGCAAGATGTCAATACGAGACATTGCACCTCCGTGTAATTCATCTACCTACAGCTGAAAAGTTTGCTCAAGTCACTTTAGCAGACAAGAGATTCTTGTTGTACTAACTCGCATCTTTCCAGGATGATCAGTCGACAATATATCGAGAAACTCCAGGCTTCAACTATGCGATCTGGTCGACACCTTTAGTCATGCTACCCACGAAGTGGAAGCGGATGGGCCGCGCCGCTTTGGCTACAATTCTGATTGTGCTCTTCTGCTTCATTTTCCAGGGCTTATGGACTTCTTTCATCTTGATGATAGTGGGAGCCTTGTCTGCCTCCAATGACAGTCCAACTCCAGCCATCTCAATCCCAGACGAACCCGGACAGAAACCCAGCTGTGATGACCACAACTGGTCCGCTGCCAACGTATGCTGGACTTTGCTTTCCATCATCGTACCTTACGTACTCAAGCCACGGGGTTCATTGCATTGTCTACAAGCCTACCGGGTGTGGCGAGTATCGCCAATCTTTGCGTTGGCCGAGACAATTTCCATTTGGATTTGGATCATCCAAGGGCTCATGGTCGGGAGGAGTATGCGCGCTACTTGCACTGCCTTGCTCGCTGCGCGCGTTACCATGTCGAGGCCACTCGGCGATTTTGAAGGATTCCCCCGGCCGCAGCGGAGCTACTGTGAAGCCATGATCCTCGACTTGCAGATCAGACTGTGGAGGTATGAGCCGCGAGTGATGAGATTCGTCATCGGCGACTCCATCGATATCGCAGAGCTGACAGCCAATAATGTCCAGCCCGAGCGTTCTCAACGAGAGTATCAAGATCGAGTTTGGAATAACCGTCTTGCCGCACAAGAGAGTCTAGAAAGGTACTTGCCACACGACCTAGACTCGGCCATCTACACCGAGAAAGACTTCTGGATACGCGCCGTCGTCGATGTCTTGATGCTACTCCAGGTTGTCAAATTGAGTGTCGTGGCGGGCGCTGGGTTCCTCCGGTTCATTGGCTATCTGTATACCTTTTGCTTTTCGACGGTCGAGTTTCTAGATATCGTCTCTGGCTTCCCAGCGCCACCTCACGACTATCAAACACTCGAGGCACGGAGTCTCTGGTCCCACTTGGTGTTTGGATACGCCACGATCTGGATATCCGAGACGACTCCCTGGGGCCTCTGGGGAAAGACGATGGACCTCAACTTCTATGTCTTCTGGTCGACCGCATACATTGCAATGCTCATGCACGCTATGGGCATTGGCTACTCGATATTTTTCAAATCCATAACATTGGTATCTGCTCTCACGTCTCCGTCCCATCATGGCATCGGCATCGTTATCAACGGATTCGTCTACGGTACTGACATTGTACTGATGTGGATAACAATCCCCACGGCGATCGTCCTGTCGATGTTGCCGATCTGCGTATTATGGCTTCGCCGTATTGTCACGAGAGCTTGGGAACGGGTCTCGTCTCAATATTCGAGCGGGACTACCATCAGCCGGGACGAAGAAGGAACCCTCTTTGGGATTGAGCTTGCGCTTCTCGTCCCAGGTTCGATCGCATTCTGGCAGTTCTTGTCAATCGTCCTGGCCATTGCCGGGGTCAACTATCTGTCGATCGTCGACATCACATATCGCTGCTGGGAGACGACTAAACCTGGGTACTACGACCGGCTTGGATGAGATTGACCTGGTTGATGGTTCTATTTTTACGTATTCAGGATAAAAGCTTGGTCAGTCGCTTTCGGCGCCGAACATGAATTTAGGTTCCACTCGAATCAGGTGCGTAGATGTCCTGGTTATAGTTTGTCGTAAACTAGGTACCTAGTATAACAAACTTGGCACATATCCCTCGTTGTCGTAAGACATCTCCTTTGGCAGGCTGCTAATAACCCGTCCGGTTAAATTCCCCGATTGATTCACGCTAGGCGGATTAGTGGATCGGAGCTTCGGCCAAGTTTCTCCAGGATTTCTGGAAATTGTTTAATCGGCAGCCACCAGGAGTTGCAACTGGCAAGTGCCAGGCACAAGAAACCTCCTCCTTACTCCATTATTTACCTGCACACCCTTCACTTTCTTGTGACCCGCCGCCATCAGGGCCTCGTTTTTTCAGTCCGGCGCCTGGCGTTCTGAGCTGGCTTTTGGTCTTTCTGGGTCCTTTGTACTCTCTATCTTCTACGCGACCTGTAGTGTCACCAGGGGCTGGCTTTGCAATTGCCGGTGCACTGCCTTCCTGCTCACCCCACGCGCAACGACGCCGACAGTCAGACCTACCTTCTTGCTGTCCACCCTATATCTACCAAGTGTACGAGCAATTGGGAACGTAGACCTTTGTCGAATTCATTACCTGTGGACTACTCCTTGTTTGCGCAAACATGGCCTCCGATACAAAGCGCCAGAACGCAGGACCCAGAGTTCCCGTTGCTCTTCCCAAAGGTGAACCGGCTTCCACTGTGTCTCCCGATGTCAGTTTGCAGCAAGCCATAGGAAGCCGGTATGTGTGACGAGATATGGTCTTGGAGTCGCTTGCTCACACTATGATCTAGTATTCGCATCAACCTCGCATCACCGAGCCAGTCCACTGTCGAGGGCATCGTCTACACTGCCGATCCCATCACCAATCTTCTTGTCCTCAACACCAATTCTACTTCTTCCACCATAATCAGTTCATCATCATTGGCGGCTCCCGCAGGAACCTACCGCATCATCCCAATTTCCTCAATCAGCAGCTTCCAACTTCTCGCCATCGGCCCACAATCTCCCGAAATACCAGCCAACAATTCCGCCTTCAACACCATTGATACAACCGCTGTACAAGCTCGACTTACTAAGAACATCACTGCTCAACAAGCGGCTCAAGCCCGTGTCGGCCCCAAGGGTACCACTCCTACAGACCAAGCCTTGTTCGACGCTTTGGCTCGCACCCTCCAGGCGAGCTGGTCTGGCAATACCATGCTTCTTTCCGATACATATCTGATTGACAAGCCATATGGACCGGTGAATGTTCGTCTTATTGATGGTCGTCACGGTGACCTTGAGAGAATGAAGAAAGTCGTTGAGATGGAGAAATCCAAAATCCAATTGAAAATGTCCAAGGGACTTCTGGATGGAAAGATCTCGGCTGAATCCACTCCCATCAAAGGTGCCAGTCCTGCCGTCATAAAGAAGGGCGGTTAAGCTGATCATCGGGCTTCGTGGTTCATTATCGGAATACGGCTATTGAACTGGACACAAGTCACCGCTGAACAAGAGGAGGAAGGCGCTAAAGTTTGGATGGTGACCATTCATCTTCTATCTTGTCATACGAAGACTACGCTTGTGGCTGTCATTGATGATTCCACCGTCAACATACGATTGGATGCTGCAACAGGATATCATGAATTGGTCATGCACAAAGACCACGGATTTTTGCATCGACTGACCGGAACTCAGAGCGGAGAAAAATTGCCTTGGGCTCTGTTATCACCCATCAGCACAGGAACAATCAGCTTCTACCTTTGAAGAAGGTTGTTATTGAACTCATCCCTGAGAGCATGGACACGCTAGTTATCAGTCGGAGGGTCACATCACCTCTACACATCAGAGACATGGTTCAATTGGACAACTGAACATATCAGCTCGTCAAAGGAAAATCCTGTAGTAGATAACACAATCATAATCATGAATCAGATGCTCTTCAGGAATCCAAGACCATCTTACTCAGGTCTCCTGTCTATCATCCGGACTCTAGTTAGTGCCGGTGACTTGCCGCCCTGCTAAGTCGACAAGCTATGACTGGCCCCAATCCTCCAGTCTAGTCCCGTAGAGTATAGTAAGCATCGCATCGCATAGTATCGTGTCATCTTCAAGTCCTTTAACTTGGCCCGAGTACCAGGAATGCTCGATCGGATATCCGTGGATATCTGTGGCAACCTCCCGTAAATATCTACCTTTTCGCCCATTCGCCTGTGACTGTACTGCGACTGATGGAGCCTCGTCGTCTCATCTGTCTGTGGCCCTGGGTGGGTCTTTATGGGTGGATTGCCTGTCGATGTCAAGAGGGTTTTTACTAATCAAGAATCGGCGTTTCGACTCTTTGATCTCGCCACCTGCATGAGCACCCATGTGAATTGTGTCGGTTTCATGGCAAGGATAGCGCGGTGCAAACCAACCAAGGAACGAGTTTCTGAGTTCGTGTAATATCGCATCTTTGACTAATTCAGATATTTGAACAATCAAATACTTATTGCCATGCAACAAATCTCGATCACAGACAGTTAGTCCCTCGTAAAAAAACCACGTTTCACCGTGTTTGACCGTGATATGATATGACCCGGGTCAACGTTGCGAGCATTTGGTAAGGCTGACTACATGGTCCACCTCCCGATCTGCGGGCGTCCGTGCCAGCACAATTAAGCGAGCATACTTACAGTACCATGACAGCGAATAGCGATTGGGATGTTGATGCCCCTATACTTGTACTCCACTCGCCTGAGCCACGAACCAACTTAGTAAGGGTAGCCCTTGGAAATCCAACATTCAGGCTGACTAAATGAAAGATAATAATGGGGTTCGCTAACCAGAATGCAGGAAATGATCGCTTGATATGGTAGGTTCTGTTGGAATTTTACCACACCGACTCAGTGTGTCTCCAGGTACGGAGTCCACAGCCTGAGAGGAACCACCCTAGAAACGGGTCAGTGACCATCGAGTCTTACTGTGCATATTGTATCTGCCCTTGCTTCAAACTCTTAGGTATTCAACCGGTGTTGTGATGTTTCAGCTTCGATTGTTGGAGTCAGAACCCCGCCGTGAGGTTTGTAACACCTCGGCCGAGTCACTACTAATACCATAAGTGTCACAACCCCACAAGGCCTGATCATTTGATGGGTTTAAGTATCTTTCACTCACATTCTCTTGCTTAGATGCTTCGTCAGTTGAGATTGTTGTTCACATCACAACCAGACATAAGTGAAAGATCAAACTGAATAGATCAACATGGGATCCAATATCAAATCACTCCTCGAAACCACCGTCAAGGACAGACGACTCCCCGGCGTCGGAGCATTCGTGGTCGATGCAACTGGCAAATTCATCTTGAACGAAACGGCTGGGAAGTTGAACTTGGACGACGAGCAGAGTGGTGATTTGACATCCGACACTCCAGCGCCCATCTATTCCTGCACGAAACTCGTCACCAGCATTGCGATCCTGCAACTCGTCGAGCAAGGCAAGATTTCGCTCTCTGACAGTGCAGAGAAGTATTTCCCTCAGATCTCCGAGATCCAGGTCCTCGAGTCCATCACTCCCGCGGCCGATGGAAAGCCCGCAGAGCAGAAATGGTCCAAACCAAAATCGCCCCCCACCATCCTCCAGCTCCTCACTCACACAGCAGGCTTCTCGTACGACTTCTTCGACACCCCAACTGGCCAATGGCGCGCTGAAACTGGTCGAGCGCCGTGTGGCTACCACGCTGTTGGAGACATGGAAGACTTCAAGACCCCTCTGCTCGCTCAGCCGGGGACTAAATACATCTACGGCGTCAATATCGACTACCTGGGTTTCATCATCCAAGAAGTCACGGGGACCCGTCTACCGGAACACATCGAACAGAGCATTCTCAAACCCCTCGGCATGAACGCCACTGGCGCATTCCTCCCCAAAAACACCCCCCGCCTGATCACCCACCTCCGCGTGAACGGCACCGACCTCGTCGCCAACCCGGCGGCCGTCAACAACGAAAGCCCTGCACTCTTCGGCGGCGGCGGCTACCTGTATTCAACCATGAACGACTTCGCGAAGCTCCTCGCCACCATCCTCAACAACGGCACCAGCCCCGAAACGGGCGCGACGATCCTGAAATCCGAATCCGTGCACAAATACCTCTTCACCGACCACCTCGACAACAGCGTCGACAAATCCGGCCTCGGCGAAATCGGCACCTGCGTCCCCGTCCTCAGCAACGAAGGCCGCTTCTTCCCGTCCTTGTCCGTCGAACAGAAGGGGTGGTCATGCGCTCTGCTTCTCAACCACGAGGACCTGCCGAACGGTCGCAAGAAGGGTAGTGGAGCCTGGGCCGGCCTGGGCAATCTGTACTATTGGATTGACCCGAGCTCCGGCGTAGCGGGCATGATCTGGACCAGTGTCTTGCCGTTCATGGATCCAGACGTTCTGTATCTCTTTGATCAGGTCGAGAGGGTCGCTTATGGGCATGAGATTGTTACGGACCGGAAGGGTCTGGTGGGCAACCATATTGGCGCGCCTAAGTTGTGATGTGCACATGAACGTTGCAATCAGGTCTCTTAGATTAGGTATGCGTACGAACATCATGGCCTCCAAGTCAGCTGTGGTGCAGCTCGGTCCAGAGCTCTGAGACTAGGAGGATGAGGATTCTTTAATTTTGGGGTTGTCCGCACAACTCCTCTAAGCAAGACGATCAATAAACCAATGAAAAAACCTTGTCCGACCAGCCTAGCGATGGACTTCATGCCTGACATGTGTATACCCACTTCCCAGTTATTTGTGTCCCCTGCTGCTTGAGAAGAAGTATTTACTGGTGCAGGACTCGCAGCATCATAACCGGCGCTTCGATTTGAATCTAAAACTACAGAGTACAAGAGATGATGAGGTATCTCCGCGAACCTACACTAAAAAGACCGTGCTGGAAGGCTGATGCAAGAGTGATGAGAAAGTCGCTGGAAGAGTGAAAGACTGACACATATTCAGTAAAAGCTTGGCCGTCATTGCAAGAGCAATCCATCTTGCCCTTTCTTCACCGAATCGGCCCCACCAATCCCGCAACACCTCCGTCTCTCCATCTTCATTGAGAGCTCGGAAATCTGTCGGCGCATACGTGTTGGATCTCTCCAGCAGAAAGACAGCATCCTCGAGCTCGATAGAGTCGCCACCTTCGCAGAAATCTTCCCATGTCCGTAGCTGGCGTTGTGCGAGATCATTCAGTCGTTCAAAACGTGAATCAGTCGTGTAGTGGTTTGCATTCTGAGCTTGGTTAATGTCGACATCCTTGAGAAACTTGGTTGCCGCAAGCTCTCTGAGCCGTACCTTTATCGGCACGTCGTGGTCATCGAGATCAATCGCATCAGCATGGTCCCACAACGCTTCATTCACTTTGACCATGGCTGCAATGCGCTCGACAACCCAGCGGTATTGTTCTTCGAAAAAGCACCGATTTTCGATGGGTAACAGAGTGAATGCCAGAACCAGGGGAACTTTGATTGTCTCCCAATACGGTGCCGCGCTTGAAAAGAGCCGCCTTCCTCCTACAGTATCGGGGGACAACTGAGATAAACCGCACATTGCGGCGGCGTAGGCGCGACTGGGTATACGGAGTTCATGATCGGGTAGTATTGATCCTTCTCGAAACACCATGCGAACCAAAGGTTTCCCATGAAGGGCGCCCGGTACACTTATCCACAGATCTTGGACATGGATCTCGTTCTCTGAGCGAAGCCGATCTTCGGAGTTTCTGAAGTGACGATTGTAACTCCCTATAATGCGCCAAACATCCACCACTGGTATCTCAACGGCAAATAGACCACCATAATCCGAACACCAGGTGGCTTCATGGACTGGTAGTTCCTTCATGAGGAGGTTCTTCTCCGGGTCCACCGAGTATCGTCCTAGTATATATCTCCAGGCTGGCTGATTAGGGGCAGATGCGAATTTTTCAGACCGCGCCACCATCTGCTCGTGGTGATATGCATGATGCGTGGGAATATCGAAGAGTGTCTTTGGCAGCTTGATTGTTCCACAGCTGAAGTCAGGCTTGCCGGATGGCAGAATCATTGCAGGGGCCCGAAATCCAAGAGCCACCATGTTCTTCTCAATATACCGGACTTGGTCTGGTGGGAGAGGAACGCTCGTGGATTTGAACAATACATAGTCGCCTGACTACATTTAGCTCTCGTGGCTATTGTAGACTTGGTGCTAGTGACGTTGTTTCTTTCACTCACATTGGCTACTGGCCAAGGCTTTGAACAACTTCAGCTGTAGATAGCCTTCCAATTCTTCCTCCTCCATGTAAATCCGGGTAGCTGAAGCGATCTCGTCGATCTTTTCGTGCTCCGCCATGCCAACATTTTCCAGTCCATGCTGAACCTGGAATCTGAACAATCGTCTTTCAGCCCCCTTACCCATCATTTCCGGATGGTCCTTTCCAAATTGAGCCGCGGTCTGATCGGCATCAGTGGCAATTGCTATCAGGGTTTTCCCGATCTCAACGAGACTCTTGCCGAAGGGCTTGAGTGAGCTTTTGCCGGTCCCGATTGATATGATATACTGAAAATCGCGACGCGGCTTTGCCCACACTGTCTGCGCTTCCTTATGCACTTCCCTGATCGGACAGTTGTAGCCCGCTCCGCCGTCGACAAAATGTTCATTGAAATTCCCGATCTTCACAGGGTCGAAGAACGTTGGAGCAGCCGACGTTGCCCTCGCCGCTTGCCAGATCTTGGGCTGAAGGTCGCTGTATCCCTCTAACTCATAATTGCGAAAGCGGACCAAGCTCCGCTTACTAGCGTTGAGGGCACAGACAAAGCTGTACAATCATCAGCACAAGAAGCCTTTGCCTGATGAGCTGCATGTTAAATTTACCTTCGGCAGGACGGGTCTTCCTCTAAGAGCAAGGATTGTTCCTTACCTTCTCCTAAGTACTTCCCGACGACTTTTTGGACCTGCTCCTCTAATACCTTTGAATCACATCTTCCTCGAGCAGTTGCAGTGTTCCGCAACCGTGCAAACACATTGTATCGGTGCTTTGGTGCGAATACAATTTTTGAAAGTTCGAGGTATTCAGCAATAGCTTCCGATACCGACATCCGCAATCGTCCAAGCATGATGGCTATAAGTCTGGGGAGGTAGGTCATTCCACATCAACACACTGCAATACCCAAGGGGTTCGCCGGCGGATGAAGGCCTACTTACCCTCCTGTACTTGTGCCACCGATCAGGTCAAACACCTCACATGGCTTGGGGGGATTTTTATTGTCGATGGCTTTCATCAAGTATTCTAAGACAAGAAGTGTGGACAGGCCCCGAACCCCACCTCCATCTTTGAGCCTGTTTAGAATTGCCAATACTACGGTGTACCGACTTTGACTTACCGAGGGAGAGAACTCTCAGCCCGCGAGGAGGATGGTCGTTGTTTGCATCGACATCCATGACATGCGCATTGACTAGTACGACTCAACAATCTTGAAAGGTCTTTGAGGCAGAGTTTCCAATCCTGCATCTTCGTGGTTCCCTGTGGACATACCCCGCAGTCCTTTGGAACTTGAAGGGTATTGGCCCGCTTTCCCCTTCCTGGGCAGCATCAACCTTTGGACGTGGTGGCTACGACGGTGAACGACGATCTTTTCAATCACACGTTGTCGACACTATCTAGACTACATCACGTATGAATGGAAGTGTTCGAGGTTTCTGTTCGCGCAGCAGGTGCAAGCCTCACATTACAACTGTCCTCGCTGAGTAAAATATCTGATCTGAAGCGAGAGGTTGAGCGTTTGAGTACGCGACACTGCAATCCAACATGTCGTTACTTCAATCGTACGATGCAGGGCTGATGGTTGAGCAGGGGGCATACCCTACAGCAAACAACGGATTATCATCCTTGGAAAAGAGGTCTCGGACAACGACATTATCGCAACCCAGGAGCCGGTCCCTATAGTTCATTGTTTCTCAACGGAAACCAATGAAGGGACATCCGCCCAACCTACTTCGCACCACCCAGATCTTGTCAACAAATCCACAGCTGGATCTGAATCAGTACCTTCGAAAGTTACAGATGTTACGCTTTTCGTCCAGGTACAGTAGCCCGCTTGAATGCTCCGCCTCGACTTTGCTGCTTGACGCTTTACCAGTTCGATGAGCCTGATACCCACATTGAATTTTCCATTCACGTCCCCCGGCACGAAGTGGTATTCGACATCAAGGCGCGCTTAAGCCAAATGCTAGGAATAAAGTACAGCCATCAGAAACTTGTCATAGGTGATCATATTTTACACAACGGCCGCAGAATCTGTCACTATACCGATGAAATTGTGAGGCGAAAGTTGGCGCCGAAACTGCAAGTAATCAACACCGGGCCCCCACGAGTTGGAGATAACAAACGTGGTCAAATCTTCGTGCGGACACTTACCGGGTAAAACTCCAGACGCAATGCCTGTGCTGACCGTCGCCACTGACCTGGTCAAAGGAAAACCATTGTTCTCCACGATGTCGATTTCCATGATACCGTAAGCAGCGTCAAGGAGGCAATCTGGGACAAAGAGGGCGTAGCCGTCTTCGCGCAGAGGCTTATTTTTTCTGGCAAGCAGCTCCAAGATGAGAAAAGCCTAAGTGACTACAACATCAAATCTGATTCCACTTTGCATCTCGTTTTAAGACTGCATGGCGGTGCAGGTGTATGAGTATGAGTAATGGGTGGTCTGGAAGTGTCTTTATCGCTATCTCGATCTTCTCCATGCAGTGTACTTACTGACTAGAGGTCGACGAACTTGAGTAGCTCTGTAATGCGGGCGAGAATGGAAATACCTCATTGGTATTGCTGAACTGAGGTGATCTCGAGCAAGCCTTTGCTTTGTAAAAAGGCATCAATCAAAGTGAGATGCACAGCAGTTCTGCTGTTATCATCTGTCGCGAGATATCGAGTTTCTGTATCGATACGTAGGTACCTAGGTACTTCAGGATACTGCGTCGTCTGCACCACACCAGATGCGAAGCCGTGATTGACACCGTTTGGAAGTGGTTTAGATCGATGACTTGGGAAACGTTTGAGTGAGATGCCGGCTGCCTAATTATCAGGTGTTGTAGAAGACGAGGATACAATGGCAGGTAGAGGTAGGGAGGAAACAGATTCCGTATCATCAAGTCCCAAGCATACCTTCCCGAGCACCGACAGCCTCGCAGCCTCGTTCTCCCTTGGCGCTAGTCCCAGAAAGACAATTTATCCAAGAAAGGCTAGCATCGGATGAATGTTAGCCAGCTTCCATTCTACAAAGGTGGATTTGCTGACATTCGAAAAGACCATGCTCATGCTCATACTCGTGCTCGCCCCAGAAATGGAGGTGGATGCTGAAGCTTCGGTACGGGCCTATTTGAAATGCACACTTTATCGCGCCAGTAATGCGCGAAAGAATCGCTTCAGCCTGTCGTGACAACCTCGACTTGATACAATTCTCCTTTGCCCGGACTTAGTATCCCTGAGGTGCTGGGAAGGCGGCTGCCGCTACGTACGGCCTTGGATACCAAGACATATATATAAATTGCTGGCCGGACTTGATTCTCTAGTTTCACCTTGGTCAGTAGGTAGGACGACAAGAAGAACAAGTCATCAAGCGTCGCCATTCCCAACGCTCGACACCAACAGCCACTCATCCACCCTTTGCCCCCATCTCCCGTGTCTATACAAACAACAGACAACCCCTAAAAATGACTACTCACCCGACATCTCCATCTCCACCTTCCCGCCCCCCAACAGCAGCCGGAGGAGGGCTCCTAACAATGACAACCATCCTCGCACCAAGCCACCTCCTCGCCTTTTCGACACTCTTGGGCGCACAACTCCACCAAACCTTCCTCGTCACATCGCTGAACTTCACGCACCTGCCGCGCCCGGCATTCAAAACGCTACAGAAGGCCGCGTTTCCGGCGTATTTCCGCGCGCAGACTGTCTTGGTGGTTCTCACGGTGGTGACGGGTCCGGCGGCCGCGGGGGGACTCTTGGGGTTGGTTGGGGAGACAGGTAGTGCGACGACAGCGAGGGCGGGGGCAACGTGGGATTCAGCCGCGTTGGGCGTGGCGCTGGCGACAGCGTTGGCGAATTGGCTGGTTTACTCGCCGAGGACGATTGTCGCGATGGATGCGCGCACGAGGCTGGGTGAGTTTTGTTACTACTTCTTTTTGCCTTTCTGGTTTTGGCTCTTTCCGTGTGGCGTGCTAAGAACGTTGCTCGTCGACTAATCCTCTTGGTGACCGGTGGTAGAAACTCGAGCGAGGGAGAAGGAGAAGAAGAAGCAGATCGACCAGGGCGAGGAATTGAAGGATGGTGACAGCGGCGAAAATCAGACGGAACTGCCAATCGTCAACGCAGAGGCCAGTCCGGAACTCAAAGCTGCTGCTCGTAATTTCTCCCGCAATCATGCCATGAGCATTCATCTGAACCTGATTACGATTATTGCGACTTTGGTCTATGGATGGGGTCTGGCTGGGAGGATGTCATTTTCGTAGTCGGTAGGTAGGGGAACGAAGTCGCGCCAGGGATTCTGAATATATCAATCTGTACTTTGTTTCCTGTACAAGCAATACCCTGGTGACTCTAATCGTCTATGACCAGTACAGCATGAGTACATAATTCCATGCCGACACCCGTTAAAACGCCATGCTGTCCAACTGAATGCCCAAGGGACTCCCTCCAAGCCTTGAAGCCTCTCAATGAAAGGCCCACTCTCCTGCTTGTGAAATCGATCAGGGAATCAATCAATCGTCCCGATTTTTGGACGGAACTCCAGACCCAGATGCAACGCCATTCCCAACATTTCCCCCGTCGTCTAATCCATCGTCTTGATCACGCATCAAAGGGATCGAATCTGCCGGCACATTTGATTCCGCAGGGCGATTGTCGGTGTCATCAGCATCGTAAACAGTCTCCTCAAACCCCCCAGTGTCATTAATATCGTCATCACGCTTTTTCACCTTCTCTCGAGCTTCCTGTCGCATCTTGACAATCTTCAGATAATTGTAGCAGGCAATACTGACTATCGTAACCAACAAGCCGCTGATGTTGATCAGGCTCAATTCATCGTGGAAGATAATGCCTGCAGCACTGATGGTGATCACTTCTTTGAAGATTCCACATATACTCAAAGTGACAACACTGGTCCGTTGGAGTAAGGTGAACTCCGAAGCAATCATACAGAAAGCTAAAACGCCCGGAACAATCAAAAGTCCCAGCGCTTTGGCAATGCCGTAGGCTGAGATTAGAATTTGAATTCCCGTCAGGACGGCTGTGGGACCTTCAGAGAAACAAGCGATGGTGAAAAGGGTGACAAACATAATCGGGGCGAGGAAGAAGAGGGTTGCGAACGGATTCGACGTGGCTGGATGTCGAAGGAGCAAAATTTGTGTCAATGCCCATCGGAAACCGGAAAAGAATGAGGCGGACATAGCCAAAGTGAAACCCAGGGCGTGAAAAGCGGTTTCACCCGCGACCATCATCAACACTCCCAAAGTCATGGTTAAGATGATGAGAATCAGCTTGAGCGAGGGTTTTTCCAAGCGGAAGAGGAATGCAAAGGTAAGGACAAAAATCAAAACGCTGCTTTTGCACATGGTGTAGAAAGTGAGGGTAATGTAGCGGAGAGAGGTATTCCCGAGGCCAATATCCAGACATGTAGTGGTGCCCGTGGGTACCAATCGGGTGAAATAGAACAAGGGTGTTACTAGAGGTTTCGGGGGATGCGACTCGTTTCGGTATGATGGTGGTTGTGGTTGGGTAGGTCGTAATGATGGGAAGATCAAGAGGATAATTGATGCCATACAGAACTGGACCACCATATGTAGAGATGTAGCGAACATTGGGAAGTGGAAGTCGATGTGGTCGGAGGAGAACATGAATTTGTTATACTGCATTAGAAGGTCAATTCTAGGTATCGCTGATTCAGGTTGTCCAACTTACAATGGATATGGATAGAGAGAAGAAATACCATCCGCTGATAAAGACCGCGTTGACCAGGAGGTTGCGTATGACACTTTGGTCTGCTTGTCTGGCTTCATCCTTAGACAAACCTGATGCGCCTGCAATCCGGGCATCCAACCCATCGCGCCTCCTCTTGCGCCTCAGATATTTCCGTTTAGCATGTTTGTTTAGACCAGCTTCTTCATCGTCTTCGAACTCGAGATCAACATCGGAGTCAAGAGCCCCAAGTTCGTGTTCTTCTGGGTCGGACATGGAGGAACCTGCCTCATCGTCTGATGAGCTGTGGTCCTTGGACTCGGATACAGAGCCAGTACCTCTTCTCTTATATTTGCGCCGGGGATTTATATAAACAAAATTGTCCTGAGTCTGAGTGGTTGAGGTGGGAGCGACACCTGGAGTTGGCCTCGGAATCCTGTCGCTACATGGAGGTGTCTCCATGGGATTGAGAGGTGAGATGATGGATGGATCTCAAATCATTGGGGCTAAGCGGAGTGAGGGAAGATAAAGAGTGGGTGGATGGTAGTGAAGGTGAACAAAGAGTGGTGTTCGTCCGTTATACTGGGGGTGCCGATGTATGGACTGGACCAGAGTAAGCCGTGAGCACGGAATTGGTGGATGGGAAATGCTGGGTAGTGATAATGGTGGATGGATCCCAGGAGGAGAGTAACATGTCACTGCCACTTGGAGACGCGCCAAGACCTGTCAGAAAAGCGGCCTCGTGTCTAACCCTGTTTTGGGCCAAAAGTGGTGCCGCCCTGATCTCCCTTGTCTAACTGATAGGGGCAGGGGGAGTAAGTCTGGGCACCACGTAATGAGACAACCGTGTAATGTGACACGCGTTTTTACGCGCGTCTCAATCCCACTCCTCCTCTTCTACACCTAACCACTCAACCAATTCATTTAGATGTACGATTAAATGGCATCAAATCGAGAGACTAGGATGCTTCAAGCGATATCCGACTACCAAACTCGCCGATATACCAGTATCCGCGCTGCCGCGGCGGCAAATGACGTTAACCATATGACTCTCGGCCGTCGACTACGAGGTGGCAATTCACGAGCAATTGCTCGTGAACCACAGCAACTCCTATCGAACCAACAAGAGCAAATACTAGTACGTTGGATACTCGACCTTGAGATGCAAGGACATCCTCCTAGCTTTACTTAACTACGAGATCTCGTCGTTATTATTCGAGGCACTCCGACGGAGCATTCAAGCATTGGCCAAAACTGGATATCACGATTCATTCAACGTTATCTAGAGATTCGCTCTAAAGTAGGTAAAAAGATCCATGGCTTGCGATTATAGAGCACTACTCCCGAGTCCTTAAATCGCTGGTTTAAGCATTTTAATACTGTTCGAGAACGATATTCAATACCCTAGGAGCATATCTATAATATGGATGAGATAGGTATCGCTCTAGGCGTCTGTTCTAATTAATAAGTAATTAGTAGAATCGATACTACCCAATCCTATAAAGTAACACTAGAAAATCGTGAATGGGTCTCTATTATTGAGACAATATCAGCGACTGGCCGTCGACTACAGTGTCTCGTTATATTTAAAGGAAATATGCTCTAATCGACGTGGTTTACGGATCCGGATACTCCTAACTATTCCTATACGGTATCACCTAACGGATGGACCTCAAATACTATCGGATTAGCCTAGTTACATTAACTATTCCTCCCTCAGACAGCAACGGATCACTATCGACTCCTCCTACTTGATGGACATAAAAGCCACGCTATATACGAATTTATGTGGCAATGTCATATTAATCGAGTAGTATTGGTCTATCTAATACCTCATTCAAGTCATATTCTTCAGCCGTTGGATCTTGCATACTTTTCGCTCCTAAAATGCCGTTATCGGGATGAGATTGCTAACTTAGCAAGGTACGACGACGCCTCGGTCGTAAAGAAGAGTAGATTTCTCAAAACCTATGAAAAAGCTAGCAATGAGGCTTTATCTACTTATTATATCCGTACGGCGTGGGATGCGGCTGGTATATATCCATGGGATCCTCGCAAAGTCATTCGATCAAGTCAAGTCCTTCAAAATAGCCAAAATGAGCGAATACTACCAACTACGCCACCGTCACGCAAGCAAGCTCAGTATATATCGAATAATATTCATACGCCACTTACTCAACAGCAAATACGACAGGAAACGGAGTCGATTTCAGCTCAGGAAACTCTTTCTCGTCCAGTGCGTCGTCTACTCCAAAAAATAGCTAAAGCATTCGACTAGCTACAGTGGGAAATCACCACTAAATCGCAACAGCTCGCTACTTAGCGTCAACAGCTAAATGAGCTAGTTGCTAGTAGACAACCGCGAGTCGCAATCGACTGCAATGAGGTATTTGCGAGTATCGAGACCATCAGACAAGCTAGGCAGGGTATGGAGGCATTAGAAGCGACAGCGAGATCTAGTACGCGCTCAACCACTAGGAATACTACTAGGAATAGGCACTTGAATGACTCCCTAACACCATTCATGCATCAATTTAGTGCAAATGAGCCTGTAGAATAGGCAATTCATAATTTAATCGTCGTGGTGGCGATATGGAGGCGTGTCACATTACACGGTTGTCTCATTACGTGGTGCCCAGACTTACGAGTAGGTAGGCCTCATGTTCGTATCTTGGCGATCAAGAAAGAGATAGCTTCCACAAGTTCACATGCCACTTCACTCAAACCATTCTCCTCTTCCATTTCAATTGCCAGGCTGAAGTCCAATACCATCTCTCAGGAATTTTCTATCCCCGATGTCAAGATGACAATTTTGGATGACTCCTATCCCGCAGAACTATCTATCGGGCAATATTCACACGTAGAATTCATTCTTATCTCCAGGAACGGACCCAACAACGATTGTTTTTGCCAACACCCAGTTCGTAAATGCTAGTCTTGTTTGCAACATATGGCCAATGCCTAGAGCCTATCCTGCGTGACAGAGTATGAATCATTGAAAGCGGCAGTCATCGTCGTTCAACGGTCCTACACCACAGGTTCAAGACATGCTCAATTTCGAATATGACCATAGAAGTAAAAGGGAGCTGCCTGCAGGAGATGAGGACGAACGAAGCCATACCTCGACGCGCCGAGCGCGCCGCTTCTCTTATGATGACTATACGGTCGGCTGGATCTGCGCACTTCCGCTGGAGATGAATGCCGCCAAAGCCATGTTGGACGAAAAGCACAACAGTCTGCCCAACCCCATCGACGATGACAACGTGTACACGCTGGGGCAGATGGGTTTTCACAACGTGGTTATGACTTGTTTACCCTCAGGCATATATGGCACAACCTCAGCAGCCCTAGTTGCAAACAAGATGCAATCCACTTTTAGATCGATCCGCTTCGGATTGATGGTTGGTATCGGAGGTGGGGCACCCAGCAAATTTGCAGACATTCGCCTAGGTGATATCGTTGTTAGCAAGCCAACGGAGAATTTTGGGGGAGTTGTGCCGTATGATTACGGCAAAGCCATCCAGGAAGGCGTGTTCAAACGAACTGGCACTTTGAACAAACCACCACAGGCACTTCCAAAAGCAGTTTCATCTTTACAAGCAGACAAGTTAAAGTCTAGTAAGATTCTGGCTTACTTGTCCGAAGCCGCGGCTAAGGACCCAGATATGACGGATGAATTCACATTCTCTGATTGTCGAGAAGACTGGTTATTCGAAGCTCAATACGAACACAATGACTCCGAGACAACCTGCAATGGCTGCGATAAAAGTAGGCTAGTAACTCGATCTGCTCGATCTACCAGAGACCCGGTCATCCATTATGGGCTAATCGCTTCAGGAAACCAAGTAATGAAGCATGCGAGTACCAGGGACCGGTTGGCCAGTGAGTATGGCATTCTTTGTTTCGAAATGGAAGCTGCCGGTTTGATGGACCATTTCCCATCTCTGGTTATCCGCGGAGTCTGTGACTATTCGGATTCGCACAAAAGCAAGACGTGGCAAGCATACGCTGCGGCAGTTGCCGCAGCATATGCCAAAATAATACTCTCTGTGGTCCCCGTTACTCAGAGTTCCAGAGCAGTTGCGACAACAATTGCTAAACCGAGCGTAGGTAAGCTCTTGTGCCCTCGTACGTAACATTGCGTGCGAATACTATGGCCTGCGGCGTCAGCTCTCTCAAGATCATGGCTTCATTAGATTAACCGTTCTCTAGACCTGGCAAATTCCGATTTTCCAGAAGGTAGAGGTAAGGCTCTGACAGGTTTAACCATCATATATTAACGAGAGACAGGGACTCGAAATCTCGCCATAGACGAAGCAGCACGCATGCAAAAGGCCAATATTTTGACTTGGCTATCGACGTTCCACTATCGACAGAAATACACCGACCTCTGTAAACGACGAATGAAGGATACAGGACAATGGCTACTCAATAGTGACACTTTCCAACAATGGTTGTCAAAGGGCCAGTCCCCGTATCGTCCAGTATGGTGCTGTGGCGATCCAGGCACAGGCAAGTCGGTACTTGCGTATGTTCCTCACGTGGCTTGAGTTCGAGTTCTGCGAAGAAAAACTAACAGAGAACCAGATCTTTAATGATTGACCATATTATGGCTATTTGTTCGAGCGCCGCTAGAAGCAAAGCCATAGCGTACCATTTCGTTGACCATCTCGATGAAGCCAGTGGAAACTGTCTTACTATTTTACGGAGTATTCTACACCAGCTCAGTGAACAACTTGATCCACTGCCAATGGTCATCACGACATTATTTGAGGATCTCTACAAGAAAGGAAAAGAGATAGGGTTCGACGAGACGAAGCTTGCAATTCGAGCATGTATCAACATGCTCGATCAAGTTTTCGTGGTTATTGATGCCCTCGACGAGGCCCCAGCTCAAGAACGAAGCAGCTTGCTGTCCACTATCAAAGAATTTTCCTCACAATGTAAAATCATCGTCACAAGCCGCCCACACTTGGACGATATCTCTCGCACTTTCCACGACGATCCCAGCATTGATGTCACAGCACAGGACAGCGATCTCCAGCTCTATCTTCGTTCTCGGATGTCATCTACCTGTCATTCCTTCGTTGGAAATGAGGATTTCATGGACCAGATCATTCACACGATCATAGAACATGCACATGGTTTGTAAGTAATCAGAAGATTGTTCCTCCTTGCACAGCTAATCGAACATGCAGGTTCCTCCTTGCTGTTCTACACATCGACAATGTACTGAACGAGCCAACCATTGGGGACGCGCTTGTCGCCCTCTCCAGCATTTCGAGCAATCTTCAGTTGACGTTTCAGACCATGTTGAAAAGAATTGCAAACCAACAAAATCAAAATCGAGTCGGTCTCGCAACACGGGCGCTTGCAGTCTTAGCATACGTCAAAAGACCTCTCCAAGCCATTGAACTCTGTGATATTCTCTCAGTGAGACCAAACCAGACGCACTTGAATAGTCTATTTCGCCCGTCTTGTGCCACTGTCCTGGATTGCTGCGGAGGATTGGTGGTTTTGGACAAAAACACTTCAACCATACATCTTGTCCACTACACGCTACAGGAATATATCCGAACCGACCCTTTTGGCCAGGAGATTGCCCCTCCGACCACCGTTGCGAGATTGTGTCTGGAATACCTCGGGATGGACGACTTTGCATCTGGATCATTTGCAAATGAACAAGAAATCTTTACATGTATCATGTCATATCCATTCTACCCTTACGCGGCAAGGTGGTGGGGACATCATGTCAATGGCGACAAATCTCTAATCGGTTCTACACTCGATCTCCTGTGGTCCAGTCCCCATCGAGCCACACTGGCACAGGTATTTATGTATGATGCCGGACTACGGGAAGAGTACTGGTGTGCAGAGGAAGCAAACAGCAACAATCCATTAACAGTAGCCGCTTGGTATCACATGCATGAAGTCTCACGGATCTTACTTGATGATGACTGTATACCTGTGGACAGCGCCACATCGCTGGGGACAACTGCACTGATACGATCGACATCAGAGAATGATGTAACTCTGGCAAAGATGCTCATTGAGCGTGGTGCGGACCCATATGGGTGTAATTGGTATGGTTCGTCTCTTCACTGCGTTGCGGAATCCGGCCATTGTGAGGTGATGGAATACCTACTTAATTTAGGGTTGGACGTCGATTCGCGAGATCACCATGGCCGAACTCCACTACACTGTGCCGCTCAACGGGGTAGATCCGGTGTTGTCAGATTGCTGCTAGACAGAGGTGCTTCCATCGATGTTATCAGCAACGCGGGCCTAACTCCGCTTGGGGAGGCAGTGCTGAGCCAACAAGATTGCGATTTTTGCTTCTTTCTTATGGAACAGATGGCAATGGCTGGGACGGACGTTGGATTAGTGGGACTGCTTGCTCTTTTGGACCCTGATCAAGTTGAAGATGTATAAGGTGCCTATGGGCAGCAATTGCCTCCATCAATTCCTCCTCTCGAGCTACTCTCCTCAATGGCATGAGCTTCGAGAGAACGCGGCAGGTAGCTGTCTCACTTGAACTCGAAACTAACCCGGCTGCAAAGGGTTGAGCATTTATCATATGACATGACAAAATTGCCTCTGCGCGCCTGCACTGAATTCCAGACTTAACGCATTGCGAATTGATCAAGAAGAAGTGTCAGAAAAGGAGCCACGCGTCTCAGCCTTTTGGGACTTCAGGAACGAGAATGCATGTGCAGATTCGCCCATGCATGAAATGAAGCTATGTGATCAACATCGCAGCTTGTGAGCTTATCTAGTACTAAGCATGTTAAAAACCTTTTGTCATTACATAGGTAGTGATTGATTTTCTTTCCGAGGGGCGATAGAACCAGGACCGCGTTCTTGAAACCACGGTATGGGAGCGCATCCTCGGTGCTCTAAGTGTGGCAAGACGTTGAACCGAAATAGCGACCACAATATTGCCGCCTTTAGTCCACGTCTCACTAACGAGCTAGTGCAAGGGCTAGTCAGCCATTAGTAGCTACCGAAGTACGTACCTAGCCCGTCAACATGGACTTCACCACTCAGTCTTGCTGCCATTGATGTCAACCTCTTGAACAATTTTCAAGACTAGCGAAGTCACGAAGTCTTCGCCAACATCAGAATCTGGTACATCCAGAGTTGTTATGAGTTGCATCCAGACTTCTTCACGATGATCTGTTGAGAGCGATGGTATTGGTGACATCAAAATGGATCGCCACCAAGCACAACGAGGAGTGAAGAGGCGCACTCCCAATGCGTACGTTTCTTCATCGCGCAATAGTCTGTTGAGTACTGAAACTGAGTTGTCAGCTGCCAAAGATGTCGCAGACACAAGATCAAGTGCAGCGGCGCAGCTCCATGCTCAAATTGCTCCAAGCGCAGCAAATTATGCCTTTTCGATACTGCTGAGCCAACGGTTTCGGTATCAAAGAGGTACACTCAACCTTTATTCTAAATGATCTCATCTGACAGTGCCAAGATACCTTTCGCAACTCGAAAAAAGGCTTGCAATGCTAGAGGAATCAGCAGGAGAACCAGCACATCGGAGCAATAGTAGTACTCCTGCTGGGGCTAGGAACTCAGAAGAACCACAACTGGAAGGGCGGCAGAGCTCGCTCGTTGATGCATCATTAATTGGCGTCTCCGATGGCAGGGAGGAGAGTGCATTGAGCCTCTCACAAAGGCCTCCAATCACCTTAGGAGACGAGGCTGGGAGACAATCTTCCACCGATGATGTGGGAATGACTAATCCCCTATCCGCCGGTCCATCTGATACAGGTTTCATGTCGGATGGCTCGAAAGGCAGATCAGGTGAATACTATACACCGCTCTTTATGGGGAATGAGCTCACCCTTTGCAGTCTATCTTGGTACATCGTCAAACTGGGCGTTCAGCCGAAGAGTATTGGACGGAGTTCACCAGAAGATTCATGGAGCTCCGTTAGGTCCAGACAATTTTGCCTTGGACGGAGATATCTATAGCCTCGGTTGGGATGGCTCAAGGGTTCTCAATGACGAAGATAAGGTCGCCCTACCTTCCCTGAATCATGCAATATATCTGGTGCGATCGGTACAATTCCACATTGGTGATTCCTACCATCTGCTCCATGAAGAGTCTTTCATGTCGGAATTGTCACTCTTCTACGAAAACCCTGCGGACGAAATGCACAAGCGGAAGCTATGGTATGTTCACTACTTGCTGATTATGGCTTTCGGGAAAGCTTGTACCTCCAGGAGTGTCGAAAGAGGGAAACCACCTGGTGTGGAGCTTTTCGTCCAAGCCATGAAGCTCATGCCCGATTTGTCTCAAATTTGGACAGATTCTTTTACAGCAACGGAGGTATTTTGCTGCGGTGCACTCTACTTGCATTGTTCAGATCACAGATTCGGGGCGTATTTGATGGTAGGATCGGTTTCGTCATAAAATTTCCCCATCTCCTACTGATGGTAGAAACAGATTGGCCATGCTATACGTACCGCTCTTCACCAGGGAATGCATACCGACCTTCCCCCTGGTACTTTCGGAGACTCGCAAATTGAACGTGCGCGCCATATCTGGTGGACTGCCTATATCCTGGACCGTGAGTTGTCTTCACTCATGGGTCTGCCGAATCAAGTGGCAGATGAGAATATTCATGCCCGATTTCCTTCAATGCCATCTAGTGACCAAGATAAAGGATTGCGCCTTCATATCAAATTATGCCGCATCGTCGCGCAAGTGATCAGTAGTAAGTTTCCCATCCCTTTTCAACTGGAGTCTTTGCTCTAAGCTAATTGGTACAAGCCGTATATGGTCCGGATGGATCTCTTGACAAAAGGTTCTTGACTAGTACAAGATCCGCCCTTACTAGCATTGCCAACATAGCTGAGGAACTCAGTAATTCCTTCAAACTATCTTTAGATGCCCTTGGTGAAGGTGTGTCGCGACTATCGGCAACTCTGCATCTTCAATATCATTATGTAAAGTCCCGTCTTTCTATTATACGCGAGAAGTATGCCCCGACTAACGATCGCCTAATCAGTGTATTATTCTCACTACTCGACCTCTACTTTTCAGCCTGTTCAAAAAGCGTCTTGATGCTCAAACGACATCTTCCAGCATTATAACCTCCGTAGAGCGCTTGCGAATTCTGCTCAAGATGTGCACAGACTCTTCTGAACATTCTCTCGACATCCTATCGACCCTACAGCGCCAAGATCTGCTAGGTAAGTATCAAAAGTGACAGGAGAATCTGGAGAAGGTACTAATTGTATCAGCCAATTTTGTTCCCTTTGATCTTGAGTCGACATATTGCTCCGGTATCGTCACACTCATGGCCGCATTCGTCGAGCCCTTACTCGTGGAAGATCTGCAAGTCGACCTTGAGAAGACACACCGAGTCTTGGACGACATGATTATCAAAGGAAGCCTAATTGCATGCCAGCGCAAAGCAGAACTCGAGCAATTGGATAACATGCTGGACACTCTCAAGATACAGGGTACAAGCACTGCCACACAGATAAAACCGGTCGAGGACTCTACTCTCAATGATGATGCAATACATGCTTTCCCCCTACAGCGCGCAATCGATAGTCCTGCGATACAACTCGGAGGTGACAATTTGGGACTCGCCCTTCAACCATTTGAAGAATGGACTTGGGAGGACGCTCTGAGCTCTGAACAGCTAAGAGGTGTTGCTGACCTTCTGGATGGTGATCAATACATTGGCTCTGGCGAGTTCATGTTTTGATAACATATATTCATTATCACTCTCCGACAGAGCAATGTGCATCTAAGGGGCATAGCACAGAGAAGTCACTCACAAGCGCGCTTTCACGACGCGATCCTTCTCCGCGATGAGCTCATCGATCTCTCCAGTTGTCCCGATCCTCCAGCTCACCTGGTCACCCCAGTCTCTGCCGTCTTTGCCAAGGTTTTGCCTAAATTGCCATCTGGATAGATTTTGTTTTCCATCTTTCAGGAGCTGGACAACCCACTCTCCTACGATTGGCATCATCTTGAACCCATGTCCGGAATCCCCAGATAGCACGATCAACGAGTTATCCGTGCTCGGGACAAAATCAACCGTGTATTCCGAATCATCGGTATCCGCGAACCAACACATCTTGTTATCTACGAATGGTCGATCCGCCAACCATGGCAATGTCTCCCGTAATAACGTGCGTAGCTTCTTCTCGTCTATTGCAGGAATGTAGTCCCTGGGTGCTGGCAGAGACTCTCCGGGAGGTAATGAAATGCCGGTGCTCTTGTTGGTATTGATGTATCCGGCCCCAAGTGGACACAGCTTGAAAAGTCGAGTGGCTGGATCAGGCTCGAAGAAGAATCCCAAGTCTCGGACATTGAGAACTGGGATACCACGGAGATAATCGCATTCTCGTTCGGTAAGCTGAATATGGGCTACAGACCAACATTTCGCCTTGACATAGGAACCAATATCTGGAAGGAGTTTCGCAGCCCATGCTCCTAGACAGACGATTGTTAAGCTGGCGTTGTGGTTCTCTCCGCTGGCTGCCTGGAACCCAGTGCAACTCCGAGGTGTGTTGTGATCTCGACTGTAGAGAAGCTTCACCGCCTTGCCTTCCAGGGGGCCCAAAACGAATTTAACACCCCGACCGGCTAAATGTTGATAAATGTCAACCATTGCGTTTGAAGAATGGGCATAACCAGCAAGTCGATTATGATATCCTCGGAATCCATTCAATGGGCCTGTGAATTGCCAATAAATGTCCTTAAAATCTCGAGATTTCGACAGAGGTGTAATTCCACCAGAGAACACTGGATGGTTTTTCACCGACCCAAGAGCCTTTTGCAGATGCTTGACAGCCTTCTCAGGCGCCGCACCCGTCGTCGCAACCACATATCCCACCTGGTGAAAGTTGCCACCCCATAGAGGAGTCTTCCACGTATTTATGGCTTTCTGGACATTAACAGTCAGGCGTCTTCCAACCAAAGCCTCATTCATTTTGGAGACTGGAATCGACCTACCAATGCTAACTCGGTATAAAATTCGTCCTCATACTCAGCCCGAACGATCTTGTTCAGATCGTAAGCACCGGAATAGGGCGATGGTATCTGAGATGCTTGGTCGAAGACTGTGATGTTTGTGTGTCCCGAGTTGAGAAGATGGAGAGCAGTCGAGAGACCCCAGGCGCCTGCCCCCAAGATTGCCACGGGGTCCGTCTTTTCCGGAGCCATTTTTCTAACTCGGATTTAAATATTAATTAATTTGTCTCGAGTTAATGTGATTTGGATATTGGTATGACTTCAAAAGCTTTAAAGACCCAGCAAAGATTCGATATCGGTACCACTCGAGAACAATCGCTGAAAAAATTTGTGGTCTCTTGGAAGGCTAGCCAAATATCGGTTCTTACATTCGTGATGTGATGCGATGCATAGTCATACATATCGCACGACAACCTGTGGGCTCGGAGGTCCTACCGGCTCACTCGGCCATCCAAAGTCACGAATAGATCTAAGCCTATGAGTCGGCACCAAAGCCAAACGGATATTTCCGCCTCGTTCGATGTGCCGAACTGTGGTCGTTGAGCTCCACAAACATCTCGGCTGCACATCCGAGGGTTTCCAAAAATCCAGGGCTGTAGGGCTCGGCTTTGCATTTCTGTAGTTGTTGTTGATCTCCTTCAAGCAAAAGCCGTCTCGTTCTTGACTCCGACGCCGTGGACTTCTTGCCATCAGGAAATCACGATTAAATTTGAAACAATTCAAAATCCCAGCTTAGAGAGATCAAACTTCCTCAACATCACAGTCAACTCATTTCTCTCGTCAAGGAAGTGGGAAGGGTCTCGGCATAAAGATACTATTGCGTTTGGCATTTCATTGTATACCCTCAACGACTCGACAACATGTCAACACGCACTGCACTCAAGATAAGCAGAGCCTCACACAATCTTATATCAGATTCTCTTCCGAGATCATTGACGACATCGAGGAGGTTCATATCGACGGCCGGAAGCTACAAAACTCCCAAGCCTTTCAACGAAGCGAACGTAGGGTTTGATGAAAGAATGCTTCAGGCTCGAGGTTGCTGACGCTTCTACAGTTACATTATCGTCCATCATCGCCAGAACGGGAGAAATTAATCGCAGCACTTCAGGAATTACGACCAAGGATACCAGTTCGAGTCCCTTCCATAAAAAATGGACAGGAAACGACAGCACAAGCCAATCAGCCCGAGTCTGAAACTTTCATGCCTTCAGAGGCAGCCTCAGTGTTCGCAACATACAACCCAGCAACAGAACAAGACGTTTCTGGCGCTATTGAAGCGGCATTGAAAGCCAAACAGGCATGGCAGGACACGCCATTTGTGGATCGAGCGGCTATTTTCCTCAGAGCAGCAGAGTTAATATCGAAGAAGTACCGATTTGAAATTATGGCTGCCACGATGCTCGGACAGGGCAAGAATGCCTGGCAGGCGGAGATTGATGCTGCTGCGGAGTTGGCGGATTTTTTCCGGTTCAACGTGGCGTATGCGGATGAGATTTATGCCAAACAACCAACTTTGAATGAGCGTGGCCAAGCAGGGTAGGTCTCCTCGTGTTCTTGCAAATTCTCTTAGTATACTGACATCTCGGCCACCAGGCGAACCGACTGGCGTCCATTGGAGGGCTTTGTCTATGCGATTTCACCGTTCAATTTTACTGCGATTGGTGGAAATCTGATCTCTGGTCCAGCGATTCTAGGCAATGTTGTTCTGTGGAAACCTTCTCCATCAAACATCTATGCCAGCTACTTGGTTTACAAAATTCTGCGTGAGGCAGGCCTGCCTGCAAACGTCGTCCAGTTCATCAATGGTGATGCACAAATGGTCACTAAAATTGCACTTTCGCATCCTGAGTTGTCCGCTATCAACTTTACCGGTTCTTCGGATGTATTCCGCAGCCTATACGGTCAGGTTGCGGATGGTGTGCGAGAGAAAAAGTACCGTGATTTCCCTAGGCTGGTCGCAGAGACCTCGGGCAAGAATTTCCACCTGATCCATTCTTCTGCCGATATCAGCAATGCTGTGAAGCATACCATCCGTGCTTCATTCGAGTATGCGGGCCAGAAATGCTCTGCGTGTTCACGCATCTACATCCCACAAAGCCGTGCGGAAGAATTCTTCTCGGAAATGAAGCAGGAGTTGAGTAGTGTCAAAGTCGGCGCACCTGAGGACTTTGGAAGCTTCATTGGCCCAGTGATTCATCGGGAAGCTTTTAACAAAATCACCAAGGCGATTGATGCTGCCAATAAGGATGACAGACTCGAATTGATCGTAGGTGGTACCTATGACTCCAGCAAAGGCTTTTATATCGACCCGACCATCTACTCCGCCAAGACGCTCGATCATCCTCTTTTCGATCAAGAGCTCTTTGGCCCCGTACTGGCCGCTTACGTCTACCCTGATGCCGAGTTCGACTCACTCCTAACCACGATCGACAAACAGGGCGGGGGATTCGCACTCACCGGCGCGATCTTCGCGAATGATATTACCGCGATACGCAAGGCTGAAGATCGTCTACGCTACGCGGCAGGCAATTTCTACACCAACTGCAAGACTACTGGAGCCGTTATTGGCCAGCAGTCATTTGGAGGGTCGAGAAGCAGTGGTACGAATGACAAGGCCGGCAGCGCAAATATGTTGATGCGATTCACAGCACCGAGGACGCTGAAGGAGGAGTACCACACGCTGGACAATGTTTTGTACCCGAGTAATGCGTAGAATAATAATCTTGGATGGGACATAGGTAGTCAATTTGCATAAACAGCGCGTTGATATCTCCATGTAACATGTCCCACGTGATAGAATGCTACGTTCTTCGATAAAGCTCTTTGCAGATACGGAGCGGCCTTGCCCGTTTAGTTTTCTTCCATCAGCAGCTTTCTCTCTTTTTGGTATCAGAGCCGTCGAAAGGAAAGCATTTCTACATGTAGTATTGTTATGCTCTCCAATCAAGTTGCGGTTAAAGTGATGATATCAGTGCAAGATAGTCCTATCGTAGTGATCTGCATGCCAACCAACACGGACTTATGCATGTTCGGCTTTGCCGAAATCGAGATTCCCACCACCCGGCTTCGCATCCGAAGTGTCTCCTAAGGCTGTCGAACCGCCTGCTAGTGCCAGTAAAGGTAGCATTTGATATGCTTCAAGTCGTAATCACACTCAGCTCGCGTATCACTATGAGTCTTACTAGCACTCATCTATGCCTGAGGACCACAGAGGATTGACATCACACCTGCTCTGCGATGTCACCGCCGCGGCATCGGCATCGATAGCGGTGTCGCCGTTGGTGGCAGTGGTAGATAGGTAAGCCTTGCCCACAGTCTTCAGGCTCATATTCTAGATCGCCTGCCCAAGCACCAACCATCTGACCTGTTCTTGGACTGGCTGACTTCATATAGCTCCGTCATTCGCGTCGCCTCATCAACCCAGCGGCAACACATATTGCCGATCCTATGGAACAGCTTCAAACCGCTCCTTTTTTCACCACATAGATACATCACCACCAGGACATCACGACTTCTCTTCGCCGTCTATCTTGGCACCTACTCGACCGCCAATGCGATCGATACTCTCCAAGAGCACTTTAACAAAGACAACACCAATCCTCCAGCAATATCGCCTACGACAACCAAGCTCATCGGCGTCTCAGCCATTAGTACCGCTCTTACGGTCTACAAAGACTCCTGTCTGACCCAGATGTTCGGCGCCGCGATAAAACCAAAACCAGTCCCGCGGATAAGCTATGCCATCTTTACACTCCGCGATGTCCTGACCATCTACGCCTGCTTTGTGTGCCCGCCGATTCTCTCAGCGCGGCTCGAAGAACTCCCTGACAGCGTCAAGGACCAACTCCTACTGGGTAAACCCGAGGCACGAGCACGAATCTCGCAACTCATTCTACCTGTCATGGTCCAGTTCGTCAGCACGCCGATCCATCTGTTTGCGCTGGATCTGTATAACCGATCTCATGCAGGCCTGGGTTTCGCGGATCGCCTTGCGAGAGTGGGTAGGGACCTACCTGCCGCGGTGCCAACGCGCATGATGAGGATTCTACCTGCTTTCGGGGTGGGTGGGGTGTTGAATACGGAGATGAGAGGGGCGCTCAGGGGTTGGGTGGGAGGTTCCGGAAGAGACCCATCTGGCTCGAACGTGAATGGATGGCGTGCAACTGTACAGGTGTGATTATAGCGTCGTGATTACGTACAGAGTTATCATTCATACGTGTTCATAGATCATGTGTATATATATGCTAAAGCAACAACGGTCTTCTCAGAATCTCCTTCAGCACAGCCATTGCGGTCGCACGACTCCGCGTCACAGCGTCGCTGTTCTCCTCTGCTCGTCGAAGCATGTATAACAAACAGTCAGAGAGTGTACCCCAAACGGTATATTTGTAGACGCTGAGTTCTGGATAAGTCGGCATTGAGTCTTTCACAGCCTCACGGGCTTGCTCAGGGGTAGTTTGCCCCAGCTGTGCTGCGAGCGAAAGCGAAAGCTCGTCCGCCATGCCCATGAGCTGTGCAAATCCGAGACCACGAACCATCTCCTTGGCTCTGGTGTTGGCTTTGTACTGTCTCAAGGCTTCCTGGACGCTATGGGTGTTATGGGTTGCGAGCAGGATATCTATACTTGCGGCGCCGGACTGTTTCTGGTGCCTTCCAGGAGCACTGCCTTGATTGTCCAGTAGGAACCTCACGGCTGCGTCGTAGGCGTCGTCGGTTTGCTGTTTCGTATCGTGGATGATCGCACGACTGGGCTCAACGTACATGTAAGCACCTCTGACAAGCTTTAGCCCAAGAGTGTAGTTGTGGTCGATTGAATGCTGGAGATGGCGCTTGATTTTGTCGATGTTGCTCTTAAGATACATTTGATACGTGTTGAAAATTGTGACTCGCCCAATGTCCTCTCTACGTGGATTTAATTCTGGCATTAGATTCAGCGATATCTCATCAATAGCACGCTGGTATTTGGAGCCTTCAGCGTCGATCAATATCCGAACCTGTCTCGATTGGGCTCTGGCGCAGATCTGTCGCATCGAATCTTCAAGGAGTTGGTGTTCTTGCTTCAAACTTGAGTCGATCTCGGGAGTCGTACTTGGTGATCCTGAATCCCAGTTGCATACCGCGGTATAACGCTCGAGAAGGTCGACGGAAGCTTGGCCCGCTCCCGTGACTCTCAATGCAATGTAGTCACCCGGAAAGAGCATATCAATTGTCTGGAGGTTTGATTGGACCCAATTGTTGAGATCCTCATCCGTGGGTGTCAGTGTACCCAACTTAGCAGATGCTGGTCTGGCTGCTGCCTCCTTTGCGTAAGTCAGAATCACGCCATTCACACCCATTTTCTGCCGCATCGCAGCTGTGTTAGATGTGATTTCGCTCTGGTTTGCACCTATGCAGAAGTGCTTGTAGAAGGTGTTATGGACTAGCCATCTCAGCAACCTACTCCGGTCGAGAAGATCTGAGCGAGCTTTAACGGCCTTGATCAAAGCAAGGAGCATGGGTTGCGGTAAGGTTGCAACTGATAGAACGAGAAACGATCGTAAGAGATCCGAGAGTGGAATTTTCCTGAATGGTCTTCTTTGAGATGCATTCACCGTGATTTCTTGCCTCTCATGGTGACTGGATGCTTCGAAATCCGATTCTTTCTCCGAACGTAAGGTCGCTGCGTATTCTTTCGTGTTTTTTGTAGTGTTTCCAAACCGTGCGATGGTTGCCCTACAGAAATGAGGTGAGTGAGGGAAGCCATAGGCCCTCGGGAAAGCCTGTCTTCGAAGGCTAGAGCAAGCCATAGTCTCCGAAAACCATGGACCTGGATGAAGCCTCTTCTTTAGAAGTCACAGTCATCCCTGTGAAGGGGTTTCGATACCCGTTAGGCATTTGAATCGCGAGGCGGTCATCAGCGCTACATTATGTCCGTCAGTGGGTCATGTGCTGTTCTCACGGATGCTCTTCCGAGTGATCGGCCCATTAGCCGAACATAATTCTGGTGTTTATCTTGCACCATTGAAACTTCCAATCAAGATCGTAGGGTTACAATAATGTTGAAAAGCTCCCCACCGCTCAGTAATTAGCAAGTATTCGACCATGTGATCAAGATTAGTGATAAGTAATCTTGGTTTTAAGCAGCCTTGTGCTCATTGAGGCCAATAATGAACCATCTCTTGGCACGAGTGTACCATTGGTGCCTGTAGGATCTCTTCAATGTGTGTCCCATGGTGGGGAGACCTTGCAGCCTTCAGCCGAGCAGATTAAGAGGTTAGTAGTGTCTTGTAAAAGGTACGGCAGGGTTTGTTCGACAAGACCGGAAATTGAGCAGTCAGGCAAGTAGCGGCAATTTCTAGGACGATTAGAGCAATGTCGTGACCATCTACAGAAGGTGTCGTCCAGACAGTTCAGGTTTTTGAATTGTAGAAGGCGAATATTCCAAAGCTAAGTAAATTTCCTGACCAAGGTTTTCTCAGTTCCTGACTCCCAGCCCTAATAAATCAAACTCACAGAGACTTGAGGAAATCTAGGTAGATGTCGGATAGTTTATCCGGGCATTCTTCTGCAAGTTGGTGGCCATACTTGAGCTCCTTGTACTGAACATTAATGGCAACATTCTTCATCTGCTTCTCGACTTCCTGGCCGATGAAATCCTTGCTGCCGACGGCGAGTACGGGCAGTTGAAGCTTTGATTTGGCAGACTCCTTATTTGCCTTCACATTTTGCTCTGTGGCTCGGTCTGTGGAGTGTCAGCGTAGTCTTTGTGGACGAATATTGAACTTACAAATACCAAAGATACTTCTCAATCCACCAGGCTGTGATGCGCTTCTGACGTATTCTTCAATAGCATCATCATCGATCGATGTCGGATCATGAGCCTCGTTCTTGATAAACCTGTGGCAATATTAGCGGGTAGTACAAGGGCATCCTCTTTGCATTCACTCACCAGGTAAAGTACTCCTTCTCCCTTCCAGTGATCAACAATTCCGGCACATCACGTACGTGATAGAACGCAACGTGCCATAGATGTGTTTCTGGCCTCGAAGATTCAAAGGTTGCCCATTCCTCCAGACCCAGGCCTGGAAGCAACATCTCCTGGAATACTAGACTCAACACTCTCTCCGAGTGTCGAACAGCAACCTGATACGCCGCTGCTGCCCCCCAGTCTTCGCCAACTATATGAAATTTGTTATGACCCAGCTGTTGCATCAATTCGGCAATGTCATCAGCCACGGTGGGCATATCATAACCCGAATCTGGGTGGGTTGAGTCACCAATGCCTCTCATATCTGGAACAACGATAGTAAAGTTCTTGGTTAGCCGTGGTACGACTTTTCGCCAGTAGTATGATGTTTTGGGTATGCCATGCTGCAACAATAGTGCTGGTCCTGACCCTGCTGTGTAATAATGTAGACGCACACCAGTAGACAGCCTCTTTCGCCCGTGCTCGACCTCACGTCCGTCGTGGTCTAGGATCTTTACAGCCATATTATCGAGAGTGATGTTTTGCTACAAAGGCATCTACCAGTATTTTCACGCTTTTTGTTCTACATACAGACTCTGATCAACTCCAATCACATGACCGATGTCGTATGTGAATAAATGTCCTCCATATAATCCACCCTTCCCCCCGCATTGGAGTTGCGCCACTCCGCCTGAACGGCTAAAAGGCAATCCGTGTAAATGGTTAAGGGGCAGCTGTCTGCTTCTTCCATCTAAATTCTCCTCGCTTGTCAATTCTTTTGCTCACATGGATCACTTGGCATGCGGCTAAACGGCTGCAACATTCTATAATCTTTCAACCGTGCACGTAATGAAATGCTTTGGACGGAATGTTCGACCCGGTGCACTGGCATTTTGGCACATCTGGACCTGGTTAAACCCCAGGTGCCATCTCCAGGATTGAATCGGATGTACCCCACAGAATCGCCAGTCTTTTGAAGGCGGGTGGGTTTACACTTCGGATCATGGAGGAGTTCGTCCGGTCGAATCAGGAACTGTTCTTCGGAAATTGTGTGCCGTGGGAGGTGGTCAAAGGGTCAAAACCACCGTACGAGGCCTCGCGAATATATAACGTGGTCAACTGGCATCCCCAGACCATGCAGCATCACATTTCACCATCACCACTGTTCTATCAGAAGACTTCGCACGTCTGGCTTCCTGGCCCTAGATACTCCTCTTGTACTAAGACGGCCTCATAGACATGGCTTTCAAACCCTGGAGGGCCCTTCCAGGGTCCGCCCTGCTCTGGATTCTCAACCTCTTCTCCGCCGTCTCCCTCATCTTTGAAGGCTACAACCAAGGTGTCATGGGCGCAGTCAACGGCACACCGGGCTACATTGACACTGTCGGCATTGGCTCTGATGGTGTAGTCAGTAACACCACCAAGCAAGGCGGCCTCGTGGCCGTCTACTACTTCGGCGCCATGTTCGGATGCTTCTGTGGTGGGAAAATCGGAGATCTCTACGGTCGCAAGAAAGCTGTTGCTCTGGGAAGCTTTCTCGCCATTATTGGGGGAGCTTTACAGGCTGGATCACAAAACGCCAGCATGACTATAGTGGCGAGGACAATTTGTGGTTTAGGTATTGGTTTCATCAACACGGTATGACACTTCTATGTTTAAATGTGATACAGCACTGACATACTCCAGATTATCCCGGCATGGATCAGCGAACTCGCGCAAGCACACAACCGAGGTTCAGCATTTGCCCTTGTCTTTGCTGCCAATTATGTTGGTATTGTGATTGCTTATTGGATCGGCTACGCTCTACGAAACAATACTACAGACTTCCGCTGGAGATTTCCCCTGGCCTTTCAAATCGTCCCGCTTGCCATCGTTCTGGGCACAGTGGGCTTCCTACCAGAGTCACCCCGGTACCTACTGACGGTGGACCGCCGTGACGAAGCTCTTGAGATCCTGGCCAAAGTCCGAGGTGACGTCGACTTGAACGATCCCACCCTCCAGGCTGAGATCGCTCAGCTTGACTCTATCGTTAGCTCAGCTCGCAGCCCACGCTACTCTCTACACAATCTCTTCCTATGGGGACGCCATTCCGGCAAACTCCACCTTGGGCGTCGCATTGGACTTGCCGTTGGGATCATGATGATGATGGAGTGGACCGGCATTCTCGCCATTACGGTCTATGCCAGTATTATGTTCGAGCAAGCCGGCTTCTCCACCGAGAAAGCGTCTTTGCTTGCTGGTATCATTCAGGTCGTCGGTATCATCGGAACACTGGCAGCAATCTTCACCATCGACCGCTATGGCCGTCGGCCGTCACTGCTCGTCGGCTTCATTGTGCAGGGCGCTGTATTGCTCCTGTCAGGTGGTTTATCGCGTCTTGGTGAACTTCACCCAGCCAATTCGGGCGCTTATGGAGCAGCTTCCGTCGCCATGGTCTTCATTTACACTTGGTTCTTCGCTCAGACGGTGCTGATGATCGCTTTCATCTATCCCACTGAAATCTGGCCGCAAGAGATGCGTGCACGCGGAAATGCATTCGGTGTGTTTGGATGGGCTGTCGGCTGTGGTACTACTACTTTGGTGATCCCGTCCATGTTTGCTACGTTGGGATGGAAGACTCTGATTGTGTTTGGTGCCTTTAACTTCGGGAGTGTGCCGCTGGTGTGGTTCTTCTTCCCAGAGACAAAGGGCAGAAGCTTGGAGGAGATTAACTTGTTGTTTTGCAGTGAGAGTCCGTTGGTGAAAGAGAATGAGAGGACGTATAATGAGATCTTGGCAAACTCAGGTGGAAATGTGGCGAGCGCGGAAAGAGAGATTATGGAGGATCTGGAGAAGTGGAAGGAGTAAAATGAGCAGGGTCTAATGGGTTTCTCTATACTCGGTGTATACCATAATTTGCGCATCACCTCACTGTGTACTTGAATCAATACTCTACCTTGTACCAGCTCCCTTTTTCGCCGGACTAATTCACCATTCTTGGCCAGGAATTCTGTACAACATATTGTAGTGAACCCTAATCTTGTATAAGATGTCCGCGAACACATAGTTATTGGCATTTACAAGCTATTGTACTCATTATTGCGGCATTTGTTGTGCAGGCTTTTGGGTATATAGAGTTAAAAGATAGCTTTTAGTGATCTACAAAACTCTACTACACTCAGGTCCCAGGCAACGACATGGCAACAACGAGGCATTTAAACAACAGTCTAACGTTTCTTTCAGATTAAAAGAGGTCCTTAACATGCTCTTTGTACTCTCCTTCTATCTTTTAATCAACTTTCAGGTTTCAAATCTCAAATCTCAAATCTCAACTTTCAGCTTTCAGCACTCAACTTTCAAATCACTCCATTCAACTTTCCCATCCAATTACCAAGAGATCATGCCTCCCCCTTCTTATATTGGGACAGAATCCTCCCTACAGTGAGTACTGCACTCATGGCAGTGTGGGCAACTACATACACAGTTACGCAAGTGAGGGATTGGAAGGAGAAAAAAGAACACCACAGCCAATTGAACGGGATCATATCCTCCCAGAGCCATCTTATATCACGAATGGAAAGATTGGTCGCCAGTCACGAGGCACAGGCGCAGGCACCCGGAGAGCCCTGAACCGATTTTGTAAAAACCCCCAATCTCATGTCACTGTTCAGAAAAGGGACTAGAGAGAGGACAGGAGGAGTCAGCGCAAGATTCTCAAATGGCCCTCGAAGATCAAGAACCGACACAAGATGATGCTGAGGATGGGCTGAGAGGTTATTCAAGCTGGAGGACTGTTCAGGGTAATGAGTGCTATTGAAGCTAGAGGACTATTCGGGGAAATGAATGGCTGTGATTGAAGCCGAACGAGGCTGACTACCGAGACAGCAATATGAATAGCGAGAGGCTGCTTGCGTAACACAAAATGTCATCAATCACGGTTCCCAACTCTCTCTAAATTCAAAGCAGCAGAGACGTAAGCTAGGTGGCTGAATGCCTGTGGTGTGTTTCCTAATTGAGAGCCGCTGAGGGAGATTTCCTCGGAGAGCATTCCCAAGTGATTGCGGAAGTTGGTGACAGTCTCAAACATGGTGGTTGCTGTGGCGAGATATTGCTTGCTGTATTTGCCTGCCCGCACTAAGGCTTCGATTAGCCAGAGCGTGCACATGACGAAGGTTCCTTCGCGACCACCAACGCCTATGAATGGGCATGAGAGGGTTAGCTAGCTCAAATATACAGGGAAGTGGGAGATAACATGATAGTACGAACCATCGTCAGTCTTTTCGTGGTCATATCGAAAGACAAATCCGGCGGAGGTGAGACCACCTTTCTCGGGACTTCTAAGAATACGATCGAGCGTACCGATGAATTGAGGATCATTAGGGGACATGAAGAAAACCAAAGGTGCGACAAGAACAGCAGAGTCGAGTGTTGTGTTTGACTCGTAGCTTTGAACGAAGGAATTCAAGTCATAGTTGAAGCCGCGCTGCATCACCTGCTCATAGATTGTATCGCGGGTCTCAAGCCATTTGAGGCGATTGGGACAAGGGAAGTTCCGCTTTTCGGACAGACGAAGTGCCCGGTCGACAGCCACCCAGAGCATCATTTTGGAGTAGACGAAGTTTTGTTTCTGCCCACGGACTTCCCAGATTGACATGTCTGGTTGGTCCCACACTTTGCAGACAAAGTCGGTAATATAGCGAACATCCAGCCATTGAGCATATGAAACCGGTTTGCCATGCTTGTTGTACAGATAGATTGAGTCCATCAACTCACCGTAGATGTCAAGCTGTACATGGTCTGTTGCGGCATTGCCAATGCGGACTGGTCGAGAATCTTGATAGCCAGACAAATGATCAAGTTCCAATTCTGGGAGATCGGTTGAGCCATCGATGCTAAACATCAGTGGCAGGTGATGAACTTTTGTCGAAGTCTCTGCAACTTTGCGCCATTCAGCGATACGAGCGAAAATGAAATTGATGTATGCTTCAGCTTCGACTGGGAAACCCATCTTGAGAAAGACGTCTAGAAGGACTCTGATTAGCAGATGGAGACTATTCTTCGCGGCGCTCCTCGTTGCATACATTAGGCAACGGGGCAAAAGAAAAGGCCGGGTTAGTGGTCACGAACTCTATCATGCTCTCAGTAGGAAATTTGTGACCTTACAGATTGTGAAGCTAGAATCTCGAACCCACGAATACCGATAGTCCCAATTTCGGGGGCCGCCAATAGCCTCAGGCAGTGAAAATGTTGGTGCGGCAACAATGGCGCCCGTGGGCTCGTAAGTGAGGAGTTTCAAAATGAGCATGCTGCGTTCGACTTCTTGCTGGAACCGACCACGGTAATGACAAGCTCGAATCCAGTTGGTCCAATACTTGTAAGTCTCGTCCTCCAGTGTTTGGAACAGATCTTTGTCCAGATATGGGGTGAGCTTCTCGTCATGCATCACCATCATAATACGCTGACCTTCTTGCAGCTCAAAGTGTGCATGTACAGTATCGTGGGAAGAAATTTCGTTCCGGAACATGGATGGAGGATTTGCGAGAGGTCGGTCGCGCGTACAGTAGCTGATGAAGAACTGGAAGCCTTCGGAAGGATCGTCGTTCGCTGGGACCCACGATAGAGACTGAGAATAAGTGTCTCCTTCAGATTTTACCTTTGAAAACTGCATCGAACCCTGAGATCGAGCATAGCCAGGCTTCGGACTAAGCTCAATGTCGATAGACATGGAACCACGAACACAATCCAGCTTTCTGACCAAGGTAGAGCCAGTTCCCTGCAGCAGCTTGTTGTGCTTGGAAAGGGCGAAGAAATCGGTCAAGTCAACAACGCCATCTTCATCGATCCATTTGGTGCGTAGGATATTTGAAGATGTGCGGTAGTTCTGCTTGCAGAGGGTACTGTGTCGTGGACTGATGCTCCAATGGCCGCCTCCGCCTTGGCTGGTGTCGAGGATTCTGCCGAAGGTAGAGGGAGAGTCGAATTTAGGCCAGCACATGTAGTCAATACTGCCATTCTTGCCGACCAGAGCGCAAGTTCTCATATCGCCAATCAGGCCATAATCTTCAATCTGAAGTGGGAGGGAAGTGGTGATGACCTCACCCATGGTTTGAATGCTTGTTGTTCGACGAGGGGAGAAAGGTTGAATTAGGTGAACACTAAAGCCCCGAGTGAGGGAGAATCGACGATATGTATGGAAGAAGTAAGGAGGGAGTCGGCTGTACAGCTCTGAAGGTTTCTTGTGAGACGTGAAGCCCAATAGGGAATTTGGTGGTGTCACGAGGACTGGCAAGGAGATGACTAAGGGAGGAGCAATACGAGGAAGGCACGGGCATGGGACAGGAGAGACCCTGAAAGAGAATCGAAAATCGAATATCGAATATCGGTTGGACGAGATATACTCAGAGAAACATGTACCTGATCATCAGCCATCAGTTGGGCAACCCGTTCTCACCGAATTACAATACGCGCATGACGTCCTTTTGATGAGCTCATCTCATTGCATCTAGTCGTAGACTGTCAAGCTGCACCCAGGTCTGTTCAGCACAGCTGACCAAAGTTAGGATTCACTCTTCATTACATTAGCTCACGCCTTGAATCTATCAAGGTCCGTACCTAGATGAATTGCTTTCGAAGCACAATAAAATCAAGGCCTGCGAAGCGACGAGTCGCGTGAAGAAATTGCGGCGTGTTAAAACACCTCAATCGGTCTGAATTATCTTGCCACTTTAGTATCAATATCGATACTGCAGAGTCAGAAGAAAGAGAAAGGTTGGACTGGAAAGTTCGTCTCCTTAAACACATTAGGTATACAATCAGATCTTCTATGTTACAAAGAGTAATTACAATCACTGTTTTGATTGATGGGTGACTTTCGTCACTGGCATATATTCTTCGGTTCGAACTCGTGTTCTTTTCTGTGCTGTACACTGAGTAAGAATCAATGCAGCTCTATCCAATTCGTCAAGACCCGTGGCACTGGGCTTTGTTGCCTCTTTGTGCTCAAGATTGACGCTGATGTCATCATGGGTATTTCTATCGTTCGTTCGTTCGTTCGTTGGTTCATTCGGTGTTCATTGTTCATAATCTTACATTCATTGTGACAGGAAAAATGGTGCTGCCAGCGCTTCAAAGCAGCTGTTCATCGTGTTGAAGTTATGGTGGTTATATGGTGGGTTCCAGCGCTAGAGAGCAACTGAGGAGTAAGAAGAGGCATTTAATCTTCCTCACCGGTGCCGCCGGTCTGCATGGGGCCGGGCTTGAACAAAGCAGCGAACGGATTGTTTGCTTGCATGCGAGGCTTGGTGGGGCTGCGGAGCCGTGCAGTACGGCCACGCGCGTTCGCAATGTTTCTGGACCCTGGCGCGGCTCTCGTTGGGACACCGTCGGAAGGGGCTTGTTGCAGGAGGAGCTGAGATTCTGGCGCTTGAGTGGGCTGGAGACCTTCGTAATGGTTGTAGATGATATGGCCCGGCGCGTCTGGATTGATGCCCTGAGCTGCAGCGGACTCTCGAGCACGGTCGTTGTAGATCCAGACCGTGATTCGGTCTAGTCGCTCGCTGTCTTCTCCAGGGATGAGCAGGGGTTCCTGACCCGGTTGGACGATGCCAAGGTGAACATTGAGATCGTACAGGCTGTAGAACAGGTGAATCATCAGGGCGAGCTCGTCGGCGCGGAAATTGTTCTCACTCATCGGTCCAAACTGCCCGACCAGGCCCCGATAATCGGTGTCGTGAAGCATCTGGTACAGTTGGTCAAACGTGACAGGTTCAGTGTTTGGATGTTGCGCCTGCATACTGCTGACGAGTGCGCGAATACCACAAAGCAGTCCTTCGCCAGAGGTCTGGATGCGATTGTAACCATGTGGGAAGACTGTATCAAAGCACGCCGCCATACGGCGGACCTTGGTTATTCCTTGCTCATTTTCGAGCTCGACGCTTGCAACCCGCTTCAGATTTTCCTTCTGTGGATTGACAGCTTGATCGTTCTCCAGGACGCTTCTTTGGGCAGCAACAACCATATTCGCAATCTCGAGTTTGTGTTGAAGCTCCTCTTTGTCTTGGTCGGCTCTTGTCTTCGCCACGTCAAGTGCTCGAAATTCTGAAGAATCGTTTTGTGCACCCTGTTCAAACAATGCGATCTCCATTTGATGATTTTCTGCTTTCTCGAGCAAGACATCTCTTTCCCTTGTGACATTTTCGAGCTGAGTGGTGAGGGTCCTAATATGCTCTTTTAACGCTCCCTTTTCCTTCTCAAACACAGCAAAGGCTGCTTTTGCGGCGTTGGGCGAGTGTGGTTTGTCCCTAGGACCGGGTGAGAACAGGTGAGCATGCTGAGCCTTGGGGAACGGAGTGCTTGGTGTTGCAACCACGTTATTCTGGTTGGCCTGCAGTCTTGCCTCAAGTCGGGCGATTTTTGCTTCTTTCTCTTGGGCTGCAAGAGCCACGGCTTGTGCACCAGCTGCCCTGGCCAACTGTAACTTTTCTTGAAGATCGGCAGCTTGAGTGCCGAAAGTCTCGCAACGTTTGTGTGAACCAATCAACTCTTGTTGCAATTTGCCGATCTGAACAGCTTGCTCTCGGCAGACTTTATCAATGCCCTTGATGTCTTCATCAGCAGCAGAGAGTCGGTTCTGCAGTGCGTGACCTCCCTTGAAGAATTCGTCTCTCTCCTTTTGGGCCGCTTGACATCTAGTGTCTAACTCGTTTCTTTGCTCGAGAAGCGCTTGCCCTTCAGTCATTAGAGTACTGTTAACTTTTTGAAGATCGGCAATCTCTTTATTCGAAAGTTCCAGTGAATTTTGAAGGTACTGGAGTTGAGCGCTACCATCATTGGGCGCCGAGTTACTCTCTTGCTTTGGAGCCATTAACTCTTCCACTTGGTTTCTAAGGGCTTCATTGGCCTGTTCCAGATTTCTGGCGTTCTCAGCAAGGCTGGCCTCCCTACCCTGGCTTTCAAGCAACTGGGCTTCAAGTATTGCATTGGAAGCCTTGGTCGCCTCGATCTCAGACGCAGAATTGCAAGTAGCGGACTCTTTCAGCGCATCGAGGGACTTATTTGCTGGTTCCAAATCGGCAGTCGTCATGGCAAGAGCACTCTTGGTTTCTTCAAGTACTTGTCCCATCTTCTCAGCGGTCTCCCGCGCACTAACAACCTCCGCAGCTTTCAGAGCAAAAATTTGATTCCACTCGTTCTGCTTAGCCTCGAATGAAGCATCTTGGAGTACGAGGGACTCCCGAACGACATTGAGCTGGCCTTGTGTTGCCTTTAGGGTTTGATGACTGGCAGTCAGCTCCTTTTGGGATCGGGCGGTGGCTTCGTTGTGCTTGGCCTCGCTTTGTTGGATAGTGGCCTCCAATGACTTGTTCTTAGCATTGCTTTGTTGGTTGGCGGCCTCCAATGACTTGATCTTGGCCTCATACTTGACCGAATTTGTCTTCGAGTCGATGCTCTTGGAAGGCTTCTCAGAGCTAGCTGAAGTCGATGACAACTGGACAGCGTTTGCAACGGCGGCTACTACTCTAGCATTCAGATCCTTGGTGGAATTTCCAACGGCAGTTTTGACGGTTTTGTGGATGGCGTCCTCATCAACAGCGGCCAGAAGCTCTTGGATAGTCGTGTTCAAGTCGTGCGTCTCGGCGAGAATATCTTCCAGTACCTTTTTGAAAAGGAGCTGTTCGTCACGCAATTTCTCGCAAAAGCGATGCAATTTGCTGAGATCTCGCTCTGCATGCGTCTGCCCGACGACAGTCATGGGTCTGATAGCATGTCTGATAGATGAGCCGGCGCTGCTGTTCGCGATATCTCTCATTGTTCTGCCTTGTTGGGCGGCGAGGTGGGCGCTAAATGTAGGCAGAGGGAAAAGATATGCATCAGGAGGGTTTACTGGAGTCTGTTGGCCAGGTTCCGGTTCTGCAGCCGCAGCCAGTGCCGCAGGGGGGTTTACTGGAGTCGGTTGGTCAGGTTCCGGTTCTACAGCCCGAGCCAGAGCCGCAGGAGCTTTCGCAGTGGATTCAGGTGCGGCAGGAGCTTCAGGACCCAGTTCAGGGCCCGCAGAGACTTCAGGAGTAGACGGCATCCAGCGTGCCCAGTGGCCGTTGTAACTTGCCATGAAGAGTTGGGGTAGTTGTGTCCACGACCAGACCAAGACAAAGGTCAAAAAAGTCGGTATGTCCAGAATAACATTAAACAGAGAAACGCCCAGGCGGCGTAGAAGGCCTGGTGCAGCTGTTGTAACCGAATTGATTTGACGGCGAGCAGTAGCCCAGATCCAACGACGGAATATGACGAAAATTAAGACGAAGATCAAGATGAATAGTATCAAGACTATGTAGCCAGCTGTCTTGTACATTTCTTTTTGATCGCAGGGATGAATTTGGAACTGTTTCCATATTAAACGCTCCAAAAACGTGCGATAGAATCTGTTGTTGACGCGTCCATCGCAACCGAAAGGAGGAGCGCCGTAGGGATCTTCTATGACGTTCATGATAGATGACTGTGCAAGGGTTGGTGAGTATAATTCTAGTGAAATTCTATTAAGCCGTGCTTAATTGTGGGTGAATCGTTTTGGAATCGTGTCAGGAAATGGCTTTGGCGTGTGATGGAGGAAAAGGCTTGTTTTGTAGTGGCAATGAGAAAGGTAAGAAATGGGAAAAGGAACTGGAGAAGGAACTGGAGAAAGGCGTTTGTCTTGCGATGGTGGGTGAAAAGAAAGGATTAAAGGAAAACAGATAATGCGAGCGAGAAACAGGAAATATTCTGTTGTTGCAAGAAGAAAGGGCACAGCAACTGTTCAGACTAGTGCAATCGTACGCAGTGACTGGGGCGTTTGATTGAGGCCACCTCGAGAACAATGGCAAATATTCACTTACAATATATTGATATAAACCCCTTTTTGGTTAGCGCCTTGCCCGAGGGAGTGGTGAGTCCTCGGTTATTGACGAGGCTGTGACACAACCAAGCATTCACTGTTCGGGTGGACGCAGTCCCGCATCCAAGTCCCTTCAATACTTAGACCAGAAGTCCCAGATTTCGGTCAACATAAGCTGGCGTAGTGCAGTGGTTAGCACGTTTCGTTGTGGGAATTCAGCTTCGAGACAGAGCTATTGTCAGGTCCTGCTAGTACAGAGAAATTGATCAATCTGGCTGGTGGGTTGTATACTTGTACATGTGCGATGTCTCGTCGAATGATCATTATCCTGAATCAACAATCCGAAGAGACCTCAGTTCGAATCTGGGCGCTGGCAGTATGCTCTCTTTTTTGGTGCTTTTGGGTGGATGTGCCTTGCTTGTGGTTTTTGCGTCATCCTCCTTGATTATTGATTGCCACTGTCTGAAGACGGCGTGGAATGTATGCGATATCCTCCAGCAGGGTGGGTGCCGTGATAAATTTTGATAATAAGCTCGTCTTCGGGTGATTGCATAGCTCGGTTGCGAATAGTGAGCCTTTCTGCAAAGACACAGGTAAGAAGTTCTCTTGCATATATATACCTGACCATGAGCTCTGTTTGAGGTGAGCGTTGAGCACCATCTTGCCCAGCTGACCAAAAACTGCGGTGTTTGCTAACTTGCATCGTTTTCCACATGGTACATGAACTATGAATTAGTACTCACAGACATCGCAGCTGCTCTCTCTTTTCATTCCTTTGTCTGATCGCACAATTCCGGCTCGTTTACTCCAAGTGCTTTCTTTTGTTCCATTTCTATATTGCCCCGTGCATACAAACCGGCCTACCTTGACTCTTCCTCGTTACCCAAAATCGGGTCTGGGCCGCACCGTGATGGCCATGCATTCTGGGACTAAGGCGAGTGTTCCAACTCATTGAAAGATACTAAATCGACCTAGCAGCACGACCGATATTGCAATGGCCGAAAAAGTTATTCTGAACAAGAACCGTTTTCAAGAATGAGAGGAGTAGAAAGTACGAGGAGAAAGAAGAAAGGACGAGTGAAGTCGGGATCAGCGCCTTGGCATTGGTGATAGCCGAAAGCTTAAAGCATGCTTCGTACGGCTTCCATGATTTGCGCACTCTTCAGGCCCTGTACAATGAGCGACAAAACCATACACATCTCCTACATCTTGTTATTATGGTCCCGCCCAAGAATCCAACATAAAGCCTTCCTAAAGATCGAGTGCAGCGTCATTATAAGCTCCGGAAAGCAAGGTACAGAGACATCCGTCAAGCTCAGCTAAGCACCGGGAGACCTCCAGGATGTGGCATTTTCACAGATACATCCATATATGTAACCACAAAGCCTATCTATATATGGCTTTCCCCTCTCTTCCCAATCTATTTTCTTTTCGTTCGTACTGTAATCCTTTCCCTTCCCTCTCAAATCCCGTGTGCCCTCTACAAATGCATACCCCTGTGATCCGACAGGATCAATTCAGCAATTGGTTCAGTGAAGCGCTCGTCAATACTTAAGCTCATGAGCTTGCCCATCTTGACGTTGATCGCGCTCTTGCGGTCATCCACAATACTCCAGATGCGGTCTTTGATGTCGAATTCCGTCTGGTAGTCGAGCAGCATTCGCTCGATGCGTGGTTTGTGGTCGTGCACGCCGAGTTGCGGGTCTGCGCCGAGCGAGATGGTGATTGTGGACTTCTTGTCCGAGTCTTTGGACGATGTTGATGATGTAGGCACCGACACGACCAAGGACGGTATTTGTGGGAACAACTCCACGTGTGGTCTGGATTCCTTCGTCACGTCTTTCCCGTCGACTTCGACTTTGAAACTCTTGGGTATGTCTGCAAGTGCAAGGAAGCGGAAACTCCAGGTCCTGCCCGTGACGTGTGCTGTAAGTGTTCCCTTTTTCTGATCCAACTGGATCAAGCTACCGCGTTCACCACTCTCGGGAGCTTTCTTCTCCACTTCGGTGGTGTCATCTGCAGGATCTTCAAGAACACTGCATTGTCCATCTTTGCCAACCACGACCAGCACCTCAAACCTCTCAGGGTTTTTACCTCCATTGATGGGAGCGGAATCCGCATCGAAAGGAATGACGCTGCCTTCGGAAGCCAGAACAGGAATCTCATGCAGAGGTCGATACATGTTCAGCTCCCTCTCCCCATCGTAGACCGTTCCAGTGAAGATATCCACCCAACGGCCCGAATCCGGCGGCAGCCAGACTTTTACCGCGCCCAGATTCGTCCGCTTGTCTCTCGGCGTCACAATCGGCGCAACCAGTAGATCTGCACCAAAATAGTACTGATTCGGCACTTGATACGCCTCTTCCTTGTCGGGGAAGGACCAATACATCGGCTGCACGAGCGTCTCGTCTTTTGTGGCGGCGAGCACGTTCGCAGTGTACAGGTAAGGAATGAGTCGATGCCTCAACCGCATGAATTCCTCGATGACAATCTCCGACTCCTTGCGATACTTCCACGGCTCCTTGGACGTCCATTGTGAGTTCGAGGAATGCAACCGCATGATAGGCGAGAAAACCCCAAACTGCACCCATCTGGTCACGAGTTCATCATCTCTGGTTCCACCCATGTGCCCACCGATATCGTGGCTCCACCAGCCGTAGCCGATGTTACTCGCTGTGGCTGTGAACTCGGGCTGGAACGCCAGACTCGCCCATGTGGTGATGGTATCGCCGGAGAATCCCACAGGGTAGCGATGTGATCCCGGTCCTGCATATCGTGAGAAGATCAACGGCCGCTGCGTGCCATCGCGCGCATTGTCCAGGAAATGGAAATGATTCAGTAGCCACAGCGGATCCACGCCGGGGACTTTCGTATGCGCGCCTTGCTGCCAGTCGATCCACCAGAAATCGCAAGCCACGTTTTCGATGTTGCGGTGCAGGATGGACAGGTACGCCTCCATGAATTTGGGACTTGTTGGGTCAAAGAGGATCGGGTTTTTGCGTGAGGTATCATGGCCCAGGAATTTCGCCATCTCCTCGTACGCGTCTTCGTGGTGGTGCACGCCCGAGTGCGGGTGGTCGTTCAGTGTGATCTTGAGGTTTCTGTCATGCAGGTCTTTGCCAAACTTCAACGGGTCTGGAAACAATTTGTCGTCCCACGTGTATCCGGTCCAGCCGGCGTGAGGCACACGGTCGTCTGCGACCAAATGCCAATCCATATCGATGACGGCGACGGACAGGGGGATTTTCTTCTCCTTGAACGAATCCATCAGATCAATGTACTCCTGCTGCTCGTAGCGATAGTACCGACTCCACCAGTTGCCGAGCGCCCAGCGCGGCAAAAGTGGCTGTTTCCCACTCAGGGAGTACAACGCTTTAATCGCACCCTTGTAATCATGTCCATGCGCGAAGAGATACCCATCGACACGGTCCCCAGGTAATCTCCCCGCGACAAACCCCTTCCCATCGAACAACATCGACTTACTATCATCGATAGCGGCATACCCGAACTTGGACAACACCCCGACACCAAGCGGGATCTTCCCATCCGCCTCATCCAGCGTCCTTGCCGTGCCCCCCAAATTGGCAAAATTCAACGCCTCAACGTCATCCGAATACCGCCACTGGGCGCCCCAGAGGGTGATTTTGGCGGAGAAGCTCGCAAGCAGGCCGCTGGGCGAAAATCGCTTCTTGTCGTAGCTGATGTGGAAGTGGTCGGTGATGATCTCGAGCTCGTCGTCACGCTCAATCTTCTGGAACTTGGGCGTCGGTAGGTCCCGGTTGATGGCGAACGTCGACGCCCGGTCCTCGAAGACTCCGTCGTGTGCCCATTCGTACCGGATCAGTGCGTCGCTCAGAACGGTGAACCGGTACTGCGGGCCTTGGATCACGGACTCTGGGTTCGCGACGGGGCGCGACGAGAATTGGTAGCCTTTCATCCTCCTGCTGGAGGTACTTATCTGGCGTGAGAATTGTGATAAGTAGTGGCAATTTTGGGTGATGGAGTTTCTTTGTTGTAGGAGTCGTTGATGTCGCCGAAGGTTCAACAATGGACAATAGCTCCTGAGTGGCGAGGGTGAGTGTGATGAGACAAAGGAGCGAAATGAAGCTTGTACCGAGACACAGACCACTCTGTCCGTGCGGTTCATTCAAGATTTAGGAAAATGGGAAAGCTCTGAGCTGTCTGGGTTTTGTTTCTCCCAACAATATAAATACGTCACAGACAATAAACTCGAGGCTGGGCCCAAAGAAAAATGAAAAATACACCGGGTTCTGTGTCGAAATAGGAAGAGGTACCGGTTACAGATCCTTGTATGTTAGTGCACTTGCGGAGTATTTCTCTCTCACGTTGTAAGTTGTCAAGCATGAAAAGAGCGGTGATGGTGTTATTGACTAAAATACCAGGACCGAGAGGTAGAAGTGGCGGCGTAACAGAAGCGTACCATACAAACAAAGAATTGAGACCAAGAGAGATAACATCATGATCTGTATTGTGTCATAGGCAGTGCAGGGGAGAGAGAGCTTAGACAAAGGACCCTGAACTGCTGAGACGGCCGCATTAGCTTGGTCGGTTGAATGCTCGGAGAAATAAGATCCAAGAAGATGGATTGGTTCGGTGTGGACGTGGATATGGCGATCATGGAAATCCAACAGAGGCACTGATACCGCATGTGGTAATGTAGGCGTCTGATCTATGGACAAGATATATTTATTGAGCTCGGTCTTCGAAGTAGCTGGTACATTGTTATGTGTTTCTGCCATGGTAAAAGAGGTTTGACGAGGCGGATAAGAATATTGCCAGGTGCAAGAGCATATATTGTTCTCAGTTTATTGAATTGCAGAAACTCGGTTATCCGGATATACCAAGAATGGATGTTGGACGGTCTATGCTATCCACGCCGAGGACTGGTCTCTACCGGTCTTTGACTCGTTTCCCATGAGGCAGGGAGTCTCAATTCGCGCGAATCCTTCCTTAGGAAACCGAGACGAAGAAGACCCCTCGCGAGTGGTTCGATATATTCCCTACACAACCAAGTCCAAGCCGTGTCTGTCAAGATCATTCATCCTCGAGTTTCCGTTCAACGACGAACCAAGTCGATCCAAAGAATATCATATATGTATGTGTGCGATCCCAGCTGCCCCAAATCTCGCCAGTTGCCATCGAAACCTGTCCTTCCCGACACCATGCTGTCCAGGTTGAATGAAGACGAAACGCAAAAAGAAAAGCCATCAATTCTTCGTTAGTGCGTTTCCAAGCCTCTCCAAAAATAACCACGGAGCCCTGTTAACCATTATACTAAAAGCTGTTGTACTGTTTTCGCTCCCTTAAACACCAAAGACCGCTCTGGGGAAAAAGAATCCTTCTCGTGCGGCCCACAATTGACAATCAGAAGAAACCAGGTCGTAAAATTCCTCCTCTCGTAAACCAAAGTGTATAAATATGCAAACCAACATCTCGGCCAGTTTTCTGACCGGCTCAATAGCTCGTGGCGATTGCTGATGAGCCCTTTTCTGATGTCCAATGTGTCATCTTTGTAGTTGGACTTTTCCCTTTTGGCACAGTAAAAAAGGCTGGATGCTGAAACTTTCTTCTGTGTTGTCACCATATATCTGAAGTGAGAATATCAGTCCGAGTCTGTGTCTTCTACTGCGTTCTCATCTTCCTCTTCGCTGTCATCAGTATCATTGTCGAGAATTTCATACTGGTCGATTTCTTCTACTTGAGCATCGCGGCTGCCCGTCTGTAATTTCTTGGCTTGTCCAAGAAGCTCGGTCAGTTGGCTAAATAACCCTGCAATGGGGGTTGCTTGATCAAGGAGGGATGTGCCCTTCTTGAATGGTTGTAAGATGTGACGTAGTTGCAGGGTAGTGACACAGGACTGGAAATCAGCGTTAGTGTTTGAATCAAAAACGAGGAAATTCCAGACTTACTTCGACTCGGGTCACCTGGTGCTCCAGTAGATTCATCATGAAGCCATCCGTTTGCACACCACCTTTTTCTTTCATCCTGGTAAGAAGACTCAGCTCGGGCTTTTGAAGTCCCGCAGCTCGCTCTGGATTTTCGAGACAACTGCAGAGCATTTCCAATCTCAATGCAATGTCCCAAAGTTTCCAAACCCCGTCGAGTTCCAGGTTTAGTTTACTGTCCTTACCCAGGGCACCAGGTCCAGCCTTGTCGTCATTTGAAGTGGGTGCGTCACCACCCAGTTGTACCTTGTTCTCAGCTCCAGGAGGGATTGTCAACCGTCCAGCCAAAGAATGTGGATACATTAGATAGAGATACTCGGGATTTTCAAGACCTTTCAGTTTCTTCTCACCGAGGTCCTTAACCTCGAAACCCTGACTACTCAATTGTCTGAGTTCGCGTCGTATTTGATTCGCAAGAGGATCATCGTTGACTGTATCCTCGGAACCCACAGAGTCTCGCCGATCATCATCTGCGTAGGCTTCCAAGGTTCGTTGAATTTCCGCAATGTAGTCACTACTGACGCTGATTTGTCCACCATCGGCGACGGCAGATACTCGTGCCGCTTTGTTGACCATGGGACCAAAGTAATCCATTCTCCTGGTGATGGGATCTTGCTCGCACACGGGTCTGCCAAAATGGATTCCCATCCTTACAGACAGTCCACGATAGATCCTGTTTTGATCCGCATCCAGTTTCTCTTGACAATGGACCGTCTCTAGAATCTCCTGGGGCCATGGTAGTTCGAGGAGATGACTCTGGCAACTGAAACACCAAAGCAGCGCGGAGGTGACGGTCGAGAAGGATACCATGAAAGCGTCACCTTCAGTTTTCACCTCATAACCACCAATGATTCGTAGCTGTCGTCTCATAAGTTCGTTGTGCATCATTATTGCTGATCTCATAGGCACGGGAAGAATTTCCCACAGGGCGGTCGAATTTTTGATATCGGTGAAGCAGATAGCCACCTCCCCAACAGGTGCTTCTGGTTCCTCGAGTCTTGCAAGACGAGAATCTCCAACCAAGGTTTCGCCCTTTCTCCTGGCCTTTCTGGAACTGGGAAAGATAGTCCCCTCATCGAGACCAAGTTCCTTGGCCATGGAAAGACTAGTTCCACGAAATCTATGACTGCCTCTCTTTCTCAACTCAGAGATGCCAAGAACCATGACCATTATTTTGTCTCTAGCTCCATATGCCATTGCCAGATCTCGCAATTTTTGTGCTGCCAGCATGAGATCATTCTTTTCGGCTCGAGCAACATCCACAGCCAGGTCAACTGTGACATAATCCCAGAACTCTTTGGTGGCAACCACGATAAGTTCATCCGATTCTGTCAAGGAGCAGTTGAATGTATGAGGTGCTGCGATCACGCTTGGCATGTGGCTATAGTAGCCAAAAGCGCGACTAACTTCGAGTATCTCATTGAGTTTGCCTTGCCTAGAGACATAACCTCCAGCTTCTCGAATTCTTTCACGTTCACGATGTTCCGCAGGGTCGTGTTTTCTGGTCAACTCTCGATGTTGACCATTGGACTGGATGAGGATAGCCTCGGCATCACCAACATTGGCAACGTGCAGTTCTGTCCCATTGAGATACATGACAGTCGCCACACCACCTGAAGTGAGATCATCTGGCCCCAGAATGTTTGCAACTGTTGATCCCCTATGGCCGTTAGCCAACCGGTGTTCTTTCGTGTCAAAATTGCTGCTTGCAAAATTTGCCATGTCCTTGTTCAGAGAAAGGAAGGTTCGTCGCAGTGCATCGACAGGAGTGTCTTTCGTTGCCTCTGACTTCTTAAGCTCGTCATAGAACATTGCTGGGAAGTTCTCGTGCAAGTACTTGGCCACCCTGGAGCCACCACTGGACATGGTTTGCCCATCGAACAAGCCAACAAGGATTTCTGCGTCATGTCCTCTGAAGTTTGGCTTGAGGAGATCTAGAGTTGACAGATGTTCGTTCTTGCCCAAAGTGTCCGCCATACCGTACATCAACGCGCCTACCAACGATGCCGATGTCCTTACTCGACGATCCTCATTATCATCTGGTATGGTGTTTGTCAACAAGGTGACATCCATCAAACCAAGCACTCTTAGGTACTTCAGTGTGTTGAAACTCGTCAGATCAGTATTCTGCTCACCACTCATTGAATTAAACTGTGATTGGTTCTGATGAGCTGCAGGCTTTATCTCCAATCGTTTGTTGGCAGAGAAATTTAAGTATTTGAGGTTGGTATTGCGGTTCCAGTTCCAATCGTAGGGCCAATTTGATACATTGTATTTGAGAGAGTTGCTTCCCACATCGAGAGTGGATAATTTGTGCACGTTGCAAAGTTCGGCTGGGAGCACCTGGAATCGGTTCACGTTCAAATGCAGTACCCGTAAATTACTGCTTTCCTCGAGGTCATCTGAGGGGAGTGATGTGAGTTCGTTGCCTGAGAGATATAGCTCGTTGAGTTGAGGCCATCGGCGCAAAACGCCTTGAGGAAAGTCATCAAGCTCATTATAGGACAGATTCAGTACACGGAGTTCCGGGAGTAGGACTAGCTCTCGGAACACATCGTCTTCAAGTCTGTTATCTGCTAGGTAAAGATATCGAAGCGAGCCTCCAAAGGTATTTTGGAGCCTCGCTTGAGATAGATTTGAGTCTTTTCTTGTAGCAGGAGTCATTGAATACTCAGTATTGGTCCTGGAGATTACCGATGCTTTACGAGGGCCCATCGAGGCGATCGAGTTTTTTCGAGCGCCGCTAGGTGAGCCTCCGATGCTCATCATTCCTGCAGACGCTTGACTGGGCCTTCGAGCTTGGAAGTCTTCGAGTCTACCAAGCTCCTCAAAGCTAGGTGAAGTAGATAATCCAGGAGTCGTGGCAGGAGTCAGTTCCTTTGCCTCATTTGGGGGTGGGGCAGCATTCTGCTTGGGGAAAGTTTCCAAAACATTAGAGGACACATTCAAAGTTTCCAATTTTCGGCAATACCATATCTCTGGCGGTAGGCTTTTGATGTTACATTCTCTTAGATTGAGGAACTTGAGTTCCGCTAGGTTGCCAATTGATGGAGGAACGATGTTGAGGGGATTTTTGGCCATGCTGAGGAACTCAAGCTTTGACAATCTTCCAATCTGAGAAGACATAGACGAGAGATGATTCTTATCCAAGTTGAGCTTCTGCAAATTTGGAACAAAGTCAAACAACGATTCCTTGAACTCGACTAATTTTGCCGAGGCAATGTTAAGGCTCGTCAAGGTAGGGACGGATTGCTCAAGTTCGAAGGAAGTTATTGGGCAATGGTCCAGGACAAGTACCCGTAGTTTGTGAAATGCGCCCTTGAATGCGGTAATATTATTGTGACCAACAAGTAATTGCTCGAGATTCGGAAGTTGGGTCACACTGTCGATATCGGTAATACCGTTGAAGCGCGCGTCGACCTCCTTCAAATTAATCAAGCTCTTGAAACTCTCATTAAATGGGCCTTTGAGATCGTTGTTCGTCACCCAAAGTCTCTCCAAGGTCACGAGCTGTGAGATTTTCGGCAGGGAAGAAAGCTTATTGAAACTAATGTCCAGGTCGACGAGAGATTTGAGTCCACAAATATGTTCTGGGAAGGTGGTGAAGTTGTTCGAGGACAAATTCAGACTTCGTAATTGACGGAAGTGGGCGAAGTTCGCTGGAAGTGCAGTGAGTTTGTTGTTTGACAGCTTTAAACTTCCTAAGCCCATCAGCCGATGTAGTTCTGCATGGTCCAGTTGCTCTATTCGATTGTTGGAGACATCAAGCACCGTCAGTCGGGTAGCCCAGGCCAGACTAGGAGGCAAACGCCAAGCTTCATTACCAGTGAATTTGATCTCACGAAGATTGATACAAGCGGTGATAAAGTCTTTTGGTACCCTCAAAGCGATGTTTCGGGAAAGGTTAATGGATATAATTTCCGAGGCTTTGGTGTATAGGATGATGGGAATGGTGACCAAGGACTTCCCTTGTAAATCGACATGACTGAATTTCTGCATTTTATTGAACGCAGGGTCGTTGTCAAGCCCGCTTCCATAACCAGTTTGTTTTTCATGGGAGAAGGTGAAGCGGATCAAATAACTGTTGTCTTCTCGACCAATGTCTTCAATTCGATCTTGGTCGGTGTATCCCGCAAGTTGCAGTAATTTCTTTTGCATTGCCACTGGTCTTTCTGAACCACCAAGCTGTCGCGATAATTGATGTTTGCGCATGAGTAGCTGGTAGTTATCAATTGAATCATGGAGGACGGATTTCTTCGCAAGCGAATTGAGGACCTCGCCCACAGTAGCATTGATCGACATTGATAGCGTTGCAAAAGTGCCATCGCTTCTGAAAACCCGCATGAAGTACGAGATACCATCCTCTTCCTGAATTGCAGGCAACCCGTCTTCGTTAGCTTCGGGTAAGGCATCCAGGACCTCATCTTCTTGGCCTTTGACAGCCCAGCTGTCCGGAGCGTCCCATGCAGGTGCGGCTATTTCAGATGCTGGAGTTTGAGCAATCTTACCTCCCACATAAATTCCGGGGTCTGCAGGTGTTTTGGGCATTTGAGGTTGAGCAATGATGTCTGACATATCATCGAAGTTTGTGTCAAGGTTGAAAACACCGGCTTGCATTGGTGCTTGTTGCGCAGTATTTTTCCTTTCTAACGGTTCTGGGGGAAGGGTCGGGTTACGTTGTCTTCCATGACGTCCAAATCGACTAGATTTAGTTGAGGTTGCTGTATATGTGCGGTCCATCTTTGGTGAATGATCCGAGGCTTTGATGGTGGATGCACTGTCCACCGAGGCAACACTGGTCTCCCGATCTCGCTTGCTTTCTGCAGTGTCAGATGCGGTTGTGCGGAATGACTGGGTTCTGACTTTGGTCAGCTGCTCCGTTGGGCGGGGAGGCTCAATGTTCGTACGCAGAGGTTCCGGCTGAGGCGGGGGAGGCTTGTCCTTATGATGACGGTGCTTGAGTTTGGAAAAGATGGAACGCTTCTCTGTAGGCGCAGAGGATTCTTTGCGAGAGCCGGAACCAGCGCCATTATGAGGGCCCGGACTGGAATTACGTGGCAGAGCTGTAGTAGAACTCATGGGAGTACCGTTTTGGGGAGTCCCTCGGAAGTGCCCTAGATTGCTTGTTGATGATTCTCGACTGGTGGAAGGACGTTTGGGAACTGTAGCTGTGGCTTGTAGGCCTTTGGGAGGATCCTCCTTGCTTCTGGTATGGCGATGCAAGAGGCCTCGGCGGTGGGAGGTTGTGCCAGCGGTCTGAGTTGGGGCAATTGATTCATTGGGAGGGGGCTGCCGTATTGGAGCAGAACCGAAATTCGAGACATCTTCAAAATTCTGATATGCCCACGGGGTGACCTCACTTGATGGAGGGGGGGCAGGAGTCTTGGGTCGTTCCTCAGCGGTATTTTGAGTCTGTACAGAGTTGCTCCGTTGGCTGGGCTTCTCAGCTGCTAGGTTCGGTTGAACCTGGTCGGGCAGATTTGAGGTCGAGCCTTTGCGTGAATCGGTAGGGTCTTCGCCAAAGAAACCCTTCAGACTCTTATGGAAGCGACCATTGACCGCGCTACCTCTTGAACCGGTACTGCTGATCGTGGTGGCACTTGCAATGGAAGGGCGACGAGCTCCTGCATCAAAGTCAGGTGAGTCGGAGAGATTTGTCCTGGCAGTGTCGGGTCGCATCTGGGATTGAGCCTCACGAGGAGCTGCGTCGTTGAAATATGATTGATTGAATGGTCGTGTTCCTATGATCTGCGCTTGGGGGTCTCGCTCCCAGGGAGCAATTTCCTCATCGTTTGGAGGCCTGGTATCCCATGGTGCTATCTCAGAGCCAACGTTCCGTGGCTGCGAAGGTGGCTGTGGCTGCTGGCGCGTGGGAGGATTCGGTGGTGAGCCAAAGATGGCCATGACTAACGTCGGCCTCTGAATTGATTGATAGGGAAGGGAGGAAGTCTCGCAGGGGTTTGACAGGAAGAGGACGAAAGGGCGAGATGAGAGAAGGGCGAGCGAACCTAGTCGAATTCATGTCAATTAAGAAACACCTCTAACGGGGACTGTCAAAGTGATGGTGGTAATTAAGTTGAGGTCAAACGACGAGGGCCGACGAAAGCGAGGAGGGGATGATTCTGACAAGGGGGTGAAAAGTGTTGCGAAGAGCAGGAAGAGTGGTACCTTCTCCTACTATGATGTGATATTTCGGTATCCTATCTCAGACCATGTTCGAGGGTTGTGGAGAAGGGGATCGCGTCTGGCGCAGAACCATTCAATGACCATGCTCAACCGCGTCGCCTTGGCTGAAGTATATCGAAGGACCCAAGTGAGATGCAGTTGGGAGGAAGAGGGTATTCAGATGGGACTGTGAACGGTACGCAAGTGCACGACTAGTCAGGCATATCGTTGGTGGTCGAGATAGAGGTGAGTGAAGCTGCAGGGTATTGCCAGTGTCGATCCGGCGGAGGTAGTGGCCAAATGCTCTCGGCAACTAAGTTCGGAGCAGAGGCGAGAGGGGTGCTGACGGTACGGTGAAGGCGGTCAGGATCTCGGGGAGGTGTCGAGGTCAAGGACCAAAACTCGAGACAGTGACAACGAGGTGGGTGGTGAAGCAAGAGTGTGTTGGACGTGGTGTGAAAGCTGGAGATGAGTGAGTGCGTCGTAGTGAGTGGTGAGTGGTGACAGGCCTGGAGTGGATTGGATAGGACTGCCAGTTCGGACGGATTGAAGCAAGGCGAGGCGAGGCGTTGTTGGTGGACAAGACGATAGTTTGAGTGTGGATGACGGATAGCGGATGAATGGTGGAGGGTGGAGGACTGGTGATGGATGCAAAATGAGAGGTGAGTGGACACTGGACACCAAACCGTGCTTAAGCATCAGTGCCAAAGCCTGAAGGCTGAAGCCTGGAGCCTGAAGAGTGGGAGACTTACGGGCAATTTAGTGGAGGTGGAGTGGTGGGCATAGTGGCGGTCGGACCCTAAGGATGCCGTCGAGGGGTTCGGATTTGATGAAGCCCTGGTAAAGAGAGCACCACCTGGCACTGGCAGATCAGGTACCTAAGTACAAGTCGTTGATGATGCTTAGACTTGCGGGGTGCTATCTGCGTAAAGGAGTTGTGAGTCGCGATTTCCTCAAAAGCATCACACCATTTGCACCTGCCATTGTGGGACACTGCTGGCCTTGGTGTTGCTCGTTCTCTAGGTATTTACCACCTACATGCACTGAGCTCAACCACATCTCAGATGCATATCCATGCCTATCCATGCCTATCAACCTCTGGCAATAACCTACAGTACCTAGATACCTAGGTACATATAAAAAAGAATCACCATCACAACTTCCCCGCTCTCAGCCGCCCCCTCTTCCTTTCCGTGGTTTTGCAGTAGGCTGAGCATCATGGCTCCCTCCAATCCTCTGATGTCTGTCTGCCTTGCCAGTGTCACATTAAAATACTTGACAGCATTAAACCAACTGCCCACCCAGTAATCGATCACGACCACCTGCACTGTTATGCAACCACGGATACTTCCGCCTTGGAGATCCCCCGACTTTTCCAACTCCGCGTCAGTCATCGCCCTTTCAGGATCATCCAACCGACGCATACTAAATTCCACGAACCATGCATCTCGTGATGCCCTCGTCGTCTTTGACTGGTGAGTTCACTTGATGACCTATTGGTCGTGAGCCGTGTGTTTCCAGCTGCTGTTCTTCTAAGGTTGAGAGATGACGCACGGACTCCGTTCAGTGATGATCTTGATCTTGCTTCTCGCAGCTGACAGCCAGATCCGTGAAGGTGTCAAGGTTGTTTGTTGTCTATATATACTTATATGAGTTATAGATGATAGTCGTTATTCAAAAATTAAATTCAAGTAAAGGAGCTAGATTGGATTGAAACAGTGTCTTGTCGCCATCCGACTCACTAATGCCACTCCTAGCTCGAGAATCTCCCAGCATAGCACACGGGAATGCCAATTTTAGCATCACACTGAAGATACCCCCAGTGACTTCTTCGAGTCGCCCTTGAACCACAATACGTCCTTTCCAGACCCAGTCATCATTTCCGCCGCCGGCACGCCCTCCGAGTTCGGTCGCGTCGTGCTGTTGTGAGTCTTGTCCGATGTATTCGCGGTTGATGCCCCAGAACTCGAGCTGGCATTCGTGCTGCTGCCGTTATTAAGAAACAGGTTCTTCCATTTCTCCTTGTTGATGTTCACGAACCCACTGCTCTTTTTCTTCGAGCCGCGCTTCTGCTTGCGTTCACCTTCGAATTGTCCCGCCGCTGCGAAGTCTGGGTTGACCATCGATCGTCCTCCAGGGCCTGGTGGTGCTGGTGCCTGTTCTGGCGGGCCTAGCGAGCGTGTCGAACGGTGAGACCAGCGTTGTGCAGAATTGGAGGATGCTGAGGATGATCGATTGCTGTCGTGGATCGGTGATCCGGGAGGGGTGTTAGACATGGTCTCAATAATGTCCGCCACAACATCCATTCTCAGTTTAGATGGGCCAGGACTTTCCCGCGCTTTCATACCCGCAGGGCTCGACGTCGCCACTGGCACCATCTTGCCGTTCTTCTTTGTTAGTTCCAATTTCAGTGGCCTGATCGGCTCCTGGTTCCGCCGATCTCCAAAATCCTTGGGTTTCATTCCGGGTTTGATTGTTCGTTCAGTCGGCAATTTGAAGAACTCAACAAGCTGCCCAGTCTTGCTTGGAGGGACTATCTGATTCACATTGCTCGAGGACTCAGCCGGCCGGGGTGGCAGTTTAAAAGAATCGTTGAATTGACCAGTACTCGCCCGAGCGTTGCCCTTTTCTGAGCCGTTGGACAATGCGTTTGGTCGGGGAGGTAGCTTGAAAGAGTCATTGAATTGACCAGTGCTCGCTCGAGGGATTTTCTTATCATCACTAGACGATGCAAAAGGTCGTGGAGGTAGCTTAAAAGACGTATCGAATTGACCAGTACTGGCGCGAACGGTTTCCTTACCCAGACTGCTGGATGATGCCATAGGTCTGGGAGGCAGCTTGAAAAAGTCGTCGAGCTGACGAATGCTAGCTCGCGGGATTTCTTTGTCTGGGTTGCTGGACGATGCAAGCTGCCGTGGAGGTAGCCTGAATGATAGATCTGGTGCTTCCAATTCCACCGGGCCGAAGTCTTGATTCGATTGCTTTGGCGTCGGTACTGTGGCTTCAAGTTCTGCAAAGAATTGTTCCTTGGGGCGATCACTTTCGCTTATGTGGATGATGATATCTACTTGCTCGTCCTGTACAGGTGCCTGCCGCGTCACAGCAGTCTCGGTCACAGCAGCCTCAGGTGGAGGTGGAGGTGCACTCGTAGGCACCTCTGGAACCTGTTCTAGGTTTCTAGATGACTCTTCTTGTTGGGGAGAGATGACTTCCTGGGAGCTCTGATGCCGCATTCCGAGTTGACTTGCTACAGCCTTTTGTGTGAGCTCCGCCTTCTTGGCTTCTGCTGCCGAGAATGTCTCTTCTTCCGCAGAAGCAGGAATCAATGCGACCGTGATTTCCGAGTCTTCAACTAGAATCCTAGGTTCCGATACCGATGCCGATCGCAATGTATCCGTCTCACCCATTGCAGGGCCAGGCTCTCCGATGCTCGAAGGCGTTGCAATGCTCGATGGTGCAGAAGGTTTACCTGAATCTGAGGTCTGCAAGGGTTCATGTGGTGATAAAGGTACTGGTAGCTCTGTAGGCGGCGTTGCCATGGCCATGACCGCAGGATGTGAGGTAAATGCTGGATTGGGGATTGAGGAGCTCCGGGTCCTAGTCCCAGGCTCAATGATTGATGCACGGACCGATCCTCGAGCTGCTGCTGGTAGAATTGGACTCGAAACTAACCCGTGCTGGTTCTGCGATTGAGCCTTGCCAAACGTTGGAGTATTCTCACTGGTTCCAAAGTAATCTGCTTGGGCTTCCAACATATAAGAAGGCGACGTGATAACAGCACTTAGAGGTGTTCCTTTGCTAGCCGTGTTTGCTTGTGGTGTCAATAGCATTTGTGAAGTTCCAGGTGATTTCAGTAGTTCTCCGAGTGCCCTCGGAAAGTAGACACTGGATATACGGTGTTCTGATTTGTCCTTCACCGCGAGTCCCAATGTCATGCTCATACGATTCTTGACTGACACCGGCGCCTGTCGTAACACTTCCTCTGGTACATCAGCAGGCAACTCGATCGGGTGTTCGCCATCTGGGTGGATCAACAGCCCACCAGTCATCTGAGTCTGATCCGCTGATGGGTGTGATCGAGATTGATCCAAGGCCTTCGCTTGGTAGGAAATGGATTGGTATGTCATGTCTGTGCTGGCATTCCGCTTCGACTCGGGAGACTGACCGCTAGATAATCCCTGACTGGATTTGTTACCGCTTCCTGGTCTGCTGGAAAAGGTGGTGGCATTTGTGCTCCGAGACGATGTTCTAGTGGATTTCACTTGACCAGGCTCAGTGGGCAGGGGTTTGTGGTCCACCACTGAACCTGACTGTGACAGCATGACAGATCTGTGAGATGTTGATTGTTTTGAGCGTTGTTGTCTTGCCTATTAATTGTTAGCACTCGACGATCACCGGTATCACAGAGACTCACGATAATGTTTCGGCTGACCGCAGCGGCTCTTCGCTGCATCTCAGCCACAACCTCGCCCAACTTTTTCAAAGTGCCTGCCAGTTTATTTCCTTCTAGATGGAGTTCTAGGAAAGCACGACGCCACCCTTCGGCATTCCCCAGCATCGCTACTAGCACTGCTTCGTGTTCGGGACTTTGCCTTTGCCACGTCGTCTGCAATTTGGCCAAGTATTTCTCCAGTGTATTTGTTGCATCGAATCCTTTCTGGACATCTTTCAATGCATCTTTTGCCGACCGTTTTGTTCGGGTGATCACGTGGTCTATCTTTTCATTGCCGTCCAGAATTGATGCTCGAAATGTACGATCCTCCAACATGCGGTCGAAGACTTCACCATGGGCTAGTGGGAGTTTGAGGCAACGCAGCCTTTCGTGGATGTCGCTCTGCGCAAGTTCAAGGTCTTCGGTAGTTCGCTCGAGGAAACCGTCGATATCATCCACGTGGCTTTGCAGTATCCGCATCACCTCCTCTTCTGATAAGGCCATGTTTTCTGCTAATAGGTGCATTCCAAAGGACATCTGAGCGATCAGCTTCCAGAGAGGGTGGTATTTTTCGCCGGGTTTCTGCTTCCATCTTCCTGCGATTACCCGGTCGTAGGTTGGTGCTTCGAGAAGCATGGTGCGTCGGGTCATTGCATCGAGGGGGACATCTTGATCTAACAGATCGTTTAGTGACTCCAACATAGACTCTTCAAAGGGCTTTTGTAGTTGTGGCACGGGATGGACTGGTGCCCTGACCAGTGTCTGTCCTGCATTGCTTCCCTTGCTCCCGTGGGTCGATGTGGCAGTCGTCCTGCCAGATTGTGCACTCATGATGGGATAAAAAGATGAAGACCACTAGATGGCTTGAGCCCAGGGTTCAGCGCAAATGGACCTTCTCATGACCTGCCTTGCCTCCAGGTATGCTGATCTCCATCTAAATTATTGACCATGTCCAATTCACGTCGCTTGTTGTTCCCAGGTTCCAAGTTCTCGGATACGGAGGGACCGATGCGATGCGTGTGTAAAGTGAAACGGTTCCCGTGCGATTCTCGTTCCTCAGGAGTTCGACCCCGCGGGAGGCAGTTATTTGGCAGCACAAGCAGCCGTTGATAGGTGGTGATGGCACGAAAAGGCAATGCTTATCGCTGGTCCAAGCGTGACAGAGGCTCGCGGTTGAAGAGTGTGAATGGGGTCGTTGTGGATGAGTTCGAATCAACTGTGCAGATGAGTGATGAACTTAACAAAGGCAACGAGTCTGGGAGAGGGTTAGATGGTAAACCAAAATTTAATCAAGTGAAGTTCCGCGATATGATCGGCAGAAGCAGGAGTGAAAGCCAACGGGCAGATGAATACTCGGTAGAGTGATGGCTGCTCTCCCTCTCTCTGATGAAGTTGGCCCCCAGTAGTGGACATCGATCAGTGATTTCACATACGGATGTCAGTGCACAAGAAGCATGAGCGAGCCGGCAGTACGAGTCCTCGCAGTGCCTGGTCAGCATGGGTACGCGGAAATGGACCTGTAGATCCATCAAGCCACGAGCAGGAGCATCCAGGCAGGGATTGCACCGTCGGCATAGCACAAGCCATTTCAGCCATCTGGATGCCTTGTTTCAACATTTTTGGCCTGCGGGTTGGCGGACATGGTCTTGCCATGCAAGTCTCACCGATCAGAGCCCGCAAAGGGGGAAGCTTGAGATGAAGTGCTCGCTTTTAACTGGGGCGGGGCGTGATGGTGAAACTCTGGCTGCATGGAGTATGGTGTGCGTGGGTGGGCAAGCCAAGTCGTAGATTTAAATGTACCGCTGCAGGGGCTGTTATTTCCCCGATCAAGCGATCCAGTCTTTGTTCAACCTCAGAGGCACTTGGGCACTTAACGGTATAAGCCTGGCCCGCCTGGACGACGGCTTATCCACTACGGACACTTTAGGCCTACAGGACCTCTAGATACCTAACTAAAAGGCTTAGGCATAGGGAGCACCCGGAGAAGTACGACTCCTCGTACGAAGAGTCCAGTCAGCATCGTGGCCTCTACAGGGTATCTATAGTCAGAGGGCGCGATATTATGTGAATGGCACCTTCAGTCGTGCTATAAATACTGTGCAAGAATCAGAGTAACAAGCGTTGATCACCTCTCATCGTGAGGACTCGTACCACGTACCTGGGGATTGACATTCCAAAGACCGAGGGTTCAAGTAACTTTGAAAGGGAACAAGTACCTACCTAACAAACGGGGAATCGGTTAACCCTCCCTGCCTTTGGCACCAAGCCACTTGAACGCCCACTAACGCCCCTCTCCGCTTATAAACCCCTAACCACGTACACAAAAATCTTCAAGCCGAAGACCGATCAGTCAATTTCACTGAGCAAATACAGTCAACCAAATAGAGACGAGTTGAGGAGTATCGGTCGATTATTCCTTCCCATTCCCCATTATTATTGATCAAAGAATCACGGCCAAACACGTGACCATTTACCGGCCTCACTATTTTCCAGCGGAGATACGTTCTTCCAGTCAAGTCGTCGGCGAGCCACCACAGAGATATATCGGTCTTCATAGTCCGACTTTGGGAAGTAACCAATTTATCCAGCTTGTGTTAGGCCACAATCAGCATCATGTCGTTGACTGAATTCCCCCTAGCGTCACGCGATGAGCTGTTGAAGGTGTACGGCAATTCTTCCCTGCAGGACTTGCCCGTACCATCGGCAATCATTGATGTGGCCAAGATCAAGGAAAATTGTCAGGCTATGCTCAATGCCGTCCAGCAACTCGATGTCAGCTTTCGTGCACATATCAAGACTCACAAGACTACCGAGATGACCAAGTTGCAAGTTGGTGAGAATTGCGAAGATGTGAGACTGGTTGTTTCTACCATCATCGAGGCCGAGCATGTGGTACCTCTGCTACTAGAATACCAGGGTCGTGGCGCAAAGGTGAATGTTCTTTATGCGATGCCTCTAGGCCCCTCTCAAGTCACTCGTTTAGCATCAGTTGGTCGTCGCCTGGGGCCGGGCGCGGTCAGTGTCATGATTGATCATATCGAGCAATTCAAGTCCTTGAAAGAGTACCACCAACAGGCCGGATTTCCCGCATGTGTCTTTCTGAAAACGGATTGTGGTTATCACAGAGCCGGGCTTACTCCAGAGTCGAAAGAAATGGTTGGTCTCGTTCAAGCAGCCAGCGACGGTGAAAAGGAAGGTTTCTTGACATTGTTGGGATTCTACTCACACAACAGCTTGTCGTATGGGAGTTCTTCACCCGACGACGCGATGGACATGCTTAAAGTGGAGATTGAAGTTTGCCATCAAGCGTCGAAACACTTCCTGGCAGATCGACAAGTCCCATTAGTGCTTTCGGTGGGAGCGTCCCCAACGGCATTGTCGCTACAGAATATTCTTCCTGCAAACTCGTCCACGACAGCGTCCGCCAAATTGCTAAAGGAGAGCCTGCAGCTAGCCAAAACCAATTTGGAGTTGGAGATACACGCAGGGGTATACCCTACATTCGATATTCAACAAGTCGCAGCCAGCAGTCGACATATGGATAAAGACCCTCACGAGGCCATTGCAGTGTCAATTCTAACAGAGGTTTGTTCTCTCTATCCGTCTCGAACAGAGCAACCAGAAGCCCTCGTCTCCGCGGGAGGTCTTGCTCTGGCCCGGGAACCTTGCAAGGATTATCCCGGGTGGGGAGTAATAAGTCCTTGGAACATGTCATCTGAATACAGCATCAAACCAGAGGACCGTATCATTGTCAATCGCATTTCTCAGGAACATGGTATTCTAGCTTGGGAGAAGAACGGTCCGACCAGACCACAGCTACCACTCGAGTACGGTCAGAAGCTGCGAATCTGGCCCAATCACGCGTGTATTACTCTAGCACAATTTGGATGGTATTTGATCGTGGACTCTACCACTGACACACCTGACAAGGTGATTGACGTTTGGGTCAGGTGGCGTGGATGGTAGGCCCGGCTGGTCACAACAATGCACGATGGGCCATATACGAGTAGGTACAAAAAGCTTTTCAAAACAACCAGGATCCCTGTCATTCCCCGAGCCATTCAATGCGTTGTGTATCGTGGCGGAACTTACATCCACCTTGTGTTGGGTGATGAAAAGTCGAAAAATCGCCCATCCAGGAAATTCGACGTCCTCTTTTTGGCAATCCTCTCTGCGATCGAAGATTCCTCTTGATCACGGAGCCCCTACCCATACAAAATTCTAAATCGTGCGGGGTGAGTGCCTATCGGACAATTTGTAGATGAAGGACGGCCCGGAATGAGTGGAGGCAAGTGACTTCGGGATGGGATGAAGATGGGGAGATCAGAAGCAAAGACATTTATGCTCGATATGATCTGCAGTGCACTGGTCAACTTGCTGTTGATCCCCTCAATTCGAGGCCCTTGTAGACTCGGTACAACCCCTGTCAGCAAGCCGTTTCTTATCCCATTGGTCGACCTGCCACCACCTTCGTGAGGTGGCAATGATTCGTTCATGAGATGGCCAGTACCTAGTACCAGACGATGGGCTCTCTTGGCCTACATCCATCATCGAAGCTCCCCGCTCAGTAATGTCAAGGGGGAGAGAGCCGCGCATCAAGGCCATCAAACCACAGCCCGTCCATATCGTGAGGACAGTAGATGGTCAATAGCATGTGACGCGGCCAGATTGGTCGATACAATCCAGTGTTCACCTGATAACAATCTTGGGAGAGTTCTACCGTCGATTGAGGTCATACATTACTAAGGCACCTTAACTAGAATCACACGAGAACTCTACACTTGCTGATTCCCGATAGTCAATTTCAACGGCCCGAGTCAGATATCTTGAGGTGGTAGTTGTTTGATTGGGCCTCTCTCTATACGAGTACGAGCACTTCCTCGGGTTGTCGACAGCTGCTACATCGTATCCTGGTCTTTGATGATCGTGGTGTTCGTCCTCGGCATCCGAGATCGTGATTGGCTGGGCACGTGATCGGAAGCAAACCTGCCGAAAACTCCTGGCACGACGCCACGCCAAGCCATGCGCCACGTTCTTGCGCGACTCAGCCTCATCGTCATTTGATTGTCGTTCCACTGATGAATCGATGACTGCTGAACCCCGCAGCACCAGCTCCCATTCTGTAGGAGCTGAGGGAGGCTGTGAGGCCTTACAAAGTCGCATACCACGCAAGGAGTGGATGTAATCAATTTTCGCGACTATTAGTCTAGGCAGAGCCACACTCTCCTTCAACGCATTCTCGTTCAGCTCTCGGCATCGTCACAAAACGGATCTCCGTATTGTTAGATAGGTACCCAAGACTGCCCCTCAATACCTACCTATTCGTGTTCATATCTTCTGCCTGCGTCTTACTCATACTCTTCCTTTTCTTCAACATCAGTAACCTCCGTCTATTCTTACCGTGATTAATCCCACTCTCCTATCTACCCTCTAACTGCTCATACTGCAAGGCATGTCATACGGCGGTCCCCCTCAGCAACCTCCCTACGGAGGTGGCTATCCGCCACCAAATCAGGGTGGTTACGGCCAGCAGTACCCTCAGCAACAGGGCAATTGGGGTCCTCCACCTCCTCAGCAGCACGGTAACTGGGGCGCTCCTCCAGGAGGTCCCCCGCCTCAACAAGGAGGATGGGGTCCTCCACCAGGTCCGCCACAACAGGGTGGATGGGGTCCTCCGCCAGGTGGTCCGCCACCACAGCAAGGCGGATGGGGGCCTCCTCCGGGTGCTCCTCCCCAATGGCAACAAGGACCGCCTCAACAGCAAGGTGGCTATCCTCCTCCGCAGCAGGGTGGGTATGGCCCGCCCGCGCAACCATCCCCAGGCTATGACCCGCGCGCTGTGGCACAAGGAGACGCTTCAAGAGACGCAGATGCTTTGCGGGCTGCGATGAAAGGTTTTGGTACTGATGAGAAGGCTCTCATCCGAATCCTATCCAAGCCAGATCCTCTCCAGATCGCCCTCCTCCGAAATACCTACAACACGCGACTGCGCCGCAATCTAGAGGCAGACATAAAGTCGGAAACGTCAAAATACTTCTGCGACGGGCTCGTCGCAATTGTACAAGGTCCATTAGGTCACGATGTCCATGAAGTAAACCGCTCTATCAAGGGTATTGGAACTAAAGAGTCGGTGCTCAATGATGTTCTTATCGGTCGCTCCAATGCCGACATGCGCGCCATTAAGCAAGCATATCAAGAAACATTTCGCAAATCTCTCGAGTCAGAAGTCAAGGGCGATTTGTCCATGAAGACCGAACAACTCTTCGGCCTCATCATGGCCGCCACTCGCGCCGAAGAATCTGCACCCATCGACCACAACCAAATCGATCGAGACGTGCAAGACCTCCATCGCGCCATGGACGCCCGAATTGGCACTGACCAAATCACCGTCTGCAGCATCCTCTCCCAGCGAAGTGACGGTCAAGTCCGCGCAATTGCTCACCACTGGAAGCAGAAGTACCACAGTGACATGGAAAAAGTTGTCGACTCCGAATTCTCCGGCCACATGAAAGACGCCCTACTTTTGATGGTCAGACGGGCTACTGACCGCGCCATGTCAGATGCACTCCAGCTCGAAGAAGCCATGGCTGGCATGGGCACCAAAGATAATTTACTCGTGGCAAGAATTGTCAGACTGCACTGGAACAGACAGCACATGGACCAGGTCAAGAGGGCTTACCAGCATAGGTTCAAGAAGGACCTGATCCAGAGAGTCAAGGGTGAAATTTCTGGTGATTATGAAAACTTGATGGTTGCTTGCTTGACTTGATGATCCCGTTCTGATGGTCATTGAGTTCTTGAGGATCCGCGGTCGATTACTACGATCTCCTTACGTTCTGGTCAAGACTCGCTATACAAAAACGACTGCAATCCTGCGGCTCTCGATCACAAGGCCGTCAGGATGATGTTGTGACAACGGGAGGTTTTCCGTGTGACTTGCCCCTTATGGGCTCTGTCAGTGTATCTCAGTTATGTTATCAGGAAATCCCAACCAGAATTCTTATTCTTGCATTTATATGTACCATTATAGGTACTGTGCGGGTCATCGCACTCTTGGTCATTTAATTGGTTCTCGCAATGCCTGACGGCAAAACAGCAGAAGAATCTCCCTGTTGCGTGGGCCACGACTCTTGGTAAATGACTACGTCTTCAAATAAACACATTCTCCCTTTGAATGCACTTCTCGCTTTATCGAGAAACCTCGACATACCACTGGCTTCTCCCACACACCTGGCTCATCTGGCATTGGCCAACTCTCGTGTTTCTGAAGCTACAGACCATGCAGAATATGCGGACAAAGAAATCGCAGAATTGAGTTTCATTTCATCATGGATTAAAGGATACTACAAACATTCAACCCACACGGGCCGACTCGTACACTACACTGCGCGGACTGCACACGCTGAGCCCAACATCTGCAACAACCCAAGCCTACTCGGCGGGCTCATCCTCATGGAACACCAGCGTGCGGACCTCAATACTCTCGCGCGAGTAATCATCCACATGAGCGGGATTACTGAACGCGGTGTGAGGGATGCGTCTGGCGCGCCCGTCGAGCTTCGAGTCGAAGCACTTGATCAGCGTGACCTCGTCGGGCTCCTGTCCGTACAGGAAGTACCACTTGTGCTCGGGGTTGGGCCGCACCGTCAGGGTCTCGCCCTTGCGGTTCGGGTAGATGAGGCCGACGGGCACGAGGTCCGAGTCCGGCACTGAGTCTGCGTCGGCCACGGCGAGCGGGTCCTTCAGGATCTTCTTGATCGGCCGCCACACGTTGATGATCTGGTAGCGCGTCTGCAGGAGCCGGTCGGCTTCCTCGGGGAGGTGGTGTGGCACGCGCGATTTCGACGCGCTGTAGCTCTGGTCAATGTGCACGCGGTTCACGGGCCCGCGGAGGTTGATGGCCGCGTTGGGGTCGGCGTTGCGTTGATCTTTGGGCGCGCGTCGGACGGTGTGGTCGAAGATGAAGATGCGAGAGGCCCCAGTTCTGAATGGTGTTAGTGTCGACTTTGCTGGTGGACGGTGGTCCTGGTGTCCAAGAAGGGGGTTTCGACTTACGCGTCCTTTAGCAGCTGCTCAACCTCCGGGTAGTATTGTGCCTTGATCTGTTCATCGTCGATGAAGTCCTTTTCCACACTCGAGTGCTTGTAGATCTGGAAGCCTTGGCCATCGAGGGTATACTTGTCCTCTTCGCCTCGAATGTCATGGATGGTCACGTCAAAGGGCTGAACAGGTCGTTCATATGTCTCTGGCCTGCCCACATAGGTTGGTGCTGGCGGACTTCCATCAGCGGCTTCTTTATAATAGTTCAACGACGTCTGAACATGGTGTTTCTCAGGTTGAGTGGTCTTGGTCTCCTGGACTTGAGTCACGAGGGGCTCGAACGACGTCGAGTGTCCTCCGGGTTGTTGGACTGCTGCTGATGCCATTGTGGATCTGGATGTATATTGCTTGACTTCGACGACCGTTGCGTTGCTGCAGTATCATACTAACCTCTGGACAATGACGATGGGGAATGGACTATTTATGACATGGACTATACCGGATTCTGATTTGTCAGGTAGCACGCCATTCGTGAGACCATCCGCGCCATGTCCATATACTGTGTGGGGAAGGTTTGTGATTGTGTCGTATAAGACGTTACCGAGGCCAATGGGATATCGTCTATTCCAATTGCGTGCCCTGTCCGAAGTATGTCTGGTTCACGGCTATTTGAAACAAGTCATGCCATGCTCTTTCCCCTCCCTGTGAAATATGCTGTGCTTATCAATCCTCAAATAAATTACATCGTTGATTAGATTTCTTTGCGGACCAGTTTGGTGATGGTCGTCCCATCACCGAGGATATCGGCTTCTTCTTCCAGCCTATATCCTTTATAGCGTGGCAGTGCTTTGGTCCAGATCCACCAATAAAAGAACGAGAATATCCATCTAGCGCACTTGTCAATTAACCGTGGCTATCAAAGGGCGTGGATTACTTACACTGACAAGCCAACAATGGCATAAGTCGCATAGAAAAAGTTGACATCTGATGTCCCTTTCTTTGGTGGGAATAATGGCGCGAGAATCAAGCCAATGCAGAGGACAATCCGGAGCCACACTGCAGGCAGCCATGCACGGAAAGGTCGGACAAGTTCGGGCTTCTGTCTACGCAACAGGACCAGACCGATGCCGATTGCTATGGCAAAGAATTGGCCTGCGTAACCCTCGACATCTGCGATGAAAGAGTAGACCGTAGATGATGGGGGTGCGGCAATGACAATGAAGGACGGTATGTAATGCACTATTAGACCACCCATGGGCGATCCAAAGGGCTTGTTCGATGCTAGAATCTGTGAGTATGGCAGAAAACCTTGTCGCGCAACCTCTTGGTTTACTCGAGACTATAATCTTGTCAGTGTAGGAATTCAAGAAAGGGCACACAACCCTACTGTGCTGAAAGTAACAACCATCACGTTTCCAACGGCACTGAGCGCAATTGCCAACGGGAGAAACTTGTCCCCAAAGCCTGGACCGAATAGTTTCTCGAAGAACAGTGCAGCAATAAGTTCTCTTGTCTGCTTGATCTCCTCAAGTGGCACTACAGCAAGATATGCAACATTGACCAGCATATACATGACACAAGCGGTGGCCAGAGCAATCGGTCCAACAGACTTGAGAGTCCTCACCGGGTTCTTGACTTCGTTCAAGACATTGTTGACATTGCTTAGTCCGGCGTAGGAGTACAGGACTTTGAAAAATGAGGTTGACAGATTGTTCAATCCCCAATTCGAGCCACCCCAGAGGTCATCGTAGGCATAAACCAGAGAGGACGAGGAATTGGCGGAATTCTCCGGGTTTGCGTTTGACAACTGAGGGCGGAAGAAGACCACAAAAAGTCCTGCAAGGATCATAAATACTACAAGTCCAATTTTCAACCAACCAAGAATGTTTTGAATCCAGATGCCGGTGCGGTAGAAGCAGCTATGCACAATTGTGATCCACGTGAGTAGTCCCAAGGCCAGAAGTTTCGTATTCAGATCTCCTGGTTGCTGGCCAGCAGCGAACAAGGTGTACTTAGCGAAGACGATGCAATTCGTCGCTGAGAAGCCAAGTAAGACAGCTTGAACAGCAACAAAGGTTGAGGCCAAAAATCGTGGTTTTCTGTAAGTATATTCGAGATATACCTTAGAGCCTCCGGAACGGGGAAGCATGCAGCCATATTCCATATCGATGACTAGGCCAGCCCAGGCGACCAGAGATCCAGCGACCCAGAGGACAAGTGCTAAACCGGGGCTGCCCACTGTCTGAACAATAGTGCCAGGCATGGCAAAAATTCCTGTTCCTATTACTCGAGACATGACGAGTACATAGGCACTGCCCCAGCCGAGGGTACGCCCGGTCGTGGCCGTCTCTGGAAGGACATCGTTGTCGATTTTTCGGTCCTCGAGTAGATCTGTGGAGTGTGATGGTGGTGCATGTTCCAGCGATTCGTAAGAAGTCCGTGGCGACTGCAACAACGGAGAGGTAGAGAGATCTTCCCGCATCTTTAATTAAGTCGAGAAATATAAGTAGGGACGTATGGTGTGTTGGAATTGGCACGTAGACAGCCGAACAGTGATTCCTCGCCGTCGAAATCTATGCAAACGCTTGCAACAACAAACATATGCCCCTCAAGAGCCAGAAAAACAATGTTCGAAAAGAAATGTGCAACAAGAAACGTCAAGAACTTCAATGTTTAGAAAAGGGTACAAAATGCTGACAAAAAGGGTAATCTGGCTCAGGCTGTCATCAGCTTTCAAGGTGCTACATATGCAAGCCTATCGGTCATTAGTCTGTATCGCATCATGGCGCGTCAGATATCGGAATTCGGTCACAAGGTGTCTCGTACGGACAGTGAGTTGTTCGTACTGCGGCATGGTGACAAGGAAGCCTGAAGGACTGGGGCACGGATTTGCTCATCTCGCTCTCCCAGCACGCCATTTCAGGGGTGCATAGCTGTCAGGGACGTATCTTGTTTTGTGAAACAACCAATGCAATGATCGGGACAGCGAAGTACCGGGTACTAAGTACCTCGTTTCAGTTGAATGGAACACACCTCGAAGGCCAGCTCTACACTTGGCAAGGCTTTCAACATGCATTGGTAGCAGCTTTACTTAAATCGAAGAATGGAACGACGGAATTTGAAAGCGCAGCATCTTGCACGTGACCTTCCATTCGGTACGGAAGAACTCTCACCCAGAGCCGAGCTTCCCCGCAGACGTGTTTATGTCAGCCTCACTCAACTTTCTGTGATTCAAACCTCGGCCCACGGTTTCAACTACTAGTAGCTCAAGCAACTTGAAGAACGATAAAGTTCATCGTCCAAGAAATAAATACCTGGATGAGTCCTCGATGACTTGAACGCTCCAAGAAACCATAGATTGCGACACGGGCAGGAGTGTTTGCTGACTATTTGGCCACTGAAATACCTCTTTGGACTGTTGCCGAGGCCAAAGGCTACATTGAGCTATCGATCCTCCTTTTGTCAGGCTCCTTGATACTTATACACACCCGCGGTCTTTTGTCAGAAGTTAGTGATCCCAGGGCTAGATCATACTTAGTAGCAGAGAACCCTTCAGATCACCATCTACAGCAACAGGAAGACAACTTGAAATCTGTCCAACATGGCTGTTGATAAGATCAAGCCTTACAATGACCCCCGTGTCTCGCTGCGGTCTGCCAATCTCAACGGTCACAATTATGGCTACCTTTACAGCCCAGCTTCCACCGAGGTACCGCACAGAGGAACTGTCGTACTTATCCATGGGTTCCCAGATATCTCGTTTGGTTGGCGCTATCAATTCCCATTCTTAACCAGTCTCGGCCTCGATGTGATTGCTCCTGACTGCATGGGCTACGGTCGTACCGATTCGCCACTGTTCACACTCAAAGACTACACCTACAAACGAGTCAGTGATGATATTGCCGAGCTATGTCGCCAGCTGGGCCTCAAGCATATCATCCTCGGTGGTCATGATTGGGGTGGTGCGATTGTCTACCGGGTTGCTCATTACTATCCAGACTTGATTTCGTCAGTGTTCAGCATCTGCACACCTTACGCTCCCCCTATTCCCAAATACGAACCTCTGGTGCAGCTGGTGAAGACGAAGCTCCCCAACTTCGCGTATCAGATCCACTTCGCTTCCGGCGAGCTTGAGCAAGAGATCCGTTCTAAAGACGAGATCCGTCAGTTTCTCAACAACATGTATGGCGCAAGAACACCTGAGGGTGAAGCGGCTTTCGACGCAGAAGGGCGCGTGGATTTCGAAAGGCAACGACGCGTGGGGCGAAACAAACTGCTCGATGACGATGAGCTCAAATACTATGTGGACGAATACGCCCGACATGGACTCAACGGACCCTTAAACTGGTACCGAACACGTGAAGACAACTTCATAGACGAGTGGACCCATTTCTTCGACGAAGGCCGCAAATCCAACAAAGACGCCGTTAGGGATCTGACAATCAAGCAGGAGCTTTTATTTGTCCTGGCCACAAAAGACCAGGCGCTGAAGCCATTCATGGCTGCGAAAATGGGAGACAGAATACCTAATCTTACCAGGCGAGAGGTTGTCGCCGGTCATTGGGCACTTTGGCAGAAACCTGAAGAATGTAACAAGATCATTGGCGAATGGTTGCATGAGAAGGTCTTCAATAAGGCCGGTGGCAGTGGCAAGAGTAAGCTCTGAGCTATTTCACAGACAAACTAACGCCCACCCAGTTAGTGGGTTGTTTGCAATGAGATGCATACCTCTTTCTTAATTCCGCGTAGACCCTTGAATCACACCAATTTGTCCCCAAGCACCGTCTAGCCCTAAGTTGTTCTACCTGAAGAGTCATACCGGTGCCTCAGAGAATTCCCATGGCTATGTGTCTTCCACCAGCCATGCGCAGACTTTGTGTCCGAAAAGAAGGTCGTACTAGACTTCCTGCCCTGGAATAGAGGGGAGGAGTGTGTCGGATATTCCCGACACTGCTATGCTTGGTAGTGCCGTGGTTAGGACAACTCATATTATGAGTAGGTTTGCACCGTGTGAACCTTGAAGTCAATTTGAGGTTGGGCGATCGCAATACGTAAAATGTGAAATTCTAGACACTCAAATTCTCCTGAAACCACAGCCTCGCTTTGTGACCATGATCACTACATTCTTCAAGTGCTCGTACTCAAACTGGTCGTTAAGGAATGTATGCATCTGATTGAGTCGAGTGTCTGACTAAGGATGGTGATCCTTCACCAGGCAGCTTGTGTTAAACCTTTGATAGGTCATACCTTGAAAGCGATAGGAAAGGCTTGAAAGGAGGAGGCCCTTTCACGGTGACAGAGCGGTCAAACCCGGATGCTATAATAATGGTCCTTCGGCTGATACTTCGTAGCATGACGACGAAGCTGATGGACTGACCATTCAAGCATGATAACAGAAATCTAAACTTAATCTGAGGCGGCGTGAACCTATCATCGCTGGCACGTTGCAGTTGTGATACGGCTCAGGTGATTCAGATTATATGTCGCACGATTGAGTGTACTTAATCAGGACTTTTCGACGAGCATTTATCAACTCACCTCAGGCGGCAGTGACCAGCCGTGGTTGTTTTCAACGCGAAGCTATGGAAAATGTTTTTCTTCCGAAGTATACCACTCCGACTTGACTCGCAAGGATATTTTGGTACCCGGATTCGCGATGAGAAGCATTCCGAAGTACATGGTTCCAAGTCAATGATATGTGGTTCACCAGAAGCCCCTGTTTTGGAAGAGTTGGAACCGATTGGACTCCATCGAAGCTTGGCTGCAATACGCTGTCTAGGTACCCGTGCTCTTCTTCAAGGCATGTTGTACTAGTTTATCAAGCCACTGGAGTTGGGAGATTTCGTGGTTGGAGGAATGCTGAGTGAAAAAATCGTCAACATGGAGGCACATAAAGAATTATGCAAGAACTGTCTAGCTTGTCCATGGGTAACATGAGATATCGTATTGAATGAGTGTTGCTGATATAGTACTAGCACGACGAGTGAGTCTAACTACTGCTTGGAGCCCTTGGGTGCTTTAGGCGAGATATACAGGTCTCGGGGCTCTGCATCGTCTCCAGAAATTCGCCCGAGCCAACTCTTCATTCACATCGTTCCTAGCCTTTCTCAAGCTTAAAGTGTGCCAACACGATTCACGTCCATCATAATCAATGAAATACTATAAGAGAAAGGACACATGCTCCATTTTTCTCTCTGTTCCCCGCCCAAAAACAGCTCTACGATGACCCAAAATCGGTAATGGCTCGGCATCAGGTTGACTCAGCCATGTGCATGCATAACCCTTGATCTTGGTAATAATGACTCGCAAGTCATTGGAGCTGAAGACGTCACAGGAATGAAACGAGATGAGATCCAGGACGGCCAAGCCCGCCTCTATCACAAGCGAACAACCGTCGCAACTCGACACATCAGTCGTCACTCGTGGCTGAAGCAATAGCCTTGGTTGAACTCGGCAACCCCGCGCGTCAGAACAACGGCGGTGGTGAGGTGATTATGATTGCCGGTTTTCAAATCACCAAAGACGGAATGCACATTCAGATGATATGTGAGGCTGCTTTTGAATGTGATGACTTCCATGGCTTCCCTCTTCGTTTTTCCTTTCCAACCAACTAAGCCACCCACTCCCACTTACGGGGCATCATGACTGTGCAGTGTTCTTACCAAGCCTTATCCGCCGAAATGCATCAGTGATGAAATGAATGCGAATTCAGTGGGCCTGCTATTCGTAAACAAGACCTCGCTGTCCAAATCTCTCTCGAATAGTAAAGCTGATTCTCAAGACCTCCGAGAAATTAACCAGCATGTCCAGCGATCTCGGGATCTGGGCAAAGAGAGGAAAAGCAGGAGGCGTGTCAAGAGATCAAGCATTCCTCTAGGCTGGACTTTCCTTCCACCTCCTCCATCACCTACTACCATCCGTCCAGTCCTGCGAATCGCTGACCAACCTCACTCGATCACTTCTGAAACATCTAAACAAGGCCATACCAGTAATAGTACTTCACAAGGTCTCAAGACGTGCAGCCATGACTCCTGTCCAACTAGTCCATTACTGGACATCGTCCGACCATCTGGGACGTCGGCTGAACCTTTCGGTCAATTCACGGTTTCGATGAATGCTGAGAAGCATCGAATTCTTCAATACTTTGTTACCAAATTCTTCCCAGCCGTGACGAGACTAGATATACTGTCTTTCATTACTGGTAATGATCAAAACCCCGCCAACCCCGCCATTCAGATCATCCGCAAATCTTTGTCGGACCATGTCCATTTTTTGGCTCTGCTAACCGCCTCGAGCGCTCGCATGAAATATGTGGAGCAGTACCACTTTGCACGAGAAGATCTTCCAGAACGTTTGGCTGACGCCACCCTGAAGTTGCTCCGAAAGTATCTTGCAGAAGGCCGGCCGGTAACGCAAGAGCTGCTACAAAGTATACTCTACTTGTGGGCGATAGAGAGCTACCGCAGAAACTGGGACGCCGTATTGATGCATGGCAACATGATCATGTATCTCTGCAACACACACTTTGGTGGCTTCCAGAACCTCAATCCCTACCTGCGACGTATGCTATGGATTGCCGATAGGTTTCAAGCTGCGGCCACAGCTAGGCACCCTTTAGTGGAGGAGCGATGGGAAACCGAGGAGATAACGACACTCCAATCCTCTCGAGCCATCCAAGCTCTACAAGAGCACAGCTGGGAGCCCAATGGACGAGGTTTCTCTCGGACCAAAATAAACTTCAGTCTTAATTTTACCGCCATCATTGAGGCTGTCGTCAACCTTGCTCATGTGATACAATGTCAGTGGGCTGAGGTTGCTGTTCTCTCTGAACTCCCTGACCGAGACTGGGCGGTTGCTCGTAGCTACACATTATCCGATGAACTGCTTGGTTCCAAAGATGAAACTTTGGATGCATCCAATGCTAATCGCCACTTCAAATTGCAGGATTGTGTCCGGTTAGCGCTTATTGTCTGGCTTGCATTTGTTCCTGCGAGTGCCCCGTACTCGCCAGCGAAGCACGTGACAGGTGCTCTAACCATTCGAGCGGCGATTGATGCCAGACCACTGCGCAATCGACTCAGTAGTATAATCGATCACTGTGATACTGCTCCTACGAGTAGGGAAGATGATCTTCTACTATTTTGGGTTGCAGGTCTTGGGGCCGTGGCAAGTGAGCTCGTTGAAAATCAAGAATGGTTTGCCGTTCAATTCCAGCGCTACGCAAGAAAACTTGCCGTGTATTCTTGGGACGACTTCATCGAAGTGAATGACGCATTCTTGTTGTTGGACAGACTTCAGCAACATAATCTTACAAAGTTGAGTTGGTTGCTGCAACGAGCCATTTACGCAGAAAGCTCAGACGAGGATGCCACGCCCGAATGAGCAGAAAATTAGTGCCGATGCTCGGGTTGTTCTATCGATTCTGAGTTATTGGAACATGCCACCAGTGAGCGGCTACAAGACTGCAGTGTATCCCTCCTTAACCCATACTCATGAAATCTATTTATGATCACAAGCTTGGTCAAGAGTATCGGTGCGAATGTGTATTTGTTGATTCTTCTCTGACCAACAGAGAAGGTCCTAATGTCATCCATGCAATGCATCATTCTTCCGTTCTACCCATCGCTTTCTAAGTGCCTGCGCCGCAAGTTTCGGCCGCCGGTCCCTAGTGAAGACGCCCTTTTTGTTTCCATCCACCCTAAAGACCATGGCGCTGGTTTGGAAATCTGAAAAACTCCACACATGCTCACCAATGACAGAGTCAAGGCGGTCAAACACACGATGGTACACCTCGAGCATACTGCTCTGAAACTCCTCACTCCAAGGTCCCGGATTTGTCATGTGTAGTCCGGCCATGGTGTCGGAGCCATATTCGGTCATGATCATGGGCTTGCCATACTTGGTTTGCCAGGTCCGGAGATCTGTCTCCAACTCGTGCTCTGCGGTTTCCAGGTCGCCGGTGTGTTCATACCACCCGTAATATCGATTCAAGCAGAGAACATCGAACAGGTCGGATATCAAATCATTTTCCGCAGTCGCCAGGACGCAGTTGCTAAAACAAATGGGCCGCGTGGAATCCAGGCTACGCGTCAATTTGACCAGTGGAGCGAAGTATTCTCGAGCACCATCTTCGTGGGACGCCGGCTCATTGGCGATACACCACATTACCACCGAAGGGTGGTTCTTGTCGCGTGATATGAGTTCGCGAATGTTCTGAGAGTGTGCAATGCTCGTAGTGACATTCATGGTCTCCGCTGACCATGTTGGAGGTGCCTTCTTGCCAAATAGTCCAGATGCAATGCCTAGATTTAGGCCAACAGCAGCGGTCTCATCGATCACAACGATCCCGTGTCGATCAGCGAAATCGTACACCTCCTCTGCATAGGGGTAGTGCGAGGTTCGGAAAGAGTTGGCACCGATCCATTCCAGGAGTTGGAAGTCATGCACCATATATGCTGAGTCGTGCCCTTTGCCACGGATTGGAGTGTCTTCATGTTTGCCGAAGCCGGTGAAATAAAAAGGCTTGTTGTTGATTAAGAACTGAGATCCCTTCACCTCGACTGTACGTACTCCGACGTCAATAGAGTATTCGTCGACAAGTGAATTGTCGTCCAAACGGTGCAGATAAAGGGTCAGCTTGTACAGATACGCGTTTCCTGGTTGCCAGAGATGCACGGACTCGATCTCGATTTCACTCCGCTCTCCGTGGGCACACCCTACAACGTTTCCATTCTCATCCGCAACCGTCACTCGGATCTCACAATCAACTGACTCACTGCAAGTGGCTTCATACTTGATAATCCCCGTCCTGTTCTCGCCAACAGTGTCGGTGACAATGGTAACATCCCGGAATGAACGTTGAGGCACGCTGTACAGCCACACCGAACGAGAAAGGCCAGAGTAATTGAAGAAGTCGTGCAAGTATTTCTGTTTCCGTGTCCCATTGGCCAAAACCTCAATGCTCCCAGGCGGGATAGTTTCGTTGCTGAGTTCATTACAAACAGCGACTGTGAGACAGAATTCTTTTCCTGCACTGACGAGCTCCGTGATATTCGCGTCAAAAGGGGTATATCCACCCTGATGATCCGCAACGAGTTTGTCATTGACGTAGATCCGCCCTCTGTGCGTGGCCGCGTCGCAGCGGATGAAGACGTGCTCTGAGGTCCAGCTCCTGGGAACCCTGACGCGACGTTGATATTTGACCCAGCCGACATGATCCCGTATGCCGTGGTCGAGTAGGATATCATTGTAGCTCGCAGGCACCGGTATTTGTGTCTTTGGTGAAAGCAGCTCGGTCCACTCCTCCGTTGCAGCATCAGCGACGATCTCGAAATTCCATACTCCGTCCAGGCAGATCACTTCTCGCGTGGCCGTCGCCTGAGGTCTGAGCATAATGTTCTTCCTCTTGTTGTGATCTCAATGGATGTTGGTGAGGTAGATCGATGCGTACAAGAAGATTATTCGTCTCTCATGCTTCTATGCTGGTTTCCATGGAAGTGGCTAGGGCCAAATCTACGACCACGAACACACCCGGCCCGCTTATTCGACGGTTAGGATAGATAATACTGCTCACCCCGAATAGTGTCAACCGCCCTGCCTCTGTTAATCCACGCCCCATAAAGACAAGGGATCACAACCTCCACAGTGGCAACATCAAACCCCAATATCGCCTGCTCGGAATATTGCTCGCACGAGAGATGCTCCGGGTCCCGCGGTGTTTTCATGTTCAATTGCCGACAGTCTCAACTCCACACGATCGGCTGCCTTCCGGGGTTACCTATGTGGCTGTCGCGCTAGAGGAAGTCTACGAGTCAGTAGTTAGTTTTCACAACAGGGTCTCTTCCGCCATCGGATTCCCTCGTACAGTTTTGACATCGCTCTCTCTTAAAGTGGCTTGTGGCCTGATATGGACTGAGGTTGAATCGCGGCATGCATTTACGGCAAAACAAGCTGTGAAACCCGATTTCGCCAAATCATCCTATCATCGAGTGCCCTCGTATTGCTAAGGCTACTGCTCTATGACTAGCTATGGAAACTCTTGGACGTGCGAGGCGAGCTGTATCGCCCTCTGTTGTTTTCATCAGTCGGACTCAACGCAGCAATTGGGGTTTTAACTAGGAAACTATTTCGTGTCCCACAACCTCTGCTCTAAGATCAAGAGGCTCTGTTTACCCAAGGTCATTATATCACGAGAGCTCTCCTAGAGTTTGGAAGAATTATGTTCATTAGAATCCCTTTCAAATACTGAGTTTTCCAGTATTGAAGATTTTCTGCCACTTTGGGTACTAGTTAGGTAGCCACCGATGTCTCATTTCCCTTGACAGGAACCAAGGGAGCCTCCCATAGTGTGGTGGTTACATTGATCCGATATATCTCTAATCACCAAAACAGCCGCATTAACATGCGTTTGATTGGACTATGGTCCGAAATCACGGCTCGTGAGTTCTCTCAGCCGCAACTGCCGTCTGATGTCTTGTCTTTGTGGTTTCGAATTTCCAGGCGGGGATACCACGCTCAAACAGCTCGTCTAGCTCTTCATACGTACGGTTCTTGGTCTCCGGATAGAAGAAAATAACGGGTAATAGGTATACGAAGGTGATTCCGCCAAAGAATAGACCAATCTTCTGTCCCCAACCCGCCCCTTGGTTAGAAAGCATGATTGGGACCGTGTACGACTATTTACGCGTTAGTTGAACGAATGATAATCAATGTGAATGGAACTCACGAAGATCAATCCCGTACAAGCCTGTATAATGGCAGCGCAGGCAGTAGTCTTTGCACGAAGCTGAGGGCTTGATACTTCGACGAGAGAAATCCAGCCTGTGTAGAATGAGTCAGACTAGTCAAACCCGAGCAGATTAGAAGAGCTCGTGGCATCTACTTACCAATTGGAGCCATAGAATTGGCGTAGACAAAGGCCCAGACTGCACAGAGTACAATCAATCCTACGCCCGAGGCACTGGTTTGCTCCCGGAAGCCTAGGCCGCCAACGATGAAGCAGATAATGCCCAGGACTACTCCACCCCAGATGACCAACTTTCGCCGACCGACCTTATCAACGAAGTAGAATGATACGACTAATCCGGTGAGAAGAACGAGTTGGATTATGATTTTTCCGAGGAAGGGATCCTTGAGATTCGCCAGTTGAAAAAAGTAGGTGGTGAACCCGAATATCAGAGCAACACCGACAAAATTCTGGAAGGTGAAAGGTAGGGTTGCCACGATGATTCGTTTGATGTTGTTCTTGGTGAAAAGGGCGCTCCAGTCGGAGTTACCGTGGGATTTAGCAAGGGCAATCGACTTCTCGGCCTCGAATCGAACGACTCCATACTCACGATCGAGATCATAGCCTTCGACGTTACCGACCAGCTTGTGCAGGGCTTTCTTTCCTTCTTCATGTCTCCCTTTTGTCGCATACCATGCTAGAATACTAATCAGCCACGCCTAAACACAAACAGAGCCTGGTATCTTACCAGGAGTCTCAGGAAGATAGATCACTGGAACCAACCAAAGACCAAAGAACACGAATTCCGAATAGAACATGCGACGGAATTGATAGGGAGCTGTGACGTCGAGCGTCTTGAGGCCGATCGCCAAAAAGACCTGTCCGAGGGCGAAAGCAAGTGAGAAGGCACCCAGCATGGCACCACGAAACTGGGGCAGAGCAATCTCAGACATGTAGACCATACAAGCTGTAGAGATCATGCCACTTGCACATCCACCTGCGACACGGGAGAGTGCGAGGACAATATAGTTTTGTGCAACGATCGCAAGTATGATGGACTGACCGAGGCGTCAGGATCAATATCATTGGTTTTTCATATTGTTTGCTTGCTTACCAGAGTCAGGAAGAAGGTGAACACCCACATGTTGAACTTGCGACCAAACCGATCGGCCGTGAAGGGGGAGATGAATTGAAAAGTAATTTGTGAGGCATAGTTCACGGCGGCCCATATGGACACATGCTGTGCGTCGAGGACGAGTTTGCCAGTCTTGGGGTCATGAACGGTTGCAAATGCCTGGATGAATCCTCTGTTGGCAACGATGCTACCGATCACGGAGTTGCAATAGCCGGCGTACCTGATATACTGATTAGCATGGTAGTAGCGAGTTTTAGGTTCTGCTGTCACAGAGGCAAGACATACACTCCTCCAAGAGCCACCATCAGGCCAGTCACGTAGAGTCGCTTGAATTTTCGAATCAGAGCTCCACGTGTGAAGCCAGCATACGCTGAAGTAACCGGTGCGATCTCATCCTCTGATGTGCCCTTTGTAGCGTGTTCTTCCACCTCGATGACAGCTTTCTCGCCATCAGCGGAATCCTTGACTGTAGCCATATTGTGACGGGCTTCGAGATAGACTAGAACCAGGGGTTGGAGTGTGTCTTCGATCAAAAAACGAGTTCGTCCCGAGGAATTGCTCCATGCCTTATATGCAGAGTCATGTCTGTCACGAGAGCCGTTGCCAGTGAATAAATCGCTTAGACCTATGGAGAATCAACACCATCCCCCTCGGCCAAAGCTGGGGGCAAAAAACAGAACCTGGAGTGGATTCATGCGGTCCACAAGATTTCAATGTTGGGCCCCGCGTTAAGGAATGGACGCTAAGCAGAAAGGTTTGAAGGAGAGAATCATTAGCCCCAACGGCCCCGAGGAATATCCGCGAGACAAGGCCAAATTCTAGAGTTGAGAAGGTATATTTAAGGCTTTCGCACCATCTCGCGGCCGACCATTCTCCCGCCATCCGTCCCCCACAGACCGAGAACGCAGCGATGGACAACCATCTCGAGATCGCAACTGATCCCGACAGTGACACTGTGCTGCCATCGTGCGGCCAATGTAGACGACGGAAATTGAAGTGCTCACGCCAACAACCCTCCTGCTTGAATTGTCAACGACTCGGTAAGGAGCCGTTTGATTCACTCTATCTAAAACAACTCATCCACTAAGACTCATCGAAGATACCGAATGCGTGTATGATATCGCAAAGACCAAACCAGGGCTGAAGAGTGGTGCAGTGGAAGCTCTTAGCCGCCGCCTCGGTAAAATTACTGGATGCCCAAGAGCTATTCTCAATTTCAACCTACTGATGCCGGACCAGAAGCCATAGAAAGCCATGTTTTTGACCATAGTTCAAAACGCCGACCTGACCGAAATTTTGATGGGTTGGAACTAACATCCTCTGACGATGAGTCTCATATCGCCAATGTACTGTCTAAGCTGTCTCACGAAATTCAGCTGTTAACGTCTACGCTCGGATCGACCTTGGGCACGTTACCGAACTCCTCCATTCATCTAAGGCATGCCGAAAATGAGGAGGAGCATAACGATGCCCGGCCACGCAAGCGAGCAAGGCGGCTTGATGAGAACACTCAACCTGTCCCATCAGAAACCGTTCTTATGTCTAGGGAGAAATTCCAGTATGGTGAAGAAAAGTATCCTACTCCTCCGTCTATTGCGTGCCTCAACGACCTTTTAGCTGTATATTTTACATATATGCAGCCATGGCTTCCTATCGTACATGAGGCCGCATTTAGACGCAAGATCTCGACGCCCGAAGGACAGCAACAGATGTCTCTGGTGCTTCATGCCATGGTTTTCGCAGCTCTGAGATTCGTGAAAACAGAAGATGGGCAGTCTCTGGACGCGACATACGTCAGAGCCGAGACCACAAAGTCAAGGAATATTGTGCGCTTAGGCGCAATGGAAGAATTGTCGGTAGAAAATCTGCAAGCCCTCGCCATTCTCGCTTTCACAGAGGTCAGTGTCCGGTTGCTGTTCCTGCATAGAAAAGGGATCCGTGACTCATTAATCAAATCCAGATTGGTAATGGTGCCGCGCACAAGGCATGGCCAGTGATCGGATCTTTAACTAGAACGGTAGAGTACCTGCAATTGACAGTTGAGTTAGAGGATCTCGAGAAGCGTAACGGTCTATTACGTTCCGCGTGTGAATTGCGTGACCCAGTGAACTGGGTCGAGGAGGAAGAGAGACGACGCGTCTTCTGGAACATCTTCATTCTTGATAGGTATGTTGTCCATCACTCCGTGACTGATGACGATTTTCCTAACGATCATAGATTTTGTTCAGTGACAACCGGGTAGGTCTCTAAACCTCGTGGTAGAATCGTTGAATATTCCAAGTTGCTCACAGACTGTCAGATCGAATACCAGTCTCACGAGTGCTGATGTCAGTCGCAGACTGCCAATATGTGGCGGCCACTGGTATCGAGAAACACCAGCTGTCACGCCATATTTTGGGATCTGGGACCGATCTGTGGCCGGTATCAACAAGTCAATCACTTTTCTCCCTGCCCATCACTGGCACACGTCACCGTCAACAAATATTGATATTACTGAGGCTGCCTCGGCCTCGCCAACAGTTCCCCGTCCAGTAACAAGCTCGGAAACGGTTGATATGTCAACCGTTGGAGCGTTTGCCTACTTTGTAGAGTCTATGGAGTCTCTCAGTCGGGTGGTGGCATATTTTCTCCATCAGAAGATCAACTTTGATAACAGGCAAGAAGTCTCCAGTTGGCTTGTGCGATTCAAAGAGCTTGATCTTCGTCTGGTTCAGTAAGATGCGTTCCTACGAGATGAGCTCTGAATCACTTGACTGACACTATCGCTCAGCTGGAAGATGTTTCTGCCACAGCAGTGGAAGGATTCTGGCGTGTCTCGCCGGGATTTTCCTGGTGTCATGGACCCAAACATGACGGTTGCACATGCCACACACAATGCTTCAATGATCCTTTTACATCAGAGTATCGCATATCCCGGGCTTAAATTGCAGGGTATCAATCTGCCAAGTTCGTACAGTGCCGACACCTGTCAGCATGCCGCCATTGAAACAGCCAACATTACCTCCAAGTATCTCGAGACTACTTCCAGATGTTTTCCAGTGTCTCCACAGCTCGGATTTTCTGCTTTTGTGGGCGGACGTGTCTTGTTGTGTGAGTAATGGCTGGCTTCCAATCAAAAGCTGTGTACTGACGAACGCACATAGTCCATTGGCGTCATCTTCAGGCTGTTGACGTAGATACTGAGTTTTGGGTACTCGTACGATGTCTTGAGAATATGTCGTTGCGATGGGCAGGCGCAGATCGACAAGGAGACCAAGAGTTTAGGAAGACATTCTTTAGCCAGTTGGCCTCCAGATTGAGAAGACTTTACCTTCGACATCAGCAAGATCATGAATACCGGATGAGCGCGTCAGAATACGAAGAAGAGCTCGTGGAGCAGGACCCTCGGCAGGTGCATACTGCTGAGTCGACAACCCTGCCAGAGAACAGCATTCAGGCGGCTGTAATGGCAACAGTAAGCGGACCCCTCAATTCGTCTCTTCCGCCTGTCTGCAGCGCCCAAAACTGGGAGCATCCACCAGGGTCTACTGGTGCAGCCATTTCCCACCCATATGTGACTGATGGCGACGAATTGTCTGCCATCTCGCGTATCTTGATGGACCACAGCTTCACTGAAATGGATCGAGTTATCAGTTACGAGGATATGAATTTCAACTCTCACCCTAATGATATGGCAGCAGGATTCTCTAGTCAGTGGGGTGACATTCTCGGAGGGTCACAAGCCGGTGGTGTGTGGCCCTCAACTTATGAGAACACCTACTAGATTCAAATATGCAGCTTCCTTGATTTGAGGCAAAATTGGTAGTTGTCTTTGGTTTTCGTGGTTTTCTCAATGATGACGTCTGGACGCTGAAGCCATCGACTTGCAAGGGATTTCTGGCCGCCAATGGGCCGAGCACTACCTGGGGTGGGAATCGCAAATATCTTGGTAATCAGGAAGAAATCATTGCCCGCCTTCGTCCCCTTCAGTGCGTGCTCAACAATCGGTATGACGGTTCGTTGTGTGATGAGGTTGGTGTTTGCCTCAGGCTTGAGAATCGCCACAGACGTGGCCCCTTGCTCTGGCAACAAAACTTCTGTGCTGATTCCAGAGGCTCCTGCATGGGACAAAACAAGGATCGAATCTTTTTCGTGGATTATGCCCTCGACGTGTCCAATTGTTGCCTTTTCATCCAATGCTTCATGGTCAAGCAATGGCAGATCAGCGCCATCTTTTCTCCGACGACCAGAAATGGCGAAGCCCCCTTCTGCAGTCAAGAGCAATTTGCCTGCCTCCGTGGTCTTGATCCGGTGGACGCGAACATGCCAGTCTGGCCATTCCTCGCTTGGAGGCACCAGTGTCGTTTTCACAATCACAGACCGATCGACCCAGGGGTGCCATGTCACTTCAGCAGTGACAACCTTGTGATTTCCTAGACCCTCGCACATGACACTACCAAAGACTGTTTCACCACATTTGTATTTTGTTGCCCATGTCTCTGTGCCATCTCGACTTATCAGTAACATGTTGTCCGGTGCGATTTGAGCCACTGAAGAATTTCCGGTTGGGACGGAGAAGCCAAACGCTGACGAATATGCAAATTTACAGTATTTTGCTACTCCTCCCTTAAAATGGAAGCCCAAGAATTGTGTGCTTGAGAGCATGAAGTGATGGCCTCCACTGGATTGATTGCAAAGGATTTGTCTGGGTGCTCGAAGGAGTTCAACCGCTGTTTGGCGTGTGATTTCTGGATAAGGGAGCTCTGGCTGAGTCCAGAATAGATGATTCGCTGGTAAGCCGACTACGATCAAGGCTTTTAGAGCCCAATAGACTGACTGTGGTGAGTTATAATCTTCGGTCATGTACATGTTTCTGGGTGATTGAATGTTAGTCATGAGGGACTTGTCCAGGACAGCATCGGCATACGTACGGATAGAGCCAGCCCAGATTCATAGTCCCGTCGGGATAAAATATGTCTTCAGAGTGCCTCGCCCACCATCGCAGATGCCGGAGTAGAAAGCCTTTGACAGCTCCATGGCTCGCTAATGGTTCCGGCATGTTGGGAACATCGGCAAAAGCCAGCGCAGCAAAATAGCCAGCGCAAGCAAAACGGTACGTCAGCGATCTACCGAATGGTATGACCGCACCTGCCACAACATTAAATTAGCAAGACTGTGTAGCTGCATAAGACTTCGTGCTTGTTACTAGGAGTGGGCGTACCTTCTGCGTCAAAAAATCGCCAGAACCCAGCACCAAATTGCCGTGCTTGTTGGCAATATTTTTCAGTTCGAGTTGGATCCAAATCTCGAGCAAAGCGTACATAAAGGAGCTGGCTGAATTGAATAGCAAAACTACCCGAGTAAAAGTCAGCTCTCCGTCCACTTGAACCAGTATGTGCAAGACCGGTCGTGCTGTAGGTCCTCCATTCCTCTTCATCTTGATCTACACTTCTCCAATCTCCATCTCCTGACCAACCATGGCCAAGGTAGAAGGTGTCCAGCTGTGACAAGTCATTTTCCATTTGAGGCCGGATCTCATTGAGTTTCGTATCAGCCACACGGATGAGAGCCAAATTTGCAAAGACACGAAACCAGAGCCAGTTCGCTTTATGTATCTCCCTATTATTTATATCCTGGAGCCACCTGATCAGATTGTTCTGCGTTTGCGGCTCAAGCTTGTCCCAAAGTACTGCTCGGGGTGCGGCAAGTAGGGTGAAGGAGATCATTTCAGCTTCGACCATACGCTGATCATAATCTTTGATGGCACCCCAGTAATCAGGATGGTCTGGATCGGAGCCTGTTGCAAGACCATTGAACCATGGCTGTATCAGGTCCCAGTCGGCATCGCCTGCCATCAACAACGCACCAACTACCCATAATGGCCTTGCATAGCCTTCCAACTGAGCGGCCGTTTCATCGAAGTGTGTTCCAGATGCAACGGGGAGCCGCACTCTAGCTGAGCCTGTCGAGAAATACTTGAGCAGTGGCCTCAGAAGTGCCTTACTTGCCCGGACGACATCCTCGCGCGTTTGCAAGGGATTATCAGAGAAGCCGTCAAGTACAGGCATAGGTGGGCGATTGAGTTGAGGACAGGATAATCAATAATACTGTGCTAGGGGTGACTCTTTGATTGACCGCTACCTACAATCCGCGACCATAACTACCTGGTGACTTACGGCCAGGATATTGGAAACTAGACTGGTCGTTTAGCTCCCAGGTCATGATATCCACGTCGGGATCTCATCGGCCGCGCATTCTGCCGTAATTCCGACTGACAATGCATCCGCCCCTGCCAAGATGTGATGTCGGGGTAATTTATTATTTTACTTGTCTGATCAGAACGAACTGGATGCCACTTGTTGTCCCACTACGATAAGCATGCCAATACCTGAGATCTTTATGATGGAGACCTGTCGGATGGTTCGGGCTGATAGGGAGTGTGAAGAGAGCTGATAATGGTATTTACTCCTACTGACTCCAGGATGCAACACTGCCTTCCTTGTCCTTCAGGATGGACTCTGTTATTGTTACAGAAGTGCTAACAACTGCAAGCGCAACCGGTACATCAAATCAACACTCGAATCTGCGGTTCATCGCAAAGGCTGCAGAGGAAATCGTGGATGAAAATGGTCGAAAGGAAAGGGGCCTACTGGCAGAGTTATTCTCGGAGAACGTTGTTGCCAAAATTTTGCGGACTGCAACAGATGGACTGACGGATAATGTGAGATACCTCATTGCCAGACCAATATTGCGAAGCTTTTGTGGACTATTCGTTGACGATATTACTAGAATCCACCTACCCAATACCCTAACATAGTGCCTCAGAAAGGGTTCAATGCTGGAGTTTACCAATCAAGCGATATTTCGTTCTGGACATGTGGATTTTTCCCTGGCTGCCTATACTCGCTACTTGAGCGTAGTATCAAGTACCCACAGGGTATTCCAATAGGGCTCGATGATGACGGTGCCTGCATAAATAGGATTGGCGGCAATGATGTTGTCGGTCAGTCAAGATCACTATCAATCCGAGGCCTATGTAACCGCCTGAAGAGTCTGGGTCTTCTCTGGTCTGATCCGATCCACGGCGAGGCTCAACTGACCAACACCCACGATTTGGGCTTCATCATAATGCCTCACATGCGTCCACGATGGGAGCTTTTCCACGACGAGTCAGCGGCCAAATCTATCCGCACGGCTGCACAAAGTCTTTGCACACGTTTCAGCTGTACGGTTGGGGCCATCCGATCCTGGGACGCAATTTTCTGGCAGAAACCGCCAGCAATACCCATCACAGATATGGCGGAGAATTTCCTCGTCATCATTGATTCCATGTGCAACTTGGACCTATTGTTTTATGCCGCTGCACTAACAAGCCAAGCGAATTTGGCGGATGTCGCCATCAAACATGCCCGGACACTCATAGACACGCACTTACGACCTGAAAGCACTCTTCGTGGAGCCACCTCTAGCTGCCGGTATGGAGGGACTTTATATAGCACACGGCATGTTGTCAACTTTGACCCCGTGACGGGGAAAGTAATGAGGCATATGACGGCCCAAGGCCACGATGTCAGCACCACTTGGTCACGGGGGCAAGCGTGGGCGATCCTGGGCTATGCTCAAACATATGCCTGGACCAAAGAACTAGATTTCCTCGATGTCGCGTGCGGATTAGCGGAATACTTTCTGCTCAAGCTGGAAACAGCGCCCGCATGTGTCGAGCTCAATGTCCGGATCGCAGAGCAGGAGACTTCCAGCACTCACAAGACAATCAAGAGCGGGAGGTACGTTCCCTTATGGGACTTCGACGCACCTCTCGAAGATAGTGATTCACCACCGTTGAGAGATACCTCGGCCGGTATGATCGCAGCTAATGGTCTACTCATGCTCTCCGAGAGTCTTTCCGACGGAGGCCAGCATGACTTGAGCGCTCGATATATCGAAGCAGCGCTTAGAATCGTTCGGGAAACAATCGAGTGCTCCCTTGCTCCTGAGAAGGCACACTTGACACAGGTGGACGGACAGATCACTGGCGAGGATGTGACACCCGAGCGAACTTTCGAGGCAATATTGAAGAATGCAACGACGTCAAACAATCCAATGGGCAGGGAGAGAATCAAAGATCATGGACTGGTGTATGCTGACTACTATTTCATCGAATTCGGAAATAAATTGCTGCGGATGGGAGTGGTTTAGCGATTACTGCAGACATACGGAGTTCAGGTTTTTCCATGGTGAGATAGGTAAATAGCATTAACTAGAAATCAACGGCACCCGATACCGAGGTTGGAATGTTGACATTGATACAGCCAGCGGCATTCTTACAGCTTGTCTGTGATATTCGGTTCATTTACACTAAGGGAAGAAGAACGTCGAGGTCATTTAAGTATTTCCGATATCGCCATCGGGTCATGTCGGATTGATGGGTAAAGCTTCGGCCAAGTTCGGATGTATCTCGGATGGGGGATGCTGTACGAATGGGGGGGAACATGGCAAGGGACGATGAAGGGGAGATTGAACATGGCCCGTCATCACTGACCATGGCGAAATGCAGTTTTTTGATGTGGGAAATGGCATGATCCTACCGTCTCTGTAGAATAGGCATGCGCACCGAATATACATAATCATGAAAGGAGCATTTGGGAGAGCCGAGGCTGTCCGTCACATGCCTTTTACTTCCCAAGATCTATGGTCTGGAAATCCCCCGCAGCTCCGACCACGCATGGGAATGCTTCGATTCCGCCACCTCGATTGGATCGCCCGACCTCCAGCTCGAGCTGTGGGGTGCTGGTTCTTGTCAAATCCGGTGGCTATGGCCAGTGGACACTTCAGACCCAGGCTTTCCACTCGCCCATGTGCCTGGACCGGGGGCTAGCAGTTCCTTGGACAAAACTATGATGAAATCCCCCATCCGTTCTGGGGGCTTCTGACTGTGCCTCGGCGGAAAGGCAGAGCTTCAGGTCCCAAAAAGTTTCCCCCCCAAAGGGCATCATGGCTGAGAACAACAAGAAAAAAGTGACCCGTGGGTGGGCACGCGTCCGGTTTGACTCACAATTGACCATTTTCGGATCAGAACGGTACGCTCGGTTCTTGATCTCTCGGTCTGTGGTCATACTAAAGCTAGAATACATCCTTCTTCCTGGGTCTTCGCTTGTGCTTCTCGTTGACCAAGTAAAATAAAAAAAGAGTGACCTCACACTTTTCCCCCTCTCCACCTGGGACCGTTTGGGTATTAATTTGTTTGGGATCGACTCTCCTCTCTGGCTGATCCTGTATTGGCGTTGGCTTGGAACAGCATCATTTCCTTGTTGCCGAAGAATTTTTGTCGTCACGCTCGTCCTATTGCCCTCTCCTGCTCCCGAGTCCTCTCCTCAGCTCTAGGAGATTGAATGCTACTGTCGAAGCGGAATTGCAGGTGCACGCGAACAACCATAGTTGAGATTGGTCCTTGAGTTTTATTGTTCCTCCGAAGGCACCTCGATCGCGTGCTCGAACCCATCGTAACGATGTCGGCGAAAAGCGTAAAAGGCGAAGGTGGGAAGAAGCCAGCCACTGCAGCAGTCAATTTGATTGCCGGAGGTGGTGCTGGTATGATGGAAGCCCTTGTGTGTCATCCCCTCGATACGATCAAAGTGCGAATGCAGCTTTCGACACGAGCCCGAGCCCCCGGTACCAAGAAGAGAGGCTTTTACCAGACGGGAAAGGAGATTGTCAAACGCGAAACTGCGTTTGGTTTGTACAAAGGTCTCGGAGCAGTGCTGAGCGGTATTGTTCCCAAAATGGCCATTCGCTTCACATCTTATGAATGGTATAAACAAGCGCTAGCGGATAAAAATGGTGTTGTCACGTCCAAAGCAACATTCTTCGGTAAGTCAAGCAGATCCAGTCATGCACGCGAAATGAGCATTGGAGGCTGACTTTGAGTGTAGCCGGTCTCGGTGCTGGAGTCACAGAAGCGGTGGCTGTAGTGACGCCGATGGAGGTGGTCAAGATTCGAATGCAGGCACAATACCACAGTTTATCCGATCCTCTCGACGTCCCAAAATACCGCAGTGCTCCTCATGCGGCCCTGACTGTGATAAAAGAAGAAGGATTCGGCGCTTTATACCGCGGAGTGTCTCTTACGGCGCTGAGACAGGGAACCAACCAGGCCGTCAACTTTACAGCATATACCGAGTTTAAATCGATACTACAAAAGGCCCAGCCTCAGTACGACAACAAGAACTTGCCTGCATATCAAACGACATTGATTGGACTCGTATCTGGTGCTATGGGTCCCTTCTCCAATGCTCCCATCGACACCATCAAGACCAGGTTACAAAAAACACCAGCCGAGCCAGGCCAGAGTGCCATTACGCGCATAGTGAATATAACGAACGCCATGTTCAAGCAAGAAGGACCGCGTGCCTTCTACAAGGGTATCACACCCCGAGTGATGCGAGTGGCACCAGGTCAAGCCGTCACATTCACAGTATACGAATTCCTCAAGAAGAAGTTGGAGGACAGCAGTCTACCATTCACTGGAGGGAAGTATGAGGAGTAAAGATTCCTGAACAATCTCATATCGTACCATTGCAAGGTCTCGCATATATCCCTACCTCGGTAGGTATGGTTGGACATTGAACGTTTTTGAACACATTGCATTGCATTTTCCCGAGCGACAAACCCAAAAGAAAGTCTTTGGATGCCGTATACCACTGCTTTTGCTGTCGACTTGTATATAATGGACCTTAGAGTCGAGTTATCTTGGTTGTCATCATATACTACGCATTATAAGAAAAAGATAGCAACACTCACAGCTTCTAATACTATTGAAGCTGAGTCCATCTCAATGCTGAATATTTTTCTTTGATCACTATTTTTGGCCGCGGGGTAATCTAGTTAGTTAAACTGCTGCTGCGAACGCGGGGCTCGTACATAAGCACGAGGCTGTGGGTAGCCACGTCTAATGATACCCTAACAACTCACCAGCAGAATGATTTGATCGTCTTCGAAGCCTGTACTGTCGTCGTCGATCAATCGAGAGTGCGGAAGATTATTTCTAGATACCTCGAGCGAGTCCGAGACTTGAAATTCGCATCTGCCTAGGAGGTCCATCCAAGAACCCCACCCTCCGAAAGCTCCGATGCACAGCCTCGTCGCCGAATATCACAATTAAAACCAGTGCCATCCCATCCCTCTTTCGTTCCTCAACACTAAATCAGAAGTCGGGGCTGCACCACAGTCTCCTTCCTAGCCAATACAGAACATAGTCCAAGGCACCTCTCCGGCTACTCTCGATATCTCTCACCATGCAGTCCGGAATATCAGGTAGGCACTATCAACACCAACAACCCTCGCTCAAGCATCAATCCACATTCTAACCATCTCATTCTCCTCCTTCCAGCATCCGCCGACCTACAAAATGCATTCGCAGCCTTCGCCTCCGACAGCGCTCTCTTCGCCCTCCCAGTAACCATCAGCAATGAGTCCCTCAACGCCCTGCCCGCAATCCCCTTCCCCTCGACCACCTCGTCAGCAACACTTGTTTCCTCTCTCTCCTCTCTCGAACAAATCCTCTCCCCAACAATCCCACTATACCTCCTCCTCCGCAAAACCCCCACACCAACCTCTCCACTCCTCGCAGCAACATACATCCCCTCCCGTGCCCCCGTCCGCCAGAAAACCCTCTTCGCATCCACACGCGCGAGTCTGGTGCGGGAACTCGGGTCCGAGAAATTCTCCGAGACGCTCTTCCTCACGGAGAAAGAAGAGGTGCTCGACCCTAAGACGTGGGCGGACGCCGACTCCTCAAGCGACGATGCTACCTCTGGCGCTGGCGGTGGATCGGGCACGAACACCGCGCTGCTCAGCACGGAGGAGCGCGAACTACAGGCCGTCAAGCGCGCCGAAGAGGAGGCCCGCCACGGCACACGAGGCAGGGATTTGATGAACGAAGGCGGCTCCGGCGGTGCAGTGTCCCTCGGGGGTGGAGGGTCCGGCACGCACGGCGTGTCGATGAAGGTGTCGGACGAGGCGCGCGAGGGTCTCGCGGCCGTGAAAGCCGCGCTGGACAACGGGACTGGCGGGGCCGGTGTCCTCGTGCAATTCGGCATCGATATTCCCAACGAGACGTTCACGCTGGTCAATGCCCCGCAACAAGGCGTCGCGCCTGCAGACGTGCATCGCAACATCCCCGCGGATCGCCCGACCTACAGCGTCTACGCTCCGGGCCGAGAGAGTGGGATCAACGGGGTGTTGTTCATCTACGTGTGTCCCGGCACGAGTAAAGTCAAGGAACGCATGGTATACGCCAGCAGTGGGCGGTTTTTCGTCACGTATGCAAAGGCCGAGTTTGGCATCACGGTGTTGAAGAGGTTGGAGGCCAGTGAGCCGGAGGATCTCGATGGCGCCAGGATCCCAGAGGAGATTGCCGCTCTGAGTCCTCCTGTGGCTGGTGATGGCGGCGCGGATAGTGCGCCGGGCAGTGGCACGGCTACGCCTAGAGGTGGTGGGTTTGCGAGACCGAAGAGGCCGGGAAAGAGATAAGGTTAGATTTCCAGGGGATAGCAAGGAATATGGTACGAGGCGTATCGTCCCGGTGGATCCCCATTGCCTAGATGATGCGGTATTGAAATCAAGGAGTGGGATGATTGGTTAAGCGAAGCATCAATAGCATGAGAGACGAAAACAAAACAGCAATGGAAAAGATCTCCTCGAATGACTGAAAGCATTGATTTGATGATTGCAATCTACTGGCTCATCTGATATCTAGCTTCGCAGAGCGACCCTAAAATGCACCCTCTGGCAGGTGAAGGCACTGTGGTGTTCCCGGAAGAGCTCATAAGATATCTTTTGTGTCCACATAGCTCGATGGCCTTTCAATTAGGACCGGGAACAGGAAGGACTGTCCCTGATTCGGCGCTCAGGTCAACCTGCAGTGTTGAATGCCTCCAGTGATAGATGCTTTTCTGCGCTACTGCATATGTTGATGCATAGGTCGAAACCAAATAGGCTAGGCCATGACTAATCTCCTGCCCGAGGTCTGAGGTCATGCTGCTTCGCTGAACCATCTCACTTTCTTATTGTTGATTGGTCCTTCATTGCTCAGCTTGAGGACTTCCTGGACATCGCACTTTCCCACACAAGACCTGATATCCGAACTGCCTGATCGGTTGGAAGATCTCATCTGGTCGCCATATCGACTGAGACATGTGTCTCCAGAGTGCCGTAATCAATTATTATGATATTCTAGGCCCTTCCATGGCCGAGGAATTGCTTGATGGGTATAATCGTAATGAGTGCACAGACTCATCAGAGAATCAAGATCAATACTGATTCCTGAAATTCTTTTTCTGGTAAAACAGATCCGTCCTGGAAGAACCCAGATTGATAATCTTAGGACATCCATCACGATCTTTCTCTAGTCTGGTACATTCGAAGCAGTAGAAGGCATCACTGATTCCCTCGCCACCGCAAACGATGCACTTGTTCTGATAATTGCCGAATGAACATTCATCGCATATTCGTGCGAGGGTGGTGGGTCGGACGTAGGAGTCGCATACAGGGCATTTGCCGTCGCATTTGTCGCAGAGTCGCCCCAGAGAGATGCCTGGTGCTTTGCGACACATGACGAGATCGGGATGATGGCGAGACATGTTGTTGAACGGAGTGGATTTGTGGGAGTCTCTTGTTTGAGCAGTGAGGAGAAGAAGTGAGAGTGAGAGAGAGTGATATACCAAGCGGTGATGTTGAGGTAATCTGGAGAACAGCGAAGAAAGTGGTAGTGCTGGCGGTGGGAGCAGCAGCCTTGTTGGAAATCAGAAATTCGCGCCGCAGTCATCGGAATTTCGGTTACTCCGCATTTGGTGACTAAGCAGCCAGCACGTGATATCGGAATTTACCACCGAGATCTTCATATGCCCGAGGCTCAATCTTCAACTTCGAGTCGCATGCACCAATAACAAGTATACAACTTTTATGGCCGGTCTTTATGGTCATTAGAATCATGATCAATTCGACCTGAACACACCCAATACGAGTCAAAGTAGCATACATCCACCACCATGATCTCCTCGGCTGTGATCATCCCCGACGAGCCCGAAGCCTTGTCACCCACCTCTAACTCGACCCATGATCAGTCAACGTCCCTGAAAAGGCGCCAGTCAGAGCTATCCGAGTCGCCAGATCCAAACAAGCGGCCTCGCATTGATGCAGAGGGTGTAACCGCGCCAAATCCTCAGAATGGTGTTACATCTCCATCCTCATCGAATACTACGCGCAATGCGACTTCACCTGTCGCGCCTTTTGCCTCAGAAGGGGCAGCAATGTCGCCTCCACGTCGACGCCCAACCGCAAAGCTCGATGAGAAATCGCGCAACCGCCGACTGTTCGGCGCTTTGCTCGGCAATTTAGCACAGCCAGCATCGCGCACGAAACCCTCTGCGAAAGCCGGAACCACCACGACATCCCCGTCGACGACCAGCCGTCGCGAAGACATTGAATCGCGGCAACGTCAACGCCTACAGCGCGAAAGTGAAGAGATCTCACAACACGCACGGCGGAAGAAGGAAGAACTCAACAGCAAGCGGCGGGTCGAGCAGCGCCGTTGGGACGAGCAGGGCTTGCGGATCAAACATGCGAATATGCGTGCTACAGCGGGATTTCTGAGGACGAAGGCGGAGCCGAGACTGTATTATAAACCATGGGAAATGAGGGGGCCGGAGGAGGACATTGTCAAGCGACAGAAGGACGATGTTGAGGAGGCAATTAAACAAGATTGGGAGGCATGGGAGGTGGAGAAGCGAAGACAAGAGGATGCTGAGCGGGAGAAGGAGAAAGCCGATGCTATGACCAAAGCTGGCAGCACAGATGACTGTACAGAGGATAATCATGTCCAAGTCACTTCTCGAGATACGAATGGCACGACCAATGACAAAAAGACATCCGACCATGGACAGAGTCAGGAGAGACCGCCGTCGCGTTCATCGAATAGAGCAGTCTCTCCGGTTCGATCTGTATCAGTGGGATCCAAAGGTCCAGGAAGCGACAGGCCTCAGTCGAGTAAGGGCGATGATCACGGCGGCGAAGAACTCGAGCTCGGGCAGGGCCAGGAGGACGATGTCATCTACTGAGCGGGTAGGTTTGACGCCACTCTTTCTAGCTCTGCCGTTGAGACGTGGAACCAAGGGAGATTGTGGATGAAAGTCTGAAGTGGACTGCTGTCCCCCTCATCCTTGGATAGATGAGAGGACTTAAAGACCACCGCAATCTGGATAAAATAATCAGCCTTCTCACTTTTCTGCTCGTCCATTTCCATTTCCATTGTCAGCTCGACATTACTAGGTATAGTCTACTAACCTCGGGCGGCCGGAGATACATTACACTCGCTGAAAGCGTCCTCGGTGATATGCAGGGCCAACAGTCGCCGCCCTTCAATTGACCGAGCCGCCAATCCCATCGCCTTGCCTTCGCCAGACCGTCCACATCCATCTGTGTGTCACAGAGAGGGGGGAACAATTTGGAACGACCTGGGCTGGAATCTCTCCGGAAAGGGTTATCTTCATGCTTGTAAGGTCTGGCGGTTAGGCCGAAGCTCTGAAAAAAAAACTGTTACTTCCTACATGGTGCTCGAACTCCAAGGTCACTCAGAAATCCCCAAAAAAAACAAACTCAAGTGATACCAGAAAGGACTCTCTCTGCAATACCAGCTTCCGTAACACCCCTGAATTAACCGAGGACTAGCCAGGCATCTCGCATGGAAGCTTTCTTGATATTTCTTGGGAGAAATTCAGAACATGCGAATTATAACCTTTGTTTTCGCTAGCGTCGCAACTTGGGTCGTTACCACAGTGAAGGACGATGCTGTCACTGCCTAGGTGCCTAGGTAGGTATGTTCTGGCGCAACGGTGCACGTCTTCTATTGATCGTCTGTCCGGTCTTGGTGGACGATTGAAGTTTTCTTTCTCTTATTCTCTCAAACTGAGTTGTGCATGGACCTGCAATTACTCACCATTTGAGGAGGGATGACAGTTTCCTCGGTCAAACATCAGTTACAGATAGCAGTTGAGTGCGTTGGGGTCATACTATCCATTGATTCGCGGAGACTTTACGCGTCTTCAGACTCGACTTACTGCGGTTCTTTGACCTCCTGGGTCGATATATCCCAGTCGCGTCAACATGACCATTCGACATCTTCTGAGAAACGCCCACGACCATTTCCATGAGCTGTCTTCCCACAGCAATGGTTCGACAGTATTTTTCCACGCGTCAAAGTCCTTCACTTCAGACTGCCCGGCCTCTCTCGACAGAAGGAATGCTTCAAGACTCTGGCCAACAGGCCATTCGGTCTTGTGACACATATAGTCCTCAAGCTGGGCGCAATAGCGTGTATTGTTAATTTCGACCTGACTTCCCTCATGAGTCGCAATCCAAGCTTCATCTATGAGATTCGTGAATAGTCCCGTGAGTTTCACTCTCTCCAACAACGTGACCCGACGGATGTTCCAGAACAAAGACATGACTGATTCCCGATCGTCGATACTCCGCGGAAGTCCCACTCCGATTTCAGCGAGCTCAAGAACTCTTAGTGTCCCTGAGTTGTTCTCTAGTAGCGCTATCATTGATTTCTCTGTGGTCAAAACATTAGACATTGCCAGATGTCGTAGTCGTGGCAAACGTAGCTTTGCCAAAGATGCCGAAATTGGCAATAAATCCCTGATATAGCTCCATTGAAAGACGCCGAAGTTTAAGTTGAGTGTTTCGAGATGTGCATAACACGCGATACAATCCGTCAGTCTTCTGCAGTATGTGAGGTGCATGCGCGTGCTTGTGATGTAACCTCTAATATCGAGATATAAGTCGAGGCGACGTGGACCATCAAGCAGGTCAGGCTCCTCACGACATGATTGCGCGTCACTCAGAGACATGATCTGCCTCTCATTATCATTGGTGGGGAGATTGTACCAGGAAACATCCATCAGTTTTAGATGGTAGATTCTGGAACTCATGCACACCTTGAAGAAAGACGCGAGACATGATGTATCATGTGTCCCAAGAAGCAAGCCTGCTAGGCATGGTCCATCCAAGAAGTCCTTACCTCTGTCAAAAATAGTTGGATTATCTACCCTGGCGTACGAGGTAGAGCCTGCTGGGCTAAGGGGCGTCGGTTTTTCTTCTTCACAGATGATTGTTCTCAAGTTCGGGAGTCTCCGAATCACATCCCGTATAGCTGTCGTCTCAAGCGCGACGAAGTGGTCCTGGGCCTCTATGTATGCCTCGTACTTTGTGGACAAGCGTTCTATGGCTTCATCACTGTTGTCCAAACGCTCCATGGGTGTACAACCGCAGGGCAAGCGCAGGCCCGAAGCTGCAAATGTGCGGTCATGGCTAGGTTTCAAGATTGAGCGCATCAAGCTCGTAATTGGTGTTATTCGACTCTTCCCAATGAGAGATTCCCTCCTTGATATCAACAAGGTCGTCAGAACATTGACATTGAACTTCAATGTTTCAACATAGTCACTGATAAAAGGACTGGCACTCATGGACTCTAGTCGAGTCCAGCTCCATATCAATGGCCATAGCTCGATCTGCTTGAAGAGTCGCTTCGATGCAGATGGGAGGCAGGTCTTATCAACCAGTCTCAGCGACCTCAGCGATGCCAAGTCCAGATACTGGGTTATCTCAAGTTGGATCTCACCAGGCAGGTCTGAATATGAGGTCATCGCTGGCGTCTCGGTAGGTGGACTTGGCCACCAGCCTCAGCACTAGGAGCATTACAAAAGTGGAAGAGAGTGATGAATGATTTACAGTGTGTAAGGCGTGAGGTTGTCTTTCCTTGGCCCGTATTTACTCGTTCCTAACCTTCCTTGCTTAGCATTGCCAAGAGAAAGCCAGCGTGCCCCGGTTCGGAACGTGGGTGATGCTGCCCTGTGCTCCCCCCTGACTCGCCCAAGCTGCAGTGGATTTGATGGCACCTCATCGTTGACCATTCTTGCTCAGGCGAGCATAACGCCAAGGATTATATACTAAAACTACCTACATCATGTACAAGGGAGGTAGCATTTCGGCCCCCTCTCCTCAGGTGGGGGCTGGAGATCACATAGGTATCATTCACTAGCCTTCCGTAAAGGCGAAAAATGCTCAGCATCTGGTGGGGTATAAATTTATTTGAGCTGACTTTCACTCCTGTCCCTGTCTATCTCATTTGGAGCCAGCGACAAGACATCACTGACCAAAACATCCCAACATTTGACTTTTTAAAGCAGAATTCCCCCTCAATAACAGCCACGCTTGTTAAGGGATTCGGGACGGAGTAGATAACCATGGAACAATACTACTTTGTGATCAAGGACTCGAAGTCGGCCTCGCTGTCCCAAGGAGATCGAGAAGAGACATACAGAATGCGTTGCCATGTCCAAACGCAACGGCGACGCGGTGCAAAATTCCCAGGGCCGCTAAGCCTGCCAATATCAACCCCATCAACCCCTAATGAAAGATCTCGAGGTAACCAATCCAATAACGATACCGAGGTGACCATCTCACGCGAACACTCGGAAACCCTTGAGGTCGCCTCCCCTGCCATAGACCTCGCGCTATCATCTCCTAGTACCAAATTTCTCCCGTCGCACTGGAGCCAATATTACCGACGTGCGGCCAGAGGTGAAGAGATGTATCACCCGAATGTCACATCTTTTCTAGTCCAGCCTCACGGCAACTCGACTGATCCATTCCACAGCACTAGCATGATTCGCCACCCCTGGGCCCACCAACTCATACAATTTATGCAATCTGATTTCAACTCTTCTGTCTTTCGAGCCGAAGCCTTGGGGCGTCCTTCTCCCGCGAATGAACGGCCCGCAGACCTCCGCCACAAAAATGCGTTGTCAGAGCGGATACGTAATGCCTCACAGAATGACATGCTTATGGTCTCAACTCTTGCGTACGCCTCAGGGGCAATTGGATGGCGATATGGCGTTTGCCATGAAGAACTGCCACCCGAGTATCTCATCCAACAGACTTATCGAAGTATCAGAAAACACTTGCAGCAATCGGGAGAAGTAGAAGAAAAGCTTCTCTGGTCGATTTATGGGCTAGCTGCTGCAGAGATGTGGGTGCTCAATTTCGATGCTGCCGCCACGCATATGAGAGCCATTCAAGTTCTCATATCACAGCTCGGAGGGATTACAAAACTAACGCCGTTATTTCTGGAAAGCATAATTCTTGGGGGAAAGTAAGTACTTTGTTTTTGGTAGTGCTCAACTAAGAGCTTTGAATCTTAACCAGCTAGCAGGTTTCTTGCAATTTTCACTATGGCAGCACCGATCCCCTTGGCAGACTTCGAGCCAGACGGATTGCCTGAAGGTTGGCCACCCCAATCAATCTTCTCTACAGCCCTACCACCAGAATTGCGAAACCTTGGCACGAGCTTTTTCGCTGCTGGAGACTTGTCCGCCCTAGACGACTGGTACAGAGACATCCTTGTCGACCTGGTAGCGTGTGTACAAATAAGTCACTACGTTTCGGGACGCCCGAATCAAAGCCTGGAGCTTGTACATGAACGATGGCTGTACCTTAAGGTCCAAGCATTAAATTATCGCCTCTTGGCTCGGACTGAACTGATTGGCATGCAAGAGGCTGTGAGAATCGCCACCCTGCTATGGGTACTGAGTATCACTGATTATGTTGGAGCGGGACTGACTGCCCTATTCTTGCTGCCCAAGCTCCAAGCAGCCTTAAAGACGGCCCAGTTTAAAGAACCATCTTCATCGCGGTCACTTCCTGGCTTGTATTTCTGGATGAGCAGTCTTGGCGCTCTTGTTGCGCTGTCTGCAGCAAAGCAGATCTTGATCAGCTCATCCAGCCCAAGAGATGCTCTCTACAGCCAACAATTCAACTTCTTTAGCCTTCACGCAGCTCAAACCGCGCATCTTATTGGACTCGAGACCAAGTCTGACGTGTATCGCACCTTTCTCCAGACATATCTATACTTGGATGTTAATGGTGGGCCTGGAGGAGACGATTTGAAATATCTTGTCGAGACTGTCTCAAGAATCGACCAAGATTCTCTGCTAGGTATCCATACGGTAGAATACACACATATATAACACTCTTCCATTTCGTCACAGAGACTCTGCGTCCTCACCACCATCCCGATTGCCTACGTCCACCTTCGATAAGTGGTAGAACATTAATTGTATCGCTGGATCTTAGGCTGTTGAACGACGGAACAACAGTATTCTGTCTCTTGAGGCTTATACAATCCCGTGACATTCCTGAGTGGTAATGCAATTTCAAGATCCACTACAATGCCACTGCGGATCCAGTAACATAACGGATTTACTAGATATGTGACCGAGATCTCTCTTCTATAATGAATCATATATTCTTTAATTAAGCTATAAACATGGAGAACTTGAACCATTCAACCTACCCTGAGTACTGTTGCTCTCCTGAGCGGCATGCAGCGCAATACCTACCAGTCGCCCCATCCATGTCCATTGCCGGTTTTTGTGGCAATCTTGGCAATCTTGCCAGCAGTCCTCGTCACCTTGCCTGTAACTGGATCGGTCTGTACGCCATCCGTTCCTATATACAATACACCATTCGCATGGTCATCGAAGGTCCGCCCAAACGCTGCAGCCACAGGACCCAGCAGATCGGTGGAATTCACGCCTCCAGCCACGAACTCAACAATTCCGTTCGGCAGCACATGCGACAAAGTATTCCGGATGTTCTGTGTTACCCAGAACGACCCATCCGGATCAACCGCAAAATCATCAGCTGCGGGAACCTCGTCGGTTATCAGCCACGGCGTGCCTCGGGGAATCCCGTCCATTTTGCCAATAGGCACAGCGCCAAGGTAGCCACTGTTTGTGTTTGTGAAAAACAACATCGAAGTGTCAGTGTCAGCATCTCCGAGCACGACATGCACACCGTTGACGCCAAATGGAGGCTTTGCCGTAGCAATAGGCTTCAACAGTGGGTGGTCAAAGACAACCTCGTAGCGTTTATTGATCACATCGATGATGTAGACCACTCCAGCAACAGAATCTGCACTAAGCAGTAGGTCTGGATTATTTTGTCCTCTTCTTCCACTCGGCAGCGCCGACAGACCATTAGGCACCTTCATGTTGGGCATATCCAGAACCTTTGTCACCAGGGCACCCCGGACCTGATTGCGCAGATCTATTTCCCACAGTTTCGCAGAACCTGGCACAAATGTGAAGTTGTACACATTGCCATCGACGGACTGGGCGTAGAAGACATCTGGACGGAGCTCCACGATCCCGCTTAAGGAGGTGCCGGAAGGAAATTCGGCGAGGATCGAGGCGGCAGCCGGATCCTCCGCCGGGTCGACGAGGTAGATGACACCGTTCGAAATATCATTTGCAACGATTTGACCTGTAGAGCGGATCGCCTAAAGTTTGAAGTTCAATTAGAGTTATGAACTCTTCTGTTTCAGGAGAAGCAGAGCACGAAACTCACGAGATTCTCAATCCACGTAAAATTGGGGAACTGGTGGACTGTTTCCAGAGTGTAGGAGCTAGAACCAGTGCTAGGGCGATGTACGACCGGGTTCGCGGAGGAATAGCCGAAAATGTACCAAGTGGCACATAGGAGGGGAAGGAGAACGGAGTGTTTGAAGATTGACATTATGCTTGGACTGTGACCGAGATGCGCACCAATATCTGGGACGAGCTCGTGGAGGGAAAATGAGGCGGGACAATGTTATTGATATATCGCACTATCAGTGATCTTGATAAAAGCGTGGGAGGGCATGGTGGCCGTTCAACGCTGAATTAAGATCCGTGTTGAATATTTATCTATTGTCTCTACTCACTTGAAGCCTTTTCCGGAAATTGAAGGACTGCTATCTACGGAATCGCTACAAATTTTCGAGCCATATACTAGGAGAGCCCCCATCAAGGTGACACTGCCCGAATGGGGTATGAAACTTGCTCCGGAAAGAGTCGATGACAGCATATGCTACTGTTTCGAGCCTAGTGCTTCGCTATGCCTCCATCCAGCCCGAACGGTTCCACTCTTAGTATCTGTCGCTGGCTTCTACCAGAGCTTTCGTATCCAACCCGAGAATGCGTTTTGGAGCCGAATTTGGCTGCGCCCTGTTAGACGCATCCCGGAAATTGTCCGCCTAGTGACCCTTTTCACCACTATTTTCAAGACTAGTCGTTCGGTAAGACAGTCGTGGGACGCTAGGATGCGAGGTACCCAATTAGTGAAGTTATGCACATGGGCTTGTATAGTTCAAACTTGGACAGGCTCAGAATAGTTGTGATCAGGAAATACGATTGGTTGGTCTTGGAGAATGGTTAGTGACAGAGTACTATGAACGGGATCATCACTCCATGGCAACGCTTCAATAGATATTTAAACTGCCTTAACACGAATTAGGTTGGTTGTTGCTACATGAACGCTTGAAATATGTCAGCCAGAACATACAACCATAGAACTTGCCTAGCTAGGCCATAAACTCAGCACGAAGAGGCTATAACAACCAGTGTTATCATATACGGCATTTGGAAATGCTGGACAATCGGAGGTATCACCGTCAATCACGGTAAGCAATCTCGGCAACCTCTCATATCTTGATTCGGGCTGAGAGATCACATTCTCCGCATTTATACTAACGTGCAAAAGCGCCGTGACTGGACCCAAGCAGGTGCCAAGTCACAAGGCTCAATGCCAGCCGTACGGACTTTTGACACTAGTAATCATGTGCACACAAGGAGTATGGTGTCAACACTTACATTGACAAGCACAATCGACACGACTATGAAACAGCCGCTCAGCTATATCTCGATTGTGCCAGACTACACTCCACTTGCTAGTCGAATGCGACTGGCCAAGCAATTGATCCAAGAGGAGGATTGAGAGAATCTGACTCACTGCTCGGATGTGAGAGTGTGGTGTTTATGTGGGTCGTTATTATTGTATCTTAAGCAAACGAGTGCAACTGAAATAGTGCATAGATAGTAGAGAGGCGAAAACTTGGTGAGGTATCCCTGCATCGTTCCGACGCTGCAGATCGAATGCGATAGGCTGGCTGGCCTGAGAATGATCTTCGCATTATGACTTCAAACGGCGCTTGGCTGTCAAAGAGCATCCATTTTCGGTTTTATGTGCCGCTGAGCACACGATATTGGTTTGAGGATTGTGTATGCGGACATGCCACATAAGCATACATATATCTATGTGGTTGTCAAGTGGACTGAACCCCTAAGTCCGCTCAAGTTTTTCGTCCTCATCCTGTTGGCCAAGCCTTAGTTATGCCTTTCATAATTGCTCTATCACTGTCCGTTATCTGTGCTGCCACCCAGGCGATGGCTCAGGTGGCCACGGGTACAATCAATTTTCAGCCTTGTCCGGAGCTCAATGCAAATATAAGTGCGATTAATGGAAAGCCAGGAACCCCTTTCGACTGCGCTCAGCTTTCGGTACCTCTGGATTATACTGATCCCGCATCACCACCCCTTAACCTTAGCATATTCAGAGTCAACGCCACTGAGAGACCAGTACTGGGGAGCGTACTCATAAATTTTGGCGGCCCTGGTGGAACAGCAGCTGATGGTCTCCCTGTGTCCGCTGAGACAGCTCGAGAATACATCGGTCCCCAATGGGACCTCGTGTCTTGGGATCCTCGCGGGACAGGGTACACCATTCCCTTCAATTGTAGCATTGGCTCTATGACGGGTACGGAAGTGATTGCGAGCAAGCGCGATCTCGGCAACTTGGCTGGTACGAACCTCACCGAGCTTTTCCTTGCGAGTGGATGGGATCATGCAGGTCAGATCGCCGACTACTGCTTTGACCAAGTGGACCATGAGATAGGTTCCTTGATCGGCACCGCCTTCGTGGCCAGGGACATGATCGAGATCGTTGACGCCTTGGGCGAGGACGGCCTCCTGCGTTTCTATGGCTGGTCTTATGGCTCGGCTCTCGGCGCGTACGTTGCGGCGATGTTCCCTGAACGCGTTGATCGGATGGTGCTGGATGGGAACTTGAACCCCCATGACTACCAGTCTGGCACCTATCAGGACCTTCCAACGGACACGGACGAGGCTTTTGCCGGTTTTCTAGAGACCTGTTTCAACGTCACCGACGACTGTGCGTTGTATTCTCTAGTACAGCCCAACACAACACAAGATCTCCTGAATGCCATCAACAACCTTCTAGAGCCGCTTGCCCAGAACGCTACTTCAAGCGCCGAAGCCTTCCAAACCTATTTTAGTTTCAAGAGTATATTCATCCAACCGCTCTACTACCCGAAACAATGGCCCGCGTTCGCTCAGACCCTTGCAGACCTACTAGGTGGGACAATCGATTTGAGTGAGAGCGACACTCCACCAGTTTATGGCGAAGCTGCGTATGCCGTTGTCGGTATACGCGCCAGCGATGCCACGTTCCACGCAAACTCCAGCGACGAGTATCTGCCCTTCGTCGAGCATGCGGGAAAGATCAGTCCTAGCTTCAGCGACATCCTTTACAACGTCTGGCCCTCCGCGCGCTGGAGAATGCCAGCCAAGGAGCGCTACTGGGGAGATTTCCGCGCAACTACAAAGACCCCGATTCTGTTTATCAACGGCATGTTCGATCCAGCCACGCCCTTAGTGAACGCCTACAATGCAAGCACCGGGTTTGAGGGTAGCGTTGTGCTGCCCCATACAGGCTATGGTCACGGTATCCTGGTGAGTCCCTCGACGTGCGTGGCCGGATATATGCAAGCGTATTACAAGAATGCCTCATTACCCGGCGGCAACGTGACTTGCCTGTCGGACATGACCCCAGTTGAGTGGTGGAGGAGTATTGTGCAAGAATCAGCGGGGAACTCTGCCTCTGGGGATGGCGGCAACAGCACAAACAGCGATGAAGGCGCAGAAGGTGTTGAAGGTGGAGCAGGCGGTCGGAGCGGCAGTCTCGTGCTCGCAATCATGGCTGGAAGTTTGGCCGTTGCAGCGACATCTTGCCTGTAGATTGAAACCCCTGGAGGAAATCATGAACAAAATTGCATTCTGGGTCCCAGTCATACCAGCTTGCTGAGATATTTAGTCATTAGATAGAAAAATCACCATCACCCACCAGTCCCTTTCATAAGACTAATCATACAACTGAACCCAGGCTACAATGAAACGCCGTTTCCTGGCTCTTTCCAATATAAAGTGTCATTCATTCTTATGGCGTACAGTTAGATCCTGAATTAACTTGGCCCTTGAAAATTATGAGTGCATGAAAGCTGCCATACCCACTTTCCTAAACCGAGCAGGTGACTCTCGAGACTCGGTTTGATGCATGAAAAAGATCTACATAGATACAGAAGATTAATAACGTGTTTCTGGCCAAAGATCAACAGACTAAAATGGCGCCGCAAAGGCAACGTATTCGCCAAATGTTCCCGGAATGTTGCAGTCGACCTGGGAGGAAGAGTATGGTGTGGTGCCACTGGAGGAGTTCGTACGTAAGCCACTGAAGTTAACAAAAAGGGGTCGGTGGTTAAACACTTACGTCCAACATGTGTAGACGCCGCCAGTGGTGTATGCCGACAGGAAAAGGTATTGGCAACCGGATAGGGCTGTGACGAAGCTCGAGTAAGTAACAGTGTCTTAAAAAACAATAAAGGGAAACCACCAGGGTTTTTGATCAGAGAATATGGCAAAGACTTTCGGGATGTGGACGAATCTGGGAGCAAACTCACCATTGCAAATTCCAATACACTGGTTCAAGGCCGTGGCCCAGCCGGCGGGGAAATTCGGTACGGTAATAGACGTTGGTAGGCCGTTGAGATAGAAGCAGCCAGTTCCATACGCAACCGGGGTTGGGAACTTTGTGGGTACGGCGGTAGAGGTCGTGGTAGTGGTGGTGGTAGAAGTCTTGGTATCGGTCGCGGTTGTGGTCGAGATGCTGGTATCGGTGGTGGTCGAAATACTGGTCGATATACTGGTCGATATACTGGTCGAAATACTGGTCGAAATACTGGTTGAAATACTGGTTGAAATACTTGTCGAAATGCTCGTCGAAATGCTGACCGAGGTGGTAGTTGAAATGCTGGTCGTCGTAGTTGTCGAAATACTGGTAGAAATACTGGTCGAGGTTTTGGTCGAGGTTTGGGTCGAGGTGAGGGTCTTCGTGACATAGATCACCTTGACCGCTGTCGTCGTCACTGGCGGACATTTGGGAAACCCCCAACCCCTCCTCTCGACTGCATTTTCTTGAGGCGCTGCATATACGTTGATCGCTGAGAGCAAGCCAAGGAGGAGAAGAAATAGCTTCATGGCGTCAAATGCTAACAATAAGGAGCGTGGGTGAAAAAGGACGAGAACAACACAAATGAGGGTTGTAAAAGATCTGGCGAGGAGGACATGGTCGCGCGAGGGTGAACAATAGCAATCGAAGACTTTCCACAAGGCAAGGAGTATTGAGAATCCGAACCACGAGCTCGTGTTTTAAATTAATTGTTGTGAGTACGAGGTACCTCGTATCCGGTTGGTTTCTCTCTGCGCCACATCTTTCTAGCGACGCCACAGTGCTGTCTAGCAGACAACTTGGCTTGGGAATGGTCAACGACGTGTTTTATGATGCTCATGCCGAGGCTTTCCATCAGTTAGTGCCTGTTTAGACGAAGGAGATGGTGTGGGGAGGGGTCCTGCATCCCGGCACATTGCGTCCCCTGAGATAGCTGACATCGCATTCTGCAAAGGATCAGATCCGCCCAGCAAACGTGTGATGATCAGAGGTGCAAGAAATACGATTTAATGCATATGCGACTACATTAATACGAGATGCGGACTCGCAAACCGCGGGCGTTGCCCAGCCTTTTAAACACATAGAAGAGGCAACACCAACCGAGCTGAGAGGTTTGCACTTTATGACCGTTTGGAAACGCCTCTATGTGCTTTTGTTGCCCTTGAATCATTTATTATTCGATCTCTTGGTCCCTGAATACGTCGACACGTTGCTGCTTTCGCGTTCAGTTATAGCTTGTGGCACTCCACCGTGGGTTTCTACAACATCTCACTCCAACTTCTGTCCGACCAACACTGACCTTCAGCCTTATACGCCACCATGGTCGGCAAGGTTTACATCATTCGCCACGGTCAAGGCGTGCACAACACTTTCCAAAACCCCGATCCGAGGGACGCACTACTCAGAGATGCAAAACTCACCATCAAAGGCCAACAACAGAGCGTTGGGCTAGGCCAGGGCTTCGTGGACCGCAACACAGTCGGTGTCGTTATGGCCTCGCCACTACGCCGTTCCGTACATACTGCGCTGCTTGGTTTCTCCTCCGTCCTCAATAAACGCTACTTCCTAAGCAGTGAAGGCGGTGTGGCGGGCGGTATCGATCTGATTCTCGACCCCAGGCTCCAGGAGATCGATGATGAACTGTATAATACTGGATCTACTGGCGAGCAGTTGCTTGCAGAGTGGCCGAACCTCGACACTGCTTTGCTTGTTGCTCCCTGGCCGGAGAAGAGCGGAGTATTTGATCCGAGTGGCGACGCCGTGAAGCAGAGGGCGGCAGATATTCGGCAGGAGTTGTGGCAGAGACTGAATGAACTTACTACGCAGCCCGTGAGAAGGGATATTGTGTTGGTAAGCCATGGGGGATTCATACAAGAATTGACGGAGGATAACAGTTTGATGATCGACAATGGGAGATTCAAGGTCTTTTCGATGCGAATGACGGCGGGAGTTCCGAAGTTGATCAAATTATGAAACTATTCGCACCCGCTGCGAATGAGATTATTCCTCTCACAACATGTCAAAAAATTGCTTTTCCAGCATATCCACGGCGCCACAGCGCTAACCGATATCTCTCTTGTTTTCGTTCCCGATCGAAAAGACCTAACGCTTAGTTCTGCTCGCTCCAGACGTAACCCAAAATAGCCTTGCGGCTATAATCCCGAAAGAATGTCCAAAATAATATCCACATCGTCCACAACCATTCCTATCACTAATTTGGCCATCACTGGTTATCCAGCCAAGACATGAACCTCAACATGACCACTCCCAGTATCCCACTTCTTGATACCGACAAGATCAATTCCCCCATCACCAGTCCAATCAGCACAAAGGAAAGTGAAATTTCGCTCCGTGCCACCAAGCATTGTGCTGGTCTTGTAAATGACGTCCTTGAAGTCACTGGCCCCGCTGAGCACTGTAACCTCGGTCAGATTCTTGCTGGTCTTGCTCTTCTTGATGACAACCAAGTCCAGCGAACCGTCGCCGTTCCAATCAGCCAGCTGAAGGTCGAGGCTGCTGAGAGAATTGTCGAGAATATGGGTGGTGTATTCGTAGACGGTCTCGGAAAAGCCGCTGGACCCAGAAAGGACGCTGAGGTGGACTGAGTAAGTGTCCTTGCGGTTGTTGGGTTTTTGGAGGACGACCAGATCGCCCTTAGAGTCTTTCGTCCATGGCGCAATGGCGAAGGAGTATACGGGTCCGGGTGTACGCAGCTTGACACTGGCGTTGACGGTGGAAGATTCCTGGTATGAAGATGACCCCGATACCACACTGAGGCTCGTATGTGTGGGCGATGATTGGAGGACATACAAGTCTGGCTTGACACCGGTCGAGTCCTTGCCGAAAGAAAAGAGCAGGTCTGCATCGGGATTCTTCCCATCGGCCTTGAAACCAATATTAGTCTTTTGGGTGGCCTTGGTCTCGGATTGCGACTCCTCAGTTGATAGGATCTGTATGGTCAAGTCCTTCTTGCTGATGGCAACAAGTTCTTTCCCACCATCTTTCTGCCCATCGTGAACGAGAAAGTGCACACTATTGTCTTTGACCTCTCCTAAAGCTGTCGTCCTCGAGATTCGTCGGTTGCTGAAGTCAGAACCTAACAACGACTTGCGGGAAACCGCGAGAGTTGCATTGATTCGGTCCACCTGACCCTTTGTAAACATGACACAAATTTTATCATCACTGTAGTCCATATAGTTGTAGAAGAGATCACCGTCGGGTCCATTGCCGCAAGAGATCTTTGGAAACTTCGGCTCGCCAGAATTGGGCCCAGCTTGGTTTGGTGTATCATCGACAAGATCGCTTTCCGAACACCAAAGCATCGGGCTCACGCTAGGGTCTTGATCATCCCCCCATATGTGACGAAGGTTTAACCAGTGGCCCACCTCGTGCGATGCCGTGCGTCCGAGGTGGAAAGGCTTAGTGGCTGTTCCTCCCACGCCGAAGTAGCGGTAATTGATAACCACCCCATCTTGAGTCAATGATTCCGTAGCTGGAAAGGAGGCGTACCCAAGCAATGAATCGCCCAAATCGCAGACCCAGAGGTTGAGGTAACGATCTGCTCGCCATCCTTTGCTGCCCAAGGGCTCGGACTTCATCTTGCGATTGATCGACCCATTCGCTCCCATTGGGAAACTCTGTGCTGTTGTTTGTTTGTAGACGATGCCTGTGGTGGGGTTTCCCTGAGGGTCCCGAGTTGCAAGGAAGAACCTGATGTTCGGATTCCCAACGAGAGGCTTGAAAACATCCGGGAGCTGGGTTTGATCTGTGTTTTGAGCACTGTAATCCTCATTGAGCACTCTGATCTGCTCATCGATTTGAGGCTTCTGGATCTTTTCCTCCTCCGTGTTGTAGATGACGTGGACGACGACAGCAATATGAGCTGTTCCAGTCCGGGATGATGGAGCATTGATGGCAAGGCGGCTGAACGACTCAACCGCCTGCCTGCGAGCCCTATATCCCGGATCTGTGGCGAGCAGCTCACCGTTCAACTGGTCTGTCCCACAGAGGCCAAGGCTCCTGTTGGGTCCTTGGACCATGCTCTTTTGAGAAGCCAGAGTAGCCATGATGGAGTTGTAAATTGACTTTTAGGAGAATGAAGAATGTTGGGGCTGACGAGGTTTTATTGGTATAACTTTGAACTCACAGGGAAAAAAGAACGAGGCTGAGGAAAGTGATCGCTCTGCAAAGTGTTCAGCCTAGGTTTTTATAAGTTCAGATCGATCACTGTATCATGATCTCTGCCTTGCTGGACACCGGTTACGTAACCAACCACTTGATCACAGTGGCTGAGCTGTAAACACGGGGAAGGCCAAGCATCTCTGGACATTGTCAAGATGCCTTGTCCATGCAGATCAGCTTTCAAGCTGGACCGACACGAGTTGAATTTCTTAACTTTTCTTGGCTTTCTGATGTCATGATCGGTGTTCCAATCACAACCTTGTGTGACTGAGAATACGGTGTGCCTTCGTGAAACGTGAGGCCAGCTGAAGATGCTCAGTCCCGTGAGCAATATCGTAGCCTTTGAGTTGTGCTGGCCTGCCGTCACATGTCATTGATTTCAGCTGACGCCAACTTGTTCTGACCGAGCATCAATGCACTCAGGTCCTCCAGGGCTGAGCTGTACCTTGCAAACTCATAATACGATCAGGCATCCAAAAACCATGGGTCTTTGAATGCAAGAACAATATGGTGTCCGCATGAGTCTGTTCTATGAAATATCATATTCCGTGAGATACAAGGTGGGCCGTGCCGAGCGCCCGTCCCCGATATCAGATGACGTACCAAGCAGTCCCTACCCCTGCTCATGTTCAGGTTTTAGTATCGATGATCCGCTTCCGCGCTGCCATCCGAAGATGCAAGTCGCCAGCATTATCTGCAGTTCTTGGAAATTATGAAGAATAGCATGGCAACACTGTGCCATAAACGTGTGAGCGCTCTTTTCGTGTTCGTCGTATCCTCTACTCGATTGCAACTCGATCTCGGTTTGAGAGCAACCGCGATGCTACACAAGACTGCTTGCAGTTCACATTGCAATGGAAGACGGGATTAACTCTAATTCAGCATCACATTGCACGTCTTCACGGGAGATCTCACGTAACGCTAAGTAAGCATTAAATGGGGGCTCGGAATGGTTTCGAACGATCTTTTGGTCGTTCAATGTCTGCGAAGTACGGAATCTAGCACTTTCCACGCGGATATCATACCACTCAGGACGCGTCGCATTGAGGGTTGCGGGTGTGTTCCACTTCTTCCATGAGGTATGCCCGTTCAATGTCCTGGCCGTGGGTGGCTCAAAGATTTACTGCGAGCCCGATTCTGTCTTACGTTGATGCCATCCTCATGCTTCTCGATTGATCCTCTTTACGGTGTAAGCTTCTCAGCATTTCATCACGGTAGTGTTGTCACTGGAAATTCACATCCAGATATGTTTCGACACTGGCAGGTCATGGCTGAATGGCCAGGCCGATCACCAAAGATGGGCTATCGAGCGCGATGGAAAGAGACAATCTCGGGTGTCAGCGCATTTTGGACTTCGGGCGCAATATGAATATGCCGGCCGCAGGTAGATGTTGGACGAACCGCTGCTGATCCCCCGCATGCAGAAGTAGGACGGCGTTTATCACGCAGCTGCCTATTTCAAGGATGCTGGTTCACTGGGGGGCCTGGTGCGCTCTGTGAGCATGTTCTCACTTGGGGCATCGACGATGCTGTTTTTCTTCTTCGGCTGGCTTCTGGGACTTTTCAGGCCGTTGCGACTTGATGTTTGTCTGTTTCAAATTTGCAGGTCCTTTTTTGTTTCAATGAACAGGACTTTGATGCGATATTGATTGACCACTCGGGAATTTATGTCGCCTTCCGTCGCGATGTCGATCTTAATTTGCCGAGCATTTGCTTCAATATCCATCTGGATGTCATCGGCGGCAATCTCGACTTCCCGAGCCGCCATCTCGATATCCGCCAAGAATTGATGAGCAATCCTCTCGATTTTTCGGTCTCGGTGTTTGTCATCATAAACATGAGCCTGAGCATGTCGAAACTCGCGACTATCCACAAAATGCGCAACTATCTTTGCTGAGAGACTTTCCCACATGACCCACATGATTATGGTATCTTTGCGATCGTCTACTCTGTTTTTGTAATCGTCATTGCGCCTCGCCTTATTCATGGCTCCCAGGTCTTTGCGCACGGTTTCTGATTTTTCGCTCATGGCTTCGTTCATGTCTTCCCTTCTCGCCTGGACCCAGGCCGGGAGGAGTTCGTCGATCTGTAGTGCCTGCCCCAATGTTGCCGCCGTGACGGGCGGTGCTGAAGGGTCAGGAGGGGATGTGAAGGATGAGAGTTGAGACTGAATATGAATTGACAGTATCTGATCTGGAGGCAAAAGAAGAAAGCAAGTAAGGGAGATTTCTGGAAGATAGGAAACTACAAGTAAGATCAAGTTCAATGAGAGATCAAGGCAATCCTTGCACAAAATAACGGCCCGTGCCGAAGGTCTGCTTGAGGTCCACCAATGACTCACGAGGTGGGTCTAAGGCTAATGACGTAGGAATTTCTATGTCTGGGGAATAAAGTCACGTGACAGAATCAACAAAGTGGCTAATCGATGATCCAACCATCTTGCTTGCAATTTTTCTTCCTCCCTCCCTTTCCATCCCATCTCAGGTACCAACTTCCAGAGCATAATTCTTCCTAGTCCTGCCCAACGACTGGTTCACATTTCACCGACGATCATGTTGACTAGTCAAATGTAAACACGGAGTACACCACCATGTTATTGGCCGTTTTGAAAATATATCTGCACCTAGGTCATTGATCATCATCGTTATGCTTCACAACCGTCTTGGCACAGCCTCTAAACGTTAAAGTCTGACAATCCTCTCTTGCCTAAGAGCCTCACATATCCGAAATCTCCATTCATGATGGCAGCAACGAATGAAGCTGCACCGGTCTCCAACATACAAATCTTCACTCTGAATTGCTGGGGCTTGAAGTACATTTCGAAATTTCGTACGGAGAGATTATCCGAAATAGGAAATCGAATTGCAACTTTCTCACCACAGCTCGATATTGTCGGCCTGCAAGAATGCTGGACATTTTCCGACTATCTCATCATCAGAGAGCGAACCAAATCTATCCTTCCATATGGCAAATTCTACCACTCTGGGATATTTGGCGGAGGGTTGGCGATTCTCAGTCGCTGGCCAATCAGAGAATCATCTATGCATCGATATTCTCTAAACGGCCGCCCGACTGCTTTCTTCAGAGGTGATTGGTTTGTTGGCAAGGGTGTCGCCTGTGCAACAATAGCGCTGCCAGACGGTGTCAATGTGGAGGTGTTCAATACACATCTCCACGCACCGTACGAGAGGGAGCCTAATGACAGTTATATCTGCCACCGGACTGCTCAAGCCTGGGAAATCGCAAAGTTGATGCGAGCGGCATTGGATCGAGGCAATCTCGTGATTGGACTAGGAGATTTTAACATGGTTCCTCTGAGTTTTGCACATGTTTTAATTGAGAGTCGAGCCCGGGTTCAAGATGTGTGGAGAGTGATCAAGCCGGGAAGCAGTATTGGTGCCAGCATAGATCCCCCAGAGAAGGCTCGAAGGAAGCAACTTGGAGAAGAGGACACCCCCAATGTCGACACGAGTCTGCAAGAGCATGGCCATACATGTGACTCGGTACTGAACACGTGGAGGTGGAACAAAGCTCACCAGGAAGCCCTCGAAAAGGGGCATGATCGCGACATTCCAGGGACTGACGATGATCCGAAGGCTAAGCGACTAGATTATATCTTCTTTGGAGGACTCGACAAAGGCTGGAAGGTCAGTCAGGCGCAAGTCGTACTCACTGAGAGACATCCAAAGTTGCGGTGTTCGTTGAGTGATCATTTCGCGGTGCAGGCTACAGTAGAGAGGACCAAGTTGACTCCTGCGCGACCGAGAAGAATAGAGAGTCGTGGAGCACTCAACGATTCGAGAAGCGAAGATCCAAGTCTTGAGGTGGCGAGCTTTAAGGACAAGGACTTTGAAACTGCATTTTCTGAACTACAAACACAGTCCCATATTGGTGAGGACTTCTACAATGACATCCTGGCCATGATTCACAGCTATGGCTTGAGGGAGAGAAAACAACGGCGATGGCGATTGATCCACTTTGTCGCGTCGGCACTGTTTTCGATTGGGAGTTTCATTGCAGTTTGGTGGTCGCCTAGGAATTTTGTGTCGTTCATTCTCATCCTTGTGAGCAGCCTGGGACTCATGGCTGGTACAGTGGATGGATTGATTGGGGGCCTGTTTGTTGGTTCCGAGTTACGAGCACTGGCCGAGTTCGAGTGGGAAGTTCGGAATGCACTTCAACTTATCGGTGGCCCAGTTCAAGAAGACCAAAAACTACGCGACTGGTACGATGCATAAGATTGAAATCGAAATGTCCAAAAAATGATCGACAGCCCGTGGTTCTCTGAAGGCATGTCGAACATGTGGAATTGATTAGGTCAAACAAGCGCCCGGGGGTGAGAAGCGCGTAATTCGTTGCGTTGGCATTATGGATTGTGAACCTATGGAAAGCCTGAGATCTGGCAGTCAGATACACTTGAGGCATGAAATTGACATCAGGGGGAATCTAAGAATATAGACATGCAAATTCTGGAAGATGCATGATTATATGGTGTCAGGTGTGGCTGAGGAAAAAGAGGAAAGGAGGGAAGGAGGGAGATTGTTGTTGTGTTGAGGAAGGAAGGCGCGAGGCGAGAGGAAGGAAAGAGAAAGGAGGAGGCGGAGGAGGGAAAGAGCGAAGGTGCAACTCCAACACCCAAAACCAAAACCGGGCTGCAACTGCACCTGCAAATGCGAGTCGAAAGGGAAGGCACCTCCCACCCCATCCAGTCCATCGCCCACCCTGGATCGCGTCAATCTCCCTCTTCTTTTCACTCTTCCTTCCACCACCACACCTTCTATCACTTCAAATCTTGTTGTTACACGGTCGCCTACTACTTATTGACTCACTGATATTCTTTGAGTTCGTCGCGACAATTATCTGACAAGGTACGTACATATATCTGTTCTCCGCTTATCGTTGCTGCTTTGTTGGCACAACCAGCTTCCTCATCTTGGTTGCCTGTCTTGCCTTTTACCACCACCTTCAAACATCATATAAATGACTCATCCCTTGTCGCAAGAGACTTATCTACTCTTTTCTGCTGTTTTATAAATATTCAGGCTTGGTGCATCGAGTTGTGTTGACTATCTCACCGCCATCGCCCAACCTTGCTTGCCCCGCCTTTTCCACAACCACAGCTCACCTCATTGAACATACCAGCTGACATATATATATACTCGATAGCCACCAAAAGAGCTGTCTAACTACCCATTCCACATTTTCAACCCCAAAACACATCCCCCAGCTCTAAATCACAATGGCTCAAACACGAGGCGCAACCGGCAATTCCAAGCCACGCGTCTTCCCAACCATTTCCACAGCGCCTTCGCGCAAGCCTCGCGCTGTCGGCACCAAGAAGACCAAACCTGTTGGTGTCACTAAGAAGCGCGCCCCGGCCACTCATCACAAGAGAAAGCCATCCATCAAGGACAAGGTCGTTGGTGCTGTGGAGAAGGTTGTCGGTACCGTTGAACACAAGCCTGGCAAGAAAGCCGCAGGCACCAAGAAGATCCGCGGCACTGATGGCAAGAACAACAGGACCGCAAAGGTCGCCAAGATCTAAGTGTTGACGCCGTTTGATTACTTCAAATATGATGCGACGTGTGTTGTTGTCTTTATTGTATCTGCCGTTGTATACCGGCTTCTCATGATCAGGGTAGCCAAAAGGCGACGGGAAACAACATAAGGGCGAGTCCACACGGGCCAGGTATGGTAGGTAGGACGAGATAGGACGCCTTGGATAGGTTGGTTATGACTGGATTGGGAATTCAAGGCTAATCATGGGGGCAATGATTGTATTTCTTCACCGCTGATGTATTTTGCGATAGTTTCTGCCTGGTACGATCTTTGCGTTTATACGAATGTTGAGGGAATGATCAGCAGACTTACTCTATATATATTGGATCATGACAATCGTTGCCAGAGCAATCTCTATTCATCGACGGCTTTGAATCTCTGAAATTGGACAAATGTATTTCTCCTCCTGACCGCTGTTCATCCATTCCTTCTATACGTAATACCAAATCTACCATCAAAGCAACAGGTCAAGTGGTTTCAATGCTCAGAGAATCGGAACACACACTAGCTATCTCAACTTTGACTCAGAACAGCCCCATCACATATCTCTTTGCTCATACCGTCGTGTCGACGCATCCGCCCAGTTGGTAATGGTACAGAACACCAACAGGTCGGGTCCTAACTATCCCATCCGGGGGGTTCGAGTGGTCGAGTCGTCGTTTTCTACGTCGGACTTATACCCAAGGTCAAGCTTGCAAGTGTGGTTGATGGCGTCGGTGGCCCTTGATTGGACATACCACCTGTCTGCCTTCTCCCTGGCATATATCGGTGAACAGGCATCCCAAGTAGCTACGGGACTATATTCGAGACTGCCCATCGAAGTACTGGCACTATAATGGACGGACACCCGAAGTACAAAAGAAACAGGAAATCACAACAGGAAAATAGATGATGGGGACGGTGAATGTATGTGTTCATTCGTGTTTTCTACCTAGGTACCTAGTGCTTCTGAGCGTTCATTTCAGCTCATAGATATCTTTTCGCTGCTCAATAGCCAAGTTTCATCGTTCTGCCTCCCGAGAGACGCCGGTTCCATTCATGACTTGTCCAAGTTTGATGTACAATTTTGATGTGCTGATCGTTGATTTCTCATGTCGTGTCCATATCCCATTCCAATCTCGAGAGCCTTATATCAGCTCAATGCTCTGCTCGTATTACCATTTCAATTTGGCCAAGAAAAACAAGTTCAATCGTGTTCATGTCGTGCTCGAGTTCAATCATTCAATCAATCATCGAGACTATCCCGTCTGTCCCGACGATAGCCACCTGCTTTATTCTGACCACTCAGGCCCGGGAGTGGATGATGGTAGCTCTTGGTGTTCTGACTTTGAACATCAAAGTCCAACGGTTCATGGAACGATCCAGGAACAGTGCGGATCGGTCGTTGAGGACTGGCATTTTTGGTGGGTGAATGATAGCGAGGTGGTCGAGCTGATGAGGTGGGTGGTGCAGCGGCTGTGGGTGGTGATCTGACGCTGAAGCCTTCTTCTTGGCCAAATGAGAAGTCTCGACGGCTTTGGCGTTTTTCGGGCGAAGAATGACGGGGTGGTGGTGGAGCGTAGCTTTGTTGATTGCTGCTGTGGCTGTTACTGTTGGTTTCACTGCCGGTGCGGTCGGTCTCGGTATAGTCGGTGCCATAGTACTGTGCATCCGAATCCTTGTTGAGACCTCCCACTCGAGCTGATTTCTCATGACGGTAGGCGCGGACGTCATTGTCATGGCCACCCTCCCATGCGGCTTCGGCGGCTTCTCGGACCTTTCGTTCTTTTGCAGTTTCCTTCTTCAGTTTTCTAGAGCGTTTTTCTTGGATGATGGGTGCCTCGGAGGAAATATCAGTCATTGTTTCGGTCATGGCCTCAGTCATGGTCCCATCTCTGGTGATATCGTCCTTGTCAGAATAGCCATCGCCTACCACACTACCGCCACCAAGGATTGTGCTCTTGGTGGCGTTACTGAGAGTCGTGCCATTTGGACCCTTTCGACGCAGTACAGTAGATTTATATTCATCCCAGTCTCCCTTACGGAATTGGAATCCACCGTTCTTGGCCCAAAAGAAGAACCAGATCGTTCCGACAACAAAAGCAACACCGATCAAGGCGAAGACGGCTTGAATGCCCTTCATGTTAATGTCATTGGGATCAACAGAGCCCTCGCCTGGGTGAAGGTCTTTGTGTGGCGAATCATCTCTTGCTGTGAGCATTTTAAATGTGTCCATCGGGGAGAGGATTGGAGATGCATCGTCGTTTCGTGGGATTAGAGGATTGTGGATGAATAGGCTTCTTTTGGATATGGGTGAATCGGCTTCGGCGAGATCTCTGGGTTTAAAGTATCCTGAGTCGAGTTCAAGAGAAGAGTACATGAGGTCGGGTATGTCGATTTTGGTGATGAGTGTCGGGGCCATGATGGCGAGGAAGAGCCACGAGGCTCGGGACAGAGAGCTTTGTTCAGCAGGTGATCTTGAGGATGATAAGGTCTCGAGCCCGGATCGATTTATGGAACTTTAATGTTTATGATAGTATGATGATGGTTAGACAGAGAGGAATTGAGGATGGTCTTGAAAGGAACTCACTCTTGAACGTGCAGAAAGGATTGATGTGGTTATGCGTTATCTTGGGTGGCTGGCAGGACGATCACTTAACTGGTGGCTGGAGGAATGAGAGACATTTCGAGCAGTGACGTACACGCAAAACGGCTGCCAAGACCAACGCATTATTTACATTTCTATTTTGAGATTAGCGCCACTCTAAACTATTGCTACGACAACCCCGAAGCTTTCCTCAAGTACCTCACCTCACTCGTCTCACCCAGGCTCAGGCTGCATGCACTTTTGAAGACTTGAATATTAGACGAAGGGAGTCTGATGACTCATCTATAGCTTGGTGACCCTCACTGCTACCGAGGAAGAGTCAATGACCGTGTCATTCTATCGTATTTGTGGTAGCTTGGACTCGTCATCGTGACTGTCAACAAATCCGAGCAAACCTGCCCCAACGAGAGGATGGAGCCATCTATCTGGATAAGGATACAACGAGGCATCCGTATTATTGGCGAGCGTTTTTGTCTTCGCCATTGATCTCAATAGTGGCCCACTTCGCCTTAGCTACATCCCAGTGAAGTTGGTCTTGGAGGATGCCGTCATAGCCTGTCAAACGGCTCTTGATTTTGCCTCCATGCTCATATAGAAGTAGTGCACATTCCCAATATTTACCGGTGCAAGCTTTGAAGAGTGGAGTCTGGTCCAGATAACCAATGGAATTGACGTCAAACCCCCTCGAAAGACATATTCGAGCTATGCGAGTATAACCCTGCCTTGCAGCGAGATGCAGCAAGTTGTTGCCGGTTGGGGGGATAGCAGTTTTTGGTAAATATTGATCTGATAGTCGCGCAAACGTATCATCATGACCCTTGTCGACTGTGATAATCAAGGCCTCCATCACCGTGTTCAGGCCTTCGACTTCGATGAAAGCGTATTGGTATTCATTAGACGCACCTCCAACGTCCTTGAGTGCACGGATAAGCTTGGTGGTAAGGTCTGAAGTCCAAGTCAATGAGCTATTCCATTTAGACTGAGGGATCGGCACAGAACGCACTTATTACACTCACGAAATCTCCCACCGAGAATCCAAAAGGAATCGGCATTTTCTAGTGATGAACGTCAGAATGCGTAGATTAGCAACTCCTCCAGAACGCTCGAGGAATAATGACTTGAGAGATAACAATTGTTGAAAACCAACGATGGCAATTGACGATAAAAGATGGAAGACTACGAGGGGCATGAGGCTGGCCAGAAGAGCTCAGCCACCATCTGTTCTGCCTCGTGTTCGGATAGGGTCGGGGTGCTCATTGTATTGCATCCTCAACCGACAATGGGAGAGTAGCGTCATAGTTGACGATGATGTTGGCCCTTCGACATATGGAAGTGCAATACAGCCTAGCTCTCACCGTGGCTCGTTAATGCCCTGTCTGTGACTTTTATCGGCATCAAGGAAGGACCTGAGTAACAGACGCAAAGGGTTTATTTTATTTTCCACGTTTCCAGTCGATGACTGATAAGATACTTGGGTACTTACCTAGGAATTCCTAAGTGCCCAGGTGGCTGATGATGCGTACTCCCAGCCATCCCCTCTCAAGTTCAACTGCCAAGGTAGGTGCAGATGGAGAGCAAGCGAACGCTCCAAGATCTCATCTCAAAAGCGGCATCACTCGACATCTGAATAGGGCCCGCTAGTTACAGCAGCGTCACTAAGTCTTGATTAGTACTAGCAGACTTCCCCATCTTGGCAGCATCCCAGAAATTGCAACCCTTGTCAATCAATGCGGTTGACTCCTTGCACGCCGCTGCATCATCATCGACGTCGAAATCATTATGCAAATTCTCCGATCCCCAATGTAAAAAGAACTCCATCTCTGCTCCTCAAAATGTAACAATAAACTTTTTATAAGATCCACCCCCGTGTCGCTGGGAATGGCACGCCACTTCAACCATGTGGGTCTGAATTCGTATATGTTTCAGGCCAAATCCCTCGGCTCAGCTAAGAATGGCTCTGGTGTTGAGGATGGTGTTGGCGCTGGCGTGGAAGGGGGAATTCGTGATCCATCGCCCTTGCTTCGCCTTTCTTGGGGCCTTGCCCGCGCCTGGCCACCACCAAGTCGAACCTTGACAACAATCCTATGATCCAATAAATACTCCTTGCTGGCCACGCGGCTCTGCGCCAGTCTGCCTACCCTCGAATTCTTCCCTCGTCGTCCGCATGTCCAAAGTCCTGTTGTACTTGTTGGCATCGTTGCTGACTCAATGGGTCCTCGCACAAGATCAAGCCACCACCCTCTGCGGCCAGAGCGACTTTTATAACTCGACACTGGTCCCTTATTCATGTTTGTACCCACTGGCCCCCACCAAAACAACCGACAACTGACATCAATTCCTCTCACAGTCAACAATAATGCCTGGGGAGACAATGGGCAAGGCTATTCCTGCCTGCGCATTTACGACGATGACACTGCTTTCTCAGTGACCTACCAATGGACCGGAGATGCTTCAACAGTCAAAGGGTTTCCTTATGTGAAGGCAGACCCCTCCCGTCTACCAGTCCAGTTATGGAACGTTTCCTCCCTCGAATTCTCTGCGCAATGGCGAACCTATGTCAAAGACACCGAGAATTGGTCAGATGAAGAGCAGGCAATTGCCATGGACAATACGGGTTTGCGGGTTAACACCGCCGTGGATATGTTTCTTTCAGACAATGCCGAAAACTCGACTGGCTTAGGGCCTCCCATTGAAATTATGATCTGGCAGTGGTTTACCCCGACCGTTCTCCCTCTGGGCCATGCCGAATCCACTCCAGAGAAAGACACCGTTGAGGTCGCCGGCACAAACTACAGTCTCTACCATGGTTGGAATGCGCAGGGTCAGCACGTCTTCTCATGGCTCCCACACAAAAACCTGACAAGTGTTGACACCGATTATTCTCCCTTGTTGAGGTACATCTACGAGCAAGGCTTACTTTCCGGTGCGCTGTATATGGGCCAACTGGAATTTGGGACTGAGATTATGCATGCTGGAGAGGAGACTCATTTCGAGGCGTGGAATTACACCTTGAGGATTACCCGAGATGGTGATCCAGATGCTCTTCCAAGGCCCACCACGACCACCACAAGTTCTTCGACAACCGCAACCAGAACTTCAACATCTCGCACATCAACCACAACCACCATGTCCACCACCGATAGTGCGACCACACCAACCATGACGGATGCATCTGGTGCAACCTCGACAGCCAATACTGCTTCATCTGTGTCACCATTTGCGATAGGCTACAGCAGTACCGGATTTACATTCATCGCATTGTTGTTAGGTATTTTCCTACTGACAACCTCTTACACATTAATGGATAATGCATCATGAGCGATTTTAGCATCAGCATAGCATGGTTCTCAGACGGGACCCAATAGAAGATTACGTTCTCACACCAAGATCTCGCGGTCTTCGTGAATTGTATGCATTATGCCTAGATATCCGCAACAAATATCCCCTCATCATCAGACGTGAACGGCAGGGCCCTCCCCGTCAAAGAAAACCTCATCCAACAAATACAACATGACCTGCATACCCTGCCACTGCTCCTCGACCGACACCCGAATCTGATCCGGAGGCAACACGAACCCGAAGTCCCCTGTATCCCTCAACTCGATCGTATAACTCCAATCGGCCTTGCCCGCACCATAGATATAATCGACACTACTGCCGGTGGTGGCGTAGAGCGTGCCACAACTGGGGCCAAAAGTAAATGTCTTGCCGCCCACCTCCCTGATGACCGTGGACACCAGACCCGCGAGGTTGATATGCTGGCCCAGATCGTCCGCGTACAGCGTGCAGTTATACCCCCACGGCGCGAGGATGTACTGGCCGTAGCTGTGCCAGTCGACGTAGAGCTTGATGCCGGACGTGTCGCGCAGCGTGTCGACGAGCGCCGTGAGGCCCTTGTTTTCCGGCGAGTCGCTCGGTGCTTCGCCCCGGTACACCTGTGTGCACGGGTCCGTGCTCGCGCCCAGTGGGTTGCCGTCCCATTCGTACGCCCAGTTGCGGTTGATGTCGCGGCCGATGCACGATTGATTGGCTGGCGGTGGCGGTGGCGGCTGTCGGTTCTTGCGCCATAGTCGCTCGGTGGTTTGGGTGTAGATGAAGCCTGCGTGTGGTGTTAGTATTCGTTTCGAAAGAGGGAAGAAGGAGGCAGCGATGTCAACTTACCGTCAGGGTTGACGAACGGAAACACCCAGAAATCGTAATTGTCCACGAACGACTGGGTATAGTTATCGCCGGCTTTATATCCCTGAATGAGATTTAAGGTCAAGAACTCAATCACCGGCGCTGTAATCCACTCTCTCGCATGCACGGTACCATGCCATAGGACAGCGGGTTTCCCGGGCCCATCTTTGCCCCAGAAGTGCAAGCCGAAGATATCTCGGCCCTCGAAGCTGGTTCCGCTCGACACGAGCTCCGAATTCTCCGGAAATGCGGCGTGCAGCTCGTCAAAATATGACACGTGCTCGTCGTAGCTGTGGTAGCTGTCATACCAGGCTAGGTCGTCGAGGGAGCGTTTCCAGGCTGAAGTGGGTGGTGCAGACTCGGCTTTGATGGATGCGCCGAGATTGCTGTGCATGCAGTGTGATGGGATGTTGAGGGCTGAGAAGGCTGGGAGTTGTGAGGGTGGGAGCACGATGTCGATATGTGAGGCAATGTCTGAGTTCCATTGGTCGAAGTCCAGAGAGGATAGTTTCTCTTGGATGGATTTCAGGTGCTGGCCGGTACTGATGCGGTGCACTTGGTAGCCTTCATAGTCGATGTGCTCCGGGTTGCTGATGGCGGCACCATAGGTGAATGAGATGAATAGCGAGATTGAAGTCAGGAGCTTCATGGTTGTTCGTCACCTGTGTTTAAAGGCTGAAGCTTCTCGGAAGACCTGGAGTGCAGCCTTGGGTACACTCTCAAATATATACATGTGATCATCTGGGGAGTAGCGACCTACCATTCAACATGCCTGTATCCGATGACATGATTTCACCAAGCTACCTGCGTCCAAGCATGATCGACAACCAAGCTGTGCAAAAGCCAGCCATCATAGCTGGATGCAGAAGGTCGTATTGGAAGAGCTTGGCTGGGCAATCACGTACCTACAACTTCGTATGTACAAGCCCGCCTGACTGCGGTCGGCCGAATCACATGTACCACAAGGCACAACAAACAAGACGTGATCCTTGGAAGAGGGAGCCTGAGATGGGCTGTCGCGTATCCATCTTCCAAGGACATCAATTGTGACTCGTGAATCCATTTGACCGAGCGGAGCATGGAGCTGCACTCGGTAGACGGATTCTATCGATGACGCCAGAGAAACATGCTCCTTCTGGATTCATTCTGGTCCAGCCATGGCATTCTCTTGTCAATATGAGCGTGGGCGTGGCAGTGCTGAGTAGACCCATCACGCCTGGGACTGTTTTGTTGGGGACGAGGGCTTCTAGGCACCTTTTTATGCCCAGGCCCTAGGCCTGGATAGTTATACAATCGACCCCATACCCGGATCACCTTTACCATCCCCATTTTGGAGACTTGGTAATGGATCTCGGCTTCTCGCTTCATATCCCACGCCTTCCAATAGGATTAATCGGTCGCTATATCTGGTATTTTAATGAGAACGAGCACTAGCGACCTCAGTTCACGCAACGCGATCGTTCAAAACTTCCAGCATCGTGCTTCGATCCCCGGACCGACTTCAATTCTCCGTCTTCGTCTTGGGCTTAGTGGTGATGTCGGTATCCTAAAGCCTCCCCAATTCAGCAAATAATATAGTTCAAGTCCGATGTGATAGCTTGTTACCTTTCGCGCCTTTACCCTCACCTATCATTGAATTCAATCGATAGAGTAGAGAATAGAGAACATATCGGCAACATGGGAGTTTTAGTACAGCTTGCTGATATACTCAGCACGCACGAATTGTTGAGCGTGAGCTTGAAATGGCCGGCGCACCTTCGCCTAGCCTTGACGCAGATGGGCCAATGTCGTATCCTATCTCACCAGTCGAACTGGTTGAGTCCAGGATGGCGCGCGTGCAACCTAGTTTCGACATGGTGACGCTCTCACGCGGCCCAGCTGAAGCACTTCGCAGTGGTCTTTGGAACGACCGCTCCACGCTGAGTATCCTCAAGGTTATCTCTTACTTTTGACTCCAGGAACTGGTTCCGCTCGAGGGAGAAGTGTCTTTCGACGACCTCGCAGAGACATTGCAAGGCTGATAAAGGCCTGATTACAAGACTACTGCGGTTTTCCATGACATTGAGGATCTTCAAGGAGCCGAGGACGGGGTCCGTGGCACACACTGCTCTTTCAGTGGCTATGCGAGAGAGTCGTCCGCTCCTTGAGCTTTATACAGCGGAGATCTGTGTTCTGCCTCTTCTCAAACTGCACAAAGCGTTAGAGAATTTAAAAGGAGATCGGAAAAATGGGCCTGATTTGTTAGCCTCGCAATACGCGTTTGGGTAGGACACAAGCTGGTGGGAACTTATGAAAGACAAAGAGCTTGATTCTTGATTCCGGAGGTCAAGCCTGGTTCAGCGAGGCCATGACTTCATGGAGCACGAGTCTTGCTACCTTATACTATGGAATACTGGCTGATGCGGTTGACTGGCGCAGCTTCACGAGTGGGCCGGTCGTTGACCTGGGAGGTGGCAATGGCCACGTCGCTATCGACCTCGCCACGCGTTTCCCATCGCTGGAGTTTATTGTGCAGGATCTGCTACCCAACGAGTCGGCCTTCAAGGCGACAGTACCTCCAGAGCCAGTGTCCCGAGTAACTTACCAGGTCCAAGACGCGTTCAACCCACAGCCAGAGGATCTTGAGCCTTCTGCGTACTTCCTGAAAGCCGTGTTCCATGACTGGCCAGATATTGCTTGCATTCAGATTCTAAAAATACTGGTTTCCAAGATGCTGAAATTCGGTTCCACGGTAATCATGATGGACCAATGTCTTCAGGAAGGCAAATTCCCACTGTACTTTGAGGGCGTCATCCGGCACTCTGATATCTTCATGTTTTCACTCTTCGGGGCAAAGGAGAGAACATTGCCGGAATGGGAAGCAATGTTCGCAACGGCCCATTCACGCTTGCGGCTTGAGAAGGCTGTACAGCCTTCAGGCTCGGAATCTGCGGTCATGCAGTTTGCTATTACTTAGGTCGAGTTATTCAAACAACAATTCATCTAATCAGCTCACTTATTTCTTGACTTCAAAGTTAGGGCCGTACGAGCTCTCCAGTGTTCAGATACAATTCCTAATACCTACACCGTCCTATGAGTAGTACCTTATTGCTCTACGACGCTAAGTTACGCATATCAGCGATTTAGATCATGAGAAAGAAAGGCTTTTATCTCCTCTCCCTATCTACCTCCAGGTACCAGGTAACACCTTTTAATAACGCCCCCTTTGGTCGTTACTACCATCTGTAGCCTCGGAGGAATAAGCTATTCGATGTTTTAAGAGCTGGCTCTTTGCCGCTTGTGCTAGAAGATCAGTGCAGTTCTTAGTCTATCCAATTCCGGGTGCTGATCTTGCAAAAAAACTTGCTACATTTGCACTTCTATATGGAGGGAGGAGATTCAGGATATTTTCTCGCAACCTCGTTAGCTTGCAGGATTCTAACTCCACTACCATTCCGATCTCTGCAGCATGATGCGCGATATCGTCGTTGAGAATGATCAGAATTTCTCCCCAAGACTTCTTCTGATCCAAGTGGCCGTCTCGTCAACCTTACTCAAAAAAGGACTGTGACTAGCATGAATGGTGTCGACTACGATCTTTCCATGGAGTGTGACTTCGTCCGCCATCTTAATAATCAACCGCTGCCACTCGGGAGGCAAAGACTTATCATCCTCAGTAAGTAAATAATATGTTGGGACGACCTTGAAGCCAGCGAATGGAACGGGCGTACAATAGACGGTCCAAACGTGCGGGACGAGTAATGACGCATAATGTTCGGCATCCTTCTGGGGTAAATCGTGGTAGAATGTCGTTGTAGGCCCAGGCTCTGGGTTCGGCATCGAAATTTCAATGTCCATATTATTGTCTACTGGAGAGGGAATCTTTGACAAGATAATAGTAGGTGGAACGGTCTTATTTCCCAAGTCGAATCCGGAAATTCCTTCGTTGACGAGGAGGCTAGATATAGCTAGGAGAGCGGAAATCCCGTTTGAGAACCCGGCAGCCTTACGAGAGTTCTTGTCGAGATTTTCGACCGCAGCCGAGCCTGGCATGCCACCATATGAATGCGTGAGCACCACGACATCCGTCGCTGGGTAGTCGTTGAGCTCGGTGAGTATAGCTGTCTGAATTGCCTCGACGTCCTCCTTAATGTGGATAGGCGGCGGACACTTTAGCTCCGCGTAGTGCATAGAGGGCAGGAGCACGGCGATGAATTTATAGCCATACTGGGCCAGATTCTCTTTCAGCGGCAGGAAGTGTGCTGCTGAGTGCCAGGCGCCATGCACACCGACAATGGTTGGTTTGGCCATCGTTGTCACTCCCTTGTTTCCAGGTTTCTTGGACTTTTGGACGAGATTCGACTGTGATGCCGTGAGAGTAGACCAGGAAGGAGACTGCCAGCTTTTATAAGTATAATCTTGTCCGTTCGACCTCCGGACTGTCACTCCATTCCGTCGCCGTGCTCGAGCACAAGTTAGTTACTTCTCTCTTCCTGCAGTCTCGGTGTATATAGTCTATCCCAGAGTTGCACCAAGCGTTTAGCCTGGTAAGCAACTTAAATCATGCTTGCCATCGCGGCCTACCCTGGTACAATGACTAGATATCCCAAGTAGTCGAGTACACAATTACTTCTTGTCGGCAGAATATGTACAAGTCGCATGATCCATACGAAATGTAGATACATTGGTATCTGTTACAGCCTGATTTTTCTTGTCCTATTGGATGAGCATGACTTGTAGTCAGTTCTCTCGGATTCGGTTTCGCCTCTCTTCGTCCGGCCGGCGGAGATATGGTTGGAATGAGGTTTGGGATGGAACTCCCTTTGTAGAAGCGACACTAAAGACAAACACTAGGTACAGAAAAAGGAGAGGTTATTATTGTCGTAAAACACGTAAATTTCATGGCGGATAACCCGCCAAAAACTTACGGCACCAGTTCTCGACCTCAAGCTCAGGCTCTCATGGTTCAGCGGGACGGACTGGGCGCAAGGGGCGGTTGAGCCCCGGAGTTTGGTCGGTGATTTAGAAAGCCCTGCTAGGGGACATCAGTGCCTGTGGGCGGTGCGATAGGCATGGACAAGGTGGAACTCAAAGCTAGACACATATATTCGCAATGTCTGTTAGCTTCAAGTGACGAATTGATAGGTGAGCTTTGTGCCCTAGGAATAATACTTGCCTACGTAAGCATGTGGGGGAGTACAGGGCTACAATCAGGCAGAGGCTGATCGCTTGCTTAGCAATAAAGAGCCTAGGGGAGAGTTCACCGGTAAAAATGATACATCAAACATTGATAATGGAATAGGTTTATGGAATATTCATCCCTATGAGCAAATACTATAAAATACCTAGGTACCTAACTAGTTACCAGACAGAGACCTTCGATGGTCCTACACAGTCACAATCAACTTGCCCTTGGTTTGATTTGAAGCCAGCAACTCATGCGCGGCCTGAATCTCATCCATCTTAAAAACCTTCTCAACAATGACCTTGAACGACCCATCCACAAATTTGGGCAGAGCATGTTCCACCAACTGATCCCTCAACTTTCCTTGATAGTCCTCATCGCGACTGCGCAGACTACTTCCCTCGTATCGTAGCCTCTTGCGCAAGAATCGGCTGATATCCACCGGTTTCTCGACCACACTGCCGCCCATATTGCCCAAACTGACAATATGCCCATCCTTGGCCGCAGCTTCGAGGTTCTGATCGAAATAGCCAGCGCCGATGAAATCGACGATCAAGTCGACACCCTTCCCGTCCGTGTACTTGAGCAGCTCCTGGGCCCAGTCGCCCGTCTTGTAGTTGAACCCTTCGGTCGCGCCGAGCGACTTGCAGAAGTCAATCTTCTCCTGGCTGCTCGCCGTCACGTAGATGGCACTGGCGCCGTCACCTTTTGCGAGCTGGATGCCTGAGATCGAAACACTGCTTGCGCCGGCGTGCCATAGAACGCTTCTCCCAGGCTTGTAGTCGCCAATAAGGTACAGTGCCTGTGTCGCAGTGATCCATGTCTCGGGGATACCTGCGGCTTCCTCCCAGCTGAGTTCTTTTGGCTTGTGAATCAGCATGTGCGTGCTGACCGCGATATACTCGGCGTAAGCACCTCCATAAGCTAGACCGAACACTTCGTCGCCAATATTGAAGCCGCGCTCCGGCTCACAGCCGAAAGACTCAATGGTGCCCGAGAACTCTACGCCCAGTGTTGATGGCGCCTGTGGTGGGAGTGGATAATGCCCTTCGCGCTGTAGTAGATCCATGCGGTTCAATCCGAATGCTTTGACCTTGACGAGTGCTTGGCTGCCTTTGGGTGTTGGTTTGGGGGATTCCGAGTTGATGAAAAGTGCGGAGATCGGGCCTTTACCGCCCTTGATATCGACGGCACGCATGGTCGCCATGGTGGAATGTCCTATTGAGAATGTCGCTCGTTGTAGGACTGGTTGGAATTGGTGGTGGGAAGAATAGAGGATGTTGCAGTTCGAGAATCCTTTATAACCGGCCCTTTCCCGGTGAGCTTGGGTGATTGGTAATAGAATTCTGTGTACAAGTCTTAATGCCTCCTTTTTCATACGTGGCCGTTCACTATCTTTGATGAATTATGACGAGTCCTGGATGGTCAAACAACAAGAATCAGCTATTCAGATATAATCGCGGGGAAACGTTGCTGAGAAATTATTGACTTTGGCACACTGTTCAAGGATGACACAATGAGGGTTTCCTCAATCGTCCTCTCCACCCGGTCGGCAATTGCTCGTAATGACGAAACCAACACTAAGCTCCACCAGCTTCGGTACTTCGGCACCTAAAGGAGTAGGAAGTCTGTGGGTACTCGTCCTATTCTTATAGCCCTTCAATATCATATGTTACATAACAGCAAGTATCGTTCTAGCGAGCTCGATAATCGCGCTCAAGACTTCAACATCATTTCGCTCAAGGGCATATGGTAAGACCATATCCTCTGCCTGGAGACTGGGTACTTGGCACCATCAGGATGTCTTTGAAGATAGTCGCCCTTCAATCTCAACAGCCCATCGCAACGCGGATTGTGATGCCTCCGCATCACGTTTTCAAGATCAACGGTGTTCTGTTCCAGCAGCTTCGATATCTCAACCTTGATAGTAGAAGATATTCGAACTCAGATCCAATCCAATAACTCAATCAATGTTGTATTGCTTGATGAGGTCGATCAACTTCTGTGATTCCGACACATAATTCATGGGTGCTGCTGATGAGACTTGATACCGGACGCTGGATGTAATATTAGCTCTGAGTCAAACATAGACCGACAAAAGAAACTTACCGTTGTTGTTCTTGGAAATTGTCGAGTTTGGCTTTGCACTTCCAATTCCAGATCTTGCAAACCGAGTCAGAAATGATCTCAGCCAACCTCTTGTCATCCACTTCCTTAATTTCCATCAACTCATCCGCCGTCTTACCAATTATCTGTCTTCCGGTCTCATCAAAACAGCTTACCCACAGTTGGCCTGTATGATCACTGACATTGACTGACATGATGTAGCGGTACTCGGGTTTCGGGTGGCTCTTGTCACATCTCTCACAGCGCCATTGACCATCATCAACCTGAATGACTTTCTTGTTACATCCTTCAGAGAGACATGCCGGGTAACAGAAGGTGTCTTGCTTGATGTATTGTATTGATGCCTTCAGAGAGAAGAAATCCGGATTCTCTGACATGCCGAGTTGTTCGTCCTTGATTTGTGCAATGGTCTTGAATGGGTCTCGTCGCGAACCACCAGCAGATATAGTTCCTTGAAGATTGGAATGTGTGGCAAAGTTGGTGTTCCCTTGCTCATCATACCAACCTTTCAACTTGTGGGCTTCTGCCATATCTGGGTTTGCACTGACGGACCCAGAACTGAGAAGACTTAGACTGCGACCACCAAAGTCTGAGACCTTGACTCCTTTGAATGCAACCACTGAGTCTGGTGGAACGTCAAAAGAAGCAGCAGTCTTTCCCCAGATGGTAAGTCGAACAGAATAACCAGTATTGTCCACAAGAGTAAGTTCCCGTTTGTCGTATGGCTTGCTCGTGGTCTTGGAGGTAATTTGAGAGGTTTCGCCTATCTCTTTCAGAACTCCAATGATGTCAATCGTTGTGTCCTTCTCAACGGACTGTAAATCAGATATGGTGGTGAAATTGTATCGAACTTGAGGTACCCCATCCTGTTGTTCAGCCTTTGAGACCTTGGTATCTTTCTCGAAATGCAATTCGTAGTCGTTGGCAAGGTTGGAGAACTGTTTCTTTGCGAATGTAACCCGGCAAGGGGCTTCAATGTAATATACGCTGTTCTCCTGGAACAAGTCATATAACTGGTCACATTGTTCATTGAATCCGGTAGCACGAATCTCTCCACTCTCATCAAGCAAGTTCACACTGAATAGCTTACCCTCACCATTCCGGTTGTGCCAGGTCTTGATCTCAGATTTGCTCGTGCACCGCGCTTTGATGGTCCATTTATTCGAGTAGGGAGAGATTGCTTCTATGGGATAGATATTTGCGTGTGCCGCAGATGAAGTTGGTCTCGCATGTGTGGGCATAGCCCTGCTGCTGGATTGCTCTTGTTTAGCGCCGTAAAAATTTTGGCTGGTGGCTGCGCTGGGCTTGGTGTCCTCCTCCTCTGTCTTCGTTTCCAAAGGTCTTGGTTCGCCTAGTTTCTCGTGTTCACCGTACTCCTCAAGTACCTTGATTTCGGTAACAATAAGAATTCTGTGATTCGCATTAGAACCTGCGTATACAATGGATATTATCGACCTACCGCTTTGCTTTGAATGCGTTCGCATTGTATCCGATCAATTGGACCAAAACTCCTCGACGAAGAATCTTCTCCTCTACAAGATGGTTCTGATGTACTGCCAGCATAGTCTGGATATAATTCTTGGTATCGCTGAAGATGACTCTATGACGTTCTTGTCCACCGGGTTGAGGAGCGATAGGTTTGATCTGAACGCATTGCATAACAGGTTGAAGGACCCGGTTTGGGCGATCTTCAAAGATGTCAACGAGTGAGCCTGCATCGACGCGGGCCAAGGCCGCGGCAGTAGTTGAACTCATGTTGACTGATACGGCGGGATAAAATTGGGCGGTGGTAAAAAGTGGTGGACGAGAAGAGGTATCAATCGCTGAACTGGCTTTCTTCAACAACTTCAAGTTTGTGGCGATGAGGGGCTCGGTTGCCTGCGACGTGGACGCGTTGGAACGCGTTAAAGAGTTTTTCTTGGCGCGCAGTCATTTCGCTGAGTCAAGCTTCTCCTACACTAGCCATCACGTGATATGGTTCTGATCATGCTACGTCATTGCTCTACTTCCCTCCAGATGGTTCTGGATATTTGCGGAAGAGGGCCTCCGTCTACTGCCGGTTGTCGCGTTTGGCGAATTGCTCTCGGAAACTCTCTGAGTACTTCATTCTCGTGCAACGTAGAAGGTATGGACTCGAGAGCGGGAGAGATAGGAAACACCATCCTCGATTAAATCGCTTAACCCGCAATCTGGGGTTCATGGATATCTCTCCGCAAATTAAGACATTTCCCCCCCTCCTCATGATCGCCAAAATCCATTGAAACAAAATATTGATCGGGCCGACCAATGAATCTTCGGAAAACTAATACCAAACTGGGTTCGAACCAATGCTCATGAAGTCGTCTTTCCCGACACTTCGGCCACAATGGCCTGCCTAAGCGACCATTGAGGCGGATCGATGACCGAGACCATGTTGTAAGCATTTCGAGCTTCCATCGACATGTTATATCCTAGGTGCTAGTGTTATATTAAAATGCAAGGGCTCCTGAGAATGCAATGGAACCATTTTGTTTCTTCCAAACATCTATTTCGTCGCCTCCTCCTAGCATTTCAAGCGAAACCCTTGGAGAAGCCTAAAGATAGCATTATCAGTGCCATATAACAATGGCACCCACCACTATGAAAGCAGTCATACTCAAAGGAAAGCTAAAAGTCGAGTTAGAACAGCGACCAATCCCTCAAATCCAGGTTTCAACCGATGTCATTGTCAAAGTCCGCTACACCGCGTTATGTGGAAGGTAATCACAGCTCTTTGCTGACCATAAACAATATCCGAGAGCTGATCACTTATAGTGAGTTACATGTCTTTCGAGGACATCAAGAATCGCCAACAGAGTTCATAATGGGACATGAATTCACCGGCGAAGTAGTCGAACTCGGATCCGGGGTCACGACTGTTGCTGTTGGCGATCATGTCGTCGCACCCTTCACAATTACCTGTGGAAAATGTTTTTTCTGTCAACATGGGTTCTCATCCCGTTGCTCTCAGAGTAAACTCTTCGGTACAGCAGCGCTGGACGGCGCTCAGGCAGAATACGTCCGAGTTCCATTGGCAGACTCCACACTTGTCAAAGCACCTCCAGTCATTAATGAAAAGAAACTGGTCCTCATGGCCGATATACTACCGACCGGATATTTTGCAGCATCTAATGCGTTCACTGGTCTATCGAAGCAGGTCACTAGTGAAAGCGTGGTTGTCCTTTTCGGACTTGGTCCGGTCGGTCTCTGTGCTTTGGTCAGTGCCTTGGCATATAAACCAAGACACTTGATCGCTGTCGACAGTGTTCAGGACAGATTGGACCTAGCCGGCCGACTAGGAGCTGAGTCTTGGAACTTCCAAACACAAAAGAACGAGCTGTTCGCAAGAGTGAAGGAGTTGACCGAAGGCAGAGGTGCAGACGTTGTCATTGAAGTTGTGGGCCACAGCTCTGCTTTGGAAATGGGCTTCGAGTTATTAAGACCTTGGGGTACGATATCGAGTGTCGGAGTGCATAACGGGCCAATTCCCTGGAGCGGAAATCAGGCTTATGGCAAGAATCTGAGGATCCAAATGGGCAGATGTCCGGTCAGAAGTGAGTTTGCGACCACCCCGGGTTGGTTTGTTAGATCTTGAGCTAACACTATGGAATAGGTATCTTTGAAGACGCCCTGAAACTTTTGGCAGAGAAGCAGGATAGATTTGAGTAAGTCTCGACTTCTGCTACCGCTAGGTGGGTGCTGCTGACGTCGTGTAGCTTCATGACTGGCGATATCAGACCGCTTTCTGAAGCTGTTAAAGCGTGAATCACAATGGATCAAGCTCGAAGGATAGCATTACTGACTGTGAAATAGGTACGATGATTTTAATGAGATGAGAACACAGAAAGTCATCTTCGATGCAACGAAGTAATTTCTTCGCCCGGATGTGCCACTAGCAAATGCGACCGTGACCAACCGATACGTGGATTTTGCACTTGTACAATATTTGATTTCACAGGCTGGGACTTCCTGAAACAATCGAGATGTTATCTCAAAAAGCAGATACCCGGACGTATCTAGCAATAATGAAATTCATTCGCATACTAAGTACCCTCGTACTATTTCGACTTCGCGTTTTAAAAGCTTTGCATATTTCAAGTACCTTGGCTCAAAGTGAGGCTCCTAAGTGCAAAATGGTAAATTAGATCAGCGGCTCTCTTCCAACCCATCATGATCAGCCTGTCTGGGATGGCCAACAGTATGCGACAGCGTAGTACAATACTACAACGTGCAGTGGCAATCCCTCAATACGGCTACCACTGTATTCGCAAAATCTTCGATTTGTGTCTCCCTCTGCCTCTGTCTCTGCGCACGGAGCTCCTCCGTCTCATCCTCATGCTGGAACCCAGATTGGCTGCCAGGCTCATTCCCAGACTCGTCCTCCTCCCAGTGGAGACACTCCCAAACAGCCTGCTTATACCTCGATCCGACCCGTGATGGCAACGACATCTTCACTGTTTCAAGCAGATGATCGTGCGTAGTCCCCTCCATTCCCTGCCTAGACCGCAAGATCGTCGCAACTGTCATCCAACACCCGATTTCCAGCAGCACGACACCCAGTCCATAGATGTCGAATCGCCGCTGGTACCGTCTTCTCCTTTCTCCATTTCCAGTCAGCGATGCCACAAGCTCTGGATGACAATACGCATCGAACCCACTTGAGCTCGCCGGCCCCTCAAGTGTAAGATCGCGCACAGTGTCTGGCCTCGAAAACTCGAAGCCAGCCATGAAGGGCTGTCGGAAGTTCGGAAGTTCGTTTTGTGCATCGGCAAAGAAAAGCACATTAGTGCTGCAGACGGCCTTGTGTAGCCAATTTGCGGTGTGGAAGGCCAGCAACGACTCCGCCAACGTAGCTGCAATGCCGAATCGTTGTGCCAGAGTCGGCCGCTTTCGCTCTGATAGCGTGGTTAGAGCTGTGTGCAGGGTAAGGGGCAGAATTGCACCATTGGCGAAAGGGGGCGGGTGGTATAGGAAACAGAAGTCCAGGCGATTCTGGGGTCCATCAGTGATGGTATAAGCGGCAAGGTCCAGGCAGCGAAGTTTAGGTGGTTTATGCTCAATACGTAGCATGCTGGCAAGGCGATCCGCGCGTGTGGTTGCCGTGGTGCGCTCATTGTCACCCCAGTTGGGTTGGCCAAGTTTCCATTCTTGGAGGACACGGACTGCCACAGTGATTAGCATTTGTGCTTTTCTTTTTCTGCATGAGAATACAACTTACTCGGTCGGACACCTGGGTGGTCGAATTTTCCCATATATCGGAAAGCACCATTCTTCATTGCTGGAGGAAGACTTGGGCTGATATTGTGTGAAGATATCTTCAAACCACTCGGAATGCCGTCACTCCGATTTGCGATGCTCAAAATTTGACGTCTGAACGCTGCTTCTTGGCGAAGAGACTCATGGGTACCTTGTGCTGCGCCTTGGATGACTTCAAGCTCCCGATCCGTCTGAGCGGCAGATAATAGGCGAATGTGCATGTTGGAGATGAGATGTTGCCGCATTCTGCTCTCTAAGACACGGTCCAGACTATCATTCCAATTCTTCAGTTGCGCCAGCAATTCACGGATTTCATCCTTTCCGCCCTGCTTGAAGATCCCCGTCTGGAACCGGATGCGTCTAGTAACTGACACCTCGTTCGCTCCATATTTGCCAAGGAGATGATTGAGCTTTTTCAGAATCTTGGCCACCTCGGTCAAGGCACTCTGTAAAGGCTGGTGAAGGTTGATGGGAGATTCTGATGTCAATACTGGTGGCAAATCTCCGTCGTCGATCTTGAGTCTGTCAATCTCGATTGGGGAGTGTGCGATGCCAACCACATGATGGATCCATAGCGTGAGCCGAACTTGCTCGAAGTTGTAAGCCGCGTAAAGCGATGCGCTTTCCTCCTTGAAGGCCTTAACCCCATCAATGGCGCGGGCGAGTGTAAGACACACCTCAGCAACACTGATCAGGCTGGATGTACCGATGACAAAAGCTGCGAGTTCCATAGCATTCGATATCTTCAAGCAATGTTGGCGTCCAACACGCGACGTAAGTTCTTAATGAAGGGTCCATGCCGGTCCTTTGGAGGCAGCATGGATAGATATGACATGACGATAGCATTGAAAACAGGGCTGAAACGCTCAGGAAAGGGGCCCAGTAGATGAGATCAAGTTAATGTGCAGAACTGCATATGTAACTCACAATTGCGTATGTAGCTGATGGGGTTCCAGACCCTTCCTGCTTCTTATTCGTAGGACCATTTCCATTACCGAGCCGAAAAAGCCTGGGTGGAAAGGGGCCTCGGTTAACAAGCTTCCCGTGCGGCTGAAGCGCGAGCATGAAGCCCAAATGGTTAGGGGGTGCCGAGCCTGGGTAATGCTTCTGAACAAGCAAGCCACAAGCCTTTCAAGCCAGTTGCAGCCTGACTTACAAGCTTGGCATGTGACGGTCATATATCAGGAGCCAATTCTGTAACAAAAGAGGCGTTTTTGTCTAGTTTACGGTTTCTGGCGCTGTGTCATGGTGCCAGTTCCGCAACATGATCTGGCCTTCAACAGCCTGGAACCCCTGCGTTGACTTTGAGAATGTGGCCTTCTCGTTGTCAATTAGTATGGCGAGCTCCCCCAGGCGCCTAAAAGGGACCATCTTAAAGCAATGTTGGTTGCCATTGCGTTCCTGCCATTGTCGCCATACCTGGATTCCAAATTCTGATAGTGTCTAGAAGCAACATTGAGGGATCTTCACAGGCTGGAGTTGTTCGGCTTTACCACATATCTAGACTCTTGCCCGCAATGGGCGATCAGCACACGTCCGTGTATCGCAACTGCTCAGAGCAAAAGAACGCCATTAATCAGAGCTCGCCGCTAAGACATGACTGGACCAGCACCGGCTTGTCAAGAGCATCTGTACTCTTCGGCCTTCCGGACGATCGACCTCAATGGAGTGCCGTTCGCCAACGCTCGCGAGTAAAACATGGGCTTTCCGACATGCCCAGCATCGGCTTGTTTGCGGCGTCTATGCACTACGACCTTCCAGATGGTCGACTGCAATGGGACTCCCGCAGCAAGAGCTCGCAAGGAATAGTCGGACTGTCTGGTATCAAGCCGTCAGACTTTAGCATGCTTCCTCACAGACGCTTAGAAGTCGCGGAATTCAAGAGACTTCATATGAAGTTAGCAGAGCGAACCTCTGAACCGGTAACTAGCATCTCATCATTCATGGCGGCCGTCGCCGTCGTGGATCCCCCCTTTAAGCCACGAACGCTCCACCGCCCGTGGTCCATTTCAGCGGGTCACGGTGCACATGGCGCCGTCGAAGTGCATCGGTATGTACCTGGTCGCAATTTCAACGTCTTCAACGACAGCTCGTCGTTAAAACTCCTAGCGTACGATCCTGACCCAAAACGTACTGGCGACTACTACGCCGTAAAACGGCTGGCTTCCCTGGATCCCTCGCTGGAAAAGAAGGTGAAGCCGGTTAAATCAGAAGTGAAGCGGAATCCATATGCCTTACTCGCCGAGGAGTTACGCATTTTGGCACACCCTGATCTTCGCGGACATCCTAACATTGTGTACCTGTTTGGAGTGTCACACACACCATTCAGAGGTGGTAACAATTCGTCACAACCGAATCTGGTTCTCCAGGAGGGCGACTGTGGTGACTTGTTTTCGTTCTACCGCGATGTCGACATGCGCTTCAACCGCCATACCCTGATTGAGGTTAAGCTAAGCCTATGTTTCGATATTGCGTCTGGTATCGAGGCACTTCACCTCCACGGCGTCGTGCACTGCGATTTAAAGCCCCAAAATATTCTCATCAGAAGACGTAATGGAAGGGACCAGCCTGTGCTGAGATGCAAATCGGAGATCGAGGCCGGACAAGTTGCTTTGCAGTCAATGATGGGCCAGAGCCCCTTCGTTGCCATGTTAGCTGACTTTGGAGGATCTCTCATTATGGCTGATCAGTCAGACAATACTGCCCACATCAAGGTGTATACACCTCACTGGTGTGCACCAGAATGCTACTCCGATAAGCCAATAGCAAAGTCTTTACTACCACGGGTCGACATCTACTCTGCAGGCCTGGTATTTGCTTTTATCTTTCTCGAGGGACGAGACATCTTCACTCAGGTTGTTGATCGCGGGCTGATGCACCAGTACGACACTGTCTTGGATAGGGAAAAGGTACGCTCCAGTAAAACATCCGGTGCTGCCCTGGCGCTTGCCAAGAAGGAAGTACGTGCATTCGAGACAACCGTTTTTGGGATTACGGCGACTGGACAAAGACTTTATATGTCTAGAGATCAAATTTATCCTTCAGTTGTATCTGACATATTCGACTCAATCCTAGAGTTGGCTTTGCAAGCTGACCCTGCTCAGCGTGTTGCCAATGCCACCGATCTACTGAAGCCGTGGCATCAGGCTTTACAAGGAAGCTTCCACGTCAAGAACAACTTGCACTACTCACAACCGGATGTATTTCGTTCATTTGCGTCGGGGGCATTGGGTGGAAAAGACTACTTTTCTCGAAGGAATACATGTGCGAAGTAAGGACATGATTGCTCTTATGATCTCCTGGCCGTGCATGCTGATTGCTTTTAGGCCCGCCGGACATGATTGTACAATAGTACCTCCATTGTTCCCGAACACCACAACGGGGCTGGGCCCAGGAGTGTTCGACGTAAGTCAAACATACCCTCTGCCGCCATTACCTCTCTCACCCTGAAATCAAGCCCTATTATCCTCGCTTCTTTCGTCCCGCGTGTTAATTCTAACGGCATTACACAGATTCGTAAAAGTTTCAAGGTGTTCCGAGCGAGTCTCACCAGCAACCTCAAGAGTGCGATCCTCGATGATATGATGCAGGAGACAAAACTTGTGCAAGACATTCAAAGCCACACACAAGCATCATTGTATGGACATGGGCTCTCCGAATTACAGCTCAGACGAGCCGCTGATTGCGCGTACCAAACCGCAGTAGCCAAGTTGGATGGATTCAGCTGCTCCCGTGATGATCAAGAAGCCCTCAAGTGGATGAAGATTGCCGCCGAATTAGGTAGCCCAGTCGCTAAAGCCGAGTTCCTCCCTTTGTCAACATCGCTAGGCATTGACTGCTCCGACAAGAACGACCCATGTGTCCAGTGGGCGATCGATGCGACCATTAAACAAGGCCACCAGGGTGCAGTGAACGCGCTCTGGAGAATCAGCGAGACAGAGTGCACTGATGTCGTGTCCAAGTATCGCGAAGAGCAGTTGGAACAGCTCCGAGCCAATTTCGAACGCCGAACTAAAGAGAACTGGGAGACGGTGTGCTGGCAAGAGGACTGGAAAACAAAGCTGAGGCAGATCTATAAGTCCTTCTCGGGATTCATGGGCATAGTGAAGGGGTCACTGGACAGGAATTGGACAATTCTCCACTACGTCGTCGGCCTGGTGCCCTCCGGAGGCCTCGCTGGGGCAATCGCAAGGAAGAGGATCGAGTTCGTTGTTCAAGATCTTGGAGCTGACGTTCGCTCGCTCAACGCTGACTCGGCTACTGCATTGGACCTAGCCATGGTGATGGGCAAGATAGGTACTGTGCGATATCTCCTCGGCCGTCATGAGCTTTGCAACCCCCCTTTCATGACTGGCAGCTGTCCGTTGCAGAACGTTGCATGTCTACCTGCCGAATACATCAACGAGATTGTCGAGAGAGTCTGCAAAATGGCACCAGGGTTCTCTATCGATAGTAGGCTCATGCCGCTAGGCCGGACGGCATTGCTCAACGTGTTTCTCACAAAAGAGCCTTTACTCCCCCTGGCCCGAAAGGCTGCCGTCATATCACTTCTACATCATGGCGCAAACCCGCTTGTCACCACGACTGAGTCGGGCACGGCCAGCTCACTGCTTCTTGCTGTGACTGGCGTTGAAGCAATGCTAGTTACACCCATGCTTCACGCTATCAAGAACTTCAGACATACTACTCCCGTGCTAAAACCGGCGACAGCACGGCCAGAGCCAGCCAATGAACTCGCCCGAGCGTTCCTGCGCATGATGCAGACACCGCGCGCTCGGCAAGCCTTGTGACCGGACTCGCTTACTTTTCTCCGACGTTTGGTCTCAAGGCGAGCATCGTCATTGGATACAAAGGTTCGTTGAATGTCATACTCAAAGCAATGTTAGAGCATGGCATGTCTGCTGAACTACCTCACGTCTGCAAGGGTATGTCGTATGACGCCCTCGGCCTGGCGTGCTACTACGGACGCGACGAGGCCATGCAGTGCATTCTCACACACTCCAAAGGCGTAGGTCCTGCCACGGCCAAAACCCTGAGCCCCGGACAGGCTGGCGGCATCGAAGCACTAGGCACGGCCATCGAATGTGGCTTCGCCGAGGCAATTGACTTGCTCCTCCCTTACATAGCGAAACGACCCGACATAACGGCTCACAGCCTTCTCTTGACTGGCGCCGTACACCATCAACCAGCATTGGTGCAGCAGCTCTTCGGTCACTTTGAACGCGCCGGTCGTGGAGCTGAAGTGCTTGAATTCCAGGACCAGTGGGGAGCGACCATTTTAGATCTGTCACTCGAATATGGACACCTTGACCTCGCGCGCTTCCTCTTGGGAAAAGGTGCCAAGTATGATGTGTATCGTCTCAGGGGAGATCACAGTATCGACGCAGGCCCGCAGTCCACCCTGGTGTCGGCACTGCCACGAACAGAGCCCATCAAGCTCCTGATGGAGCTAACGCCAAAGCCCAGCCTCGTTGTGACGAGCACGGGGCTCAATGTTTTCCACGTCCTGGCCGCTGACGATAAGCTTATTGGTAAGTTCCCCATGCATCACTGCATCAAGGAAATTTAGCTCATATTCCAAATCTAGGCACGAGCGGTGGCCACGCCGAGTTCCTGGAAGTACTTGAATACTTCCACGGCCTCGACCCGACCCTCATCCACGCCCGCGGCGGTGTCGAGGGCTTTACACCTTTCCATCTTGTCAGCCTGCACTACGCGGAGAGACTTGGCTCGTTCCTGCGCGCACACGGTGCGGATATCAATGCCGTTTCTGCGAAGGGCCACACACCACTCGATCTGCTGCATTTCCACGATGATGGCGATCGAGGCGTCGACGAGCACCTTACGGTCGACTACCGGTCCGGGAAGGCGCAAACGGGCGTCGCTATCTGTGACTTTGCCATGGCCGGCCCCGTGTACTGGAAACTCGAGGCGAAGCTGTCGACGAAGCTAAAGGAGCTGTACGGGACATGGGGCGCAAAGAGGGCCTCAGAGATTAGGACGCGCCAGTCTGGCCTACCAAAGGATCCTCCTACGATTACTCGTCGAGGTAGGAGTAGCGATGATGATGAGGTTTCGGAGTTGATCACCCGGCTCCTTCTGCGTGCTGACCCCCTCGGTTTACGGCGTGCTGATCCCATGGCGGAATTTTGGAGCGGAGGGATCACCGAGTACTATGAAGGCCCAGATGGGAAAGAGCATGTCAGGCATTTCACAGGATAGATAGATAAGATCATGCCTCAACTCTCCACCATCTATAGCCTACAGCCCTTGAATATAAAATTCACTTTATCTTGAAGAATTACCGAACGACGTCTCGCCGATCCACCAGCGGCAGCATATCAACTCTCATGATACCCCAAGAATCGACTGGCGAAAGTGGCATGAGGCCGTGGAGAATCATATAGCGTAGTGAATCGATCGAGATTGTGGCATGTTCAATACAGCTCACTTCAAAGAAGGGGTCTTGATTTCCCCTCATTCCGTCTGACAAACTGACAGCGTCAAAGCGGCGTGGCTTGATACTGGAAGAGATCAACACTCTTTAACCTCACCTCCTCCTTGCGCTCTCAAATTACCCCATATCATAGATATTTCCAGGAACATATTAACTTGAGCGCTGGGAGCATCACGGTGAAATTGACCAAGCCTGGAAGTCCACCAAGCGACGCCAACATAAGTAGGAGCCCGCACCGCCTCCCAACTGAAGTATTATTCTTATCCCCCATCGACACTGACGACAACATCACCATCATCAATCATCACCCGAAATCCACCATGTCTGAGCCAGAACTAGGCACCAAAGCCCCGGAGTCGGACGCCATGGAACCATCGATAATCTCCAGCACAGACACACCCGCTCAAACCGGACCGACAATGGGCGAGCACTGTGTAACAGATCGGCCAACACCAGCAACCGCCCGTCAACCATCCGGCGCACTGACGAAGTTCGGGGACATCGAAGTCTACGTCTCCAAACCAGGCGATTACCCGAACACGCCGGCCAAACTGCTGTTGCTGCTGACGTCCGGCACAGGTGTGCACTCGCTCAACAACCAGATCCAAGCGGACCTGTTGGCCGCCGAGGGCTTTGTGGTGATCATGCCGGACCAGTTTGGCGGGGATGCGGCGCCGAACACCAAAGCCATTTCCAACGAGGAGCCCGCCAGTCCGAGTATCCTCGAGCAGTTCAAGCTGCGTGCCGCGGAGACGGCCAAGTCGTTTCTGGTGGATATGTGGTTGGCGCGCCAGACGCCCGAGAAGGTGTTGCCCATTCTGCTGAAGGTCATTGACGTCGTCAGGGACGAGTATGCTGATGCCGTGGCGCATGGTGGCGGGATCTACAGTGTGGGCTATTGCTTTGGCGGGAAGTATACTACACTTCTAGCGGGGGAGGGGGTCGACGCCGTCGGTGCTGTTGGGCAGGCCCAGGCACAGGCGCCGCAAGATGAAGAAACTAGGGTGGTTAAGAAGGCTTCGGGACCGTTGATCAAGGCTGGGGCGGTGGCGCATGCGACGTTGGTGACCAGAGAGGACTTGAAGGGTGTTAAGGTGCCGTTGTCATTTGTTTGTGTTGGTAAGTTGGTCGTTCTTCTACGATTCATGGGACGATCAATCCAACGAATTGCTAATGTCGACCCACAGAGAACGACCCTTTGTTTCCAGACGAGATCCTCGAAGAAGGCAAGAAGCAGTTTGCTACGAGCAATCTCGAACATGAGATCAAGACATATCCTGGTGTCCCCCATGGTTCGTCATTCACCTTTCTTTGCGTCTTATCTTGATGCCGCTTTTACTGACCGTCTGCTTAGGTTTCGCGGTATATGGAGACTACGATTCACCCACAATCAAACAAGCACAGCAGACTGCATTCCAGCAGATTTTGAGTTGGATCAAGTCGCATTGAGGTTGTTACTGCTGGGTGAGAGCATTTGCTGCGAGAAAGTCTGACAGCTGTGCGAACTATATCGAAGCAGTCCGATTGGTTGATATCATGATCTGGAATGGAAACCGGTGAAGCAAAGCAGAAGTATGACGCGAGTAAGATTCATGATACCCACAAGGATCCCGACACCGCCCTGTAACCAAAATTTGGAGCCTATGGTCGAATGAAAGATGATGTATGACATGGCAAAGGATCGTATGAGTGAGAAACAAGTGCTATTAAGGATGGCACTGGTCAACGATTATGCTTTGTTCGCTGGATGGTATGCTAGTGGTTCAAGAACACCCAATGTCGTCGGTGAAAGCTGAATTTCTATGAAAGAGAAACAATGATCCCGTTCAAGTTTGGACACCACCTGTAGTATAAGGGGGGACTGTTGCTTCGAACCCCGTAATCCGCTCTAAAACATCAAGACGCATCTCGCACTACGTTGTACTCCTCATGTTGTCTGGTTGGCTATTTTTGCATCATCAATTGTACGAACTCGTTGTCTTTGTGGGTCCCTAGTTAGTACAATTCAGCGTTTGATAGGACAGGGCAAAACTCACAGTCAATACGTCCATCACCATCCTGATCGGCTTCTCTGATCATCTCATCCACTTCATCATCGGTGAGTTTCTCACCAATTGATGTCATGACATGACGCAGTTCAGCAGCTGAAATGAAGCCATTGTTGTCGCGATCAAACACCTTGAAAGCCTCCCGGATCTCCTCTTCTGAATCAGTGTCTTTCATCTTGCGCGCCATCATTGTGAGGAACTCTGTGGAGTCGGTAAGCATGCGTGTCATTTTTTAGCGATGACGTCGTAGCATACCAGGGAAATCGATTGTGCCATTGTTGTCTGCATCAACCTCGTTGATCATATCCTGTAACTCGGATTCTGATGGATTCTGACCAAGTGATCTCATGACGGTTCCCAACTCTTTTGTGGTGATTTGCCCTTGGAAGAAAATTAGTATAGGAGTAGTAGACTGCTGGAGAAGTTCTTCGTTGACATACCATCGCCATCTTTGTCCTAACAACATCTGTCAGCATTGAGCACCGTGGTCCAAGGTAACCGGGTACTTACGAATAGAGAGAACGCCTCCTTGAATTCCGAGACTTGCTCTTCGGTCAGTGAATCAGCCTAGTACGAAACAGAGTCAGTTCGTCTGTGGTCGAATAGTGATTCCAAGGTATTGTTGTGGGGGAGATGGATGTACGAAGCAGGCATACCATAATTGAGGGGCTATTTCAGATGTGCGACTGAGCGCTCGTAAAGATAACGGTGGGATCGAGTAATGCGCAGAGGTGATGGAGGGTAGATGTGGTTCAAGGGATCTAGGATAGACAAGTTTGGAGGAGCTGAGGGAGTGTACAGCAGTAGTAAGTTACAAGGCAATATGGCAACTAGGAGATGGTGGTGGTTCCTTAGTTGCAGGATGATCTGGACTGGTTTTAGTTCCAAAGGGCGACCAACAGCCACTGCAGTCACAAAGTCACCAGCAAACGACCCCAGTAATCTTCGGCTTCGGATTATCTTTGATCCCTCGGAAGTGGATCATCGTTCTTCCAGGCTGCTATTAGTTCTCTCTCTCTGCTCCATCTTATTTGTGCTCGGATTATCTCCCCTCCGGATCAGCCTCCCCCTGCTTCCGCTCTCGCTTTCATTTCCACGCGATGCCTTTCGGAGGACACCTCGTCAACGTCAAGATCCGTTGTCACCGTTCAGATGCACCGCTGCTTGCTTGAACTATGACCACTTTCTGAGCCTCGTATTGCCTGCCCCCTATAACTCTCGAAAACATTTCAACCAGCAGAAAGGACCAGCATGACCGTCACTGCTACCACTCAACTCCATTTCACATGCATCACATGTTCATAAAACTGCCGCCTGGATTGCTTTGAAGATGTGGAGAGACCGGACTAACCTGTAATACATTGTCTCTCCCCTGTACAATCTAATGCTCTGCTCATCTCTGCTTAGTTACATCTCCTATCGCCAGTCCTACTCCCATCATCCCGCGAAGAAACCCAGATATGGGGGTGGTTCCAATGGCTATGCAGAACATGGTTCGGAGGAGACGAGGGGTCTTATGTCTGCGGACCCCTACGACAATGATGGCGATGCCGTGATAGAGATGGACCTATTGCCACCGCGCTGGATCGACGTTCAAGAAGAAGTCGGAGATGTTCTGAAGGATATCACATTGAAGGCTGCGAGACTCGACAAACTCCATGCGAAACACGTCCTACCTGGCTTCGATGATGATTCGGTCAAACAACAAGAGGAGCGCGAAATAGAGCATCTGACAACGGAGATCACTAGAGGCTTCCAAGAATGTCAAAAGGCAATCAAGCGCATTGAAATCATGGTCAGAGATGCTAAGCAATCGGGGAATCTCCAACAAGGCGACGAGACAATGGCCAAGAATATTCAGGTGGCTTTGGCTTCTAGCGTTCAAGAAGTCAGTGCGACATTCAGGAAGAAGCAAAGCAGCTATTTGAACAGTAAGTTATGGCTATGGTTGTGCTACAGAGTCACTCTCTCATCTTCGATAGAACTCCGTTCCCTAGCAGGCTTCGAGTCTCCTATTGGCCGCTCCTCAACTCCAGTACCACAAAACCCCTATACCGATCCCGCATTGATGGAGTCTGATGCCGACAAACGATTCAGTCAGTCTACATTACAACAAACAGTTCAAAAGCGACATAAGAACGACACAGTCATCGCCCAACGAGAACAAGAGATCAATGATATCGCCAGAGGAATTATTGAGCTCGCAGATATCTTTCGTGAGCTACAATCCATGGTCATCGATCAAGGAACTATGTTGGATCGTATCGACTATAACGTTGAGCGAACGACTACCGATGTGAAAGGAGCCGAGAAGGAACTCGTCGTTGCCACGAGCTACCAAAAGCGCACTACGAAACGAAAGATTCTTCTACTTCTCGTTCTGCTGGTTGTTGGAATGTTTGTTTTATTACTCGTCAAACCTAAAAAGGGCTCTCAACCAGCAGCACCGCCTCCCACGCCGGCGCCACCCTGAAGCGTCACATTTAGAGCCCGGTTTACGGTTTTCAAAGCTCAATCCTCAAGACTTCTATTGGAAAGCTCTTGGTGCCTATGAGTTTGACGACTCTCTAGGCCCAATCCTGCGTATCTTCCAATCTAGACTGGCAGCATCAATCTTCCGACTTGGTCCGCCTGTTCCTAAGGCATACGGCATTCAGATGTGATCGAAGATTACGCAGAACCTACCTCAAGGCTGGACTATGAATTCTCAAGGACGAAGGCATGTTGACAGTATAGATCCAACATTTGAGACAATTCGCCTCAATTTGACGCTTGAAATCCAAGCTCCACTCCAGACCTTCACATACTCGCACTCCTGAACAACTCAGTAGTAGCTCTCAGCGACAGATCCCGGTCCGATCATGAATGAGTTCCACTGAGTAACCAAGCTACTGATTCATGAGGTGTACCTGGCCCAGCGACACACTGTTGGCACTTACAGAGAGGAGAAGATTCCAGCTAACCCTAACTGAAACCAAGAGGTGTTAGAATATGCATTATACCTGACGAACCTGATCACTTCGCGGGAAGCAGGTGAAGAGGCCATGTCCGTGGTGCTACGGGAGTAGAAATTGAGAAGCGAATGAAACCTGCACAGAAGCAGAGGGAGATAATTGCAAGTATAAAGTGTGACGGACAATCCGAGATTAATTCCGGGGAAGGATACGGAAATTTTGTCATCATAAGTCGTAATATCAAACACTATATCTATTATATCCAAGCAGGCATGGACCCATTATTCCTCTGCGAAGCATGTCTCAAAATGCTCGATTCATCACCACCGCCACCACCACCATGATTCAGGCTTGTCGCGGCGGGGATCGACTCCTTACTCCCGGCATAACTCCTCTCATGACCGTAGACATGGTGAAGATCCGCCACAGGATTATGGCGAGCAGCATCGGCTCTCGAAGTCAGGCCACTTCCACTAGCGTTAGCCGAAAAGTCCGTCTCGGATCTTCCCAGACTCTTGCCCAACTGCGTCGTGAAATCCAGTTCCTTCGCATAGCCATAGACGCCGGGATCCCTCCGCGCGACCCTCCAGCCATCGACCGCAATGATCAGCACCAACATACTGTACGCCGCACTACAGGCGACGAGGAACGCCAGTGGGCCCACGGGAACCTTTGCGACGAGGGCATCACGGCGCGTCTGCTGCGCGAGACTGTCGCTCAGCACGGAATAGCCGCCGATGACGCTCAGCACGCGGTTCCCGAACAGGTTGGCCCACGTGTCGGCCATGGCGGCGCTGTCGTCCTGCAGCGCCATCTGCAGGATGTCGTTGGTCCAGTCGTTGCCCGGCGAGTTGGTGTAGTACTGCAGCTGGCCGACGTACATGTCGAGGAGGGAGCCGTTGACGGCGGTGGAGATGGTGCTGCACACCGTGTTCTCTGCCCAGATGTACTCGACTTCCACGGCCGAGACCGTGCAGCCGAACATGAAGTCCATGTAGTACGGGGTGGCGCCGGTGGAGAACAGACCTGTGTCGTTGAGGAGGTCGACGTCCACGCGTGTGGATGTCAGGTCGAAGCGGCCGGCGACGCCGACGTGCATGGTGGAGAGGAGGGAGGCGTCGCTGGGGCAGGCGCTGCTGGACGACGTGCCGAATGCCATAGCCCAGCCTTCGGAGCTTGTATTGTAGTTGACGGGGTTGTACGGGGTGGATAAGGCACTGTCTTCGAACATTCCCAGTTGGAGGTATGCGCTTGGTTTGAGGTTCAAGGGTGGTGTGTCGGGGTCGGCGATGGTGAAGGATGAGTTTTCGGGTTTGACGGGGGCTTTGTTGATGATTCCACGGAACGAGTCTGAACAGTTGAATTGGGTGTAGGCGTCGGTGGTCAAGATTGGATTGCATGATTTGGTGATTGGTTGGCACTGTGTTGATACGCCGATGGTTTTGGCTCGGTACTCTGTCGCGTTGGGGAGCCGGGCTGCGCTTGGTAGGAGGATGGACAGCCCTGACCCGACGCTCTGAATTTGCGAGGTTTGCGAGATGTTGGTTCGTACTTGGTAGACAGAGTTGGTTAGTTGCTGGAATTCCGTCGTTGAGCCGAAGGCGTCCCACGTGCATGGGAGACATAAGTTCTGGGACCGATCAAAATTCTCGCATTTGTCAATCAAGCGATGACCAAGAGGCGTGGTTGTCGATGAAGGTCTGACTTCCAGGATACTGACAGCATCCGTATATGTATGAAAGATTGTGTCTGCAATGAACATGCTGATAACCAGTAAAATGCTCAGTGAGAAAATCGATGCCGAGGAGTGAATTTGTCGGGTAATGGTTTGTCTCTTTTGATTTGATCGTCCACCAAAGAACCAGGGCCGGCAGTCCCGTAAATAGCTGACCAGTCCTCCCATTGATGCAGCAAGGAGGCTAATCAGAAGACTGAGCTGTGGGGTATCAGAGACGGAGGATTCACTGTTCCCCATCGTTCTCGATTGTCGTCGAATCTTACCAACAACGTGAACTTTCCAAACTCCCATGATGAACGACGTCAAGAAGGGAGCCAAAGTGGAAGCAATGGAAGAGATGATGGCTAGTCTCGTAGCTGAGATGGTGACAAGAATGTATCCCGGAAACTGCTGTGTTATCGATCGATATTGGGCAAAGATGTCGTCCTGTGGTTGGAATCTGTAGACAAAGATCAAGCCGAGTAACACAGCTGGACAAGCGATATTGGGGATCAGCACAAGAAGAAAGGGAAGCCATATCGAGGAGGCTGAAGTCGGTCTGCTTGTGACACCTCCATATTGACCCGGTGGTGGTTGTCTAGAGAGACGAGCTATGGTTCTCTCATCCACAATGATCTCTGGAGAATGATAACTGGTATCAATATCATTTTGTTCGAATTTTGTTGAAAAATTGAACTGTACATCTTCGCCGTGGAGAGTTGATTCAGAATCTTCATGTTGGTGTTGTGGTCGATAACCTGCTGGCCGCGAGATCTTGTTGACTAAAGTGCTAGCAGTACTTGGTCTTGAAAGGATATTCGGGTATGAATAGTCGGCCATTTTGACGAACTCGAATCCCACTCTCTGTGATCGACATGAACAGGAGCTGGAACGGGCATGATTTCACGAGGGAGGCTCTTCGGCACAGAGCGTGTATTCGTATAAGAACCTGTGCAAGGTAGCATCACGGCTGCCCACATGCCGCAGCCCCATGGTGTACTCGGTACAGCAACTCCTGTAGTAGCTGCTACACTATAGAGTGTCTAGCGATATTAGTTAAGTAGCGGCGTTGGCGAGATTTTGATACTAGCCACAGATGTTGAAATGGAACCATGTTCAATTGAGCTAGTCAAATGGATGGCGAGCAGTAAAATCCATCAGCTCAGCAAGTCGGCGTCGTCTTCGCCGTGGAGTGCAGTTGCCCTATTCAGGGTCTCGAGTGGTCTGCAACCCGTTATTGGGTCGATAGGCGAACGAGCTGAAGCCCGAGATGACACTGCTTCGCCCCTTCTAAAGCCCGTTAACCGTTCATCACCTGGTTGGCTTAGTTAAGTCGTCGGGGTGTCCATACCCAACCACTTAACTACCTAGGTAGTCTCCAGGCGATCCAGTTAGGGTGAGGGGGAGCCTGCTAGTTAAGTTTAATCCCTAATGACCCGTACAGGTACTCGTAAGCTAGCCTGCAGCTTCGGTGCCTTCCATGGATCCAGGGTAAAAGCCACATCAACAAATCGCCTTCTCCGTCACCGACTCTTCCATTTTTATCTTCCCATCGTCCATACAATTTTCTCTCTGGTTGTTTCAAAGCTTCGACACTTTTGCAAAAGTTCCACCGCCAGTTCTTCATTACCAGGAGCCACTTTCTTCCAATCAAGGGATCAAGCCTTATTGTCGGAGTGAGAAAGACGAACCCAACACTAGTCACTCGTACTCGTGCTTCCCAGCTCCATCATACCACTTTGGCCCTTGACCCTGTCCAGTCTTTGACACTAAACAGAGACCTTCATGTGGTAGTGGCTTAGCAACAGCAAAAGGTATGAGCTTTTGGTAAGCCCCCTCCTATCTCGATAGCTTGACCTTTGAAACCCTGCAACTGGTCTGCATGGCTTTTTTGAGACCACTACACTCCTTCGACTACGACCGCTTAGATGGCTAGCTTGCAGTTTGTTCAAGAACTGCATGAACCTCGTCTTGTGGACATCCGTCGTGGATGTATAAGAAACATGTCCCGCTCGCCAAATCGCCAGGTAGGGGCTTCCAATCACGCATTCTGATTTTGCTGTTCATCATGGTGTCCAAAACGCTTCTTTTCTCCTGTATTGCTAGCCTCGTTCATTTGGTGATTTCAGACGCCAGCCCACCACAAGCTGCCACTACAGTTGATGGACTTCCGGATTTCGGGACCAATCCTAGCTTGGGCGATATCCAAGCCCTCTTATCCCGACATATCACTGATCTATCAGATCTACTACATAACTTCAGTAGCACTGTGAATATTCCCGTTCGCACTGAGCATCCAATTCTACAGGCTCCTATCAGAGAAGATTCGTCTACTGCTGCAGCACCCTGTGACTGTCGTCCCCCCATCTCACCGGACTGTCAGATTCTCTGCGGTACTCATGGTGGAGACGAACCCAAGGAACCATCAGATCATATACCCGGTACTATATTCACAGACTCGAACCATGGAGCAACAGACCCGCTGCCTCTCGCTGGATTACTTCCCCTCCGGCTCTCTTGCACATGTACTCCACCAATTGCAGTGAGCTGCAAGATCCTATGCGCCAACCACGGCGGGACAGTCTGGCAACCACCCAAGGACGTCAAAATGGCCCCCTTCTCCTCCTCAGAGTCGACCCAGCCTCGACTCCGACTCCAGGAGGACCACATCTCAAACCCAGCAAGCGACTCTGCCAACCCGCTATGTGACTGCAACCAGCCAACGACATCAACCTTGTGTGTCAATCTCTGCGCCAATCATGGGGGTGACAGTTTTCAACCACCAGACAATGCACCGCTAGATACCATTCCCCACCCACTCCCAACGCCAGGACAGGGTCACGATGGACAGATTCCACCACCAGCACCCCCCTCGCAACCTGAGCTGGAAAGTTGCAACTGCAACAACCCCACGGCGGGCGCATGCCAGATCCTGTGCGCCAACCACGGCGGACAAGCCAACGGAAGCGACGACACCAACCTGAAGGCCAAGCTTCAAAACGCCAGCATGCCATGGCCAGCCACCGATCCCGTTGCTGAAGTCGCCACCATAGCCTCATTGCATGAATCCGACACATCGCTTCCCAAAGTGCTGACACTGAGCGTGCAAACCTCGCCTGACTCCAGCACGCCTATCAACGCCGACATCGACCTCTCATCCTACGCGAGCTTCGCGACACACTCGGCCATCACAGCGCTCGGACTCGGTGGTGAAATACATACACTTGGGTACCAATCTCAGGCTCAATCCGTGTCTGGCAGCAACCAACTACAAACAGTCATAGGCACCATCACGCTCCAACTGCCACAATACAACCTGCACGAGGCATTCTACGTCGTTGAGCCCGAGCTCGCACCTGTGACCACGTCTCCGGGTGATGGTGATGGTGGTGAGAAGCCTGCAGACTTCACCGTCGGCGTCGATTTCCTGCTGCAGATTGGCGGGTTGGCCGTGGGGAGCCACTTGTTCGCTTGAGGTGAAGTGAGGATTGAGGTGCAGCAAACTCAGCATCACTCAGCTTGCTCGACCCACAAGCGCGATCTACTCCGTTCTAGTTCACACTACTTTTCGTTGCCGGTGCAGTGCATACTATTCTGTTCTATTCGCTTTCGATGTAATCCACTCACTACCAGCTAATATTGATTTGGGGAATCAGGCCCTGCTCGGTCGACGCAACACATGCTTCACCGGCTCTCTGGGCAGGCTCAGAGCGGGACCGGGGCGACACGAAGCGTATAAGAGAAGACAGCATAGGACAGCATAGGACAGGACAATGCCACGCGACACCGCGCCATGGTATAATAATATCAGAAAGGAGGCGGCGAGACTCCCAGAGGAGCGCGTCGAGTCAGCCTTCTGTTGGGAAAAAGCCTCGATCTGGACGAGAGAAAGAGAGAGGAGGAGGAGAAACGATCCATCCTTCCCTCAATCACGACGTAGTCCCCCGTCAGGCAGTGATTGCTGGAGATCGTCGAGGGCCCATTTGGACGCCCAGAGCATGGGTTCGAGAAGCCCTATCTATTCACTAGACTATATGTCAGTGCCGATTGTCGTCGTAGAGATATTTATTCACACACACAAATATAAATATAATACTTTGTAACTCAAAAAATCTGCAATCTGGCCTTCCTGATCTGAATATGACTTAGAGCGTGGAGAGTTCGCCGATGATATTTGCTGGATTGGATTTGCTGTTTTAGTTAGATATCGTATCCGGATCCAGATCACATCCCGGACGCGTGTAGGTGGTGTCTCTGAGGTTTGATAGCGACGGAAAGGCAGAGCAGAGCAGCACAGCCACAGCCACAGCCACAGCCACAGCACAACGCAGGCTACAGAAAACGGAAAAGGACGACGAGTGCGAAGGTCGCATTCATGTCTTTGTGCTAGAATCACATAGCAATGCTGTTCATTCAATTGTTCTGCTTCGTGCCACTCGTGAGGGTATGGAACGATATGGTACACAGCTAGCTAGGTATGCATCCAACGAAACTGCAACTGAGGTGCTGCAGGACATACAAAGTAACAAATAAAAAAGGACACGATTCATCGCTTGCTCGCTCCATCCTTCGCAATGCTTATATTCCGTTCCCGACCCCAGTCCAGTCATTCAATCAGCTCTTATAAGATACTTGCGCGATAACAGAGTAATCGGATCAAGACACCGTGCCAGCCATGAACAGCGGCCGTACACCTCCAACATCTCGTGGGTCTGAACTCGCACCAGCGCCTTTACTCGTGACGCTTATCTTCGTGTCCTGAACACCAGGATTACCACCACCGTCGATCCTCAGATTGCGTAGCGTCATGGCCAACTCAGCAGAAGCGCTGTTGCGCGCAGAAGAACTTTCATCCTGTCGCGCCCCGGTGAGTTTGTTGGATCCAACTCCAGGTCTGCATGGCACGGGTAACTCGACAGTACTCACACCAAGACGTGTTCTGATGTCTTCGAAAAGAACTTCCATTGGTGCGATGTATGCGGTCTTGCTCTTGTCGCCCCAGGCTAGGACATGACCACATAATCCGCCAGACACAGGTTCATAGACCCAGGCGCCGCTGTCACCGGGTATGCCAAACCCACCTTCCACGCACCAACTCGTACTGAAAGATTGTCGACCATGGAGTTTGACAAGTGCCATGGCCTGGGAGATGCGACCTTTCTTGAAGCCCGATGAGCGACCCCGGCAGTGAACATGTAGGCCAGAGAGCCTTGCAAGTGGGGTTACTGAAGTGAGGACTGGTAGATTTTCGGATTCACTTTGTCTTGAAGAGTCTCGAGTTGTTGATTGACCTCGCTGAGGTGTTGTACCAGAAGGAGTGGTCTGTTCACGAATGGTGTTCTCCACTTTCAATCTGTCTCCATGTACACGAATCAAAGCCCAATCTACTTCATGTTTCATTTCACCTCTCTTGACACGGCGAATCCCACTAGTGGCGAAGACGTAACCGAAGGAATGGCTAGCCAGATGGTCATCATCTCTGTCTTCTTCGCTGGGAAAGAAATCATCATCCACATCGTCAATAGCGGGCTGGGTCACACAGAAGTCGTCATCAGTATATGGTGCAATGCCAACTTTGTCGCCAATTGATGCAGCATCATCAACATCATCGGATGATGAGGAAGATCCATCGTCATCGGAGTCATCATCGTCAAGTTCAGGTGGTGAATCTTCTAGGAACCAGAATTCATTTCCATCAGCATCCATGATGGCATAATCGGGACGGATCGTACTGGTGTCACTATCATCATCACTGCCTTCGTATTCGTCGTCAGAAATTTCAAAATCGGAAAACCTGGAGAGATCTTCCTCAGATTGCATAAAACGTACATCGGCTGATGAATCAAACTGACCAGGTATGGTTCGTGCAGGAGCTGCTGCCCTTTTGGGATGGTCGTGAGTCAAATCTTGGTTGTCCTCATCTTCCTCATCATCACTAGGGAGGTCAAGCATGTGGTGAACAGTCAGTCCGAAAGGATCGCCATCGACAAGGATGGTGCCGCCGAATGAAACTGGTGGAAGATGTTCGTGGTCTTTGAATGCACCAATACTGGCTCCATTCGATGGGTGAACCTGGTATTTTTGTTCTCTAGGTTTCCGAGCAATAGCGCGGCGATTTTGAGACTTGGAATTGTACCCAGATCTTCTAGGTCGTCTCCTTTGTCCACTCCTTCTCACCTCACCATTGAGTATGACGACGCCCCAACCTTTCTTTGGTCGGAAACGTTTTCGCAGGACGTCGCGGACTTTATTGATCTGTGCGCATTGTACACAGATGGTGGTTTTGGCGCTCTCTGGACTACTACCGAACATCATGAGACTCAGGCTGCATGATTCAGGAGTATCTTTCAAAGCTGTGTTCAACATCTTGCCAAGCTTGGGCATGAGAACAGTATTCCATTGATCAAGATCCTCTTGTGGAATATCCACATCAGGCCACTTCTTCAGTGGTACTTGTGGTGTTGTGACCTTCTGTTGGATTGCATCTGCCTTGCGTTTTGAGTTTGCCCGTTTGGGAAGTTCGGGTCTATCTTCAACCCTGTCCGAGACCAAGGATGACTTTTTCTCCTCGGCGGCAGCCAATTCTTCCGCCTTGCACATTTGCTCAATGATAAGGAGTTCAAAGACTTCAATGTCAGAGACAGGTGGTGGTCCATCTTCGTCAAGCACACAGCATTGTTGAAGGTCTTTGGCTATCTGTAGGAGGAAAGCTCCAGCATCTTCATAGTTGTTGCGGTATTGCAGTTCTGATGGGGCTTGTAGACACTTTTGTACCACTCGCATGTACTTGCTCCCACACTTTGGCGACAACTTTTGCGAATAAATGCGTTGAACACGTTCCATAAAGATGCCACGATTGTATTTTGGTTTCCACAATTTGGCGAGAGGAATCCAAAGACCAATCTCTAGTAACAATAAGCCTAGACTGTAGATATCATAGGCTGGGACGGTCTCTGCTGCATGAATGTCATGATCTGGATGTCGGTATATGGAAGCCGCGAAAGGTTCTTCCTCTTGTAGCCTTGAGACGAAATCTTGGCAAGACTGGAGTAGATATGGGGATCGCATTTCCTTGTGAGGATTCGATCGATGCATTTGATCGTTGGAGCCGATCAAGATAATGTTGCTGCTATTGATATATTGATGGGTTTCTCCTTGGGAGAAATAACCCATGACGGAGAGGGCCAAGTTATAGGCTAGTCGAAAACGATCTTCAAGTGCGGGTTGTCCAGAATCTTGTGCATTGGGATTTGAAATGAGAGATGTAAGAGTTCGTTGGTGTTGAAGGGTCTTGGAGTCATGTCCCTCTGGTAAGCCATATACCATCCCACAGCGTGGCCCGTTTGGATCGACGGTGAAACCGAGTAATCGCAGGTGACCGCACCATGACAAGTTTCTGTTTTTGCATAGATTTCCTCCCAGTTCATGAAGTTCAAAGACATCGTCCGCACTTCCAACAACATATGGAGGACAGTCGGCGGTGAGATAATCGACAATGACGGGTTGGTTAGCGGTGTGATAATAAGCGATAGAACGGTCTCGTGGAGTGGTTGAACCTTCCTTGGAATCGTAAGGAGGAGGGTCAGCTGTGTCGGAGAAGTAGGCATTGAATTCGAGGGTTGAGAAGTCGATATGTAGTGGATGATCAAACAGGTGGGCATAATCGGTGCCATCAGAAGGTTGGTGAGAATGCTTGATGCGCTTAGCGTCGCCCTTCTCTTCATCACCCTTCATCCTTGACTCGGATAGACTGTAGAGAACATCGATGCAGTTGGTCAGCTGGTCGAGTAGAGCCCTTCCAGTTTGGACCTCGTGACTGGTCCAGTCCTTACGTTGAGCCACGGGACTAGAACCAGGACCCCTCATGGATTTTCCGGATTGCTTCATTTCATATCGTTCCGGGTGCTCAAGTCTGCCACTTTCTTCCAGGAGTCGTTTGATCTCGGACATGACACTGGCGACGACTTCTCCCAAGCCGGCCTGGTCGATTTTCTTGTCGATATCCACATCGATTTGTTGGCCAGGGGTTTGAGGCCCTACATCGGTCCAGTGCATACCCCATGCTAATAAACGATCCTGTTGGATCTGAAAGTCGCGTCTCAAGTCTCTCACATCAGGTGGATCAGTGGTGTTGGTTGCAACCTTTGCACTTTCATAGGATTGCTTTGTATCGGAGTACAGTTTGGACAGGCGCTGTAGATAGGTCCCCCGTCTTTGAAACATGTTGACGGTGGTGGCACTCGTCCCGTCGCTGGGCACTGGTTGTGAGAAGTCTAGACGGTGTGACCAAGTTGGTGAATCATGACGCTATGTCCATCTCCATCAGGCTGAGAATGAGTGTTGGTGAGGTGAAGTGGACGTTGTATGTTGTAGACCGTGATGTTCGAGTTTGGGGCTGAAGGGTGAGCGCGGGGTCCCAGGTGGTATATCGTGCGAATTGGAAATCCTGCTGCCTGCAGTGGCCGTCGCTGGACATCCGAGCGACTGCCGCTTCGCCACCGGGCCGATCGACCGGATTTGGCCTCACTAATGAACAACTGGAGAAGTGCAGGGAAATGCAGGCAGGTGCAGTCCATGCACGATTATTAGGCGCCACCCGATCCCATCTCTTTAACTGGCAGCTGGCCCTCAGCCCTGCATTTCTGACCCAGCCAATTTGCAATGGGCTCTTGGTGGATTTAAACAATGGCGGTTGCCTTGAATCAATCACTTTCCACCGTCGAGTTTCGGATTTGATGCGATTTCGCAACAGATCGACTCTTTACCATGACCATGGATTTGTAGCTACCTAAATAGGTTCCAGCGAGATGGTACTCAACCGCCACAACATCAAATCGCCACGCTCTCGATCTCAAACACAGCCACCTTGCTCAGCGTGTTTCACCTACTTCGTACACGTGATTACTCTAAAGGTAGAGAACCGGAATAGTACCATGCAAGCAATCTTTCAGTTCTATCAGTATTGATAGTTGTACACGTGTCTTGCCGTGGGACGCTTCTCTTGATCGCGTTGCAGTGGTGACGTGAAGATCCATCATGGCCCTCCCCTTAGCTTACGCGGCGTCCAAGTCTACAAATGAAAAACAATGGGAAAAGAAGCAACGTGTCTGCAATGACTGTTTTTATTATTGATCGTATTCAATCCGATGAATGCCCGACTCTGCGTCAAGATAGCCGAGCTTGATATTCTTTGTCAGACCCGAGTTCAAGTTGGTATCTTCAAGTCGCAAAAACCCATCATTTGATTGAACCGATAAATTCCTCAACTGCAAAGTCTGGTGTGATACAAAAAACCCATTGCGCCGTTCATCAACCATGAAGCTCCATAACCATAGCCATTGTAGTGACAACTCTAAAAGGCATAACAAGTTGGGAGGCCAAATCTAACCACCGAAACCATAGAGGGTTCTTCCTTGTCGCTTAAGAGCGTAGACGACGTCTGATGAGCTGTCAGCATCTTGTCTCACGTCCACAGGGGTCCAGTGTTGTGACATACCAAGGGAAGTGACAGTCTTTCTCTTTGCGTGTTCGGTGTAGGTGACAGCATCACGAATGACAGACTCGAGGAAGGACTTGAGGACACCACGGGTCTCTTCGTAGATCATGGCCGAGATACGCTTGACACCACCACGGCGAGCGAGACGTCGAATGGCAGGCTTGGTGATACCTTGGATATTGTCTCGAAGAATCTTGCGATGACGCTTGGCACCTCCCTTTCCGAGGCCCTTGCCACCTTTTCCACCTGTTGAGAGTCAGAGTCAGTATAGGTTCATGTCAAGTTTAAGTGACCAAGTGAGGTCCAGGGTGTGGGTGCAGGTGCAGGAGTAAAGGTGGGGGCCGAATCAAGTGACATCAACGAGGTGCATCAATCGGCACCGACGGGGAGCTTGACAGAACGCGTCAAATTGATGATGAAGAATGTTACTTACGTCCAGTCATGTTGGTAGAGCTTGATGAAAGATTAAAAGTGGATGATGGAAGAGAGAATTGATGATTGATGGATAGAAGTGTTGGTGAAAGAGGATTGGTGGCGAGGTTACAATAGGTGGGAAGAAGAGAGAGAGGAAAAGGGAGAAAGCGGGAAGGAGGGATAGAGTGATATAAGGGAAAGAGACAGACACAGGAACAGGCAGGGACAGGCAGGGTCACGGTTGACAAGGCAGTCGTGACAACAAGCAGAGATCAGGCTTGGCGGGGGATGAATGATCCTACGGCAAAGTTCCAGCAGAAAAGACAGCTGGGAAATCACAAAACAAAGTGCTGGAAATCAGACGGCAGTAAGGGAGTCCTGTTGTGGCGATGTGATTGGTGGTGAAGATTTCTCATTGACAGTCCTGGCAGGTTGATCACGTCACGTGTCACACCTTACCTAATCCTCCGGGTTTCAATATCACTCACTGATCGTTGCCACAAAAAATATACACATGAGTCATGATTCACTACAACGTCTTTTTCTTACCAACTCTAGAACCCCGTGTATCTCTGCTTCTGCTTGTATTTGGTGTAACCCACATAGCCACCACCAACCAACCCTGCAAAGAACAACAATTTGAACAAGAACCATCCCCAACCGCCGCCCTTCTTCTTCGGGGGTCTTCCTCGTCCACTCGCTCTTGCGGCTGCTGCGGCCGCCCGACCTGAATTAGCCGCAACCGGATTGTACAGATTGCGCGTCTCCACACTGATAATGTCGAAGTTGTCGGTCAATTCCCCCGTGTGTGCACTGAACCCCAGATATGCTGTGTTGGGCATCCTCAATGGCTGCTCGTCAGTGGATTCCACCGTGAAACATTCGATCCATGTGTCGGCCGTCTTGTATTGTAGTTGTAGTGAGAGAGATTTGTCTTGGAAGTATGTCAACTTTCCTTTGGATGGTACAGTCGACGATCGGAGTCCTCGTGCCTGGTTTCAATCAGTTCTCATTCCACATGGTCCTGTTCACTGGATGATCTCTTACCGAACATCCTCCTAACTCATTTGCTTTCCCATCATTGCCGGAATCATATGTCGTCTTGCCATCTCCAAGCATTGCCATGACATAGGGAAATACCACTCCCGGTCGATTGTTCTTGTACGTATCAAAGAAGATACCCAGTCCCTCGAACTGGTCCGCATGGCCAAACACCGGTCCTGGCTGTCCCCTCTCTTTTGTGATCCACAAGGCAAAGCCATCACCATGTAAGTGGCCTTTGCCTGCTATCGAGAACTCAAATTCGATTTCCCAATTCGTAGCAGTAATGGGTATGCGGGAGAAGATCCAGCCAGACTGGGAGGGAATGTCTGACACTAATCGTATGTACTGGTCGGCGCGGATTATGGTGTCTCCTCCAAAGTCAAACCATCGACTGGACATATCAGAATCTAGATATGGGGGCGCGAGACTGTGGGTGCGTAACTAGCAGCGACAGAGTTAGCACGGTTGCTCGATCCTGCGTAAGATGTGGAACAAGGCATTGAACTGACGGGAATGCTTTTCATTTCGGGGTCGGCCTCGACAGCAGCCCTGGCGCCAACAGCGCATGTTGCCAGTAGGCATAGTGAAGCCCATGATTTGGAGAACCACATGTTTGTGGAGTGAGGACCGTCGGTCACCCAACAACTTGAACGCTGGGAGTGAGAGCAGAACAAGAGGAAACAAGTCAAGATGACAGTTCTGTAGAGTACCACATGACACACGAGCCAGTCGAGGAATGGGTGTTGGGTGGTGTCGATGGCAAGTATAGGAGTCTGCTCACCTCCTGAGAATGATCAGGAGCATACACAATATAGAATCGGTAACTTTTTCTCACCTTTTACCAATGGGACAATATGGAGTAGGTGGCCAGTTTCAACAGACGCAGTTGATGCGGCTAGTGGGTGAACCGTCGCCTTCAGTGGAACAGCCGCAGGTCAAGTGCGGGGACCACGGTGAGCCTTCTAGGCACCATCAGCCCCTGTACGCCCCTGGAAACTCAAGCCTGATGGGTACCAGTGCATCTATTCGCTATGATCTCGTGCCTAAGATCCTCACCTGGCAGACTCCAACTTAAGCAGCTTCCAGTAGCTTCGCTAAATTAACTACGAGTAATTAGGCTGCGGCAGAGTTGCCCCAGTCGGCCCCTTCCGTCCTACGTCCTGCGTACCGAGCACTCCCTTCACATCAAGACTTTTTAGCTGCTTGAAGTACGTTCGATTTCCATCCAGAGTCAATCAATCAAAGTGCGCTCTATCAACACCCCAATCCTCAATCTCTGCATCGACAACTCCATCCAAATCTCCAACCCTCATTTCAAAATGGCATTCGGCGGCTTCTTCGGCGGAGGCGGATCCAACGACTCGTCCTCATCCTCATCAGACAACTCATCCTCCACTCCATCATCCAGCATCTCAACCTCATCACCCTTCTCCAGTGGCCCCTCAGCACAACCGCCCTCGGAGATCCGTCAGAAAATCCAATCCGCACTAGCTCTTCAAGCGAGCGTCGAGAACGCAAAGTTTCTGATCCAAAAAGTCAATGAGAACTGCTTCGAACACTGCATACCGGCACCGGGCTCAAATCTCAGCGCAAAGGAATCAAGCTGCCTGAGCTCGTGTATGGAGAAATACATCGAGGCCTGGAATCTGACAAGTCGCACTTACAATGCCCGTCTGCATAGGGATTCGTTGGCGCAGGGTGGGCCAGGCCTTGCTGGACAGTCCAAGGAGCTGTTCTAAATGATGTTGCGATGAGATCGCTCCGAGGCCGATTGATGAAGGGTGCCAATTGAATTGAAGTCATGGGAAAGGCGTGTACGACTACAGCCTGAACTCTCAATGCCGTGGAGCCAGCACCTATGCCGGCGACATTGATACACGAAGACAAAGGCACGCTGTATCAGCTTCCATCCAACAATCTACCTTTCCAGGGAACATCGCCCATCGCCCACCCGCTGCTCACATCCAATCTCGGACTTTCGTCCTCCAAAGTCAAGAACAGTGTGAAGCGACCAGATAGATTCTCGACCAACGGCCAGCGAGCCCATTGTACTATAGGGGAAAAATCTCCCCGGGATATCAAATGTACTCCCTGGTGTAATACAGTAAAGACGCCGAAAAAGTACCCAATGGGGGTACCCCTCTCCCTACCTACATGTATATGCGTATCTGTGTATAAACAGCAACCACCTCTGAAAATCAAAATTGAAGAAAGAACATATTATTCACTCATTATTATTGATCGTGCAAATCTGCCGCCTCGATGTCAAGTCGCTCGTCAATCCGATCCAAACCAAAGCAAAGTCGAAGCAGTTGAGGAGTATGAGCTCGAATCTTGACGTCCCTCGATACTGGTACAGCAGGTAACGATGGATGGATAGGAATCATCGTGATCGCTGCATGTCTATGTACCTCCCGTGAGTATCTCCTATTGTTCATGGAGATATCTAGGTGTTGACCGTCTCGAATCCGAATGTAATAATCTACTTTCCGTACCCCATCAACAGTGTAAGGAACTTCAAGCCCAACGCCAACCGAGAAAGATCTTGGAAGAATACGTTCTTTTCGGTATTAATAGCACTAGGTAGAGGGAGCAGGAGGCCCATATCTTGAACAGTAGATAGATGATCCCGATCCAATTCGAGTCGGGCAATTTTTGATGGCGAAGCTGTCTGCTTATCCAATCCCCCAGCTTCATTTCATGTTGCCGGACAGCAACGCTCCTAAGAGGTATGCCTGACTCCGTTCATTGCGTCCGATCCCAAGCCGTCCCATCGTGTACCTCTGACACCTGAAGTCCCTCCTAGTCCTGACATGGTTTGCTTGAGCATCTCGTCACATCCTCACCACCAAGGGCGATACTGATTTTTTCCTCTTTGGTGTCTGTGTACAACCCAAATCTCATAACCAAATGTGGTATCGCGGCCGATTCATCGAGAGCACAGGTCAATGATATGCTCGTAAATAACCAGAGAAATTGCACCCCATTTCATCATCAATCCGTCAAACGTTCCAGTGCTGCCAACAACCATCATCAACTCCCGATTCAAAACACTTACATGATGATTTTCTCGCTTCTCGGCTGTCATCACTCACAAATACTTCTTGTCGCCTCTTCAGAAATCGGTAAAGTAGTGACCATACCTAAATTCGTGTATCAGTTGTCATGCTTTTCCAATCAAAGGACAAGTGAAACCTACGGGTCATCTGATTTCTTGCCATACTCTTCTGTCTCTTCAGGATATTTGTCGAATTGACTTGCGTCACCAGCACCTCCCTTGACTGGAGGTACGTAGGGTGCGTCAATGTCTTTCTTCACCAACCGTTCCCAGGTCACCTCGGCAAACCACGGGTGGTTCTTAATGGCAGCTGGACCTTCGTGTAAATTGCCCAATCTCTTGGTCAAATCAGAGGTGATCAATTGCACCAACAGATCCTGGGCATCGTGATGAATGTAGGGCGGATACTTGACACGCCCTTTCAAGATGTTTTCATAAATCTTGACGGGTGAACCGCCATCCCAGAACGGTGTGAAACCACAAAGCATTTCAAAGATCAAGATTCCAAGGGACCACCTGCCTAGAGCTTAGTTCACTTTCCCTCATGTTTTCGGAATATCTGCAGACACTCACCAATCTACCGACTTGTTGTATCCCTTCGAGGCCACCACTTCTGGTGCCAAATAATCTGGAGTCCCACAAAGGGTCCATGTAATGTCTGGAACCTCTTTCGCAAAGCCAAAATCAGTGATCTTGACATGACCATGTCTGTCCAGAAGCAAGTTTTCAGGTTTCAGATCTCGGTAGATGATGTTTTGGGCATGGAGGTATTCGAGTGCAAGGGTGACTTCTGCGGCATAAAATTTGGCGACGGGATTTGGGAATCTCTGAAATGAAATGGTTAGTATCACTTTATGTTGACAGCACAGGTGAGAGACCAAGATGGGTACCTGTGACTTGCGGAGTAAGCTAAACAGCTCACCACCCTCGATGAAATCCATGACCATGTAGAGGTTCTTTGAATCTTGGAATGTGCCCCAAAGCGTGATGAGGAAGGGATGCTTGACTCGTTGCAGCATCTTCCTCTCATCATTGGTATGTTCGATCTGCTTCATCTTGACCACCTGTTGCTTCTTCAACACTTTGACGGCATAGAAACGCTGATTATGCTTGGACTGAACCAAGTGGACTCGACCGAAAGACCCTGTACCCAGTGTTCGCTGCAGGGTGAAATCGGTCAGGGTATATTTACCCTTTGTTTGTCGGGCGGCACCTTTGCCGTCAACCGTGCCACCCTGAGGGCTGACGATTTTGGCAAGATTCATGTCACCGTTGGTCTCGGAAGCTTTGGCATTTGGATCGGGCGAAGAGGTGACGGTGGTGGTGGCTTGAGAAGTGGCAGAGGTAGTAGCATTTGATTGCGCGGTTTTGGAGGAAACGGGAGATGTTGGGGTTTCACTCTTATGTGAAGACTTGTATTGAATGGGTTGATAGCCTGCAGCTCCACCAGCGGCGGCAGACTTATCATCCGAAGACTCCTTGGTCTTCTTCCTTTTGAGGAGACCTCCAAAGGTCGGCATTTGAACGATGGAGGGAAGCGCACGTTCCCAAAGGGTGGAATCTCAAGAACAAAGAGGGAGGCAGGGCAGTGCACCTGGCAGATTGAGCTCGGAGGCTCGTGGATCGACTGATGGCGGTCTTGACGAGGGCGTGGTTGCGTGGGATGGATAATGATGGAAATAGAAACGGGGATGGGGATGAATGATGGGGATGTTCAAGCAAGTTGAAGCAGGTAAAGTCGAAGAGGGGTAACCAGGTCAGGATTGGTGAAAGATGAGTGGTTCGGTAGTGTGCGATGCCGCAATCGAGGCCGATAAGCTCTGATAATCAGTGGAGGATGTTTAGCTGTAGCTGCAGCTTCTCGGAGTGCCTAGGTGAGAGGCGAAAAGGCGAGCGGAAGAAAGAAGACTTGTAAAGAGTCACCAAGTCGAGCTACTCAGCTGCAGAGGATGAAAGGGTTAAGTATATTTATTTAGGTAGGGCGTCAAAAGGCAGATGGGGAGTAAGGTTGGGTCAAGCAGAGACTGAAGAGCGGCAAAGGTTGAGGAAGAGGTGATCAGTAACGGTTGATCTTGCCCTGCTTTACAAGGTGAGCTTCAAGTTGGGGGCGTTTGCAGAGCACTGGCCCTGGCCCTGGCACGGGAAGTCTAGTTAAGTCGCTAAACCGAGTTCAAGTTGAAGTTGAAGCCCAGCTCATCATCTCACATCTTTAGAGTTGGCTGTTGGTTGCAGCTTTGACACGCTGGTAGCTTGTAGATGATTATTGGCGACGAAAGAGGGGGCAGGCATTGTCCATGAGCCACTCATACCAGCATCGCCACGGCCCATCACACGTCCTTTTGACCAGCAATGAAAAGGGACAGCTTCGAGCTTCGAGCCTCCAAGCTCAAGCTTCAAGCGGCATGCAATGATGGTCCTGTTGGGCGCGGGGAAGCTGTCGGCATCATGAGCTCTAACTAGGTGACAGTCGTACCTTCCAAGTTCCTCGTTCTCTGGATCTTCCCCTCACTCCAAGCTATCCACTTTTCCCACCACTGGAAGGCACTTGGGTGGCACTTGCCCTCTGTAGGCATTGCGTCATAGTGCTTTCCTGGTGACCGCGGGTAACCCCATCCTACGCTTGCGGAAGGACCTTCAAGTTCTTGTGGGAGCAACTCGGATGGCGTACAAATATAGTCCATGTCAATCACGCCCGGGCTAATCTCATTTCTCGAACCACTTCGTCCACAATCTCCTGCGCTTCTCCCGCTGTTCTTGCCTCGAAATCATATCGTTTCGATTCATTCACCCGCCGTACAAGTACTCGGACCAGCTTGGAGTGTTTCGAACTGACCTTGCATCGTATAATATCATTAAATGCAATCGAACTGAATTTGGCACTCGATGCCGAATCAGCTGGCGTCACATGGATCGTGTCGCCATCAAACACAAGTACACGTTGACTTCCTTGAGCAAACGGTGCCAGCTGCTTTCGTGTGACATAGTACTTCTTGAAATTGCTACTTCCACTTGACACCAAATCTTGATTTTGTGCCAGTGGATGCAACATTTGTCCTTTCTTGCCTTTCTTCGGTCCTTGGATATCAAGTAGAAGTGGTGCATTCGGTGATGAGCTAGCCGGAGATCCTGTCAATGCACTGACTCCTGGTCCGAACCGCTTTCGCACCAGATCCAGGTCGGTTCGACTGCCCAGTGCTTCGATTGTTCGATCCAGAGGTGCCACCGTGTTGGTGTTTGCAACCTTGAGTAAGAAGCCTGCCTTGTCAAAGTTCCATCTTTTGCAGACGTGATCCAGAACTTCGGCAATATAGCTGTCCGTGGACAGCTCCATGGTCATGGTTTGGTTCGCAACATCAATGTCGAAATATCGTATTCTGATTGTTCGCGTAGCTCCCATACGAGGAGTAGCTTGAGGTCCAGCTGGTGCAGGCCGATCTGCTGGAGTCAACGCCGAGTTGGAAAGTGCCGATGTAAATGGTTGACCACCCAACAGTAAATTGCTCTTGATCCCGGGTATCCTCGTCACTGATGGGTTGTGACTCGTCCCGAGGTTAGGGAATGGCGCTGGAGTTGGAGTGGGCGTCTGAGCCAACGTTGTATCCTCCTGAGCGGCAGGGATGAATTGTGGTGTCTCTTTATCATTAGCCTCCTGTTGCTTGGCTGATGCCTCCACCAAGGCAAATTCATCAAATGGCTTCTCCCTCGATCTGGCTCGGCCACCGCGGTTGTTGTTGTACGTGAAGTCAGTCACTGGCCGAGTACGACCCAAGGGTGGGAAATCATCGTCTACTTCACCATCCTCAACGATCCGTAATGTCCATTTGTTGACATTGAGTTGTTCTTGTTTCAATGGTGGTGTCAATTCCTCCTCCCCGTACTGCCACAGACTCAATCCAATGACTTCTGCTATCAGTACTGCTAGCCCATCCTTTGACGTTCGTACTAATGGCATCTCAAATGGCTCATCTGGATTGCTGGAGAATGGAGCATATATCTTGATCCAAAGTGGATTGGGTGTTCCTTTTCCAGAAAGGGTGGCAAACCCTTGTACCGGGTTGCTGGGTGTTTTGCGCTGGGCATTCAAGGCTGCAGATAGCAGACTCGTTGGTTGTATCATACTGATCGGCCGAGGGGGTGGTAATTCGTGCAATATGGATAGCGTACGTTGTCTGCGAGGCGACTCAGCCTGCGGTAAACGTGGGCCAGAACCTCCGAATCCATGTAATATTGGTGGGGAAGAGGTGAGGTTGGAGCCTGCCAGAGGGTTCAGTAACGATCCAGAATCTACCGTCTCACCCAAATCTGATGACAGGGCTGAACCATCTGATTCTGCGTCAGAGTCGTCTTGGGAAAGTATACGATGTCCCAACTCGGACCCGCGATGGTCAGCATCACGTGTCGACATTCCTCCAGCTTTGGACGATTTCGAGTTCTCGCCTCGCTTGAGTTGTCTACGCTGGAAATATGAAGGGTCGACCTCGTTCTCCGACGACATATCACTACTGGTGGTAGTGTCTCGCCGTTCACGAGCTTTGACTGCTTCAACTGCTCCGAGGGATCCGGTCCGGTTTCTGTTGCCCGTGGTAGGCTTCGATGGGGAGGTGGTTGTTATATCTGGGGCATTCGTACTCGTACTTCGAATGGGTGATGAATCTGCTCGGTTCCGAGATGGCATTTTGGCAAATCTGATTTGCTGGGCGGCTCTCTGAGCCCCTTCAGCTTCCTCTTCAGATTCATCGGTGAGATCACTGCTGTCGTCATCCTCGGCGTGCTCCTTTTTTCTCCTTCGACGGGCATTGAAACCAGGGCCGATGGTGTCGTTGCTGGTCCTGCCAGTAACAAGACCAGCATCGTCATCATCGTCCTGATTTGAGTTTGTCAGTTGTAGCTCTGCTGTAGAGTGGAAGTATTCGGAGTTGATTGCTGTTGGGATAGGGGGAGAATAAGTCCGTTGAACCGGATCCGCCGACCAGCCGGCAGCCCTAAAACCAGGAGTGTTGAGTATAGACGAATTAACATTGATCAAGCGTTCTGCGATCCCATCCTTTACACTGGCCAGGTAAGAGGTACGAAGATACCAGATCGCAAACCTATTTCACGATGTCAGCGATGATGAGTTCAGGAGGGCACATGGACCATCGCCACGGGACAGGTAATCATATGCCGAGGGGGCACTTACTCTTCGTTCTGGAGAAGTGCCATGGCAGGGATTGAATCCTAAAATCAGAACCCGCCGATTCTGCCGCTTCTCGGATGTAGTTGAACTTGTTGAGAGGCCCAGCCTCCGTATCTCAGACTCGATCAAGCAAGTTCTCAAGTGAGTTAGGGTGACTGTCCCGGCTCTACAGGATAGGGAGACGCAGATGTGATGTTACAGGTTTCTTTTGAGAATTCGCAAGGCAGGCAACAAAGTGGGAGGGTTGAATGTGGCTGAGGTGGACAAGGAGGAATGAAGTGTGAGAATGCCCAATCGCAATCGGTGGTATGGCTCAGCGGAAATACAGACTGTCTGACCCTCCATTTGTCAGGCAGGAAATTGACACTCGAGGCTTCTGGCTTCATTAGGGGAACTTGGCCAGTGCTTAGAAATGATCTGATCGGCATCAGATACTTGCCCAGATATGGATACACACATCCTTCCATTACCTAGGTATTTTCCTTTTTGATTATGTATGGCATTGACATCACATCGTCCCCGGAAGGCCGAAGCAAGACACCGAAGCGCCCGCTTCCAAATGTGAAAGCCGATCGGGGAAGTATTTCTTTTTAATACGAGTGTCAGACTTGGTATAATTACCCCTCACGTAATTCATTGACAAGGCCCTGGAAGTCAGCCTTGGAGGCACCGATTCATCCTCCATCTACTAGTAGCTGCACCATTCCATCTTCTCCTTCTGCCTGTCCTTACATCCTCTCTTTTTTCTTCCAACCACCTTTTCCTCACTTCCAAACCCTTTCACAATCTCTAAGATGTCCTGCCCGCACGTTACCTCCACTGACCTTCGCCCTCCACGAGCCAACCAGAGCGTGTACCGTGAAGATTGTACACAATGCTTTGACTCCCAGGACGATGAAGCAGGACTGGATGTCTGTTTGCAGTGCTTCAATGGGGGCTGTGCCGGCCACCGCAACCACTCTCTCCTCCATTATTCTACCACCAGTCATCCTCTTGTCCTCAACATCAAGCGAACACGAAGACAGGTCCAGCGGGACGAGCCTCCACTGAAGCTGACCAAACTCGCCATTTCTGCAGAGACAGAGGAGGACAAATATGATACAGTGACGAGAGTCAAATGTTACGTGTGCAGTATTGATGATGTCGACCGTTCCTTGGGCCAGTTGCCAACTGTTATCGACGGCGTCATGAAGGCCATGACATTTGCCAAACAAGAGGAAGTCAAGGCTTGGGAACAAGAATTTACCGAATGTGAACACACGCTATGTCTCCAGCAGCAACCCAGCAGACAGATCGGATCACAGAATCTGGACGGATGTTCCAAGTGTGACCTCAAAGAGAACCTGTGGCTCTGCCTAGAATGTGGCAACCTAGGGTGTGGACGGGCGCAGTTTGGGGGCGTGGGTGGCAATTCTCATGGATTGGCCCACGCTACAGAGTCACAACATGCTGTGGCAGTCAAACTAGGATCTATCACCCCGGAAGGTAATGCGGATGTGTACTGTTACCAGTGCAACGAGGAGAGAATAGACACAGATCTGGCCAAACACCTCGCTCATTGGGGAATCAATATTGCCGAGCGTGAGAAGACAGAGAAGAGTCTGATGGAGATGCAAGTGGAACAGAACCTGAAATGGGACTTCTCGATGACCACCGATGACGGACAGGAGCTCAAACCATTGTTTGGACCAGGTTTCACGGGACTGAAGAACATCGGCAACAGCTGCTATCTAGCCAGTACTGTCCAGTGTCTCTTCTCCATCGATGAATTCCGGCGGAGATATTACCACCCAGATCAGCCGCCTCCCACAGCCAATTTCCCAGCAGAGGATCTCGAAACACAATTACGAAAGTTGGCAGATGGCGTTCTTTCTGGACGCTACTCTCGCCCTGAAGTCAACATCGCAGTATCCCCAGACAACCCGGAAGTGCCTCACCAGAAAGGTCTCTCACCAGCAATGTTCAAGCATTTGATCGGACGGGGACACGAAGAGTTCTCGACCATGAGACAACAAGATGCCTTTGAGCTATTACTACATCTGTTCAAACTTATCAACATCTCCAATCAGGCGGATCCAAAGGCGGATCCAGTGCAATCATTTCGCTTCGCTCTTGAACAGCGGTTGCAATGCCTGAATTGTCAGCGGGTACGATATCGCACCGATGAGCAGGACAACATCTCAATCCCCGTACCGGTCCGACGGAAAATAGTGGACAACAGCGATGGCTCCAAAGACGTGGTCAAAGGATCAGAGTTCGAACCTGTCTCACTGAAGGAATGTCTAGACATCTTCACATCATCAAGCACCGTGGAATTTACATGCCCTTCTTGTGATTCAAAGGCTGGATTTTCCAAGTCGTCCAAGTTCAAGACATTTCCCCAAAACCTTGCCATCAACCCTCTCCGATTCGAGATCATCAACTGGGTACCTACTAAGCTTGACATCCCGGTCCAGGTGACGGATGAAGCATTTGATCTGAGCCAGTACAAATCTCATGGTCTTCAAGCAAATGAAGAAGAACTGCCCGAGGATGCAGATGTAGGTGGCTCAGCGGGCGCCGCTGCTTTTGTCCCCAACACGGCAGCACTTGAGCAGCTTGCATCGATGGGTTTCCCACAAAACCGATGTGAAAAGGCTCTCCATGCGACAGGCAATGCGGATGCAGAGGCAGCAATGAACTGGCTCTTCTCCCATATGGAGGATGCAGACATTGATGAGCCTCTCAATCTTGGAGGAGCAGCAACATCAAGCAGTGATGACGCAGACAAGATTGCACAACTTGGAGACATGGGTATCAGTGTACCGCAAGCACGAAAGGCACTACGAGAATGCAATGGGGATGTCAGTCGAGCAGTGGATTGGGTTTTCAGTCATCCTGATGATCAAGGGGATTTTGGGGAGCAAACTAGTCTTGAAGCCACAACAGCAGCACCAAAAGCGTTACCTGGAAGCGAGGAGTTACCGGCCAAGTTTGAACTTGAAAGCATTGTGTGTCACAAAGGAGCGAGCATCCATGCGGGTCATTATGTTGCATTTATTCGGAAGGCGGTTTCCGAGGCTGACGAGGAACGTCAATGGGTCTTGTTCAATGATGAAAAGGTGGTCAAGGCGGTGGATGTGGACGAGATGAAGAAGTTTGCGTACGTCTACTTCTTTTCACGAAAATGAAGGCATGGGTGGTGGGTTGATGACGTGCAGGTATGAATGAATGAATGAGCGAACGAATAGAAATGGCATCGAGGGCTACCTCGAGAGTGTGCCAGACTAGTAGGTACATAGACCAGCAGCATAAGATGATGAGCAAGAGCTTGTTCCAAACCAATACTTGAGGTTAAAGTACCATTTGCGTATAGGTTGCTCTATAAGGGACTTCCTAATGATCGAGAATCTTGGCGAACGCCTGGTGGCATCTACGAAAGAACCTTTTTGTCAATCGCTCCTGCCTTCAACCTCGGCCTGTCCCAGGTCACATGATATGACGTCAATATCAACACTTTGGTTTTGAAGAGGCAGGCACCCAACCTTGAAGTTTGAGCTTGGTGGGGGGGCACCTGAGATGGAAAATTAAATCGTGGGGAACATTCAGTTCAACAATATTCTTGTCTTTCAGTTGTGAATATTTTTATCTTTTTGACTATTGCACCTATCTCGTAATCGACTCTCACATGTCCGAGTCCAAGCACGAGCCTCTACTCCCATGATCTTGTCTTGTGATCAGTGTATGCGAAAACATCGACGGCACATGCTCATCCTTGCACTCTTTTCTCTGAACATCTAGAACCCGACAAAGTGAACTCTATCTTATTCCTCCACCCACACATACTTCCCCCCCCTCGATATATTGCTTGTTTACTTTCAACTTCTTTGCTTCCACCACTTTTGACTTGGAGAACAGGAAGAAGCGCCAACCAACCTTCACCATGTTCTTCCTCTTTCGCTACATTCTCTACTTCCTCTCCTTCTACACCTTCATCACCATGTCACTATTCGCCCTATATAGCTACCTCCCTAATCCTCCACCACTCATCGGCTTCATCGCCCGCGCCCTATCAGCCTACCTAACCCTCATTGTCAGTGCTGCGTATGGCACACTCGCATCGGCGGTTCTCAAACTATTGGGCCTCCACTACAAGTATGCGCAGTGGACTACCGGACGTTGCTTCAAATGGTTGGGAGCCATCACCATGGGCATCAAGTTCGACATCATAGACAACGGCCGAGAGATCCTCGATTCGAACCGACCCGTCGTTATTGTCGTCAACCACCAGACCGAACTAGATGTCCTTCTCCTCGGCTGCGTCTTCCCTTTACACTGCTCTGTCACGGCCAAGAAATCCCTCCGCAATGTCCCATTCCTTGGTTGGTTCATGACTTTGTCTGGCTCGGTATTCATCGACCGTGTTGATCGCACTCAGGCTATGAAAGCGTTCGAAGGTGCCGCTCGGGCAATGCAGGATAAACAACAGAGTGTTGCTATCTTCCCCGAAGGTACACGAAGCTATTCCGCCGAACCTATGCTATTACCATTCAAAAAGGGCGCTTTTCATCTTGCGGTTCAGGCCGGTGTACCCATCGTACCAGTAGTGGCAGAAAACTACAGTCGTGTTTTGAATGTCAAGGCAAAGCGATTCAACGCTGGTACAATCAGAGTTAAAGGTGAGTCTAGGCTAATCCATTGCGAACCGATTTCTTCACTCTACTAACGCCCAAAAATAGTTCTTGATCCTGTCCCCACAAAAGGCCTTACTGCTGCGGACGTCGATTCTTTGACACGCGACGTTAGAGAGAAAATGCTCAAAACCATCACAGAATTAGGAAAAGATCCCGAATCTCGATCCATCAGTTCGAAGAAGGATTCATAAGCTCATCTTGTTCATCAGGATTGATCCGATGGACGATGCAAAACCTGGAAAACATGGGACTACGAACAAACCGCTAGCATGCTCTTTGCATCCGAAGCACAATCACTTTCCCAAATGCGAACCTACTGTCCGCAATCACGCTTCAATGAAGGCACGATACCCCTGGAGTTTTCGTCTTTGGCTTCATAAATTTTCTTTCACGCTTCCATTTTGATTGGAGCCTCGATTTGTTAGCTTTATGGGTATTGGGAGCATCAAAAACAGCTTCATCCTTGCTCATGGCGGTAGTCGTTTGTGCTGCAACCAATCATGAAAGGAGTTGGCTTGCATTTTTATGACTTTGGCGTTGACGAGAGCCCCAGAGTGGCGATAGCTATGTAGCCAGACTACGGATCCTTCATCTCGCCTCTTCTGTGAAGAAGAACAGCATTGTTAATAAAATCACTGTTATGATATCAACAAGCGTGGTTTCATCAGGTGGCCCGGTCATATCGAGCTTATTTTATTCAATATTCTATGGTCATGGGGTGATTTCTATGTTTCGATAGTCGTTACCTTAGATGCGTGCTTGGTCTGCTGTATGACACTGCAATCCCTGATTACACAGAGGCAGCCTCACACTCAAAACTCCTCATAGGGTCTAACCAGCATTCCTGCCTCGCCCAAATACTCCTTGACTTGTGCGACCGTGTATTCTCCACGATGAAACTAGAAAAAGGACCATGTGAGCGACGAGTAAAATTGACAGCAGGGGAAGCCCGAGGTGTAGAGAGAGAATAAAAGACTTACCATCCCAGCACCCAGCGCGGCATCAACACCCGTCTCCGCGAAAACCTCCTGGAAATGTTTTGGATGCCCGGCCCCCGAACTAGCAATGACAGGAATCTCCACGGCACCCTTGACCATGCGAATCAACTCGAGATCATACCCCTGGTTCTGCCCATCACGGTCGATGGCGTTCAACAGAATCTCGCCCGCACCCATGGCCTCACACGCTTTCACAAGCTGCACGACATCGAGATCCCGCGTCTCCCGTCCTCCACGAACAGTACATGCATACCAGACATATTCATCCCCATCCTTATCCGGCAGCGCCGTCTTGAGCGTTGCATGTTTGGTATCCCCCGGCGATTTGACGAAAACACGCTTCGGATCCACACTGACCACGACAGCCTGCCGGCCATACGCGGCACTGATAGTCTCAATGCCCGTCTTGCCACCAAGCTTGCCACCATTCGCCCAGTACTCCTCCGCCGCCAGAACAGCATCACTCCCAATACTGACCTTATCGGCACCACTGGCGAAATACAGCTTCGCCACATCCAACGCACTCACCCTCTCACCAGTACCCGGATCGACGGTATCGCGAATCCCACCCCCGATCGTCAACGGCACAAACACCGTCTCGCTCGTCCGCCGGAGAATCTCCAGCATCGGCAGGTCTGCAACGGGACAGTCGCGGAACGAGGTGATGTTGAGGAACGTGACTTCGTCCGCCCCCTGCTCGTAGTATCGCCGCGCCATGTCGACGGGCTTGCCAAGGTTGCGCACCCCTTTATCCGACGTCTTCTCTCGCACGTCGTATTGGTCACCTTTGGTCACCACCAGGTCGCCTGCGTCGTTAGTGCGCACGTCGAGGCACGCGATGATGCGGTGGGTGAGGTTGTTGGTTGTGGTGGCGGTTTTGGCCGTGGCGGACGCGTTAGTGGGCGGTGGTACCGCGTCCGACCATTCGCGTCCGTCGAGAAATGCCTTGAGGACGCGCAGGCCCGCCGCGCCTGATTTCTCGGGGTGGAACTGCGTCGCAAATACATACCCCCGTCCGATCGCACCGATGTAGCTTTCGTCTCCGTAGGTCGCCGTCGCGATCGTCCAGCCCGCCTCCTCCAAGACGCCGGGCTTGTACGGCGCGAAATACGAGTGCACGTAGTAGTATTTGCTCGTCGGGGTCAAGCCGTAGAAACTCTGGTTTGTGGAGTTGGCCTGTCCGTGGTGGGCGGTCGAAGCATCATTCCACCCAATACACGGCACGGATTTCCTCGAGCCGTCTTTCGTATTCGTCGCCGAGAACCTCTTCAGCGATTCCGGGACAAGGCCCAGGCCAGACACGTCGGGCGCTTCCTCGCTGCCGGCGAAGATCGCTTGCAGTCCGACGCAGATCCCGAAGAACGGCTTGCCCGCCTGGATGTGCTCGTGGATTACTGGCAGATACCCGGCGGAGGCAAGACTGGACAGACAGTGTCCGAAATGTCCAACGCCCGGGAGGATGATTTTCTGCCAAGGGAGAAATCGTAAGTCATTGTCTAAGTTCTCTGTGACCAGCTCAACGGGCTCTCAGATTGTCGAAGGAAAATCCAAATATCATTTCTGAATAACTGACGTCCGAGACATCACAGATGACCTTCAAAAACGAAGTCTAATCCTAGCAAGAAGGGTAGCAACGGGTATGACTTACATCGGCAGTTTTGACGTCTTCCGGACTTCTGACCATCTCGACTTGATAGCCGCATTTCTCGATCGCATTGACCAGAGAGCGAATGTTTCCAGCTACATAGTCCAAGAGGTGAACCGTTGGTTTCGCCATGGTCAGGATGTTGTAAGTGGTGGGGAGTAAATAATTTGGTGAGTTTGAATATTTATTTTGAGTAATGTGCCCCACTGGGTTGAAAGTCGTAAGGAGTCTTTTACCTGTTCATTGTGCGTTTCAGATGGGTTTCTTATGGTCTAGGATCAAGATTGATATATGAGATCAAACGGAAACTTCAAGTAGCATGATTGTGATCTGGGTCATTGAAAGGTGGGTGAAGTTTCGATTTATGAATCACAAGAATTATTTTCTGGTCGTTGCGAAAGAGCCAATCAGACCGCGCCGTTTTCGGAGTTGGAACTGTGGTCGAAAAGCCTGGATGTTCTGTTCGATGATCATGACAAATATTATAGAATCATTATGATAACCACTATGGACAAGAGATGTGGAGGAGAACATCCTGCAGCCTCTTAGGGTTATAGAACTTGAAGTCTACCAGACCGACGGACTCGAAGGAGGTGCAGAAAGATGTCTAGGGTCCCTTGATAAACACTTTCGCTTCTCACATCGTCTTCTTCTGTCCTTCTGGATTGTAGTACTCCGGGTACGAAACCTGATATCCAAGCAACCACTGCCCGATGACAACTCCCGTCGCGGCCATCACGAACCAACTGAGTTGCCTGCCCAAAAAGGTAGACTTCTGTCCGACTCCCGGTAAGACAGGAGGTGCGCGTACCGAGTACAAGAACAACATGATCTGGAAGATACTCGGCTCCTGACCCGCCTTCTTCGCATCTTCTAGATATCCAAAGAAATTCCGGAAGAAGCGCTCCTCCATTTCCCAGTCCTGCTTATCCAAGCGGAAAGAAACCACCAGCCCCTCTCCATCTTCACTGGCGTTCTCGAAGCGGTGGAAAGCGTTCATGGGAATATGAACCTTGTCGCCCTTTCTCGCGAGGATCGTCTCGCCGTCGAGCCACCATTTCCCGACCCCGGATATCACCTCGAAGTCTTCCGTCTGGTACATGTGGAAGTGCAGCGGTGGGTTGAAGTATGATCGACCATGTTTCGCGGTTGTTGCTGGCATGAGATCCGTCACCATGTACTGCTGAGCTGGACTGTGGAAATGTTGATAAGCTCGTCCATCTTCGTAGGAAACAGGGTTTTGGTGTGCAGTAACAGTCCGAGGTGTCACTGTTCTTAGGAAGCTCAACATTGCCATTTACCTCCTTGTGGGGAGTTGATTAGTATCGAGGACATGATTGAGGTGGGAATGCGGCGTGCATCCCTTATAACCACAGGTTTGTACTTGTCCTTTTGAAATTGGAACACATTAGGGAAGTTGGCCAGGCAGTGAGCCCTCCAAAAATCGCATAGGGGTTCGTGTTTCGACGGGCCAGGCGACGCCTTGCTGCTTAATCATAGGGCACATTTTATATCTCAGACCGAATTGCTGCCACACGTAGATCAAGCTTATCCAGTCGCGATGCTAGGCCTCTCGTGTGAATCTGCAGGACGGCAGGAAGCTTCCATTTATACGAGGTCAAGCTCCAGCCCTCGGGATTCAAGACACAAACTCGAAGCTTGAATGGACAACTTTATTTGCCGTACTACCCGCAAGCAGTGGTTGTTTTTCAGCTGAAATAGAACAAAACACGAAGTCACAACCATATCTGATGCCAGCTTCATTTGTTCTGCTTTAGGTGATCCCAGAATGGTATCATTGCCTAAAATCATTATAAACGATGATCTGACGTTTCGGATGCGACATCAGCTCGTTCTTCCAGTAAGATGAGGAAAACATGCGAATATATTTCGGTGAGAAGGTGCACGCGATGGTGGGCGTATGTCCATGTTTTCCCTAACGGCGTGTTCAAAACACAGGGTTGGGGACAAGTCTGCTCGGCCTTGAGGAAATCTTAAGTCTCCCTCCCTCGTTATCTTGTTGCCTACTTACCTGGAGGAGATATCCGAAGCGCGCCCGAGTAGTCTCCAAGTGGGGACGAGGGGCCGTTTGGAGATGACTGTAGTGGCACATGTCATCGATATCATTACTAAGTCCATCGCTTGGACCTTCTTATGACTTGGAAAATCCCCCCTTTAGTGTATGCTCGTTTAGGAAGGCAAGTTTGACCTACATCGAGATATTTGGTTTTGATGATTTGTGGCTCGGAAGTTCTGAGCATATAAAATTGCTCGTCAATATTTCGTTTCAGGTTCATCCTTACTTTCTGTTGCTTTACTACCAAAGCTGTCACTATGTCTACACTGAAATCATCATCAATATTGATAGTTGGAGCAGGCACCTGGGGTTGTTCAACAGCGCTCCATCTTATGCGCAGAGGGTACAGCGATGTTACACTGGTCGATCCCTACCCGGTCCCATCACCCATTTCTGCAGGGAACGATGTGAATAAAATCGTGGAGCAAGGAATCTTTGCTGAAGGAGACGACGAAGCTTGGATCTCTCATCATCTCCTTAGCGCTGCCAACAAGGGGTGGACATCGGATCCAGTCTTCAAACCGTATTATCATGATACTGGATATATAGTCGCCGCGAGCTCAAAGGAGGGCCTTCAACAATTACAGGATCGAGAACGTCCAGATCTGAACAAGGAATTTGTCTGGCTGGAAGATGCTGAATCCTTCAAAAAGACAATGCCTTCTGGAGTATTGACTGGCGATTTTCCAGGCTGGAAGGGGGTATATAAAACCTCTGGCGCTGGTTGGGTGCATGCGCGGAAAGCTCTAGTGTCTTGCTTTGAAGAAGCGCAGAGACTGGGGGCAAAATTGATTACAGCGGACGTCACTGGGCTAATTTTTGAAGGCGGTGATGTACGAGGTGCAAGCACGAGTGATGGCCAGCGCATATTGGCTCAGACTACTATACTCTGTGCTGGAGCAAATAGTGTTCACCTACTGGACTTCAAAGATCAGCTGCGGCCTACTGCTTGGACGCTCGCCCATATCCAGATGACACCCGAGGAGACCAAATTATTCAAAGATCTTCCAGTATTGTTTCACATCGAGAAGGGCTTCTTTATGGAGCCTGACGAGGACAAACACCAACTGAAAATGTGTGACGAACACCCGGGCTATTGCAATTGGATTGAAGAACAGAACGGTAAGCGAAGTAGCATTCCCCTTGCGAAGGAACAGATACCGGTCGAAGCAGCTGAGCGCTGTCGAGAGTTCCTTCGTGAGACCATGCCTCAACTGGCAGAAAGGCCTTTCGTCTTTGCTAGAATGTGCTGGTGTGCGGATACCCCAAACAGATCGTTCTTGATCGATCGACATCCCGAACATCCATCTCTCGTTCTCGGCGTTGGTGCTTCAGGCCATGGATTCATGCACATTCCAAGCATCGGAGGCTTTATTGTCGATTCCCTTGAGGGATCTCTGGAGTCCAAACTCAAGCAATCTTTCCGTTGGAGACCTGAGACGGCCATTAACCGGAACTGGGGTGACACCCTGGCAAGGTTCGGGGGACCAAATACGATTATGGACCTCCAGGATATCAAAGGTTGGACAGACATAACACCACAAGATGGCCAATCACCACCAGTAGCCCGGCTATGACGAGCAGCTTCTTGGACCCAAGGTGCTATTGATTGGAAAAAAGAACTGGACTGGTACTGGATAACCCTTCTTAGTTCGCTATCATCAGCTTTACTGAAAACAGCAATGTATGAAAATTAATGAACGTGATTTGACAGACAATATTCCACAAAATTCTACAAGATCTATGGTAAAGGATAAGGCGCCAAAATCCTGAGATGGACTATGGACAAATTACCGACCGAATTTGGGCTTCTAAGACGTGTGAACGAACTCCAAGTCGCAAGCCGTTGGACCTGGGAGTAGATCATGAGGTCCCATCGATTTGGTTGGGATTCGCAAGCCTGTGGATCGGATCCGAAAGCTCTGGACCCCGTCTCTCTGGTGACTAGCTGTACAGATTTGCTCCAGATGATAACAATGCCCTAGCAAGTCACATTGGTAGTATTTCGAATATCTTCGATTACCGCTGTGGCGAACTGTTTCCAACTTTTAACATATTACGCAATAAACGATCATATCCGTAAGTCTGACTAGCTTACGAGTCTCTGTAACATCGTCAACGGATCGCTATTCCGAAAGATAACCAACTCTCAAAGCCTAACCAATGTTGGAAAGTCTTATCAATACCGTGGGGATGTCCCACTTGAGCTTGTTCCCCTCACCAATGCTTAGGACAACCCTCTCTGATTCTGACGCTACTGTCCTTGCATCTCAGATTAGCACACTCTTTAAACTCGTTACTGGCTCTCTGCGCCAGTCAGGATGACCTCGCTCGATGCCTCGACGTCGTCCATCTAGCAGCGCTCCCGTCCGACGCCGCACGAGAACTGGTTGCCTCACGTGCCGTGGTCGGAAGATCAAATGTGATGAAGGAAAGCCAGTTTGCGGACAATGCATGCTCAAAGGGTTCGAGTGTGACACTACCTCCACATTGAAATGGGAGACTGAGTATCTTTCGAAAGGTCTAGCTTTCGGGCGATCTGGTGTATGGTCGAAACACCCAAAGGAAGGGGTGTCGCCCCCAGCTTTCTTTCCAACAGATGATATCTCCTATTGGTGTTCTTTCCCACGAATTCACACATACAGCTTCATTAATACCACAATTGGTGTTGACGAAGAGTTTACAACAGTCGAGCAGCCCACTAGCAACGGTGAGCTGGCACTGGTTTCACCCACAAATTCACCTGCAACACTTGCTCTTGCTCAGCGTCGATCATCAACCCCGCCAATGCCATATAGCCCGGATTCTTACGCACGTGTCCTGCAGCTTCCAGTTTTACCATTGTCTGGAGTATTCGGGATACTTCCTTCGGCCAGAGATTCAGATGCGTCACTCTTGCTCTCTTACTACATAGAGAAGATCTGCCCATTAACCAGTGCGAGCAAACATGCCGCAACCCCCTTTGCTTCACTCATCGTCCCATTTTCAGTCTCGTCTTCTCCGCTTGCAATGAGCTCAATCACAGCCCTAGCAGCTTGTCATCTTTCCCGGAGTCAGACGATTTTCAAGGCAAAGGCTCTACGACTCGGCCAACAAGTAATTCAAAGTCTGCGGGCTAAGCTGAGCATGAGCGACGCGTCCATGGTGGCCATGGACCCTGAAATAGTTGTCGTGATGCTTCTCCTCTGCCTGTTCGAGATCATCAACGAATGTGACAAGCGCTGGGTTGTGCACTTGAAGGGGGCACGGGACTTACTTCGCCTTCGCCGAGAAGTATCGACAGGAACTTTACATGATTCGGATTTAATTGAACTATTCCGGTTTTGCGAGCACTACTTTGCATTCCAAGATGTCATGGGCCGTACGGCCTGTGGTGAGAATCCAGTCTTTGGCAGCGAGTTCTGGAGTGCTGAACCGGCTGATTGCAACCCTTGGCTGGGGTGCTCTCCCGAACTTGTCTATGTGTTGAGCAAGATCACTGAGATGGGACGTGAAGGCCCTCAACATCGGCACACTTTGCAATTTCGAATTGCAGTGGCATCTTTGGAACAGCAGTTGACAACATTAACGCAACGTGTCAGCGAGGTGAGTGATGATGCGCTAAGAGAGGCCGCCGAGGTGAAAAAACTTGCCGCAGAGTTATATCTCCAATGTGTCTTGAACGACGCTGATCCGTCAGTCACCTGGGTGGCTGATCGAGTCTCAAACCTTTTGAACATGATTGCGACCTTGGTAGAGAAAAATGTCCTTTCGGGTATTGGCTGGCCTCTGTTCGTTGCAGCGGTCGAATTGGATCCAGCTCATGATTATCAAATCCCACAGAGCAACCTGCATGCTCCTCGGTATGCAAGAGCATTTGTTCTCTACACCTTAGACAAGTTATCAGGCTCTCTTGTCAACGTTGCCAGGACAAGATCTGTCATCGAAAAAGTATGGCAAGCAAGAGATCTGCAACAATTCTTGGAAAATAACAACAATGGCCCCGGAAATGACTGGGAGCAGCTGGTTGCACCACTCTGCAGCAACATGTCACTAGTTTAGGCCACAACACAGATACGACGGCTTTACCTTCCTTTCGATTGTATCTAGTGCTAAGAACAAAGCACCGGTAGCGAGTTCAAGGTACCCAGTGTCGAAATCGACTAGCAAATTTGAGCACGATCTCAACTAGTCACGTTCGTAACGGTTCAATGGGAGGACTAGTAGGTGAAAGCCCTATGTTACGTGTGAGATATAGCTAGCGCGTCTGTGCGTCGAGCTGGGTTTGATCTATACCACTTTTCAAGAACAAGCTTGCCAATAATCGGATATGGGCGGCACCCAGGTGTGTCACACTTTTGTTGCTTATCATGGGCCAGACACCGGCCTTCCGCGCTTTTGGTCTGGGTTCCCCATGATGGAGACTCGCCTGAGATCCGGTGAGAACTTACCGAGTAGATACTCGCACTATCTAGCTTGAGGACCAAACATCCGATGCGGGGATGTGAAGACTACTACTTACCTGATTCTGGACTCCCAATGCCGATTCCGTTGTGGGGTTCTCAGATTGCACATCAGATCCACATTGCGTTTCTACTTCGTGCGATTGGTTACGCCTGGACCTTCTGTCAGCCTTCACCCTTGCTGGTCTAGTGATACGGCTATCAGGTAAAAGGCATGATATTAGATGAGCGCCATAGACGAGATACCGCCCTCGCAGCACCTTAATGGTTCACTACAAAAACCTCATCATCCCTCCCTCCTCCAGGTTGGGTTTTTGGATGTCCGTTGGTAAATTCATCCCGTGAGACCTCAAATCAGCGCAATGACGGAAGATATGTATGACCTAGACGTCCCTGGTACCGAACAACTGGTTGATGGTTAGTTCCTTCCTTAAGTCCCCAATCACTCGTGTCTAGGAAGCATATCTTGGGACAACCTCGATGGAGCTTGAAAGATGGCTGACACCCTAGCCAGTCAACCATGACCTAGATGCCGCTCACGCCAAAGGAAAATCTGACATTGTGCTCATTCCCCAGCCCACTACTGCGGGAGGCGATCCTCTCAAGTGGAATGAATACAAAAAGTACTACCAGCTCTTCTTGTTGGCACTCTATGCCTGTGCTTTCTCTTATGGAGAGAATACGCTTGGTGCAGCTTGGACCACCGTCTCGGAAGAGACGGGTGTGACCTTGACCAACATGAACGGAGGTAGTGCTCTTAACTACCTTCTCCTTGGATTTGTCAACATCTTCTGGATCCCTATAGCCTGTAAGCTTGGTCGTCGGCCGGTATTCTTGGCTTCTACAGTCATTTGTATGTGTGCTGGCATTTGGCTTGGCAAGTTCAATGGCACTGCTTCATGGATGTTAGCAATGACATTGAATGGATTTGGGACTGCAGCTTACCAAGCCGTTATCCAGCTGAGTGTGTTCGACATGTTCTTCACTCATCAACGTGGGCGAGCATTGTCGTTCTATCTATTCGGGCAGCAGCTGGGCAGCATTCTAGGACTCATTACCGGTGGCTCAATAGCAGACGGCCCTGGTTGGCGTTGGTCTCAGTACATTGTGGCAATCATCGACGGCGCCGTGCTTCTACTTCTGCTATTGACATTTGAGGAGACCTTGTTTCCTCGATTTCTCTTCAGCCGCATCACGGGCGTTCCAGCTGCAATCACCAAGGAAGCCATGGCCGAGGAATCTAAACAAACTACCACAAATACCTTGACCACGACTCCTAGTCCTAGCGAGATGACACAGGAAGTAGACTGGGCTTCCCGGTTTCCCAAACGGACATATGCCCAGAAGCTGAAGATCTGGGTCTACTATCCAGAGGATCGAACCACTTTCTGGCAATATTTCAAGCGTCCATTCTTCCTGTTTACGTTCCCCAACATCGTCATTTCTGGTGTGATCTTCGCTTTCGGGTGCACGGCCGGTATCGTCAGTTTCAACACCATATCCTCGATATTGACCGAACCTCCATACAACTGGTCGACCACGTCGACCGGCTTGGTCTTCCTCGCGGCGCTGGTCGGCAATTTTGTCGGCTGGGGAACCGGCATTCTCAGTGACTACATCGTCATCTTCTTAGCAAGGAGAAACAAGGGTATAAAGGAGCCAGAGATGAGGCTGTGGACACTATGTCTCTCGTTCGTCTACGCGGCCGTTGGATATCAACTTTACGGCTGGGGCGCCGAGTTTGGCATGCATTGGATGACCATCGCATTCGGCGTCGGATGCATGATTGCGCACCAGGTTTCTGCATGTTCGATCGCCACAGCATATGCCATGGAGTGTTTCCCTGGAATTGCCGGTGAATTGGTTGTCGTGCTGGCAATCTGCTCTTCGTGTATTAACTTTGCTATCTCCTACTCCGTGCAACCGTTTATTTTGGCGGCTGGCTTCGGATACACCTTTCTCTTCTTCGGCCTCTGTGTGCTTTGCTCGATGGCCGCTGCCGTTCCCATGTACCTATATGGAAAAGGCTGGCGGCGCAGAGCAGCACCCAAGTGGCGTGTATGGTTGAGTGAAAGGGAGATGTAGGCTGGAGGGAGCTCAAAGGGCTGTTGAGAGAGACACAGAGGGCTGTGTTTCATACTTGGGCTCTGAGCAACGACTTGGGTTCAGAGTTGCTGACATTTTTCAATGCTTGCATCCTGCTATTGTCAGGGTTGAAGCACAAACAACGCTTGATGAGAATGGCGGCCGTCCACTCACGAAACAGTTTGGGCAAAATGCGAAATCTGCAAGGTTTTGTAAAGATATGCTGGTTGTCGAGCCGTGGAAATTCTCACCTAACTGCAATTTAAAGCTCCTTTTTCTTCGAAAATGGTTCTTTATACCTTTGGTAGGTGATATTCTTGATTACATGATCTACGGTCTACTTGTAGTAGTAAAGTCAATTATCTCATAAGCAGCCAAAGAGGAGAACAAAACGAGTGACACACCGGGCATGAACAGTTCTGCGCCCTTTCAAAGAGCGAATTTGTTTTGAACTACTTGGATATTGAAATTCGTATGCTTGCAATAATAGCAATGAAATGGTCGTACGCTTGCATCAACGCATTACCTCGTCCATCACTTCCATCAGACCTGGTCTCAATCAAACATCTCCAGGTGCAGCACCTCCCAATCTTCCCTCTGTGACATTCCACAAGGTTGTGTATGCAGAGTACTGCGATGGTCTCGCGGCCTCGGAATAATGAGTACCTTGAGCGGTGGCGACTGAGATCTTCAGAGACGGCATGTTTTCCTTGGGGATCAGATGTTTCGCATCCTATTGCACCGTCAGTCAGTTATGTCCGTCCAAGGGTGCTCTCATGGCAAACCTACATCAGTAATGCGCCAGTGCAAGTTCGCTTTCAGATACGCGACAACCTCCTGCTCATCCAAGCTGGCCAAGGTAAGCCCTCTGTGGGGTTGTGCTTGCGTAATTCTCTCGATCAAGTAGTCGGTGAGAATGACTTGACCAGTGAATAGAGCACCTTCGACCTGTTGCTTTTTACAGTTCTCGCAGCCAGTCTCATCGACGCCTCGGCCTTCCACATCAGCACTGAAGTTGTAGACACAGCTGATGGCGGTGTGGTTATCTGCAAAGTCATATTCGTTGCCCTCTGGCACATCACCTAGGAAAAAGGTGATTGTGTAGGGTTTTCCACCAAGGGCAAATCTATCACAAGTCAGTGGACGACTAAAACGAGGAGTTTCCCACTAGTATATACCTCTCGTAAACTACGTTCACGACGTAATCCTTGCTTTGCCATGTGGTGTGTTGTGGGTTTCCGAACTTATCATTGGTAACATCGTCGGGTGGAGCTTGGATCGGAGCCTGTGCACCATCCAACACCGGCTTCGGCACCATCTCAAGTAGGGCTGGTGGAAAGTTCTCCACTTGAAGGTTTGCTGGGGTCATTGCCGACATTTGTGTCTTGGCGACACTCTTGTTTGCCTTGAGAAGCAAGGCTGACTTAGGCGTAGTCGAGTATAAACGTTCGATTTGCGCGTGGATGGAGTCGACATAAGCTTGGTGGTTGAACTGTCCACCCCTGGTAAAGAGCCACTTCTGGAGCTCTGGATATGTGTATCCGAACTCTTGGTGTTTGAAACTGCAGGTCACTGATGTGAAGATGGTTCCTGCGGTATCATTTGAGAAAGGGAAAAGATGTGTTTCCGGGCCATCGACTTTCCCATCATCAGTCCCTGCACCAGTGCCCAGCCATTTTTGGGTCTGTGTAGGGAAAAGATCCTGCCAAATGGCTAAGAGGCGATCGACATTGCTACATTAGTTAGTTTGCATTGGTTAACCATAACTTGAGGATGATTTACCAATGATGGACCCAAAACAAGGGATCAAACGCTGCTGTGGAAGGGTTTCCTAGATACCCATTTCCACCAGCAAAGCCATGAAGATTGTTGTGGATGCCTTCCAGAGAGGGATAGTCTTGGGTTTGCTGCCCGAAATGAAAATGGCCCGTGGAAAAGTTGTCGTAAGTCATGACTGGATTTCCCTTAGTATCGACAGATCTGAAGAGTCTGTAAACCGCCTCAGGAAGAGTGTTGGCAAAATATCCATCGTCTTCTACCGATCCCTGAAGTTGCTTGGTGATTTTTCGGTAATCTTGGTTCTCACCCTCAGCGTATGCTACTTTCTCAGCCGCAGAAACTTGGTCTTTCCACACTGCTGCATCGAGTTCAGGGAGATTAGGCCACCGCGATGTGACCCTGCATGTTCCCCACTGAATATATTTGTTAACATGGTAGCTATCTCCAAGTTCTGTGCGTACTTACCCATGGCGCGCGTGCCTCGTTTTTAACTCCATAGTCGCCAAACTTTTTATTGGGTGGGAGAGAAAAATGGAACATTGGGTTTTTGACGGGAGCGGCGGTTCCGGTCTTGGTCTGTACAAAAACATTCTCTTGTGTGATGAGGAAAGGGACATTGGGACCATTTCCCGGAATCTTGTTGACTGGATCATCGGGGTTCTCAGGATTCCATTTTGGTTTCTTCATGGCCCAATCCCAGAATGGCAAACGCCAGCTATCTGCTGCTTTTTTCATCGCCGCCTGGTCTTGTGCCGCAAATGTTGTGGGAATCAATGCATGCATCTCTTCCCAGAGTCTTTGCTCATAGAGCAGCATATATGGCGTGTGCCAAGTAGCAAATGTGGGTTTACCATGAGAACAATAGTACCCTTTGCGTCCTCTCAGATCCTTTGTTTCCCTCGGCCAACGTTGTAAAGGGTATCCATGAATACCTGTTTGTACAGTCAGTTGACGCAAGGAAAGTAGCCATCCTAGTGAGTACCTGCTACATCGAAGTAGGAAAGGTCGTCGTTTTTGTCCAAACCCCTTTTCTGAAAATTGATGAGAGCATAGATGAATAACGATCTCTGATTGAGGTCATTCGCATTAGGGGAAAACCACCACTCGTCGATCTCTCGCCGGATTGGCAGTTCACCATTTGCTCCACGACCGGTTTGAATGCCTTTGATGGCGTAAGCCATGGTCAGTATGACACAACGTAATTTGATACAGTAAATAATACCTTTGGCGCGGCTGGTATAAGGAAAGAGAGAGTGAGAAATGCTCTCTGGTCTCAAACGCCTTTTGTACTTCTAGCCATTTCGGTCATGTCTGGAAGTAGGCGGTGAAATATGATCATGTGGCCGGTCATCGTCTAAGGGTCGAGTTCTCATGCTCAAAGCATATTGGGACAATTCACCGGTACACAGATATGCTGCACACATCGCGATCTCAGCCCCCGTGTTGGGTTGCAGGTACCAGTCCTCTGCATCAAAACTTCTGAAGTGAACGTAAATGATCTGCTTGCGTAAAGGACCAATCTGATCGATCCCTCGAGCAAAGTTGGTGGATGACACGCAAGCCTTGGATTGCTGCAGAAGTCTCGAAGCAATCCTGCAGCTCTCACCGCCCAGAAATAATGATCTAGATCCGACGAACACAAGGGGCCCTGAGCCAGGATCTTAAGTCAGATCTGCATACTTGTTAGCCGAATCTTGCTGAACACGAGTTCAATCAAGTCCAGACTAGCCAACCACACTGAGTAATCGCACGCATGGCAGCGACTTTCAATGGTAGATCTCCAGCGTAACAAAAACTGCCGAGGGTCTCAGATGGGAGGCTGCCTGAACGCTGCATGAAGTGAACTTTCTCAGCACAGCTGAAACAATAAAAGCAGTTCTGGTTGAATGCCAACAATTGCTATTACATGGACCAATTAATGACAAACTAATGGTACAGGGTATCAAGGTGCCCACGGGAGTCTTGGACATCGAGAACACATTCCAAAATGTCTAGCTCTCAGCTCACTGGCTCTGAGAACGAGTTTGCATCCAAAGATTACGTTTGGGGGACATCCCTACCTCGTATTGATGTGCTTATGTCAAAAGAAGCCTTCGCGTAACATCAGCAGCTTGAAACTACTTAGACGGAAAAGTCTTGTCCGTCGGATGTGGCTGGCGGACCGACAATTGCCTGGTTGCCATGTTTCCATCTTCGAGCATTCTGGACAGGGTGTGAGAGGGGTACTTCCTGAGTGCTCCTGTCAGCTAGCCAGCGAAGGATACTCCGCACTCAAGCGCTAACCATAGTCACTTCGGAACCTGAGAGTTGGACTCAATAGTTTGTATGTCAGGGTTTGCTTGCATGATGCTCAGATTCCCCATTCCGAGCTAATCTTTCAGCCAGCCTCGCGGTGATTGGATTGCAGAAGCGGGGTCGATTGACATCCCATGGCGTGCGGTTAAGACCTCAGCTCTATGCGTAACCAGATGGCGCACCGCTGTCGACTTGCAGTTTCAAATGCTTTGTTTCTTCGCCGGAAGTAAGATAATTCCAATGAGTCGAGTCCGTCGCGAAGCAGTCAACCAGATTAGATGCCAGCAAATGCGTGAGGGTAATCCAGTAAAATACTCCTATCATGCGAAACGGCCTTTACTACATTCGAGTCGTTTTCAGAGCCCAGGGGTTCTCTCTGCGTCGAAGAATTGCTCGAAAGACTCCCCTCAGCTTCCGTCAGAATCAAAATCAGATCGGCCGTTGAATTGAACAGTTACTTCGTGAAATATCATCATTTGCATCATTTGATGGTGTGCATTGGGATGTTGTGCTCGACTCAGCTGAATACGGGAAGGACTTTGACTTGCACTACTCTGAACTCGTGTCAATCAATGTAAGTCCTTCACTTACGAGTCAGCCGTGTAGACGGTTTGTTCAGCGTTCCTGATTTCCAAAAAAAAAAAGAATTGAGAGGACAGCGGAGTTATAGGGAAATACCCTAAATGTCTATCTCTCAGCACGATGGTTGTCAAGGAGCTGCTCTATTTAGTAGGTTTAGTGCAATCTCATTAAGGAGACCAACCATGGGCTTGTCTAGATCCCTGAACATTGAGTAGTGCACAATTTAGCCTTCCTTGCTACCTCGTACTATATGATAGAGACCCTCAACCGCACCATTGCGATATCTGTGGCCGTATTCTATCTTCTGGCGGCCATGGACAAATTGAACGCACGGCTTTCCCGATTTTAGAACACGCTGTGGTTGGCAACGATATGGCTACTCCGGTGGTTCTGATTTACTCCGCCTTGATGGAGCGAGCAATAATTTGAGCATGTGGAAATTTGCCTCCGTCTCGCACTCTTAAATTCAGATCTTAGACCCCCGTAAAACCGATGGTGAGGAAATCGGGATCCTTCTCCACACGCTTCTTGACTTCCCCAGACCTCAGTTCGTCCACATCCCAAGCTGCCCAAACGAATCGACCATGTAAGAAGGCGGCCTCGGAAGTCGCTGCCCAAACAGCGAAGTGCGCAGGTAGGTCGTCTACACCAATTTGTCAGTACGCTAAGCTGCTATCAATGCTAGATTTTGAAAGTTGCTAGGCACCAACTCAAGTCCGGGACTGGGTTCTTACCGTGGTCCCAGGGAAGACTATTTTCATCAAGTCCGGCATTCCTGCTCGTCTCGGAGAGTATCATTCCAGGATGGAAGCTGACGACCTGCAATTTGTTCTGATCGACCTCCTCTGCTATTTTCTGTAACATGAGATGGCCAGACATCTTGGTGAGAGTATACGTTGGCAGAGAGGCTGCAATAGACCGGCTGTGGATCGCGGCCGTAGAAACATAGACGAGATACTTGATGCACTGTTAGAAGCCATGTTGTCCACTGCCAATGAAAATGATGCATATGGAAACATAAGCGATTGGAGCGAGGTGTCATACCTTCTGCCTGCCCTCCTGATCCTCTTGCTTGTACAGTTGGTCGGTGAACTGCAGGAGTGACCTGACATTGCTCTCATACTGTGGCCAGATGTTCTCGAATCCCGTCTCTAATATCGGCTCTTGACCCCCGAAACTCGCTGCATTCAGCACAAGAATATCGACAGAAACACCTTCAACTCGGAGTACGGACCAGAGTGCTGCGGATTCGGTCACATTCACAATATCACAGACTCGTGCGTCAAACAATGTGTTCTTGAACTCCTTTGAGAGTTTGGAAGTCGAGTTCTCGAGCACATCCTTACGGCGACCCGTGAGGATCACTTTGAAAGCCGAGGCTTCGGCATACGCCCTGGCGATTGCAAATCCTATGCCAGCGGACGCTCCAGTAATGAGGACTGTTTTCCCTGCTTGAGACTGTTCGGGGCGAAGAGTAGATATGGCTGCGTAAGAAGTCTTGTGATAAGTCTTTACTGTATCTGGAACACCAGGGTCAAGTTTTTTCAGTTCTTCGATGTCGTTCATGGCGGATGCTTCTTGTCTTGGTTACTGGGAGTCAAGGACACACGGATGAACGATCTGGACAAGCACAACCGGTGGTAAAAGGTCTATCACGAAGTTTGCTGGCTTCTTTCAAGTCCACGGGGTTTTATACCTTCATTTCTGTCATTTGAAAAGTTGGACAGTAGTTTCAGTGCTTTCCTATAGCAGAATGGTAAATTTTCGACGATATGAATACGTGTTCAGCGGAGAACTTTCAATGAGCGAGATGCGGGAGTGGTGCGGGAGTGGTGCGGAATGACTCGGTAGTGATGCGGATGCCTAGGTTGGTTCAGATGCGAGAGTGAAGTATGCAGTTTTCTTGTGACAGCTTTGCCAAATCATGGACTTACCCAGCCATTCCACTTTTGTCTATTCTTCCAAAGTGGCGTCTGCCTGGAAATCTTAGGATGTGCGGATACTCTTCTGAAAATAAGGGAGAGATCGATCGAAACAACGATCGCTAGTGTTCTGTCGTATTTATCGGGAGATACTGAACTTTAGCTCTCGTCTTGTCAGTAGAAACTTCACCTAGCACAGATTTGGATATCCATATTATAGTTACGAAGTATATCAATGAAAGATGATTCCGTGAATTGTGCCGGGCCGAGATCTGCAAAACCTAATGGCCATTTGCCCCTGGCGGGCTATTTAATTATGCTGGTATCTGCCTCACATCCACACACATCGCACTTCCGCACCATATCCGCTCCCGGACCCCCCTCGTAAGTTTGTTCTTCATTTTCTCGAAGCGACGCAACAGTCAAGGCGAGGCTGGACGTCAATGACGTCCCTTGAGATGTCGCATCATTCTTCTTTTGGGCCCACTAGGAAAGCGTGCGCCCGTTGCAGGCAACACAAGCGCAAATGTGACCGAGTACATCCCTCATGTTCTCTTTGTAATCGGTACGTGGCATCACGCTCAGTCCTTTCATCACAGCCACGACACCCGTAGAACATCTTTCCATGCAAGGCTCTTACTTTCTCTAGTCTTGGCCAGGCCGAGCTTTGTACCTATGAGGAGCCTGAGGCGTGCGTCACTTCATCCTTACCAAAAGCGGGTGACGCATTGAGAGATCCTCCAATTCACGAAATACTTACACCTTCTGATATCAAGACAGAAATTATCCTAAGGCTCTCCAATTTAGATCCTCGGAAGATCATAATCATGTACTCTGGAACAATACATCCATTGTTTGGGATCTTCTCGCAATCTACTATTTGTGGTCAGCACCCAGCTACATGGGATGACGCACCAGTCGATTTTGCTCTCATTTGTTTTGCAATTCTTCTTCTGAACCGCGCTCCTGAGCAAGTGCAAGAAACTTGCACTCTTCATTCTGCGCACAGGTCTATGTACTTGACGAGCAAGATGTGGATCACGTTACTGGAAGGAGCTGGATGGAATTCAATCGACTTTGTGAAAGCAAGACTCCTCATAACGTTGTTTGAGGTCTCACATGGCTTTGCTGTTGCAGCTTATCTCTCCATTGCCAATGCCATCCGGGCTGCTGACGCGCTTGATATATTTGAACAACAAGGGGTATCTCGGCCATGGGCCGAGCAGGATATGGAGGAACAAAGAAGAACGTGGTGGGGTATTGCAATACTAGACAGGTCTGCATACGTGTACAAATTGCGCTGCTATACTTTCTTAACCAGCGACCGACCAATCGTTGACTTCTACGTCTTAGATATATTGCAGCGGAAAACGGTACATGGCCTTCAGCAACTAGAGGACGAGCGATTCCTCCCTACAGCCTGGTCGCACAATTCCAGGAAGCGCCTTCGACTGCCTTTTCTCGGCTATTCGAGGCATCGGCCCTTTTGGATAGAGTCCATACCGCCCTCCATCAACCGACATCTCAGGTGACTTTCAATGTAGAGGAGGTCACTACAATTGTCCAGACTCTAAAGTCGTTTGAAACCGTGGTTACACAGGCAAGCTGGGGAAAGTCAAAGGTTCTGTCCAGCTGCCTTACGTTTTCGGATATGTAAGGAAACCTCTTACCACTAACCGATCAAATCAATTTCTAACGATCCTAGAGCATTACTTCTGGCGTTCGACAATGGAAGCAAGTCGACGTGTTCAGGTACCAGTGATTATGCTATCTCTCAAGCAATCGTTGCGTTGGACACCCTGATCGATGATATTGTCAGGCGGGTGGAAGAAATATACCGGGTCAGCCTAGATTCTGAGAAATCATGCCTCCCGCCATTTGTCGCATTTCTCATCTACAAAGCTGCGGCTATAACAACGGGAAGACTACAGAATGACATTGAGCCAGAGCTGAACCTACCGAGATTGAGAGCTTTGAGAAATGGTTTGAAGGTAATAAGCCAAAGGTGGCTGGCTGGAGGTAGAGTCTTGTGATACTCAGGTGGTGTTGACGAATGCTTACAATCTTTTTTTAGAGCACTATCTAAACTTGCTGGACGAAGATACAACACCTCGTGTCTTGAGGGCAGTTAGAGGCTAGGCACGGAGCCTTGTGAATTAGCCTCTGGTTAGTCACCCTCTTGCAGAATTGTACCGGGTAGAGAGGTTCTTTGAGCGAATTTCCAGCCATGCGTTTCAGATCACAATGGCTAGCCGACATGCTCGAAGGGTCTGTTGGACGCGGCACCGAATTACATGTCTTGACCAACAAGCCATTGACGACAGGTCGACTTCGTCAAGAACCGGACCAAGTCGGACATTGATTGTCCGGCCACAGGTTCAAAATAGAAGTTTTCGATATCATCTGAGGCGCTTCGTAATGTCAAATCAACTTTATTATCGCTGGGAACACGAGAGCTCTGATTGAGAGGCGAAAGAATGAGAACAATAAGGGTGTGGACGAGTCATTGCTATCGGTGCAATTGATGGAATGTGGAAGTGTTGTATAATGGCTCGTTATCTAGCACTGGGCTATTTGGTGCTCGAGTCAGAGCCTTTGGGGCGCGCCGGAGGCTAACCCGCGGCTGGTGTGGCATCATACAAATGGTGAAGAAGTGCTGACGCCACCACTGGTTTGAACTCCCATGTCATCGTTTCTAAACACCCGCAAACACCAAGATAGCTCGTAATGCTCTAGGTCTCTTAATCACAAGTATTGTACACTGGCACCCTCGGCACGATCATCAACTCGTCCCAACATTAGATACCTCCCCAAGTCCGAAGTGCTACAGCTCGCCAAGAATCACTGCGTCGCTGCCCTGATCGCCTGCAACAACAGCGCAAAAATAAGGCCACGGGCAACATGCTCGACCTGCAGACAGTCGAAGACCCGTCCTAACGCCTCACCACTAGCCGCTGCGCCCATGACGCTCGTCAACGCCTGGGGCATACCACGCTCAACAAGCAATTTCCTTGCTCTAACGCGCAACTTCTCCTTCTCCTCGGCGCTCGGCTCCTTTGGCCACTTAGCTAGTTCTTCCTCTGTGGGCAGCGAGTTCTCGCGCAGCTTGGTCAAGTGTGCGGCGAGGCCTTTGTCGGAAAAATTGGCTTCGACGACGCTTTCTTGCAGGAGAATGCGGATCGACTCGAGTTGTGGGTTGTTCGGGCGCAGCAGGAATGTTTTTGCGGCGGTGAGCAGCGAGAGGCGGATCGTCCAGGCGCCGGCAAGGGAGTAGAGTTCGGTGAGTATTGCGAAGATTAGTTCGATGGAGGCGCGTGTTTCTTCTTCCGAGATTGGAACGTCCTTTCTGGGGTTTCTTTTGGTAGGGGATCTGTTGAGATTACTGGGAACAGGCGTGCTGGGTAGTTCTGGCTTCTTCGGTATGGCTGGAGTTGCAGGGGTGGCAGTGATGGTGGCCTGTCGTGGTCGTGGCGGTGTTTGAGGAGGAATTTCGGGAATCGCACGTGGCACGGGTTGGTAATCATCGGAGATTTCGCTCGGTGGCGGAGGGATAGATAGGATTTCTTGCGACTGCCGAGCAGAATCCAGCATGATGGAGGATGACCGTGAGCGGGCGCTCGGGGCTGATGTAATGGCGCCTGGCCGGCCAGGTAGTGGTGGTCTGGCATCAACACTATCTGTGCTTTGCCTTGCGACATCGGAACTATACCTGAAGTTCTGGCTATTGGAGGTGTCCGTTCTGGAAAGTTGCTGTGATGGTCTAGAGCTTTTCTTCTGATTGCCCTGGACTCCAGTTGCAACGGCACCAAAGACACCTTGGACGCCACCAAGAACAGCCTTACCACCACCCGCAATATTCTTTCCTCCTTGACCAAGAACATTGATGAAGTTCTTTCCCACATTTTCCAATGCGGCTCCACCCTGGACTAGTACGTTCTTACTCTGAGCAGGGGCCTTTTGCAGGCCAGTCTCCTTATCCAGGAATGTCTTCATGACACCCGTCTCTGCAAGTGGCTCGAACTTGAGAGCGAACCGAAGGAAAGCTTCCAAACTCTGAATGAGGCTCTCACTGGTCTGACCTCTCCAGGAAGGGAGGTTAGGGTACTGGTGAGAAAACTCGTGTTGTCCAGTGATTGGAGCGATTTTCCTGAGAGTCTCAAATAAAGGCTCGAAGTCAGAGTATTTGCGCGTTACCATCCATCCAGGGAATCGCTGGGAAGCAGGTTCGATTTGGAGGAGATACTCGCTGTTGGGTCGTTGCTTGAAGACAGTCTTGGGACTGAGATCAGATAAATCCATGATAGTAATGGAGGCATTGTGGAGGGTCAGCGGGATCGCCACCATGACTTCTGTTGGAGCCGGAGCATTTGAGATAGGCTGAGGTGGCGGTGGAAGCACGTCTGGCAATTGATCAAAGCTGGTAAATGGTGGATGTTCTGTACTTGGACTGGGATGCGGCGAAGATACGACATTTCCATCTATATCAAAGAGCATCGAAGAGTCCATCGGTTGATCTTCGCGTCGGTTTCGATCACTGTCCGAGGAGGTGGGTGTAGCCAAACCAACATCGGTTGTTGCGACCGAGCTTGTGTCCTCAGCTTCAATGGTTGGCAGCGGTTTCTTCCGTCTGGCTTCGTCCTCTGCAATCATTTCGTTCATCCTTTGAGCTTCTCTCATGGCTTCCTCCATAGCCTCCTCGGCTTTACTGACACGTCTGGTGTGGCTTTTAGCAGAGGAGGGATTTTGAAGGGTGGATGCGGCGTTGGTCATGTCTTCTACGCCAGCGTCGATCACATTCATGATCTCGGGTTCACCGTCTTCCAGAAGATAGACTATCCACCCATTAATCCATTCGGGTTTCGAACAAGCAACAACGGTAGACTCCAATATAAGACCAGCTAAAACCTCGCGACAGAAGGCCTTGACAGGAGGACAATTATAGGATTTCGAGTCCAGGAAGTTCTGTAATATATCGTCTGCAACCAGATTGAGTTTGCGATCCTGCTGCTCGCGACTTAGAACATTTGCTAGATTACTGTCGGGTTGAAAATGGAGATATGTCTCAATGGCACGTTGAGCATCATGGTTGGAAGAGGCCTTGAGAGCGGTAGAGAGTTCACTCAAGAAGACAATGATGATTGACGTCGAATTTGCCAGGAAATCCAGAAAAGGGTCGGCCGGTCGCTTCCGGGACAGATGGTTGGAGAAGGAGAGAATAAAGCTGGTCAGGGTTTGCCGACAAGCTGCTGGGAAGGACTGCTCTCTCGGAAGTAGTGGGCTGTACCACCACTTGACGTAGTCTCTGATGACCGCGTCGGTGAGATTGACGAGGGCGTCTCTGGTTTCGGGCTGGAAATCCGAATAATCCAGGAGCTGAAGCTCTGTAGCTGAATTGATTGCGTCGTCATGGTTGTCATCCTCTTTGTGACGCCTGTCTCTCCATTCCAACACGCGATGTGCGACTTCTATTCCCAGCTCTTTTCTCCGGCGGGCAGCATCACCGCCCGTCGTGTCCTGACCGCCTGATTGTTGAGCATCCCAGGTGGCATGGAGGACGACGCCGCCGACGGCGCCTATCAGCACCAGGCCAACACGGCCCAACACCAAGTATGTGGAGGCACAGAGCCCAACGACGCAGGCACCTAATGTTTCATTGCTGGCAGTGGCAAAGAAGCGCAGAGTCGCGTCGATGGCAGCGGAGGAATTGATTGTAGGCCTTGGGCTTGTACTTGTCGTAGTGGTGGGAGCGATGGCAGTGGTGGAGGTTTGGACAGGGGATGATGGCTGAGGTGCAAAAATCGTGGAGTCTGATTGAGTCTTGTCGGATGTGACAGGATCAGGGTGTTTGTCCATTTTGATCAATCTTCATGGTGGTCGTGCGCAGGCAAAATGGAGTCTTTGTGTTCTGTATCCGAGTCTGCCAGTGATGCTCAATGATCTGTACAGGTGGTCTATCCCACATCAGCCGCCGGTGGCCGCACTGCAGTCTTTTGACGCATTTGTTACTAAGTTTCGCGGCCCCCTGGAACTGTTTTGCCCGTGCGCCACAAACCAGGGATGAGCGTTTGGTGTGGATTTTGGAGAAGCTGAAGTGGCTCATCGCTGATCAGGGCGGATCCCTGCCAGTTTATTTTTTGAAAAAAAGGTGGGATGTTTGATGAATCGTTACTTTTGGAGTCTGCAGGTTTTTTGTAACGATTTCCATGTGAATTGATCTCATAGAATTTAGAACCTTACGACACTCTTCTTGCCTGTACGAGAAACACTTCTTGTCTCAGCCCTTATATTCAACATGGCAGACCAAGTGTGTTCAACCTGCGACGAGCCACTTCTGATTGAGATCGAACCTGACAGCGATTTCGAAGACTCCAAGGCGGCTGCAAATGTCCAAACAGTACCAGATGATCTAGAACTGAGCTGTGGATGTCATTATCATTGGTAGGTCTACACATATAAGATGCATTCATGTCTGTGTCTAACTCGGTCCAGGGAGTGCTTTCTAGACGCCTATAGCATCACCCAATGTCCCACTTGCGACAAGAATATTTCTTCTCTCTCATCCTCTGGCGATCAACAAGTCCTCGTCACTCTAAGGAATGAAGGCGGTCTTCAGACTGACTACGATATCCTTCCCACAGCGACCGAAGAAGCATATCTGCGGGCTTACCCCGAGGAGCGCAAAGGCCATGCTTACCTCCAATTTTGCAAAGAGGGAGACATCGATGCCATCATTCACATGATCAAGGATGTGGATGAGCTGGAGCAGGAAGATGATGACGAACAAGAGGACACAGATGTATTGGGTTACTCCGGGACATTTGAAGGTATCGAAGGATCAGGCCTCCATGTCGCCATCAGATACCAACAACAAGAGGTCGCCTGGCTCCTCCTCGCACTCGGCTCACAATTGGATTGGTCCAGATTCCCCAATGTCGTCCTCCAAGCAATGCACGGGCTGGGACTGCAAAAGGAAGACAGAAAGGCTCAATCGGAAATTCGAAACATCAAAGACAGCTCGGGGAGAACACCTGTGGATCTGGCCAAAGAAGTCGGGGGCGTATGGGTGGACTGGTTGAACGAGGGCCGACTGAGTCCCTAGAAAGAAGATAGAGAGATTGTATCGCACCATAATTCTCTTTCCGACCAAGGAAGTATTAAGTCGATAGAGATCTAAAGCTTAGGAGCAAAGTTTTTCTCCGGTATCCGAGTGAATCAGTGGCACCATGGAGGAGTATTATGCCTGATGCAAAGAAGACGCCGGGTTCTTTCAATCTTTCAGATCATTCTCGATCACGAAGAATGTATTTTGTATGTGTACCATGGGCCACCACAGATCTGTTCTCTCCTTCTCCTTTGTAGACAGTGACGGTGGTGAAGCCCAAGTTGCGACCAACCTTGCTGACACTGCCCTCGATGGTCAGAATATCATCGAGCTTCGCAGTCGACACGTATGACACGTGGATGTCGGTGCTCAATCCAGTCTTCTCAAGGCCAGTACTGGCAATAGCCATACCACCTGCCCAATCTACGATCGTGGCTGACATGGATCCGTGGAGGGTGCCCTTGGAGTTCAAGTGGTTTGGTTTTACCTTCAAAGTAGCCACCATAGACCCGTGGGTCGCAGAGACCAAGACGATCTCTGAGAAGAAGAATTCATAGACTGGCGAGTTCTGCGAGACGCGATGCCAGCAAGCTTGAACACTTTCCAGAGGTGTCTTGGTGGTAGCCATGATGGGAGAGGAGAATGATCTCAATAGACATAAGCTGTGAAATGCAAGATTGTCGAAGAGTAGAAATGGGTGAAATTCAAAGTGCGTCAAGTCAAGTCTGTTGAGACGGAATTTCATTTCTCGAGAATCTCGGAACAATATCGGGGCGAGCTCCGGACACGTGATACAATACTGTGGAGTTCTGGCATAATTTCTACCACGGTTTTGCAACTTAATCCATCCCCTTTTCTCTAGCACTCCAGATGACGTTCCTTCCGGATCTCTTGACCGAGAAAAGCAGTCGCTTCACGCAATCTGCTCTGACTAGACTTGCCTCTAAGAGGGTCTACAAGGAAGAGTTTAAATCTTACTATAGTTAATGGCCGAGGACGGAGTTGGATGACTGCCAGCTTGGTAAGATATGTTGAACCGCATGTATCCCCTCATCATCTCCATCTTTGAGACCCTGGGTGGCTCATCTCCACAGCCGAGGTTTATCATGAAAGTCAATATGGCAAGTCTTCCCTGCGCATGATCGTGCTCACTTGCCAATGTTGACTCTTACTCCAAATGCTATCGAACCAATAGATAGATATGCCCCATGAATATTGACCTTACCCGTCTCGCAATAATTTACTGCTAAGTCATCCTAGTCGATCATGGCTCTTGTAACTAATATTTGAGAGAGAACTCTCGACTAGAACGCCCCAATATTCGCCACATCACTTTGGTCTCCCAGCGGGTACTACTATTCTAGTATGGGATCAATCGCAACGCCAAAGGCAGAGGCCTACGATGTTCTCATCATTGGTGCTGGTCTCTCTGGTATCGCTAGTCTTTATCATATTAGAGAACGCTTTCCATATTGGCGGGTTCGACTTTTGGAGGCTGCTACTGATGTAGGAGGGACATGGTTCTGGAATCGCTACCCTGGAGCCCGTTTCGATTCCGAGTCTATCTCATATGCTTATTCATGGGACAAAGATCTGCTACAAGAATGGCACTGGAAAGAAGCATTCTCTCCCCAACCTGAAACTCTCAAGTACATTCAACTGGTTACTGAGAAACACAACCTCCGCAAAGACATTCAGTTCAACACCCGTGTCAAGTCAGCCATCTGGAATGGATCTGAGAACACATGGAAATTCATAGATGAGGCAGAAAACTCATATACAACGAGATTCTTCATCAGTTGTTTGGGCTTTCTATCTGAACCTACACTACCGAACATTACTGGAATAGACGGTTTCCAGGGAGAGAAATTCCACACATCTCGATGGCCCCATGATTTTGTCATGAGTCGTGACTTTGGTGGCAAACGGATCGGTGTCATCGGTACTGGTGCAACTGGCATTCAAGCCATTACGGAGATCGCAAAAGAACCAAGCATCAAATCTCTTCATGCTTTCCAAAGGACAGCAAACTGGTCTGCTCCCCTGCGGAACACAGAGATTACCCCGGAGCAAATGGCAAAGTATAGGTCAGACTACGATGCTATATTTAAACGATGTGCTCAGACACCAATGTGTTTCCTCCATGAAGCCGACCCGAGAAAGTCCGCCGACGTGACAGATGAGGAGCGACTACAACTATGGGAAACGATCTACGCTCAACCAGGATTTGGAAAATGGCTCGGCGCATTTCGAGACACCTATATTGATCGCCAGGCAAACAAGCTTTATTCAGATTTTATGGAGAATAAGATCCGACAAAGGGTGAACGATCCTGTGGTAGCAGAGAGGTTGATCCCTAAGAATCATGGCTTTGGGACTCGAAGAGTACCGCTTGAGAGTGGTTATTTTGAGTCCTTCAACAGATCAAATGTCCACTTGGTGGATATAAAGGAGACGCCCATTGACAAAATCACTCCTTCAGGCATCTTGACCTCGGAAGGCACACAATATGATCTGGACGTCTTGATATTCGCCACTGGCTTCGATGCAATTACTGGCGCTTTTAGCGCAATCAACTGGCACGCCAAAGACGGCCGACCACTTGTGGGTAGCAGCGATGAAAAGAAAGGTCAAGAAGCAGTATGGATCGACCATAAGCCGAAAACCTTCCTCGGGATTACTGCTCCAGCAATGCCCAACATGTTCATGGTCTTGGGACCCCATCAACCATTTGGAAATGCCACGCGAAGCATCGAACATGCCGTACAGGTCATTTGTGAATTATTGCAGTACTGTGATGAGAATCACTATACATATGTTGAACCCACACAGGACGCAGTGGAAGATTGGACTGAGCATGTTCACAAATGTGCTGAGGGTGCACTGTCGAATGAGGTTGATAGCTGGATGACGGGCGTGAACAAGAATGTTGCAGGAAAGACTACGCGTAGTGTAGCTAGGTATGCCGGAAGTGCGATCGAGTTTCGTAAGCGATGCGAGGATTGTAGAGCTGCTGGGTGGAAGGGTCTGATGTTTTTGTAGGTGGGTACAAATGTAAATGTATGTTAATTGAAGGGCGTCCCCAAACGGATTCCAATCCATTGCAGCTTGCGAGACCGATTCTTCGGATCTCCAAGCATCTTACTCTTGCTTGTTCCAAACATCGTCCCAGCCAAGCGGGCTCCCTCGCCCCATTGAAAAACTACGATTCATTGAGCGAGTATGGCACGAGAGGAAGGTATCTGGAGCAACGAATATATCGTGGCTTGGTGTCATGAGCCAGAACCTCCAATAGCAAGTAAATTGACAGGGGCTCCCCTTTCACGATGAACCTAGAAAGAGGCGAAAGACTGGCTATTTGTCTTCTGTCAAACTAGACCCGTGCCAGTTAGCGTGGTCTGCCTTTTGCGACCGCAAGTCAAAATGGTCAAATTCAGCCTCAATGCTGTGGCTCGCTCAAGATATCCCACATTCTGAAGTCAACAAAGCGCACCATTCTGCAGCATCAGTAGGACCGTATGTTAGGCGCGCAATGAGGGGCAATCCTCCGTTATGACTCCAGGCTTTGGCTTTAGCGTGGGCGACTTCATCACTGCCATAGGTGGGGCTCAGCCTGACTGCTCGTGTTCTTCGCCACTGACATTGATTAAGAGCTTTGTAATAAGGTAGCGAAGGCCCTCAAGGACTCCGGAACAGCAGCAGCTGAATATCAGCATGTCATCCTTGAGTTACAAGGTTTACAAAATGTCCTCACCCGTCTGGCGGCGCTTGAGCCAACGGAGAGCAACAGTCAACAAGTCAACGCCATTCGAGGAGCTGCGCTGGCCAGCGTTCTCGTTTTACAAGAATTCTTGTCGAAACTGGAGAAGTTTGAGACCTCAATGTCACCCTTTGCTGCTAAGAAGACTCTGACCATGAGCCGAGCTGGAAAGCAAACGCAGTACGCGCTGTTCATGGCTGATGAAGTCAAGAAGATGCGCGCCGTCATTTACGGCAATGTCATTCGCATCAATGTATTGCTCGCTACTCATGCCTCGGAAAGTTTGTCCAGAACAGAAAGCAAGCTGGCAAACCAAGGTCAAGCTTTGAGCCAGGGGTTCCAAGATGCGAAGGACGATATGGTCCAAATCATCAACGAAGTTGCGCAATCAAAAGAGGAAACAATTGCCTACTGGGAAAAAGCACAACGAGACGCGATGGAATCTGCGGACCAAATGCAGGAGATTTCAAACAAGGTCGAGACCAATGCTTCTGCTCTGACACAGCGAATCTCAAGCTTGTCTATCGCGCTTAGTTCTCTTGCGAAGTCAGTATCTGGTGCCCGTGATCTCAGCTCACAGATTTTATCACTGCTGCGTATGATACCAGCGGAACTTGGGGGTCTCATTCAAACTGTCATGCGTTCGAATGCCAGGATTGAATCAACCCTACTCAGCATGGAACAGAAATTGGCAGCTTCTCCGTCTCTGTCACTTGAAACAAACATAAGATTGGAAGACGCACTTGGAAGGATCCATGCTGACATACCCTACGAGTGGTTTCAATACTGGGAGGTAATGACATCTCGCCTTATGTCCAAGACCGCTGAAACTGACCAAGACTAGACCTTTGAGGGCTTATTGAAGGCTAGATTCAAGGACACACCTGGGCGTCAGAAGATCGAAAACGGAGATTTTCGCCTCGTACACGCGAAACGCAATTCAGTCTCCCTCGACAAGGACTCATGGTCTGGGTCTATAACTCCGGGCGCACAGATCGTCATGCTCATGCTCATAAAGAACGTTGTTTTTCGGAATTCTTCATGTCCAAGGCGATCATGCACAGCCAAAATCGAAACTCAAGTCGGTATTGCAACCCTAGTGACTTGTCCGGAATGCGGTCTGCGATTTATCCCTCAAATGACCCCTGCCGGTTCCGCTGATGCAGACGAAGTCGCAAGGATTCAACGCACCGAGGATTCTAAACTTTTTGGGAAGAGTGCTGCGGGTGAAGAAGTAGAAAGTTCGGGTATCTCGCGACAGATCCTGGATATCACAGAGGATATTGAGATGATAGATGTTTCTGGCAATGACCAGGCGGATTCATCCTCAATTAGACGTCCACGAGAATCCATCCACAAGACAGCGGTCACTGGTACACTAGCGGATATTGAAAAAGCTGTCGGCTCAGCCTCTCCTTCCCCTCAAACTCCGGCGATATTTTCCTGGTTGACACATACTGTGCCTCCCAAGGACCCCGGCGCTGTTCGACAATGGCGTGATGCTGCCGAAAATGAGCATTTAGAAGTCCAAGAGCGTGAGGCCAGCGACTTGGAGGTGTTTCGCAACGTTCAGATCGTGACACCAGCGGAAGTAGGAGCGCCAATCTTGACCGGCTTTACTGCAGATCAATCAGATGAAATTGGTCTTGAATTCGGTGCTCAGATTTATTACCGCAACATGCTTGACAGATATCCTAAGATGGATGACTTCCTCGCTCGCCGCTTAGCCATAGGAAATTTGCAGAGGCAGCAGCGGTTGACAAAGATGCAGAGGGAGGCAGAACAAGCGAAAATCCGAGCAGCTTCTCGGGACAATGCTCCAGAAGGCATAAGGAAACGGAAAATACGTCGTTCAAGAACACAAACAGAGACTGTGGATGCAGACGTTGATGGCTGGGAAGATGTTGTGGCGGAATTTGAGGAGCCGCCAGAGTCACCGATGAGACCACATTACTTATTCGATCACATAACGAACCCTGAACATTGGACACTTCCCTCGGATTGGTTGCCGGGGCCTTTGCCAGGGCAATTTCCAGGCATGGAGGACCTTTCATTCGATCAGTGGCTCACTAACTCAGCTCCTTATGAGACATGGAAGCCCATCATGATCAAAGAAAGAAGATTCTGCAGACTTCCACCTTATCGCCCAGATCTTAAAGAGCCCAGCAACACGTCTGGCTCAATTTTATGCTATCTTTGCCACTCTCGGGTGCATATCCCAACAAAGCAGAGTTGGAGGTGAGTGTTCAGAGCAACTTTTCCTGATGATGCTGACGGCCTCCAGGAACCACGTTATGTACGACCTACAACCATACATGTGCCCTTATCGGTGTTGCACGGATGCCACTACCATGTTTTCTAGCAGAACAGTTCTTTTGTGCCATATAAAGCAACACTCGGATATTTCTGTTCCTAACACAACAAACGAGGGGTCTCAGTGCCCATTCTGCGACGTACGCAATCTTCCGAGCCCATTGGAGAGAGGAAGCCGCCAATACATCAAGCATATCGGACACCATATGGAAGAAATAGCCTTTGGTGTTGTAAGCACAGAACATGAGACGTGGTCGTACGACGAGTCAGGATCGGATGAGGGGCCACTCAAATCTGGGGAGCATCAGTTTTCTCGCGAAGGGAACCAATCATATTTAATGCATCCTGGCAACAACATATCTGGACCCAGAGACGACCACCCATATGCACCCCCTTCAGCTGAAGTGTCCGAGTGGCAGTTCTGGCCGGAGCTGCAACTCGCGCGACCGGCCGATTTTTGCTATGAGCAGGACGAGACTGAAAAGAAAACGGACTTCTGGACTGGGACAATGAGGGCAGCTTCGCCGGCCTCAAGTGCGAATTCAGGGTTAAGAGATCCTTACCATGCCGACCATTTCAGTGCTGGGTCAGCCGACGCAGAATCCCACGGTCATCCATACAGGTATTCCGCAGCAAGCGCAAGCTCTCCAACAAGGGGCAGGACGGCAGTGATTGGAAAGCATTCAAAGGCTCGTACGGACAAGGCCACAGACGTGAAGCGAGTTGGTCGACGGAAAGGCCCTCTGCGACCTGACCAGAGACAACAGGCTCGCGAAATCCGAAAACTACGAGCTTGTCTCCGGTGTAAGTTTCTGAAGAAGACGTGCGATAAAGGTGATCCTTGCGGTGGGTGCAATCCAAGCCATGCTCGCCTATGGCTAGTTCCTTGTACGCGGCTAGACATCAAAGACCTGGGATATTTTCTCAAAAACTGGAAGGTAGATTACGAAAGGCATGTCACTTTGGGCTTCAGTGTCGGAAACATCAAAGGGTTTTCCGATGCTGAACAGACCGTTTTGTTTACGCATGGCTACGGTCATTATTTCCCATTGGATGTTCGTGAAGTCTGGCTGAGAGACGACAGAGTTCTTGGAGTTGATTGGCTCGAAACTAAGCGAACTGAAGTCGGGGATGCCAGCAATGAACATTTTGAAATCGACACAGCCAGTCTAAGCTGTGGTACGGAGGGCGTCAGCATGGATCGTGTTCTGGGATACTTGCAAAGCTACATTGATGGAGACTTCGAACTCTTCATAGATGAGTATTTTGAGGGAACGCCCTTCCTGACTGAATGCCTAAAGACAACGCACCGCTATTACTTGAAGGATCGATCGGCCGTTCTTAAGAAGGCACTCCTACTAATACTCGCATATAGCCTGACATTGAGCTTGACCCTGATGCTAGATGACCCCGAGGGCATGTTGATCCCTGGTCGTGTTCGAGATCCTACCAGCAGACTTTGCGGACAAATTGCGGCTCCAGTCATGGTCAATTTTCAGATCAAAACCTGCCTCGCCGACATCTGGCGTGAGATTCACAAGGATTTGTTGGAGGAACTTGGTTCACTCTATAGTGCGGTGTACTCTGGTGATAAATTGAAGAATTGGGACAAGATATTCTTCGCCACCCTGGCTATCCTGGTCGTTTGGGAAGAAATGCAGTTTGACTGTCACTACCGGATCCCAGACCACCCTGTCGTTGACAAATTTTGCAGCGATATGGAAGCAACCCCTGTTGGTGTTTTGACAAATCTGTTTTGCGCCATTTCGACAAAAGTGCCGCGCTTCGAAGAGTGGGACACTCATCAGCATGCGCATCTTTTCCCAAACCGTTTTGCACTACATGATGCTTTGACGGATGTGAGGACGCATGTTGTCAAACATGGTAAGCTCACTTAGCGACAGAGACATTTTGGAACTAACGTTTTTGCAACAGAGGGCTTCCTGCGCTCCAGGCTGAGAGATACGAAGTTCGACTGCAACGACTTTGACTCGCTATCGAACAAATTCCTCTCGAGACTGGTCTTGCGAGAACCTATGGCATCGGGAGAACTTGAATAACAGTCTTGACTCACGTACAATCTCTTTGCGCAGGTTTCCAAGCTATCTCCAATACCTATACGGCATGTTGATATGGGATACCGCCAAGTATTTGCACCGGGGATCGCTTGGTATTGAAGTGGGAAGACGACAATATCAGATGGTATTGATTCAATGCAGACGAACCCTACTACAGGAGAAACCCAACTTTGAAAGGCGTTCCAGCCAGCGATCCGGCACGGCTCACCTTTGTGTGTACCCTCCGTCTACGAACAATGCTGTCCCAGTTACAAACGAACTCCTTCCACCGGACAAATAGACAACGCCATCGGCAATTTCTCTGGCCGTTCCCATCCGTCCCATCGGAACACTGGTCGCTACTTTCTCCTTCATAACCTGCAATACTAACTCTGATTGAGTCGTCATGGGAGTCTCCGTGTAGCCTGGACAAATGGCGTTAATCCGGAGGCCATCCTTTGCATAGTCTTCCGAGGCTGTCTTGGTCAGACCAAGGACTCCGTGTTTAGACGCCGTGTAGGCAGTCGACATGGGCACGCCAACGGCACCCAGTATCGATCCGAAATTAACAATCGAGCCACGCTGCAAGGGTCGTCCATCAATGCTAGAGAGAATTGGTTCCTGCTTCAGCATAATCTTGGCTGCTGCTTTCAGGACGAAAAATGTACCCGTGAGATTGACATCGATAATGCGTTGCCAATCACTTGTTTCTGCGTATATCGCACCACCGGCATGCTTCATTGCCAGTCCAGCGGCATTGACGACATAATCGAGTCGCCCAAATATTTGAGCCGCGCCATTCACAGCCTGAATGACCTGTTCTTCATTCCTCACATCTACCGTGAAGACTTCGACTCGGCAAGACTTCCCTTCACGCTCGGTGCACCGCTTCTCGACCTCTGTTTTCACCTGTATTAACACATCATGGTTGATGTCCAATAGCGCGATACCTGCCGCACCATCCGTGGCAAACGTGTTTGCACATGCCCTGCCAATGCCCGAGGCTGCCCCTGTGATCAAAGCATAGCCTGGTACATCCATGATTGTGTTGTGAAGTAAGATATCAAAATCATTCAATGGTGAGAACTGGGCATCAAAATTTGATTCAAGCAAGCGGGAGAATGTAGTCAATCAGACTTGAGCCCCTCGAGGAGTGACTACAGCTGGAAAGCCGAATGCATTTGTATCGAAATGCGGGGATAGCTCGTGGGGAGACTTGCCTTGTTGTCATCTCCAAGGGAGGGTATGGGCATATGTTCTGAGCCGAGCTACATAGAACCCCGACTTGAACTTAGCTATGCGTCATAGTCAACTTCAACCGCCTCTACTCATGACCGAAGTTTGCTTGGACGAGTGGGTGGTGAGTTTGAACGTTTGGGCCTTTCGAGCACACTTGGTCGGTACTGTTAAGATGGAAAAAAAGGAAGGACATTGATACGGCGGATCACATTGTGTAATCATGCAGACTAGTGCTATAATAGATGTCAACTCCACCCTATTGGCTTGGCGAAATCTAGGCGGTGGCAGAAAATGTTCCGATCTCCACAAAATTTTGGCACCCAAATTTTCCTCGAGAAAGCCAGGCCATTGATTGCGGCGCCAATCGATCTTGCTTCCTACACCTACTGACAAGTTCTTGTGCTCCATTACTGCAACAAACCATGAGCAAACATAAACTCGACGACGGGCCACAGTTGGCAAAGGTCGACAAGAAAAGAAGAAAGAAGGACCGAAAAGAGGCACTCCGCTACGAAGACATCACGCCCAGTTCCACCGACGCCACTGCAAACTCGACTCCAGCGCCCGAAGAACAAGAAGATGAAGGCACCGAGTACAAGCCTGACCCTTCACTGGATTCTTTACCACAGAGCGATGTCGACAGTTTCTTTAGTTCACAGTCCGTCCAAATAAGCGACCCGCAGGACTCAAAACTTCGACCCGTTCTCGCCTTCTCCCACCTCCCAACCGCTCTGGCTACTCAGTTCTCCTCCAAATTTTCCTCGTTTGAAAAGCCCTCAGCAATCCAGTCTGCTGCATGGCCCTTCCTTCTCTCCGGTCGAGATGTCGTGGGTGTGGCAGAGACAGGCAGTGGCAAGACAATTGCTTTTGGACTGCCTCTAGTCACGAGACTCGCCTCGTTGAAGAAGAAAAAGGGCATTCGAGCCGTTATTGTGGCTCCCACACGAGAACTAGCCATCCAGGTCTTCGAGCAAGTGGAGAAATTATGCCAGACTGCAAATAAACTGAAGGCCACTTGTATCTACGGTGGCACGAATAAAGATGAGCAACGTCGAAGTCTGAACGGTGTCAACATTATCGTCGCGACCCCCGGTCGACTCAAGGATTTCATGTCCGACGGTACGATCGATGTCTCCAAGACGAGATATCTCGTCCTTGATGAAGCCGATCGCATGCTCGACAAGGGTTTCGAGGACGACATCAAGCACATCATCTCACAGATGCCGTCCCAGAAGAAGCGACAGACTGCTATGTTCACCGCGACATGGCCCAAGTCGATTCGAGATCTAGCTGCTACGTTCATGAAAGAACCAGTGAAGATCACCATTGGCCGCAACGACACCGATGATTCAGGTGAACTCCGTGCGAATAATCGGATTGTGCAGAAAGTCGAGGTCATGGACGGTGCGTTGAAACAACAACGACTTCTTCAAGTTCTGAAGGAGCATACCGCCGGTAGCAAGCGTAATGATCGTATCCTGGTCTTCTGTCTGTATAAGAAGGAAGCTCAACGAATCGAGAACTTCATTCATGGCCGGGGTATGAAGGTTGCCGGAATCCACGGGGATCTGTCTCAATCGGCGCGCATTGCCAGTCTTGAGGGCTTCAAGTCCGGCGCCGTCAACCTTTTAGTTGCCACCGATGTGGCAGCGCGTGGTCTCGACATCCCTGAAGTCAAAGTTGTCATCAATGTGACATTTCCCCTGACTGCTGAGGACTATGTCCACCGCATTGGACGAACCGGCCGTGCTGGAAAAACGGGACTGGCGATCACATTCTTCACCGAGCAAGACAAAGCCCTCGCTGGTGGGCTGATCAACGTTTTGAAAGCGGCGAAGCAAGACGTTCCCGAGTCGCTGTTGAAGTTCGGCACCACAGTCAAGAAGAAGCAGCACGACTCATATGGTGCGTTCTATCGCGATGTTGACGATGGAAAGGTGGCCACGAAGATCACGTTTGATGATTGATTTACCCTAAAAGTGATATTGCACTTCATCTCGAAACTATAGTTGTCTTGTTGACTTGATCGTTGTAAGAAATGGTATCCTGGAAGCAAGGCGTTGGGGAATGATGGTCTGAAGCATCTGCAGTAGAAAATCTCGTTCGGTGATGAGGCTATATCACAGCGTTGGTTAGTTAGACCTGTTGATGTGGTAAAGCGAACAAATAGAAGTCAGACAATCAACTCACATCGTCGAGCCCAGTATTGTCGTTCCTGCCGCGAGAATCCCCACTGTTTCACGATTGAGGTCTTCAGTGCTCAGTCCAGAGATCCTGAATCCCACAACCATCGCTCCAGCCGTGGCAATAGACGCAAGGGACGGCACGGCCTCTCCGATCGTCCGCCTAAACTCACGAGTTCCCGTCTGCGCTGTCCTCCCACCCCTCCCATGAACCCAATCCCCAATAAACCATACACTCCAGCCAACCCGCATGGCCATATTGACCATATTCGCCCAGATCAACGCACTCGCCCCGACGTCACTCCGCGTAAGCAACCCCCAACTGACCGCGCCATAGACGCCCGTACAGATGACCATCCACACCGACTGGCCTCTCAACTGCGCCGGAGTAGCCACGGACGTCACGAACGCATCCAATATCCCGTTCACCGCCATGAATGGGATGTAGTAGCAGTACGTCGACAGTAAGAGCGCCGTGGAGGGCGTGTACCATGATGCGCTGAGGATGTGCCGCACCAGCAGTGGGAGGATATGCGGTGCGAGCGTCACGAGGGGGAGGGAGAAGATCAGGTAGGTGTGTAGGACTTGCGCGAGGTATTTGACTGCTGGATCGGGTTTCTCATGGTGTGATTTTGGTTCCGGGTTGTATTCTCGCTTCATGTCTGCTTGAGAACCACGGTCTGACGATGACGGACGGGATGAGATCAAGCGGCCGAATGTGTTGCGACTGCTTTCCTCAACGGGCTGAAAGACCAGGCGCGCCAGAAGACCACCGTAATTCGATGCGAGCGCAAACGCGCCTTGGTCTGCGAGGCTGGAAAGGACTGAAAGTATCACGGCGTCACCTTGTGTTAGGAGCAGTTTGAATATCGATTGCATGTACATCGTCCCTGCAAGGATGAGGTGCGATTTCGGGAACAAGTCGAGATAACTTGAATTTCCGGCTTTCTCTATTGACCGATCAGAAGCCATTGATCCTGAGCCAGATATGCCCAGCCTCGCCGGGCCAATGCTGAAGCCATCTCTATGCGATGCTTGAACAGTTGGGAGCAGATACAACGCCAACAACACCATCGCATACGCCGCCTGACCAACCGCGAACGGCAGAATACTCGCCTCCCAGCCCTGGTGGTGCCCCAGCGCAGCAACAGCACAAGCAACCAGACACCTTGCCATGGCCGCACTGGTCTCAGCTCTCGCCCGCGCCTTGTACAGTGCCCTCTGCTGGATGAACAGAAACCCGGGCTCAGCAAGTAATTCCGTCAGCGTCGCGAGCGCGTAGATTTGGAACGACAGCGTGAAATGCGGGCTCGTTCGTGCCTCGTGCGGTGCTGACGATATGTATGAATACCCAAAGACTAGTGAGATGGCCAGCCCGATTGCGATCGACAGGTACGATAGGTTCACAACCTGTTGGCTCTGCAGTGCTGCTTCGGAACGGAATCGGGGTGAACTTTTCGACTTCTCCTGGTAGGTATGCGCTCCAAGTTTGCCGCCATTGGCATCGCCGTTGATCGACGGCTTAGGCGTCGGCGAGGGACCTTGCCGCTGCAGCGCGACGCGTAGACTGTCACGTGCAAAGTATAGACTGGTCACGGAGACGAGTTCTAACTGTACTGAGACTCCCAGCAGCGTGGGCGACAGGAATCGCAGTAGGAACTGGTTGCCGATGAATGTCAGGGCACGAGAGGCCACTTGGATTAATATCAGATGGAGGGTGCCGCTTCCCGGTTGGTTTGGGGCACCTGGTGTTCTGGAGGCCATGGTTTGTGGGATATTAACAGATTTCTTGAGACCTCGGGGTTGTTCTCAATATGGGCTCTCATCCCAGGAATACATTGATTTCGTGAACTCGAGTATTCCTAACGTCGATATTTATCAAAATTTGAAGTACAAGACGTTCAGGTTCAAGTGTCGAGGTCACGTGTTCTATTCCTGTCAACTCACATGTATCTTCTTCACAATGTTTTGTACACTTGAGTGTACTGTTCAAATCTTGCGTCCGAAAGGAGCCCTGAAAGTCGAAGACTGCACGCTGGTAAATATAAGTGGTGGAATATATTTCTTGAATATGGTTATCCTACGTTCGCCTGTGATTCTACGCGCGGACCACGTCATTTGTCGCCAATCTCGCATGGGGTGGCATGTTAATTGAGTATGGAAATAGAATTCATACGACGTTCGCCACAAGCGGTTACGAGGAGCGTACAGAGCAAATTGGCGTTGAATACCCGGTTCAGAGAGCATAAACCCTTTTTATGGAATGCGTCAGATATATGGTTGATCCCGATAGTGCACACCATGGCCGGGTATGCCTTGACGCCCAGCTAACACCAAGCGCCGATCTGGATGCACAATTGCTCTTAACCCTAAAGTCTGATATGCATCTGCTCAAATGGCAATTGCACTTGGGCCTGGTGTTACAAGTAGAAGAGCCTGTCGGCCTCTTCAGACCGAGCCATCTCAAACTTCATCCACGTCCATCTTCTCCACTACCACGAGGCTGTCTGAATCACTGCCAGATCCAAGCTCTTGAACGGTGATGTATCGACCCAGATCTTCCTTGGTGATGACTTTCTCGTTCAGTACTGCTGTTGTGCCCCGGGCAAACTTGTAGTTGCGTTCCTTCTTCACCCGCTGGTTGGGAGTGATATAGTTTCTCAATAATTGCGATGGCTTATCCTTCTCGATCACACAGACGTCGACGTTGCTTCCAGACCCCAAGTCGTTGAAGATACCGGCCATGATGGCTTCCGAACAAAGTTTGATTGCTCCCTCTCGGTTGATGGTCTTCTTCCACGTCGATTCGAAGACTGCCATTGCAGCAAGCGATCCAGAACCCATGGTGACGTATGGCAGCTTGTCCGTAGAACCGTGAGCATGGACTGTGAACAATCCCACTCCCGTCGGGTCAACTCCAGCCACAACCAGGTATGCGCCAATATGTCCCTGGTATCGGAAAAGATGTTGCTTCAGCATAGTCATGACGGTGACTACGCGAGGTTGCCGACCGGTGGATAGAGAATGGAGTTCGAGGTTGGAGGAGATCAAAGCAGTCGTGAATTCAGTGTCGGCCGCAGTTCCTGCTCCAGCACACCAGATGTTGGGGGAGATGTAGTGTAGTTTTTCGCAGTTCTAGCAAGTGTTAGAACTAGCCATCAATGCCGAATACGAACACTGACCTTGTCTGCAACTATGGGACCACTCGTAGCTCTGGTATCTGCGGCAATCTGAATAAGTTGAAATTAGCCTCTGAGCCTTTTGGGGACCGATGCAACCATCCACTCACCACAACACCATTGTCGTATATGCATCCTACGATGGTAGTACCGGTACTTGTGGCTTTGGGTAGAGGCACACCTCGTGCATGCAATGCGGCATTGCGGTTGTAGTTTGTGAAGTCAAAGCCTGGCATGATCGCGGCGGAGGCAAGGAGCACCCTATGGCGAAGGATTGAAGGCTCGGTGATTGACGGGAGGATAACGAGGGTTGTGTTATTCAAGTGAGCGGGTGCGGAGGTCGGAAGAAACGCAGATAAAAGCAGGTGAGGAGGAAGAGCCCTGATGTGGTTGATTTATGAAATGATCAGTGTCACATGGAACTGTGAAGGCAGCCGACATGCGCAACACTGCAAGTTGAACGCGACCAAAACCTGGTCACGTGGGCTGTGGTACGGTGAATCATTCGGTCAGCCTGACATAAGTTGGCCAAGCGCCTACGGTCGTGCTTACAGCTCGGGGATTGAACTACTTCTCTCGCCGATTGTACAAAGATAACATTGAAGAATATACTGGGTACTTAAGGTCGGTAGGTAGAGATATGTTTCGGGATACCTAGATACTATATCCTTTGACATTGACAAATATATACCCACAGGACATCACCGAAACAGTACCGGTATGGCTCTGGGGAGCAGCCTCCAGTAGTGGTACCCAGAATGTGAATCTATGCCTTCGCGGCTGTTACAACTTCTTGTTGAGTAGTTGCAGCTTTGTCATCCAATGTCCCGTGACCACCACCGTGGAGTTCCTTCTCCTCATCTTCCATCGCAGCCTTCTCAAGTTCGGCTTGTTCTTCAGCCGACGCGCCATAGAAACGAATAGCAACAGCTTCTCCAAATTGGGCATTGATATCTTCCTGTAAAGTGAATCAGCTACTGTACACCCAGACGGCAGTCGTTTTGTGGACTCACCAGACTGCGCCCCTTGGTCTCTGGGCAGAAGAAGTATACAAAGGCGATATTGAATGCGGTCGGCACGATAAGGACGAGGAAGAACTTCCAGCCAATCTTATCCAGTGCAATAGGTCCGGCGACGAGCAGGATGATATCTGCCAGATATAGGCCAGACATACCGACACCCATACCTTGGCTGCGAATGTGGGTCGGGAAGATCTCGGAGCTAAAGGACAGGTTAGGAAAAATGATCTTGAGATATGCTTGCATCACAGAACTTACAGGTAGAGAAATTGACTAGCGTCCATCTGTACGTCAACAAGTCAGTAACCACGATAAACCGCTGTGGGCAGGGAAGACAAACAAATGTGCTCCAGAAAGGAGTAATGAATCTAGCACAGTCATTAGTATTCTTGATTTGCTCTGACAAAAGAGTTTGCAAAATTACTCACAGGAAGATGAAAAATATGGCAGCGTTTTGGCCCGCTCGGTTGGTAGTTCCAAGGTAGGTTGCTTGAAGCGCAATCTCGCAGATCAATGAGACGAGTATGCCAGTCAGACCAATGAGCATAAACTTTCGACGGCCGAATCTTTCGACATAGAAAGCACAGAACAAGTTTCCTGGTAGGGTGGAAGTGACCCAGAGCGAGGTGAGCAATAGCGGCATATAGCCAGTCATGCCGAGAGAAATGTATAGGAGGATACCATAGTTGGCGATAATCAAGACACCCGTGAATTGATTATTCCACATGAGCAGGAAGCCGACTATAGCACGCCGACGGTTTGCTGGAGTTTTGAAAATCTCCCATTTCGAAGTGGTGGCCTTAATCTGACGGTCAAGTTCGACCTGTTTCTTCATCTGGTAGAATTCTTTTCGAGCAAGACTATCATGAGGATCACCCTTGGTGGCGTGAAGCCTCTTGATGACATCGTGGGCCTCGTCAAAGCGGTTCTGCATCATGAGCCATCGAGGGCTATACGGCAACCAGGGAGATCCAACCAGCAGGGCAAGTGCTGGCACCATTTGGAAAGCGATCGGGAATCTCCAAGGAAACGAAGATGGCGATCCGCTGGTAGATATGAATGACACGCCGAAGCCAAGCCATGCTGAAAGTGAATATCCGACGGCAAACATGACGCCCTAGTAATGATCAGCGAGAGCGAGAACAGATCGAGTTGTTGTACCCACATGCATGGAGACCATGAAACCTCGCGATTCGGGGGTCGAGACCTCAGCTTGATACCTATTGAGCAAGTTAGAAAAAGTGTGACTGGCATTTTCTTCCTTTCTTCTGACATTGGGATCGCCGTGACCAAGGCGCCGATTCCGAGGCCGTTGATAACGCGGCCAGCCATGAACATGCCATTGTTGACAGATCCGGCACAGATGGCAGCACCGATCGATAGAACCATTGCCGCCCACTGTATAGTCTTCTTCCGACTGAACTTGTCGGCAAGGTAAGAGCATGCGACACATCCAATCGCCGACCCGGCGGCATTCACACCTAGACAGGAATCACACTTAGCTACAGCGACCAGGGAGAACGCACGAACAGAGGTCAAAATCTAAAACTTACCGTTAAAGGCGCCAATATATTCTGCGGTGCGGGAATAGCCAGGTTCGCCAGCAGGGGCAAGCTTGAGAGAGGTATAGAAGCTTGGCTGTCCAATGGTAGAGCTGGTTTACATCAGCTCAACGTTGCTGATGATCACAACCGCGATGCCTACCCAATGATGGCCATGCCATAAGAGCAGGCGGTGGACCCAAGGGCCACATAGACAACAACTGCAAGGTTGAAAGCATTTGGGATTAACTTCCCCATGGTTAAGACTGATGTGCGAACAATATATGGCAGAAGGGAATAACAAGTCTGACCAGATCAGGGGGGACTGAGTACCGAATCCGTGGGGAGATAAGTAAATTTATAGGCGAGCCCTGCAGGGTTCTACCTGAATGTCACTGATCGGGTACAAACACCAAGGTGCACCGACAACAATTAGACGAGGACCCTGGCGGATTTTGAGATGGATCAGAACCATCTTGATGGAGCTGGAAATGAACAAGACATTAGTTCATATCCCCAACTTGCGAGCCGGTGGCAGGTGGTCGTAAAGGTTAAGCGAAGCTAGGACAGCTACCGGAGAAGCGATCCAAACAATCCCTCAGCTCCTCCTGGGATTACGTGGCGAGACAACATCTAACAAGAGGTCGCCGACGGCACGGCTGGTCACTAGCGTCTCATGCTTGTCAGGCTTGCCATGGTTCTCTGTATTTCTTCGAGCTTGGATCGCTCACCACTAGCAAATCAAACAAACTTTGTTATCTGTCTGGAATCTGTTTTCCGTCGTGACCCTCGGTTCACGGGGATGGCGTCCAATGAAAAGATCAATCTGGGGATACGGTGGAGGTGCTGTTGGACCAGAAGTGTGTGGAAGTGGAGATTCGTGAGTGCCCAGCCAGAGAAGAAATGGGGAAGATCAATGCGGGGTGAGACTAATTGCTGTCTCGAATCCCCAGATTTTGCGGAGAAATCCATGTAAAGCCCCGAGGTCAAAATCTCGAAATGGCTAGATGGTCGACTTGGCCAATACATATCTTTCTTGGAGGACGAAAAAAGAGAATCCGGTGGATGTCACTGCTTCATGACACGGGCGAATTTGAGTCAGCGAAACGTTTGCGGGCCGGTTTCAACCCCGCTCAGCCTTCAGGTTCGATTATTGATGTCTCTTGGCTAAATCGCACGGTCGCACAAGGATGGAAAGCAAGTCGAGCTTTGGAAAGACCAATCCTGGGATAGCTCTGATACCGCACAGCATTTGGATTTGGCAACACGGCAGAATTCCACCTCGTATTCGCCAATTGCCCATGGTCTCTACAGTCCTGAGGATCCAGATTTCTGGGTCGCATTAGTATGACATCCTGAAAGTCGGAACGCCTGGTTCAAAGCATTCTAGCCACGAGCCAAACACAGACGTCTTGTTGGGTTTGAAGCATAGTAGATAACATCACTGTTGTGAAAGGTCATTAACCCCGATACCATGGTCATGGTCCCCCACTGAAGTCGTCCATAGAATAAAGAGAGTGGTCAACATTACCTTCGTGGTAAGCCCAGACGGGAAAACAGGAAGCATTTGTCACCGGCATAATGTGGGTATGCAGAGGCACATAACCTTTGACCTTGTCGAAGTCCACGTGGACACAGAGGGGCTGGGTGGGATGTCACTTGTGCCCGTGCACGTTCAGTCAAGTTTCCGAGAACGGGTTCTGAGAAACTAGGGAGAATCACGAACTTGATTGAAGCCAGAGGAATAAAGTAGGGAGAACCATGAAGCCACAATGTGCACTTCCGACTAATAGAGCTTCGCGGGCGAAATCACGTGACTTCTCGTTGACACTGGCGGTAGTCGCGTCCCAAGCCGCCAGTGTTTGGCTGCCAGAAAAATCACCAACACCAACCAGCCTGAGCCTGCATTGCATGCCTTCAGCCCACAGGCAATCTGGACTTACACATCCACTCCGCCAACACCAAAACACAGTTATCTAACCCACAACTTCAAATATCCTGACACGCCATCGAGTACATGCCTGAGCAATTTCTTCAAAATTGCTGACCACAAGCGCTCCCCTTCCCTCTGGAGGCCGACTCTTCTTCCCAGACACTCCTTCACCAACTTGAATACACAACCCACCCCAACCAGGTCACTCTCAAATGCCCACGCGCAGGCTCACGCTCCTTCATCCTCTCCCTCTTCTCCCTCTCCTTCGGTGAATGCGCGACGATCTATCTCCACGGAACTTCCTAGATTGAGGATGGCTTTCAGCTTCTCTAATGCCGCCGCAAGTGCCTCATCTGCGGGCTCCGCTGGCCTTCATATGAGCGACGGCCCAGAGTTGCAAGAGATCCAGACCAACAGCATTGGCTTCTCTGCCCTTAATGGCGAGGCCAAGGTCCAACTTCTTCCATCTCCATGGCCTTTGGACGACCTGCCTGCGCCCTCATCATCACTGCTATCAGTGGCATCCTCCAGAGGCCTGCTCGCCGCTGCTGGCCCTGATGCTCTTTACGTATTTTCCACATCCCAGGTTCGAGAAACCTTCCAAGCACCCGAAAGTGGTCAAGGGCGTACCCTCGAACCAGATATCGAAATCCCCATCTCTCGATTGTCACAAGTTGCGTTTTCCTCCGACGACAGCGTCCTCGTCGCATCCACCGAAGCACAGGGTGGTGTATTGGCTTTTCAAGTTGAGAGCCTCAAGAGTGGGAATTTGGAACCTGCGGTGACTATTACTACAGATGGCCAAACCCTCAGAGCCCTTGTGCCAAATCCAGATCCAGCATCGCCTGGGCTATTTGCTCTTGTCACTTCCAATGGAGGCTTGATGCTTGCAGATCTTAAAGCAGGTAGTCTGGCTTCAGGTTCCAATGGCACAGTCCTCGCAAGTAACGTCAGCTGTGTCTCTTGGAGCAATAAAGGTAAACAATTGGTTGCGGGCTTGGCAGATGGCAATGCGTTACAGTTGAAGCCTGATGGCAGTGTTGTCGCAAATATACCCAAATCAACCTCCATCCCTACAGACGTCCATGTTTCCGCCATTTCGTGGCTTGAGAATGATACCTTCTTTAACATATACACTCCAAACAGTACGAATGACGGCAACCAACCATCCGAGTACTACATCATCACCCGGGATCCAAAGCAATCGACGTTCACTTTCGAGAAGCTACCCGAGGTCTTGTTACCTTTTGGTATGGAGCGCCTACCCTCTGCGCATTTCATATCAAGACTCAGAGGGTTTCAGCCAAGTTTGCAGGAACTCCTGCTGTTGACAGCCACAAGCTCAACCGACGTGGGCCTGGTAACTAGAACAACCAAGCCCCTGTCAGAAGAGGGTGTTGTGGCCCCAGCATTCACCACCACCATGATCGAGGAGGACACACGACGTGCACAACTACCGATATCTTCTGACCAACAAGATACCTCGCCAATAGGCATGGCAATCGACCTTTCGAGTACGGAAAAGGTCCCAAATCCCATTCCATCCGACCCAGAAATCCTGGAAACTACAGGTCCCGTCCCGAATCTGATCATCTTGAACAATGAAGGTATACTGGTATCATGGTGGGTCATTCATAATGATTCAGTACGGGAGAAGACTACATATCCTGGTTTCGCTACTGTCGAGGCTCTTCAGCAAGGAGTAACTAGTAAGACCAGCACCCTTTCCCAAACGCCAGCAGCACCCCCAACAACAGCGACTACCAATGCGAGTCCATTTGCGAAGCCTAGTTTTGGCGCTCCTTCTGCCCAGTCAACCTTTGGGAACATCACGACCCCGGCTTTTGGCACTTCCTCCCCTATCGGATCAGCGAAGCCGTCATGGACATCAACAGGCTTTGGTTCGGGAACGGGAACGGGAACGGGGACGGGGACAGGAACAGGTGCTTCTAGTGCACCAAGCTTTGGTCAAACAGCCTTTGGTGGTACTTCTTCACCAGCTTTTGGTTCATCCAGTGCTCTGGGTAAACCCTCAGTCTTTGGCCAAACGGCTTCCCCAGGCATCGGTGCTTCCACATTTGGTCAACCTTCACCCTTTGGGTCCAATGTGAAAGCCAGTCCTTTCGGTGCGGCTGGTGCAACGTCTACACAATCTGGCTTTTCATCTTTCTCCAACGCGAGCGGACTCTCTCCATTCGGGGGAGCTCAAGCAGATCAGAACTCCAAGAGTCCATTTGGCACAGCGTCTGGAAAGATTGGATTCGGACAACCATCATCAGGAAATATCTTTGGTGCAAACACGGCTTCCACGTCTCCATTTACTGCCGCCAAACCGATTGGCTCGACGGGATTCAGAGGCTCGAGTGGAGCTTTCAAAATCCAGTCGTCGTTCCAAGGGGATGGTAGCGCAAAGGATGATGGACCGAAACCAGATCAGCTGAGTGGATTTGGTTTCGGAACCTCTTTGGACGACATGATCAATGACAGCAACGATGCTCTGTCGCCCACTCACGATCGAGAATCAGAGATGGGTGATGAGACCAGTAAGGGCGACTCGGATTCTGCAAGAGGAGAGGATGGTCCTTCCAGCCAACCACCAGGGCCACTGGTCACACCTCCTGCTACGCTCAACCAACCCAAAACTACTCCAGCTCCACCACTGTCAAATCTTTTCGGCAATGCGAGCAATCAAACCACCACTCCTCTACCACCACCGACTAGTTCTGGATGGTCTTTTGGTGCACTTCCTTCGACGACGCCGAAAGAGACGCCTGCACCTTCCCACATAACTCTATTTGGGACAAAAACGAGCAGCGATGACACACCTGCGAATGTGCAAAAGAGTCAACCATCCAACACGTTTGAGGTGTTGAAGAAAGCGCCAGAGATCAAACAGGAACCTCCAAGTGATGACGAGTCCGTGGACTTGAACGCTGTGCCTGAGGCTCCTCTCCCACCAGATCCAATGAGCAAGCCCTTATATATTGCAGGAGATACCTCAGTTTCCTCAATTGCATCAAAGACGCCACCCGATGATGCACCATTGCCCCCGGAATCTCCATCCTCCACAAGTAAACATGATGATGTACCATTACCCCCAGACTTCTTGTCTTCTGCCAAGCAAACAGATGAAGGGCGGTTCCAGGAGTTACCTAGTGACGGCGAGGAGGAAGGAGATGAAGAAGACTTCAGCTCAGACTTCGAAGGCAGTGGAGAGGAGGTCGCTGAAAAATCTAGTCAACAGGAAGACGGTGTCGACGAGCAGCAGGAACAATTACAAACATCCCCCGAGAGCTCCTTTAAGAGTGGAGACCGGAGCGCCGAAATCAGTCCTACTGGTGGCTTGTTCACCAAAGTGACTGCGACCAGTTTTGGCTCGAAGAATGCTCGGCCTCTTTTTGGTGAGGTTGGACGATCAGGACCAATATTCCCTCCACCAAAGCCTCACGAGAGCCCTCGGTCTCCTTCGCCGGTGAGGAACGTATTCCCAGTTGATGGACTGCGTGTCGATGCATCCAGGTCTGTTAGTGCACCGGCCCATCCACGATCTGTCATTGATCAGCGAAAAGCCGAGTATCAACAGTCAGCCCTTGCGATGCAAGCTTCCAGGATCAAGGAAGAGGAAGTCGCGAAAGAGAAGGCACGGCGGGACGAAGCAATTCGACGGAAAGCCCAGGAAGAAGAAGAACAGCTTGCTACGCTGCAGGATGATGAAGACGACAGATTGAGACAAGAACTCGAGAGACCAATAAACCCAACGCCGAATCTTGATGACTTTATGACATACCAGCCAAAGGCACCGGAAGACACAACGAAAACTGGGATCCCTGCGCAAATCGAGCGGCTTTATTCTGACATCAATTCGATGATTTACACTCTGGGAATCAACGTGCGCTCGCTAAAATCATTCATGCAATATCAACAACCGGAAGTTACCAATCAATCGTGGCCTAGTGTACTCAAGTCAGAGACACCGATGGACGCGTTGAATGACGAATGGTTATTGGGTGATATAAAGCGTCTGCATGAAGGACAGGTAGTTCTATCGACTACTCTGGAGCAAGGGCAAATCGACGGATTCAGCGAGAAGCTGCAGCAATGCCAACAACTTCTTGGTCACAATTTGTTTGAACTCCGAGCAAAGTTGACGTCTATCAAAAAGTCTCTCAGTGCTTTGACGAGTGAAGATACCAGCATGAATGCACCACTCTCTGCAGAGCAGTCGTCGATTCAAAACGATCTTCGTCGAGCTTCCGCGTCGGTCCAGTCGAAGCTCGTGCAAGTGGAAGACAGTATTGTCATTCTTCGGGCTAAGCTCGCCGAGACTGGCGCATCTGAGGTGTCGAATCCAAGATCTAGCACATTCGGAAGAACACCGTCTCAGAGAAAACCTACAGTTGAAGCAGTGACAAAGACAGTCGGAAAGATGATGGCCATGGCAGAACAGAAGAGTGCAGATATCGACCTACTTGAGAGCCAGTTGAAGAAATTGGGATTGTCGTCAACCACCGCATCGACTACCACTAATGGCGAAAGACTCAACGGTGGCAATGCCATTTCAACGCCACAAAGATTGCGTCGCTCGGTCAACGCGGTCACACCAGCAAGCGCTGGCAGTGTTTATCAAACACCAGATTCGAAGTTTTCGAGTAGTGTCCGCTCACATCGAGGATTCCGGGCTAGCCAGAATGGTGGATCTGTGGTATTCTCGTCTGAGGATCGGGAACGATGGCAGGCACAAGCGCTTCGCAAGAAGGAGACGGCTGCATTACTCAAGCGTGTCTTGAATGAAAAGCGAAAGCAAAACGCTATCAAGACCTGATCGAATGCTGGACAGCCATTTGAGTGGACTAACAGAGATGAATGTACACCTATTGGAAACTACTGGTGTACCTTGAAGGTATGATGCTGGTTTGACGGTAGATAGCTGTATTGTATGTAGTGTTAATGAGAATAGGATGCGCGAATGTTCATTCATGTACTCGTGCATAAAGTTGAAAACAAAACCCTGACTCGAAGTGATGCACCACATACAAAATCAATGACTCGCTGCGGATACCAAGGCCTGCCTGAATCACGTGAGGAAGCTAATATCTTGGCACAGGCGGCAAGCGAAATCTCCTCTTTCTGGTCGCAACCTCCCCAGTGGAAGCAGAGATACAATCACTTCAAAGACACCTGGGGTCGCTTCTCCATCATTCAGATCATTGTTCATCGTCGACATTTGCACCTGATTGTGTCGTCGCAGCAGTCGCTTTATGTCAAACACTCGGTAGAAGTTACTCCAACTTCACACGCTCGTTTTGGCATCTGTCAATTTCCCCTGCAAAACCCGCAAAGTGAATTGAACATCCACTCCACCTCGGTTTACTTCTACTTCTAACTCCCTGCTTCTTCCTCCTTGTCAATCATCGACGACCACACCTGCGCCTGCTTCTCCTCTACTCAAGGGCCTCTTGCTCTTGGTTGTTGTTCTCCTGAGTTAAGTACGAGGCTCGTTGTTATTCCTGCGCCGCGAAGGAAAAGGGAAACAAAGTCTGGGTCATCGTCCGGTCACCTCACCATCTGCTCCTGGAAAGCGTTGTTATTTTCAACCTGACTTGAATCATCTCCTCCATCCATCTCTTCAAGCATCCTCCACCTCATCTATCCTTTCCTGCATTCCTCCGACCTCCACAGAGCACTTACATTCAATCATCCAACCCTCTCTTCGAGAGCCCGAGTTCTCCACACACCTTTTCCAGTTCCAACCCTCCCACCTTCACAGTCCTTTCTCGCATTTGGTCCCTCCGAAATCCTCTCCTCTGCACCAGCACCTTTTCTTTGGGGTTTCCCTCTGGTGTACATAATACTCGAGATCAATAATAAATCAATTTTGAGATCCATCTACACTTGACATTGCAAGTGTCCACTCCACCCCTTGTCCAAGGTCACGCGACATGTCTGCTTCACCCTCATCCACCACTGCAATGGCTTCGACAAAAAGACCATTGGAAGATCCATCCTCCCCCTCCGCCCCGACTGACTTACCAGAGGCCAAACGTCCCGCGCTGGACAAAATGGTCAAGGAGGAGCCTCCTTCTGAAGGAATTGAACCTGGATCCACTTTCAGCGCCGAAGACTTTAAACCTGTCCAAGGACATGCCTTACCACCTATGCCCGTCACAAACGGATCGGCAGAGGCGCAAAACGACCTGCCTACTCCTATTGGTACTAATGGTACCCTGCCAGCGCTTCCCTCTGATGTGCAGCCAATTCTCTCTACAGCCTCCCAAAATGAGCGCGTTGTGCCTGATGTTCAGGGAATGCCTACACAAGACGAGACAAATTGGATTCACATTCGAGCGGTTATTTCCAGTGCGGAAGCGGCAACCTGCATCGGCAAAGGCGGAGAAAATGTGACTCAGATTCGTAAACTCTCTGGCGCCAAGTGTACCGTTAGCGACTATTCACGCGGTGCCGTCGAGCGTATTCTGACTGTTAGTGGTGCACAAGATGCTGTGGCAAAGGTAACATTGTCCTTGAATCCATTTCTATTACCGGAGTACTGACTCGAATCAGGCATTTGGCTTGATTATTCGAACTCTCAACAATGAACCTCTCGAAGCACCGTCCACAGCTCAATCCAAAACTTACCCTCTCCGACTACTCATTCCCCACATCCTGATCGGATCCATCATTGGCAAGTCTGGAGTTCGCATACGTGAGATCCAGGAAGCATCAGGTGCACGTCTCAATGCTTCTGATGCGTGTCTACCACTTTCAACCGAACGGTCACTGGTGGTTCTTGGAGTGGCTGATGCTGTGCATATTGCCACATATTATGTAGCCGTTACACTCGTTGAACAACTCACCGAGCGCTTTGGTGGGCCCGCAGCGTCTTCATACGCCACAAGAAGTGGAGGACCTGCTGGTGTCGTCCCTGGCGGCATGCAAGTGGTGCCTTACGTCCCACAACCCGCTGGTGGTCAATTTGGACATCCCGAGTCGTACAAGAAGCATAATACACACCCTCCCCAGCGTCTGCCGCCTCAACCGTATGGGGCACCGCAGTTACCTGGTCCGGCCCACCAAGCATACCCACAACATCCTCAGCCGTATCCTGCCAGTGCAGTTCCAACTCCACGGACTCCAAGCTATGGTGGTGCACCCCAACATGCGGCTCCTTATGGACAGATGCCTCCCCAACCTGGACCACACGGCCAAGCAGCTCAACCTCCCCATGCCATGCCAGGACAGCCCATTACCCAGCAGATTTACATTCCGAACGACATGGTGGGCGCTATCATCGGTAAAGGAGGTGCCAAGATCAATGAAATTCGACATCTGAGTGGCAGCGTTATCAAGATCAACGAGCCACAAGACAATAGCAACGAACGATTAGTGACCATCACCGGTACTCAAGAGTGCAATCAGATGGCATTGTATATGCTCTATTCGAGACTCGGTCAGTAACCTTTTTTCCACGCCTTGATTGATAACAGCTAACATCAACGCAGAGAGCGAAAAACACCGCATTTAAAGGCCAGCTATGTCCGTGTTGAAAGAGAGGGACAAGTCGGTGACGGAAGTTGAAATTGGCACTTGAAGCGGCGTGAACGCTAATGCCAATGTGGCTATAAAGTCATTGGCATCGAAGCAAGCTGTTTTTCATCCTCACTATCGGTATCGGTATCGTTATCTCCGGCGCCTTCAAGGCACTGGTGACGGACGTGATAGGTCTCGGTTTGATATGGTGCCACCCATGTTCTTCAAGCCAAGACACGTGATTGGCTCAACTTCTTCGAAATTAAGAAGCAAAGAAATACGCAAGTCCAGTGGAGTGGCATGGATTTCTCCGAGATAGTTTAGTTTCCTTGATGATAGCTACTACTCGCATGTATCACAATAGAAGAATTAAGGGATTTCCCCTACTTAGCACTCTATCATACGTCACGATTTCAAGATCTCCTCTCAACTGGAAGTTGAAGAATTCAAACACAGCGGGGCCGGTCCAAAATGTGGTGGGGCTGCCACCCATTGTTCTTTGGCTGGCAAGGTCAAGAAATCTACTTGGCCCATTCCAACCAAGTTCTGTCGCACAATTGAGACATTGATCTTTGGACCTTTGAAACTCGTTCTAGGGCTAATCTCACCTCGAAGGACAGTTAGCTAGTAACGCATAACCCCGCCAAACATGGCCAGTCGCACGCTACACCACGCGCCACCCTTTCGGGCCGAGCATATGGGCTCGTTACTGCGTCCCCAAGACCTTCTCGATGTCAGAGCAAGGATCCGGGATGAAGATACTTCCCCTGAGCAGGCGGGGCTCCCCGCTGTTGAGAAGAAGGCTGTCGGCAACATCGTCAAAACCCAACTCGACCTGGGATACAAGGGTGTCGGCAGTGGAGAGTTCAACAGAACCCGATTCTGGGGCCTCTTCTGGGACGAACTTGATGGCACGATTCGTCTACAGGATGCCGATGCTAGCATGTTCCGTCTCTATCACCCTGATGTCGTCAGTCTGATTGAAAAAGACCGCAAGGTCATGCCTGGTGATTCGGTTATTGCGGGCACCAAAATCCGACATAATGGCACCGAATCAAATTTGCATGAGTTGAAACTCGTGCAAGAGTTTGTCCCCAAAGAGGAGTGGGGCAATATCAAGCTTACCATGATCACACCGGCGGTAAGTGGTGTTTGAAGTTCACACCAGATGTCCCAGCCGCAAGTGTTGCACACGGCTCGGTGGAGCATTTGATTACCCGCCGATAGCTTGAGATGTCACTGACTTGTTTGATACTGCAGTGGTTCCATATGAGATACAAGCAGGGCAAAGCATACACTCCAGAGGCATATACTAGCGAAGCTGAATACTTCAAGGACGTGGCTGCTGCTTATGCGCGGGAGTTGGAGGTCCTCTATGAAGCGGGACTAAGAAACGTCCAATTCGACGACCCAGGTCTTGCTTGTCAGTGAATCTCCTTCACACCAATTCCAAGTCTCATGAGGAAATATTGACCTCCTTTACCCCTTAGATTTCTGCTCAAACCAATTCCGCGACGGTTGGGCCGCCGACAAGGACAATGTCGGCACCGTCGACGACCTACTCGACGCCTACATCAAACTCTACAACGACTCACTCGCCAACATTCCCTCGGACCTACACACAGGCGTGCACCTGTGCCGCGGTAACTTCATAGGCGGGCGCCATTTCGCTGAGGGAGCCTACGACATCATCGCCAGCAAGCTGTTCCAGAACCTCAACGTTGACACCTTCTACCTAGAGTACGACACGGAGCGAGCTGGTGGCTTCGAGCCCCTGAAGTATCTCCCCAAGAACAAGAATGTCATTATTGGCGCGATCAGTACCAAGTTGCGCAAGTTGGAAGATAAAGAGGAAATCAAGCAGAGGATTTATAAGGCTGCTGATGTCGTGGCCGAAGGGTCTAAGCAAACGCGCGAAGAGGCCCTCAAGCGTATCGGCCTCAGTCCTCAATGCGGATTTAGTACCCACGAGAGTGGGTATCCTCTTAGCGATGAGGATCAATCTGCCAAGTTGGCTTTGATCAGGGAGATTGCAGATGAGATTTGGGGTGAGCCATAGGCGGGATATGGTATTGCTAGCACTCGAATACCATGAGCGTCAGCCGGGGTCGCTATTCAGTGGCAACGGCCGCAATAATCTCACGGATCCAATTGCATGGAATATCAATTGCGAGATATCATGACACGGGAACAAGAAAGGCATCTATTGGATGGGGTCGACCACCGACTCGAAAAGGTTGCATAGCATTCTTCAACACGCTATGGACAGGCATTTGGTCTGGTGTGGTGAGCTCCAGATTCAACACGGAATACGAAAAGCATGATACAGCTGCGAAATCATTGAATATATATTTGCACGTCCCTTGACTCAAGGCGAGATCTGAGATTCAGCCTCGCCCAACAACTGCAATTCTCGATAAGCTCTATAGTAGCGAGACTCTATCGAGACCACCATGCAATCCACTAGGTCAGTACCTTTGTATCCGGCCACGAAAAGGGCTGATATACCCTGGAAGCCCGAGCTCTCGCTCAACCTTTCTCCGAACTCCCGGTGGCTTCGCTTCTTAGTGTCTTGGTGGTGGAGCTTAGAGGATCTTGATGTGACTTCTCCTCACTTTTCTCACCCCCATTCCCCCACAGTCACCGTTTCCCCCACGGGTTGCCCATCATCACCATCAGTGTTCCTCCCCTTTAAACTACTATGTCATATGTCATAGTCTACCACACCGTTCCCTGGTGGCCAAAAAGCCCTTTGGTTGTCGCTGATCCTGGTGATTCGGCTACACGTCCGACGAGCCGTAGCCATATGACTTGATATTCGGTGCCGTCATAGCCGATATGAATTTCCAGGCATGCATCCTTTGATGATAGAAAGCACCAATCCCTCGTGGACTTTCGCCCAGTTCAATGTCGAACTCGCTGCTTGTTACCCCGATTAAGGCATGTCACAGCTAGACTCTTCCGTAGTCTGTCAGCAACGTGGTCCCGGAGGGGATGATAGCCCTGCCTGACTGATCGGCATAGAGACCGATGGAAACCCCAAATTCCCTGTTGATGATCATTGCCTGTTATTAATCCGTCTCTTCCCTCGGCGTGCGCCTTGTTATGTCTTATTGTGTCGATGCTATCTTGACATCTGAACTCTCTTCCTACACCTTCAGCTCTCGCAATCGAGTGAAATATTGTTCAATCTTTCAACAACATGGGTGGACCAGGAGCGTATACGTTGGGCGTGTCCCTGTTTGCAGCCATTGGCACTTTTCTCTTTGTGAGTATGCTAGTTTTTCACGATTTTGTTCGTGCTAACGTTGACCGAATGCAGGGTTTCGACACGGGCATTGCGACCACCAGTTAGCCCACTCTCGTTCAAGTACTTTGTGATCGAAACTAACAAGCTTACAGCAATTGCGCATCAGTCGTGGATAGATTATATGCAGCATCCTTCTAAAGGCCTGACGGGAGCTGTAAGTCTGGATCCCCTGGGACTGTCATAGCCACTAACATCACGGCTAGGTGGTTGCTATCTACATTGCGGGTGAGGCTGTTGGGGCTCTTGTTCAAACGGCAATTGGAGACCAACTTGGTCGCATTCGGTTCATGCAATTGATGTGTATCATCGTAACCATTGGAACATCAATTCAGACTGGCGCAGTCAATATCGGCATGTTTCTGGCTGGTCGTTTTATTGCTGGATTTGCTGTCGGGTGAGTCTTCAACTGCTCATGATCCAGCATGAGTCCTTGCTGGCAAGCGTCTGACCTCATCCCAGTGGAATGGTGGCCACCGTTCCCATATATCTCAGTGAGATCTCTGCTCCGCGCAGCCGTGGCTTGATCGGCGGAATCTCAGGATGCGGTATCAGTCTAGGTACCATGGCCTCCAACTGGGTCGGGTTTGCTTGCAGCTATGCTCCATACGGCGCCGTGCAGTGGCGTCTCCCATTAGCAATCCAAATCCCTTGGGGCATCATCTTATTCATCGGCCTAGCAACCTTCATGCCAAACTCGCCTCGCATGTTGATTCGTCAGGACAAGATCGAGGAAGCCCGTGCTCAGTTCATCAATATCCGACGAGATTTGAGCTCGCACGAGGCTCGAGAAGAATTCACTCTCATGCATGCGCAAATCGAGTTTGAGAAGAAGCGAGAAATCAAGTCGCTTGGGGAGATCTTCAAGCTCTTCAGGCATCGTGCGCTTGTGTGAGTGTTTGTTAAACTCCGTCGATTAGGATCTATGCTAATGAATATGCCAGGTCCATTGCTGTGCAGACCATGACCAGTCTTACTGGTGTGAATGTGATCCAGTACTACCAAAGTAACTATTTGGTGAAATCCTAAACACGCATTACCTAACTAACACGATCGACAGCAATTCTCTACAAATCTCTCGGTATCAACTCTCATATGATTTTAGCTTTAGCCTCAATTTATGGAACTTGTGCATTCGTGTCAAATGTACTCACCACAAGATATATACTCGACTCATGGGGTCGCAGACCGTATGAATCCCTTGTCACTATTACTCTTTTCGTGAACACAAGATACTGACCAAGTTCAACAGCATGATTTTAACCGGTCTCGCGGCAGTCGTTGTCATCGAAATTTATGCTTCCGTCATGCAACGAGAGTTTCAAAATACCGACAACAAAGTGGGCAAAGGTTTTGCCGTTCTGGGAATTTACCTTTTCGTCATTTTCTACTGTGAGATGTGATTTCTCCGAGTGTAAGACGCTCGATGCTAACGGATGATAGATGGAATGCTTAACAGCACTACCTGGTTGTATGGCGCAGAAGTCCTTCCTATCGCTCTTCGGTCAAAGGTCATGGGACTCGCTGCAGCTTCACACTTTATCGTTAATGTTGGAAGTAAGTTGACTTGTGCACAATCGCGATTGCCGCATAGCTACCTTCAGTTCTGCTGAACTACCATCCCGAGTCGTGATGTGAGAGTAAGACGCTGACCATAATGATGATACAGTCACAGAGGCTGGACCCAGCGCCTTCGCTAACATCCACGAAAACTACTATTACGTCTTCGTGTCTTGTTCATTCTTCTTCCTGGTGATCGCATACTTCTATTTCCCGTAAGTTTGCCCAATTCCCTATGCGCATCGAAGTTGAGACCGTGAATTTCATTGTAAGGTTTGAGCTAATAATTCACTATGCAATATAGTGAGACGAAGCAGAAGACTCTCGAAGAGATTGCAGCAGCATTTGGTGACAAGGTTGTTCTGATCACTGAGAACGATGTGGCTGCCGAAGAGGCTGTCATTGCTGACAAGGTCGACGAGATGCAGGTCGAGGAGGCTCAGACCCGGAAGGTTTGAGTCTTTGAGTGGTGTTAGATATCAAGGGCAGCAGACTTGCTTCAAGAAAGTGCAGGCATGCGCTCCTTACGATGAACGTTATGGTTATCCCATCAGGAACTACCAGAACTGGGAGAATGTTGCCTTCAAAAATGCTACAGCACGTATGAAGTAGATAGTACAGTATGACAGGATTGGCATGATGGTTCTGTGAAATGGATGATTGTTAAACCCGGTCGATCCAGCCTTCCTCATTTCTCAACCTCGGCGATAAAAGCCAGCAACTCCTTCGAAGCCACCTCGGGCTGTTCCTCCAGAATATAATGCCCGCAATCCTCGATTTCTAGATATCTTGACTTCTCCCTCTCCTCCGTCAATTCAAGTACACCCTCCATCAACCTTCCCGCCGCTTGAGCCCCACCGACCGTCAAGACCGGCACCTTCAACATCCCCTTCGCTTTGATCTCGCGGTTATCCTTCATGACCTCGGGAATGGCCCGATAATATGCAAAACCTGCACTCATCCCGCCTTTCCGCGAATAACACTCAACATAGCGATCGCGCTTCGTGGCCGTGATGCGCTCCGGATGCACGGATTTCTTATCGAACAGCCAATCTAGCACAGCACGCTCGCGCCCCTGGGTGAGGATCTCCGGCAGCTCCGGCAGGCGGTTGAAACTGAACTGCCACAGCTTCATGTTCGGCGCGTCCGGCAGCGGGTATTCTGGCAGCGGAAAGAGACCCGGCGTGATGCCGTCGAGGAACGTTACGCTGACGAGCGATGAGCTGTACTGTGGGTGAGCGGCCCATGGGTAGGCGACCCACGCGCCGACGTCGTGACCGACTAGGTGATATTTGGTGGAGGTGCCGAGGTAACTGGCTACGGCGGATGCGAGGATGCTACTGATGGTTTTGGTGGTGTAGCCTGTCGTGCTGGGCGAGGAGTCGCCGAGGCCGGGGAGGTCGAGAGCTAACACATGGTGGGATTTCGAGAGGGGTGGGAGCATCTCGCTGTATGCTTCGGCGGTTTGCGGCCAGCCTGACAGGCAGACTATGGGCGTGCCGGACGTGTTGGTGCCGGCGACGAGGGCGTTGATGCCATTGCTGAGCGCCTTCCTCACATACGGTAGTCCTGCCATGTTTGATCCTGTGGTTGGTGATATTGGTGATTTCGCGGTGGTAGATAAGTCTACCCCGGACACATGAATGCTTTTTATACTTGGTGGAATTCTCCGCTGAGAATCTGCCAAATCCATCAGTATTTGGAGACTTCATTCGCCAACAACATCCATGATTGATCGACACAGGCTTAGATATGCCTAACGACCGTATGATACCAGCGGTACGAAGTCCGCAACGCTCGCAAATCACTTACTAATTGAGTGCGTATTTTGGATCAGAATCATTGCTCTCTATGTACGAGGAATCGGTTCAGCCTTGCGTGGAATAATCATTTTCCGGGGCGAGTCCGGAGCCTTTGTACGAATTCCTCGTTATCCAAGTTCCAAGTTCCCACAGATCGACATGTGCAAGGCGTTCTACCTTCCCCATCCGTGGCACGTTGTTGAATGTCGCAGTACTTATTTGGGAGTATTCGTTATTGCTCAAGTACCACCTTTGCTGACTCACTGCTTGGGGGTTGTCCGAGAGTTGCATAAGCACCGACGATATGAGAAAGTCCACTTTACTTCAAGCTTAAAAGTTGTTCGAAAGCTGTAGCCGTTAGTACTGATTCTTGAATCATAATTCGTGATCCAGGCTGGTCACGTGCTCCTGTCTTCATGATCTAAATTGGAATGAAATGTATTTCTGTACACAGGCCTGTGTGATGGCCGATTTAGTAACTGCTTAATGCTTCCTGTATTGGTTAAGGTCGTTTTGGCCGCCGCTCGAAAGATCAAAGAACTGCTCTATTTGCCCTTGGACACCAAATTTTCAACTTTTTGTCGTGCTTCGTATGTAGTATCGTCGGCCCAGTTCGCCGCGTATTGAGCATGTGTTCTTGCCTGTCTCCAACTCTCCTTCACGAAGCCACTGATCTGCGCATGCGTCTCACTCACGACAGGGACTTTCTTTTCGTATTCCCAAATCAGATCCGAGGTGTTTCGCATGGTAACTGGAATCAAGAACCAGCCTGCTGTTATTCCGACGGCCAAGGGTGTCGCTGCTCTCAGGAATATGCCACGGTTTCTCGATACTATTGAACCGGCAAGTGTTGCGACAAGGACGTATATACCACCGGGTAGGAGCTGTTCTCCAGTTTCTGGTGCCGGAGCTAGGGATGCGACTGTGTTGGCGAAATTTGTCTCTTTACGGAAAGCCCACGTGAGGAAGTCGTTTGTGGCGTTCTCGACAGTGAGCGACTGGTCGAAAATGAAAAGTCGAGCCCGTTTTACTTGTTCCGTTAAGCGGTCGGTGGGTGTGGGAGACTTTGGGTTGGGTGTAGAACCAGGTGAGGTGGGAGATGGTTTCGGGGTCGTGGGCGCTACAGGATAGGGAGAGTATATAGGTTTCTTGTCGGGAAGCTGGATTCGATGTCAGAAGATACTCCGGGAGTGTCTCGGGGTACTTGGTCGTACTTCATCTTCTGCTGGAGCTTCAGCAAACGCCGTGCGAAATAAGAAAGGGTTTTGAGTGACGGCAGCTCCTCCCACCATCAGCACTGCGGCTCGCCTGGACTGTTGAGAACGTTAGAGACCGGAGTCGATCATGGCAGTCGTACTTACAATCCGCATCGCTCCTAATCGCGTCATAATTGGTGAGTTGAGATTCTGGTGAGCTGGTGGTCTGCTCTCAGAAAACATTCCGATGAACCCCAATCGAGGTTCGCAGAGCATGGGCCTTGGCAGCTCCGGGACCGGAAAAACTTTCCGCAAGCACGCCGCTTTTAATTGAATACCTAGGTTTGAATCTTACCCGTCTTGAGATGTATCGATCACGGATAGCAATCCCAAGGATTGGGTTTGGAATTCTCTCCTGCATTCTTATCGCGATTCACAGTCCAACAGTTACGATCAGCGCGGTTCATGAATTCTATTACTTGCTTCCATGCTTCTGATTCCATATTCAAAGACCTCAGTTGGCCACTACAGTACTTCGTGGCCAAGCGGCAAGGATTACACGGGTACGTACATATAGAGGCACAGTGGTGTCTTCGACCTTTGTAGCAAGGTTGGATCGTAGTTTTGAGCTGAAGAAGATACCCATTGGGTCACAAAGCCGGTCAGCTCATTTTTCAATACATAGAAACAAGCCACGATGGGTACATCGTTTCAATGGCTTGAGATCGTATCAAGACTTGAAAGCAGCTACCCCAACAGTGGCACACGGGGCCAGAAGTTGTGGAAGACCAAGAGTCAACAGAGGATCTGGACCCTGGTGGAGAGTGTTGGTGATTTGCATCACTTGATTCACTCCATTCGGACTCTTTGACCGGGCCTTCCGTGAGTACTATAACACTTTTCTCAGTCATATGAGTTGAGATCTTGCCGCCCTGTGGACATCAGAATTCGTGGATCACCCAACTGCGTCTATTAGCTAATACTCTACAAGTACTTGAGCACGGCGGGCCACAGGATAGGGAATAGGGTTCGCCATCCACGAATTCTGTCATGCCATGGGTGTTGGGGATTTTCATCTAAACTTTTCAAATGACCAGAAAATCATAACGGTGTCGCTGAGACGAAATCGATCCCTACACTGAGATCGTAATATTAAGAGGAGATGCCTTCCTCAATACGTGTCCAATCCGGCAGTTATCTAAGATATGGATAATAAGTTGATGTCAACCCAAAGCCACTACTACCGTTCAAAGGTGGAAAAGCAGGCCTGGGTTACCAATAAACACTCTGACGCTTTGTATTTTCCTATGCTTACGGTACGCATATATAGTTGGCTGCAGAGTTTTGGTCTCCATGTCCAATGTAGCGAGAGGTTAGGGGATATCTGCAAATACTGCGAGTGAGCGTAAAGCCTGTTGCATTCGAAGCAAGTGCATCAAGGATGTCGGGTGAAACATCCTGCTCAACCCAAGCTACTAGTGAGGACAATGGATCAACTGGAACGGCCCCGTTGGTCAAACCCAAACCACAGTGATCCACACCCGGCACCAGAAAAGTTCGATAAAATGTGTCCATGGCAACGCGGTGCTTCAAGGCTGCTTCAACTTGATGGTGATAGTTCACAGTCCCCTGGGGGAAGATCAGTTGATCTGAGAGGCCATGCCAGACTATCAATTTCCCGCCTTGCTTTTGAAACCCAGACAGGTCTGGATTATTCGATCCAATGATCTCACCGTACTCATCTTGTGACTGAGAGAACAACTTTTTAAATTCTGAGTAGCCGATCGTTGTGGTATCAAAACTGGGATCCTTGAGGACAAAGTACCTCAGCCAAGCATCATTGACGAAGAATGGTGATCCTTTACGGACTCCGTCGAGAACCGTGGTATTCGAAAGATAATCCAAAGGAGCGCCTAAGTTCAATGCGTATAAATTTGACGTGTCTTTGGGAAAGGGGCCTCGTAAAATATCGTGGATGACAGTAGCGATAATTCTTGTGAAGCTGATTGTCTTCCCGTTACAATCAACACTTGTTCCCACGAGCTTGAATGGGCTGAAAACGCATCTTTTCGGCTCCGTTATCACATTGTCGTTAACCCCGTCGAAAGAGTCACAAGCTGATATTGCGCTTTGTGTAAAGGCTTTTAGCAGACATGGGTCAACATATGTCTGGTGCTCTTTCATAACCACTTGGGGCCACTGTTCTGCTACCACATATCGTGCCCAGTCAATTGCCGGCGCACCTGCAACGATCCCATCGAAGTCTGCAGGATATTTTTGTGCCGAGACAAGCCCTTGCCTACCCCCAGTTGAACATCCGTTCCAATAAGAATGATGAGGCTTTGTACCATAGAATTGTGTCGAGATCTGCTTGCCTGCTACAGTCATATCGTGAACCGAGCGCGACGCAAAATTTACAAGGAGTTCCGTGTTGACTTTCCCATCTGCGGTCAGTGCCCAAAGTTCTGGACTATAAGGGTCACCAGATAGACCCGCATCAGTAGATGCTGAAGCGTATCCCAGTCCTGCCGCAGGCGCAAGGCTGTACTCAAACAGACCGGCAGCAAACCCACTCCCACCTGTGCCGAGAAAGCGGCCATTCCACCCTTCTAGTGGTAACCATATCTTGACCTTAACTTGATCTTGTGCACCCTGGTGGGTAAGCACAATATCTACGTCACAGATATTGAGTCCCGATATGTCGTTTTTGAGTAGCAGTGGAACGGCGGACACTGTATAGTTGAGTAGCTCTTGTGCTTTGAACGAGATTATCGTCGTTCCAGGGATATTTGGCGGCTTCAAAGAGGTACATTGGGTCCAATTCGTTCCAGAGTTTGGGGTAGGTTGTGTAAGCACGGGGGCTATAAGTAGTGCTATAGTATAGCTTTTGAGCTGGAGTTTCATGTTTTCAGATTTCAAGGCTGGATTGCGTGGGCAAGGAGTCCGATGCTTGAAGATGACAATTGTTCTTGATGCCGCGGGAGACTTTCTTGACTATATACTTGATAAAAGCTGGCCTCATGGAGATTACACAATTCTCTGAGAAATCCAGGGCTGACACCGTTTGGGCTTCCATCTTCTAGGATCGTCGTAAAATCTCATAACCGAGACTAGTGGTCAAGATCGCCAATTAATTGAGTGCTCAACGCAGGGCCTTTGTGACACAAGAGGTTAAGCAGGTCTAAAACGATCCTTGAAAACTGACTGAGAGATAGCCCAGTATGATCAAATTAAATTTCATATCGTGTAAGATTTTAGTCGAAACTTACTTAAGGCGAAATAGCGTGGAAATCGTAAAGCATCGACTATCTGGCCCGCACGAATTTCCATGCGAGAGCTTCGGGAGGAACCACGAAGCAACTAAGATCAGTTGAGAAAATTTGATACACAACGCTAAGACGTAGCGAAGGTGCAGGAGTCTCCTCCAAAATACTTTCTACTATATGCTAGCTAGTGCAGGTGGATTTCGAAGGGGAGGATCGAGAAAAATAGTACATTATCTTCCCATCTTCAGTCTTGAGGGTGGCACTGTCTCAATCACTCCGATCATGAGCAAAGTCTTCCTGCGGGTTCCTCAATTCAACGAACATGGCTCAGAGCTCTGATGACACTCTGGTAATTCGTGATATCACAGACAATATCACAACTTTGAGTGTGCCATTTACAATACCTGGGGGACTCAAAGCAGGCGGCCGTACCACTATTGTGAAACTTTTATCTGGCTCACTCGCTGTATTCTCACCAATACGTCTGACAGAGAAAGTGAAGCAAAAAATTCGATCTTTGGGTCGCGTCCTATTCATCACAGTCCTCAATCTCGAGCACCACCTCTTTCTGTCAGACTGGGCCAATGAGTACACCGATGCTATCATCATAGGAATGGAAGGCCTTTCAGAGAAACGATCAGAGAGGAAAGATATAGAGACCATTAAGTTCACCCATGTCATATCTACCACAAATGAGACCAAGGGTGTCCATGCGGCTTTCGATGCAGAGTTCGAATACGAGTTCATGGCTGCTAGCCGGAATAAAGACGTTGTCTTTCATCACAAGCCAAGTGCGACCCTCATACAAGCCGACATTTTATTCAATTTACCGGCTCTTGAGCAATATTCATTGGTGTCGAAGACGGACTCGGGAATCCTCACAAGAATCTTCAACAAGGTCCTCACTACCAAGGGTAGCCTTCTAGGACAGAAGATCATCCTATGGTATTCCGTTGCCCAGAACAAGGAGGATTTTGCAAAGTCCACTACGATTATTGGCGAATGGGCATTTGATAGGATGATTCCCTGTCATGGAGATGTCATTGAAACAGGAGCGAGGTCGATTTTTCGCAGTGCAACAGATTGGTTCACAGTGAAAGAAGGGTCACCACACCATGAATTGACGTCACATTGCCTTGCCCATCCCTTCGAGTACCGCAATCAACACAAGTGACAAACCAACTTAGTTACTAATTATATTTCAAGTGTGAATTGTTTTTCAAGTGTGATCATTCAACCTCAAACCATATCCGCAATGTGTTCCACTGTTATTTGGGTCATAGGAATTCAATTTCGTAATAATCCGGCCGTGGCGCTCCATGAACCTGACTAATGAAGTTAATACATGGTCCATGGAGCTAAAATCTTACACGATCTTCTATCTCCAATACGGATGTGGCTTGGGCAGATCTATGTAGATGCGGGTTTGAGTTTAGCTTCATCGAATAAATCCTTCGTTACTAAGCGAGGCCTCAGTCACCATTCAGAGCTGACATTTATGCAGATCTTATGTTCCTCCTAACGTGCTTGGCTGAACTAATTGCACAGAGAATTTAGCGACATTTCCACGTCGTCTGTTATATAAGCCCGGATCAAGATCCTGTAGCTGTAAAGATTGAGTGTCAGCCTTGTCATAATCCCGATCCATGCTTGTCTTGCGCCGAAGTCATGCCAAGTCCAAGAATGGATGCAATACTTGCAAGATCCGCCGAGTCAAGTGCGATGAGCACCGTCCAAGCTGGTGAGCCCAGAGAAACCCACCCTCAAGGAATGTACTGACTTGCCTAAAGTTTGAATTGTCTCCGACTCAGTAAGTCCTGTGCATATGCACGGCCTAACGTGATTCCAGCGGAGGCTTCCGAATTCGTAGCTGGCAATGCTTGTCACACCAGGGAATGTTCACAACAATTTCCATCCTTCACAGGCCATACACTCTCAGAATGGCACCATTTACATATTGGAAGTTTTCGCTACCTAGATTACTTATGGTCATTGGCGCAAATTCTTGAACAAAATAAAGTAAGCCGCTTCTGTGTTTGGTGGGAAGAGTTTCGCATGTAAGTCGGACAACTGAATGCGAATGTCCAACTGAGTTCTGACCTATGGATGTTTAAGCCTTTTTCAAGTTGCCTCAAAAATTGATTTTGTTGCTCATGCTATGATTGTGATCTCAGCGAAAAGACTAGCGCACGTCACAAAAGACACGGTGGTCCTTGGAGATGTTGCCAAATACCATGCTCTTGCAATTCAAGGATTGAGAAGAGCTCTTGCGTCCTTTTCGCGACAGAGTGCAGACGCCGTGCTATGCGGATCCATACTTTTGCTTTTTCAGCAAGATACATGGTAAGGCCTGAAACCCTTTTATGATTGTTCGTGGGCCTGAAACACTGAATGAATTAGGTCTGGATGGAGGATGATGATGGATGGGACTTCCTCTGTATGAGACCCGTGATAAAGCTCCAATACTTCGATCTCTTGCTAATGATCCAATAGGTTATCGAGCAAATGAAGCCATGGTTGGGTGATTCGGTCTTGTCTTCAGCCCTACTCAGTTTCAAACCGCCCAAAAATCCATTAGGCAAGATTGGACTCGATTCAAAAGTTCACTCGAATGGAGCAGAAGTTTCCACGTTCTCCGAGGCCATAAGAACTCTTTTGGACCAAGCCAATTCATCACTAAATCGGTTATCGAGCTGCTTCAAGAGTAATCCTGAAGCTTCCACAACAATCAGAGGTCTTCGAGATCTCATAAGGATTGTTCGAGATTGGCCAACAACGTTCAAAGTACAAGACCAATTCCGACTTGTTTATCCCTTCTCAACTTTCATGAAACCACTGTCCACATCTTTTCTTTTTCTGAACGAGAAAGAACCATTCCTGATTGCGACGCTTGCACATTTGTTTGCGGTGAACACACTTCTAGCTTTAATTTTTCCCGCCATCAATGTTGCTGCATTTGTTGCCACCCAAGTTAGATCCCTATCAGCAATAGGAGACTGGTTTCAATCGACACCGTACATATATTGCGATGTATGCAGAGGAACTCACAAGAGTGCTGAGCTGATGACGTTTCCTATGAATACGATAAGGATATATTGGCAATCTCATAGCGGGCCTTAATCCCATGTACCCATTTGTTTAACTAGCCTGAAAGTAAAGCTCATGATCTCTGCCTGTCCTCCCAATTTCGAATCGAAATTTAACCAGTATTATATAGGATAGGATGTGATATGATTCAAGGTACCACAGCTATGATAGTGGAGTACGTCCATCAGGAATAGTGCCACTATATGGTTGACCTTGACGGAGAAGTTCTCGAAGTATCTTCACGGCGGGCTCTTAAGTCATGAACATCATCGACATGCTTTTAAGCCTTGACTCTGGTGCCCTCAAGGAGATACATGGACAGCCTTCGTATCCTGCTCAATTATCCATGTAAGCACTGAGACAGTGCTGAGAGCGTGTTGGCTTTTTCAATTGGTGAGTGCGCCATGGCCCGATCCGTCATCTTGAGCATTAGGGGCCATGCAGCAAGCGAGTCAATAGTGTGGGAGGCCAGCGCCATCAGCGACTGCAATCACATCTGTGATGAGTTTGTATCTAGTCTCACGGCTCGCCTAGAGTTTGCTCCAGTCTTCGCTCAGAAGATTCGGCGGTCAAAAGGCCTACCAAAAGTGCATAACAATAGGAGTTCCAAAAGCAAATTTGTTGATAGCGACTGAGATTCCCTGTGGAGGGGTCTGAATGACATGTTGAAGGTGGGGACGAGAGTGGCATACCGAGGATTTTAGGCATGATTGTATCCGTCAATGACACGAAGTTGTGTGGGACCCATAGTCCTTGCCTGGTATTTCTCAAGGTGGCTGGCTGACATTGTCGTAGGGAGTCGCATGCAGGCAGTCTAATGTGATTTGTTTGGCACTGCTTTAGCGACGGACTTCAGCTGCACTTTCTCGGTCGCCATCCTGCGGGTGATAATTCACAACCGAGAATAGGCCAGTCTCGACCAGCAAGGGTTTTCAGCTCCATCCCATGCTGAGAGATGGACAATCAATGCCTTGAAGACAGCGATCTGCATTTGTTTTGCCCAGTTTTATCGCTCACTGAAATAAGAAACATTCATCAAACAGCGAACATTTCAAAATGATATATATCCTAGCATTCGTGCTATTCTGGCTCAACCATACACACGCAAACCGGCTTGCGCACCGAAATGCAGACCAGATCGTTCTCGACACTGGAAGGTTCAACTCAGTTCCGAACGCCGAGAACGTGTCACTTCGCATTGACCATAACAACAAAACAAGCTCAAACTTTTCGAATCGTTTCTATGTCAAGGCCGATTGGTACGAACCAGGAGGTCCCGTATTTCTATACGATGGTGGTGAGGGTACTGCCGATACTAGCCACATTAATAGCAACAAGTTTACCTCTGATAAGCAGTTGAGCTTTTTTGAGAGATTCTTGAAAGGCCACAGGGGCCTGGGCATCGTCTGGGAACATCGATATTATGGAGAATCTCTCCCCCTGCCGCAGAACCGGCTTATCGAAAGTAGAGAGGAAGATTTCAAATATCTTACTACGAAACAAGCTCTTGATGACGTTATGGTCTTTGCCAGTTCCTTCAAGAGGTCTGAGAAGCAATTCAAAGGTGTGGATCTTACGCCCAAAAAGACACCCTGGATATTCATCGGATGCTCTTATCCAGGAGTTCGAGCTGCCATCATGCGCGTTGCATACCCGGACACGATATTTGCCTCATATGCCGCCTCTGCTCCCATCGAGGCGAAAGTGGACATGTCTTCGTATTACCAGCCGATCTGGTCAGGTATGACGAGGTATAGATATTCCAACTGTTCGGCAGATATGCATGCCGCTATCGTTGAGATCGATATCAGGCTGAGCAAAAGTCCAGCGGACGCAATTGCTATCAAACAATACATTTTCGGCTGCACCAAGAAAACCGTTTCCCGATGCTAATTTTGCCAGTTATCTTTCAAATATTTGGGGTACGTGGCAGAACTATGGCATGGAGCGTGAGCCTGACCCCGAAAATGAAACTCAGTCGCTCCACCCCGGCCTGAGAGCCATGTGCGATCATATCTCATATAACAACGATACAGGAACTATGTCCGATGCAAAAGGCTGGGCACATCGTAAGGGTGTTGACTTTACACTGGACCGGCTGCAGAGCTGGCCAGGTCTCATCGATCAGATAGACTTCGGTAGAGAAACGATCTCCTGCCCAGTCAAATCTGTGCAACCAAAGTCACCTCAATGTGTGAGGGATGACAAGCTGGAAGACATCTCATGGAAATACCAATACTGCACCAAATGGGGATATCTGCAAGTTGGAAACCCAGGCGTCAATCAGATTGTGAGCAAGTACTATGATTTAAACTTCTTTCGCCATCAGTGTCAGTGTCAATTCAATTTCACCGGCACTGGAAATCGCGCCATCCCTCTTATCCCGCAAGTTGATTTGATCAATCGTATGTATGGTGGTCAAAAGATGCGTCCGTCCCGTACATTTTTAACTGATGGTGAATTTGATCCATGGAGAACCCTCTCACCGCTCATGGTCGACAACATAACAATTCCAGACTACGACGCCCCCACCACACCAGAAGCCCCGTTGTTCGGCAGGGTATTGCGTAATAAGCAGCACTGCGGAGACTTCGACAGCTACGATGAAGATGCTAAAGCTGCACATGCACGTTTCTCTGAGGCTTTGAATCAGTGGTTATGCTCCTATACGAAGAAGAACAAAAACAACTTGAACAAAGGTGCGGAGAACATCCTCTGCCCAAAGAAATGATCAATCTGCCAGAGCGAAGCATAGTGGTCTATCAAAGTGAGGATGATTTTTATAGGGATAGATCTGTGGTAGTGTTCCAGGACTCTCGCTAACACGTTCGCGAATTGTTTATCTCGACAAAAGAGGTACTATCGTTATTTACGGAGGCCCTGTCCGGCCCATCTTGTCCGCAAGTTCCGTAGCCCGAAGGATAGTGGCCAATCACCCGAATAATGAAATTATATAGAAGCACTACGGGAGGAATGAACTATGATTCGTGATAACAACAAAACACTGTAAGGATTTCACAAGAGAAAGAACATAAATCTGTTCGACGAATTACTCAATCCCTACTGATGTAGGTAGTGAAAGGTTCTGGTCCCATGCGACTCGATATCCTTGTATATTTTAAGGAGGGCGGCTTTTTCTTCCGCAGAATGATCACGTCACAAAATAAACGTCATTCTCGCACAGCTATATACCTAGTAGGGGCTCGCCCAGCGTGCAGTCCGTGAGTTCCAAACGATTTCTGAAAAGTTGAGCTTATCATTATTTTCTTTGAATCTCGCTTAGCATATAAGGACTAGTTTACCATCCGAATAGGATATCGGTCTGACTACCTGGTAACTTTTACAAGTTTGTACACCCTGGGACGACTAACGTAACCTTATTATCCACCATTGCTTTTCAATTGACGAATCGTGCGCTCTATCCTCCCTCCACTCACATACCTTTTCAATACTACCTACTCCGAACGACACAGAATGCCCAGCGAGAGCAGATTGAATCGACATCGGCCGTTCTCTGGTGAACAAGAAAGACGGGACTCTCATGAAAAATGGCGGAAAGCCCGTCAACACGGACTTGCCATGTGCAGTGAATTCGTTGGCACAACAATATTCTTGTGGTTTGCTTTCGCAGGCGCCCAAACTGCAGCAGCAACCGGTGGAGGTGTTGCAGAAACTCCAGAGCAGGTGATGTTGACCAGTTTGAGCTTCGGTTTCAGCTTGCTTGTCACCGTTTGGGCATTTTATCGCGTTAGCGGTGGCCTTTTTAATCCTGCCGTATGAATAACCATTCCATCCTGACCTAACATTCCGGATTCAAGCCGAACACAAGTTCACATTACTGACACAGGATAGGTGACATTGGGAATGGTTATTACAGGAACTCTGCCGTGGTTCCGTGGACTGCTCCTATTACCAGCACAACTTCTTGGTGGCATCGTCGCCGCTGCACTTGTGCAATGCATGTTCCCCGGGCCCTTGGTCGTCAACACTCTCCTCCAGGCTGATGTGACTCCAGCACAGGGTGTCTTTATTGAAATGTTCCTTACGAGCTTGCTAGTATTTACGATATTGATGCTGGCAGCGGAGAAGCATTATGGAACATTTGTGGCACCGGTTGGAATTGGAATTTCTTTATTCGTTGCCATGATGGCCGGTACGTCTTTTGACATATCACTCCTTTGCAAAGTTTGAGTGCACTTAAGCTGAACATTTGAAGGCGTTTATTACACGGGCGCCTCACTGAATCCGGCTCGCAGCTTTGGCCCGGCTGTCGCAACCGCCAATTTCCCGGGGTACCATTACATATATTGGTTCGGTCCTGTTATGGGTAGTCTGCTTGCCGGCGGATATTATAAATTTCTTAAGTACTTCAACTATGAAGAGTCAAATCCTGGACAAGATGCCATTGATGAGCGAGAGAAGGCCCGGGATACGGCGTCGACCAATCAACAGGCTAATCGCAAGTAGCCAATTGGCGATGGACAGCGCCATGTTCATCTTGAATCTCTCCTAGGACTTGCGGTCCCTACACGTTTCGACACATGAAACACTTCTCGCTGGGGTCAAGACTAGGAAGCAAGTCTATGTGTTCGCAAACGCAGCAAATGCCTACATGAGTTACGCGCTGGGCATTAATCGGAAAACACCTCCTCTAGCTGGCGATGTTCTCTCATCAGCAGGCTATCTGCGAACATTCGTCCTATCTTCCCTGACCCAAAATACTAAATGAGGACGAATTACGTTCAGTAAAGCTGTTGCCGAGAGATTTTTCTGGTAAAGATAGCTTGCATTCATGGATATAGGTCACTCTCACAAGTCTTCATGTGACAGAGCTTGTATAAAAGTTCGCGGGCGAATCACTTGGTTTCAGAGTACGGTCTGCGATGAATGACATTCCAATTTCGCGACATAAATTTCAAAAGTATCATAAATAAATCAATACAGCCAGAAGACAGTCAGGAGGCAGCTTTGAAACTTGACTGAAATTTGGTTACCCAAATCAGTGTCTAAGCCTCATGAAGTGACTGGAGTGATCAATGCCCAAATTCCTATCAGCATCAAATAACGAGTTGATCAGATTGATAAACAAAAGGAGAGTATTTTCTCAACCACAAAGTAGCATTGAGACCATTAGCACATGGGCAAAGTCGTGTCTTCCCCAGTCCCCAAACAATCAGCAGTCGTCTATACACGCCCTGCGCGGCTTTATCGCGATTATTCTTCACTCTTTGAGGAGAGTGGCAGCAGGTATAATGTTGCGGACGGTATATGTGCTCGCCGGGTTAAAAGTGACGGTGGAGAAGCCACAGCTCCTAAGCAGCTCACTGACATCTGAATATCTATGAGCACAGTTATACACGAGTAGTTCGACGAGACTTACCATTGTCGTCGTCATCATTATCGCTATTGTCGTCATCGTCGTCGTCGTCATTATCGCTGTCGTCGTAATGTTCAATGCAAGCAGCACAAAGTGGGATGGCTTCTTCGGCACCAGCACTGGCACAAATACAGGCGGTCTCATCCCTGTCAGCATCGAAAAGACGGTCGCACTCGGTTGAAACGTCCGGTAGATTCACACAAACCGAGGTGCATTGTTCGGGAATATCATCCCTATCAACATCTCCAGCAATGACCATAGCCAAGGCACTGAGTGCGAGGAATGCGGCAATGATGGTTTTCATGTTGATTGTAATGGTTGTTCTTGTAAAGTGGTATAGAGGTTGGTGACTTCTGTTGTTGGCCCCGAGTTGATATATGGTTGAGATACTGGAGTCGCCTGGTATTGGGATTCAGACATCCAGAGGCCACGCTTTCTTTATAGACAGTCGTGCATTTGAGATAAAAGTTGTATTGTTGCTTCGAAACATGAGAGGCTGCGTTATGACCGTGGCTGAACACGTCAACCAAACTGAAACAAACCTGTATAGCAACTCACTTGCTGTGGAGACAACTCAAACATCTTTCCAGTGCCAACTTCTAATCCTTGTATAGAGTTCTCAGAATCTCCAACTCGATGGGCTTGAGCGGTTGTTTTTCAAGCTGCCAAGTGGTGCCCAAGCCTCTGGTCGCTCTAGGCATCAGCATTTCGGAAGAGCTTGCGCGCGCTTCTTGAGGCAGAAGATGGAGATTTCAGCAATCTATCCCATACAATATTCCTCACGGTGTGGCTTACCCGGATGAGGCGGTGTAAGAGGCTCCCAAGAGGCTCCACTATCGCATACGTAATTGAATCTTTAATCCCAAATTCGCTGGTCCTGTTTTTTCATTACAGCTGAGCTGTGGTCAAGTTGACCAGGATCCCATGAGTCTCCGGGGATATTTGACCTTTCAGCGGCTCAGTTGCACGATTTTTTTGCGAGACGTGTGTCTAACACACATCATGTCCGCGTGAAGTGCTAACGAACAACGATAATCTCAATAGCATATTTTGATTTCAGTGCTATCACTCTATCCATGTTCCCTGTTGTTGAATTGTTGTCCCAGAAAGCTTTTGTGCCGAGAGAAGTTACAATGGTGCTGCGCCACCCTACCAAGAAGGACTTCTTCAATTAGTCCCGCGGCAAAATTTATCAGTCATGGCAAAACAGAACTCATGGACACCCAGCGCTCAGCCACGTGAACTTCGATTGGTGCAAGTAAGCTCTTAAATCCAACAACAACAGACCAAAGACAGCGTGCGATACTAAATAAAGGGCCGATGGGGACCATTTTCTCTCCCCGCAATAGGTAGCTAAGTGCCAAGAACCGCTAAGGTGTCTTCCAAGGGTGGCTATGCGCTATGACGAATGGGCCCACAGTACGCGCCATCCGAAACGTGTATCTAGAAACGTGCTTATTGATAGCACTCTTTGAAAAGGACCTGAGCAGCCAGTGTGTGCCATGGCAGATGCCAAAGATTCCCATAGCGTGACTGGTCAGCTGCCTGTTCATGCTGGTATATATCTCAGTATCAGCTTTGTATCATTGTACGCTGCGAAAATGCCATGCATGGCTACCTTCACCTAAGGCTCTTTCTTTGATAGCTGCTTTGACCGTGGTTACAAATCCTGTTATGTTGAAAACGTCCTTTCCTTTATGTCGTTAGACGACATCTACCTTCGTGATTAGGCAACTTTGGCGTAGTAAAGCTTCCTTCACGGACTCGGTCAACCTCTTGCTCCGAAGCGGTTTTCCCCCATAGGGGCCAGATACCCGTAACTCTCCACCATCACCATACTCCGAACGTTCCATTCCAGAATGCAAACTTTCCTCCACTGGTCTCTCTTGTCGCATTGTCGATCTATGTGTACTTATATAAGCTAGGCTGAACTTAACAACGAATTGGGAAGATGCAAATAAATACTGACCATATTGACCAGACCTAAAATACTTTCTGTAATGGTGATCTGAGTGTCTTCAATCCCAAATTCTTGGGCACACTCATTCCCCATGTCAGTCTGGACAAATCTGTGAATGTATTTCTCAGAATTTCTTGCAGCCCTCAACGGTTATCAACATAACTCACCCTGGATGTGCAGGAAATGCCACTATATTGATGTGTTCGAGGTGGATTTTCTTCATTATCCAGTTTAGAGACGCTTTGGTCGGTCCGTAAACACCGTTCGGGATCTCAAACTTCTCTTGGTTCCCAATGGTGCCTGTTTCCGAGCTCATTGCAATAAACTTGGGTATCTTATCGGATCGTTGAAGTAAGGGTAGCACTGCCTGAAATAACAGTATTACGCCAACTACGTTTACACGATAGTGATTTAATATGTCAACGGCTGTGACATTCTCCACTCGTGGAAATTTCTGGGATATTGCAGCGTTCGCAATGACCACATCCAGTGCGGTAATGTTATACTGAGTCTCAAGTACTGCGACTGCTTCGGCGGCATCGGTCGTCGAATTGCTGTCGATTTTGACAATAACGAGTGAAGTTGTTGGCGCTCGAGGTAAGCTTTGTAATGATTTGCTATTTTCATCATCAGGATTACGAACTGCAGCCACGACAACATTGTTGGCCTGTGCTAGATACGCAGCGACTAATCCCTTGCCTAATCCTTTGTACAATGTCAGCAGTGTCTTCCATTTGTGGAGGCCAAAAGAAGCTACCTCTAGCGGCACCCGTAATCAGATAGGTTGTTGGCATCTTGCTGTAATAAACGAATTTTGTCAAACGCAGCTAACCCGAAGATTGGCCTTTGTGAAAACGTCTTTGATTGTTCAGGATGTTTATGAACAATGCTCATCACGCCCTGACCATATCTTCCAGATAACTAGTATTCTGATCATAAAACTCAAACACCGTTCACTGCTGGAGTACCTCGGCTCCACCATTCATGTCTAATTTTAGCGCAGTAGATGAAGGTATATAGGGGCAGAAAGCCATACGAAATTGCCGACCTCGTCAGCACAACCTGCATCCGCTCAGAAGCCACGATAACAGTGATGCAGAGATACTCTGGAGTCAAGTGTTTCGAATATGCGACCAATCGCTTCCATTGTAGTGGTTCCCAACTCGGTGTGTGAGACGGTGCCATCCATGATGTCTCTTCCCCATCCGGCTCTCCATCCGGCCCAAGGCCCCCTCCCCCATCCGGAATCCCACCGCCTCTCCATTTCCATCCACATTTGGAGTATGACAGACTCACAACTAGTGGGCACGAACAATCACCGCATGACTGGTCGATTCGAACAATGAAATGGCTCCCAGGTGAAATTTACGTAGCAAAGCCAAGGCCTATGTTTCCATAAGTCTATCTAGCGTGCTTGTCATAGCTTCGCAGCATGGCCACGGAAACTTGGCCAGCTGATTTCTGAACGTGACTAATATGCTGAGAGACCCATACCTACGGCTGTTGCTGGCCGTACACTGAAGCTTGTACCAAACTATCAAAGCCGAGGTGAATATGATGATGGGAAGCCACACTGAGAGTCTTTCCTGGTCCGACCCTGATTTTGTGTCGGAGAGCTCCAGTACCAACCAGGCGAGATCCAGTGCTTTGTCCGAGATATCAAGGCTTTTGGCAACGTTTACCCCCGGATCAACAAACACCGCTTCTCTCGGGTAGCCAACCAATTGGTAAAGAGAGCCTAGATCGGGGCACAAAAGTTGCAGCTCACTGAAGTGGTATAGGGCCAAGATATCTTTTCTCACTAGGTCCTTAAAATGGACATGCCACCTGGAAAGTGCCGACAGAAAGTCTGCACCCAGTCTGCAAAACTCGCTTTGTAAAGATAATGGTGACCATGGATTTCGTAAAGGCTTCAACTGATCACCCGCAAGACCGTTTATGGCACTTTCTTGGTAGCTGGGAGGGTATGGCATTGAGAGGTGACATTGCTGCATATACACTATATCGTTGAGCATCGCGAGCAGTAGGAGAAGTGCGTCTTCATTAGATCTGACATCGAGAGGTAAGACATATCCATGAATGAGAGAGTTGTAAACCATGCGAAAATGATGATCAGAACAAGGCATTTTAATGTACAGCTCGCTGACTGAGTAGTTGGGCACTCTGTTGAAGTGTACGGCGTGCATGGTATCAAGCAAGACCAGATAGGCGACGAGGGAGCTAAAAATCACCACTCTTAGTCAGTTGAACCCCATTTTCCTTATCAACACTCTCACCTTTTTACTCCAAAGTCTTTTGGTGGTAGCTTGACTGATGCGAAGAGTGGAGAATAGCCATCGATTAAGTGGGAACGTCGCGACATCTGTCAAGGGTTTAGCATATCAATTCTACAGGAAGGGGGATATGATAGAATGTCTACCGTGGCTAAATTGCATAAAAGCCCCGAGGTTTTCTGTCGAGCTGCATATTCTGTCGATAAAATGCCATACGTGGTAAAGAGGGCGCCCTGGTAGGAGAGAGGAAATCAGTTATAGCAAGAGAACAAACTCCCTGCGACACTCTTACCGCGATGGTTGCCGCACATGATCGACTCTCGCGGTTATCAACTTCTAGCATTACAGACCACAGGCCAGCGCCAGCGACAAACAAGTCTGTGGAATCAGACCGTCCAACTGAGATTTCGTGACTGGTTGAATCTTTGGGGTTTGTTGAAATCGACCCTAGACATGCAATCGCGATTTCCAAGTATGGTGGTGGATGGCCTATAGTTGAATTTGTCACGCCCAGAGATTTTATGAATATATGATGCTCGAATAAGTGCAAGAACACACTCCGGTAATGGGCTAGTGTATGCTCTGGTGGCAAAATCGGCAGATCGGAAAGCATGACCATAGGGTAAGTATATGGTGCTGGTAATCCCTAGGGAAGAACTACTCAGAGGATTCTCGTGAGAAGTCAAGCAGACATCATCGCTTACCGAGTGCATTGTCTCTACAGCGTCGCCCGTGGACCTCGAATCCGGGTTTTCCGTTGTGTCTTCCTCGACGTCTTCGCTGTGAAGGAGCGCAATGCGAAAACGCTCGAGAAATGATGCTCCAGGTACTTTATGGGCATCGTAGACATCCCAACGTGAAGGCTGCCGCTCGCTTGGCCACAGTCGAGGTCTGTAGAGCCTAGTCTGAGTATTGTCGGACGAAAGCTGTTGATTCGTCATGATTCTGAACAGGAGATGACCGACTTGGGACTATGCGTAGATTATGCATGAACAGGCTGCGAAAGAGGAAGCATGAGGCTGGGGTTGAGAATTTTCCCCCGATTTGAGGTCATCGAACTGACTATTAGTTAACAAGGTGGGGTTAGAGACCCCAAGGGCATCCCCGAGCGCAGATTTGTTAATACCAAAAATTACCCCAGGTCGGCCGAGAAGTTACCTAGGTACAGTGCTAGCCAACGGAGTTCATCAGTTAGGTACCCCTCCTTTTTCGTTGTTCCTTCTCAGAAGTTATTGATTCCCCCAATTTCGATCCTGGCAGCTTGTCATCACCAACCTTTATCTCGAGACCATGGCGACGACCGATAGTCTCGATCCCAGCCAAGAGGATCACAGTCACCAGGTATGCTATATATTTGAACCAGTTCTCTGACCACATTCCCAAGATCTCACCAGCTGGAGCTGTCAAATGATTCCGAATTCGCTTTGCTCTCACGGGCCGATGACAATATTGACTTGATTGTAGTGCGAAGTCTGCTTTCGAACCTTTTCTCGAGCAGAGCATCTAAACCGACACCACCGAATCCGTAGGTGCTCTAGGTTGTTTCGATTCCGATGTCGACCACTGCTGAAGCGTCTACACTCAGATACCAAAGAAAAACCTTTTACATGTCAGCACTGTTTCAAATCGTTCCAACGCTCCGACGTGAAAACTGCGCACATTAAAAGATGTCATGCAGGTCCATCAGGCCAGTTGCGTGGCCCTCTCTCTACGCAGAATCTGCCACGGAAGCGTGCGCGTATTGCGTGTGTGTGCTGCAGGAGGAAGAAAATGCGGTGTGATGGTAATGAGCCTTGCGCACCATGCATCTCCAGTAGTACAATCTGCCAATACATCACGCCGGAAAGCTCATCTGCGACAGAGGAGAGAAATCAGCATACTGATATCACAGCCGCCCCATCGTTGGACCCTGCCACATGTTTCTCTACTAGTGAAGGCCTCAATCCTATACGTTCTCACATGGAACAGCCGATTGGTGCATCATTGGATATAGACTTGATTCCTGGGCTTCCAATTGTTCCTGACTTCGCAGAAATACCACAGAGTAGCCACGAAGGGAATGACAGCCGAATCGAGAGAAATGTGGAAATGTCAAATCCTAAGGAACTCATCAATGAAGTGTCGGAAATGCCGCTGTTCTTTGATAATGTCTTTGGCCAATTCTCCGATATAGCTGAGACATCTAATAGTTGGGGATTACCTGCGGTAGTATGCCTCCCAATCCGGAGTCCTGTTAGACTAACCAAGCCTAGGATACCCCTTTTTGGTTTGACCGATCCGAATTTGCAACACCTGAATGCTTCATGAATTCAAACGGCGAGCTTCCGCAAGACTCGGCCCCGTTGTCAATAAATACCCTGACCACGATGATGCAGGAATACTTTGACAGCAAGTCGAGGGCATCTTCACCTTCACTTGACAACGCTCGCTGGAGTTGGTATTCGGTACCCCCGGATCAAGACAAATACAGCAGGGATATCGTCAGGATTTTTCTGAGCATATTTAAACGACATATACCAAAAACATTCGTCATTTTCAAAGACGCTTGTTCGAATTTCGATAGCCAAATTGCATACACACTTGCAATGGCTGCAACCGGAGGCCTGTTCTGCTCGGTATTTGGCAGCAACGAAGTTGCAATGTGCATGTACAACGATGCTCGAAGACTACTATTGGCAGCGGTAGGGATCGTGCTTTCTGCATACGGACTTGGGAGCTAAATCCCGCTAGTTCAACACCAGTAGTATTGTTGATAATGCTTCAATCACCCTGAAGGAGCAGCTTATGATTGTCAAGACGGTACAGTGATTTCCTCTGGTTCCAACCAAATATCTGGTAACGAAAATAGTTTATACTGTTGGAACTCTACGGTCTTTGCAGTGGCGACAAGAGAAGTTACGAGTTCTCGGAGTCATCCCATGGACATCTGATTGAGGTGTGTTTGCGAACCTTGTCAATGAGTATCACTAACGAAGGGCTTTAGTCAGTGCAAGCATACAGCCAGACTTTCATGGCATCCATGCCGCACGAACGACAAGAAGATGAGAATGCCCAGTAATAGTTTCCCACTCCACTAAGACTGCAAGGCTAACCTAGTCACAAAAGCTTACTTGAGGCCCTGTACATACTCGACTGCTATCGGGTAATCATAATGCAGTGCCCTCCCTCTCTTTCTTGGCATCATCCAAATTCATTCGCACGACCGAGAGGATCTGCTGGCCGAATCCAATCTCTACACGAATTGGTCATGCAAATCATAGGCGGTGGACGGATGAGTGTCTCGGTAGGGAGCGAATCTAGCCTTGGGAGCCTAGCATGTATAAGTGTCTTTCTGTTCCCAGTACTCTATCCGCGCCAGAACAGGTATGGCGTTAGCAACTTGGTCGTCGAGAGCTTTTCGCTTTGGAAGAGGGATTTTGCGGATCTTGCTTGTGATACTTGGTTGCGTCTCCGCGGAGAAGCAGCAGATGTTTCTCATCTGACAGTTTATCACATGATGAACATCATGCTTCGCGCCAACCTCACGGTCGTGCAGAGCTTTGCGCACTCAGCGCCCAAGTCAGCAGCACGAGATCCTGAGAAAGGTATAGCAGCTCGGGAAGTACAAGCGTGGACCCGCAGTCCCCAGTATAAGTTTTCTCGATGGCATGCTGACCACATGATTACCGCTATCGAAGAGAGTTTCTCGGATCCAAACGTGCTGAATCGCCAATCTGGCCAGCCGTCGTTGTCAGCCACAGAGGGTCAACGTCTCCCCTTCGAAAGTCCCCATATCCCTTACGCCCTTTATTTTGCCACGTTGATTGTTTGGTGTGGCGAAATGAGCAAGGAGAATAACAACTCGGCTTCTTTAGCGACTCAAGCTGCCATAAAAAGAGGTGAAAGACTTCTGTTGTTGCATAAAGTCCATATTGCCAAACTACTGGCACGCGTCCTACTCGATGTAAGGTAAATCTTCCGAGCGAATCCCTCAGCTATGTCATTCGGAATGCAATAGGAAACACCATAGATTGAGAAATTCGATAACTATGAGGTCTCTTACGACTTAGGTTATGGCTACACAGTTTCTTGAAACCGCAGTCTTCACAGTACCGATGTCTGCCCCTTGTCAACCGTGATCAGAGCTCCGTTCAAAGCAGATGATCCTTTTGATGCAAGGAAGACGCATAGATTGGCCACTTCTCTCGTATCTGAAATTGGAGTTGCTAAAGCATCGACCACCACATCCAGCAGCCTTTGCCCTTCTCTGTGCGTATTCTGCGTGTACGGGCCCTTCGTAATGATCGTAGTGTTCATTCCTCCTGGCATTACTAGGTTGCACCGGATTCCTTGGTTTTTATAGTAGGCAGCTGTACTTCGTGTCAAGCCAACCAAGGCATGCTTGCTCGTCGTGTAAGCGGCGCCTGCCTCGTGTCAGCATATGGCATCCTTGCTTGTCAGGTCCCAGTTAGTGGTAAATTCCTACCTCCGGCCCATCCTCTTTGACTAGCTAGCGAGCCAATGTTGATGATTGCAGCATCTTCGGCTTTCCTGCCTATGAAATGGCGCAGGACTTCCTTGCTCATTAAGAAGGATCCCGTCAAATTGACGGCCATGACTTTGCTCCAGATATCTTCGCTCACCATCCCAACAGGTTCGAAGCGGTCCGTGATGCCTGCACAGTTGACTAGCACGTCCAGAGTGCCAAAGTGCTTAATGGACCTCTCGACTAAGGACTTCACCTCGGCAGCATTGGTGATGTCACATTGTGATATCAGTACAGGTCCCTTGTCCGAAAGATCCACCGCTATCGTGTCAAGCATTTTTTGGTTGATGTCGCAAACTACCACATTCGCACCAGCAGCCAAGAATGCAACAGCGATTGATTTACCAAGGCCACCAGCACCTCCTGTAATCAAACATGTCCTTGCTGATAGTGATTTGCTTAGTGAAGCCATGACGAGAGGAATGGTGGATGGAAGTTGAGTTCATGTAACCTTCCGATGAACTGGCCCTCCTCCTGGACTTTTGCTCGGCGCTTATGAGCCAGAGACTGATTCAAATACTTACGTACCTTGCAGTAAGCTTTTAGTGCACGGTTATACCTCGAATGGATCTCACAGGGGGTAACGGGGTAACACGACTTCAGCAGATGATGATTCACGGCCCCAGCATTCTCGGAAACTGGAGTTGCCTATTCTCAGGATTATCACCTAAAGGACGATTGAGTGCGCGCCACAAGTTCCTATAGGACGGAATAATCACACGAAAAGAGTCTTGGAATCGAAGTTATGGTTATGATTCTCGATGAGCTGTGAAAGAAGTAGAGAAAAGCTCGATTTGAGAAGCTATACGGACGATACTGAAGCGACGGTGACCTTTGACCTACCCACCCAGGGCATGACAGAAGGCGTGGATCGTGAAGCCTATTTACTATCCTGTCGCCTGCCGTACTCAAATGTTGCATGGTAGAGTATTAGCTATACGACGCGGTTGGGTGATCCGCGATTTTTGACGTTATCTGGGTGCCTCCAGCCTACTGCGACTGCTGACATTGACTACTTAGCTATTCAAACCGAAGGTCTAATCTTTCTCTGCCACGTAGTGGTTCTATGATTGAGTAGTTGCTGTTTGATATGAGAGTCTTCAGCCTCATCCCATTTACCCTGGCGCCGTTCTTCGCTGGCTTTTCAAATTCTGTACCGCCGGCTCAATGCCATAACTTTGTATTTATTTTTGGGTCCTAAAGCTTCCAAGCAGGTATTTATCATCGACAACGTTCCAATCCCGCAGTCGATCCAGGACTTCAAGCTCTCTCATGAGAACAAGTGGTTCGACGGCTTTCCTATAATTTTGGTAATATTCCCTTGGGAGATGATACTTTTCTATCCATGCCATATCTTGGGTCCAAATTTCGACGAGACGAAAAGTGCCGGCCTCTGTAGGTGAATGGAATACTTCGAAGTAAAGACACTCAGGCTCTTTGCTAGTGAACTCCCAGCATATTCGTAAGGCTTCGGTGAACTTGATAATGTTTTTGGGTTCCACTTTGTATTTCAAGCTGAAAGTCACACCCAAGTGAGGAGTGAGTATTGAATTCGACATATCCGAGAAAGCCCGACCACGGTTTTGAAAGAGGGAAGTGCCATAGGGGTACTGAGTCCAGAATTTAGTAGACCTCCTCCATAGATACAGCATGCCTCACGGGAGTGCATCAAGAGAAATGCAACGATTTTAATTCTGGACGATGTTAGTCCCATAGACACTTAGATAAACACCGAGGCCGCCCAGTCTTGGAAGCATTTCATTCCACCCCATCCGGATAAATCACAAATTCCCCAAGGTGGAAAATATTGGGGACGGCTGGCCATGGGGCGGGACCACCTTACAGACGATTGAACGAGAGGCAGCCGATGGCAGATCCGATCACTTAGAGGGTAGTAGCATAGCACCTACCGTATTCTCAAAAACTTTGTGCCAAGATGAGAAAAGTTGTCCTTCGTAGCCGGGCTTGGCTGTGGCAGCCAACATCGAAGTTTGCTATCCGACATTGACCTTCACACTGAACGCCTGAAAAGAGATGATGTTACACAGTTCTACACAAAGAGTAGTTACTAAGCTAGCTAACTCCGAGCCGTTAGTCTTTACGGAGCGAAAACTTAAGACACTTGCAATAGCAGTATTCGCAGAAACCACTGGCGCTTAGTCTCTACTATTTCACAAGAGAGTGATTCTCTCTAAACGCTAATGTAACACGGTCCCAGTCGCGCAAGTGGCTCCTTCAATAGTGTTCAGCGTCCGCTATGGAGTCCTGCGCGGTATCCAAACACCATTGATGGCCCCAATGTCAGACCTCCTGATGGATAGTGGCCTCTCAGGAAATGATTCGAGTCAGCACCAACAGCATAAAGCCCTGGTACAGGATTTTCCTGAGAGTCCAACACCTGTGCGTCCTGATTGGTCTTTAAACCATACATCGTAATGCCATTTCCAGCGTGCATTGAGATCGCATAGAATGGTCCGTGTTCCAATGGCCCAAGGCAAGGATTTGGTTGCGAAGGATCGCCGAAGGCGCGATCATATCCTGCTTCACCTCGATGGAAGTCAGGATCCTTTCCTTCCCGTGCGAATTTATTGAATTTTTCCACGGTAGCCGTCAATTTTCTAGGGTCGAGACCTATTTTGGTTGCCAGCCCAGAAATTGTTGGAGCACGGACTAAGTAGCCTTGTCGAACCAGATGGTTGATAGGATATGGCGCAGGCAAAGCTGCGCCCATGCCATATTTCCTGAGATGCGCTTTCGTGCCTATCAAGTATTGCTTTTGTACACCAGCCGCTTGAACCGCTTTCCCAAAGTCTTGATATGACGCAGATTCATTGGCGAATCTCCGAGCATCGACGTCGACAATAATCGAACCTGGCTTTGTCAGGCCCATGACAAAGTGAGGATATATTCTGGGTCCTTTCCGCGTCTTTATCTCAGAGACTGGCGACCACAAAGCGGCGTTCTCATTCAGAGGCTTCGGTAGCACCCCACCACTCGTTAGACCAATCTGAATACCATCTCCCTGATTGCTACGAGGGCTGACAGTCCACTCGCTACCTGCTGGCAGAAATTTTCTTGCCCATGAACCATTACGCGCGAACCCGCCGGTGGCTAGTATGACCGCTTTCTTTGCACGAACTCTCACAGGTCCATCATGACGGTCGATCACAACTCCCATAATCCGGCCATCTGCTAGTATTGGCTCAATTGCTGCCGCTTCGTTTCTGAATTCTATTCCAGACCTCGTAGCAGACTCTAGCAAGCGACCTACCAAGGCATTCCCGTTGCAGAAATTTGTCCCCTTTCCGTAGCGCACTCGATCCACCATATATCTCAAAACACTCCCAGTGACCAACGCCAAGTTTCGGAAGTTCGAGAAGGGATGGGTCCACGCGTTGAAATCAAGGGCATCTGCTTGCATTGATCCAAACGCGCAGTAGCCCTGCAATGGATACCGTACCTGCTTTACGAGTTTCGAGCCGAGCCTACGCCCATCGTAGGGGGCGTTCAAGATGGTGCGACCGGCTGTTACCGCGCCCTCCAGCTCCATGTAATAGTCAGGAGTTGCACATGGGACGAATTGTGCGGCTGAGGAGGACTCAAGAAATTCAACCATCTCAGGAGCCGTTTCAAGATATGCGGATACCAGAGCATCATCATAATCTTCCATCCTTGAAATCTTTTGGAGATAACTCTGGATATAGGTCTTTGCTCGAGCTATAGAATCGGTGTCTTTCTCTGTGTGCCGGCTCATCGGGACCCAGAGGGCGCCGCCAGAGAACGCCGATGTACCACCGAACCACTTGCTCTTTTCTGTTACAAGAACTTTTTGTTTCCCCACTAGTGTCGCTGTGATAGCCGCCGTAAGACCTCCGGCGCCGGATCCGACAACGACAACATCAAATTCCTCATCATATTGCTGTGTCGTCTGAAACTAATTAAACAAGGAACAGAATGTGAAATGTGAGCATACGATCATAACTTACATGTCTGATAGTTGCGAAATTGCGGGAACGGATATTTCGTGTGGCTATCGTCACAGGTGTTCCAAAACCAGACCTTCGTGGGCATTTTGTGAGTAGCTGAAGAGCCATCTTGGGAAAATGTTCAATCGACGTTCAATCGTCGTTCAATTGCGCACAAATATCCGTAAGAGGAGATCAAGAATAGAGTGGAGTTGCTCTTAAACGAATTTACGTCTTGTCGGAACTGACCCAGGCACCTAGATTATGAAGCCATTTCGAGAAGCACGCGAAGTAAGAGTGTCAAGCTACCCCACAGTGTCCAAGGTGGAAGACGTACTCAATCTCATGGTATTGTTCCTGCTTCCAAGCAAATGGAGTACCGACACTTGCTGCAGGAACCAAACTTGACACATGAAGATGTACACAACCGATTTGAGATTGGAGCAGAGGGTAGGGATCTGAACCTCTTCCCGGGCGAATAACATTCCGTCCGGCTTGATGGGGGTGGGACCTGATCTGGATGGAACTTCGTCGGCCAGGGAAATTCGTAGATTGGGGTACTCAGCTGTAGACCAGATACTAGCACACTTGGCTTCCGATCATCAATAAGTAACTTTGGCCACGCGAATTAAGTCTTACCTATCTGATCAATTCGCTTTACATATAACTTCGCACACCCTTATCGAGAAAAATCCGACACGCAAGTCAAATTACCACATACTCAAAGATTGTTATTAAGCCCCTAGATTCAGTCTACTGCTTCTCTCACAAGATGGCACAGGCGGTGGGGAAAATTGTAGGTATCCGAATTTCTGCTTCAGTCGTCATACTGATATTTCAATAGGCATCCGGCGGGAAAAGCAATGTAGTCAAGGTTGTGGGCCTGTTCAAGAGGAAAAAAGGGCTTTCGATGGAGAAATTCAAAGACTACTACGAAAATCAACACATAAAACTCTTCGATGAGCATGTTGCTCATCCAGGGGTGCTTCGGTATTCTCGGCGCTATTTAACGCCATTCGAGGGATTGGCTTCACCATTGCCACCACCAAAAGAGAAAAGCTACGACGTTATTATGGAGGTTTGGTATAAGGACAAAGAGTTGTTTGATTCTTTCAAAGGACAGTCTGACCCTTCCTTCAGTGAGATTGTGAGAAAAGACGAAGAGAATTTCTTTGATCGTGACTCCATGGTCATGTTTCTATCTGAGGATTGTGAAAGCAAAGACGGACCCTGGAATGTATAGATGAACGGGATAGAAGAAAGTATTCTGCAATGAACTTGTATCCTATAATAGAGTAATTCCAATCTCCAATCCATCGAGCACCGTTGAAAACATGGTTAGTCGGCGTCCGGTCTGGACAGAGATAGTTCAGTGCCCCAATTAATCCTCCGTACTACGCCACCCCGAGAGCACTAAAGCCACTTTGACCTTTGCTCGTCTTTGAGAGGCGAAATAAGCGAAATAAGCTTGGAGCGCTGTCATAGATTGCTATAAGTCTTCAATCTGGGCACACAGCTATATCGAGCGCATGGATACGCAAGAGATCTTAGCTACTCATAACGATCGGTCAACATCATCTCGTATATTTTTTGAGGTCCTTTTGTGGCATTTCAATAAGTCTCGCAAACCAATCAGTGAAATGACATTCTAGCTTTGGTATCTCATCCTTGGTTATTTCAAAGTGATTTGTGAGCAATCGGCATCACTGGGAAGTCATGTGAAAGACCTCTGTTGGTTTTCAGTTCGAGAAGCCGTACGAAGCCCAGCTATCCTGTTAAAGGGACGGAAGACATGTTGTCTGCTGACAAGCCCGTCAGGGACAATTTTTCCACCAACACGCATGGGCCATTGCCGGAATATTGAGAGACCAGGGGCACTTATATGTGACCTACAGATCCTACTTTGCCTGCAACAGTACGGTTGTCGTCTTCTCTGAACCTCTGCGATATGTTAGTCCCTGTTCCCACGATACTCTACTTGTAGCTCGTGGGCGATTTTAGATTGATCTTCCGGATCATTGATACGCTGCTCAGCAGCCTCAATGGGCGCATCGATTTTCTTATTGAACTCCGAAGTAGGGTTATTCAAAAAAGCAGATGCTGGAATCACCAGTTAGTAGCCAAAAATGCATCTGGGCCGGTTGCGACTTACCGATCATAGCTAAGAAGGAGAAACAGGACGCGCAAATGAATACGTCTCTGAAACCAATAAGCCTTGCCTGTTTCATCCCAAGGCTGGCAGCTTCGACAATCGCAGGTGTGATACCAGTCAAGCCTTCCACCAAGCTCATGTTACCTGCGGCCAGTCCTCCAATGAGAGGACCGATGGTCTCCTCTGGTAGACCCAAGGGTACAACTCCATTTGTCACTTGTGAGAGAACATTCTTGCTATAACCGCTCGCGGCCAGTGCATTGAATATTGCAAGTGCGACAGATCCTCCGAAGCTTCGAATACTAACGCCGAGGCCTGTAGTGACAGCAATTAATTCAGGTGCTGTTGCAAACTGAGCTGCCGTGAAGAAAGTGACGAAAGCCAGTCCCAGACCGGCACCAAAGAAACAAATGTAGCCCCAAAAATTGGCCTCTGGAGTGTTCAGATTGACTGTCGCCATCGGAATATAGAAACACAGCATCATCACAAATGTCAATACCCCGGTCAATCGTACTGTCTTGGTCTTGGCGACGTAGAGACCTGTCACCAGAGTGATGACAGCAAAGCTGCAGAACCCGACCATGTAACATAGTGATTGCCTATAAGGACTCATTGTTGCACCCCGGACAACGCTTAGTGAAGCGGGAAAGTATATTCCAGCAGCCATGTAGGAAGATCCCTCGGCAGCGAGAGCAGCCAAGGAGATAACGTAGTTTCGATGATGGAATAGCTGGTGATGGAAGAGGCCAGTCTTGTTGAACTTCCAGGCATAGATGCCAAGGATGATGAGCAAAACGCTTCCAACTAACAATGGACCCAGGACATGAGAATTCTTCCAAGTATAAGGATTCTGAGCCCAGGACAGTCCGAGGCAGAAAGGGATGGTTCCACCTGCTAAAAGAATGTACCCAATCCAGTCGAGGGAGCGGATCTTTTCTTTGAAGCTGAGAGCAGTTTGTAAATTTCTCGGTGGTGGATTATAGAGAACTGTAACAAGACCCACGGAAGCAGCATAGATTCCTGCAGTGATGTAGAGGTAGGTTCGGAACCCTTCAGGGCCAGCCTGGACCAGATAACCACCAACGCTGAGTGCAAAAATTGAACCGAAAGCATTAACAAAATTAGCACCAGCTTGACTCCAAGGACGAAGTTCTCGTGGAAGTACTTCTGACACCACGGCCAAGAACAAGCCTTGTGAGCCGAATCCCAAGCCTCCAACACAAAATCCAGCGATGTACATGCCCATTGATGTTGCACGGGCTGATATGATGCAACCGATGATTCCTCCAATGTTTGGAATGATTAAGAACCACTGTGAGAGGATAATGTGAGTTTCATGGGAAAAGAGTACATTGCTAGTCGGTTGGAACTCACTTTTCTTCCCCAGCTGTACAAAACTGTTAGCACGCGTTAAACATATTGTGAGCTTGTACTAACTAATCTGAGGCTTGACAGATGATTGCTCCCAGAGCTACGGTAAACAAGATTGATACCAAAGATGGCCAGGCGACCAAGCTCATTCCACCGATGACAGCCGCAACTTGTGGAGCTAGGAAGCCTCCGCCTATGATGCACAACAGTTCGCAGAAATACAAGCTGAGAACGGCCTGTTTTGATGTGAGTAAAGTACTTAACACGCTCTAGATGACATCGTATCTCACCGAGACTAACACATAAACTTTCAGATGGTTCCAACGCATTGGGACGCCTTCGCCTGAAGCAACAGGACCAACAGCCACCATATCTTGGGACGCCTGTGTATTCTGTCCCATCGTGTAATAAAGCGTACAAAGAGATCTCGTTTTGGAAAAGCTTAAGAGGGCAATGTCTCTAGTAAAACGGCTAAAGCTCAGCTATATATCTTGGGGTTTAGGGGGTTTATCCTCGGAGCATGGGGTAATGCGTATTTGATCAGATCCAGAACCCACGTTTTTCATTGCTCTTATCGACTGCGCAAAAGCTTCTTTGAGTGGAATCTCAATCCTGGGGCATCCCGATCGACGTGGCCAGCGGATTGCGTCCCCATGGGGAAGATGGTTGCCACAGCGCCAACTAACCCGCGAATTTGCCCTCGCTTCGCGGAAAACTAAAAAAAAAATTGAAATTGGAAGCCCCTTTGGGGCCGGACTTGACCCGCTCCCATCCCCACCCGGCTCCATCCTCATCCCATCGGAATCAAGCAGGTAGAACGGAGCATATTCTCAACTCATGTGACATTATGGTACACTTGCGAATCGTAAATCAGATGTATTGCCACATTTCTAAGCAAATACTAACGAAGCTCAAAGACCACGGCATGGTCTTACCGAGGCTCTTCGCCACCCGGGTGTTTCTTGGGTATTACGATCACTCGAAGTCCTTCGCTCCCAAAAGAAATCATTAACCAGCATTCCGCGATCTGTATCAAAAGTTAACTTAGTGTCAGATCTTGCCAGCAGTTATGGACGGTGCAAATTATGCATCGGGGAAGTGTGGCCATGTAAAGATCCGAATTTTCCATACATCAGGTTGTTTGACTGTAGAAACGCTGAGGTAGAGCATACAGCGATTAATGCCCGTGAGTTGGAATTCTCCAGGAAATAGTGTACCGTTAAGAGTAGGTGGCTGAACAACTTGGATGTTCATGACCAAGCTGCGTTCAGATTCTGTCAACCACACGGCTCGTAAATCAATACCGCAACGGAGATCATGCTTCCTAATACTCTAAAAATTAAAGTTAACATCTGGACTGCACCTACTAGGTGAAGATATCGAAAGAACTCGACTTGAGAAAGAACTAACGGACGACCCTACCAAATGTAGGCTAGCAATTAAAGAAATAACGTGTTGTGAGGAGAAATCTGGGGTATTATCCTCTTAATATGGTTTCCCATATGCTTGTGACAGCTAGGCTACTGGCTAGTGTTTAACTCTGACGTTTGGACGAGGATTGGTGTAGTCGAAGAACTGCTTCGAGATGCGTGACACAAGTTAACAGAAACGCTCAACTTCAAACGTGCTAAATTATAAGCATGCTCATGAGTATTGAGTTGCCACTCTCACATCGTGCTACAGATGACAGGGTGCAAAATGTGTGCTGGTGAGTAGTACAGTTCGGTCCATTTTTCTAGCTCTATCTTGTCGTTCGAGTGGAGTACTCTACAACTAAATACTAGCACCGCTCAATCCCACAACCTATATTCTCGGGTTTCGAAAGTGAGTCATGCAAAAGGTAGTTTCAAAACTCGGTAAGATCTGATCATAATTCCACAGCAATTCTTCTTGTCTGCCACTTCTTAATTGAAGGGAGAAGACAACATGCAACCATGGCCAAGACACCAAATGGAACGCTAGTAACCCACACCCACTTCAGTGATTCTGAGTAACCCCACCTGCTTCCTAAATTCGCTGCAGCTGCAATTTCGACTGTATAGCCAGGCACATTGTCAATGTTTGCTGGATCAGTGAGAAAAATCGTCACAAAATTCTCAACATCCTTTCCTGATAGCCCCGCTTCGGTGACGTATCGAGCGACCGAATTCGGGAGGTTGGTGGACAGTTTATTCATGAAGACCGCGAGGTATATGGTGTAGCCAATCGTACCACCGAGTGTTCGTATAGAGAGCGACAATGCTGCAGTAGTCGCGAGGAGGCTATCAGGAACCACGACCAGGGCGACAGTTGCAGCGGGTACAAGAATACCTCCAACACCAAATCCGGCAAGAGTACCCATCGCAATCACGAACGACCCATTTGTTGGATTCGCGTTGATCAGGGCTGCTCCAAATATAGCTATAGCTGATTAGAAAACTTCGCTTGCGCTGTTCGGGGCTGGACTTACTCATGAGAGTAGCCGACGCTAGCAGAATCCATTTGACTTCGATACTCGTGGAGATGAGTGCGTTGAAGAACATCGCACCAACAGTAACTGAGATACCATATCCAAGTCCTTTGAGGCCAATTTGGATCGGATCTGGATTGTACATAGTGGCGAAGGACAATGGATAAAAATTGATCAAGGAGTAGAAATTGATTCCGCCAACAAAGGCAATGAAAAATGCCAAAGCAACAACTCGCTGGCCTTGAAAAATTTGTTTGGGGACCATCGGGTATTGAGCATATTTCCACTCCCACACTATCCATCCACCGAGTGAAATGATTCCGATGATAAGTTGAGTTAGGACGAATGTGCTGTTCCAAGGGTGGGAGTACCCTCCTGCTTGCAGAGCAATTAAAAGTATCGTAAGACCAATAATAGAAAGCAGTGCGCCGATGTAGTCAATGCGAGAAGCAATTTTTCGCTTAGTCACACCCTCCATTCGGGGGTGGCCTTTAGGGTGATAAGTCGTTATGAGTCCAACCAGCACAACCAAATTGTAGAATAGGCATAGCCATATTCCCCATCTCCAGTTGGAGCGGGATGATATGAGCTGCCCATATATCACATAAGGCGTAAATGGCAAGATACACGCCATCATCAGTGCCACACCGTACCCACGATGTTTAACTGAAACAATGTCCGACACTCCCGCCAGTGCAGTCAACTCACAGATACCAGCCCCGGCTCCTGAGATAGCCATTCCTACCACTGCTTGACCAAAGCCATGTGCGCTTGCCACCAGCGTAATTCCAATGCAAACAAAACCTGATCCAATAAGGGTAATCTCTCGTCGGCCGACAACATCCTGGAGATACCCAGTAAATGGCGCAATCGCTGTGATAGCCAGGGTATTTGAAACCGTGAGCCAGCCTACACGCCCCTTTACGGCGAGCGCGACTTCGATGTACGCCAACTCGGCACCAACCATGTATAGAACGATTTGGGAACCTATATAGAGCATTCCAAGAGTGAGAGCAGCCATTTTGTTGCGAATCGTCCAATTGACCCTCCCGTCAGAATCGTCACCCTTGAATGCCCTGTCATTGCCGATGTGGTCCTTGTCAGGAGAGGATTTTTCTTTGTTTTCGGCGTCAGTAGCCTTCTCATTTGTCCTGGTATGAATGCTCTCTTTAGCCATGCTGCTTTCCACCGTAATCACTGAAGTGCATAGATACTCTGTAGATCCAGCTCCCTTTAGCTAGCATCCACCGATGTTATACTTACGATGGTAACGGAGACGTTCTCAAACTGGAAATATTGCCTGCACTCGTGTTAGTAATGAATATTCACCGGAAGATGCCGTTGAGTGTACATAGCTGACAAAGACGGTAGAAAGATGCATCGTACTTTTACTGGTCCCTGTTTCGAACCTTTCAGTGCAAGTGCAACCAATGAAATTGAGTGAGGGTTAAGCCTGAACTCGGATTCGTATTCCGAATCACGGAGGACGCCATTCGCATACGTAGGGAGCATATCTCTCGTGGAGATTCATATCCGTCAACATTGCATCGCTTTGAGTTGACTGGTCTGCTTACTGTATTTGATGGTTCGGCACTGATAGACAGAACTATTTCTAATCATTTCGAAAATTCCACCAATACTAGGCTACTAGTCTAAGTAATTTCAAGCGAGATCCGTTTCAGGGCTTAAAGGTTCGGACGTTTAGCAAGTCTTCTCTTTGAAGTGTCTATAAGCTTTGGCTGATCAGTAAGAAGACCAAGCACCTTGTCCCGTAATTCTTCAATCGCTATAATATTGTATTCCCTGGATCTGAATAGGACAATTATCCCGTCAACTAATCCGTGCAACTCTGTAACCAGCAATCCTTCTTCTCCGCCATGGCCGGGGCGATTGATGGAAATTTTTTCAGAACAACCTCTAGAGTTTCCCATCGAGAGGCCTCCCTGAAACGCTGCTTGAGACTATGCAGCAATTGTATGCCTGGTTCTTCCAGCACACTAGACGTCTTCCATGTTTGAGTGATTAGCATGCCATGAACGATGAGGTTATCGCGTTCCGCCTGATTTCTAGGTTGAAAAGTCAGAGCAATAGCTGTGGCTTCTGCACGAAGATCACAAAAATTTCTTCTGCGTTGAACAATCCTGCGGTAATATGAACTCATCATCATGAGATAATGAGCGATGCAGAGAATTCTTTCCAGTGGCCTCGATTGCGGATCCAATCCACTTAAAATACCCCACAGTTGAGTCAGCATACCATATATAGGACCTCCTGTATTGAAATCATGCTTTGTTGAGATTGGTGATAAGTTTGAAAGAGCTTGTCTTGCCCATACTGCAAATTCGGCTAGATAAGAGATCATATTAAGACTCAAGCCACCTTCCTCGTATGCTAACTCTTGGAGAACAGGCGGTAGCATGGAGATCATATCGATGACCTCGTGCTGATAAGGAAGTTTCAGGTATCGTAGTGGCTGATTTCGCGTAACGAATTCATTGGTCAATGATCGAGCTTTGTCAGGCCGAGTTACTAGATATTCATGCCTGGCTTATTAAATATCGCATCACTAGAGGGGCGTCTTGTCAACTCACCTGCTTCTAAGAGATTGGCAGTAGTCATTTAGTTTACCCGACATGACTTTGGAGAGCGTATTTAAACCGACTTGATGGGCTACGAGTGCCTGTTCGTCACCCATCAAAGCCTACATCATCAGAGAGAGCTACGGGTCAAAAGTTGGATTTTCTATCGTACCTCTGTTTGCATTGCGCACAGGATACATATGAAAGTTTCATCATTGTGCAGAGCTCTGGCGAGTCGTTGTCTCAGCAAAGGCAAGGCTTTGCCTTGATGATACAGAGCTGCGGAGGTTGGATATTTTGATGGATATTGTGTAGATAGCCAACTCATGAACACTGCCATAACTGCATGGTAGATAGGTTTGAAGTCTATAGTGGAAAAGAATGCCGTGGCGTAAGGATTGCCGGCGTCTAACATAACTTGACCGGGTAGGAAAAGGAGCGCATTGGCTTGGAAGACTGTTTTTATCTCGGATCAGCCATTTGAAAAACAAAAAGCGAGGTATTACGAGATTGTGAAAGTCAACGACAGAGATTGATTCAAACACTGAAAATAACTTACATTGCGCTAAGGACACGTCAGGATCCAAAGACCGCGGGATCGTGTTGATCACGGCTCCAATTGCCCGCAGGCGCTGGGGAGAGACATCAGCCAAACTTTGCACTGTAGGTATTTCCGCTGTCCTCGTTCTCCAGGTGAGAAACGTTTGGACGATACTTTTGGTCTGGCCGGTGAACAACTTTCGCTTCTTGCGCCTCCCATATCTTGAAACATGTGAGTTTACAACAGCCCGATTCTTTGTGCTCTCCAAATCGCCTTTCGAGGTGAAAACAAGAAAGCTGTCCGCAGTGACAAGTTTCTGTTCTCTAAGCACCGAAGTCTCCATCTTGATTACCCCGCTCGTCGGATTGGAGCATTCCTTTTCGAGAAATACCCAGTTGACACCGCTCCTAGTGCAGGTTGTATAAAGTACCGCTTAACCGTGCTTCATGTTCGCCGTAGACCGGAAGTTCTCTTCCCCAGTGGAACCAAAGATACTGGCAAAAGGGACGTTGATCTTACTACTACTTCTTGATGATAAATATTTAGGACTCGAATCGGCTGCTGAGGCGCCGCAAAATTCGTGATGGAGGGGTGGACATCTCAAGACACACCCAATGGCTTTGACGATTGTGATGAGGGGTCACCCCTCGACTCGTATAGGGACTTTTTTCACCGAATGTGCCATGCAGTCATTTAGCCTAAGAACCACACGCCTTACTAGTGAGGGCGCTGACACAGATTTCCACCCTGGTCTCGACCGCTCTAAGCGCCAGGCGTTGAATGCTACTTCATACACGAGAAGAGACTTCTGACCGACCGTTCATCAATCTGAATACAGGCGTAGTACAATTTTAATTTTCTCTCCGATCACTTGGGTACTTAATTCTCCGAGTCGGTGGAGAATCCTCCGCGAAAGGACATTGGAAGCCTGAGGAGTCGAACGGTTCCTTGAATAGGATGATGAGTTTGCTGAAAGAGGAATTCTTGGCATCCATCTTGGGAAGATCGACCGATCCAACCTCTCATGCGGCCAACTCTCCTATATGCTTCCTAAGATCATGAATACGTCCTTAGGAAGTACATTTCCGAGGGAAGTGATTTGTTTGGTTTCGTGCGGATGCTTGATTGTGGAGCATCCCTATATCCGTTTGATAATTGAACAACAAGGTCATCATCCACGACGAAAGAGCTAAATCTCCTTACCCAACCGGATAATAAATCGTCTTGGTTCCGTGATCCGGAGTAGCCGAGCGATAGTTAGAGCAGACCAAGCTTCCATGCCCATGTCGAGGCCTCAACTATGCGGCCAGTAATCTCAGCTATATCCTCTCATGCCATCGGAGCTCTGGCTTGCACAACGCAATTATGCACAAAATTTCACAAACTTCAGCTTCGGCGTAAAATAAGTAAGGATCTGCTTCAGGCTTTCGCATCTGCCTGCTTTGGCTGCCGAATAATTATAGTAGTATTCAGCCAGTGTTTATTTTCCATCTGACCCAAACCATTGGCGGCCCATTGACTTACCCATGTATTTCGTTATGACCGGGCCCATGCAGTTGCATCTCACCACTTGCATTTTGGGATATACAGATTGATATTCGCGCCAACGAAAGAAAATGTCAGTATGCTCGGTACTCGCTTATTGCCGGGTGAAAGCCACCAACGGTATGCTCTGGCTGGCGTAGTCAGTGAAAAGGTTTCTTAGGGCCTCGATATAAAAGGTACCGCGGTTTCTAGTTTGAATCGACGACGGGTTACTCAAGATCAACATGTAGGTGTGCAAGACTACCCATACGCATAAAGTCATATCGAGAAGAAAGCTTGTATGTATGGGGCTTCTTGAAGCTTGCATTTTAAGTGGATATCAATGGTATGTCTCAAGGACAACGGTAGCTTGGGAGCGTCTTGTAACGCTCGAAATTATGCATTTGCAGTCTACTGACAGTACACAAGCCTTTCTAGTCATATCTAGTGCCTCGAACTAACCAAGCTCGAAGAGTGAGTATTGAAACAAATGACAATTATGTCTGAGCACGAGGCGCTAAACCTTCCTCGGGGATTTGAAAATGGTCTTTGATTGGCTAGGAGAATCAGGTTCTCGCGCCCATGATTATATAGTCGTCAAGCCTATGGAGGGGAATTCTCAGTGTTTGACATGCAGAATATTTCATTAGAAAAGGAACAGATGTTGTTTAGTATAACTTGGAATCCATGAGCATTTCACGTTCGGTTGCTCAATTCTCAAGAAGTGGATATTGAATAATGTCTCTGTCACGTTACGTGGACAATCCGAATCCTGTGCGTGAGCCTCATTTCATAATAGTCACTCCCAGGGTCCAGCAGAACCCCAAGATAAACCGGCTCATCAAGTGTCACACGGCCAAAAAAAGGCCTCGAATCCGCCGGACAACAGCCAGCAGCCAGCATGGCCAAGGTATGAATGGATTTCTCAAATGGAGAGTGTCATTGCCCGAAAAGAAGGTCCCGTGTCGTGCCACACAGCGACAACCAAATACTTGGACTAATGGTCGTTCTGAGACCGAAGCCTATTGTATTCCTCCAGGTCTCGACTTGCCAATATCCTTAGAGCAGTGTAAGTATCATTCCCACGGTAAAAGCTACTGATGATGAGGAGTCTCAAGAGAATGATTGACATCATCTAACTACCTACACCAGACCTCAAAACAAATCCATCGCTTGCTTTTCCACTTCAAGTCATGTTGGATGGAGGTAGTACTCCAGCAGAGCAACTTTTTCGCAACATAAATATGAAAGATGTTTATCACTCTGTTATCGGAGTCATTCTAATCTGGTCTTCAAACATGTATCCATCCCAGTACTCATTTTCAACCGCTCTGTTCTATCGAGGGAATGCTATTTCCTCCTTGAGAAGGCGACTCTCCCAAAAGCTATACGATAAAGAGACATATTTCTGCATTCTTTGCATTATGCAAATGGAAGTGAGTGTGTGGCAATGATGACACTGGTCTGGAGGTTAACCACTTAGGCTCAACTAGGAGATATCAATGCATTCTCCGCTCATCAACGGGGGCTGAAGGGACTGTCATCATCTATGAAGGGCGTGTTGGATGTCTACTTCAGAAGGATCTCAATGAAGTAAGTCAGTCGCGCATAACCAACGGGCGGGTGGCTAATATCCCAGTCACAAATTTCTGGCCACCGAAATCAGTCGAACTCCGGGCCGTGCGCAGAAGCTGGAGTCGCTCCCACGGCTTCACTATTTGCAACAACCTTATCCCTCCGAGGTAATGAAGCTTTTGTCCTGCCTTCCGGTTGGAAAACAAGCCATAATTCGACAATACCACGCCATCAGCTTGGAATTGATTCTTGTTTGGACAAATCATGCTGCATGGTCAGATGAACTATTATCAAGCCTAGGTATGAGTAAGCGAAAGTCCGAACGTCACTCGCTTCGCCCATTCTCGATCCTGCTAGAACGTCTCTGGGAAATAATGGAGCGACTGGATATAAAAAAGGCACGATTCGAAAGATTTATCTGCATCTCACAATACTGCACGGTCTTGCGGACAGCCCTAGGCCGAACAGGCACCAAATCTTCAGCTTTTGTAAGTTTAAGGTCTGAGGCTTCTGATTTCATTCACCGGTGTCAACCTACGACCCATGCAGAATTTGACTGCTTCGTTTATTTCGGGTTGTTCGTAGTAGATCTATGGAAATCTGGGGCGAAGCTAGAGCATGAAGGATTACGTGTTCTTCAAACCATCAAGGGCCATTTCCGAGAAACTCGCCAATGGGAGCTAGTCCTGGATCTTGTTCAACGGTTTCACGCGATGCCACCCTTTATTGCAGAGTGGAAGGTTTACTGGCAGTGTATCCCCTGATCTTGTCCGTGATAAGGGTTTTCATGAACCACAGGATTTGGTATGCGGAAATAAGATTCAAATGCACGCTTCACTTTATTCTGATGGGGATTGAGCTCCGCATAGCCTACAGACTCCGACCCTGCAATTTGGACCACTAGACTCTGAAGTGCCCAGAACTTAGGATGTGAGAGAAATATGTTCATTTCGATTGATGTCGCACTATACTGTGACAGGGGTTTTCATGCCGTCGTCAACTAACATAACGGAAAGGGCCATAGTCGAAGTGTCAACTAGCGGGAGCGAACAGATCCTCTCCATACTGTGCTCAGGTTGAGATTTTTGCTACACGACATATATTTGCAATTGCTTGATTGCACCCCATAGTAGGAACTTGCCACTGAATTCTGTCGCTGCCTTCAGCCAGGTCAACTGACAGCCACCTGATATCACATGGTTAGTGTTGAATCGAGGGACCAACCTCACGGTATGTGAACTACGGAACGAAGATCAAAGGACGATGAGGAGCAGGATGCGTAAAGGCTGTATATCTAATATAAGGGTAGTAGAGAGAGTGAGATTGTGCAAGAGTAAACATGTAACAGAGTACTTAAGTACCTACCTAACTTGGGGTGAGGACATCTCAAGGAGCGCCAAGGCACTAAGGTCTAAATGCCTCCTGGGCTATCCAACCTAATTTTAACTCCCACGTGAAATTGCGCACAGCCAAAGGCAAAGCCACGCTGGCTAGTCAGCTCTGAACTTCGCGCACCGAACACTGGATTCAGTACCTCGTACGCCTTCAAGTTATTCTTCCGATCCTCTCTTTCATTGTGAATACCTTACCATCTCTTCCTGCATCGCGAGGTTTCCAGAAGTCACTCGTTTCACTAACCATATCCAACTCGTTTTCATCTCGACACTTCCAAGTCAAAATTCTGAAACCGAAGATCACCGCGCGTCACACAGGTTTATTGTTCGTTGAGACTGGTCTCATTCGGACATTGAACTTGAGTAGTCCTTTAGTCCCCAGCGAGAGACAAACGACACGAACCGCTATTTATGAACCACAACACCATCGATAAGACAAGCTTGTTGTTTTCATAAAACATTTCGACAATAATACTTCTGAGCGTTTGGGTGCTGACAGTTCCCAAAATCGTCGTCGGCTTGTGAGAAGCTCACATCCCATTGCGCTGTTGCCAGGTTATCTTAAACAACCCTTCCTATCATAGCTATGACTATGCGCTCACATGTCGGTCATCTAACAACCTCCAACCCGTCAGAGACCACCTTGACCCCATACAACAATGAGCCCCCACGAGACAAACCAGCCGCTGACATGGAAAATTCTGCTGCTCGTATGTCTGTAGGACGTACCGTTATTGTCATGCTATCACTTTCTCTTGCCTTGTTCCTTTCAGCACTCGATATCACCATAATAGCCACCGCATTACCTACCATAGCCACTCATTTCGAAGCATCATCGGCCGACTATACGTGGGTTGGAAGTTCTTACCTGATTGCAGCAGCGGCCGCGACACCCCTGTGGGGTGCTTTCAGCAACATCTGGGGACGAAAGCCTTTACTTTTACTCGCAAACATCATTTTCATTGCGGGGAGCCTTGTCGCAGCATTGAGCCATGATATCCGGATGCTCATTGGTGGGAGAATTGTGCAGGGAGTCGGTGGGGGTGGGTTGTTGGCTCTCGTCAATATCTGTGTTTCAGATTTATTCAGTTTACGTGATCGCCCAAAGTATTACGGCATCTTCGGCATGGTCTGGGCCGTTGCTGGAGGCGTTGGACCGATCATTGGAGGCGCCTTTACGGAGAAATTGAGTTGGAGGTGGTGCTGTAAGTGATTTCCTTTGCACTGCTCTGAGCAGTATACTAAGTTGACTTCTAGTTTACATCAACCTACCACTGGATGGGGTCTCTTTAATCTCACTAACCTTCTTCCTCAAGTTGGACACCCCAAGAACCAAGATTTGGGACGGCATGAAAGCCATCGATTGGTCAGGTGTTGTGCTCATCATCGGCGCTGTCATCATGTTCCTTCTGGGCATCGAGTCTGGAGGAAACTCCCATCCTTGGACTTCCGCTTATACTTTATGTCTGATCATATTTGGAGTTTTTGCCTTCTCACTCTTCCTTTTCAACGAAGCTAAACTCGCAAAATACCCGACAATACCTATTCGCCTTTTCAAGATCCGATCCAATCTTGGGGCCTATGGTGTCATCCTCATACACGGAATAGTCTTTATATCGGCTAGTTACTACCTCCCACTATACTTCCAAACTGTATTAGGTACATCATCACTCATGAGTGGTGTATATCTTCTGCCTTTTGTCCTGAGTCTGTCTCTAGCTACCATAATCTGTGGTGGACTCATCAAGAAAACGGGACGGTTTAGAGAACCAATTTGGTTGGGTGTCGCCCTCATGACGCTGGGTTATGGCTTGTTGATCAACCTCGGCTCGACCACAAATTGGCCGAGACTTATCATCTATCAAATGATTGTCGGCTTTGGGAGCGGGCTTAATATTCAGAGCCCATTGATTGCACTTCAAAGCCACACGAAGCGACATGATGTCGCAATCGCCACCTCTACTTATGGCTTTATCCGAACATTGGCCACAGGTATTTCTATTGTCATCGGAGGCACTATCGCCCAAAGTGAATTGACGAAGAAAAGAGCCATGTTGCAAGAGAGACTCGGGCCTGAACATACATCCCAAGTCCTAGGTGCTGGATTCGGTACCAACGTTCATTTCATCCAACAACTTCCCTCCGGACAACGGGAATTTGTTAACGAGGCGTATACGCAAAGCCTTCGAACGATGTGGATCTTCTACACTGCTCTATCAGCTGTGGCTATCATACCTAGTCTGCTGATCAAGAAGGCAACCTTGAGTACCGAGCACGAGATTGTGAAAACAGGGGTGGAGGAGCAAGAAAGAGTTAGACAAGAAGAACTAAGGGAGAAGGAAGAGAAGAAAGCAGGGGCATCGCGAATAGGTATCAAATAAGTGATCAGGACCATTTGATAAGAGACAAGGTACGCTCAAGATCATCATCACCGCCCTTCGCGGTGTGGCAACACTTATTGTGCGAGCGATCGCCAATTTCTTTGAATGGATGAAGGATAATTTAGGCGAACTCGCCCATATTTACGTCCTTACAAAGCTCGACAGAAAGATCACTCCGGATCATGCACAAATCGACCTATTGAATCTGTTCTCATTCCTGATCTCTAGACTGATAGCGGAGCAAGATGCAAAACATGATCCCAAGTTGTATCATCTTTTGGGATAGGCGAGAAGTGGAAAATGGAAAGTCCTTTCCAAATGCTGCTCCATCCAAGGCCGTGCTCAGGCATGTACAATCCAATTCCGAAAGAAATTCTTTCTCTCTGTACTCTTTCAACCACGTCCCAGAGGCCGGAAAATTCAGATAGAAGGAGTTCCGCCACATGGATTTTCTTGATCATCTCCAAGCGAAAAGATTACTACATTCTAGGTGATATGATGTGGACAATGACCAAATGGTAAAAGGCAACGCAGGTTGCTGACAAGGCCACATTTGAAACTCCCCACTTCTCTCATCCGTCCCGCGGCAAGCCTAGTCTTTCGACCATGATAGGCCTTGTGGACATGACTCTCTACATCACTGAGATGTGCGTCGGGGTGCTGCCATGTGGTGGAGACGTAGACAATTCTATGGAGATTACGAATAGAATGCAGTTGGACGCCTGGGTACTGGCAAGTGGCGCAAATGCGTGACCAGGGGGCAAGAACCTGGCGACCATCGCCGTCGTTGCAGTTCTTATTGGTGTTTAAAGTGCAGAAAATCATGATAGTCACGGACCAGTGGAAGTACTGGAAGAACTAGAATAGTACGAAAGACGACACATGGAGTCCATCAGACCACTCCATGTCACTCGGCGGCTCCATGTAGATGGGTCTCGAAACGAGCGAATGAATTGCAAGTTTCTATAATGGCGGATCAGCGTACTGCTTCTGGGCTATTGGTCGCTGGGGGGACAAAAAGCAGGGAGCCGAGTGACCGTGCAGATGATCGCAGTTTGAGCTGAGGGTGGCCATCGTGTTCAACCTCGAAGAGCCGGACTTGGAATCTAAAGTGCACGACGAATTGAATGCATCAACAAGTACACGACGTGTCTCACAAATCTGAACCTTCATAGTTGATTTCGGAGTCAGCCTCAATATGGCAACTGAAGACTTTCAGCGATTTCATGCAAGTGTTGGCAGTGTCAAAGCAGTCGTGTCTGAGTGCGAACAAAAACATACCCAGGTTAGGTAGGTGCACAAGGACGTAAATGCCGACGGAGAGTGATAGATGGCATGGCCTTTGACTTTTGAAGGGAAAGGACACAAAATGAGGACTTTTTTTCTTCTAGTAAACGTGTTTTCATCTTTATGAAAACCATGCTCGCTGTGGTCTGATCTGGGACCGTTCCTGTTCCCATTCACCGAAAGTGATCAAGGACACCTAACCAGGCCGGTAGGTACGGTAGGGACTCCCCAGCGTGAATGACGTAATGGCTTAGCCTGACGGTCTGTCACGTGGATAATAGTCACGTGGGTGAACTATCGATCGAAACTCGGTTATGCACATCTCCGTCATTGCTTTTTCACATGGGCGGAGGAGGCATCGAGTTCCACGAAAGTTTTCTCTGAAGAGACAGCTCTCCTGTCGCACAAGTACCACGATCCTTGACTTGAAACTTGGCAAAGGGCAGTGTCATTGCCCTCGACCTTCTTTCGCACAATGCATCAAGTCTTACGGAGAGCACCGTGGACATGCGCAAGATGTATTCGTACGGCAAAAAGGCACGAGTCCTCCATAGCAGCCTCCGCAATCGTGCCATCACAAGATAACACCTTCGAACAAGTCTATGCCCAAAGTTCACCTTCTCGACAGAGCGATAATGCCCTCCTCAGAGAACTTTTCAACAACAAGTCTGCGACGTCGACTCTGAACAGAATGACTTCAGGCTTGCTTGGAAACAACCTCTTGACAAGTCCGCAAGGATTTCAGAAATTTGCTGAAGTATCAGTGGCACAATGTAAGAGACTGGTAGACAGAACGCTAGCAGCGTCAACACCGGAGGAATACAGGGCTATACCAAGAGATCTTGACAGACTTAGTGATCTGCTTTGCCGAGTCATCGACCTGTCCGACTTCATACGCAACATTCATCCGAGCGAAGATGTCGTCGCTGCCGCCACTGCCTCATATTCATTGACTTACCAGTACATGAACGAGTTGAACACAACAATCGGGCTCAATCAACAATTAAAGAAAGCATGGGATACGCCAGAAGTCCGCGAACAATGGAACGAAGAGGAGAAGATGGTGGCTCAGCTTCTGATCAAAGATTTCGCCAAATCAGGGATTGATCTGCCCGACCAACAGAGGCAAGAATTTGTGTCGCTGTCCAACGAGATCGCGCAGATAGGTACAGATTTCACCAATCAGATGGAACATGCAAAGGAGCACGTCACACTCTCCATAGCACAGCTCAACGGTGTCGATCCAACTTTGCTGCAAGGCCGGCGTCCGCATGACAAGGTATCTGTGCCAGTTCACAGTCCCCCATCGAATGACATACTAAAATCGGCAAATAATTCTTCGACGAGAAAGGCCGTTTATGTCGCGGAGAGGACTGCGTCAAAACGAACCATAGCGCGACTGGAACAACTTCTTACAACTCGAGCTAAGCTGGCTCGGCTCACTGGATATGCTAACTATGCACAACTAGCTCTGGGCGATAAAATGGCAAAGTCTCCAGAAGCTGTCGTGAACTTTTTGGAGTCCCTGAACAGAAGCAACAAGCCCCAGGTCCAGAGCGAGCTGAAAGCTCTGCTAGATATCAAACGAGAAACCCAAGCAGGCGGAGAAACCATCGATCCCTGGGATCATGCTTACCTGGTGAACAAACTGAAGCAACGCCAAGTGCAACAAGGTCCACGAACCTCCAAGTCCCGACTCCATTCCAACGCCAAATCCTACTTTGCACTCGGCCATGTCATGCAAGGTCTGTCAGGATTATTCGAGTCCCTTTATGGAGTTCGATTGGTACCAAGGGAGACGGCGAAAGGTGAGATCTGGCACCCGGATGTAAGGAGGCTCGATGTATATACGGATAAGCAAGAACATATTGCAACGATGTATTGTGATCTTTTCTCAAGACCATCGAAGCCGCGAAACCCGGCTCATTTCACTCTGTTATGCTCAAGAGAAATCTCCGAAGAAGAGATTCGTGAATGCGAAGAACGGAATGAGCCTCTGAACAATGAAATGCCAACCTTGCTTGGTGCAAATGCGATATCTGGAAAGACTGCCCACCATCAAATACCCATCATTGCTCTTGTTTGTGCATTCCCGAACCCCGATCGCGTCAGAGATCCCTCGCTTTTGTCCTTGTTCAGCGTGAACACTTTGTTTCATGAGATGGGCCATGCTATACACAGTATTCTCGGGCGAACCTCGTTACAATCAATAGCTGGAACGAGATGTGCAACAGACTTTGCCGAACTTCCGTCAATGCTTATGGAACATTTCGCAACGGATCCTACTGTCCTCAAGATGTTTGCTCGTCACTGGGAAACCGGGGCGGTAATTCCAGATGAAATGATTGACGCTCTCACGAAAGAACGGCTGAAAGGGGCTGCGATGACTGGTGGTTGGGAGAACGAGAGTCAGATTCTCATGTCACTGCTTGATCAGACATATCACTCAAATGGGCCAATCGAAGACATATCACGGGGAAGATATTATGATTCCACAGCTGTTTATCATCAAGTGTGGAACAAGTATGGCAGCGTCCAGGAGCCGGCTTCCACCGCTTGGCAAGGTTTCTTTGGCCACTTGCACACTTATGGAGCAATGTACTATGCATATGCATTTGATAAAGCTATAGCGTGGCAAGTCTGGAGATCTGTCTTTCGAGGTGGAGAGGACGGTGGTGCAATCGATCGAGTAGCAGGAGAACGTCTCAAGCAGGAGGTCTTGCGCTTTGGAGGAGGGAAGGACCCATGGCTGTGCCTGGAAGGGTTGCTGGGTGAAGGCAAGGGCGTACTTGCTGAGGGAGGTGAGGCAGCTATGCTCGAGGTTGGGAAATGGGGTGTTGGAGCGACGATTGAGGCATGAGTAGATGTACAAAAGAATACGTTTTGATCTCTATATGAGAATGAATTAATTAGATACCAACTTACTAGTACTACCATGAATAGCTCTGTTTGATACCAGCCTTGTCTCTCGGCACGTGATATGACACAAGGCTGACATCTTATTCTTGGCACGCCATATGGCAGGGAAAATCCAAACTGATCTCATCCATCGCATGACATCTCGCATCTCCCGCCTGCCGCGGTTCGATCTCTCTTTTGAGGCATTTCCGATCACTCCCCACATTCATCATTCTGGGCCGCCTCAGACCAACTTACATCGATGCAAGTCGTTTGGGAAGCAGACACGGCGGCTTTTGCAAGTCGCAAGAGAGCTGCCCGTGCATGTCCCAAATGTCGCAGTGCCAAGAAACGCTGCCATCACACATTCCAGAGAGATCCCGATCAACAAGCAGATACCGATGGCCTCGACAGAGTGCTACCCAACTTGACTCACAAGGAGCCTATCCGTTTTGTGGGTGATCTAAATCCTGAGTCTATCCTGACCGATTTGTCTAGCAGACTTGAAGGTGGCAAGCGTATCAGCAGAGTCGGAACATGGGTGGAACAGTCTCGCCATCTTCAGGATCATCTCCCCCAGGAGGACTTGGGTCCAGTATTGAAACATGGAGAGAAGACACCCATCAATGTTGAGAAATATGGAAAGATCGAAGGAGGCCGAAGAACCTTGACCGGTCACCAACGAAACTACTTACAGGCCGTTGGCGCATTTCGTGTCCTACCAAAAGCTACTCAGGATGCCCTTTTTACCACCTACATTGCGTGTTTCGAGGGCATCCTTCCCGTCTTCGATGGCAGCAAGCTTCTGCGCGATTATACTGAGGGCAGGTGTTCCATCTTTCTCCTACAGGCTATAGCCTTGGTGACGTGCAAGACCGAGGAAGCAGCCCTTTATCTCCGACTCTATGAGGATGGCCCACTCCTTGACCCAATCCCGTTTGCGAGAAGTCTTCACACCGGATTGGATGCTGCTATGAAAGCAGATCTGGAACCCGATAGAGTCACCAAGATCCAGATACTGACTTTGATGCATCTGCACAACGACGGACCTGGTGGTATCGAAGAGTCATCTTTGCACCTTTCACAAGCTATTCACGATGCATGGACGGCCGGCTTGCACATTCACACACCAGGCAGAACCCTAACAGATTCATCTAGCATGCTCTGGTGGACAATTTGGGCGTTAGACAAATTAAATGCGTGTGTTGGTGGACGTCCGATCATGATTGCGAATCGAGATATTGATATTGCCCGCCCACCACTCACTGACGATCCGAGAAGCCAAATAATATGGGCGTGGTTACGACTTGGAGATCTCTTGGATGAAGTGATTGAATTCTACAGACCAATCGCCGACCTCAACTCTACAGGTTGGGAGACGGAATTCCCAACCTACAAATCCCTGCTGGAGGGTATTAATCTTGATGCACTACCAACCTCAGAGCAAAGTAAGTCACATAGATCCTTATCTTCTCTTCACGTGTCCAGCGATTTACTGACCACTCAATATGTGTAGGTATTCTCGAAATCTGCTACCACGTCATCGCAATCCTCAGTTGTCGAATCGGAGGGCCCACAACCGCCTCATACGCCCGACGGATAACGGCCTCAGACCGCATCCAACAACTCGTCTCCAATGGCAAACACGCCAACATGTCACCTCTCCCACTCGTACCCTACGCCGTCGGGCTCTCACTAACAGTCGCATACCGTGGCCTGAGAGATAATCACCTCGACGCAGAGCGCGCACAAGCGGACCTTGCCACACGATGCGAAACCCTCGAGAAGCTGAGTACATACTGGTGGACCGCGGACGCCATGGCACGCCTGGGTCGAAAAGCCTTGAAATCTCTGCAGCAGCCAGGCGTTCAGAAAGCCGCGGTCGCAAACATCGCGGGCGAGCTGGAAGCTGAAGTGACCGTGTGCAAGTTCGGTCCCTTCGAGCCCAAAGCCAACCCGGCTGCCATGCCGCCCACAACCAAAAAGGTGCCCGAACTCAACGGCAATGCCCTCCGCCTCCTATCCGACGCAGCAGCAACGCACTCGAACACGCTGGGCGTGCTGGGTCCGAACAACACCCTCCAACACATGACGCCGTCGTCCATGACGCTTTCCCCCATGCCGAGCATGGTTCGTGCTGGAAACCGAGAACCGCCTGCAATGATGCACACTGCTACGACGGCCACGACGGCGACAATGCCCGCGACGCCGAGCAACATGTTTACCACGAACGATAGTGTCCGAGTGATGGACGTCGGTGGCGGCGACGGCAACAATCCCAACAATGGCGGAGTGTACGACCACTTCAACGACCTCGACAACCTGTTTGACGGCTTCTTCGACCTCAGCATGCCGACCATTTTCCAGGATCCGCTCTTCGACGGCGACGCCTTTGTGAACGCCAACATGGACTTTTCCATGGGTGGGCTTATGGACGATATGGATGTGGGAGGAGTGGGTGGGGCGGGATTCCAGGGTGGGAATAATGGTCCGTCGTCGATGTCGGGTCAGCATCCTGGTGGCGGGAATGGCGCTGCCAGTGGTGCGGGAGGGAACGGGGCTGCGATGTATCCTGATCTGGGGTTGAACGGTCGGGGGTATTAAGGTTGATTGATTGAATAAAAGGTCAGTATGATTTGCTTAGTCGTGGACGGGGTGGAGGAGAGAGCGCGCCGGAAGCGAAACAGTGTAGACTGAATAGGCTCAGGATGGTGTTATGGCTTGGAGGATTCTTTCCTAGGCGTCGGTTGGCTTGGTACGAGGGCGAGAGTGCATGACCGATTCACCCATGGGTATTCTAATTTTTTCCATTGCAGGTATCACGCAGTCAAGAGGAACCTAATCAATATCACATGCACAGAAGAAGAGTGTCCAAGGGTCAGAAAACATTGCATTGCGTGATTCAGGTAATTTACAGCTCGTCGTGCTCAGAGACACCGGCATCATCATCGGCGATGAATGTGGATGCAGCCTCAGCAGCACCGCTCACAGCACTCTTGACTGCATCGACCACACCCTCGTCGTTGGTGGTGGCAGCCGGTGCAGCTTTAGCAAGCGTTTCCTGGCCAGCAGTAGCTGATGCGTCCTCCATGACCGCATCAGTGTCATCGGACTGAGCAGCCAGACCGTCGACACCATGCTTGCCGTTGTCCTTGATGAAAGTAGCGAGGTCCTCCAATGTGCGAGCGCCCGAAAATTCCACTGGTGAGTCCTTGGCGCCGGCGGGGTAGAGCTTGATGGTTGGGAAGCCTGAGATCTCATCGGGGACATCGTTGAGGGTAGCATCAACCTTGGCAATGGTCACTTTGGAGGAGAGATCGGAGCCGGTATAGAGTTCTGCAAGTTTCTCGTAGATGGGTGCGAGGCTGGTTTCTGGTTAGCTCTGAACGACTTGACACGGAGAGAACAGGTACTTACGACTTGCAATGGCCGCACCATGGAGCATAAAACTCGATAAGGACATCCTTGGAATCATCGAGAACAATATCCTTGTACGAGTTTGCAACAACGACTGTGACGGGACCTTCTTGCTTCTCTGGGATTGGCTCCGACTTGATGCTGGGCTCCAAGGTGCCGTCAACGAAGCTTTGCACGAATGCGCCAATGTTCTTTTCGGTCAAAGCATCTCCCTCGAATGGATATTTCTCGCTCTTGACCGTCTCTTGAATGGCGAATGAGGGGAATTTGTCGGTAGGGAGGTTCAGGTTGCCGGCGTGGGCGCCGAAAGCCTTTGCGTCAATGACAGCGAAGTTGATAACACCCTTGTGCTTCTCAGCAACAGGCTTGAGGGTCTCGGCCAGCGAGGTTCGTTCTTCAGGGGTCTCGGCAAAGATGTACGCGAGAGGTATTCCGGCCTGGGAATCGGTCAGCAAAATTATTCTTTCAATTAAAGGGAATACAACACATACTCCGATGTATCCGGCATATGTTTCAGGGCCGACCTCGCCGATGAGGGGTGTTGCGGCGGTTTTGATGAATTTTGTGATAGCTGCGTCCTCGAATGCGGCATCGTAAACATTCTTTCCCTCGTCAAAGTCCTTGTATAGAACAATTGAAGGTTGTTTGGCGCCCTCGGCCTTGGCCAAAGTAGCATCATTGGTAGCACCAAAGATGTAATCGTCTCTTAGCGACTCTGCAAGGGCAGTGTAGGTGTGGTTTGCAGCCTTGTCGTCGGAGGCGATGTACGCAACAACGACAACTTTATCGGTAGTCTTGAACTCTTCGATGGTTTCCGCGGTCAGCAGGGATACGGCGGGGAGCCCTTGCTTTGTCATGTAGGAGACGATGCTGGGAAGTGTTAGACTTCGGTCGACATCACCCGGAGTTGCACAGGACTTACGCAGGCGCTTTGCGAGCACCGGTGTAGGGCTTGATGTTGTCGAGGCCTCGGAAGACCTTGACAGTCGGGTATCCCTCCACACCATAGTCTTTACACAGGTCGCCTTCGACTGTGCAGTCAACCTTGACCAGAGCAATGTTCTTTTCTTTCAGGGTGGTGGCGGCTTCTTCATATTCGGGGGCAAGTGCTTTGCAATGGCCACACCATGGGGCAAAGAACTCTGCCAATACCAGGTCGTTCTCCGAAATGAACTGTTTAAAGTTGTCTGTCTTCAGGTCGTGCACGTCACTTGCGGCGGCGAACCCTGCGAGGGCAAGGCTGGCCGCGGCGACCGATTTGAAAGAGCGCATGATGGGAGCCAAAGAGCGACAGGCGGTACTCAGAGACTGAACAGGAGATCAAAGGAGAAGCGAAGATCTTGTGGGCAAGGGTTTGGATGAAAGAAAAGTGTTGGCGGTTGATAGTGGGAGAAACCCTTTGTTCATTATTTTATTGAGTCCCTGTCCCTTGCAGTGCCACTGCCTCAAATGGAGGAGAAGAGAATAGGTGTCTTGTTTAGAGAAACTTAAAACAGCGATGGACTCTGGCCCCTGATTTCGTTTCAGAGCCGCGCCAAGTGAATTTTGATTGGTCATCCCACGCGGTAAACCCCCCTTTGTATCGCTGCCCTTAGCACAGCTACCTCCTCGAGTAGCTGCAGTGATGCTTAGGGGGCCAGGGGCCAGGGGTTCAACAGACAGGCACGAGCAGTTGACAACTTGACACAGCCTGCACCTGCCATCTGGGCGTTTACTAATCACTAATCACTATACGCCTGGTCATGGTATTGCCACATGCAACTCTCTCCTGGATTTCACTACGAAGTACCTCGTACAGGTCTTATTGTCGCTGCACTGGCATTGCTGTCTGAGATCTTTCCGCTCGAAATGCACCCCCAAAGCCCCATTCATCTCAGCTGCTGAACATTCTTCCCACTCGATGCCCCAAATCCATCTTTCAGTGTCTCATCCTCTGTAACACAGCATAGCAGAATAGTTGATCTTGTCTCCTACCCATCCACCCCAATTTCTCCGTTCTTCATACAGCGTCCTCTTCCCTCAATTTACCCCCGTTGCTATAGATGTTGTCGAGTATTGATTGCCCTCCAAAAGGGGTGCTGGCAGGGATCGAGGAGCTTAACTGCTGATGGGTTCGTAGCCACCGCTGGGCTTGTGGCTGTCACGGTTGGAGAAGAGCCAGTAGATGATGATTCCGCCGATGGGGAAGAGGAAGACCAGAAGACTCCAGAGGAGCTTGTGGGAGACGGGGCGGGTCGATTGAATAACCTCAACTACTGCAGTTAGGCGATGCCTATGGGAGCTTTGGATTCTATAGGCATGAATACTCACGGATAACGATGATATCAAGAATCAAAACGATGAATCCTATGATCCCACCACCAGTGCCATACTGCCATGAGTTAGACTGGGCCTGAAGGGGTGCTGCGGCAACCATCGACGCAAATGCCACCTGCAATGCCAATAGAAACGAGATTTGATACATGTTGGAGATCTGTTCTTGTGAGTTTTGTCCAGAGTATGAAGAGGGTGTAATTGGAAAGAAGAAAGAAACTTGAGCTGGAGCCTTGATCGGTGTCGAGTCGAAGGTGGTGGCTGGCGGCCTGGCAAGTTGAAGTTGCCAGTTGCCCCGCGTGACCTCGTTTGCCATCGACGTCATCGTTTCTCGATCCAGCTTCTTCCATCCACAAATCGGAGCTCGCTAATGACAGACACTATCTACCAGTATCTAATATCTTGGTACGACGTGGTAGATACCTCGTACACTTGCGCGATGTACATGGAACAACATGCATTTTACCACTAGATGAGGTCAGCATTGACCGATCCAGCCTTCATACACCCCTTTTTGCTGGATGAGCCCTGCATCAGCCATATCTGAGTCAGATCTTAGGTGGCATACACCACAAGACTCTCATGAATATAGACCTGCCACCAACATTTGCCGGCGTCCAACACCATCGATGTCAGCCAGGACTGAAAGTATTTAGATGAGCTTGTTCGACCATGAGCTGAATGGTCCACTCTGGGATCCCTCAAGCTCCTTCCCCTTCCAATGGAAAGTCGCCACCAACAACCCACCGTCGCCGTCATTGGCCTTGGTGGTCAAGGCCTAGCAACTCTCAAGAACCTGCTAGAGGAAGGCTTCAGAGCCACTGCATTCGAGAGACGGGACTATGTTGGGGGGATCTGGCATCATTCCGGCGAGAATCAGTTGTCAGCTCTGCAATCAACTTTCGTCAATGTTTCCAGAGAAAGAGCATGTTTCACCGACTTTCCTTTTCCACATGGCACTGGCTCCTACCCAAATTCCCACGAGGTCGATCAGTACCTCAATGATTATTGCAGTCACTTTGCCCTTCATCCACATATGCGACTTGCAACCGACGTAAAATCAATCCAACGAGATGATGGAAACAACAAGTGGTGCTTGCGTATCTCTACCCGTGGCCAACTCGACGAAACTTTGGAATTTGACAAGCTCGTTCTTGCTACAGGTCCCCACGTCATTCCCAAGCAGCCAGAACTCCCAGGAAGATCGCAATTTTCGGGTAATGTTCTTCATTCTATTGCATACAAGGACCCTGGCAGCTTTCGGAACAAACGTGTCATGGTGGTGGGTATGTCCAACTCAGCCGCAGATACCGCAACCTCCTTGGTTGGCATTGCTGCACACATATTGCTTTCCCATCGTCGTGGCAGTGTGGTTGTTCCTCGATATCTGAAAGATGGTACCTCATTGGATCACAACTTGACATATCGACAATTTCAAATAAAGGACACCCTTGATACTGTTGCCCCAAGCCTGGCGATCAAATTCCTTGACGCTATCACTACGAGGATCTCACGCCAAAATTTTGGAGAGCTTGATCCGGCCTGGAATCTCCACCCCCCTCCATCTCTCCTTCATCAAGTGCCAACAGTCAGCGACACCCTAATTCCCGCCCTCAGAAACCGCTCCATCATCAGTACTAAAGCTCCATCGCGTGTCACAGGGCCCAAGACAATTCTTTTAGAAGATGGCACAACTGTTGAAGTTGATGCAATCATTTATTGTACTGGGTATGAGGTGGACTATTCAATCCTGGGTCCTTATGATCCCACCATTATCCACACAGAAGGCCTTAAATGTCACGACAAAGCAACACCAAGGCTCTATCAGAACATATTCTCTCTGGTCTATCCAGAAAGCCTCGCCTTTGTTGGTATAGCGATCACGTTATCTCCTGCATTCTTGTTGAGTGATCTTACCAGCATGGCTGTAGCACAGCTATGGTCAACGAAACCCGGGAGCCCAGTCCTCCCACCGCAGACTACTATGGATTCATGGTATGCCGACCATCTCGAATGGGCAAGGTCGATTCGCCTTTTGAGTGAGCATGCCAAATTTGCTCCCATGTCGGTGAAGAACGGTCCTTGGTTTCGATGGGTGCAAGACGTCGCTGGGGCAGAAGTCGAGAGAAATCTGAATTATGCCAGCTTACAAGCTTGGAAGTTTTGGTGGAATGACAGAAAATTATGCGCTCTCCTGACCGATGGTATCTGGTCTCCCCACATGTACCGCTTGTTCGACGGTGATCGAAGACAGAAATGGACTCAAGCTAGAGCTACCATTGAGAGGGTGAACAGCGATGTTCAAGAACGCCTTCGCGCACGCCGATTGCCTCAATAAGGGCCAACAAGAACATAATTAAACATGTCATGCATGACTAGACATGGGACTGGCGCCTTCAACTCGCACCCTAGACACGATAAATCAACGTTGCGACCGTCTTCTAAAATACAATTTTCGCCGTACATCCTGCCTCTTGGGTAAAGTTATGCAATACCATCGAGGCATTCCATCACTTAGGAGGAGCTCCCACCCTTCTTGCCAGCCTCAACTGGGTCGACCTTGCCATGGGCGAATCCTCCACTGCTACCACCACCACTAGAACCCCCTGATCCAGTGGAGCCGCTATCGCCGCCGCCGCTACCTCCAGAAGCTAGGCCACCTTTCCTTCCAGCTTCACTAGGATCAACTTGCCCGTGGGCAAATTCTCCTTTGTTACTACCACCAGTAGAGGTAGAAGTTCCGCTATCGGTGGTCGTGCCACCACTGCCACCTGATGCTTGACCACCCTTCTTCCCTGCCTCAGAGGGGTCGACTTTCCCGTGGGCAAATTCTCCGGGAGCACTGCCGCCGCTGGATGACATGTTGAAATGATAGATATAGAAATATGCTGTATGCTGTGTGCTGAACTTTGTCAACTAATCAGCCTTGTCTTCATCACCTTCAATCTACTCACTAGGGCGTAGGAAGTTGTGGAGGTCACTTTGGCAGTAATAGAGAATGGTTAGAAATGAACTGTACTGAAGAGAATCGTAGGATCAATTTATGTTCTTCTCCCCAAAAAACGAATTCAAGGAAATGGTACATGTTACCCCTCCCTTTACGACATTTTTGACGTCAGAATACAACATCCTTGGCTGTGTGCCTGGATGATTCACCAGACCCTTGAGAGATGAAACAATGCTACACGATGAATCCTTGTAACTGAGCCGTGCTGACAAGTAGTGACGAGTAACAATCATTATCATTAGTAAATTTATCAAGGTGAAATTGTTGTATAGTTCGTCATACATAGGAGGGAATGTTCCGGGTTGATTTTATTCAGCCTTGCCGCGAATTCCGGGCAGCATGACGTCCAAAGCTGGAAGGTGCTTTCAAGTTCCATCCTCAGTCACATCGGTTCAATTTCTAGATGTTGTTAGACGACCTGCTCTTTTTCTTCCTTCCAGGTTTCCACCTTGATGTTTTCTTCTGAAAGCTGAGTTTAGTCTGCTTCAATGTCTGGTTCAAATCTTCAGTAATCCACGAGATCTTGGATTTGAGCTTAGATTGAGCCTCAAGTTTTGGAGAACTGATACTCGTGTGACCCGACGAGGTGCCCTGTGTCTTCCTCCTGCTGAAATCATGCGCGTGTGATTGATAGTGATGATCAAGATCTGCCGCCGTGCGACAAACCCGACCGCAGCCCCAGACGACACAAATATACTTCTTCTCGATCAGCGCCAATACTTCGCGGTTGTTCCGTCGAGCAAGTGTCGCTGGAATGCCCAGGACTGATGTGAAAAAGCTACTTAACTCGTTGGCATCGTTATCAGATGGGACACCACACACCGTTACTTGAGTTTGAGAACTGTTCAGATTGTCGTTCCACAAGTCAACCACTAACGATCTTTGTAAATCCTCCACAGGATGCTGTTCATGAGGTCTTACGACGATCATCTTGCCTTCTACCGGCTGAATGTCAATGACCAATCTCCGGAGCTCCGTCTCGTGACCAAATATCTCCTTCCTAGAGATTGGGTTGACAATAAGCCAATCCTCGTGCCACGGCATATAGGATTCAAATTCCTCGTCCGCCACTGCCAACGGTTCACAACCTTTGATAGGTTGTATGACGGAGCCAGCGTGATCAATGTTCGAATCACTGGTATGCATGTTGACTATCTGATCGTTACCGTGGCAGACAAAGAAGAAATCCACAAACTCAAGAAACTGGTCGATGTCGCTTTTGGTCGTCATTGCTCCGAGACTGATGCGGAGGACGCCTGTGGGTTTCCCACCGAGGAAATCCAATTCGTCACCACAACGCATTCCATGCGAATGATTGCGTTTCATCTCCCAGGGACGCAGACCAAGTCTCGTTGCGATACCGCCAGGATTGCAAAGTGAGCCAGTTCGTAGTTGAAACCCGCATGCACAAGCGAGTGCTTCGACTCTAGTTTTTCCGACCACGTTACCATGAAGATCATGGAGATTCATTGAGATGATAGGACCTTGATTCAGAGAGTCGCCATACTGTCCATTGGGGTCCTTGTAGATGGTTATCACTTTTGTCCCATTCTCGTGTCTGAAGCTCTCTAATGTCGTATAGGCGTACCTGGACAGGATTGCAGCATGGTTGCTCACTTGCACCGGTGACGGATAGAGGATTTTATGCGCCCGTAGTGAATGCTTCAGCGCTAGGATATTGTGAAAGGGCAAAGTCCCGTCTTCAAGGGCCTCGTGGGGACGCTTCCGATGGCTTTGATGCCACGGGTCGTCTACCGCAAGCACCATTTCGACAGTGCCACCTCCAAAATATTTCCGGGAGAGTAATACTGGAGCTGCCTCTCTCCGGACAATCAACGCACCAAGATCAGGGAAGCCGAAGATCTTGTAGAATGAAAGAGCAACAAAATCCGGAGCTGTTGATGGGTCGCTTAGATTGAGATTTCCAGTGGTTAGATAAGATGCAGCATCAAGCAGAGTATAAAATCGTGCCGAATTTGGGCCGCAGGCTCTTCTTACACGACTCCCCCACGTCAGAGGTGGACGATAACCTGTCATATTTGATTGAGCCGGGAATCCAAATAGCCCAAGGTGGCCAGGAGGCAAAGATCTGCCCTCGATCCAACTGTCAACTTCCTCATCTGAGCGAAAGCAACGATGGCCATTCTGTGCAAGCTCTCTCACGCCGACAAGACTAGTGTGAGCATCCTTGTGGTATCCGTACCAGAATCCGCCTATTTGATCTTGGAATGCCTGTGCGACCATTTTGATCGCAGCCGTGGCGTTGGCAACAAAGACGAGGTCATATTGTTCTGCCGAAGCATTGAAGCGCTCAAGGACTTCATTTCTGACTTCTTCGATCACCGCAGTGCTCAAAGACGAAGATGGTGATGCAGAATGCGGGTTGCCATACAAGTTTTCCGTCATGTCCTTCGCGAAAGATCGAATAGCGGATTGTGGATACAACGTAGTACCTGCATGGTCGAGGTAGGTTGTTAGAGCAAGCTGTGGGTACTCTCCTTCCATCTTTGATAATTGTCCAACTCTTGCTGCATGATTATCACTCCCTTTAAGTGCTGGATTGTGCATCATGAGTAAGAAATGGCTTCGGGAGGTGAGAGAAAAGAAATATCATATCAGCCTTGGTACGAGACTTCAGAGGCAAAGATTGTTGTCGAACGTTCAAAGTCAGTAAGGACAAATTTCTGCGCGCCTCCCCTGCCATCAATACTCCGTAGGTAATGGTCTGGGTCTAAGCCAGGTTGGCATGGCCGACCCTTGCACTTATCTTCGCGCTTTTCTCGCAAGCGAATCCCCAACCGAGGTTCGCCAACTTCTGAAGCCCTGGACAGGATTCGGTATTGACTTGGTAAATTTTCATGACACAGTGGGGACGCTCGTAAGCGTGAAGAACGCCTGACCGGCCTTAACCTCATCAGCACCCCTTTCAGGAATATGGCATGGAGCTCCAGGTCAGAAAAATCTGAGCCTTAGGAAGGGGGCCACATTGCTCGATCTTAATTCGTTTGGGTAAGCTGTAAATGCCATTTCTACGTCGCTAAATTCGAAGCGAGGTCAGTAAGCTCATGGTAAGTGTTCCTAATTTTCTGCCTTCGTCTGGAGAGGCACTCGCTAGCATGCCCACTTTTGTAATATTGGGACACAGTTGCGAGGTACGAATTAGAGAAATTTCATCCAATTAGACGATATTGTTTTACGATTTGACTGAGTCACTAGTCAATCAATCAGTTAGTGTTGGTCGCGTCTGTGTTCCAATGTTCCAACTGGGTAGAGAGACATCGTGCTTCCTGTAGATTCTTGTTCGAGCCTCTCCAAACCGGGCACAACTCTTTCATGACACTCGGTACCATGCATCAGACAAGCAGAAAAATGAAGAATACTAACGAAGGTTGAGAGATAAATATAGTCTCAGAGTTTAAAAGCAGGGTAGAGTGCGCGAGGTGAATATATTATTCAGCGGCCTTCCCCACAATTCAAAAGAACGATCTATTCTAGTCGGGGGAATGTGTCACAGGGCTATGGGGACATGCCAAATGGGATAGTAGCACCTAAACCGAGGTTCTTTTCTTATTCGCCGTCCAGCGGTTGTTCATTCCGCCGCCTCGTTTCTGAATCTCTCTCGCACCCAAGATACTCCATGTGCGGGCAAGGTACGAGATACAGTAAAAAGAAGGCAGCGATCGTTGTCCTCCTTCCAGCGTGGTCGTCAAGCATTCATCCTGACGTTGGGGGATCACAATTCAACTGCAAGAGACCCGTCTTTTCGCATCTTAAGATACTAGAACCTTGAAGTTCGAACCGAGCACTAGTGGAGTTGCTAAATAATGCGTTACAGTAACATCAGAAATCTTCCACGGCGCGACCTGAGGTCATATCGATATCCAGAGCAATGGATCAAAGTTCAGGTAAGTCGACCATAGATAAAACGCGATGTAGAAGTGTTGGACCGACTTCGAACGATATGTGAGCACGATACACCATTAACGCTCATATTCAAATTGGTTGCAGTCTTTAACCAATAGATTATACAACCAATGGGACTAAACAGTGACATCAGTATGGGTTGGACAACTGCAGAACCCAAAAAGCTGTTCGTTACTCTATCCTAACCCGTGGATCAATATACCAAGCTCATCATAAATCAGGAAGAACCTCTCGCCAGCAGGAAGTTGTTCAGAATCGTATTGACTTCATCCACTCTCTCTAATTGCAGCCAATGCCCACCAGTCACGGTCTCGACTCTAAGATTAGGGACCAGAAGCCGCATCTGTTCCGCGAAATTAATTGTCACAGTGATGAAGTAATTAGTGGACGCGATTAGCAAAGTCGGGTGCATTAGCTTGAGGTGAGTCGCGGGAATTCCTGCATCACAGATTAGTAGGAGGTGGAAGCAGTCGACGGTAGCTGGAAAATTTTAGGTGAATGTTTCAGATGAGAAGCATAACATACCGCTTTCGTCTTCTTCATTGATGTTGTAGAGACCAGCCTTGTACCAATTACTGGCAGGGCCATAGCCACCATTTTCGACAGAAAATGTTCGTTGGAAATGTTCGTGATCCTGATACGTGGAAGTTAACTGGGACATCCCATGGATCAGAGCTCGACATCTTACTTCTGGTGTCAAATATTCAGGCAAATCCACCGTCGGGGCTTTGGTCAACCAGGTGCGGAGACCACCAGGAGCGCCCTGATACTTCTTTCTAATGTTATCATCGGTGGTAAAGAAGAGTGATTCCACGGATGCAGACTACCTATGGTCAGTACTGGACCATCCAAGTTTCGTATAGGTTTGACAGAATTTACGTTTTCATTCAGGAGCTTTGGAGCATCCACATCCTTGAAAAATAGGAAGTAGCCGAGAATCGAGAACCCAAGCTTGGATTGAACCGCATTGTTGATATGTTGTATCGCCTCGACATTTAAACTACGTCCAGGTGCAGCATATCCGTGGTCAATAAAAGCATAAGCCGAAAAATACTCTGGATGATAGTTTGCCAAGCGTGACAAGAGGAAGGAGCCCCTGAGGGAAAAGACATCAGCGTAGTTTCACACTAGCTTCGCGTACGCGTGGGACCTTCCTCAGATGGTGAAAACTCATGGAACGCAACAAATTAAGGGAAATGGAATCTAGTGAAGAAACATACCAATCATGCGCCACGCCTACCACCTTCTCAACACCCTCTGCGCAAAGAATCTCAATGATGTCATTTGCCATCCCCTTACCTGTGTACATTGCTAATTCAAGCGGCTTTGACGTTCCTCCAAATCCAAGCAAATCGGGAGCCAGAATTCCATATCCTTTTGATGCGAAGAAAGAGATCTGATGACGCCAACAATGTGAGGTGGAAGGGAAGCCATGTAGGAAGAGGATATATGGGGTACTGGCGGCTTGTGGTGGAACATGCACATAGGAGTATGTAAGGGCACGCGTGGTGGTGAAGGATGACAGAGGGCGGGCCATACTTGACTCTCAATCTGTTGATACGACGGATATCTCCTAATCGACGAGTTGATGACGAAGGAGCAAGACGGGGTTTATATGTTTCCAGTAGATAAAGAGACGCCCTGGCATGCTACACTTGAAGTCGATAAGACAAGTCAATTTTCACAGGTAAACATCATTGGCTACAGCGTAACACGTGGCGCACCAGGCTTCAAAAAGAGGATCAGACGGAAATCGTTGGTGATTGTCAGAGAAGAGATGGTTTTTGGCTGGGAAAGAACTATATATTACGCGTTCAGAGCTTTTATTGGTTCAAATCTGTCACTTCGTCTGATCATGCTACATTTCGTGGTAGTGTAATGCTTTGAGTTTTCTGTTCCCTACATTAAACTCTCCATCCCCCTTGCAGCTTCTGAACTTCCAGCCGAGATTTGCACTTGATTTGGATCTCTTCGTTATAACCACCCTCAACTGCATATCACAACGTTATTTGGTCTTGGTCGTTGCGGCTTAATCGACCCGCTAAAGAGAAATTGACTTGAGCAGTGAAGCGGTGCATGGCCTCGACGAGGAGACTATATCGGTGAGATAAAGTACCAAGCTGGGAACATTGCCCATCTGTAGTTGACTCGGGCAGTTCTCTACCGAGTATCGTGTAGAAGTCTCTAAGTACAGCACATCCGGCATTGATATGCATGTCGATCCTACTGTCAAATCCTAGTAAAAATTCGATGTAGCCGAAGAAAATACTTGCTACAAGGACAAGCTCTAGACTTTTGCAAGATCTATCAAACCAAGAATGAAGATTTTGAATGGCCATTGTATAATGTCGAATGGAGAACACGACCGCCGTGGGCGTGCGGCATATATCTGGATGGTAACGATTGCGGGTCAAGGCTCCAATTGCGAGGGCTGCATGGTGCAATGACGGTTCTGTAAGAGTGCTCTGAAGGATCATGCTTTCCAATTCTGGAAGTTCGAAAAATAAAGCGAAATCCCCTGTACAAACAGCTTGGAAGTAATCCATGTGGACATATTCGTCGTTCAACAACGGTACTGCCGAAAGGTGCCGCAGACTAGAGACCAGAGGATCCTTCACCTGTCGCGATGCTCTTGAGAGAGCAGATGAGATGAAGTCACATTTCCAGCCCGCGCTTATGCACGTCAAGCAAGCCGGTCTAGTCTCATCGCACTTCTTATGTCTGGTTCTACTTGAAGTTTTAGGACCAACCCATCCCAACCCGACTGGGAACGGAGCCAACTCACTTGCAGGTAGAACAACCCGTGCTAACTCGCCGAATACCTCTGGCTCCAGGGCGCGATCGTTTTGACATTACATCAGTATCGTGGCCTCGAATCATGACAAGAGGTCGTCACATTGGTGGCTGTTGAAGAAGATAAAGAATTCCGGGACGATCTTGTGGCTGGCAAGGGTAAATATGGTAGGCGAGCAGGGTCTTCGGCCCTCACTCATCATTGGCTACAGCGTAAGTTGACGTACGCCAAGGTCGGCGGGTCGATCAACCACTCTGCTCCGAATTGTTCCATGAGTTCGATGTACTTTTGCCAGAACCATTATTGCTCCGAAGTCCGAATTACTGCGGGAAATTAGGGTCGTTCGAACCCCGTTCTGGTGCCATAGGCTTGCACGCCACGCTGGATCCTCTCTCATGCTAGACAAACACATCATGCCCAATTCTGAACCTCATCTTGGCTCAAGCCTATCTTCTTGTCACCTGGAAGTCCATCAACATTGCAAAAGAGCTTCCCAGAGATTAGGAGGGCGATCTACTTCGTACACGCTCTTCTTCTCCCACACAGCACTATAGAGCTTTTAGACGACTGAGGCCTACAATCTTATCGCCTCTCGTCTTAAGCCATCCTTCATTCGAAGTCATAGCCTGCGAGATTGTCAAACCCCAATGGTGGGTAAGTACGAGTACTCAAATTTCGTGAGTACCAAGAGAATCTGGCCAGTCACCCAGTGATTTTCATTCATAATTTAATCAGGTTTTAAGGTCACTATCGACTCGCTCATTGCCGATATCACAAGATTGTCAACTATCACAATCCGCATTGGATCGCGGCAAACACTCCTACCATCCTCATTTACCTTTCACAGCGTAAGGGCCTCGCTCCTCTGAATTCTCGAAAGGCAGTTCTGTTCCATCCAACTCTGCAGGAACGGGCCCCCTGAACTGATCGTTTTCCGAGGTGCCTAGCTCTCTCGGATCACACAACAGCTCTGCAAGACATTCTACTCTAACTAGGTCAAGTTCGTTCATTCCTGGTGTTGACGGAATTCCTGGAGTATATCCTGGATGTTTCTGTAGAGGTATATTATCAGGTATCCAGATCCACTTCCCATGCACTTCAATTTCGTCAGGCTCATTGACCGCTGATTGAGAGGATTGGGGCGAGAGAATAGAAAGTTCATTTGGCGAATATTGTTGCCGTAGATGTGACTCTTGGCCGGAGGAAGGTGGAACCTGCGGCGCCTCCCTTGGCTCGCAACTTCTCAGAAAGCCCCGATCAGGTGAAGGTAGCATGGATTCGGCTAACGAGAATGAATGCAGTGTCCGCTGGGCTGGTATCAAAGGGTGTTGTTCGATCTTTGTGTGGCTTGATGTGCGATCTGATCGTTGCGTTATAGGTGTGGCATCGACAAGATTTTGCACAGCCTTCATAAAGATCTCGTCTTCAGACGCAACAATCCATTCTCCATGTTTAGCCTGTGCTGATGCGTTCAGTTCCTGTTTTCTGGCCTGAGGATTTTTGTATTTCCTGTATGCCCATTTCCCAGTGTGAATCATTGTGCGTTGATCTATTATGCAGAGGTATTGTAAGAGTCGACCTTCGGTGTGATAACCTATGGAGAATTGTTTTAGAGGTAGAATTTTGAGAACGATCGCAGAGTGTTCGTCTGCTTTGAAGTGCGAGCTGAGCATTTGACAACTCGCGCGCGTCGCAAAGACAAGCTGATCTACATATCATTCCGCAGTGGCTTCATGGAGATTGTTCATTAAGCAGAACTTGATTCGTATCCTTGTGGAGTCGTCAGCCAAATCCCAAGGACGCTGTTATTGTGTGTTGCAAGCTACCCCACTAGCTTAACCCTAATAAGTGACCCTTTCGAGTCTGGTAGGCAATCCATTCGAGGCTGACGGATCAGGCCACCCATTAACGAGGGAAGGACGTAACATCGGGGATACAGTGGTCCAATAGACGCCGATGAAACCACTTCAATATCCTTGATGATAACCGACAAGAACGAGTTTATTCTAAATTCAGTTTTCATCCCCCTTCTGCAATCGTTTGATAATCCCGGCTAACCAGTATTCAGTATCTCCCGCGAGGGGACCATGTGGGCTCCCCGAATTTCAAAGAGGTCCAAAAAGCTTGAGGAGGCTTGTGTCTTAACTTTATCAGCACCATCGGGAATTGTATACTTCGTGTGCCATATGTTACAGTCTCTGACAGTGAATTTTGTACACTGTCTGCCAGCAGCGAGCTTAGCTGATTAGCCGATGTGACTCAGGAGCACGCTCTATTGGATCAAGTATTGTAGCGTAACAAGAACTCGAAAATCTTTGAAGCATATAAAAAGGTCGAGAGAATGGATGTACCGACTATCTCGTGCCGATATAAACCCCTTCCCTTTCATACTTGCCAAACACTTTCCGACTCTCCATCCTCAGTATTCTTAGTAGTCGCCATCAGAAATTACTCCATACACACAAAGTAAACTCTTAGCAATCAGCTCATTCCTCCGTGTGAACATGACCTTTATTCTCTTGGCTCGCGACGACGAGAAAGGCACTGACGGCAAATTTGTGTGTCTTCGACCTAAACCAAACGAACATGGTGAAAAGCTTTTGATTGGAATTTCATTTCACCAATTGGCAGAGTATGTGACCATGGGTTGCCTGGGCCTCGCCACCGTAAGTGCCTTGGTGCTCATCTGGAGACACCTTCATCATTATACCCGACCGAAAGAACAACGCCAAAACATCCGCATCATCATCATGCCAGTCTATTTCTGTGTTGTCTCACTCCTTTCGATCCTGTTCTACGAAGACTCCATTTATATCACTCCTCTACTGGGTGTCTACGAGCTTTTTGTATTGTTGCGTTATTCCTGCTTTTTCTAGAGCTCGTCTGTCCGGACGAAGGAGCACGGCCAGAATACTTCTCTCAGCTCGAAAACAAGGATAAAAAGGGCAATATTATAACTGGCGGCAGTGGAAAGTGGTTCAACGTATGTCTCCCTCTTCTCATCTTATTCGTGGCTCACGTACCACCAGCACATATACTTCATGGTGTTCCAATATCCTTTCACGAAAACGATTGCGACAGGAGTTCAAATCGGGACACAAGCTGCAGACATCTATTGTCCCAACTCATTGAGTCCGAAATATGCACATATCTGGGTGAGCTAAGCCCATGATATCTTAAGAGCATCCAAATAACTGACTCACGGCGCACAGCTTATGCTGGTTGAATTACTTGTTATTGGTGGTGCTATTGGTGGCGTGTTTGGATTCTATGGCCGACTCAAGCCTGAATTCAACCCTAAATATCATCCCCTAGGCAAACTAGTCTGCTTTAAAGGCATCGTGATCCTCCTGTTCCTTCAAGATATCATCTTCGGGTTTTTGAATTCGAAGTTGTTTCAACCTACAGCAACTCTGACATTTGATGATCTTTACTTTGGAATGCCTCTCCTCCTCACAGCAATTGAGGCCACGATAATCTCATTCACCTTTCACTGGGCCTTCAGCCCTCACATCTACCATGAAGACGGATTTCCTGAGCGAGAACGTTTGCCAATCTGGCACGCTGCTCTCGATGCCATGAATCTCTCCGACATCGTTAAAGCCAGCATCAAAGCGTGGGCTCTCTTGTTTACTTCAGGCTCGGGGGCTCTTTCTTTTGGTTCTTCGAAGCCCCGCATGCCCCTTAAGCAACGCACACTTCAGCTCGACGACATGGGCCGCGAACCACTCACCCACCAAACCTACGGTCACAGCTATACCAATCCACACATTGATACTAGGTATCAGCCCCCAAGCTACCCTCCATCGTCCTCACTACCAAATCGACGGTATTCATCAAGCGTACCGCCGGCTTTTCAGCAAGTGCAAGTGCAAGCTGAAAGCGTAGTTGGGCAAGCACAATGCGGCTACCAATCGATCGGCAGACAAGATCCATCGCCAGAGCCAGACCAACACTATTCTGTTACACCTTGTGATGTTGTTTGATCCAGTTTTGCAGCCTTGAAGTCAAGCGGACCACGCCTTGCCAATACGACTGTCAATTCCCACCCCTCTGAAGTATGCAGTCATTGGACATCTTTGCTGTTCTGCAACGAGTCTGGCAAATGAACTTAGCTTGCACATACGAACGGGAGATATGCATCAACTGAGTATAGTTGGAGCAGACCGGGCGAAGCGACAGATCTTAACGCGTTGAAGAGAGGTTTACTTGGTATGGTGCGAAGGAGAGGATGAGCAACGGGGAGGAAGAGGCTCGTACTTGTTGAACCGCCCGCAATGCCACGCAAGGCCGTAACTCAGTTTCACAGGGGAGCGCTGAAACCGCCTTCCAGGGCTGAGGAGGCCGACGCCCCGCGGCCGTTAATTATTTACTTGGGGGATATCAGCAGCCATAAACACGGTTAAGCTTGCTCCATCTCAGAGTCTTGGGGACTTGACCTTTTCGGCTGATTAGTCATTCTGGGCAAACTTTATCTGAAGCTCTTCTCCTCACTCAATTACTTTTCCTTCGCTTTCAAGTCCTTCGCATGGGCACACTATTCCTAGCCAGTAAATGTCATCCTGAAATTTGACAGCAGTTATCATACTAGCACAGCAGAAATGCCTGGGTCAAAGGAACGACGATATCTTGTTCGCCGACCCCGTGTGCTTCAATACTTCCACAAAGGAGAATTGCGTCGCGAACTCGAGGGGGAACGCGTGGCAGGTCGGTTTGAGCTCTTTTTCGATCTATTATGTATGTAACAAGCATATCTGGACTCGCTTATGTATTAGAGGGACTTACACTGTGAAGATGTCGCAATTGTATGTCTCAGCCGTCGAGCTGACAACCTTTCATTCTAACGTCCCGAGGGACTAAACCAACTCAGATTGCCAATTTTGCAGATCATCTGGCTGAGGATCCCACACCAGCAAACCTGCTCAAATTTGTCCTTGTTTTCACTCCAGCGTGGTAATGGAGGTGCCATATTCTACCGTTGAACCAAGCTGACATGGAACAGGCATTGCTGGGCGGACGAAAAGGAGCACGCGAACAATTATTACAATGATGATGTCCTCCAAAGACTTGGCATTCTTTGGATCATGGCGGTACTCGTAGTATACGGCAACAATGCAAACCTTGTTGCCGATGACCCTAGGGCACTGAGGGCAACGGTTGTATCATACATGGTGCTTCGATTCTCGCAAATATGCTTCTATGCTGTCTACAGTATTGCCAGTCATCACCACAGAACCCAAAACCGCTGTTATTTTCTTCTCATTGCTATAGGGATATGCATATGGATTCCGTTGCTTTATGAGGGCATTAGTATCCGGACTAAAGTTATCGTTGCTGTCATTGGAATTATTTATGAAGTAAGGATGCCCATACCTTTGAGATTCCCCCATGAGATGGCTAACACAGCCGAGGAAATCTCATATGTCATCACTTTTGGACCATGGGTGGCCAGATGGCTCAATCTCGACTTCTCGACTGCCGTTGACATTGATCACGAGAACGATCGGTACACAGCATTCACGATTCTTGTGCTTGGAGAGTTTACCTATGCTATCCTCGTAGGTTCTCCGGCAAAAGGAGGCCTCAATTTGAACGTTATGCGAGCTGTCTGGACTCTAGTCATTGCCTTCTGTTTCAACTCAATGTATGTGTACACGGATGGCTCGGTTCAGCATAAACATCCTATCCGACGTGCTGTCTGGAGCTCTTTTGCATGGCTCTTGATTCATCTGCCACTCTCAGCTGGCCTACTGGTTGGAGGACATGTCTCTGCAGCAACTGTGAAGGACGAATACTTGAGTACTGGGCAACGGTGGCTCTGGGGGGGCGGCCTCGGTACTGGAACCTTCTGCCTTTTCCTTATTGCACTTCTCTACGAAGATGACGATCCTCATAAATTTCTCCGCTTCAACAAGGTAAGCTTCCATTGCACCAGTGAACAGTGTCATTGACTTTGAGCAGACTTTGCGGCTTTCACCACGCGTGGTTCTATCTCTCATATTTTTCATGCTGCCATTGTCATCGGAAGAACAGATTGATTCTACCCAGCTTGTATCTATCGGTGCAGTGTTGATGCTCTTGGTTGTTGCATGGGAAATTTTTGGAAGCTTGGAGAGGGATGCTCCTTTATTTGAAAGCTGGAATACTCCCGAACTCGACGATGACCAAGACGAAGATGCTCCGATCTTCCAATCGGACGACCACCGTAACTATGAGACATTCAGAGAAAACTCATAGCCAGTACTTCTTCAGACACGAGCAAGTCTGTACTTTGAGGATCAGTATAGAGGGTTTTAGTTGGTGCCCAGAAGACTTCGATCTGCATCTCACGGTTTGGAATAGCCCGACCGACTAAGACCAAGGCCGACTCTGTTCTCTATTTGGCAAGCACTGGAAGAAAACACTCATCCATTTACCTGCCAAGACCCGTTTACTCAAGATTGAAAAAAAGAAAACTTGCCAAAATTACGGACATCATCTCTCCGGTGATACAAACATCCATTTAGCCCGCGTCAAGTCATGTGATTGCTGGGAGATCGCTCTCAAGTATGGCGTGCGACACATGGCCAATAATGGGCCCACTTTTGGAGCACGCCTTCTTCCCCCAGAGTGAGATGACCATAATAGTCTTCCACTCTGGCGGAAATTACCGCTCTATACGACTTCCTGCTTGTGGTGAGAGCACCTAGTACGCAATCCTTTTCCCTGGAATGGTCTAGCCTTGCTGCATGTTAGTTAACTTTTCTGACTGCATGGCAAACTCTCAATGATGGATCGATATCTAACTCCTTGGCATCTATCACCTCACTCTAGCCATTTCGAACAGGGGCTGGAATCAAAGATAACTATATAGCACTTTAGTCACCTCAGACTTTGACGGATGTGATCCTCCAAGCTACGTTACTTTCCCCCTCCCGCGCCTTGCGGTACACCATATCAGCTAAACATGGGCAAACTTCACTCTGATGGCCGTAAATGGTATCAAATCCGCTGGTTTTCACCTGAAGACACAGCCGAGGAACGGAAATTGATTCTCAAATTGGATTTGTTGGTTGTGCCTTACGCCTTCTTGGCTTATTGGGTAAAATACATAGACCAGGCAAACATCAGTCAGTATATGGCAATTTGTTCGGTTCTTGAGCTGACTTTCCATAGACAATGCCTATGTCGGTGGGATGAAGGAGGACTTGGGCTTCCACGGGAATCAATTGGTTCACTTACAAACAATATATGTGGTCGGGGCAGTGACTGGGCAAATCCCATTTTTGTTCTTGTTCACCCGTGTTCCTATGTATTGGATTATACCATTCCTCGATGTCGCTTGGGGGATATTTACTCTCCTCCAGTATAGAGTCCATTCCTATGCTGAGCTTATGGCATATCGTTTCCTGGTTGGATGGTTCGAAGGTAATGTTGATGTCCTGTCTTAAATGTCCTCCACTCAAACTCTTTTCAGCGGCATTTTTCCCAGCAATGCATTATATCTTCGGGTCATGGTACAGAGGGGATGAAATTGCCCGACGTGGCGGAGTCTTCTATGTAGGTTTGACTCTTGGAACACTCACAGCGGGGCTCATTCAAGCTGGAGCGTCGGCCCGTTTGGACGGTGTCAACGGGCTCGCTGGTTGGCGATGGATGTATATCATCTGCTCGATAATCACCATTCCAATTGGTATTCTTGGATACTTCATCCTTCCGGGTACACCGGACCGTCCAAATCGCACGTTCTTGAAGCAGAGCGATATCGATCTGGCAGCAAAAAGGCTCCAACGAGTAGGCCATAAGACCTCGGAAAAGTTTACACTACGCAATCTCAAATCTGTGTTCACAAGGTGGCAGGTCTGGGCTTTACTCCTCCTCGATATATTCTTCTGGAATGGATGTATCAACACTTCGAGCGGAGGTTTCCTTCTCTGGTTGAAGAGTCTGAATAGGTACTCAAAGGCTCGGGTCAATGAACTAGGATCTATCTCACCAGCACTTGGAATATTCTACACGCTGTTCATATGCTTTGCATCCGACCTGGTCCTTGGCCCGGCTTGGGCAATCACGGTTGCACATGTGTGGAACATCACAGGCCTCATAATCCTAGTGGTTTGGAACGTGCCGGAATCCGCCTTATGGTTTGCCTTCCTCACGACATACTCAGCTGTGGCGATGTCAAGTGTACTCTACGGCTGGGTCAACAGCCAGTTGAGCTTCTCCCCTGCCGAGAGATCGTTCACCTTGGTTCTTATCAACCTGGTCTCGCAGTCTACTACCGCGTGGACACCCCTCCTCGTTTTCAAAACCCTTGAAGCTCCTCGATTTACCAAAGGCTATTCTTTTGTAATAGGAAATGCGGTATGCTTGATATTACTGGCCCACATCATCAAGTACTATGTTGGAAGGCACGGGTATAAATTACACTATTCTTCTCTGTCAATTGGCAAATTGCTAACATTTATAACTAGACTTGTGACCGGTGAGGTTGTACAATCAAAGAATACAACAGAATTCGATCAGGCTGGCGAGCTGACACCAGAAAAAACTTCTCCAACCCCTACGGAGCACGCCGTGACCATCAATAACAAATCGGGTGATTTTGTTTAGAGTATGTGGTGTTATGCTTTTTCTCGGTGCCAAATTTGTTGCAGAACTATTGTGGCTACAGGAAATCGTTGCCCTGCGGTGTGAACCTCAAGTCCTGGTTGTGTTTCGTGATGTGGTCTAGAGGCTGTATGTGTGGGAGTTAGTGACTCATAAGTGATTTTGAGAAGCCATTCAATCAATAGATATGAATTATTTGCAGATTTTCTAGATGGTCACAAAGTCAAAATCCTAACATTCCGATTCAAATGGTGATGGTCTTCGTGATGCGGAGTGTTCCCGAGACTACGAAAAAGCAGTTCTCGAAGTTGCTTATCCACGACCAGGGCAACAACACAAAAGATTTGAATGAACTCGTTCACTGTAAGGGTTATTGATCATGTTTTCTCATGGGCTGACTTCGTTTCAGTAGTCGTGCTTTCTCATTAGAATGACGCGATTTCCAAGATCCTGTAAGACGTGCTCTCGTCCAGGTCATAAACGGAGAACCGCGTGCCAGGGTTATGCGGCTTCAATACACTCGTAGGGCTAACTTTTACAAACTTAATCTAGTGACGAGGATTTGTGATACTGACGGTCAAGTGTGTGAAACGATTCATCAATCCAACCATAATCGTGCGAAGATGGGCGACGATATCACCCTTTCGGCTGCCAGTGGCGAGGTTCTTACAAATGGCACCAAGAAGAAGCAGATTCTGCTGAATGCTTTTGACATGTCAACTGTGGGACACTTGTCTCCAGGACAGTGGAAAGTGAGCTCATTGTCTACCTACCTCATATCTCGCTGTGAAGTGATATGGTGTGTTGCGAGCAAATTCGAAGTTCTAACAGGTTGCAGAATCCCAAAGACAAGTCGGCCACCAAGAGGAAACTGGATTACTGGATTGATCTTGCAAAACTTCTGGAGAGAGGAGGGATCAATGCCCTATTTCTTGCAGATACATATGGAGGCTATGACACGTACGAAAACTCGTTGGACAACTGCATTCGGAGGGCTGCGCAATGGCCCATGACCGACCCCACGATTGTGAGTGTTAGACGTATTGAATTGGAATCCAACGGCATTCATGATTGAGATACTGGTAAACATTACCTAACTAATTCTCACAGCCCATCAGTGCTATGGCTGCAGTCACAAGCAAACTGGCGTTCGGAATCACGGCATCGACATCCTTTGAGCCACCATTTCTGCTGGCGAAACGTTTCTCAACATTAGATCATCTAACAAACGGCAGAATTGGGTGGAACATTGTGACTTCATGGAAGGCAGCGTTTAAAGCAATCGGCCTCGATAGTCCCATTGAGCACGATGAAAGATATGCGCAAGCGGACGAGTATCTGAGAGTCCTCTACAAGTAAGTGGAATTCATGAACGCTTTGACCCAAACACTGAATATTGCACAAGGCTGTGGGAAGGATCATGGGCGGATGACGCAGTCAACCCCGATCCCGACAATGATAGTTATATCGACCCTGACAAAGTCCGCACTATTCATCATCATGGAAAATACTTGAACCTCGATACTCGTCATATCGTGGACCCCTCTCCACAGAGAACACCCTTCCTCTTCCAAGCCGGAACATCTGCTGCAGGATCTGCCTTTGCAGCGACTCATGCAGAGGCGATATTTGTGTCATCACATTCACCCAAAGTCCTTCGACCCAAGATCGATAAAATTCGGGCTTTAGCGGCCGAGCAAGGCAGAGATCCACAGTCAATCAAATTTTTTGGAACTTTCACGCCCATCATAGGACAAACAGATGAGGAGGCCAAGGAGAAATACGAAGAATTGAAGAAATATGCCTCGACCATTGGGGGTTTAGTGTTGTTTAGTGGATGGACTGGTATTGATATCTCAAAGATACCGATTGACAAAGACATCACGGCCGAGGACTCCTTGGAGGCACATAAAGTCACCAGTATACTGGATGCATTTACCACAACGAGTCCAGAGATCCCAAGGTGGACTCCCCGAGTGATTGCCGAAAAAGCATCAATTGGTGGGCTGGGTCCTGTCTCAGTGGGCAGTCCGAGCACCGTGGCGGATGAGTTGGAGCGATGGATCAAGGAGGCAGACCTTGACGGGTTCAATCTTGGCTACGTCACTACTCCTGGCACATTTGAAGAAGTAGTTGACTTGCTTATCCCTGAATTGCGCAGAAGAGGAGTGTACCCTGAAGCCTTCCAAGAGGGATTGACCGCAAGAGAGAAGGTCTATGGAAAGGGGCAGGCAAAGTTGAGAGCCGACCATGTCGGAAGTTCTTATAAGTATGCTGTTTATCAGGAAGACAAGAAGTATGAACATGCAACTGCTCCTGTTACATCCCAGGAATGATTCAAAACTGGGTGGAAAATCATTAGAGTAGATAATGGTCGATATAGCATCCCGCTCGTCCACCCACGGGCAATATCATTGATCTTTATCGTGCTGTCCATTTATATGCACTGCCGGGGTGATCTTGGCGAAGACGATCCGATCCTTGGAAAACGTATCGCGCGCTGGCTCCCTCGGTACTTGGCTCACCCCTAAATCTACCTCGTCGTCGAAGTTCAGGCAGTAGATACTGAATTATATCTTTGAAAGATCCGGGGTTTGTAATATGGGCCAGGTTGAAACCATCAACACCAGATAAATCTGCCCATCTTTCCAATTCATCGGCCACTGTACTGGCACTGCCCACTACCTTGGCCATCATCCCACCGAGGGCAAGGTATTCTGCGATTCTGTTCTTGTTCCAGGTTAGATTATCCGAGCCAGGCACGGTGCTTGCCCAACGATTCACTATCGACTCCACGGCTGGTGATTTGCTGAATCGAAAATCCTCTTCGTCCGAGTATTTGGACAAATCGATCCCCGTCCACCCGCCAAACAGCGCTAGGGTACCTTCTCGATCAGTGTAGGACAAGTACTCGTTCCTCTTCGCCTCAGCTGCTTCGTCAGTCTCTGCAACGACCAAAGTCATGCCAACTAGGATCTTAACCGCCTCAGGGTCACGACCAGCTTCCTTGACTTGAGCACGAATCGAATCCACCGTCTTCTTGACCCCATCAGGTAACTGGCCACCAACAAAAATTGCCTCGGCATGTTTTGCACCAAACGCACTACCGGCTTTCGAGGTCCCTGCTTGAAACAAGAAAGGCGTCCTTTGTAGGGAAGGTTCTGAGATGTGAGGTCCTGGTACCTTGAAATATTTCCCATCGTGGCCGATGTCCCGAACCGCGTCTGGTTGGGCATACACTCCCGTCTTACGGTCTGCAACGACCGCACCATCCCTCCAACTTCCCTCCCATAGCTTGTAGACGACTTCCATGTACTCCTCGGCAATGGCATATCGTTCGTCATGGGGCACCTGATGATCCAATCCGTGATTCCGGGCAGCACTCTCAAGATATGAAGTGACAATATTCCAAGCAACCCGTCCATTGCTGAGATGATCAACTGTGGAAAATCTCCGAGCAAGCGCATAAGGCTGATCGTAGGTAGTACTTGCAGTAATGCCAAAGATCAGATTTCTCGTGGCTGCAGCAAGAGCAGGCACTAAGTAGAGAGGATCGTTGACTGGGAATTGCGCGCCTGAAGCAAGTGCAGGTACCACGTTGGAAGGACCTTTGTACACATCATATGCCCCGAGAGTATCTGCCACGAACATGGCATGGAAATTGGCATCGTCAAGAAGCTTTGCCAGATCTGTCCAAAACTTCAATGTTTTGTACTTGTCCGTTGCATTATCAGGATGTCTCCATAGTCCTGGGGACAGGTGAGCTGGAGTGTTCATGACAAAAGCATTGAGAATGAACTCTTTCTTCGGGGTTTCATCTGCACCATCATGGCTGGTAGACTGCACTACTCGCACTTGATCGACTTGTGTTGGTTCCAGTTTTGAGTCGTTTGCGTCAGTAGTGGACATCTTCAATCAGGTGCCTCGTAGGCGTTTGCTGGAACAATACCAAAACGTGAAAACGTGGTCTCTTGGTCCGACACAAGGCTGTGCCATAGCCACTTCTCACGGGGTGAGGAACTCCAGGCCATGGCGAAGCACGCCATCATCCATGGGTATGAGCAATGCCAATCGACGGATCCACGCCGGGCTTATCCGAAAAGTTGCAATTCGTGATTGTCCGACAACAGCCATGCCCCTCTTCACTGGTGGGGTGGCTGCGAGGCTCTCCATCACGCCTTTCGAAGGTAGAACGCGTTTTGCACATTTGGAAGGCCAGGCATTGAAGAGTTCAAGACAACCGAGGAGATTAGCACAAGTTCAGGGCTGGCTGACAGGAGTCTGACCGGTAAAATGGAATGATGTCATCTTGATCGAGATTACACAACCGTCCGACTCAGGAAAGCCCCGGAATAAACATACCCCGAAACAAATATTCCATTTCTTCCAAGGCAGACGAAGTATGAACTTTATAACCCGAAGCGACGAGGTTCTACACTGGCACCCGAGTAGCTATCAACCTCTTCACGTCAATTAAAAGAGCATTTCAACATGGGCTACGCCGATAAACTTCGTGACAAGAATATTGTCGTCTTTGGGGCTTCAACTGGGTATGCCTTTCACTGCGTGCAATCGAACGATCTTAACATAAGATTAGCATTGGTTTTGGAGCCGCTGCTGCATTCCTAGATGTCGGTGCGAATGTCACAATCATTTCATCCTCTCAAGAAAAGTTAGAGAATGCCGTGAAACGGCTGGATTCTCCCAAAGCTAAGAGCTTGGTCGTCAATGTTCGAGATGAAGACGCCGTTGTCAAGGCTTTGCAATCCTTGGCTCCTGTTGACCATGTCGTTTTTTCTGCAGTAGACAACATTATTCGAGGAAAGCTCGAAGACCTTTCACTTGACGAAGCAAAACGCTTGTTCGGTGTAAAGTTTTGGGGGGCAGTCACGCTCGGTAAAGGTAATATGCTACTTCAGACTGGTCTATCACGAACATGATAATGACTATTCTCACAAGCTGTACTCAAATACAACATCATCCGCTCCGGAGGGTCTTTGACACTCACTTCTGGGACGGCTGCACTCAAACCAGGCAAGGGGGCCGCCGTTGGTGGTGCACTAAATGGTGGTGTCTTGTCATTGACAAGAGGGCTTGCTTCTGATCTTGCTGAGAAGAAAATTCGTGTCAACACAGTGGTTCCGGGTCTGGTAAAGACTGAACTTTGGGACAAGCAAGGCAAGACGCCCGAGGAACAAGACGAGATCTTCACCGGGGCCAGTTCGAAATTACCAGTCGGGTTCGTCGCAACACCAGAACATATTGCAGAAGCGTACCTGTACGCGGTAAGAGCAGACTATGCCACAGGCACATTGATTGAAATTGGTAAGTCTCAAGTTTGGCTATCATACAAATTCGCTAATTCATTCATAGACGGCGGGGTTCTTTTATAACCGAGTCTGCTAAGAGTTGCTCATAGTTTTGAGAACATTGACTCCTTTTGTGGTCGAACATCAATTTCATGTGTCCACGCACTCCGGGGTTGGGTGTGCAAAAACCAGTAGCTGTGGGCTAGGTCTGCTGGCTGCATGAGAAAAGCGTCAATATCAGCGAGTTTTTGATCCTCTCCTTCTTTGGCCCACTTCCTCCTCGACCAACCTCCAATCAACTTGCCATCAACGGGCGCATCAACAAGGATATGGGCCGCATGAATACCCTGAGCCTGATATTCACGCGTGATGATCTGTGCGAGTGACCGCAGACCAAATTTTCCAGGTGAGAAGCTGCTGAGTCCTGGATTACCTCGGATCGACCCTGTCGCCCCAGTGAAAATGATGGTCCCTTTCGAAGCAGCCAACATATCTGGCAAAACCTGCTTGGTTGACCAGAAAGCGCCGAAGAGATTTATCTTCGTGAAATTTTCGAACTCTTCGCTCGTGGTGTCCAAGATTGATCTCCCATTGACCCGTCTCGCGCCCGCATTGTACACCAGGACTTGAACAGGTCCTAGCTCTTTGCGGATTTTACCGAAGCTGGCGATAACAGTGTCCTCAACGCGTAGATCAGTGACGAAGTATTGAGCTGTGCGCTCCCCATAATCGGCATTGATGCCATTAGCCATATCCCGGAGTTTATCCTCCGTTCGAGCAAGCAAAGCGACTGCAAATCCCTCGGATGCAAAGCGACGTGCAACAGCTTCACCAATTCCCGGACCTGCACCCACGACGGCCATGACTGGCTTTCTTTGGTCTTGATTCGTCATGTTGGACTGTTTATATGATCGAAGTCTTCAAGTAATCGTGTTGGCCGAGGAAGATAGTTGATGTACTCTGAGTTGGTAATTGGTGTTGATGAATACCTGTGGATCACAGGTGAAGCAGTGAGAGCTGGCTAGAATCACGTAGGAGAATCACGACACCTCTAATTGTTGTCAAGGTGAATGGCAGTTATAATAGCATATCGTTGGTGATGATTTCTCAATCGAGTGTGGAATCTTTCGATTGATTACTGATATTCAACTTGTTAAGTAATAGCTGCTGAACACCTCGGCAATGCACCCCCCTGGCCTTCCAAGGTAAGGGCTAAGCGTTTTAGCTGGGATAGGTCTGTTCTAGTCTGAGCAAGAATAATTTCGTGGATGGGCGGCCGCCATGGCCCGTTTACATCTAACATTATTCGTACTTCGACTCCAAAAGGTTCTTTTTAGGTTGCCTACCAAGCCGGATGTAGGTATTTTTCAACTGGTTTGCCACCTACTCGTAAGCTAATCCCCTAGTCTCCGTAGCCAGAAAGGTGTACTTAATGATCGAGGTACTCTGCCCTCGTGCCCGTCCTTCGGGCTAAAGAGGCCTAGGACGTACGCCCGTAGCTGCTTTCAGGTGCCGAGGCTTCAACATTACCTCGCAAAATAATTCTTTCAATGTTATTCCAACATAGCAAATCTAGATACGTGCTTAGCTATTTGCACTCTCTCCAATTTAAAAATCAGAATGATATGCTCAGCGATCGACGCGACGAGTACCGCGCCCCATCCATTGCACGGCTGCCATATCTGCCCTGTAGCTCGCATGCGGCCAAAGAGTCACTTAACTACTTGCGCCGATTGAACTCTGGTTGTAAACAAGCCTGGATTCACGTGGCCACTATCAAGGTGTGACAGTGGAAGAGTTGGATCTGACACTATCCGCATCAGTTCCAGCTCGTTCAGGCGCGTACCAGCTTCTGCCAAAATGATGTTGGACATATTTCTCTCCGTACGACGGATCACCCGCATGACTGTGTTTTTGATTCCCAGCGAAGCCGTTGATTGGTAAAATCAAGACATCCCCGAACAATTTTGGCTCTCGCTGCTCATGGAAAGTTTCCCAGCTCACATTCTGGCCCTGGTTCTGGAGAACTTGGAGGACCACATCACTGATCATTCCGGGTCCTGTTGCCTCAAGCACCTCCATCTTGTCTAATGTCAATTCGCCGAGGGTGACTCTTTTCCGACGAGCGAGGAAATCAAGATTACTCATCAACCTCTGAATTGCAAGTTCGTATATTGGGTGGCCGGGCTTTGCCATTAGGGTCCATTGACAGAAGCTGATGGGACGTACAAACATTTTGTAGGTAACGTCGTCGTATTCAATTCCGATAATCGCATTCACAGTCTTCGCGCCAAGATCAATCGGTATCCAGCGATCTGGATGAAGCAGACACGATGTATCGATGTCGCTATAAACTCCCCCAACCGCCAGCATTACCAGATACCTAAGAAAATCCGCTCTGATGACAGGAAGATTGATTTGATCCCAGAAGTTTATTATCGAAGGCCGCGAAGAGAAGTTTGAATGCACAAAGTCGTTCGACTCGTCATCTGGAGGTTGTTAGTGTGAATAGACCTTGGGTCTGCGCAAGTTAGGACGTACCGCTCAAGAAATTATACTGGAACCCCTTGACGCCCTTCCATGTGTTGGCCTTGTCAGCATATTGCTCTCTACCATGCTCACTAGCAGTTTGCCAGATAGCTCTAGGAAATCTCGACGGATAAGTTTGTGAGGGCGAGAATGACGCAGCTTCCGCACTAGCGACGTGCTGCTCAATATCTTCACTGGCATCTGGCCTTGCCCTCCAATCTTCACTGCTTGAGATGACGTTGTGCATCGCCTCGGGAATTGTCCATGCGCTGGTGTTCAAAATGCGGATAGACCAGTATACCACGCATAGGAATAGCACAGCGGCGATCCATGGCCGTACGACGCCCGCCTTCTGTCCCATGGTCCCCACGTCGGTGGTGGTTCTTTGCGTATCTGTGACACCTAGTGTTTGGCAGGATTTACGATATTGGCGTATTCAAGGAGCTGAGGGGGCCGAAGGATTCCAAAAGGATTCGCGGTTGAGGTTTTAAGGCAAATAATAGTGTAATGACATTTACTACACACCAGGTTATTGATTGTATGGCCTCGGATCGCAATTGGTTATGGTCGGAGTATTGTAGTCATTACTGTGAGAAAGTCAAGATCCGTGAGATGTTCCAAGGATCTGGTGTTGCGCAGGAAAGTGGTCAGGAGTAGCTTGTCCTCTCGCACTCGGGACAGCTTGATAGTTCGGTCTGGCCGTCATGAGAACGACAGGTACCACAGGACTTTTGAAGTATGACTATTTGAGTTGGCAGACTATCTATGGAACCGAAGGACCGCATAAGGAATCGTCCAAGTTGTCATCCTTGATGCACATGGATTCTCGGTCAACAGCAGGTTGACTGTTGCGGGGCCCTAGTTTCAACAAATTCGGGCGGTTCCATGTGACAGCCGTCCGCAGCCGTCACGAACACTGTCGCCCCTGACCAGAGTCTGTTGGAACAATTGTCCTCGAGTTTGCCCAGAAGCACAAGTAAAGGTGCTATTGCAATATTGCATTAATTGTACTGCTCAGGGAACCATTCAGCGGTTATCAACTTCCTCGAAACTTCTTCAAATCATGATCTGGCGGGCGAATTTGAGGATAATCAGTATTCTTACCACCGTCCTTTGCATCGGCACGGTGGTTACTGACTGGATTGGCATATTTCATCATAAATCACAGAATGGGATTTCCGCCAAGGTTGGCGACAACAGCGTACACCGATCATCATCAATTGGAAAATTATCGATGCTATATGGCGAGACCAATGCGCTATATGAGCGGGCATTGGCTGCCCACTTACCACATAACCAAAAGTTCGGTTATAGCATGTATGTTCTGAGGGAAAAGACATTACCTGGATACTGGTCGAAACCCGCATTTTTCTTGGAGCAACTCCTTGCCGAGTTGGCGTTGCCAGAAGATAAACGACTCAAGTGGCTCGTGTATGTACTTAGCAGCGCGTTCACAGTGGAGGTATTAATCTTGTTTCTCACAGTTGGTTTGATGGTGACACTGTCTTGATGAATCCAAAAATACCACTCGAGATATTTCTCCCTCCGAACAACACCTGGGATCATATCCATGCGTTGGTGACGAATGACCACCGAGGCTTGAACAACGGGGTTTTCTTCCTTCGAGTACACGAATGGTCTGTTTGGCTTATGACGGCATGCCTCGGCACTGAAATCTTTGATCCAACTGTTGAGCTGGAATTTGGTGATCAATCTGCCATGGGGATGTGGGTAAAGAAGGTAAGCCAATCTTTGCTGCGGCAAACGAGATGCCAACGAAGTAAAACAGGATAGATTTCGTGACAATATTATCCACGTTCCACAAAGGTGGTTTAACGCGTATGCGGGCAACCGTGGAGATACGGATGGGCTCTTCGCCGATCCGCTGGAACCGCAGTCCAAGGTGAAACTGAATTCGATTAAAGAGGGCGATCTACTGGTGCACCATGCTGGACACAAATCATTGCGAGCACAACGAATGAATCCATGGATGGATGTCGCCGAGCAGCATCTTCCGCAATGGGAGCTCGATTTGAATGAGACAACATACGTACAGGAAATCGAAGAATTCTGGGGAAACGAAGCAAAGAATGAGCGGAAGCGCATGGACGACTTGATCAAGAAAGAAACGCAGAAGGAGCTTGAAAAGGCGAAAGCCAAGGCTCAAAAGTTGCTTGAGGCGAAACCAGGAACGCCATAGCCATAAGATACTAAATCCCACCAAAATCGAGAGACAATTTCGTATGGCTCTTGTTTCGAGGGAGGCGGAAGTGCAGATGAACAAGACAGGACAGGATGCGTCGCCTAACATATCTGGCGACTGCTATCTAAGATTGCAAAATCGGGAAAAGATTGAAGCACGACAATAGTGGTTCACCAGCGGTATTCTCTCCACTTTAGGTCTCGCCAATGAAGAAAATAGTTTGCTCCTGCAAATTTATGCCAGGTTTTGATGTGACAAGATGGCTACAACAAGCCGCAGGGAGTCATCGGTCCAATTACGGGCATGTCATGCGTCAGCAGACAAACAAGGAGCGACCAGCTATCATTGCCAAGGACCTATTTCACCCCTTATCCATTTCGGCAGATGGCGAATTCCAGTATTCTTATACTTACGGAGTACCACCACGTACTAGTTCGTGATGAGGAGAAAGCATCAGGTGTTACCGAGACAAACTACTAAACTCAGAGTATTCATAGCCTTGCATTGATATCGTGATTGCCTTGCACCTTCAGTGTGAGGGCCAAGGAAGTTGGTTCGGATATTGGAACTGAGATACGAGGTACCTCGTACCTTGGTGCTGGATGAGGTCCGTGAATCCGCCTACCTCGGCAACGATCCACAGAGCGTTCGATTTAAGCCTGTAGGTACAAGGTAGGTAAGTAAGTGGCTGAGCCCCTGATTTAAGGGTCGCCCCATCTGGACACGATGACACGATGAGTCTTATCCTTATTATTAGTACTTACTCGTAAAGCCAAGCTGTCTGCTCCGTCCGTTCGGGAATGAGCCTCGTAGCAAAGCAGGGATGTTTTTCGCTCCTCCTGGTATTTCACCTACTCGTACACTGTGAAGCAAGCAACGACTATTGCCTCCACCTTTTGACCTGTTCGCTCGGATCTCCCAAGCGGCAATTCGACATCCAAAACCAAATTGCCCCACTGTTATCATCTAGAAAATAGTGCCATGCCTAATGTCTTTTCTGTACGATTGTTTGCACAGAAGAAAACCGAAATCCTCACCGCTCATCCACCCGTATTCTTCCATTTTGTCCACAAGTACATATGATTGGAGCTGGCCAATATCTAAAGAGAGACCAAACCGCGCAAAAGCATAAGGTCGCACATAAATTTGGTGTTCCCAGAAATGTGAGGGGCTGAAACTGGATGTTAATCTTCTGGATTGACTGTTGTTACCCGTCAAGGTCTTGGAGACCCGATTATTCAAGTGGGCTGCGGCAGGTGCACTTCGCAACCTGTATCTGGTGTGCCACATTCTTTCATCTGTCTCGCTTGACGTACGTACACGAGATTCTCGCGTATTGGGACTGATAACGTGCCTCTTGATTCGCCCACGGGTTCAACCTCCATGATTCAGATGGCCCTGGTTGAAGAATGCGGAGGCGCTTTGACTCTCCTTTTTTTTTACCTTCTGTGACGCGTCAAGGGATGCCGAATGAAATATCCATAAGGTTGGGAACCCCATCCAAACGCGCAACGTCTTTACCATCTTGGTCCAGTTCAGAACTCCGACATGGCAAATTCTGCTTGTCCAATTGACGATCTGCAACTCGACGATGTGAACGAGTTCGATGAATCTGCACCACTGACTGGAGAAAAATCTTTAGCCCCGTCGAGCGTACCATGGCCTGGCCTCACTCTTCCACACTTCAATGGTCATGTTGCCGCACTTGGAAGGTTGAAGAGGGTGATTGTTGCATTGATACCTAGTTTCATTACGAGCAATGCATCAACCACGCCCTCCAAATCCGGGATCGCAGCCCTCGACGGCTTGCGAGGCCTAGCATGCCTATTTGTCTTCAACGAACACTATGTCATATGTTATCAATCACGAGACACTCAAGTATGGATCATGAGGGTTCCATTTATTCGCCTTCTGTGGTATGGAAAGGCCGCTGTCTTCCTCTTCTTCGTCATCTCCGGATATGTCTTAAGCTACAAACCGCTCAAATTGATACGATCAAAATCATATTCCGAATTTCAGAAGTCCATATCATCATCATTTCTCCGCCGGGGGATGCGTCTCTACCTACCATGTCTGATAGTCAGCCTCATTGTCTGCTTTCTAGCATACTTTGGCTGCTTCGCCCTGTCTTCTCAAATCTACGAAGACTATCGAAACTTTGTCTTCCTCAAAGAGCCACCTCCCCCACAACGAGACCTGTACACGCAATTACTCGGTTACCTGGGGAATATGGACTTCATCTTTAGCGGTACAGTGCCCTTCGACAAGAGCACGGACGTTCATGACTACTTCATGTACGATGATCATCAGTGGACCATTCCTAAGGAATTCCGGAGCAGCATGGCAGTGTTTGCTGTCCTCGTAACCACTTCCAGAATGCGAAGTCTATATCGGATGACCATCATCTTCGCACTGACTTGGTATTCCATCTCCACCTATCGTCTTTATACCTCTTTGTTCTTCGCCGGCATGCTGTGTGCAGAGTTGGATCTCATCCGCCAAACTTATTATTCCAGCTTTGACAAGCTGCTGCCCGATTTCCACACTGAAAAGTACAAACGAGGTTGGCGAGCTTTACTACATGTTCCTGATGTCGTTCCAAAGATCTTTTGGTCGACGCTCTTCGCTCTTGGGGTATTCATGATCTCTTCGCCCCAAGAAATCCAACAAACACCCAACTACCTACCGACTCTTTTCGCTAGATGGGGTTTCCAGGACGTCGACAACACTCTCCTGACTATTGGATCGATTTTCTGCGTCTGGAGTGTTGCAACTTGTCCATCCCTTGGTCCCTTATTCAACAACCCATTTGTCTGCTACCTCGGCAAGATATCCTACGCTCTCTACCTGGTCCATGGCACTGTGATCAAATCAATTGGATATCGCGTTCTCCCCTGGACCCTTCGAACCGCAACATGGGCACCAGCCGATCTCGCGCTGGGTCTTGAATGGTGGCAGGGTGTTCCGGCCCACCAGAAGGTCGTGGCACATCTACTTGGATGGTGTTTCGTTGGAACGACTTGCTTCTGGTTGTCAGACCTGTTTTGGCGATTCGTCGATATCCCGAGTGTTAGTTTTGCGCGCAAAGTTGAAAGCTGGGTTACTCGTGGAGCAGATGACGATGGTGTTGAGAGTGTTGGGCCCGCGATGATCTCGCCGCCAGCTATTCCTATCAATCACCATCATCGACAGAGAGCTGCGAGCATGGGCCATCATGGTGAGATGCAGCGAAGCAGCCATTTCCACGAACAAAGCTTGTTGTCGCCAGCCTCTCCCGAAGGATCCAAGAGGAAGAATGGGTGACGAGCATACACGGCTCTTGGGCTCGCATTGTTTTTGTCAATTCACCCACTTTGTAGCAGATAGTGCAACCACATTTGGACTATGTATACCTAATCATATACCCACTGTTTCCGCAAGAGGAAGCACTTCCTGAGATTAGTTACTGCACCTCGGTCTTCAATGGTTGGTTCGATTTGCTGAATATGGTTTGAGCGACTAAATGTAGTACGATGTACTCCTGTCAAGACCATGGCTGTGGGCTTTTAAAGTAACAACTGAAGCAATTCTGTGACCCGATGCTCCTCAATATCGTTCACAATATCCCTAATCAACGAAGCCCTTTCCTCGCCAAGCACAGGGTTTACCAAGCTAAAGAATTTGGCATCCACCTGGTCTCTAGTGAAAGGATGTTGAGCTTCTCCCAAAGGATAAGGAATTGTCACTTGGTCAAAAGTGCCGTTCTCATAGTCGATTCTCAGCTTCGACCCAAACTGCCGGAGAGATTTGTCAGCCACACAGGTGGTTTTATCACACAATTGTCGGATGTCCGAGTTGGAGAGTCGATCCTTCTCGTAACACCGGACGCCATTGGCCGAACCGAACAGAAAACTGTTTGCCGTGGTGAAGTATGCTGAGAACTGGGCATCAACCATGTTCTCGGGATGAATTTTATTCTTCGTGGTTGCGCCAACAACGCTGACATTATTAGGGCTCAGAGACAATGTGATCTGTTTGACTTCATCAGCTGTCACACAGCCTTTATCAAAACCGAATTTCGCAGCATGTTCGATGAATCCGTGCGTCATCCGACAGGCCGGATATGGCTTCAACGAGGTTTCGAGAAACTCCCATCGTTGCCCAAGATCACTTGTCAGGTATGCGAGATCCTTGTCCACTTTCGGGCTGTAGCCTTGAAGAAATCCGAAAGGACCTTCGAAAATCTTCGCTGCACCAATCACACCAGCCTCTGCCAATGCAGTGCAGAGGAAAGCATCGTGCACCGCAAATCCTGGATGCAGTCTCTTGTTCCAACTACCATTCTCCAGATATTGCATAGTGCCTGAAGCTTTGGAGCCAGCTAGGCCGAAAGCATTCTCAATCAAATCAACGGAAAGGTTCTTGAGCACTGCGATTGTCGCCACTGCTCCAAATATCCCTGCTGTAGAAGTATTGTGGAAACCTCGGGCATATGCTTCATTTCCTAGTTCCTTACCGAGCCGACAGGTAATCTCGTATCCAACGGCAACTGCGATGAGAAACCGGTCGGTGTCTGCGACTTCCCCCAGCAATTCTGCCTGGGTCAACCCTGCGGCAATAGCAGTCACCCCGGCATGTAGAGTGCCAGGGGCATATGTGTCATCAAAATCCAACGAATGACCCAGAGCGGCATTGAGTAAACCAGCATATTGAGGCGTAAACATTTTACCTTTCCCCAGAACCGTGGATGACCCTGCCTGTCCGCCTAAAGCTTTGACGGCGTTACAGATGGCTACAGTCGAGTCAGAGCTGTGGCTGGCGGCCAAGGTAACGGCAATAAAATCGATGAGATACTCCTTGAGCCTTTCCCTCATTCTATTGGTGAGAATCTGTGGCCCGGCATTTGCAACAAATGTGGAGAGTATTTTTGTGACGGGTATTCCGACTGTGGTGGCGCCTTTGGCGGTCTCTGGTGAAATACCGTTTGAAGCCATGGCTTACACTTTCTTCACGGCCTGGTCCAAAATATGAAAATTTCGGAAAGATAATAAATAAGGGAGGAATTACGTGTCAATTAAATGGTTAACAGGGTGTTCACACTACCCCGTATACCGAGTTACCTAGGTAGTCACGGCATGATATACCTGCTCATCCGAACCCCGCACAAGCATACGTCGCGAGAGCGCCCCGATCTCGGAATTGAAATCAAACAGCCCAACTGGCCGTCGGAGGATGAAGGACACTAAAGAACAAAAAGCTTTCATTTCGAGATGGCTCAACACATGAGCATGATTTGCCAGACCGAACTCCTTCTTGATCTCGGAGAGTGGGCTGCACGTGACAAGGGTGCTTTTCCCCAAGATCATCAGACAATCAAGATCTGTGGTCCAACCAGAACGCAAGAATTTCATCTTGCACTAGTAGCAGTATTGTCATCCTTTACGGGCTGAAGACTGTGACGGATTCATGTGGACAGATACATGGACTTCCTCCGGAGTATCACCAGTCACATCGAAGCGCGAGAATGGTGCCAAATTTGTGGCGGAACATGGATCTTTTCAAGAACTCACAAAGTAATCGGTCAACGCGGTTTGATTGTAATATAAGTCGCATGCATGTGGATGCTGGAGACAGTATTTGGGCACCAAGGCTGTCGCGCCAATGCCATTGGCGACCAAGTACTCCCGGAAATTCAAGATTCTCTGTGTCATTTGCGTTGTCCGCTTCACTCCTGTCGCTGGATCTCTATTTCCAGACCAGGTGAGCTCAGCCAACGCAGCAGCTCTTGGCCACAGCTTGGATGATATGACTGTATCATCGACTTGCTCAGACCACAGAGGGGCTTCGGCCCCGAGGATGTGGCTTTTCTGAGCGTCGGTCAAATTCAAGGTGAAGTCGTAGTCATAAATTCGTTGCCAGGTCTTGTAAGGAGCGCACCAGGATCCTCCGCCGCCACCATAATTGAACGTGGGCGGTCCAGTGGCATTTGGGTTTGCGGGAACATTGTAACGAGGATCGTTGGGGACCCAGCCGCCAAATCCACAGTCGAGATACAGGAAGTCTGACGAAGAAACAACCACGTCATAACCTCGAGCAGTCAGGTTTTGGATGTTTTCCAGCCCGTTGTTCCAGCTCTGGAGGATGACATTCTTTGGCAAGTCTTGGACGTGATCGGCAGCAGTCAGAATGTCTTCCCACAACATGAGTCTGCGTTCAGGGACTGCGGAGAAGATTGGGAAAGAGCGGTCTACCCAGACTTGCAAAAGGTCGTCATAAGTCCGGGACGAATTGGCCGCAAACCAATCGCGGATTGTGGAGCTGAAGTTGAAGCAATTCGAGTGAACTTCATCGCCTCCAATGTGAAAAACATTATCGGAAAACAGTGCCGAGAGCTCATTGTACACATTTGCGACGACCTCGTAAGTTTTGTTGTTCAGAACGTCAAGCTGGCCAGGGTTAGGCTCCACCGCCGTATGCAGAGCCCAGTCGTCGTTTGACCACCATGCATTAGCACACGCGATAATATCCGGATCAACAGCAGTCCAGCCAGAAGAAGCATGTCCAGGCATGTCGATCTCAGGGATCACCCGAACGCCTCTCGCTTTCGCATATGCGATGATGCTACGAACATCATCATGAGAGTAGGTTTCCCTGGCCGAGTAAGCATCCTGGGTCATCTGTGGATATGCCTGGATCTGGAGCGGCCAGGATTGCGAATCAACGATATGCCAGTGCAAGACATTCAGCTTGGACAGGGCCAAGCCATCAATCTGCTCGTAGATCTTCTTCGGGCTGATGAAGTTGCGACCACTATCGATGAGAATGCCTCGATGCGGATAGTTTGGTTGATCGCTGATGGACACTGGTTGCTCGATCAAAAGGCCGCCGTTACCATCGGAGATGATGATCTGCTGTAGGGTTGTAAATGCATGAAGAGCTCCCCAGACGGTCTGGGCATGGATCGTGACCGAGGCGGAAGACTGGGTGATGTCCAGGGAGTACGACTCGTCCACCCCATGTTGCAGATCAGCCTCACTGTCTTGGATGGTGAGTTCAATCTGACTGAGATATGATGGATTTCTCCTGGTTCTGTGTGAAGCTGTCGGAGTTGGGAAAGGCTCGAATGTGGAAATGGGAGCCTCGACGGCAGCTGGCACCCAGTGGAGAGTCGAGATGGTTGTCCAAGCACGAGCCCATGCGTCGTTGACGATCGAGCTGGATGATCCGGTCAAGACCAGATAACCGGCGACCTGGAGCGGACCAGTTGATCCCCAGGTTATGTTTTGCGGGGCAGGCAATGGGTTGACAGCGACTGCATTGCTACAGCTGGAGAAAGCTCCAACGGCAAGGAGGACGTACTCGAGAGGACTTTGTGGAAGTCGGAGTCGCATGGTTTCGGTGGTGGTCCGTGGAACGCAGAGAAAATAGGTGGGAGGGGAGTGCTGGAGGGTCGGAAGCTGGTAGTTATGGGAGGTGATTATGGTGAGTCGTGCAGCCTGGCCGCATCTCAGTGGGAGGCCTTTGGTGGCTGTGAGGTCGTGTGGAAAGGTCACTTTCCATATTTTCAGTTATCCGTACCGACTACCCTGGTGAAGAGATATTGGTTACACGGCTTCAATCTCAGGCTTGCAGGCTGTGGTGTAACCTGAATGGATGAAGTACCTTTGGTGGGTATCAGTAGATTGCACGCACGCGGCAGCCCGTAGCTCGTAAGCAGTATACAAGAATAAAGTGTGGGATCTTCATTGAGATGCAGGCTGGCCTAGCATGAGAGAGAGCCTGGCTGCAACGGTGACATCCACTCAATAATTTCCAATATAACGACTCCCTGGGGGCTGCTAGTTGTTCCTGAAACTAGGCAATAAAGAGACATAGCCTAAGGCCCTTTTTGATCAAGGCTCGGGTAACCTTCGATTTCTTGGTGATCGCGACCACGTGACGACATCTGTGGCTGACGTAACCCTGCACTCCCCGCACCTGCCAGACTCCTGTGCTGGATGCCTCCTTCTCTCTTTTACCCCTCGTCTCATTGACACCTTCCGGTTTGGCGAGGTTGAGGTTGCTCTCAGAAGATGCCGTCACTTGGAGGTAGCACCCATACCTACCTACTAAGCACCTAGCTGAGGTAGCCACCAACAAACTGATAACATGACCGGCACAAGATCTGTGGTCTAAAGAGTGAAACGCTGTTCTACCACCACTTGCGTGCCTCGAACTCCAACTCCAAGGCTGTTATCAGGTTTGTCTTGATATCGGTTCGTGTGACCCGCGTTGCTAGCAAGACCTGTCCCGCTGTTACATCCATTTCACTCATGTTCCCGTCGAGCTGGTTAGTCCGCCGTCGACGACAATCTCCTGTGCAGTGATGTACTTGGCCGCATCGCTCGCGAGGAAAACAGCTGCGTTAGCGACATCGAATGAATCTCCCATTCGTCCCATCGGTACATTATGCTCTGTTATCTTGCGAAATGTCTCTCGGTCGGATGCTAGCTCACTCTGGCCAAACTTCTCAACCAATGGCGTATGTATGAACCCAGGGACCACCGAATTCATCCTGATCCCTTTCCCAGCATATAGCACACCTGTGACTTTGGTAAAATGAATCACCGCTGCCTTGGCCGAGTTGTAGGCTACTTGAGGCTTGCCTAAATATCTCAACCCAGCTATGCTGGCATTGTTGACCACCGATCCCGATTTTTGTCTCTCCATAATCGGCAATACGACATGGCAGCACAGGTACACACTCTTCAGGTTAACCTCAAGTTGCCGGTCCCAGATCGCCTCAGGTAAGCTCACAGGGTCGCCTGAGGTTGTCAAGCCGACGTTGTTGACCAGGATGTCAATCCTGCCGTACTTGGCCATAACCGTATCCACCACCTTCTGAACGTCGGTCAACTTGGTCACGTCTGCAGCCATGACATCGCATATACCATTCATGTCATGCAGACGACGTGCTGTAAATTCTGCGGCTGCCAGGTTTAAATCACACCCAAACACCTTTACCTTGTTTTGACACAAGATGCTAGCAATGGCCGCTCCATTCCCCCATATCTTGGACTCGGTACTCCCTACTTGGCCAATTCCCATGATTAATGCGATTTTCCCCGCAAGATCGGGATAGATCGCGCAAGAAGACATGTTGATAAGATAGAATGGAGTTAGACAGACAGAGTATATATCTCACGAATTTTCCATCACGTACGGTTGTGCTCATGATGAAACCCAAAGACGATCAACTTGACCCGATGGTGAGGGGTAATCAGGAATAAAAAATTCAAGTTGTGGACACCGAGACAAAAAGCTAGGCTTCGGCTTGCCCACGAGGAACAGCCGTCATGATTTCAAACAGGCAAGCTAAACTCATTATCAGATACCTAGGATGTGTACACCTTCCACCTCAGTGAATCGCTGCTGCACCAAGTTACGCTGCGAAGTGGCGTTCTAGTTAGAATGGCCGGAACACAATGTGTCGACATTGGGCAACCGAGAATGGCTGTCACGCTAGACGGATAAGCATCATTTAGACCAGTACTAATGGCCTAGTGGGGTGGACCGTACTAACTCAGTATCTTCTGCTTCCCCCTCGAATTTCTAGTTCTTCATCACTATTCATCTTCTATGCTCCTTACAGCCACTACAAGTATTCGCGATCGATGATTTGTGAGATCCGACCGAACTGGCGATGACGCCAAACCCCGAGCTGCCAGGTAATGATGAGGTCGACAGTCCTCTCAGACATGCTGCACTGTTGCACGACGACGGCGAGAAACCTCCGAAACGGCAACGCAACTTCATTGCCCGACAGGTAACTATTCACCGACCACCGACCCTCTAAATTGACACGATTCTCTGCTAAAATAATGTTGAGGCCTGTCAAGCATGCCGTGCCAAGAAGACACGATGCGACGAAGACCTCCCTTGTAGTCTCTGCAAGACTCTGGGCATTGAGTGCACTTATGCTGAACGAAAGCCGACCAAGTATGTTTAGGCTGAAAGCTCGAGGCAATGCTGGCTTTGTCGTCTAACGTTAGTAACAGGAACGAGGTATCCATGAGCATGTTGTTCAACACTCTGAAGAGAGTCGAGTTCAAACTAGATCATTTATCCGCTCGGCCTCAGCTCGAGATTTCATCCGATTCCGAACGCGAGCGACCGGGCTCGAGCAATTTGAACGTTGCAATGGGAAGCCCGTTCCATCTAGATTCGGCACAGTCGAGCAGATCGGTTGTTTCACCGCAGACTCACCTATCCAGACAAGCTCTTGCGATTCCCGATGACAATTTAGTCCTATCTTTCAGTGCACATCAAACAGTCCACTGGCGTGGTGTCAAACAGTCTCTCCCGCAGGAGCTCATCGAAATCGTTAGCCGACTAGACAACAGCTATCCAACCCGTTTAGAATCCGAGAGACGGCCCTTGGATGCAACCATACGACCCGACCTCAATAATCACTTTGGCGAATGGCTATCCACTCTCAGCATATCTTGCGTCAAAGACTTATCCAACGCTTACTTTGACACTTTCAACCGGGTCTATCCTTTCATCGACCGAGATTACTATTTCCTGAATACACTTGCCGTTGTTGTTCGAGAAGGATTCGGTTATGACATGGAGACCTGTTTGGTGCTCAACGTCATGACTTTAGGCTGTATGGCAGTCAAAGCACATCACGAGGGGGAATTTGATACGTCCCAATACTCCACCTTGCCTCCTCTGGTCATGCAGATTATCGATGAGGACATCTCGGGCTTGAGCTTGTTCAACGAAGCACGAAAACGTGTGGGTTTTTGTCTCTGCGATCGCGATATTCAAAGTTGCCAATTCTACCTGACCTCAGCAGTCTTTTTCGCCCAGACCATGAGACCCGTGGACGAGTGGATGATGACAAGTCGTGCAGCCACCAGCTGTATCGCATTCTGGAAATGCCCGCCGGAGCCTTACGACGAATGGACAGCGGACATCTACTCCCGATTGTTCTGGAGTGCCATCTTACTGGAAACCGTCATCGTACAAGAGTTGGAGCTGCCGGCGAGCGCCTTCAAGGAATGGGAGGACGTTGTCCCTCTCCCGAAGTTCACAGCATTCTCATACATGAACAGGTCTCGTTCACGGAGCTCCGACGACTCTTATTATCACTATCATTTTCTGGCTCAGATAGCACACAGAATCATCCTCACCAGGATACGAGAGGAGTTGTTTTATGTCAATCCATCCCCTGCACTGGCGAATGAGCTACAACATCAGCTTGAACAATGGAGTGCGAACCTGCCTGATACACTTAAATACACCGATGAAAATCCCGCTCAAGCTTTCAGATCACCTGCAGATGCTGTGGTCGTTGCTTTACTCTACACTCGCTATCGTGTATCCATTTTCCACCTCGGAAGGCCGTTTTTGTACAAAGCAATCCAGGCCCCGTCGTCCTTGACCGAAAAAGATCTGTCATTGTGCCGAGAATCTCTCCAACATGCAATGGATTGGCCTCTAGTATGGGAAATCTGCGCAAAAATGAAGAACTTCATGCCTTTGAAATTCTTTGCCTCAGGGCAGATGTTTGGGCAGTTGTTGATCTTCCACGCCTTCAAAACTTCGACAGACTCGAGGCTTCATGAAGCCTTGCCCGCTGGATTTGAACTGTGGTGCACAAAAATGTTGCGATTCATCTCAGAATTCACCGACTCGAGCCCTACTATAAGAAAAGACTTTGAAGTCCTTTCTATCCTTTACCAACTGAATGGCAATTCTTGATCATGAATTGCCCAGCAAACCGAGCGCTTTCTTGTCATGCGATTCATCGGTTAATCGATCTGGATGTCATCCGACCAGCGGCAGCCTGGGCCAATGGTAATTATCCCATTGAGTGTGTCACTGTTAAGCCCAGGGTGAGCCCTCTTGGCTACAGCGTCGAGAAGCCAGCCATCTCCACTTCAGCCCTTCGTCTGTGGAAGAGCCAATTGCAAGATTTTTTGTACCAGACTTTAATAAGCAGGATGGCAAACATTGTCACCCTCCATGCATAGTCCGACGAAGATGAATATTCCCAAATCCAACTATGGGATTTGTTACGCTCCTGCTTCCCTGGTTATGTCGAGGCTGCGGAACCTGTCACCGGTCCAGTGGCAGAGATCGGATCCGGTTCTGTATAGCCGGTCGGGCGGATAGATCCGGCAGTGCTTTCACACCCCATTTATGGTTTCCCCGTCAAGCCATTCCCCCGACCATGGGGAACTTGATTTTCGCCCTGCATTGGAGAATCTGATTCCGGCTTGTATCCAATAAGCAAGACGCCGCCAAAAGTTCGTGGCTTGCTCGTCATATGTGCGGGTGTGCTTGGCAGCAGTTGATCCAGTTGACTGCGGGTGGTGCGCCTTTATCGATAGCCGCGTGAGCTGGGAGCTCGTAATTGTGTGCGGGGTGCATTGCACTCTTCTATCGTCAATGCCACGACGCTCAATAATATAAATAAAGGGTTGTGACCCTCTGGACCATCATATGAATCTGTCTTTTGGTTAATGAAATCGATTCGGCTCTCTCGGTGTGACACGATCACTCACAGCTATTGAAAACTCTCAACCTCAATCCCTTAACTTTATCTGGAACTCAGATCCAAGTGGTTATCCGCTTGTCTGTACGATCTTGATTGGAAGCTCGTTTATTTTGTTCCTGCATCCAGAGCCGAAGAATTCATTACACAAATACGATAATTTCGATAGTTCTTTGAGCGTGTCGACTGACATAACTTCTAAACTAAATATTTTCGCCAGCAAAAGGTTCCCCATACCCATTAGAATCCATCGTATCACCAGCAACAAAAATGAGTGTCCAGGTGCAATCGGCAACCAACCCCGGGTTGACATTGTCCAAGGACCGCTGTGTTCCCGGTTCAGTCAATATACCGCTCGCGAAATGGCCAAAGACTGCCGAATCGACAGCTGCAGATCCAAACGAGATCGCAAACAATATCGTTAAATCCCTCAATACGTCCCTCGAGCGACAAGATACGAAAGCAATTGCTGAGCTCTTCCTTGAGGGCGGCTATTGGCGAGACCATCTAGTGCTGTCATGGGACATGCATACCATGAAGGGTCGTCAACAAGTTGCGTCGTTCCTAGCTCAGCAGTGTCCCATCACAAAGATCGAGATTGACAGAAGCACCGCCTATCGGTCACCACAGTATGGAGTGTTTGACGGCACTGGAGACACAAAAGGAATAATATTCTTTACCACCTTCACCTCGAAGTCGGGCAGTGGCCAGGGTGTGGTCAGACTAGCAGAGTATGAGGGTAAATGGCAGATTTTCACCCTCTTCACCACACTGCGAGACATCGCTGGACATGAAGAAATGGTCAACCACCGCCGCCCCAAGGGCGTCGAACACGGTGGAAAGATCGACCGCAAGAATTGGCAGGAGAGGCGAAGCCAAGATATTGACTTTGAAAACAAAGAGCCCGTGGTTTTAGTTGTAGGTACGTGTTGCTCCTGGAACTCCTGCATCTGCGATTTATTGATAATAAACAGGTGCCGGACAGGCAGGCCTAACTGTGGGAGCACGATTGAAGAATCTAGGCGTCGATACTCTCCTCATTGATAGCGAGGACCGAATCGGAGACAATTGGCGACGAAGATACCACCAGCTGGTGCTCCATGATCCCGTTTGGTATGACCACATGCCATACATCAATTTCCCAGCCCACTGGCCAATCTTCACTCCCAAAGACAAGCTCGGTGAATTCTTCGAGGCATATGCCAAGCTCCTCGAGCTCAACGTCTGGGTCAAGACAACCCTCGAATCGACTTCTTGGGATGAGTCAAAGAAGCTGTGGACGGTGACCGTTAAACGGACTAAGGTCGACGAAAGCACTGAAACTCGCACCCTCCACCCCAAGCACGTCATCCAAGCAACAGGCCATTCAGGCAAGAAGAACTTTCCTTCCTACACCAAGGGCCTCGAAAACTTCAAAGGTGACGTTCTCTGCCACTCGTCAGAGTTTCGTGGCGCCCAACCCAACCGCAAAGGCAAAAAGGCCGTCGTCGTTGGATCCTGCAACTCCGGGCACGACATATCGCAGGACTTCTACGAGAAGGGCTACGACGTTACGCTCGTGCAGCGCTCTACAACCTGCGTCATCTCTAGCGAGGCGATCACCAACATTGGACTCGCAGGCCTATATGATGAGAACGGCCCGCCCGTGGACGACGCTGACTTATGGCTGCACAGCCTGCCAAGCGAAGTGCTAAAATCGCTCCAAGTCAAGGTCACCGAACTCCAGCGTCAACACGACATTAAAACGCTTGAAGGGCTCGAGAAGGCCGGTTTCAAACTCGACTCAGGCCCTGAGAACTCAGGGCTTTTCATGAAATACTTCCAGCGCGGAGGCGGCTATTATATTGACGTTGGCGGCTCACAACTGATCATTGATGGTAAAGTCAAGGTCAAGCAGGGGCAGGAGATCGAGGAGATCCTGCCACACGCAATCCGATTCGCCGACGGTTCGAAGCTGGAAGCCGATGAGATCGTCTTCGCTACGGGATATCAGAACATGAGGACCCAGGCACGAGAGATCTTCGGCGATGAGATCGCCGACCGTGTTGGCGACATCTGGGGCTATGACGCCGAGGGCGAGATGCGGACTATTTGGCGTAAGACTGGCCATCCGGGCTTCTGGTTCATGGGTGGAAATCTCGCGCTGTGTCGCTACTACTCAAAATTGTTGGCTTTGCAGATCAAGGCCTCTCTGGAAAATCTTAGTTAGAGAACAGGTTTAGCAACAAACGGACTGCGCTCGGGGCTAGAAAGGAGATAAAGAAATTGTTCATGATTTCGATTCATCCGTGCATGTGCTGTTAAGCAGAGGATTCTTCTGATAGTGGTACCTTGATCCTAGGACGTGAAGTGTGATTGCTGCGCTTCATTGATCCATGAATTTGGAATGAAACACTAAGATACTTGGTCCAGACCTCAAAAATCAAACGAACATACGAGGTAGCGAACATGGGATGATAGTCTCATAAAGGAGTTCACTTGAAGCTGGTTATTTGTAGTTTATTTGTTCGGGAAATGGCATGTTATCAGGCTCAGCTGTCCCCATACCTCTATTTTGTCACCCTAAGAGCGCATTAGGCGATCATGAGAGACAAGATCCCACCTCGAAGACCCCTTTGCCTTGCCATCAAGTTGGGTATAGCGCTAAACCACATCATTGTGGGGTGATTCAAGACGTCAATAAATCGCGTACAAGAGAAAAGAAAAATGGAACCCAATCTCCACCAATCGTAGCTCATTACATCCAGAGTTTCTAATCCAGTGTGATTGGATTGTCCTGATTGTTAGGGGTATTTGCTTTGGGCTGACCCTTTGAGGGGAATGCTCGGCCCGTGGGATTGTTGTTGTTAGCCTTCTGTTGCGGCTGTTTCCCTGTTCCGTTTGCAATTGGCATTGGTGCTTGCATCTTCCCTTGAGCACGAGGCTGGGGCTTCGACTTGACGTTGCCATTTGGCAAATTATTTGACTGTGGCTTTTGAGCATCTGCTTTGGCGGGTGTGTCCTTCCCTGCTTGGTTGGTCTTTTGCTCTTTAACGAAAGCCATGAGAAGAGCATGGATCTCTGTGAGCAGAGGTTCGGGATTCTCAGCCAAACACGCAGCAGCGCTATCGAGTGTGAGCCATTGAGTTGGTACGTCCGTGCGCGAGAAAACTCCCTGTCGAAGTTTTTGCCGTAGTGCAGCATTGGAGAATGATGCCCTTGAATAAGCTTGGACCTCTTCCAAGGCCGCACGAACCAGCCACATGGGTTTCTTTGATCCGGTATCGACGTGTGGTAGTATCTCAAGCCTCGCTACCAGGTTGGTGTGAGCCACCGGCGTTGCATCTTTGGACAGGGTATTTGAATTTGTGAAATATTGGATTGCGAAATGTTGAGCACTTCGCACTAGGATGTGGGCCCGGACGGTGGAAAGATTTTGTGTTGATGCTGTTGACTGTCCTTGGTCAAGTCCAGAACCATGTTGCCGTTGAAGGTTGTGTAGATACGCAACCAAAGGATATGTCATATCCAAGGAGGTCAGAAAGTTATGAATTCTGGTTTCGAAAGGAAGGTGGTCGAACGCGAGCAGATCCGAATACTTCTCCGCAAGGAGTGCATGTGGATTGTCCGTATTGGGGAAAAAGGTAAGCTGCGGTGTTTGCCGACCCTCTTTGAAGGATACCTGTACGGACAATTCCTTGGGTGTGGAACTAGAATAGCAAACGGAGAATCCAGAGCTGGAGACTGCCTGCAGCTTGATACCCGGAAGACGATGAATTTGTTGTACCGTAGAAATAGTGTTCCTGAGGTGATTTGCCTTGCCTAGGATAGCTGGAATGGCGATTTCGCCAATGGAGGTATCAATGCGAATTGTCGCGGTGTGATGCCTGAGATTCAATGACACATCACGATCCAGAGCTGATTTTTCAAGGTGTTGCAGCACCACAACGCTGGTATTGATTTGAATCCTGCCAATGAGGGTCGCCAAATTTGTTTCAGGATTGACCCCGTCAAATCGCACCTTGACAACTTGATGAGGGTTATCGTCTTTATTGCTGCCACGCAAAAGAGCCTTGCTTTGCGTGGGTTCGAAAGGCAAAGATGCTGATCCCAGACCATCCAATCGGAAAGACAATTCTGGAAGCTTGTAATTCTCTTCAAAGTCTGGGAAGGGAGAGAGGTCATACGGAACGTGGCGCAGTTCAAAATATTGGGCGTTGCAACGAAGACATATAAGACCCGTGGCGTATTCCGACAGACGGTCAAAATAGTCAGGACTCAGTTTTTGCTTGATGCTTATTTTCTGATTGCGAATCACGTCAAAATGGACCGGTCCAGTTGAGTTGGGCTGTCTCGTTTGACGAAGTAGCGACCATTGATCACCATTGTGGGTATGGGATATGGCAAGGAAATAATCCGAACCCCAGTGTCGGTTGCGAAACAAATTGAGCCTGACAAGAGGACCACCGAACAAGGACTTGATTTCTGACGGGCTGAATTTGAAAGCACGCAACGATTCCCAGTTGCTGGCCAACATGGCAATGCCGATAGCTGATTCAAGTACACTGCATCTGAAATTCAACAATTTGGAGGCAATCTCGCCACCAATACCATGTGCTCGGTTGATCTCGTATTGTAGCCTCTCGCTCTTTTCAGTGACTGGACTAAGGACGAAAGCACCAGTGACCGCATCAATTTGGACGTCGATGTGGGACGCGCGGGAAAGTTGCATTATCATCGTACAGTCCTCAGGGGCGGTGATAGAGACGGTTTGTTCTAATGAAAGGTCACCATTGGCGTAAAGAGGCGTGGCGTTGAGGTTGTCATAGATATCGTCAAGAAGAAGAGTGGAGTCTTGGGCGATAACTTGACGTAGAAGCTGCTCGAGGTTGAGAACCGACTGAGACAAAGATAGGCTCGGGGGAGGCATGGACTGCCCCTGCCTTGTCCATTTCACCTTCAAATGCGGCAAGAATGCAGGACTATCAGATTGTTGATGGTCAGTGGCGATCCCAATTTCGATCCAACTCTTTGTCGTCTGTCGGTTCGACCAGTACTGTACGACCACAGCTCGTCGGATCAACTCAACGCGCATATTTCCCACCCATTGTGTTCGGGCGAGCTCCAGTGCTTGCTTGTGATATTCGGCCAATTTGAAGGAGAGGACCAACTCCTGGAGGAAAAGACAGCAGCCTTGCAGGCCGTCACGGTCGATAACTGAATTGGCCAAGTGTTCGATTTCGGTTCTCATTCCATCTGTCATGGTTGGTGCTGGAGAAAAGCTGAAACGAAAGTCAACCATGCGGAATTGAGAATCCGGGGTGTCGTCTAGAATCGAAACATCCATTTCAAACTCGTTTTGGACGATGAAAGTAGCCCGGCCATCGTGGATGTAAAAGGTTCTTAGAGGCGGAGGGAGTGGTCCAGACAAGGCCAGTCGAATTCCCAGTATACGGTTTAGCGACTTCAGAACATGGAGAATTTGCTTGGTGGAAAGGTCTTTTTGCGGAATGTATCCGTGGGTTGGGATATCCAGAGCTCGACCTCTAGAAAGAATTTCGGCGGCAGTTTTCAGATCAGGGTCAGGAACTTGAAAACCAGCGGAGTCTTGCTTGATGCGCACGAGTGAGGCGATGGCATCCCAATACGCCTGTCTGCGGGTCATGAGCCAGTAGTTGATGGAAATCGTTTTGCTGACATTTTCGACATCTCTACTCCACTGCAACAGAACCAGGAGTTTGATGAAATCTGCTTTTTGATCGTTGGCAAACTGTAACAATTTCTCCTTCTTCTCAAGATTTGCCTTTGATTGATTGTTGATCTGGCCGTTGAGAAGCGACCTTGTGGAGTCGCCACTTGGATCTGGAATATGTATGGATGCCAGCTGGTCGAGCAAGAGCACAAGGTTGTTCCAACATGACTGGGCGGCTCGGTTGACAAGAGCTGCGAGAGGCAGGTAACTGTCCTTGGAAATCAACTGAAGGATCTCGAGAGGGGCTTGTTCAGAGCGGAGGGTGGACACAGGAGGTGCAACGGAATGGCGCATAGGGGTATCCTTTGAGAGGCCATTGGTATGCCTGGGTTCACGATCTTGGGAAGGTATGGAAGCCCTGGAAGGTGGTTTTATTCCTTCGGCTTGATAGACTGCGGCCTGGGATAGAGGCCTCGATCCATCTTCTTGGACACCATTGGACATGCGCTGCACTCCGTTGACCGTCGGCCTGTCCCCGTTCATATTGACGTGAGTAGTACCATCAAATGACACATGACCGGCAGATAAAGAGCGCCCTCTTTTGGCCGCCAAAGGTCGATACCGAGAGAAGGGTTCGAGGGATTGAATATGGCGAGGTGCTGTTCTGGAGGTGACAAGAAGACCGCGGCTGCCGTGAGAGTGGGGTTTCCAAGCAGGTCTGGAACAAGTTGGTCTTTAGCGAATTGTAGTAGTGATGGCGATGGTAATGAAGTGTTGGTGATGGCTATGAGGGTTCCGTAGCCAGGGAACAAGGATCGGCGCGTTGGTTGTCTTTGAGGGGTAGAGAATAGATGATCGGGGATTGATTATGGCAAGGAGTTCAATTGGTTTAATCGAGGTACCTTGAATGTGTCAAAGAGGAGAGGGCGTTGTGGTCTGTCCGTCAAGGGTTGAAGGCTGGAAGTGGATTGATGAAAGAATCAAAGGTTCAGCCCAAGGTGAGTAGGGTGAGATGCCTGTGATGAATGAACAAAGAGCCTTAGCCTTGAACTTGAAGTTCTGGCAAACACGCGCGCGGAAGTCGGCTGCCCAAACCAATGACTGGAGTCAGTGAGCTGGGCCTGCAGCCACCATCAGGCAGGCGCAGTCGGGCTGGGGTGTGTGGGTGGCAACCGTAGGCGGAGGAAACCACCACTGCTGACTTCAAGTTAGGTACGGATACTACTGACTACGAGGCGCGACGAAACGGAAGCCACTCTTCCGACCAGGTCACAGTCACATGACATTGCCTACGGTACCAAGATACGGCGGACCGAAACATCTGGAACCGTAATGACGCCAGGACGATTGCTTACCCATCGAACTGCTTGCACCATGGAAAACGGTGGGCCCATAAATCCTGTATCCAGGACGGATAGACACTGCTAGGCAGCCCAAGATGATAGATTTCATGAGGGGTTGCACTTCGCCATCACGGCAGATGGTGCGTAGAATCCAGATACATTTGGGCCCGTATCTCCGCCATGACATTCTGCCCCAGCGATTGGAGGCGAGGCGAAGATTGAATGAGCGGTCTTTCTAGTTAGCGGCTGCAACTTGCAAGCCATCAACACCACCATGCCCATTCTTTCACTAGAGGGTGTGATCGACGAAGCTTCTGGTAGGCCAGCTAGACTCCGAATGCACGCAGAAATGAATGATGGACAGCTTCATCCATCGTACTAACCGCAAACCGCCTACTGAGCAGAGCCATGAGTCTACTTTCGGCGACTGCGAGATAAAGATCCAGAGGTATAGATACAATGGGTTGCCCTGCTATAAAGACCCGTTTCACCACTGGACTTGGAAGTAGTTGCACAATCTGTTCTGTTGCCTTTATCATTCTTCGAGCGACCAAGGTGGACGATTTACTCCCCGGAGCATCTTGGACCGTGATAGCAAATCTACATGATTTGTGATCTCGCGCCCTGTGGTGTGAGGATTGATCGCAAAGACGCACCTTCCAAAAGACACGATGAGCATCAATGATCAGAGGCGGGTGGATCACCAAATGCCCTAGCTACTGGTTGGAGCCTGGAGGTGATATTCTAGGGGTGGTTCTTGATCCCTGACTCCCCGCAGCCAGGACCACATCAGAGGCTCGACGGGCACCGTCCGAGGCCCGGGGCGACCTTTTTCCCTGGCACACGGGCGTCCGCTCTCCCAAATGGTTGGTCCTTCACATCCCACCGCCTACAACCTCCAGTACCGCTTCTCCTGGCACCGCAATCTCATCTTTATCCAACTGCGGCCAACAGTTGACCATCACTGACTTGAACCAGGCTCCTCGCCATGGGCAACCAGACTTCCATACCTTCTCAAGACCTCCACTACTTCCTCACCAGCTCTCTCAATCCCGTGCGAGCTTAATTTCTCCCACTCCGTCTGTCGAGGCAGATGATGAGCGGGACTCATCTTCGGACGACTCCGACTCCGCCATGGACGACCTCGACGATCCAAGAGATGACAGTACATATGCGGACCAGGACACGAGGCCTACCAGCCGAAAGGAGCTATGGGGCTGGTACTCATATGGCTGGGCTGCCGAGGTCTTTGCCATCTGTGCGATGGGTAAGTTGCGTCCATGTCCCTTGCCTCGTCTCAGGTCCCTCGGAGTTCTGACCGTCAGCAGGCTCATTCTTGCCCATCACCCTCGAGCAACTAGCCAGAGATCAAGGTGTGCTCTTCAGTGACAAGACCACTCCCTGTCATGCTGGTTGGCAGACTGGTACTCCCAACTCAACCACACCGACCGGTCCCAAACATGGCCACAACGAGCTTCCTTCCTGCGTCATCTACTTCCTGGGAGCCGAGATCAACACGGCTAGCTTTGCCATGTACACCTTCTCCATCAGTGTCCTCGTTCAAGCTCTCCTCATCATTTCCATGTCTGGTGCCGCCGACCACGGTCGATTTCGAAAGACTTTCCTCCTGGCCTTTGCCTTCCTCGGGGCAACCGCCACTATTCTCTTTATAGGAGTTGTTCCAAAGGTTTATCTGCTGGGGGCTCTTCTTGCCATCATCTCCAACACTTGCTTTGGTGCCTCATTCGTCCTCCTCAACTCCTTCCTGCCACTTCTCGTGCGCCACCACCCTACCATCCTTCAGACCCATGGTAATAGCCACCGGGATTCTGCAGATCTGGGGCCGTTGGAGGAAGATGAGCGATACATTGATCGAGATAACCATCAGCTGTCCTCGCCAGATGCTCATCTTCTCCCTCGCCATGGTTCAGATGGCCAGTCACTCTCTCAGGACTCCGTGCTCACCATTTCACCTGAGCTCAAGCTCTCCACCAGAATTTCGTCGAATGGCATTGGAATCGGATATATTGCAGGTCTGTTGGTGCAGATCTTCGCCATATTCTTGGTCGTTGCCACTGGATCTACCACGTTCTCGCTACGCTTGGTCTTAATGGTGGTGGGCATTTGGTGGTTCGTATTCAGCATTCCAGCCGCAATGTGGCTTCGTCCACGGCCGGGTCCTCCATTGCCCGCTGCTCTGACGGGGCAACGTGCATGGCTGGCATACATCATATATGCCTGGAAGGCGCTCTTCAAGACAATTGGGCATGCTCGCAAGCTGAAAGATATGTTTATCTTCTTGTGTGCGTGGTTCCTCCTCAGCGACAGCATCGCGACAGTGAGCGGGTGAGTATCACGATTTACCGCCACTTGTGTTCTGGCTAACTCTTCAAAGCACGGCGGTCTTGTTCGCCAAAACATCACTTGGTATGAAAACGGAGGCACTCGGGTTGATCAATGTCATCGCCACGGTAGCCGGTGTTCTCGGTGCATTCTACTGGAGTTTCTTGTCTCGATTCTTCAATCTGCGGGCGTCTCAGACAATCGTCGCATGCATTTGCTTGTTCGAGATCATTCCGTTGTACGGGCTATTGGGATTTATCCCAGCCATCAAGCGCTACGGAGTCTTTGGTTTGCAACAGCCTTGGGAAATGTACCCCCTTGGTGCGATCTACGGCTTTGTTCTCGGTGGCCTGTCATCTTACTGCCGAGCATTCTTTGGTGAGCTGATCCCGCCTGGATTTGAGGCGTCTTTCTACGCACTGTATGCTATTACCGACAAAGGCTCGAGTATTTTTGGACCGGCCGTGGTCGGCGCAATCACGGACCGATATGGTGAAATCCGACCCGCTTTTGTGTTTTTGGCAGTCCTGATATTCTTGCCATTGCCCTTGATGATGTTGGTGGATGTTGATCGCGGCAGGGCAGACGCACGTAGTATGGCATTGGAGTTGGAAGGTCATCGTAAAGGGAATGGTGGGGGTCAAGGATATACCAGTATCCCGACCATCGTGCTGTCAGAGGAAGAAGATTGAATGGGCTTGAGAAATACCCTTGGACACATTCGGGACATTGGTGTATTCATCTATGCTTTTGGAAGGTTCTTAACGAACTGGGCATCTTGGGAATGATTACATGCTAGACACTACGGTGGTCGCCTGCGGCAAAAAGCTCGGCTATGCCATATCTTCATAGGTGAACAGTTAGCGTCAAAATTCAGTCGTGGATGGTCGGAAGCAATTTCTCGACTCCCTGTCAATTGTTGGCCCTCGTATATTGGAACTTGGAACCCGACAAAGAACCTTCTCCAACCGAAGTCTTCACTAAACGCGCGACGCGCTTTTTTTCGTGGGGGTTTCGCGTTTGGGGATGGTTGACCACTGACGTCGACAGGGTTCAGCGCACCTCTCGCGCAGCTCTACCCAGGCAATAAAATAATCAAGGTTGAACGATGCTTCATGCATCTTTGTCACGTATCTAGTCATCTTCAACCGTTGATCTGCATCTCAAAACGACGACACATTGTCTCTTTCTTCGCCATGTCTCTCAAACGAAAACAAGTGGGTGCAATGGCCAAAGACGATGCGAAGAAGCCCAAGAAAAATGGCGACCTAACATCGTTCTTTGGAGCCCCAAAACCTACTCCAGTCAACACTCAGACCGAACCGGCCGTTAACTTCGACAAAGACAAATGGGTGGCTAGTTTGACTTCGGAACAGAAGACACTCCTAAAGCTCGAGATTGATACCATGCATCCAAGTTGGCTGCGTGTGCTCAAGGAAGACCTGATTTCTCGTGACTTTCTGGACTTGAAACGATTCCTCGACAAAGAGGTCAGCACACAGACAATCTACCCACCAATGGCAGAAGTATACAGCTGGTATGACTACCTTCGAGAGGGTCCTCCGTATGGCAAGATCTGGTGCTAACTCGCTGTGTACAGGTCTCGCCATTGTCCTTTGGACAAAGTTCGTGTGGTCATCCTCGGCCAGGACCCTTACCACGGCCCAAACCAGGCACACGGTCTTTGCTTCTCCGTCCTCCCACCAACACCAGCCCCTCCCTCTTTGGCCAACATCTACAAAGCCATTGCCGTCGACTACCCTTCATTTAAACCACCACCCAAGAAATCGGGGCTTCTGACACCATGGGCCGACCAAGGTGTCCTCCTACTCAACACCTGTCTGACGGTTCGCGCGAGACAAGCGAACTCGCATCAGAACCATGGATGGGAGAAATTCACACAAAAGGTGATCGACACGGTGGTCAAAGTCCGCACCAATGGAGTCGTTTTCTTAGCGTGGGGCAGTCCCGCGCAAAAGAGATGCGACAAGATCACTGGCGCCAAACACTTGGTGCTGAAGAGCGTACACCCGAGTCCATTGAGCGCCTACAAAGGTGAGGGGTTCTTCAATTGCAACCACTTCCGCAAGGCCAATGACTGGCTGGAGGCTCGCTATGGAAAGGAGGGTGTGATCAACTGGGATCTGGCAGATGGCACTGGCCGATCAGATACAGTGAACCCCCCAGCGGCTGTGGTCGTGGGTTCGGACACTTCCGCAGCCAGGCAGAAATCGGCCTCAAGCCAGCCTGAAACAGAAACCGTCTTGTCCCATGAAGAAGTGCCCAAGAAGACGGAGAAGGATGAGTGGATTAGCGGTGATGATGACGCTGACGCCATTGAGGCATTGGAAGAACTGGCCAAGCTGGATGCCGATCAGAAAGTCACAGTCTGATGGTAGGTATCTTGGGAAAGTTGTATTCACATCGAGATTTTTGAGCCTGGCGTTAGGATAGGTAGCGTCGATTCTTCTTTCTGAATGATCACGATGCTTGTAATCCCCTATATGTAGGTGTAAGTATTGCAACACAGTTATTCGGATTCCTGAGGGTGAATGAACACCTACCGCCTGCCGTTTTCATGAACTCGCTTCCCTCCGCAGGTGGTTGGTTAGTGTGGCCGACGGGGTCGCCTGGAGCGAGCGGATCGTAGTAGGTCATGTACCCGTACTTGTCGTCCCTCACTTCCGTGCACCTGGTACGAGGCATCTCGTGTGGGCTCTTACCTGAAACTGACATTGCTCGTGTGAACCAAGAACCAAGAACCAAGAGCCCGGGAACTATACTTTCCATGTGCCTGCCGACGCATACGGGTCTCTATTAGGAACGGAGCGAGAATGTCTAGCCTGTCTTGGGTACATACTACCCACCTGCTGGAGAGCTTGGTGTCACGATTGAGTTTGGATGTCTCGATAAACGAGCCAGTCTCCAGAACGGAACACGGCATACGAAGTAGGTAGTTCAATGAATATGCGGGTTCTGAGATGTTGTACATGGACCCGCACTACGTAAGGGGGCCCCAAATGGTGTCGGCGCAATTTCAAATAGGATGAGGCATATTTCCATCGTGGGTGAAGCTTGATACACTTGGTCCCTCATGTTTAACGTATATTCGTTCTAACCAGTACACTATGCCTTTGGTGGTTAGTTTATCGTTAGTGCACTGCCGAGCGCTGCCGCTAGCCATGAGCTAAACCTCATCTCAAACTCTTTTCACGTCCATCGACTCTGGCATTTTCCAACACTCGGACCGTCGCGACTCATACTCCGACAAGAGTGGTTTCAACTCGGGAAGACCAACATGCAGGCCTTCGACGCAAACGCTTTGGTGCGATGTGCACGGCTTCTCTTCGAAAGTGTGTTTAGAGATGAGGTTCGTCGCGGACATATTGCTCGTTCCCCTTGAATCCTACCCTCTTTCAAGGCAAGGTATGCTCCCCATGAAAGCCTCAACCATCGAAAGGGAGGGACGTCATGATATCGAGTCACATCTCGTGTCAGTAGGCAGTCAACATCCAGCATGTCCAACCAAACGGGCAAGGCGATGCCGAGCTACAAACATGCAAGGCATATCTCATCATTGATGAAGGAGCCGCTGATTGAGAGCACAATCGAGGACCAGGAGCCGCTTCATCCTCCAGCTCGACCGAGACATGCTTCGATTTCGAACAGCAATCTGATTCACAAGCATGCAAGACACATCTCGTCGCTCATGAAGCCATTGCCCGCGGACGCATCAATCACCACAACGGATGATTCGAAGTCTGAGCAACCTTCAGCTGCACAAGCCAAGTCTACGCCTCTGTCCAGTATTGCTTACAGTATCTGGCCAATTCCGCATGTGAACTATGAGAATATTTCAGGTCGACTGTCAAAGCCTTTTGGACACCACTCCAACTACCATGATCTGGAGAACAACTCGATCGCTTCGTCCCGGGAGAAGATCCCCAGCGTAAACGTCACCCCTGCCTCTAGCATCGAAGGTATCTTGCCTTTGATTGAGGATCAACTCGGTAGCGAATGGATTCCTAGGATGCTTCGGCCAAGGTTCAGCTTTACCCTTGCGACTTCATTTGCTGGGTTGTTCCTGATGCTGGAGCTGTTAGACATCCTGGACCGGAAACGCGACGGATTTGCGACTTCGTCCGGTATTGCATCCTTTGTCAACTACCTACCTAGCATGATAGTTGTACTGTTGGCTTTATTTTGGGAAATGGTGTTAAAAAACCTGAAGGAAGTTGGCCCCTGGTCGCTTATGGCTATGCGCTGGACGAGAGCTGATGAAGGATTGTATTCCGTCAACTACATTGATACTCTTGACTTCAGGGGATTCCTAATGTCTGTCAAGCTCCGCCAGTTTGGTATAACTCTGGGCTATACTGGTGCTATCCTGTGTGGTGCTCTTGTGCCTTTCGCCAATACCCTATTCTTCACGGATCCAATACCCCGGATGATGACGACACCGAATAGCCTATTCAGGACTTCTCAACTGCTCGTAAATGATACACTTACCGGAGTCAAAGCCTCTGGACGAAACTCTGCAGCATTCGATCCACAGTCATTCATCAACTACATGGCTATTCAGAAGGAGAATTTTGCATTACCTACTTGGACAATTGAACAACGTGCTCTCGAAAGCTTCAACTTGACTGCATCTTCGTCAGCCCAACTTTTCTCGCGGGAGGAAAATATCACCTTATCTGCCACTACCAGTGCATTCAACATTAACGTCACGTGTGATCCGATATCTTGGGTGCTTTCTGATGCTGTTGCTAACTCGAATTCATCCCTCACTCAAACTCGGCTTGTGCCAGACCTCGAGGATCTCAGCAAAGCCAATTGCACCATTCGTCCACAAGACTATCCACAGCTCTCGTTTGACCCAAGGAACCTGACTGCCTGGTTCAACTATACGACGTGTGGAGACTACCAATGCCCCGGATATTCAGCTGATGACTCTCCCACCAACCCTCCAAACTGTGGGGATCAACAAAGTGCCGACCTTCGTTTGGTATTGAATGTGTGGAATCCTGAGGTTTTCGATGGAAATTTATTATCTCTTCCCAATGAATCTGCAGCTATTCCATCTCTTCTGTGCAAGATTGAGATGTTCACCGATGAGTATCATGTCCATGTGGACGCTCGTAAAGGAAGGTTGATTGATATTGCACGCGCCCCGATTTCTTCCAGGAAGTTGTCAATCAAAAACCAAGAGTCTATTGTTCTCAAGATCAATCAATACCTGAAGCAAAATACCGAGGTGTTCGGCGATGGTCCGGATGAGAATGACTTTCGCTTTCCAGTGGAAGTGTTTCTGGACGAGCCCTTATCTGAACCGGTGTTTTGCAACCCATCCGAATACTTTAAGAATTCGGAGATGGAGTACTTTCCTGGCGCTGTAAGGCCTAGTTCGGACTTCACGACTGCAGTCGGAATTGATCGATTTATCCTCATGATGTCGCAAGGAAACAATCTCCGCATTGCAAATTACGCCAAGGACATCACAGAAATGCAGAAGGACATGTCAGGCCTGCTTCAGGGGCTTGTCTCTCAGATCGTCAACGTAGAATACCGCTACGGAGATGCTGTTGAGATGGAAGGTCTGGTGATGGTCTCGGCAACCATCATGCACCTCAGACAGGTCTCGTTGCGCACTCTGCAGGTTATCATGACATTGATGACCGTTATCACCATACTCACGAGCACAAAGTTGAGACCGAGAACTCACCTGCGAACCGATCCAAGAAGCCTCGGTGCAATGGCTATGTTGCTTTCTAGAAGTGATACGATCGAAAAACTGCTCAGGGACACAGGCGGATTGTCAGAACGTTCGTTTCTTAGCCAATTGAGCGGGCAGTACATCAGGACGACGTTAGAAGATGGCCGTACCATTTTGGAACTCCAGGATAGTCAACGGTATTCGAAAATGTTACACTCCCTCAATAAGCGCAGAGACTCGACGCCAACCCCGTGGCATCATACAGCTCTCCTTTTGACTTATCGAACTGTATTGCTTGGGGCCATTGCCTTCATGATCCTGATACTTGGGATCTCCTGGTGGCGCAGCGAGAAAACCGCGGGCATCGCGCCAACGAGCGGCGAGGGAAATCATCCCATCATTTACTTTATTCCCATACTACTGGTGCTCTTGACATATGCAGTCTCCGCTGTTGATGGGCCTGTCCAATGTATGCAGCCGTATATTCAAGTTGCAGCAAAATCTTTAAAGCCGAAAGCTGGGCTCGACTTCAGTCCCATTACATACTCCCCCTTTACAACCGATTACCGATCACTGAAGCATTCTCGAAACAGCCTGTCCTTTCTCACCCTAGGTCTTCATTTGCTTGTGCCTGCTATCAAGGTCGCCGTTGCAAGCTTGCTCTTCAACGCACTACGGCAATCCTTTATACCGACGTTGGTACCGATAGATTCTAGCCTTGTGAGTAATCTTGATACCTACAATCTCACAACCCTCCAAAATTCGGGCGCCCAAGAAGAAATACTGCGCTCCAGAGCCATGACGCTTATCCAATCATCCGCCGAATTCCTCGTGAAAACCTCTCCAGTGGGACTCGTGGATGGATTGGTATTCAGCAACGTCACAAATCGCATTAGCAACGAAGAAATCGACTCAATTCTTGATACTGGGTCAGATATGAACATACGCATCCCTGCCATACAAGTGACACCGGCCTGCAGATTTTTTGGGACCTCTGACTACCGCAACATGACTCCTTCGGGAGAAGTTGACGGCAATCCAACAATCGACATCATTTGTGACACTGGGCTCGGGCTCGCGAGATGTCCAAGTCAAGCGGTGGACAGAATGTTTACGGGTACATCTTCGAGGAACTCAACCGACGAAACCTCTTATTTTTGGAATCGAGATTCACTCGTCGGCTCGCCTAATTCGGAGAACACACCTGACAGTCCCGAAATCGTGGGATCCGAGGTATTCCAGAACGTAACCACATTCCTCTTAGCGAAGGCCAACCAAGCCGACTCCACAGTACCTGGCTTTGAAATAACAAACATTGCCAGTTTCTGGTGTAACATAAAATACACGGCAATTGACATCAATGTGACAGTGAGCCGTCCGCGAAGAGCCGCCCTGGGTATTCAGCGAACATTGCCATTGGTGGTCAAAAGCTATGATGCGAACTCCATTACCCCGATCTTGGACCAAGCAGCATACAACATCTCCCATTTGAACTGGACCAATATCAATGACCTTTCTAGCCTTCGCAGCATTCGGCCTCTGAACGGCAGGAATCTCTTATACAGCATTATCAAAAGATGGAACCCCAGAGTTACGGACGACGACTTCGTCAAATCACCCAGACTACTAGCCCAGGGAGGTAGCAAAGTGCTGCGGTATTTCGCGGCCGTTATGATTGATCAGTCTCGACCGTTCGTCGAAGCAATGAGTGCAGCGCAGAGCCAAGCTGCCATCCCGGAAGCCCAAGTGCAGACTGCTCGTCTAAGATTGATTCAGAGCAAAGGAACCACGATCACACTCCAATCCTTGCTTGGGGCTTTAATATTCTGTATCCTCGTTATGGGGTTCGGCGTGAATAGCAAGAAGATTACACTCTTCAAAGCCCCCAGCAGCATCGGCTCACAGATCGGCCTCGTGGCTGGAAGCGAACTTGTGCGAATAGCGAGGGACGAGGACATTAGGAGGAAGAACTTCGGTGACGAAATAACTGGGAAGATTGGTGAGGATGCTCTCTGGCGTGCATGGGATGGCTTTCTGGTCAATCTGGGCTGGTGGGAGCGATCGCAAGCTCGGAGTGTCAACCTGGCAAGATCTGAACTCGAAGTCGACACTTTTATTCGAGGGGGAAATGTTGACCGTGGCGAGAAACGCTTTGGCATTGATGTTGGCGAAGCTGAAAGAAATCCATAGACACAGGAGAACAACATGAAAGCCTGAAAAGTCCATGTTCCCGACAATCAATCTCAGCAATGCGTGTTCGTGAAAACTAGCCATGCCAAGATACGCTTTGCCTTGCCAAAAAGCGGAATCTGGCCCAATTTGACGAACTTGTCTGAAAGTGTTGGTAAAAGATGGTATGAATCCATGTGATGACCAGTCCAGCCAAATTTTCGGGCCTTATCGACACTCAATGTCGCACACCATGTCCGCTAGAGGATTCAATCCTGGCTAGCCCAGGTCACAGCATCCCAGGAATCCTTGGCTTGTGAAGGGCCGCGACTTTCACAAAGACGGCCTCACACAGCCCGTTTATCTTCCGCCCACTCGGCGAGGCTGATCTATTCGAGCTCGAGCTCTCTTTCATTAGGGCGGGGCTTGGGGAATATTTCGGAGCTTGCATCGCCGCCAAGATAGTCGACGATACGAGCCACCTGTGTCGCCAGGTGAAATAGTCACCGTTAGTAACATTGAAAGCCTCGTTGCGCGCACTTGGATTTGTTGGAGCCCAGATCGTCTGGTCGCGATCCCGCGCGGATCAGACACGTGGTCGGTTCGCTCCAAGTATCATTGATTGGTCGGCATGCGTGGCTCCTCATTCAGTTCCTGGCACACAAGCACATACAGCGCGTACATCAGTGCCGAATTCCTGCCCTTAGGTTTAGAGGAATAATACGATGATGGCATCGGGCCGGATCACAGTCCATTGCCACTTTTGACCGCTTCGCCTTTTAATAAGGCAGTCTTCTTCCTGGAAGTCGAAGTTACCATTAGGAATCCCAGATCGATTGGCCAGGATCAATTCCACAAAATCGTCTTTATGCACACATGATGAGAAATATGCGTGCGTGACGTTGGCTCAATCGGTGGACATCTTCTCAACCAGAGTTTGAGAACTCTGGCTGAAGTCCAGTGCTACGAAATTGATCCAAGGTCGTCTGGATAGGCGAATGAGATGTGACAATAGAACGGGACCACTGGTCGAACCTGGTGTTTTTCGCCAAGTACTCGATCTCGAGGATGATCGAGCCAGTGATGCCATTTCCACCAGTGCTCCCACCAGTCATGAACGCAATCCTTGTCATAGTTGAAGCTCAAGAGTATTCGATACTTACTCTAAGAAAATGTTTGATTAGCTATCTCAGTATTCCTTAGGTTGACTGAAGCCGAATGATTCAGGAAAATTCGTGCCTTCATTTATGACCATCACCAGGACGTTATGCATGGCCGTACCTCATCTTTCTGCATACCATCAACGTGCTAGATTCCCCGTCTTTTGTCAAGCTTCACCATAGCTGCCCTAATTAGTTAGTGTTCCCCAGGATCGCAGTAGGGCCCTCGGCCCTCGTTAGGGGCATGGAGTCAGGCGTCCTCGGGTAAAGCGGTCCTTCCCGTGGCTCTCCACTTGTAGAGGCAGGTCGGTGTTGCCTTATGCTCATTGCTCGCCCATTGTGAGGCCCGAGGACCGAACGGCCTCGCCTATTTATTTCTATCGCGCTAGAGGCTTTAGCTGCAATCTCCTTCCCTCGGTAATCTACTGGTGCGCGGAGACGGAGCATATCCCGATCACTATGCGTAGTACGTCACGATTAAGTATACATACTACCACCTGTCCTCAGGGCACAAGGCACGTGTTTATCAGGGTTAGGCTCATTAGAGTTTACGTCACACGGTCTGGCTGCGCCCTAGAATCGAATGAAACATTGATATTTTGGGACACTTTACGTAGAACCTTGATGATAATGAATATTCTCGCGCTCTGGTACAATAGTGTATTTCAGAATTCAACTTTACCCACAACTGCATCGACATCTCAATCCTCGGTGCCTCTCCCCCTGTCACGTCCAGTGACGTAATCGGATATTCAAATACTCTTTGCAAGCTAAGGCATTGGACAACCCGCTAAAATCATCCTTTACACGGCTCTCGCCATGGATGAGAACCCTCAGCGAACCGACGAGCACCCACTGAGCGAGAAGCAAACAGACACAGACAACAAAAAGCTCTCCGTTGCGGTTGCAGCCGTTACAGATCCTAAATTTCCACTTCCTCAACTCGATGAGAACTCAAATATCTTGGAATACGTGCTCTCCTTCTGCACACTGTCCTTCTTACTCGGTGCAGGGATATATGGAGCGTGGCTGCTTGATGTGACACTTCTTCAGTCCTCACAACCACTACTAGTCCTGCCTGCGGTGTTTTTGGTAATTCTGGGAGCATTGGCCTTGACAGGCACTGTCTGGATTGACTGGTGGGAGTTGGTGCTAGGGTATTGGTGGCTCAGCATGCCCATTGGAGCATTGGCAGGATTGGCATTGGTATTAAATCAAGAGTCTAGTACTGGTTTGAACGAAAGTTCGTAAAAACGAGTGTACGAAATTGCCAGAGTATCCACGATGGGTAAATCGAGATATTTTTTCTTATCATGAATGGTGTATGAGGGCAACTTAGAAGCAAGAAAAATCACAGGATCTCAACTATATTTATCTTTTGAAGTGCATGCTATCTATCTGGCAAGCTATGCGATGGATCCAGAAGTTCGGAAAACAGGGCGATGGAAGAGCATAAGGGGAGAGCCTACATTATAGGTCACCATCTACAAATAATGTGTCCAGCGCTCTGCTGGCAGGCATCCTCACGCAGTGCAAGACCTATTTACGCACTATAGCTTCCAAGCACCGACTGCAGGACGGAACACATCGTTACTTCAGGGGCAGCGACGAGTGTCTTGAATCCCCAAGCCAAAAAATGATCAGGTCGCACAAGGACTACTCCTTCTTAGTCTTATCCCAGGGAATCGCACCATTCTTGATAGCAGTTGACATAGTTTTGGCGGAACCAGATTGAATGACCTTTAATAACAAGCCGTCCCTCGAAGTAATGGGTCCAAGTGCGCTTGAACTAACCCTGGGCCCCAATGCCTGTAAATAATGTGAACTCGCCTTGGCCACAAAGGTCTAGGGAAGATGTCCTTGAAGCCTGGCCATTTGGAACTAGCCATATATCGTACCAGTCGACCTCACGCAATTAGTTTCTCAGCCATGGAAAATATCTGAATTTGTTTAAACGGTTGGAGTTACAGCATAAACTGATTACCACGGTGATGTACTTGAAGTCAAACGTGGATTTGATTCTATTGCTACTTGGCTTTTGTGATAGGCGACACGTATTTAATCAATTGATAGATCGTATCATGAAAGATTTTTAATGCGCCAGACCAAGAGCAGCTCCGAATCTGCCATTGAGCGCTTTAATCGGACACAGCACGTGGGCACGGGTCAGATTAACCATGCGGTCCTGGTTCGCTATCCTTTTTAAGGGATCCTCCGTAGTACCATTCTCCTATCAGAACAGACCTACTATTTGCGATGCTTCAATGCATGAAATGTTGAGTGAATCACGTTTCCGAGTGATGAATGTACTCCTTCCGACCTACAATAAGGGACCTCACATCGCCCCACCAAGGTCCCCTACGCTGAGAGCTAGACTGGTCCAGCCGTCCCTTCAGACAAAGTCTATATCTCACTCGTGATGCCTATCTCACTGGGAGATTCTCGCACTGGTGACGTCGGAGCTTGTGGAGGAATAGCACAACACGATGTCCAGATCAATATGTTTCCGAGCGACTAGTTGAGCAACGGGGTGCAATGCTTTGATTGAGGCTACATTGTTGAGTAAGTTATTTGGAGAAACAGCCTGATCGCCGACGGGCGGTCGGATCTGAGTAGTTCCTGGACCTCAGCCGTTCGCGGCGGTATGATGAAGAATGTGGCGTGAATAGGTTTACCAAGATAACCAGGAGGCAGGCCTTCCGAACCATTACGTTGAGTACCTGCATACATTGCAGGCGATGGGTCATAGTGGTCTCGTTGGTGAAAGCCGGCATTTGTGTTGTCCACGAAATGCGGTCAGTCTTGATTGAAACGCCCATGATCGACTTTCTGGCCTTTCCATAGCCAATCGTGTAGTCACCCATGGACCCCTGCTCGCAATCTTGACCTTACCCGAAAATTGACTATCTAGGTGATTCTCAGCAAAAATGGTGGGCCGTTCAAAGCCAGTGTCAACAATTTACGTCAGAAATCCTCAGAATCTTCGTGCTTCGCGTAGCAACGATAAACACGGAGAGCGGATTTTGAAAATTCCAGATGTCAGACGGGACGACGAAACCAAGCAACCGTGCACGACAAGCTGGGGCCTCAACTCCTATTTTCATATGCATGCCATGCACGTGAACGTTAGAATTGATTAGTGTTGGAGGCTTGGCGGTAGGAAATGCACTTCAGGAATTGTCCAATTGTCTCTGTTTTCTCTACTCATGGAGCCTGTTCTTCTCTCTATATAAATTACGCGTGGTGACGATCTAGAATGGCCTTTTCCGCATCTCCTGAGACCCTCGTTGAGCTATAATAACTGGTTATTGACCCTGTCCAGCTGAGGTTTTTAGTTCTTATCGAGCTAATAACTGCACTAGTGGTAAATTGCGATACGGCGGATCATTACGGTAGAGTAGAAAGGGCTTAGCAGCAACAATTAGTCCAGGAAGAAGTGTGTATCTGTGATCGTTAATAACCGTGGCAGAAGGTGGATAGATGGTGCTTTCGTCGAACACAGTCGTGACTGATTTAATTTTACCCGCTATGCGGTCGAAGGCTATGGCAGCACCACGGTGCACTGAGATTCCGTCAAAGAGCAGAACTGAATGAATAATTGTTTTGGTCATCTTAAATTTTGTCATCGAGTCTTTATAGACCTATACCTTGTTGAGGAAGTGGTTGGAATCAGCTGTTATTGTATCTGCTATCCCGCGAAAGGGACAGCTTCCTTTTTAAAGCCAGGATGGCTAAGATATTAAAATTTGACCTGTGAATTCCCAACGTCTACCATTTTCGCTCCCTAGGATTTGTATAAGTTCGACACACGACTTGATTGCAAATCATGTAGAGCAGACAAGGTGCTTGGTGGCAGCCGGCCTAATCGGCGGTCCGGACGGGAATGGAAAGCCGCTAAATAACAGGAACTATAATGAAGTCCATGTGAAGTATAGCTTGGCAACAAAGGACTAAGCGGAGACTTTAGTATTAAAGAAAATATCAAGTTACGGGCATCTCAAGGGTGGTTCTCTCGAACATTACATAATTTTCAATTCTAGATTTAGCCCAAGGCAGCCACTCTCCAGCCAGATCCCGGACTTAGATTACCGACATGACGATCTAAGGATAGCTCATGCTCTATCCTGAATTCCTAACAGGGCACCTTTGACGACTTCCCCATTTAACCTGATTTTCCAGAAGCGAGTCTCATTGCAGGCATATATGTTACCATTTTCTCCGAAGCAGAAATTAGCCACTCCACCTGGGATCTTGATGATCCCCAGCAAATCCCCTCCGGCGTTCCAAACCTCGACTCCGTCACCACATCCAGCATACACGTTCCCCAGCGTGTCGCATTTAATTCCATCCGGATATCGTCCCGGTGCGTAGGCAAAGAGTCTCTTATTAACAAGCATGGGACTTCCGTTTGGCTTGCTCACTATATCAAAGGCGTAGATGTCACTAGGACCTTGCGCATTGATGGGAACCTCCGGAGAACCATGAATAGCACCAGTGTCTGTGACATACAGGGTATTCAAGTCTGGAGAGAAGCAGAGTCCATTTGGGCGCGAGAACCCATTGGCGACAGCTCGTACGGATGCGGACTGCACGTCAAGTCGGTAAACTTGGTTTGGCAATTGCGGTTGGTCTCGAATCCCCTGGTGGAAACCGTAAGATGGGTCAGTGAACCATACTGACGCGTCCTTTGGATGGACGATCACGTCGTTGACGGAATTGAATGGCGTTCCATGAAAGTTAGAGACAATTGACTCTACTTTGGCTTGTTCCATAGTGGCGGTGGGTAGGGTTACTGAAATGATGCCCGACAGAGCATTGAGAGCCTTCGAACCCTGAGCACAGAACAAGAAGGTGTCTGTATCATGCAGACCGGCATTTACCCCTCCGTTGAGCATGGCACTTTCAATACCTGGGAACTTTACTTCTTCGTACTGTGCCAGCTCGGCATTTGACTCATTGTCATACACCCTGAATAGTTTGACCACCTTGCCGTTTGTCTCCTCCTTGCTCCCTTTGGAATCATCGCATAGTTGGTTAGATGTCACAAAGACGCTTTTAGATGGTCTATGGTAGATGCATGCTTCATGAAACAGTCCTCGACCATCCTGGCTGACATCGCAGAGTAAACGTGACCCGGGATCTTCACCAAGGATTCGCTCAAAGCTCGGGTGAAGAGAAATAAAACGAGGTAAGGTGGCAGCGGCTGACATAGCGTGAATAGATTGTAGGTCTAGAAAGTTGATAATCTGTGGAGAGAATTAGCTGTAAGAGCATGGACGTGATCAACAAGGGAGCTGTCAACGTCTTAGGTGCAATCACATCTTCATGCAATCATGCAAGTAGAAATAGAGTTGCCCAAACGTCGGCTGTTGAACGAGATCAGATCATCCTCGACTTCACCACCAATTCGTAATTTCAATAGCCGTCGTACTAGATTTTTGGTGCAACGCGAGACAAGTGGAAGCGACCCACAGACAAGACAGTCTGCTTTTGTCCCGTGGCACCACTGTGTCGTGGGATGCCGAGAGGTAAAGTCAGTTCTAAACTTAATCTAGAATAGTCTCTATGTCAGCCAAATGAATCAGAAAGAAAATCTTCGCCTATCAACAATTTTGTGGATGTAGCCCGGTAAGTTTCTCATCATTCCTGGGTTGCAACTTATAAGTGACTTGGTGAAGCTTGCAACAAGGCGTCTGAGCAAAACTCGAGTGTACATTTACCAAGGGTGTTTTCAGCATTTACGAAAAGCTAGGGTCTTTGTGCACGAGCAGGTATTTTAAAAGGTAGGATGTGAACTGCGCATTTCATCCAAAAGTCATCCGAGCGTCACCTGAAAAGGAAAGCTGCCCGGAGATGCAGGGGTTAGAGTTCGAGCAACGAGAACGAAAGCTTCAACGCGGTCTAAACTTAAAGGACCAAACGCCGACGATTCAGACTTTGGGGCCAGACATCGGCAATTGAGAACAATCATGGTACATTCAGACGAATTCTGCTATAAAGACAATAGGTCTCCACTTCCCCATATTAAACCCCCTCAAGCTAAGTCAGAGGACTGGGGATTGAATCATCCTCAACGAGAGCGGGGACAACAAGTTTAACAAGCTATCTCTTCAGTTGCCGAAATCATTTCAATAGCCGACTCCAGAGGTCACAAGGCAGACGAGCTTCATACATAAAATAGTTGCCCATACCTAGGATTCGTTCGAAGGAGAGTCTCACTCTAATCATTTATTTCAACTCCCTAAGTATCTATCAGGAGAGGACAAGAATTTGAACTTCCTCCAACCCCGGTCTCCACATCAGCATGGGCAAACTTCGAGGCAATGCTCTCTTCGGCTGTGTCACGGCCCTTACCGCCCTAGGCTTTATGCAGATCGGCTTTGACAATGGCCTCATGGGTGGTCTCGTAGGCGGGAAACCTTTCAACGAAACATTCAATTCTCCTGACGCAACGATGATCGGCTTGATAGTTTCAATCATGGAAATCGGCGCGTTCATTGGCAGTATGACTTCCGCCTTTGTTGGCGAACGGCTGGGTCGCAGGCGAAGCATCATCATTGCCGTCATTATTATGGCGATCGGCTCGTTACTTCAGACCACAGCAAACTCGAGGGCACACCTCATTGTGGCCAGAATTGTTGCTGGTTTTGGGCTCGGTATCAACAATTCCACCGTACCAGTCATGCAGGCTGAATACTCACCAAAATCAACGCGAGGACTATACGTCTGTATGCAACTTAGTGTCCTCAACTTTGGAATCTTTCTCGTTTACTGGATTGACTACGGCTTCTCATACATCGATACCAGTATTGCTTGGCGCGTGCCTTGTATCCTCCAGTTCGTTGCCCTGGCACCAATGTTGGTCCTTTGTTTTCTTGTTGACGAGTCTCCTCGATGGCTTGCATCTCATGACATGAATGAAGAAGCCCTGGATGTCCTACGGAGACTTCATGACGGCAAGATGAGCGATTCAGAAGTCCTTACACTCTATAACGATATCCTCAACACTGTTCGGGTCGAGAAAGCCATTGGTGCTGGCTCTTGGAAAGATCTGCTCAAGAATGACAGTATCCAAAGCCAGAGACGATTTCTCATCGCTTGTGGAATCCAAATCTTCCAACAGGCCGGTGGTATCAATGCCATTGTCTATTACTCGGGTACTTTGTTCAGCAAGAGTGTCGGCTTTGATGCTCATATGTCCTCACTGATGGCCGGTTGCCTGAATACCTGGTTTTTTGTAGGGTCTTTCATCCCTTGGTTTTTGATTGATCGGATCGGACGACGTCCGTTGCTCCTTTCAATGATCTCTCTGATGGCCCTGGTTATGGCTGTTCAGGCTTCTCTGATCTATCAAGTCGAGCACGCTACCGCTGTGGCCCATAGCGCTGGCATTGCCGCTGCAGCGATGCTCTTCGTTTTTATGGGCGCTTTCACTATCGGGTTTCAGGCCACCGTCTGGGTAAGTCTACCTTCCACTGAGCTCATCTGGACCGGAAATCTGGTTTCAATCTCGGCGCTCCATTCATGCAAGCTTCAATTAACAATCCTTTAGGTATATCCCGCGGAAATCCTCCCCCTCAGGTTACGTCAACGTGGTTCTAGTGTTAGTACGGCTTGCAACTGGATTATCAACTATGTTATCGTCCAAATAACACCTCCGGCAATTGCAAACATCGGCTGGAGAACATATATCATCTTCGCCTGCCTTAACGCCCTCTGGGTGCCGATTATCTATTTTTTCTTCCCCGAAACTAAAGGTGCGTCACCAGCTACATCGGAGTTTGAGATATATCTACCATATGGTCATATTGTATCTTTAATCCAATTTGCTTTTGACGGTGATGTCGACGGAATTGAGCAACTGACAAGTTAATTTACAGGACTCGCACTTGAGGACGTTGACCGCTTATTCGCCGGCGAGGACACAGTGACAGCCCGTGAGTTACATGAACAAAAACATACTTCAGTCGTTGAGCTAGAAACATCGGGGGACAAATAGGAGAATATTTTATAGAGCGAGGCGTCGGTATAGGGGCGGCGAAAGACGTTTCAACCGTCCCTGAAGTCTCCTATAACTAACAAAGGTCTATGCAAATCCATCCGAATTAAGCTAGCCACTTACTGGAATAAAGTAGTCGTTCTCCTTGAGCACCTTCCATCCTTTGAGGCTAGGCGTAGATAAATCCCCACTCCATTTATCGCCTTCGCCTTCCCATCGCCACCACTGAATTGCAACTCCTTTCAGTAGTGTTACCTGACCTTTTTGAATGCCTAACGCTGGTTCATCTTGTTTGTAGGAGACCTCGATCTCCATTTCCCACGTTACAAATTCGGGAGTAACACCTGTAGTTGTCGATTTAATAATTTTGAGGGACGACATAAGCCCGAAGTTCTCTGCGAACATTGCCTTCAGAGTACAATAATCCATTCCAAACTTATTTAAAGCTGTTTTTCATCCTTCACGTTAGCTCAATATTGGCAGGAACTACTAGATACTTACCAACATCATCGAAGGACACATCTTTCGATTGCCAAGACATGACCTGTTCAATATCGATCTTCCCGAAAGCCTCTTCGAGAGCACTACTACGAGCTTGAATAAGCTTCTGCACAGCTTCAGTAGTAGGTCTACTAGCCATAATGTCTAATACTGAAAATTGTGAGTGTTCCTCTCTAGCAAAAGATAGATAGCACAAGGTTATGTCGTCCCGGTCGAACTAAAGGGTCCTCGAAAGTGCCCATGCTTGAATTTTATAAATCATGCAACGTGAGGTGTTCTTGCGGAGCGGCAGAGATGTCCCGACGACTACCGCGAAATTCGGACGAATATCAACATATATTTAGGTTCAACGGATAGATTTCAGCCATCGCTCGGCTTATCTTCAACCCGTCGCCGAAAATCAAGCCGTACTGGTCCGCCGCGCATTCCTTATAATAAGTCATTAATACTTGTCGGTGTTATGTGACTCACTTTAGTGGCAAATCTCTAGAAGGAGGTGTATAACCTTCTGTGGGGTAGGAGGACGGGTACAAGAATTAACAGAAGATGGAATTATAGGTACCTAAAAGCTTGCCGTAGGGGACTAACATAGGCCCATCAAAATCTGACGTGCCTATAGGTCATTTTGGCTAATTCTGGTAGCATACTATCACCCATCTCTATTCCCATTACTAGTAGACATAGCGAAAGCCCAATCCCCGTCGATCACTACTAGTACCTGCTGCCGGGTCCAGTATCCCTTCTGCTTCCATTTTCTCTAGCTTCTTATTCTCACGTTTGTGGATAAAGCGAAGAGCTAAAGCGAGCAGGGCAGCAGCGAGGCAGACGACAGCGTTGCCTGCACTACCGGGCAGATATTGCGGACCCTGCGAAGCAGGGTACATGAACGTGCCGTACGTAGATGCTGCATTGGCAAATGAGTTGCAAATAGCAATTGCAGAAGCACGCTTAACCAGTGGCCGGATAAACGAGTTAGCGATCCAGGCTGTCATGACTGGAAAAGCCGACACTGCGCCTATTGGCATCTAGGAAGATGTCAGTATAATGTGTACTCAGGTCGAAGTTTGAAAAGACTTACTAAGAACATTCCCAAGAAGCGCACACCAACATTCGAGGAAGCTGCAACGCATACATTTCCCACCCCGGACACTATCGAGGCCACAATGATATGAAACGCCCGATCGCCTGTACGATCCGCATTCCAAGTCACGGCGCAAGCAACAAACCACGCTAAGAACCACACCGGAACCTGACACCTGTTAGCATGATCTCCAAATTCCCAACGTCAAAGGGGATACGTACGGTCAACAATAGGGTTTCGATACGACCGAAACCGAGAGTCTGTACGATTGATGGGAAGATGTACTGAAAAGTACCTGCGAGAACGTTCGCATGCAGCATCAACATAAAGACATAGAGACGCCAGTCCTTAAGGGCCATCACTAGGCCCTGTAAGACACCCGTGGCATGGCGATCATCCTCCTCCTCTGCATCCATCTTTAACCTCCAAGCAGCATACGCTCGTTGCTCAGGTGTCAACCACTTTGTGGTGTGTGGGAAGTCTGGTAGGACGAGGGTGCAACAGACTGCGAAGAACATTGAGATAGCTCCGTTGACGATGAACACCCTTTGCACAATCAGCATGCCGACTTTGAGACATTATAAGGGAAATAAATTTCTTCGCTCACCATCTCCAACCTGCAATTCCCGCTGCACCTTCCATATTAGCCAGAATACCAGCGCTGACCAAGCCACTGAAGCCATTGGCGACAGCGACCCCGCTGTAGAACCACGCAATCCTCTTAGTCAGCTCTCGTCTCGTATACCAGCTACTCATCAGGAAAATAGCTCCCGGAAAAAAAGGAGCCTCTGTGACGCCAAGAAATATTCGAACAACAAGTAAGCCTGCGAAGTTTTGAACCGCTGCGGTGGCTGTACAGACTGCTCCCCAGATAATCATAACCCCACCGAGATAAATTGACGGGCGTAGACGCGAGAGTAGTAGGTTAGATGGAAGCTGCATAAGAATATAGCCCACGAAAAGAATCGAGATGGCTGTATTGAATTGCGTTCCATTAGGATCCATCCCCAGGTCCTCCTCTAGGGTTCCTAGGCGTGCTTGGCCCAAAGCTGATCGGTCCATAAAGTTGTTGATGTACATAATGACCTGGACTCAAAGTTAGCGTGTGGAGAGCTAGAGGCTGTACGGTCATGGCAGTAGTGCCTTTGACAAATCAAATTGTTGGCATCGACCCCAGTTGACTTTAATTTTCCACGTACCAGTAAGGGAATGAGGCGAAGATCAACCTTACGCTTGAGCTTCTTTTCAAAGTCGGCGCGCCACTCAGCTCCGTTCTCCTCAAATTGTCGGTAGTATTGCTGCTGAGTAGGATCGTCTGTTGTAGCCGTTTCAGTGGGCGAATGACCCGCTTGTCCGCTTGAGTACGGCGAGGGCGGAGAGATCTTCTCGTCCCGCGACGAGCTCTGGATCTTTTCAACGTCCATTATTGTTGGTACAAGTATCGCGCAGATTCCAAGGTTAAGGAAAGACAAGTCAGAAGAGAGCCGTCAGCCTTTTCGATCACTCGTTCCCCCGGACAACGAGTAATTTTAGTAAAAGCGTAGAGTAGGAACCATGGGAAACAACCCCATCAATATATACCTGCATTAACGCGACTGGAGCCGAGGGCTCTGATGACGGCCATGGATAGCGCCAATATATGTCCTGTCCAGCCAAGAGATACCAATCCCCTCAGCCAAGGCTACCCCATAGGACTCTTTTGCGGAGGCAATACACTTGGCGAGGTGCCAATCAATTGACGACGTCAGCCGAGGTCTTGGGCCGCTGCCGATTTCCAGCGTCGCACAGTCCATTGGAATATCGAAGTCATATATGTGGATTTCATGTTATCTGCCCAGCCTTGTGCAATTTTAGGGGTGATTTGTAATGTGCGACAATGAAACCCACGTCGGTGTTGTTCCGTACATTCCGGGTGAGCGACACGGCAGAAGATACCATACTACCGAGCTGTAGAGGTTGAAGGTTGAGGAAAATGCGTAGACAGGACGAGTAACCACTTAATCAGAGAGTCGGATATGCAATATCCCAGTCGTGACGCCTATCGTTGGCCGCAAAGAAATTTAAGAAGGTTGATAAGTCCTATTAGAGTAGAAGAATAGTATGGTTAGATCATCAAGCTCGTAGTTATCACAATCACTTATCGACTAGGGCCCTTTCCAAAACAATGGTATACTATTGTTGGTAGTGCTAAACTATAGAGGGTTAGCACGGGGCGGGAACTAACTAAAGATAGCTAAAGTGGTAACGTAGGTGGACACCGAACGGCGCACTTTTCGCCCCCACTCCTACTTCCAACTTTTACTATACGACAGCAACTTCAAATTTAAAGATGCTATCTCAAAAAGAGGCCCAAATCCTCCTTGCACTCCAAGCTTTTCAACGAAACAAAAATCATTCCGTACGAGAACTTGCGCGGATTTATTAAGTCCCAGAAACAACTTTACGCGCGCGGATTAAGGGACAACCTTCACGTCTCGACCAAACCGCCAATTCTCGAAAACTTACTAATTTAGAGGAATCAGTACTCGTACGAGAGATACTTGACCTCTAGGCGCGAGGTTTTCCTCCCCGGCTTCAAACTGTGGTAGATATAGCTGATCAACTACGTACGACGCGTGGCGCGTCACGCGTCGAAACTAAATGGACACAACGCTTTATTTAACGACAACTAGAGCTTCGGACGCGTTTTACGCGTAAATACGACTATTAACGAGTAAGATGTAAAGATCTAGCTATAATTTAAGACTAGTTTAACCTCGTATAGAATACAATCACGAAATATGGGATCCTCGAAGAGAATATCTAGAATTTTGATGAGATAGGCTTTATAATAGACTAGATCTCGTCCGCTATAGTCGTTATAAGCTCAAGTAATACTGGGAAAGCTAAAATAGTTTAGTCTAGTAATCGAGAATAGGTTACAGTAATTCAAGGCATCAACTTATACGACTAGGCGATATCGCTCTTAATTGTGATTACTAGTAAAAACTATCTTACTTCTTAGTATCGTACAAACTCTCTTCTAGCTAATTAGGTAATTACTCTCAGTGATAATAAATGGATAACAAATAAGATTAGTCTTCAATGGGTTTAGCACTATAATCAATATAGTCAACCCCATACGAAAGGGAAATATCGACTTTTAATTCTAGACGAACATAAGAGCTATTAATTCGTCGATTTCAACGATTTCTATAAGCAAAATGATATTATTATACTCTATATGCCTATACACTCATCACACCTACTTCAGCCACTTAATATTAGGTGCTTTAGTCCTCTAAAGAAGGCGTATAGTAAAGAAATCGAAAATCTCGTTCGAAAATACGTAACCCATATTACGAAGGTTGAATTCTTTAACGCGTTTAAAACTACATTTTTCGCGTCACTAGGAGAAGGAAATATACGAGAAGGGTTTCGAGAAGTAGGCCTTATTTCGTATAATCTAGAAATCGTGCTTTCAAAGCTAGATATAAGGCTTTATACACCATCTCCACCTCAACCTTCATTATCTACCAATATACCTTAGGTCTCTAAAACACTACAAACTACGTACGATACTACCTCTTAATCAAATTTCATTAAGCAAAGGGTTGCTCGACATTAAAATAGTTCTCCAACGGCTATTTATAAGGCAATAGATTAAATGGTTAAGAGTACGACGATAATTATGCATTAAATAGTCTTACTAAAGGATCGGATCCGAGATCTTAAAGAGGCTAATTGTACGCTTAGTAAACGTCGCAGAGAGAAGAAGACCCGAATTCGTCAAGAAGGATCGCTTACTATACAAGATGCATAGGAAATAATTGATTTAAATGATATAGAAGTGCAGATAAAGCAAGAAACGCGAGTAAAGGGGGTCCGTACGGAAGTTGGACCGGCAACTCAACGGCGATGTGGTACCTGCTATAAGCCTGGCCACAACTCCCGTACGTACTAGCAGGATGAAGAAATGTTAAATGTATATAGCTCTAAGTAGTTTAGATAATAAATCAAAGTTCCTATTGTACAACCAAAGTTTGAAGTAGGAGTGGGGGCGAAAAGTGCGCCGTTCGGTGTCCTGCGCCGTTCGGTGTCTACCTACGTTATTAGATTATAGTATAGGATTGTTTATTAGGTAGAGACTTTACGGGGTATAATACTTATTATTATATTATTATAGTGTTCGAATAAGCTCGTTATACTTTATTAGGAACGGACCTATATGGATAGGTAGAGTACGACGATTAGAGTAGTTCAATAGGTTATAGATTATTTCTTAACGTGCGTCTTAACTAAGACTCGAAGTATAGAGAGGGGGGAAGCTCCTCTCATGCGGTGAGCGTGCGATAAGCCTTCTACTCGAGATAGGTTCTCGGGTCTTGGCTTGTTTGTCTAGTTTGGGGGTTGTCTAAATCGACGTTCATGACAAAGGCTTACTGTACGCTCACTATATAAAAGGAGCTTCTCTCCTCTCTATACTTTATGTCTTAGTTAAGACGCACGTTAAGAAATAATCTATAACCCATTAAACTACTCTAATCGTCGTACTCTACCTATCTATATAGGTTCGTTCCTAACAATAAGTATAATAGGTTATAGTACTTATATAGAGTACGGAAGTCTTTATATAGTATCGCTCTTTAGTTAGAATACACCTTCTAACCCCTATCTATACCTATATTAAGGTTTACCTTAATTCTCTATCTATTTAGAAGGTTAAGTAAACCGACTATCCTTTCGAGGTCCAACTACGTAGTGGTTTCCCGATATTCCGCATGAGTATGCTTCGCATGTAGCAACTCCACTGGAGCGTCCACGCGATAGGTCATAGTATGCCGCATGTCCCCCAAAAAGAAGCATACTATTAAACCTAGAAAACCTACTGGTGCAGCGATAATGAAGACAACCCTTATCGAGTCCGCAAATGCCTGTTTAGAAGCGGCCACAGCTGCTGTGATGATTTGTGGTGTCACCCCAGTAATAGTTGCTAGTGCCGCTGCGTTATTGGCGAGTAACGCTGTAATAAAATCTGGTAGAGACTGGGCCGAAAGACCCCCCTATAGTGCTACTTGAGCAACGTACGCTGGGAGTTTCCCGGTAAGTCGGCTTCGAAACGCAGCCGCAAATACTGCGGTGGCGACCACGGCGAAAACGGCTCGCACTGAGACGATCACTGCCGTCGAAGTGGCAATGAGCTTATGCGGGACAGAGAGCTGAATACCAGCAACGACGAGGACTAACATCACACCGCAGCCGAGACCTGTGAGAGCGGCAAAGGCGACTGAACTGACCGAGTCGTCCGGTTGCACTGTGGCCAAGCCGATATTGCCAGCAGTGAAGAGTAAGAGTCCTACTGCCAGTGGTTCTCGTATACTTCTCATCCTGGAGCTGAGTAGGCCAGATATGCTACTGGAGATGATTATACCGCCCCAAAATGCCTCTAGGCGTGCGACAATGAGCATAGGCCTGGTCTCGAACAACGTGGCCGTCCTGCATTCAGCAGTAGTCAGCTCAATCTCGCAATTGCGCAAATCCGAGCGACGACTTACAAGGCTGGGAAGAAGATGAAATATGCAAAGGACACGAAGCCTTCGACGGCTATGAGTAGAATGCAAATCGTGGCATTCCGGCCAGCTTTAGGCGTGTCACTCCTGAAAAGCGAATGAGGCAGAATTCCTGTCTTGATGATATATGTCTCGTAGAGGCCGAAGGCTACCAAAATGACTCTACCCACCACGATGGTGCAAATAACTCTCGAATTGGTCCAGGCATAGAGATCGCCCCCAAGGGTCATGCCGCTGAGTAACAAGGCGAGGCCGGTGGTCAGCAATCCGCTCCCAATGAGGTCGATCTCAGCAATCTTTTGCCGGCAGGACAACTGGTCCAATCGACTGTGTCGCTTGGAAGGGCGGTAGCCCACGAATATGGCGACAGCGACGAGTCCCCATAAGCTTATCTGAATCCACTGTTTACTTGTGAGCTGAGAGCGCTAGTGGGAGAATGACGGCAAGTGCGTACGTAGAAGTTTCGCCATCCGTCTTTGGTATCTCGTAGGATGAAAGCGCCCGTAATGGCGAGGGACGCTGTTGCACCAACTACTACGCCGATGTTAATTAGACTTTATGCCACTGTCGACGTCAGTGAGCGTCCCTTTCGATGACGTACTATAGCTTCCACTCACATGGTCTCCATTTCCGGGGAAGAATTTCACTCGGGATGCAGTATGATATTGGGCTAGTCGAGAATCCAACCCCAATCAGTGCCTGTCCGGCGATAACGCGGTTGATATCGTTAGCTGTTGGTATTATAGCTGCACCGATGAAGGAGAAAATACAACCACCAATCAACAGAATCTTTCGAGTCTGGAAGAGGTCGGATGCGGAGTAGAGAGTCGGTGCGAGGACAGCTTGAACAAGAAGCAACGCATTAGGGATCCAAGTCTGCATTGTCGAGGCCCCCAAGCTGGCGCCGATGTTGTCGAGCTGCCAAACACAGATATTAACACATTCATAGCAATGGCTCGGGGATTTCTTGTGTACCTACAAATGCTGGCGGTCCCTGGAGCGCATACAGCTAAATCGTGTTTAGCAGGACCATCGAGGCCAAAGCCACATAGGTCTTGAATAATAGCTCAGGCTTCTCGTCGGCCTCATTATAGACTAGGTTGCCGTTCGCATCTCTGTGGTGGCCGGAGTAGTCGACATGAGTAGGTACGTTCTCTAGAGAATCGTGCTTTTCATGGATCTCCATTGTGTCCATTGCGATGTCTGTTACTGGAGCTATTCCACGGGGCGAAATAGATGATCAGAAGATTTTTGGCTAGCTTGTATTGCTGAAGAAGAGGAGCGCAGTCGAGAGCCCTAGGCCTAGCCTTATGTATCCCAAGACGAGTGACAGAGTCCTAAGGCATGGCACGCGATCCTCCGGATCCACAGCAAGGGTTGGCCCCCATATCTCGGAATCTGAACTTTGCTTGAGCTATTGGGCTTGCCTCGAAAGTGATTTGCCTCGTGCTATCCCGTTTGGATGAGACATCGATTAGGGACGATAAAGTCGTTCATTGCGGGCCGCGGAAGGGATCGCCGAGATTCTAGGTCGTCTCAATTGCTGGTAGTATGGGAAAGCCGATGCTTCGAACAGAAATCCGCATATTTGCCCTGCTGTTAGCTAAGAAGGGCTATTGTATTGCGTAAGCCTCGCCAGTCTAGATGAGAAGCAAGCATCTGTTTAACAAGTCTCGACTTGCCCCCCTAGTATAAATGACGGGTCGGAGGACGAAGTAGACTTGAGTATCGATATACCCGAGGCTACGGGTGCCTTACTGGAAAGAAATGCAGCAAAGTCGGAAGTGCCACATTTGCGGCATGAGAAGCCGCTTTCGAGCCGTCTTCAATTTGTGGCTGCCGGCGTCAAAGAAATGCGCAAAATGGATATCAGCCTGGCCGAAGCTAATGAGAGAAGTCTGCAACCTTGGCCATCGATCTTGACTCCTAAGTCAGGTGCTACTGTCAGGACCTCCATATACACTTTACGAAGATTTGGCACAGTCTTAACACCGGACCTGCATCCTTCGCGAAGGTAAGTGACATCGGCCCCTTCGCCAACAATCAAGATTGGTCTCTCTAGATTCCCTCTTCTCCATACGCATATCTAACCTGTGGTGTTATCGAAGTAATTATCGATCGATTACTAGCTCATTCATAAAAGTATTCTTTGTTGGCTATCTGTAGATGTAGTAAGCCTTCCAAATGTATTTATGCCACGAAGAGCTTGGTCATGAAGAGCTTAGGATTTCTTCAAGTCTCGGCTCATCGAAGCCGCCCACTCTAAGAGTGAAGGAGATCGAAAGCCTTCATGACAAAATCGTAACTGTCCATTGCCTGCCTCGTTCCGACTACCAGACGGGTTCTCTCATGCCGATTCTCCGATACTGGAGTATACACGCGAGGATACCGACACGCTAGAGCCAAACTTCCGATACCGAAGGCCCGGAAAATATCTCTCGTCTCTGCGAAATCATCATAAGGGCAATAACTTATAGTAGCAGCCACATGTAAAGAGCTCACTAGTCTGGAGTCATCATCAGCACAGACGGAATCGGGAAATCTAACCGCTGCCAAAAGCGAGCCAGGTTCTTTCCTTCTCTCCGTAGATTGATTACTCCAGGACCTTTGCGGTAACAGTAGTTAGTCCATGTGAATGCATAAAATAGAGTGGTGAACGGATCTTATCATTCCGCTAAAATCCCCCTAGTACGACACAATTGGAATGAAATAGTGCTTATCGTAACATGTTGTGAATTACGGTTGTGTAGGGATCTATTTGTTCTTTATCTACCTACCCTTTCAAATTGTAGGGGGTTTACATACACTGAAAGCAGTGCTAGAAACTTCCTCAAAATCTCTAAGGACGCGGACTGGGCCCATAAGGCTTTCATCAAATATTATAATAGTTTTTGAACCTTGTAATACAACATAACTAGACTCTAAGTAGATAAGGGTATAGAGATATCTACCACTATTACAGCATCATTGTCATGACTGATTCCACCGGCTCGAGAAACCCGATGTTCGACGGGTAGGTTAGCCGTCTTCGAACATAGATCATCCTACTTTTAGCTCGAATTTCTGAATAGTATTAGAGAAGAATATGTTTAGACTCGGCACTTATTAACATTGTTTCGACGTTTTCGTATATTGTTTATTTCTACGGAGTGCCTTGTCTTAGTAACTGCCCACAGATAACGAGGACTTGACCAGCCAACCTTCGCATTCATCTTGATGGCTATACTAGCAATATATCTGAGCTTACTGGTTCTTTTGATTGTCTCTCCACTTTTCTTTGCTATTATATCTCCCTTACGAGCCGTTCCCGGCCCATTTTGGGCTAGATCCACGCGCTTGTGGTATTTTGTAAACATCTGGAGAGGGAACTGGCAACAGACGAATATTAACCTTCACAAAACTTATGGTACCATAGCAATTTAGAGTTTAGGCGATTCTTAAAGATAACATTGGTTCTGATATACTGAGGGGAAAATCGTGCGTATCGCTCCGAACGAGTAGAGTTTAAACGACGTTGATGCGATCCGCGTAATTTACGGCTATGGCACGGATTTCGTTAAGGTAGGCAGAGCTACGAAAGCGTCGATGTAGCGGCTAACTCGTCGAGGTCAGTCTCCATAATATCGAGCTTCTGAAGCCCCTAATTCGAAAATCCATGATCTTTTACCGACCCTGATACGAAACGTCATGCCTCGAACCGAAAGAAAGTTGCCCACCTATACTCCATGACAAGTCTACTGAAGATGGAGCACTCTGTTGGGATTTGCACTACAGAAATGATCAAGTGTCTCATTGATCTTTCAACATCCGGACGGGTCATTAATCTCCAATAGTGGCTCCAATTCTTTGCCTTCGACATTATTGGTCTCATAACGGTACAATCCTCTTAGCTCTCTACAGGGTTCCCTCAATATTGACTGGAAGTAGCTGGAAAAGCTGTTTGGGCTGATGTAGCAAGGCTACGACCCGTAGGGATATCTTGACGCGCTCTAAAACTTCCTATCCTACTCTACCTTTATAGGCGTGTACTCGGAATGGCATTCAAGTCTCACGTACCTAATATCTTTCTTGCCTCGTAGAGGGAGTGTACAATATTTGATAGACTTTGTATAGGAGTAGACTAATGCTCGAGTCGCGCAAACAGAACATACAAGGCCACTTAAGGATACTAATGACTTTTTAGGACAACTCCTAAGTCTAAATACTAGCTAGTCGAATAAATTTCCTTTGACCACGATCGCCACTATGAAGCCCGAGGGATAGGAGGGAAAGTTCTAGTACGGCAGAGTGCGATACGATCTTAATGGTCTCGCTCTTAGAGACAACCTGATACTTATCCAGCTGCCACTGCTGTCCGAGTTTTCCGATCTGTAAACCCTTAAACTCTATGACTTCCGTCCACTCCCGTCTACTCCCGTCCACTCCCGTCCACTCCCGTCTATCGACGACGTCCGCAATCGTAAAGACGGTCTGCTTAACATTGTTGACCACGGGTTCACCGTTCTCCGATATCCATCTAAGTCGACTTTGGCCTCGCACTCGTTAGAGTGTTAGTATCGTCGACCTAGTGGAGCAGATTTACATCCCCTGAGGCTGAGGCTATGGTCAAGCAGATCACTGGGGCCAAGGTCGCCGTCGCGGAGGCGGTTGCACTCCCCACCGCCCCCCAACCTACTATCGATGGGGAAAAGGAATAGGCTGCTTAAGAAAAAGGCCCAGTCGCTTTCCCTAGATTAGACGGGTTTACAAGAACCAGCGCCGCCGCTTTCCTCCCTGAGCCCAAGGTCCACGTCGACTATGCTTCGTTAGGCACTAGCCTCCACGTCCGATACTTTAACCCGTCGATGCGTGAATTCGTGATCCCTATTATTGACGCGGAAGAGAAGCTAAAGCCCTCTAGGCTATTCGTGTAGGAGCACTATCATAGGCCTAGTAGTAAGAACCTACACTGGGCTCGCTACTCGATCTAGCACCCTATTAGGCGGGTTCAACGAGACCCTCTTGCACTGAGTGACGCCGCCACGCCCACCGCAAAAGTCTATGTCCCGACTCGTGCGAGGTTCCCGACATATGATCAAGATATGTGAGCGGCGTAGTGGGCGCTAGGCCAAAATGGCATTGGATTTCCAACCAAGATCCCGGCGAGGTCCTTGTCATCTGCTTGTTCGACAACCTCAAGGCACACGAGGAGCCGTCATTAGGGGGCGACACGCTACACACCAGTGTGGATTTGGACGGTTTGAAGAATTTTGACTCTAGTGAAAGCACAGAGACACGAGTTCTCGCTATCTAGGATTAAGCTTCCGGGTGATGGTGAGATAACAGTCTTTCGCTAGGCTGACAGGGCTATACGGGGTATATGGTTGTTTAGTGCTACGTGGGACGGTAGCGAGTAGAGCCGCTTGGAAGCGTACATCATGCAGGTATCTAACCGCAACTGTAGGTGTCCATGAGATCCTTGCCCCGTTTCTACATCGCAGATGGTCCTTAAATTCAAACTTGGATTCTTAAAGAGACCATCCGCGTTGCCCATGGTGGTGTTATATAGATTTGTGATTTGTACTTTGAGCGAGAAGCTCACGCTAGCACTGGCACCGTTACCTGAAGTAGCACTGGGAGTCGAGTTTGCTGTTGCGGCTGTATGCGTCACACTTTTGGTTGCGGAAGCACCTCTAGAACCTGTCATGCTTGCAGTCGCTCCCGACCCTGTTGCCGTTGCCGTCGCTGCACTGTCAGTTGCAGCTGCAGCTCCACCATATTGAGAAGCCTTCACGGCATTGAGTTAGTTGCGATCTAAAAGACGATCAAGCCAAACTTACCGTTAGGTAGTAAGTGAAGGCAAAGAGGAAAAGACAATCAGGTGAGAATGGCAGGATAGAATAGAACGGAAAGAGGTCAACATGTCAATCGAGAAATAGATGGCCAAAATGCAAGGAATCGAGACCGTCTACGCCACGTTTAGCGCGCAGAATACCTGTCTCCAACATCGCTCAGCACTCTGCGTCAGCTCCTGAAGGCTGTCCCTAGTACTTTTGTACATCGTGGTCGCTGTTGTCACTAGGCATTCAGGACTAGTCTGGCGTTGGCCATCTGGTAAAGGTCGGACAGACGATCCCCGGCGCTAGGCGTAGCCAAGACAACAGCCAGCTTTACTTGTAAGCCATGTTGATAGATGAATGGTGCATAACACTCACCTTAGCAAGGTACTATGTCGCTTATAGCGAATTGCTGTGTCGTCGCCCTTGCGGTATCCCTCCAGAAAATCTAGTGAGAGAGCTATCTGCGTCAATGCGTCCAAGTGAGCTAATTAGATATTGGTCTTCCTGTAATGCATCGATGATGGCCGTCCTAGAGATGCGTCTCTGGTCATTCCTGTATCTATAGTCGATTGAGGCGGGTCATCCGCCCTGAGGCCCGCCCAGCTCTTGTCTGCGAATGCGATCAATGCAGATCGGCTTCTTCATGGCCGTTACCTGCATCGGCTTCTGCGTAGAAGCGTTCTGTGTTAAATGCTGCTGTTTTTCTCGCGGCACGAACTCTTTTCATTACTCCCAATGCCGGTCCCCACATCATCCGGATACGGCACCGGCTCGGAATAGACTCGACTCGTGTATATCTATATCACAAAAGTTAAGACCATCCTCTCTACGCCCGCTTCATTTATAAGAGGCCTAGGTCTAGTAGATAGATCGGGTTTTTTCATTTAGAGCGAACGTTCCGAACCAAACTTCACGAGATTTTTTCTTTAGTAAATTGCATCTCGAAAGCCTCCTTCCACCCCACTTAAACGCCTTCTCTAGAATTATAGCACTAGCCCTTGTTTAAACCCCCGTTCGCCGGGTCGTTATCGGGCACAATGACGACCGCCAAGCGTGCGTAGCTATCGATATCACCGAACTAGGCCCATTCTAGCCCCTTGTCGTCGTCTAGCACACCGATAGCTCGCTAGCCAAGGTCGATGAACTCGGCGACCGGGCCAAAATCCACGTGCCTTTCACCAACAATGGCAGCATCGTTCGAGTAGTCGAATTCCCCCCCGGCTACAAGGGCCATGTTCATCGCACCATATCTTTGGACTACGTCATTGTCACCGCGGGCACCCTAACTATAGTCTTGGATGACGGCTCCCGGACTAAGCTCAATGCGGGCGATTTTGTGGTGCAGAATGCCACTATACACGGCTGGGACAACGAGTTGGAGACTGAATGGGTCCGAGCCTATGCCATTATGCTACCTGTCTAGAAGCTAGTGGTGAACGGATAGGAATTGGGTATGGACCTGGGCACCATTCCCGATTCCGAGATCCTAGAAGGGATAGAACGATAGAAAGCGCTATTGGCATGCAAAAAGGCACTTTAGTCGACCATAGTAGATCGCCACCACAACTAAGCTGCTATTCCCTAATCGTGTATTGTGCTTCCGTAGCATCAATTCAAGTAATAAACCAATAAAGTTTATAAGTACGTCTATAAGGTTAAAGGCTAGGCTATCGTTCCGTACTCGTAGGATCTTATACGTTCTTACACTTTAAGAAGAAGCTAAATATAGTTAAATCGCGAGCGAATTAATATACTATTAATAATTTCAAGTTAAAGCTTATTCTTAAATATATTTAGTATCTCGCTAGTAAATATCTCGATATAGTTTCCTATTAGAGCGCTTAAGGTTATTATAAATTAGGCTACTTTACTATATACGTAATTCTTTTAGCCTTATTAGAGCCTATTATAATTCTTTAGTCTTATTAGCGAAGCTAATAGTTAAACCTTTTAGACGTTTCTATAAATTTAATTATTATATTAATAATATAAGAATTAAAGAGTAGCTTTGCTTAATTAATTATTACTTTATTAATTTATTTATTACTTTATAGTAAAGTAAAAAATAGTTAAGTAAAGTAAGAACTTCTTTTATAGAGAATATAAGAAATTAATATAACTAAGTAGAAATTATAATAATATTAAAATTTAGAATTTAAGACTCTACCTTAATTTTATAAAATTTAAATTAAATTAAGTTTTAAGTAGATATTATTCTTAATCTTAATTAAATAAGATATTTACTTAGATAAGATAAAATAAGCGAAGATAAGATAATTTTCCTTTTTACTAGACTATTAAAATCTATAATAAAATATTAAGATCTTTTCGATAGGAAACTTAATATATATTATAATCTTTAGACTACTTAATAAGTTTTAAGTAGTAGTTACTATCGGAACTAATCTTAGTAGTATAGAAGGGTAGAGCTAGAGAGAAGGATTACCTTAAAGGATAAAGACTATAGTATCGCCTTATATGAATTATCTTAGTTTCCATTACTATTGATAATAGGAGTAGGTAGGTATTACGGATCAACGGCTAGAAGTCGCGAACATAAGCCCTACCCCTGTAGAGGTATAGTTAACGTGGATGGAACCCGGCCGCTATGAATTTCCGGGTAAAGAGCGCTCGGGGAAGACCATGTTTCTTAATACAGTTATTATTGCTGGAAGGGTTAGGGTGTATTTCGTATCATCGAACGGCGCGAATGTTCGAGATGACTGGTCCTTGGAGGTTAATTACGCAGATCTTGGGATGAAATTATTATACTGCCGACTAATAATCGTAGGTTCAGGATGACTAAGTTCGGATTCTCTGCTCACGACGGGAGGACAACCCGATTAGCAAGAGGCCCACTATCGACATAAAGATTGATGAAAGCCAAATCCGACTCTCAACTCGAAATTTTTAGCAACCCACTCACGTACATCTACATTACGGACTCGTGCTTGATATCTCAGCGATACAGCAGCCCGCTGCACGTTCCGCCTTAGAGCCCTTCCCTTCCATATCAAGCTATTCTTAGGCAATTAGCCTGGATCATATGGCTAGGACTTCTAAGTCGCCACATGCATATCTGTCGTAGCCATCGGTGGAATGGGCAGCTGTATATCAAATCCTAGTGGCGTTCAATCCTACTCAATACAAGCTGCTGAATTAAAACTCTCAAAAGTACTATCGCGACCATTTTGCCGATGTCCTAGTGTTGGTTGGGTCGCTAGAACGGATGCGAGCAATCATGGTAGACCTCAAAAAAAGCTCCTCCGCTCAGATTGCCGCAATTGTAAAAGGACTTGTGATTAAAGATATTGAAATTGACACTAGAGATGGTGCTACTATCGGATGCCGCATCTATACACCAGCTAGTTCTACGGAAATGTAGCTAGGTTTGCTCTAGTAAGCACATCTTTTTACTAAGGCGCCGGATATTGCTGACATCTTACTTTAGCATACACGGGGGAGGTTGGACTTTGGGAGATCTTGATGGCGAAGACGCAACGTGTCGTTGGATTTGCCAACAAAACTAGGTTATGGTCATTAGCGTGGACTACCGACTGTACTTCCGGCGCTTCGCCGTATATGGTGAGACTCTTACAAGGCTGCAGGGCTCCCAAGTACCCATTTCCGTTTGGCTTTACTGACGCTTGCGATGCTCTCCAATGGGTATGTGAAGCCTCTTAGTCGTTCTGCACGACGCATTTACGCTTACGTGTTATGTTTAGATGAGGCGAAACTCGGCTGAATTACGGGTCGATAAGGATTCAATTATTGTTGCTGGAAGTAGTGCTGGAGGAAATTAGGTAACAAACAAAAAATCCCACTCCCTCTGACACGGCATATAACTTTGTATCTCTTGTCCGATTTCCAGGCCGCAGCAGTCGTCCTCCAAGCTCGAAGAGACTAGGTACGGCTTAAAGGTCAAATCCTCCGGATCCCCGTTACGTGTCACTACGAATGCTACCTAGACGATTTAAACCTTTATAGTATGGAAGAAAATAAGGACGCGCCTTTGCTGTCCAAGAGGTCGATGGAGCTGTTCTGGGGCTACTATAATCCACCGGACAAGAAAGACTGGAGGGTTTCGCCGCTGCTGGCAGATACCTTCGAGAGTCTACCGCCGACGTACATACAGATCGCCGGCCTCGACCCTTTAAGAGACGAGGGACTAGCGTACGCGGAAAAGTTACGCAGTTTAGGGTAAGCACTTTCGCTTCCCTATATAGCCATGCGTCCTTCCTACGGCTGACAGATTAACCTTCCCTACAGTGTCCCAGTGCGACTCGACGTTTACCCTAGTGTCCCATACGCATTTGGGTACTTTCCAGCGCTTAGCGCGGCCAAGAAGAACACAGCAGACCTCATCGAGGGGATTAAATGGCTTTTAGCCTGACAAAGAACCAGATTTGGAAATGCAACCAACCGTCGCCTGCGATATTAGAAACGCTATTGTGGAGGCGTGCGCTAATGTATTGAACTCGCTGGAATTTACTCACACATATAGGGTCATTACGACAACTAGTTTCTGGAGGTATATATAGGGGCGTGCACAAAAAGACGCTACGACGTTATTGACTGAAAAAACGAGACTTCGAAAGATATTATTGTTTCTAAGACAAGATCTCGATTTAGGTGTGTAGTCCCTCCCTAGTTAGTAGAATTATGGGCTTCACCTGTGTGACTTAGGTTTTTAACTACTGGACTCCTTCTAGATAGAGTTTCCTATCACGTCAATTGAGCTTGAAATCTAGGGGTTATACTCTGGTGAACAAGTCATTGAAAGGTAACGTGGAAACGCTTTTTGTCTATGCCTCCATTGGAGGTTTTCCACATAAGGCTTAACTTATAGGAAAGGTACCTGCTTGGACTCAGCTGTTCCCAAGGCGCTGATGGACCCAAGGTACTTAATCGTGGAGCTTATACAGTAGTATCATTAAAACCTTTTGAGTGCTTATAAATCATCACTACTCCTATTGAGGATAAGAAAATTGTTCCTGCAACCAACCATAGTAGCACTGGTGCATTTCAAGCGCCGCAATATCGGGTCTCCTCGGAATACAAGCTGTCATTTGCCGTTGTGAGGGTTTCTCGTCGACTTTGAATTATTTCCGGGCACGTGCAGCCACACTCATACCTCAACAGCTTTTCTAGGTTCTAATACTGCCATGGACTACTCAAGTGCTATGGGACTGGTATTCCGACTGAATTAGGCCCACGCCGAGCCCAGTAGTTGGGGTCTTAGGGTTCCCCAGTGGTTGCTCGGATAGCCCCTATTCTTCTACAAACGAAGAATACGCTTAAAGAACTACTGGAAAGGCCTCGAAATTGTCTCGAACACCGCGAGGCACTTCACGCTCATGGAGAGTAGACTCGCTCTAACAGGGTCAAGGGAGATCTTGTGCCGTGGTGCGCTTCCAAAGCCCTGCGGGGCTCGCCCACTAGAGCCAGATTCTGGGACACTTTTGAAACCTTGGCACGCTGGAGGAGACGAGCTCTTCCACTGCCCCGTAGTGGTCAGTAGGGTGGGCAGTCCTAGCCGCCCGTCAGCGAGCTAAACCGAGCAACGGAGTTGTGAGGTCCCGTGGGCTAAAAGCCTGGCTGGCGTTTAGATCGCGACAAGGAAAGTGGACGGTCCAGTGTTGAAAGGCGATTGGATTGTCGTTACGCATCGGGTTTTCCGACGCGGTGGGGCGGGTCTTGGTTGCCACTTTCTCAGCTGGAGGGCGAGGAGACTGCTCACAGGACAATAGAAGTCTACGTCCCGCGTGAGTACCTATGAGAATCTGCCTAGGCCAGGATGGACAACCAGCTGGAGCAATTCAAGGATGAGTCATCGCACGCGCCTCTTTGGATTTTGGCTTACACTGGTCCCCATGATTGGGAGAAAAGGGTTGCAGGGTCTTGGAGGAAGGTTTTTACCCCACCATCATCGCAGTGCGGGGTGATAGGACATCAATCCGTTAGGCCGACTTAGCTGGCGATACTCTCTTGCTCACTCCCCCTGTCCTACAGCTTTCGACCTGGAATCTCATATTCGAGTTGTCAAGGAGTTTTCGACGTCTATCCAATCACTCGCAGAAATGAAACGGTCACTAGAAGGTCTGGCCAAAACTTCACAGAGCGTTAAGCCTTTGCAAAACTACCGAACAGCACTTGCCTGCCACCGATGCCGAACGCGAAAGAACAAGGTGTGCTGCCACTTACGTCGCATTTTTCCCTTATCTTTGCAGCCTAACTGATCAAGATATGTGCAGTGCGATGGTGCACGACCTACTTGCTTTCGGTGCTTGGAGAGCAATTCGTTATGTGAATATCGCCAACCTGCTTTCGAGCCAGAATAACCTGTAAAAAGGCAAGTCACTTGCAAATTCCGGCCAGGCCACATCTGAGCATTCCTATCAGTACTGTTACACTCGAACAACGCGTCAGGGTCATGGAACAAATGATTGAGTCCCTCCAGACCCAACCCGCGCGGCGAAAGGAAAGCTCTCCGACGGCTTCTCCCCACCATCTCATTTTTGAAGAACTCCAATAGGGCAACGCAAAGATCTTCAACGACTTGCAACTACACCTGGAGGATGAGCCTAGAGACGACAAAGCAGCTTTTTACGGTGAAGATGCCCCATTTCAGCGCTCTATCGTCCTGGCCTCGAGCTGACCAGACCTTTGAAACAGGCCCGTCATCTCACATTGCATTCTTCCGCAACATCCTCAAATCTCTCAATGCAACATTAGACCCGAGCCAAACGGACAGCCACATCGAAGGCCACCTAGGATGTATCAAACCCGAATTCTTTCCACCGTCCTCGATGTTCTGCAACGAGACTAGAGTCTGTTCTGAACTATCGAAAGAACTAGACTCATCAAGCGAAGGTGACGTACATATCTTACCAAAATGGCCGAGCATAGTCTTACTCTTGAGACAATTCTTTCGTGGCTACGGCTGGATCACTCCATTCATGGACGAAGAGTCCTTTGTTCAGACCCGCATCAAAAAGATTTATGAGGGCTCGCAGGATCCAAAAGCTTCTCTTCTGGCCCTGTTAAATATCACGCTTGCAATAGGTGCCATAACGAGCATCGAGACAGTGGATCCTGTGGGGCGAAGAGTATGGCTAGCCAAGAAGTTCTACCGGCGTGCTAGGGACTTGTGTACGCAGGCAGCAGGTCAACCTGTGGAACTCGAACTTGGTAAGCGGTAACAAAGCGTCAGTCGCCGCTTTCATCTGACCAATATTCCGCGCTCTCAGTTCAGACGTTGCTATTAATGACCCAATACCTACAAATCACCGAAAACTGTGCCAACTCCTGGGCCACACATGGACTCGCCGTTCAGGCCGCTTTCCGAATGGGCCTACACACTGTGAAATCCCTGTCTGGTCTCGATCTTCCAGAGCAGGAGTGCCGCAAACGAACATGGTATACATGTGTCATTCTCGACAGGTTAGTCTACAATATATTGCAAGATATCTCGTTAATATTGATTACGATCTGCAGGATGCTTAGCATGGAGTTTGGCCGGCCAACTCTAGTTCCTAGAATGGAGGAGCCAATCAGTTTCTGGACTAACGACAAGCGCTGTGAGATTTCTTCTCCTGGAGTACCCTCTGACGGCACTAGAGACACCACGTGTTTCCGTTTCTTCGTCCATTTCAGGTGAGCTATAGAGATATGTGCCATTTTTGGAATTTAGCTGATCACGTGCAGTGAGCTCTACGAGATTCTCTACGATGTGCTGAATGCTTTGTATTGGCAGGAGTACCCCCAAAATAGATCTCAAGTGTTCAAGATCATGTCTAGGATTGCTGACCACGAGCAAGCACTTGACAGCTGGCGGGCTAACATCCCAGCTCCTTTCCGCATCGATGGCGCCGACAAAATTGAAAACACATCCTGCGACACAGACATCTCGATCAACCTAGTGAAAATGCTAAGCCTCCACTATCAAAAGATACGCAGTCTCATTCATCAACCCATTTTGCTGTATTTCCTATGGCGTCAAGCCCAGGCGCAGGACTTGATGCAAACAGAAGAGATAGAGGATCTCACCATATTATGCCAGCCCAGTCTGCAAATATCGGCTGTCACATATACTGCGATGACATCACTCGCTAGCTCGCTCAACCATGATAAAATCGTCCCTGGAATGTGGTGGACGTCATCCGGATATGGCAAGTCATGTTTTTTTTCTTGTCCTAAACTGGACAGAGTCCATTTGCTAACATCCTTAAAAGTCTTCAACGCTGTCTTGGCTTGCTTTGCCCACCTGGTACTACAAGTGCAAGATCGAAAAGGGCAACTGCAGCATCCGATATCAACGCCAGAACTGAAAGGCTGCATCAGTCTGGCCACCCAAGCGCTGTCCAAGCTTGCTTTCGGGCATCCGGCAGTTCCACGTGTGACGGAGCTCTTACGACGAATCCTGGAAGTCTCTGACTGTCTTAGTAAGATCAGGTTGCCCGCCCGGATTGTGGGTATGTGACAAAAAAGAAGACTGACATCTTGTAGCTCAAAGGGATTGGGCCAACAGCCAGGCGATTTATGGTATGGCGTCTTTTGATATTGGCGCTAACTGGTCTGAGTTAGACAATGTTGTTGGTTCAGCCTACGAAATTTTCAACACGGTCGACCCGCATGTCCAGAGCGCGTGAAACTAGTTAAGCTAGGCTCGATTTACTCAAAACACATTGTATCAGTGTTGAATACCAATCTAAGCAATGATGAAGCGTTCTCCAACAGCCTCTCGCTGCATCTAGCACTTTGTTGTGGGTAAATACAATCGGGAAGTGTTCCGTCACCACTCAATGTCTTTTACCATCACGACGTTTCCTACTTTTGTATCAGTCCTTTTGGCAATGTCAAGTGCAAGCTTCTGTGTAAACTCCGCAAGCTCCTTTGTACCTCCCAGGCGAACGATCCCACGCACGTGCCACATTGCTTGATTCGGCGAGTTCATGCATGTGATTGCTGACGCCAAACAGACCTCGGACTCTGTCGACGAAAGGATGGCATCCTCGGCAACCCAATACTCATAACCCCATTTTTGAGTGATTAAATCTATATTTCAGTCTCGTAAGACAATCGCCTGTCAAGTTTGGTGGGGGTGCCTACAGAGATCTGGGTGATCGTTTTGCATTGTCTGCCGTATTGTGTTGGCTATCGCTGGCGTACACAGCGCATCGAAGTGTGCTATCGCTTTTTCTTCACGGCGCCTCTGTGCTTCAGTATCCCCCAATGACTCAGTCCTGAACGATCGTTAGTATATACCGCCATGTCGAGATATTATACGTTACCTAGGCGAGTAAAGATCAACAACCCCTTTCTTGAAAGATTTGTACAATGGGCCCAGTGCCTGAATTGTCTTCGGGACACCAATAACTACGCTCGCCTTCAGGAGGGCTTCTTTAATCCTCCTCTGCACAAGCAACTCTTTCTCTATAGGTAGGCCTGCGATGGCCTTTTGGTACAGCTCAGGTACACGGTCGCCAGCGCCTGCTGCGCCGAGTGCGACTACCTACTCGAGGGTGAGATAAGTACTAAACCCTGGGGCTTCTGGAACTTACCGCAGCTAGATACCATGTTTCCTCTGCAGAATTAATGTTTCCCTCTAACTTCCGATACTCCTCAAGGAAATCGAGTGAAAGTGCCATTTGCGTCTAAAAAGTGAACAAAAGTAAGTGAATGACTGCCACTGCTCAAACGACTAGACAATGACCGGTTTAGAAGTGCACTTCAAGTTCTCTACTTTAATATCACCCTTTCTGTCCTTCTGTCGTTCCGTACTCCCGTCGTTCCGCCCGTAAGTCCGTCAGTTTCGTATGGGCAAGACTGTTCATCGGGTTCATTGCACACTGTTCGTCCGTCGGGTTCCTCCCAGTATTAATGACGGATCGGATTCTTCCGACTACTCTCCGCGTTTGGTGTGTTACCCGTCCGAACGTAGAAGCTTTTCAGATTTTCATGTGCGAGGTGCGTCACTCATGGGTAAAGACTTACGCGTTATGAATAAGAGCACTTTGTCCAGCACAGACTTCACAACTGATCAAAGCACTCATCACTATATGAAAAAGTCACTTCACCTCATTTAAGTTGCTAAGTCACATGTACACTATTCGTTATGGCTCCAACAGCACCGGCCCCAGTCTGTCGAGTCATTAATAACTCATAACTCCTACGCTAAGGTGATGGATTGGCATTGATGAAGAACCGAAGGACCATTTCAAACACCAATCATCTTGTGGAGTACCGAAGATGTCCCTACTAAAGTTGATGAGAGTGGTGACCGAGGCACAGTGCCCATCCCTATGATCAAATACGGGACCACCATTCAAACTGTCGACTTTCCTCCACACCTCAACGGCTCCGTCCACCGTACGGTGTCCCTCGACTATGTTATCATCACTATGGAACACCTACCATGATCCTTGACGACAATTCACGGTCAAAGATCAATGCGGGCGACGTTGTGATGCAACAGGCCACCATACACGGGCGGGACAATGAAACGGTTGACTGGATCAGAGCATACGCTGTTATGTTGCCGGCGAAGGAGCTTATAGTGGATGTAAAGACGATCTACGCTAATAGTTCCACAATCCCCCATCATCAATATATATATAACATCCACTATTATCGCTCATCATTACCATAGAGAGTGACAGGTTTTGAGAAACTGTATGGAGCTTCAATGCAATCAAGTCTAATCAAGCTGAGTGATTATACTCCTTGTGATTCGCCCGATGCATTTCTCTGCTTGTACTGAAGACTGAGAAGAGTTGTCCAACGTCACGGATTAACCAATCTCACCTGGGTAGGATCAATAGCTTACCGGTAGTAATGGGTAGAGTACACAATGACGCGTGATGAAGGAAAATTTACCCTCACCAGCACTTTCATCTGTAGTGAAGACGCACTCTTGAAGATGCCTTGGACCTAGCATACCACTGGGGTTTGGGCGTTCCCTGTATGGTGTTGTTTCCTCGATGTAGGAGGTTACCGAGAAGTTTGCGAAACCAACAATAGTTACACTATTAGAAGTGCTGTAAAACAGTGCTGGCGTTCCATTGTGTTGAATCATGCACTGAACAACATATGTATATCAGAAGACACGGCCTGAGGGATACTCATGGTGACATGGCACCAGCAAAAGGCACCTTATGCACGGTTATCCTGTACCTCGAGCATGGGACACCGAGGTCAAGCTTGGCCATAATAGCGTGGCAACAATTTGTATATTCTAATGAGAACTGGCATGAACGGCAGCTGGTGTCATGAACCGAGGCGCGTAGATGGAGTGGGAATGTGAGGTGGGCCAAGCCAACGAAGAGACCTGACAGTTCAGCTATCTTAATGTGTGTGTAGAATTATCAACGAAATCGATTATTCAGGGTAGTGATCGTTTATGCTTTAAAATGGTAACTGAGATTTTGGACTATCCAGGAAGTCAAGTATAGCCTCCCTCATACTCAACCCTAGCTAGATGCAGGCGCTGCCCTTAGCGACCTTTCAAGTGACCCGGCTTAGGCACATAGTCTTCAAGAAACCATCATATATCGAAGGGCAGTCTACCGATATCTTTTCAATCCCAAATCACCAAAACTCTTAATTCTGTGCTCTGCCTCTTCTCTGTGACATTTTCCGTGCCTTCGAGGTCTACGCTTGTATGCAACGCCCCTCCCCCCGGAATCGGCTGCTGCTTGTCCATCAGACTATCAAATAATGTTATAATCAACACCTCATCTGGCTCTTGCTCTGGAAGCCAATACCACTTATGGCGCGGCGAGAAGGTCGCAGTATAGCAATGTTGATCATACGTGCCCATGTTGACGTTCGCTGGGACGTAGTCTGTCGGAATGAGAGTGGTAGAGTCGGCTACAGCCAGCGGATCTCTAGGGACTCTCTTAACCGGACGCCAGAGAGAATAGACTGCCCAGCGTGGATTTTTGCTACCAGGAGCGTGATAGTTTTCTTGAACTGATAAACCCAAGGCTTTAAGCCTATCTTCTGCTGCAATAATAGGAGCCACCGCGTCACTCATCTTGGGGTGAACATGACGTATATGATTTCTTGCCCCTGCCGGCGCAAGGTCGACATGGACCCTCGGTTCTGGGGAAACACCCTTGCAGTTTGGCTGAAAGCCATCATAATAGGGAAGATCACCCTCAGGAGCGCCGTATGGTTCTGGATTCGTCACCTCCTCTCTCGCGGCCGCACGAAGCACCACCATTTCCACGAACGCTTGTTTTGCTCCAGTGACCTTCTTAATCATGTCAACTGCCTCTGGGACATAGACGCGATCTATAAGTTTCTGATCTCGCCAGTGGGCACCAAAGTATGGCGCTGCGTTCAAGGCGGACGGGCAATGAACTCCTAGGAAGCCTCGAACGGCAAGCTCCCCGAGTTTCACCTCATTCCTAGGGTACTCTTCGATCGATCGAATAGGACGCAAATCGTGAAGTTCAATTCGGCAAGGGTCGCGAAATTCCGATATATGGGGGAGGTGAACGAGATGTGGACTGGTCACAGGGACATCGCCTGGTCGAACATAGTGCACTACTCCCCCCTCCACTGATTTGCTCCCCTTACTCCCGACCGACTTCACAGGAAGACTTTCCGTGGTGGCTGTGGTAGACATTCTATTGAACGGTAACAGTAGTTAATATTGAGATACCCACTCAATCTAGAACGGCTTGGAGCAAAAACGATTGTCTTTATATTCAGCAGGTAATCATTAACTGGAGCCCTAGTTTCGGCATCTCCGAGTATAGAATCCCGCGTCATAGTCCGACGGGTTGCTGGGCGACGGTAATTCCGCCCGCATACTTACAGTACCATAGTCGTGCCACAGCAGCCAATGCCTTCATCCCCAAATCGTACTTTTCTGTGCATCAGTAGACAGGGTTGCAGATTCATTTTAGAAAAAGCGGCATCGTCGTCTTGTAACTCGTCGTAGTGCGACGCGGGGGTCCATCCTACAAGAGGCCGATACGCTAGATCCTGACTCGGGTGGAAAGCGTATGCCAGGGTTCGACAAACCTCAAGCCGGAAATTTTGGATATGCAGTGGAGCCTACTCATCGTATAATCATCGATTTTTTCAAGCCAATATAACTAATTTCGAGCCAACTCCAATAATCATCCATGTAGCACCCAATGTCGATAGCTGTAATATTGACTATCGATGGGCATCAACAGTTGCAGTTATCTACTACAAGAAATAGAGTGTACCGCGCGGTGCGGTGATCAGGTAACTCCACTTAAGGAAACTGTGACTGAATTGGAGGACACATCAGATTCCAAGACCCAAAGTAACCTATCAGGGCTATATAACTTACGGAGGGTTCAGAAGCGTAGCCCCTAAACCCAGGTCATTAAAAGCAGATCATGTTCCCCAGACGCATCCTTTGTCGCAAGGCTGCCCAGGCACTTCCCCCACGACAAGCCTGGTTGGGCTAGGGCCATCAGTTCGTCGGGATGCCCGCTACAGCAACGAGGACCAAGCAACTGCTTCCATCGTTCTCATTGTCGATCCGGTCAAAAGCTAGATTGCATTCTCCACGGATTTCCGGCCATCCATGCACTAATCACGTACGTCAGTAATCCTTGTAGCCACTCTCCGGGTGGTCAAAGTAGAAAGTCGTGTCCAAGCCAGGCGCCTCATGCGTCGAAAACCCATTTCCGAGATACTGGAACCGATTGCGTGTGAGATACGTATACTCCCAGTCCTCGTATCTGATCTCCTCAAGCATGTGGAACCAGTGAATCCTGCTTCCTGGGTGCAAGGCAATAATCGGACCGTCAACCTTTCCATTCTTAAACCAGCTTCGACAGGGCGTTGTCCATGCAGTTCGTTCCATAAACTTATCTGTCTGCTCATAGAAGTCTCGCACCGCAGCCGACTTAGGCACCACCGCCTTGATGTTTTGCGTCTGGATCTTCTTGAAAAGGTTAATGAAGTATTTGGTGGCATGTTCGATGATTGGAAGTACGGAGCCGTGTCCTATCGGACAGTTGGGCCCTAGATACACTGGAAACAAGCTGCGAGTCAGATAGTGTTTCAGTACCAATTGGTTTAGAGCGTTTGACGTAAATGCATAACATACACAGCCCACGCAAAGACTTGCTCCATGGGTGCGTAGAAATTACCTACTGAAATAATTGGGGAAATTCTCCACGCCAAGAGACAGATATGCCTCTGGCCTACCGTTCCATTGTTCTGAGAGGATGATGTTATTGCGGCCTGTGGTTTTGAAGCGTGGAGTAAAAGAGATGTCGAATCCGGTGGCACAAATGAATGTGTCGATCTCGATCACCTCATTTGTGGAAGTCTTGATGCCTTGTGGCACGATCTCCGTGATAGGGTCTGTCACGACCCGGACGTTTTCCTTGGACAGAGCCTCGAGATATCCATTTCCCGGCGTAGGTCGTCGACAACCCACTGCGAATTCGGGAATAAGGTGCTTGCTCAGGCTTTCGTTTTTGATCTTGGCCTTCATGTCATTGATCGAATACTGCTTGGCCTCTTTTTGTTCTTCGCTCTCGGTAATGACCTGGAATACCAAGGTGTCAGCAATTGTGTGAAATCCTAGGCGCAGTATCCTTGCGGTTCTTACAAATCTAAACCTGGTATTGAGCTCTCCTTCGATCTGTTTCCTGTAGTCTAGGTACTTTCGGGGGTTTCGTCGGAACTCGTCCTTCTGCTCACGCGAGACTGAAAACATGATGTTAGTGCACCGTGTGACCTCGATGTCCCTTTGTCTCAACACTCACAATCAAAGTTCGCCCCGCCTGGCCCGGCGTGGTTTTGAGCAAACCCCGCCGTGATCCATGTAGGAGTTCTAATAAAGGTAGTCAAAAGCTTGACGTCTAATACAAGTAAGCCCTCCACCCCTCCGATTCTTACGACTATACCTACGCGGTTGAATTGTTGGGACAATCTGAACTCCAGATGATCCACAGCCCAGCACAGCTACCTTCTTCCCCGTGACATCGTAGTTCTCGTCCCAGGCAGCACTGTGCATGAGAGTACCCTTGAACGAGTGCAGGCCCGGGACGTCGGGCCACTTCCAGTTACTGCCTGGTGTCAGTGTATCCTCCTATATCACGAAAATATTTTTCCTTTCTTACTTTAATACACCCGTAGCGTTGACTAGAATATGACACCAATCGGACGTCTCTTCTTGTGTTTCGAGGCTATTGATCGTTAGGGACCATATTCCCTCATCCTCAGACCAGGTCGCTGAGGTGACCTGCTGTTTGAACTGTATAAACCTATACAGTTCGTATTTCTTGGCGATGTCTCTGAAATATTGTAGTATCTCTGACCACGGAGAATAGCTGCACTAGATTTAGCAATATCCTATTAATTGGCAAATGTTCATGCAGACAAGCTGGTCCAGTCTGGGTTCGGCTCCCACGCGAATTGGTAATTGTGCGAAGGAATATCGCATGCACATCCCGGGTATCTACACATCCAGTATTGTTCAGTACTATAACTTCACAGCGATGTCAGCCTAGCTGAACGCACCTGTTTTCAAACCATGTACCTCCGACGTCTTCGTTCTTTTCATATATGATCAGCTCGACGTTTTCCATATGCAACTCAACGTGGCGGGCTAAGTTCAATCCACTTGCTCCAGCGCCGACCGCGACGATACGTAAAGGCCGCCGAGTGCCCAAAGGTTGTTCTATGACTTTGTACCCATCGCCACTAGGGCCATCGGTTGTTAATACTTTCGAAACACCGTCTATAAGCCCAGCAGAATTCACCATCTTGGTGTTTCGCAAGCTCTTGCGCAGTGAGCTCAGATTCTTCAGCGACTACCTGGACTTCAATCGAATCAGCAGAAAGTACTTAATAGTTTTGCTGACATGTCATACTACCTATATGCAGATCCGGCAGCGTCGGAACACACCCGATCAGACCCGTCAATGGGAACACAGAGGCATTTGAGTGAGAAAAGCGCGGTAGAAGCCGATCCTTCATGATCAGCTCGGCAGGAGAGTTGCGGTTGAGCCCCTATACATGTGATTGTTATGCCCCGGGCTACCCAAAAGTAACTAGCAAGGAGAGCGATACGTGTCTTGGGCACATCTCAAATTTGCTTCAGCAACCATGGGTCAGGCCACGCACCAAGAATCCATCTGCTAGGGTGGTATTGTGCTAGTACATGCTAAACGGCTCGGAGAATGTTGGGCGTTGGTTCAGAAGGTTTTGCTTCAATGTTTCATCATCCCCCCACTGCCTGCCATCAGACAAAGAAGCTTCATTGATTCAATCGAACTACATTACGGACTAGGATCATGGTCTCATTTCCACTTCTAAACTGCTAATTGTCAACATTAAGATGGTTACAGGTCTAAGCTCTCCAGATCAGCCGCAAAGAGAAAGAACACTGATCTCTCGCACGTCGCAAAACAGATCGATCAAGCTCTTCTTCGAGACACAGTGACCTGTTACGTCACTCGCTAAGTAAGACCGGGACATGTATACTACCCATGTACGTACAGGTAGAACTTGGATGAACAGCCATCTCGCCAATCAGAGTAAATGAGGACAACTAATACACGTGTGGTAGATTGAACGATATCTTGAAGTTCTGCGCTGTTGGCGTTGTTAGCAAGCACTACCAGAACGATGTAGGGAAAGAGCACTTTGCATTGGAGGCCGGAGTACCTAATTAAAATAAATGGGCTATCATTGACTAACGTTGTCCCAGGCAGATGAGCAACGAATACACCGCCATATCCTAGCGAGGTCAGAGGAACATTTTTCCATCGGATTGTGGGCCTTAGCTCATCGGCATACCCGATTGTCGGGCTGGTTACCGAAAATCCGTATCGGCTTGAGAATAGTGTTATGTAGCGGATAATCCCGATTTCGCCACGAAGCGTCGAATGTCGAGGAGATCATGAGCGTCATATGACCTAGCGCTTGTGTGATTGTCCTATTGCGCTCAGCTCTCACCATTCATGCACTGAAGCTTGATTGAAATCAAATGACATTGACAACTGAATACTATCAGCTTTCATTCCAAGATTGCGGAGCATTTCAGTTTCATTACAAGATTTTGCAAAGAATGCGGAGTTCAGACCCTGTTGCGATGATAACATCTATTGAAGGTTTGGGCGAACCGCAGATGAGGCGCACGTGGATCCGTGAACAAATTGCCCAAATCGTGCGGGCCGGACATGCCGCTACAATGATAATATATCAATGTGCCCGCACACAGCTCTTCCTGGGTATCATTCCTCGTTCCTACTGTCGACTCATTGCCTGCTTTCCACAAAGACCCATCATCATGCCTTCAACTGAAGAAAATTTAAAATCCCGTTTCCCTGATCTAAAGTTCGTCAAACTTCCCCCAGCTGAAGAACCCTTCTTCAACTACCCAGGCTTCGCTCCTGGCACAAGTACCATTCTCCCCGAAGGCCACGTCAAGTCGCCAGGTCGGAGACCTTTCCCCAAAGACGTCATCTTCGAGCGAGACCAAGCCATTCTCTTGCGCGATGGAGTCACAATTTACACGGATATTTTCCGACCAATAAGCTCAGACACGGTCAAAGTACCTGCGTTGATCCCCTGGAGTCCCTATGGGAAGAGTGGCAGTGGACCTCTACAGTATAAAGACGCAGGTCCATACAATTGCGGCATAAATCTAGACCACACGTCAGGGTACGAAAAGTTCGAAGCACCTGATCCGGCCGAATGGTGTGGAGACCGCGGCTATGCCATCGTCAGCGTAGATATTCGAGGCACCGCCAAGTCAGAAGGTAACATTCACTGGTGGGGAACCCAGGAGGCAGAGGATATTTACGACGCTATCTCGTGGGTGGTTGCACAGCCGTGGAGCTCGGGAGCCGTCTCCATGATAGGTAACTCGTGGCTCGCGGTTAGTCAGATCAATTTTGCTTCTAAGCTACGGCATCCTGCGTTGAAAGCGCTGGCACCTATGGAGGCCCAAAACGATCCTTATCGCCACTTGATCGCCCGTGGCGGCCATCCCAGTCATAAAAGCTTCATGAAGGTCATCTTAGACTCGTTCGCTGGACCAGGCTCGGTGGAGGACTTAGCTGGGATGGTCAAAGATCACCCGCTATTCGATGATTACTGGGAAAGTAAGTATATCCAGGTCGAGAACATTGATATTCCGTTGTACCTAGTCGGATCTTATTCCTCCCTCTTCCACGGCCAGGGATCTTTCCACACTTTCCGGGCTGCAAGGACGGAGCATAAGTGGCTGCGCGTGCACCCTTATCAGGAGTGGTACGATCTATATCGTCCTGAAATCAGCAACGACTTGCAACGCTTCTTCGACCACTTTCTTAAGAATATCCAGAACGGCTGGGTACGGGATACTCCACCTGTGCGATTGTCACTTCTCGGTTTTGATGGTAGTCCTGCCAAGACCGTTATAGAAAGAGCTGAATACGAATATCCTTTGGCAAGGCAGCGGTTAGTGAAATATTACCTCGACGCATCCAACAACCAGCTAGTCAACGAGAAACCGTCCTTGGAGGCTCAGGCGTCTCACGAGGGACACAGTCTAACTGCACACAGCGTGAGTTTATCTGCATAATAACTTAATTTTATACTAATGATTTGTCTCCAGGCTTTCGCCCTACGATTCGACAGCCATGTCGAGATAGCGGGCTATTCCAAAGTCATCTTGTGGATGTCGTGTAACCAAAAAGACGATCTCGACGTGGCTGTACAAATCCGCAAATTGGATATCTCTGGGCAACTTCTAGAGCATCTCAACTACCCATGTCCGGTCCCCAGCGCGGAAGTTCCCAATACGAATGTCGTGAAGACTCTAGGCCCCGAAGGTTTCCTACGTGCATCACACGCCATTTCTCGTGATGAGGAGCGTTGCCAGAATAGCGGCCAAGAGGTATTTTACGCCCACGACCGCCGCGAACCCATCGAACCTGGTGCAATAGTTCCTCTTGAGATCACCTTGTGGCCGATGGGGATGGTATTTGAAAAAGGAGAAGGCTTAATGTTGAAGATCTCTGGCCATGGAAGTTCATACCCAGAGTTCGAGGCTATTACGCCGAACGAGCCCGATGATGAGAATGAGGGCATTCATATAATATATACAGGCGGAGCTCACCATTCGTGTTTAATCTTACCCTTTATATAAAGTGATTAGCGGAGTAGGAATAGCTAAGAAAGGCTCGTATATAATAGTATAAGTATAGAACTACGGAATCTAATATTATCTAGTATTAGAAAGTAATCTATTCTATGAGGCACTTTGCAGTTGCAGCACGGTGACAAAATATTTCATTTTTCAGAATTTTGTAGGATTGACAAATAGAACTTCTTTCAGTGAATCCTATGATATACTTTATATTTGTATGCCTTCTTTATTCATGTCGTGATGATGTGCTAAAGTTCGATATCCTATAGGCCTATCGAGGACCGCCAAGATATTTAAGGCTACGCTAAACCTTTCTCGAGTTTTTGTAGAGTTGGCCTAATTATAATTCTCGACCTCAATAATACACTAGTCCTAGTTGAGTTTTTGAAGAGTCCAACTAATAATAATCATTAATTCTAGTTATAGGGTTATAGGGTTGATCACCATTATATCCCTATCCCCTCGTTACAACGTATAACCATTATTAAAGAATAGTATACTCAACACTCTCCATCCTATAAGCGACTATAGTAGCGGCCACTATAGGTATAGGCCTAATTGCTTTAAGAGTATATTGTAGAGCTTAATATCTTATAGTTATATTCCTTTGAGGACAACTAATGAATAAACTTCTCCCTAATCTATATCTATTATATATAATCTAATAAGAAGTCGGGAAGTTCTACTTTACTTAGAGTATCGTCGCGACTCTCAGTAAGATCTTTTCAAGTGGAGTCACGCCACTTATCTTATTGCTATCCTTTAGTGTTTAGAATTCGTTTTACCAGTAACTAGCCACCTCGCTATTACGAGTTGGCCAGAAAGACGACCGCAGGGGATTTAGTCCCTAGGAAGTGACAACTCATCGATAGGTTGCAGGAAGTAGCCTACCTTGAGGGAGTTTGGCCCTAGGGTCGAGGTTCCCTAAGGTAGGCCGAGAAAGGTAGGTGAGCCGGCGGGCGAGTGGGAAGCAGTATAAGTAGACTCGACTACGGCCACAAGGCTACTAGAACACGTAATGAGGCTACGATAATATGGTGAGATATTAATATACTCTATACTAGTATACCACTATATTAAGTCACTAGCAAATATATATACACACTCATTACCTTAGATAGAACTATTTGTAGTCAACTTCGTTAACAATCCTATATATACATTTTAGGATACCTGAACGTATTACCCTTTACTTCACCTAATCTAATCTCTATACTCGCTCTATTAAGGAAACACCTTGGTTAGACACTATTCGCAGTTTAGATTACAACACTTTAACTACCTCTTAATTAGTATTGAGATATCGGACGTAGGATCCTCTCGAATTAAATCTCTAGCACTAAGTGCAAAACTATTAGGCAATCTTAGCAACGCTTCAAAGCTTAGTATAAACCTATATAACTTTAACGTCGAAATGATCGACACCCCTATATCTAGAGATATTATTACCTTCGAAAGTAAGGATAACGTTAAGGTCGAAGCCTTCTATGGAGATAGAGCTAAGCTTATTCCCTTCTTAACTCAACTTAAGGTAGTATTTAAGCTTAATCTAGTTAAATATAAGAAAGCTAATACTAATATTTTATATATCGTAATATAGCTTAAAGGCGTAGTCTAGTCTTAGTTCTAACTAATTCTTATAGACTATATAGAGTTAGAGACTCCTAATAAAGATATCTAAGCTTACTTCTACAATTTCGCTAAGTTTAAGATATTAATTAAATAAGTCTTTAGAACTATTAACGAAGCTAGGGCCGTCGCTCGTACTATCTATACCCTACGATAGAAAGGATTAGCGATATCTTACTACTTCGAGTTCTAGAAGATCGCGAAAGACCTTAGCTAGGAGAACGAGAATACATTCGCGAAAATCTTCTATAACGAGCTTAAAGATTTTATACGACAAAAGATAATAGATCTCCTAAATATATACAAAGGTATAGTGGAAGAGGCTATTAAGATTAATAATTAACTTTACGAGCTAAGCATTAAGAATCGAACTCTACGTATCCCGGCGGGCCGAGAAGGTTACAATAAACACAACTATCGTAGTTACTAATTTTATAGTAGGAATAATCGCCGTCAAGACTATAGGGACCCTATAAACCTTAGCAATCTTAACGCGAATCGCGCCTTACGCGCCAATAGTCGCGAAAGGGGAGATAGAGGACGACTAGAGGGTAGTGATTAAGAGAAGGAAAGACGAAGAAAGGAAGGCCTATACTTTAACTATAGAAAGATCGAATATCGTGTATATAGTTATTAGAATAGCGCCCGAGGACTATATATAATAAATATAGAGGGCGACGATATAAACGACTTAGTAGAACAAAAGGTCGATACTACTAATAAACTCGATAAACCTATCGAGAGCGAGAGTATAATAGTATAGAAGAATCGCTAAAAATTAAATAGTTATAAAGGACTAGGCGGGTTAGAGAGTAAATATCTCGAGAATAGAATCTAGTAAAGTAAGTATTACGAGTTAACACTATCCAAAAGGACCCGAACAATGGTATACCATTGTTGGGGGTGCTAAACTACAGCGAGTTAGCACGGGGCGGGAACTAACTGAAGATGGCTAAAGTGGTATAGGATTGTGGTATAGGATTGTTTTCTCAGGTAGAGACTCTAGGAGATGCAATCTTTATAATTATTACATTGTTCGAACGAGCGCATTAGGGCTATACGAATGCGACTATTTATAAAGCTATAGGTGCTATAGTGGTGGAGTTCTAAAAGTAATGTGGTAAGGTAGGGTTACGCGAGCTTTACGTTAGAGTAGCGTTTACTATACCGTAGTACGGCGGATCTTGTTAACTTAGCCTCGTCACCTCAGCCTTATTGTTACGAGCTAGTCACGAAGAAGGCCGTAGGGGATTCTGCCCCTAGGGTATGACAGCTCATCCACAAGTAGGAGGAGGAAGAGTTAGCCCTGAGGGAGGATGACCTCAGGGCCGAGGCCCCTTGCGGGCAACGAAAAAAGGAAGGTGAACCGACGAGTAATTCGGAAGCCCTGTATCCCAGTGTTATGATCGGAACTGCGAGCAGTGTCTGACCAAGGGGTTTCCTTGATAGGTGGATACGGGATGGTGAATGAAGTGTGAACGAAGAGAACTTAGTTCCAGATTGTCCTAAATATAGGTATAGGATTGTTAACGAAGTTGACTACGAGTAGTCCTATCTAGTCTAAGGAGCGTGTATATAT